CTCCTCAAATAAAATCAAAATTGGTTCAAACCTTTGGAAGAAAGAAGAATGCCGTCGCCAGTGCAAGCGGTAGAGAAGGAAAGGGTACTTTAATACAATAAAATAAGGTTTGGTAAGAGTGAATGGAGCTCCAATTGAATTAGTCAATCCAGCCCCATTGAGATAAAAGGCTCTCGAACCATTATTACTTCTTGGTTAAGTCAGAACAGGCAGATTGGATATCAGAGTCACAGTTAGAGGTGGAGGAAGCACTGCTTAAATTTATGCCATTAGATAGGTAGAATTAGCAATCTTAAATATTACTTAGGCCATCAGCAAAGGCATCGTTGCTTACTATCAAAAATACATTGATGAAACTTAAAAGAGAGAAATCAAAGATCTATTGTTATAATATGATAGATCACTTTTGGTTGCTGATCCAAGAAGATGTGAGCCAAGAAAGTATGGTGGTAAGGGTGCTAGAGCCAGAAGATAAAAGAGTTACAGATGAAAATTTTATATCATAGTACATTAAAAAATATAAAATATTAATGGAATTTTAGTGTTGTTAATGTTCGATAGAGTTCAATCAGACTGATCATTCGCCTCTTGTCTTGCCAAGCTGTGGTCATTCCATTTGTTTGTCTTGTGTCAATTAATATACATCTGGAGAGTAATCCTTGGTTTGCAAAGAAGACGGGTACACATCTATTAGATTATTTAAGAATTTAATGCAATGTCCAAAGAGATATCAAATGTTTCCCCCATAATTAAAGCATAATTACATTACTCAAGAAACGTCGATCATCAGGTAGATGTATAACTACCATTCAAACTCCTGATGAACAATTACAATAGACTCACAATTAGACCAAGGATATTAGCGATTTCTCAAGTGAAAAAGGTCTTTCTTAATCTTAATCAATGGAAGCACTGCCTAAGTCTAGTCTCTGTAAATTGCATCAGAAGGAACTAGAATTAGTGTGTCAGGAAGATGGTTAGTATATATGTGTAAATTGTGCATTATTTGGTCCGCATAAATTTCATAATTATCTCCCCATCGAATAATATCTGAAATAAATAGAATCAGCAGTTCAATAAATATCCAATGTTTACAATCATATACAAACGGAAAGAAATAGTTAAGAGTAATTTAAACAATTACTGATTCTTGGACTTAATTAATAATAAAATTGTTTAAAATCTCTTATAGAATTATAATTCGATGACCTTATCAAATCAATTGGAGATATTAAATTATAAGTTTTGCATAAAATCGAACTTAATTATTAAAATTCTATTGAACACCAGTCCAATAAACTTGACTCAGAATTCATTTCCTTATAGATTGAAGCTGATAAATGGTTAAATTAGGCCAATATCTAGTTAAGCCTGTTACTAGAAGATTCTGAAGAATAGAAATGTCGAAAATTTGATGATTAAATAGTTAAATAAGGAGAGATTTTAATATCCCAATTTGATAAAATTAAACAACAAATCAACATTAAGATTGAATAATCTTACACTTAAAATGATATTTAAGTACCTATTCAAGTAATCTTGAATTACATTGCTAAAATGATGGGACTAAACAAAACTAAATCTGAAATTCTTAAATAAGAATTCATCCAACCTCTAGAATCTATACTAGAAGAGAAAGACCCTATTAAAAAAATTGATCAATCTGACTTTCTATTAGAAGATAGATTACTGTAAGAAGAAACATTCAATCAATAAGAATAATAAAAACCATTTTAAATGGATGTATCAAAAGGAAAAAGATATTCAGGTATATTTTCTTAATCACAATAACCAACTCAACCAACTTCACCATCTTAAGATATGACAAAATCAATCAACTTTGCATCTGGCCAAAACTAACCTATAAAATAAAAAGAAAGAAGTATGACATTATCACATCATGAACTGTTGGATGTTTCATAAATTCTTGTTTAAAAACAATCCAAAATGAACAATAACAATTCCAATAGCAATTCAAAATAATAAAAGAAATTCACAAACAATCAAAAAATGAACGATAAACTATCGAATGCATTCAGTATCATTCATTAAGAAAAAAGTGAAATCATAGATTTAAGTTCCATAGGTAATAGTATTATTTTATCGAGATTTTAACGATCAAATTGTATAAATATTGGGAGATTATTTAAAAGGAACTCAAACAGTAAAGGTATTGAAATTAAGTAAATGTAAATTAACAGATGATCTAATTTACAAGCTGGCATTGAACATCACTTAAACCAAGTAAATTATTATTGTTATTATAAAAGAATTAATACATTACATCTCCAACAAAATAATTTGACAGAAAAATGTCTTGATAATATTTTAACCCTTTTGAAATAAAATGACCAAACCCAGTTAAAAAATATATATTTGAATCAAAACAATTTTACAGCTGTCAAGGCTAAAAAAAAGATAGATGAACTTAAAAAACTTGGAATCCAGATATCCCTATGATTTTTGATAACTTATTTGATATATAATTTATGATATATATATTATACAATCTTTTGTGAACTATTAAATATATATCAATCTAAATAAATAATAAACGATTAGATACCTTATTTCATTAAATAAGTATTATTAAATTTTAAATTCTACTGATCTTAACCAGAACCTTAATTTATTCTACTCTTCTAAAATTCAATATTTGATGATTGTCTTTCCATAAAAGGATTTATTTACTTTGACTTTTTATCCAGATTCCGATTATATTTGAGTTCACTTATTAATTATATTTCCCTTTTAAATATATTTTAATAAAAGATTTTGTTCATCTAAATAATAGGAATTAGCTTTACCTACAAAAATTTACAATATTATCTGATTCCATTCAATTTAGTTATTCTAATTTTTATAAGAATTGTAACTAAGTGAAGACAAATTTATAAACTATCTTTAGAAATATGTATCGATATGTTTAAATATTTGTTATGTAGTATTTAATCTTCAAAATTAATTACTGCAAAAATAAAATAGAAGTTTAATTTTCTTTAATATTAGAATTTTGAATATAAATTAGAAGGTTTATTCAATGACAAACTTTTTAAGTTTTACTTTAATCAATTATTTTATAAACATGCATTTGTTATTAGACAAATGATGCCATTTTGTTTGGTTATTACATATATTAACAAAAAGAAAAAGCAAATATACAAAGAATTAACTCAAAGTTTGGATGGAGAATCAACAGAGTTCTGTTTTTTTAAAAATTTTCCATCTGGTCCTCTTTCTCGTTTTAGTGCGTGTTAATGCCTTGATTCGTATATGTACTTTTAATTGGATTTATCCAAAACCTTTGTTGCTTATTTTGTCCTCAACTCCTCTAGCTTTAATGCTTATTATGCTCTTTTGATTCTTCTGATCATGATTCGTCTGTATCTAGGAATTAATAAATTAGATTACTATTTCTGGTTAACATATCTAGGTTCTTGCTCATATTAAATAATAATGGGAATTTTATGTTAGTTTTTTTCTTCCTATTTTCCTTAATTTTGCAAATCAGGTTCCTTGTAATGATTAGTAAATTCAAAGAAATTAGTAAGGTATTGTTAATTTAAGAAATGACTCTTTGATCTCTCATCTTCTGGGTAAAACATTGAATACTGCTTTTTCTCATTTTCCCTTTAATTTTCTTACAACATTAAAAAATATTTAATAATAGCGGGCTAAGAAAGTTTCCTAATACAAATTATTTATTATTAAACTAGAAAATGATTAAAACTAGTAGTCTGCATAAATCCCTGTATAATTATCAAATTTTTCAAATGAATAATGTTTAAATAAATATAAGTGGGCTATTTAGTTCTAGAAGAAATAAATAGAATGAATAGAGAAATGATATTATAAATTTTCTTGCTTTATAAAGGAAAACAATTATAAAATAACATTTACCTATAAAAATAGTAGAATATAAAAACAATTGTGCATTCTATTTAAAAAAAATGAATTAACAATTGTGAACAATTACTTATAAGAGTATAAATTCATGACATAAAATTAGAATTCATTAAAAGTATGGAGGGAAACTAGTTGTTAATAATTATGATGAGATAAAACTCATGAGATATTCGATTTGATTCCTCGTAAAATGATAATTTTTAATTTTTATAAAATCACAAATTATTAATCTTTTGAAATGGCTATTAGGAGTGATTCTTAAAGAGTTTTCTAAACCTAAATTCTAAAAACTTTGATGAATGAGAATCATTTACTGAAATCCTAGGCAAAGAAGAAGGATGCTCTCATAGTGTAATTATTAGAAAAGAAAGTGAAAGAAGGTGAATAAGCTTTGAAATCTGAGAGAAAGGGAAAAAATATTGGATCTCTAACAAGGAGAGAGGATAAGGATTTAAGAATTCACACTCGAATAAAGACTCTGATTGACTTGTTACCAGATGGGTTTTGAATTCAAAATTTTCGCACTTATTTTTTAATATATTATAAAAATTGTGATGAGTGATTCAGATGATTCATTAAAGAAATAACACCAACTTCCGTAAAATTTTGGTGAAATTATTGATTCAGATGACGAGAACTGGATGCCTCCTAAGAAGAGTTACAGTTAACTCGAGGAATTTGAACCTTCGAAATTCAACAAGAACATAGTTGCATTAGATTGGGATTTTAATAAAGTAGAATATTTGTTTAAAATACATAGGTGTTTGTAAAATAACTCCAAATTGAAGCCTTGGAGGATCCAACTTGGAGAGCCTAAGTCATCAAATAATTTGAGATACATCCAACTTTAGATCACCCCAATATTGTTAAAGTACGAGCATAGTCAATAATTTAGGTTAAAGAGCAGAATTACGAGGAGAAAAAAATCGTATTGGAGTTCTTAAACGAGGCCAACTACTTCAAAAAAGCAATTCTAGAAGTACAATTGTTATTTTAAACTTTTAGTAAGCACGCCCTATAACAAATATGATTAAATTAAGATCTTACATATAAGATATAGCGGAAGGACTCAGCTATTTGCATAACTTAAGTAATTTGTCTAAATATTTGAGACTATGTTCATATGGATATTAGAATAGAGACTTTGCATTGTACAAGAGGACTAGAGGATCTAATTAGAACAGTATCTAAATAATTAAATAGAGGTTAAACTTGGAGATTTTGGGAATATCTAAAGAAAGGGGGACATTCTAGATGCCTTTCATTACGAGTTCATCAAAAAAAGATAGCCAATGCTACCGCCTGAATTAGCTATAGGTTCATAAGCAGATCCTAAAATGGACATCTGGTGTTTTGGCATAGTGATTCATCAAATGATCATGGCTTATTCACCTAATTTGATGCCATAAAACCAGAATCAACCAACTAAGATATCATTTGCAAAAGCACATTGGAATAAATACGAAGTAGAGCTTTTCAAACTGGTGAAGAGTATGCTGTAAATCAATGCAAATGATAGACCATCAGCATAGCAAATACTATAAATTCCATGGCTTTAATGATATATATATCTATAAAATTAAAGTAACCAAATCTATTGACTCTTCAATTTCTATCAAAATATTTTAAAAGATAATAATAACAAAAATTAGTATAAAATAGTTTTGTTTCAACGTATACTGATATTTTGGAGAGTCAATTGACATTTACTATTTTATTCATTACCAACCGATTAAGGATAGACACTCCAAAACCTCAAAGTTTCATCTCCAGCTCCGGTCACTATAGTGTAGCCATCAGGGGACATTGCCAAATATAACACACTTAATTGTGATAAATATATACCGACTAGTATGACCAATTAAAGTTGCAATTCTTTTCATACCATTGCATTTCCAGAGTATAATCTAATGTTGACTATAGCCATGTGTTGAAATCAATTCATTTTCCATTTTGCTGAACATTAAGTTACAGACTTAACTTCCAGTATCTTCTTTCGATAACATTTTGCCTTCCAAAGCATTCCAAAATCTAATAGTTTTATCTGCAGTTCCACCACCACTTGCTAATAACCCATGTTAATGTGGACTCCAAGCTATAGCTTTAACAGCTGCTTGATGTTCATTAAATTTGAATATTGGTTTATCATATTAAGCTGCACTCCAGATGTACAATTTATTATCATTCCCTCCTGAAGCTAATAATTAGCTATCAGGAGACCATTTTAATCCACAAACCTCTTACTTATGGGCAATAGATTTGAAATAGGAGTCTTCTTTTTATCTTAGATCTCTTTAAATAATCGATTTATCTCTTGAACCACTGCTTAAAGTGCTTTCAGCAAAGCATAGTGTTCCAACTCTGGCAGCATGACTTTTATAAGTTCTCACTTTTTGTAACTTACAAGCATCCCATAGTTATACTTCTCCCATTGTTAGTTCCAACTCCTAACAAAGGCCCTCTTAATGACCATCCAACACTCGTCACTACATCATTACAAAAGATCAAGTAATTTAGTAACCTTTTAAGATTAAGCATTCCTAATGTAGATTTAATAGATACCATAAATAAACGCAATTGTTGAGAGCTACAGCATATTAGGAACATAATTGCTCCAGTCTATTAGGTTTAAATAGAAATCATCTTATAATTAAGGAGCATCTAACACTTTAAATGGCACTTTGGGGATTTTTCTTATATATTTTCCATAATAACTTGATATCGTTTCTGGCAAGGCAAAGTATTTATGATCAACAAGGGGACTAGATTATTGAAGTATAGATACCTATTATAATTTTTTGGATCAATAGAATCAATATAATGTACATGTTCATTCTTGTATTGAAAGTTGTTTTGATTAATAAACTTAAGCGAACCGTTCTCGGATTCCATAATAGGCTCTTAATCTAAGATTTATTATTTATAGAGCATTTCTAAGGCAGCTTACGAGGAAGCAATGTCTTGAGCTGGTGCCTTAGTTTCAGTGAGTATACTGAATTTCTTCTTGATAGTTGGAATAAAGCGATCTCCAGCGCAATTATTTCTTCGCTTTTGATCGGTGTTCCCCATATTGATCAAGTTTTCCTATTACAATGCCGATATAGGGTCCTGTTAATTTCCCTAAAATTGTTTTTGATTGTTGGCAATAGAACTCTGCAATGATGGACCAGAGCAAAACTAGAATGATTAGATGCTTTTACTTGTAGTTTAAGCTTAGACATTTACAAACAAAATAAAATTTATGTTTTACATAAAAACAAACAAATTAAGTATCAAATTTCTTAGTGAAATGCTTCTTTTTAACCACATTTTATGTAACACATTTTCAAGTTAAATTTTATAATTATTGATAAATGAAAATCAATCATCAAGTTGACATAATAGTGCAACTCCACGTCTAGTCCAAACAGCTGGTTCCACACCAGTAATTAGTTCCAAATATAAAACAAAGTTGGTTGAATGACCTGTTGTTGATAGTGTTCCCCTTCTAGTGGAAGTCTTGTAAAGAGGACATTTGTAGAATTTCTAAGCATTTTGATTCTAAGTTGATGCTATTACAGGTTCAAGCCTATTCTAATAGAATTTAAATTATTACCAAATAACTGGCATTTCTTGAAACAAAACTAAAGGATCAGATTCCTCCAATTGATTAGTTCCTACATCCCATTTGCATCCTTGTAGATAGAGACCATCAATGTTGACACCTAAATATATGAGATAATTAAATACCATCTTAAGGAACATCCTAAATATTATCCCTGTAGAACGGTCTAACCTAAGTTCTGAAGGTCAAAGTATCAATAGGAGTCTTGGTTTTACGAGCATAAGTCTATTTAGTGGCAGTCATGAATCCTTGAGGGAAGAACATAGCTGACAACCAATACGATTTCATAGTTCCATTTTCGAGCCACTACTTAAAGAAGTCCTAAAAGTATAATATATTGATAAATACCAGTCTTTAGTTGAGATCCGTAACCCAGGATCCTAAAGGTTTTAGAGATGGATAGGCCACATTCTCCCAATTTTCAGGAACCTTAGCATCCAAGAAGGAATTGAACATTTTTTCTAATTCAATAGACATAACAACTAATCCTTGAATAGCCTTCTGTAATAATTCCAATGAGTTTTTCATAACTCGGACCAATTTAATGAAACGGTCGACTTCTTATGATCTAAAAATAGCCAATGATTCAATGGCCACTTCTTTCTTCTAAACTAGAACTGGAGGCAATTTTCCTAATATCTCTTTGGCTACTTTAAACACAATTTAATCAGGTGTTTCTTCTACTCCCTTTTCTGCTACCATTCTCGGTTGCACTGATAGTAAGGTACTCATAAATTCAGCCACTGTTTTTTATTAGAATGTAATATTTGCATTGGCATGTAATCCAAATACTTCTGGATCATCTTCCAAAGGCAATGAACTAATATATTAAATAACTGATTGCAAATCTACAATCTAAGGAGGATGATAAACACCACTAGATGAGAATATATAGTTTGGATCATTCAGAATGGCTGGACAGAAATACTATTTGAGTAGATCAGTAATCAATCTAACATCCTTATCATCTGTAACTCTGCCACCATAATTGATTTCTGAGATTATATAATTAAGTGTTTGATATGGTACTTCTGGCTATTCATCCAAATACATCTTCAATTGTAATTAACAAGTTTCAAAATCTGAATTCATCCATTCATATGGAATATTCCAACCAATGGGTCCAAACTTTCTCCTTTCCAAAATAACTGCATGGAAGAAAGCTAAGGAGAATAAGAGTTTCTTATATTCATCCTACTTAGTGCAAGAATCATATCCAGATAGATCATTATAAGTTCTCATCATATTGGCTTTTAATCCTTTGGGTGGTTCGTTTGTTAATTTGATACCACTCTGTAACACAGGAACAGGGAATTTATCAGTAGGCATACTGGTTAACCATAATCTATAATTGGCATCAGTGTCTGCCTCTACTTGCAATTCTTAAATTCTCTCTAATTCTGGCATCCAAGTAATAGCCAAGTGACAATTCTACAAACATACCCAATCTCCTGTTCTTCTACCTGTCTTAATCAACTCCTTTGCAATATTACCTTATCCTTGTCCCAATGAGATGATTTTTAATTTAGTTTCCATTTCCATATCTTTAGCCAAGTTCAATAAATATGTAATTGGATCAGCACCTGGAGATAATACGAATATAATTGGAGTAGTGCAAGATGAATCTTAGAAGGCCCCTCTCAAATTGAAGACAGGTGGTTCAATAAAGAATGATGTTAAGGTGTCTGACACATAATTTTTAATTAAGATAACCAATTTTTCATCTCTAAGTGTTTTGAATAATAGTAACTTCTAAAATGGATCCAATGAACGGAACACAAGGGGTAAATCACATTTCCATGGATCTTAAACATCCATTACTTCTCTCCATAATTATTCATCATTACTATCCCTTAAGGACATTGGCACATTATGCAAAGACATGAGATTGTTTACTTAACATCATACAATTCTTCCATGATTTCTCATTTAAAAATGAAGGGTGTTCTTCATGAGGTACTGTGCCAGTGCCTCCTCTTAAAAAGATGTTCCATTCTCTAGCATGTATGTATTGAGCTTACAATTAGATTTTACTAGCAATCAAAAAACTAAACAACAATTTATCTTTTTCAAACAATCCTCTACAAATATTGATATAAAATGCTTTCGTAATATCGTCAATCAGTATTGCCAATCTTTCTTCTAATGATGGAGGATTGGGTGCTACTTCTAGTCTCTTTTTAAATAATTTAATAAAGAACTCTAAAGAATATTGATACATAGGATCAATCAAAGCAAGATCTGCAATCACAAAGTAAATGACTGATCCTCTTCTAGCAATAATACGATATTGTTCTCTTGCTTAATTGATTTCCTCAGCAGTAATCTTAGACTAAGCCATACGTTAATTGACTGTATCAGATGTAATTTTAGATGCATCCAAGGTTGTAATCAAATCTTCTTCTTCCAATATTCTACCCTATGCCTCAGATATCAACTTCAATATCTTATCTTCCAATTCTTGTAATTATCTCTTATCTTAGGATATTTAAAGAATCAAATTAACTCTTTTCTCTTCCAAATCGATTCTTTCTTATCGCACCACTTCAACCAACAATTAGTCTTCTAAACCTTAAGGTGTGACTGTAAAGTTGATGATAGTAGTTTTAATACTGATTTCAGGTATGTAATGAGGATTTGGTAGTTTGGTAGTAAAATATAATTTGAAGTCATTGTTGTATGGAATATCCTAGTCACCTAAACGTAATAGAAACACAGCTCCTTTTTTGAAGGTTTATTTTTATAATATAGGTTCTAAAGATGGATCTAGTTCTTCCTCAACATTTTCCATTAACACTTATTATCCAAAACGAATAGAGTTTTCAAGAGTCTTCAAGAAATTACTTTCGCTTAATTTTGTAATTTGTAAATTAGTTTCCTTTCCTAGTGCTTTAATCCATTTATTAGCTTGACCTTATGGATCGATAATTAAGGGCCACCTCCTGCAGTTGAAAACAAAGATTCCATTGTCAATTGATAGATTATCTGCAGGTAATCCAGCTTCTTGCCATTCTCTTATAGTTACTTCTTCTGCTAAAATTCTCTAGAGAGTGAAATTGTCACTCACAGGAATACTCAACTCCTTACAATTGTTGATCCATTTAGCTATAATTTCAGATCTATAATTGTAAGTAAATGGTCCTAGATATGCTATTGAACCAGCAGCTAACATAATATTACCAACTAAATTCCTTAAATCTTCTTCTAACAGCGCTGCATTAACTTTCCATCTCTCAGCCTCACTAGCTAATCCTGAGACTAACTTCTCTGCTCTTACTAATTAGATCTCAGCTGTCTATTGCTGTTATCTCAACATTTCTGATTTATTAATAGAAGTCTAAAGATTTCTCTTGAGTTCGTTAACCATATCTTACACTTCCTTCAATTATCCCATCTTTACTGCCAATTCTTATTCAACCTTCTTCAAAGATGCTTCAGCTTCCTTTAATGCCTTCTCCTTAGGACCAACTACCTTTTTAACTTAAGCAAACTTTTCAGTTGCAACTACCCATACTAACAAAGTTGTAGCTGCTTATGACACATTCAAAATCTTTTCTCTAGTGAAATCAGGATTGCTTAGATAAGTTTACTTCAACTTCTGTAGTCTTCTCTCTTGAACTGTTGTTACATCAAATTCAAGTAAATCTTGAATAAATGTCATACGGCCTAGAAGTTTTTACGCAGTTGGCCAGTCTTCTTTTTCTCCAAAAAGTAAGTTGACTGCACACATGACAATTTACACTAGATTTGGTGGAGTTTTTAAGGCTTTCATTTCATTAATAGCCGCTTTATCAATACTCTAAACTGCTTTTTAAGCCTATTCTAAGATAGGCAATGCTTAATCTAATTCAGCTTAGCAGGAATCTCTCATTTCATTAACTTCATCCTTTTTCTTCTATGCCTCAGCTGCCTCTTTTGATACAATTTACTCAGTCACATTAGCTTCTTTTGATTTGCCTTCTAATTCAATCATCATTTTGGCATTATCTTTTGCACTTTGCTCAAGAATAGGTTAAAATTCAATAATTTTCTTTTGCAGCTTTCCAACTTCCTCATTAGTGTCTTTCAAAGTTTATAAACCAACAGTATATTTCTTTATTTTTTAAGGTAATATATTAGATTACACCTTCATCATGTCAATGTACAATTTCAATAATTCCAAATAACTTGTAGGTGTAACATAGTTCTTTCTTCTTAATTCATCATAAAATCTTTCACTATATGTTTTCACGTCTGAATGGATGATGACAGACATGCTAGCCAAACTGTCTACAAAATCTCCAATACCCAAATGTTCCTAACCTCCCAAATCTTTCATTGCAACACTATTAAGTGCCTCATCTGGCCATTTATCAAACCAATCAATGGTACAACAATTAATAATTGAAGGGAACTATCTGCATCTGTTTCTCAACTTTTCTCCGACAGGTGAGAATGCTAAGACAATATGCAAATTCTCTCTTACTCTACTTACAAAGAATTTAAGCAAAACATCTCTGGAATCGTATAATCCCTATTCCTTTGCCAATGGCCTGACATCATTGATAATTTCTTCAATGTCTTCAGATGCCCATAAATTAGGTACTTCACCAGTATTAAGAACGTTGTTGATATCTTCTAAAAATGATTCTCTAACAACTTAAGTATCAGAGAACAAGAATACTACAGGTTAGTCCTTAGCTCCTGCTTATTTTAATAGTTTCTTAAGATCGTCCTTCCATGATTGCTCTCTATAATTCTTGGTGATTTCTATGCTAAATACAGTTTACCCTCTTGTTTAAGCAGATAATTTGGTCAGTGATTGTCTTCCTGAACCACCAACACCAATCAGAAGTGCATTTCCTCTAGGTTATCTCAGAATTCTGCATAATCTACTAAGATGCATGATGGCATCAGTGAAAAACACAAGATTCATTTGCTTTTGAGATGCATTATACATATTTAAGATGTCTTAGAATTTACGTGGCAATTCTTATGGATTATCAATTCTAATATAATCCTTATTAGCGTTGCTATAATCACCAAAGAGTAGATTCTAAACTTGAGGTTTTTCCCATTCAAATTCAAAGACTCTCTGAGTGTGTCCCAATAAAAGAGTCAAAAACCAATCTCTATCTTTGTCATCAACCAATCTATCTTAGAATACCCTTTGTGATTCATGTGTCCACAATTAAATGAGCATTTCCTTATTAGTTAAGTTTTCATATCTAATTTATAAAATTCCTTAGATAACTTTGCTGAGATCTCTCAAGTTGAAAGTATAATGAGACTTGGTTGGAGTAGGTAACAACTCCTTGGTAATTTTAAAGTAGATTTCGACACTTGATTTGACAATGTAAGATGCAAATTTGTCCAATCCTTTATTTTATTCCATAAGAAATCCTTTAAGAATAGCAGTGAAAATGACTTCCAGGAAACTTTAAGAGAGATCAGGACACCAGGTTTGGTTGAAATGCCTGAATAGACGAGGAGTAACAGGGTTACGTCCACCTCCAGGAGGTGCACAGGCTGTAATGAATTGACAATCCTTAACATACATGAAGTACAACTTCTTGAGATCATAGAATCCACCTTAATCGATGATTTATCTAAACAATTCATTTGGTGGTTGTGCACCATACTTTTCCAATGCAGGCATGTTAACATCATCAATAAAGAGGATCATTTTACGACCAGCTGGTGGACCTAACAGATCTTTCTTCTTTTTCATGAACTTATCTTTATCCATAAATAGATCTTATAAGTTCTTGGCACTAGTTTATGCAGAGAAGTTCAGTGTAGAGAACACAAACCTTTCTGATTCTAAACTATACAAGTATTCATTTATAATAACAGTTTTTCCAGTACCAGTTTCTCCTGATAGAAGAATATTGAATCCTCCTTCAATCAATTGAGTGATCAAATATTTGAATTTGACTGTGTCACTTGTTGGTACAAGGATATTGAAATAAGGTATGCTTGAATCATATTTAAACTCTGAGATTTTCTCAGTCCAAGGTTTAAATTCCTTAGTTTTGTAATCACAATAGTAATCATAGACATCTCCTTCAAATGGGAATCCACTGAATAGTGAAATGATCTTTCCTTTCAAATACTAACTAAATTAAGATCTACTAGAATCATGTAGATTTGCTCCAGCACTCCAGATGTAACTGAAAATCAATACCATTGCAATATGAGATTCCATATCAAATTTGTTCAACTTCTCTAGAACAACTGTATCAGTCAATAATTTAAGATTGATTTAAGCCAAATTTAGTAGTGATTTCAAGATATTGTTAACAGTAGTTGGAATTTTCTCTTTGAATTCTTCTCTCACAACCTTCAAGTTATCTTTAAAGAAATGCTCAATCTTATCAATTAGAGTATCTACATATGTTGGAACCTTATCGTCTTTCATATATTATTCTCTCAATTAGACTCCCCAAGTCTTTACTAATGGTTCCCATCCTAGATGATGTGGTTCCATATAAACCATACCACATCTACTTACTGTAGCTGGAGATGCAACTGCCAAATCTTATACTTCAAACATCATAGTGAATGTTGCAGGCAACTTAATTCTCTGACCATTGTTTAAACATAACATCTTATTATCATCCAACACTGTATTCATATTTTCAATCCAAAGTGCATCTACAGGACCATCGAAAATGATCCACTTCTTCTGATCAGTTGTATCTGTAACTGCAGTTCTTACTATACTAGCAACAATACCATCTGTCCATTCATTTGTTAACACATTAGTATAACCAAACAATTCATTCATTGTAACTGATTTTGGATTCAATGTTTACTTTTACACAACTTTATGATAATAATCTTAAGATCCTTCTTTGTTTAATTATTCCATAGCTCTTGCAAGAGTATGTATTAATGTAGTCTTACCAGTACCAGTTAGACCAACAACCATGACTCCGTGTCTCACTTAAATGGTTTCCATCAATTAGCAGATCTTCTTTTTATATGCAGCTGGATCATCATAGTGAATTAATTTGAGTTAATTTGTAATAGCATCAACTAATTATTTATCGATTTCTTCTTTCATATCCACTTCTGGGAATAAATCTTTGATGATTCCATTGAATAATGGTAGATCATGCTCAAGAAACTTTGGTACATTGCTATCCTTCATTGCTTTGATAAGCACTTCATTCTCAGGTTTATTTGCATTCTTTCTACGTAAGGCACCTGCCATAACCAATACTGATTTGACTGCTCTCATACCAAAATCATAATGATCTTGTTTACTTAATTGTTCAGATGATAATGAATATAAATTAACCATCTTACGAGCTAATATTCTACCACCTTCAAATCCTTCTGAAAATAGAATGATTTCTGCAATCATAGCATAATCGGGAATCATCATAGCTACTGGTCTGAATAAAGCTTTAAGATTATCTGGTAATTCAGTTCTACCTGCATATCCTGGATTCATTGTAATAAATACTCCAAATCTTCTATTCAAAGGAATTGTACGAGATTCAAAATCAAATTGATCCACTTTCTACCTAATAGCCTATTATATAGTCAATATTTATTAGGCTATGACTGACAAGACTTCAATGTCTATACGATTAAATTCATCGAAACATGCCCAAGCTCCACATTATGCTAATCCTGAAAAGAATCTACCCATAGTTTTGAAATCCAAACCATCAGAACAATTAAACACCACACATTGAACAGCTAATGCTTTAGCCAAATCCTTGGTTGTCTCAGTTTTACCAGTACCAGCAGGTCCTGCAGGAGCACCTCCAAAATTTAAATGTAATGCTCCGGTCAATGTCATATAACATTTATCAGTAAGTGGAGTAATAACTAATCTTGGTCCATTACCCAAGTATTCATAACCATAAATGAATCTTGTATTGGTTTATCTGACTACACAATTGTCTACATCTGCCTCCCAATAATATCTCAATTGTTTAGCCCATTCAAAATCATTCAAAGATGCTACATTCTTATCAACCATAGTTGCAACAACATCTCTAGCATGTACATCCAACACAATCAAAGCACCCATCAATGTTCTTTGAAGAGTATTCAGATCTCCTCTCACAATTGATACTTCCCTATTCAATAATTAGACCATAAAATCGTAATATTATGATAATGATGTCTTTCTACCCATGCCCATTCTCTCAATTGCTGTTGTACATCCTTCTGTCCATTTTATCAAATCAACTGTCAAAACTGGTTATGCTGGGTAGTCGAATAACCACTCATCTCTCTCTAATTCCTTTTATGGATATGCTAAATATGCCTTCTTAGTAATATCATATAATGATTTAACCATCATATTTTGAATTCTCAATAGCCAATGTTCTACTGGACCTTAAGCCATAACTATTGTTGAAAATGGAACTAATTCAGGCATTGTCTCTGGTTCTGCTGATTACATTGCAATAATTTCAGTTGAATCTTCAATATCAGAGAATTTTATTCTATTTATGTTATCAAAACACTTTCTTAAATGAGCTTAAACTGCATGAGGATTACGAGTTTATGATAAAATTTCCAATAACTCATCATTTGACAAAAAGTAAAATCTTGGAAAGGCTTATCTCTTTGTTTCTAGGTAATTATCTAAGCTTTTTTAAATATCTTCCAGTATTTTATTATTAATCTAAAACTTCTTTAATAATTCTTCAGAATTACAACAATCTTATACTAATGGTCTTTTGAATGTTTTCATCATAATGTCTCTCCAAAATTTATCAACCCCCATAAATTTAGTTGTTTCTTAAGGTAATTATTTTTAAATATCATCAGCACTGAAAATGTTTTCTAAATACATCCATTATCTTTGACATGATAGCCATTCATCAATGATATCTGAAATGAGAACTAACTTTCTTTCCCATTCCTCAACAACTGGGTCTAATTTCAGCAACAAATCTAGTTCCCAACTTTGTTTAAACTTTTAATTAATGGTCATCCAATGCTGCAATAATATCATCTAAAGAACCAATAATAAATTTATCCTTAGCTTCTCTATAATGATTGACTATGAATGATAATTAAGACCACTTTGACTTAATATCTTCAATTTGTGCTTCAATACTAGCTTCACCTGATGCCTTGGCTGATATTTCTTCTATCTTATCCTTCTTATTCATGACGCCATCAGCTATCAATTCTTAGAGTGTAAATGTTTTTCCTGGTTACCAAGCAGATCCTAGATCTTCAAATATTTTCTTCCAATGTCTAGGTCTTAGATCCTTATTTCCTAATGCTTGTATAACGGGCATAAATTATGAAACATTACCGACTCTATTAGCATGTTGATCTAATACTTTATCTCTTCCTTCCTTTGATAGATTATTAATGTTTTATCTTAACTTCAAAATTCCAATTTCATAACTTTTCATTTCTTTTTCTATTTCTTCTACATTCAAGGTGGTAAATATGTTTTTTTACAAATCTTCATATAACTTGTTGAATTTATCAGAATGAGTCCAAAGCATTCTTCGATCATTATAAGTAGCTTCCAATTCTTGTAAATCCTTATTTGTTGTAACACTCAATCCCATCAATTTGGCATAGTGCTAATAGTTCTTATCTAATTCTTTGAATCTGTCTAAAGATCTGGTCTTAATTTCATTTAATTATTGTAATGCATCTGCAGGTTATGTTTCTTCTAATATTAATTTTCCTTTATTGACTGATGAAGTTGTATTTTGAATATTGGTAATGAATTTAATGAATTCAGCTTCATGCTTCTTCATCATTTCTTATTTTCTTTCTTTACATAATTCTTCAGCTTCTTTGATTTTCAAAGTCAGTCTCAAATATTCAGCTTGAATGTCGTCCATCATAACGATGTCAGAGTTCTTCAAAGGATTCAAATCAAATTTAGATTTTAATAGAGAATGCATAGCTTCAACTTCTATTTTTGCTGTTTCGAGTCCTTTGATATTTTATTCAGCCTCTTGGATAGCTTCTATAAATTCAGCATACTCTTTGAGATTTTAGGGATTCTTAGATAAATTAGAGGTGTATGTCTATAATGTAGTTAAAGTTTGATTGGCTTTCTTTTACATCAATTTGTAGAGGTAATCCTTAAAATTCTCTAATTTGGTAACAACCTATGGTTAGAGTTTGTTTTTAATTTTCTTGCCATCCACATTAAGAATTCCTTTAGCAATATCCTTAATATAAAAGTTGATATCAGCCAACCATTTTTTAAGTTCCATAACATGAGATTTAATGATATCGAGGGTGTGTTCCTTATTTTCAAAATCTCCTTAATTCCAAGTATTTAAAAATTCATAAATGGGTTTACATCTCATGTAGTTTGTATTGACATAGACTTCTGCAGCTTGAAAATCACTAGTTACTTTTTCAAATATTTCATTTTTGATATTTTAATATTCAATGCTATCAGTAATGATACCTTGGACATCAGCTATGCAATCCTTATTTTCTTTTTATTCAGATAGCAATTCTCCTAATTTAGTGTTCTTTATGTATCCAATCATACTTTAATGAGATATTACTCTAGCAGTATTTCTCATAACCACAATCATGTCATCTAATAAGCATTTCAGATGTTCTGAGATTTCTTTTTCGTCAGGTGTGAATATTTAAACATCAAAATTCACTGCTGTATTGAACAATCCATTTTTACGTTCCTTTTTCATTTCCTCTAATAACATGCTCATAGATGTCTAATTGATAGACACAAGTGTTTCGACTGTCATATAATCGACCAATTTGATGAACAAATGTAATCTGCCTTTGTCTTTTTCTGCCAATTGTAAAAGTAAGGCATTTTCCTCCTTTTCCTTCCTCTCCTCATTCATAGGTTTCTATTTGACTTATTATCCAAATCTGGCTTCTTCATTTTCTTATTAATTGTTTTGGTTTGTTCTATCAATAACTTCTTTACAGACAGTGTCTAATTTTTATAAGACTTTGTCAATCACAGAATCATAATGCTTAGAGGCATCTTGATCTGGCTTTCTTTTGATCTCCTTTGAAGAAATCATCAGCTTCCCAAGTTTTATTGGCTTATTGAATGCTGTTGCTTAGGGTTTTCTGGAGTTGTAACTCATACATCATTTGATTGATGTCCATCAAGTGCTGAGCAAAGGCTGGCTTTGGCTACAAAGGATTCATGTATCAACCTTTTTCTGGTCTTACTAAATAGATTGTATCTGACGTTGGATTTCCAAATATTAAAGATTTTGGCTAGAATTATATAAAGTTATTACTTATGGCATAATTTTTGAAAAATTAAATATTGGTGATAATATTGAACATAGTACTCTCATGCATCCAATCAGAAAGTGAGATGACTTCAGTGCTAGAATCACCTTGCATTCTCTTCTTCCCTTTATCAGTATAAACATGGACAATTCCATGGGCAGATATGGTATAATATTCTCTTAATGTCTATTCCTTTTGGTTTTCCCTTGTTTTGACAACAATCAGGTCATAAGGTCGGAAGGGTTCTTTACTTTTATTGAATTCCATAGGCAACTCAAGTTCAGCGCCCTCAGTGTTATTTTGACGTCTCAATTTGTCTTTCTTATTGTAAGCTTCGCATTAGAGTTCAATGAATCCAGCCTTGCTCACACAATTAATGAATTTAATTGGAGTAGTGTTTCCGTACTTGGCAAAAAATTTGATGGCATCTTCCCCAGTTTAAATTAATTTCTAATATTAATGGAAGACAGTAGCATCTATGTAATTGGCTTTTTGTATTTTAGATACTTGCACCTTCTCCTTAAATAATCCCTTCACCATTCCTGTATATGTGACATTGTCTGGCTAAGCCTAATTTTATTATCCAATCAATACTTGCTCCTACCTCTCTATTGGCTCCTCTTGTGACTGTTCTATGGGCCCTGCTTATTAGATAGGCTGTTCCTCATTCTTAGCTAGACTGTACTCGCTCAATAATTCTCTCTATTTTATTTGAAAACTTCCATACCTCTGGATCAAAGCGATATAACTGTTTGTACACCTCTTCATTATTTGAAAGTGAATCTACGTTGTTAATAAGCTTGATACTTGTAGCAAATTGATTCTTCTTCTTTCCAATGACCAGGCGTTTCTCCTCTCTCCTTCGCACCAGATCCTTATAATCAATTTGATCTTATCTGAAATTCATAAAATAATTAATTAAAAAATCAAGTCATTCATTCAATATTTCAAAATGCACTTAGTAAATTCTCTCTGTAATTTTTAAGAATAAACCTAGAGGACCTAATAAAAGATTTAGCATCCAACTTCCTCCCTTGAATTAGCAGATCTGCCAATTATTCAACCTCATCCACATACCCCACATACTAATTCTGTTTCATTAGCTTAAAGAATATTTACAAATGAGACACATTTCTCCTGAACTTTACCAGACGATCTTAGTCATGCGACGAAAGCAGACCCTACATGTAATCGTCATTTAAATATATTGCAGCTGTCTACATGTTTTTCTAAATAGTATAAGTTTCATTTAATTAAAGTAACTCTTCATTAGCTACTCAAATTAGTTATCCAACTCTATTTCAACATCAGGCTATTAAACACTGATATCTTGATTCAGATTGTGGAAGTATTGGATATTATGAAACATTCTGTTCCTCATTTTATTCCTCACTATATTCCCATTTTACGAATTTCTCAATTCTTAATTTTAAAGAAGAGTCCAAAGATTAAGGTTTACCTTAGGAACATCAAACTTTATTTTAAGAGCCATCAACTCAGATTCTGCCCATAGTTTTAATCCAATAAATTAATGAGGCATTCTATTCTAACCAAAATACGATGATATATATCGAATGATATCAATGCATTTCTATTCTAGTTGCTTCAACTCAATATAATTTAATTATTATATTTCTTCTGATTTCACCTATTTCATTTAATGCCATATCTCTTGTCTTTATGATTATATCTTAGACAATAAAAATTCCTTTTCTTATATTCCTTATAATAATTGATAAAGCTCAATTATCTTCTTATTATCCTCTTTTAATTATGTTATTTCAAATTGTAAAATATTCTTCTACTCCTCACACACTTGACTAATGATTGCAGCTTTATTGATACGTCTCTATATTAACTATTCAAGTCTTGAATTTTCCCCTTATAATTATAAATATTCATCATAAATTTCTTAGTTCTCAGATCTATAATTATTATGTGGAAGTTTTATCCTTTATAATATAATCCTTGCTTTATTAATACTAAGCTACATCTTTGTAACCATGGCTGGGATCTCATTGAAGAGTTCTATTATCTTTTTAACTTCTATTTCCAAAGATCTATGTGCTTTGTTTAACTCTATATGATTTTAATTAGTCTTATCTGCCAATGATTTGATAATCAATCTCAGATGTTTGACTAGGTGTCTTAATTCTACCCCAAAATTGTCTAAGTCTTTGATGAAGTTTGGGATAGAATTAAAAAATATCAATTCTTCGATTTCTTCGTTCATGATATCATCAATTAATAATTCATGCATACTTCCACTCCAGCCACATCATGGAAAATGTAGATTAGTATTTATTCTTCGAATAAGTCATAAGAATGATCCAATTCTGCCCTTAATTAATTTAATTAATCTGTAAAAGAAGTCTCTTATAAGGCACAATCCTCAACATGTTCTGTAAGCATTAATACTTCAAACCTTTCCCTACGTATTTGATATATCTTTTGTCTTAATATTTCAAATCCCTCTCCTATTGAACCCATTCATGTTTCTTGAGTTACTCAAGACTTTGATGAGCCAAATCTCCTACTTAATTGTCTAAATGATATTGTAACTCCAATTATAATTCATTCAAACGCTGCACTATTTAATATTTCTCAATCAACATTGCGATTAGGGATTTGGCAGCATAATACTTCTGCTAAATCTTAGTAGTTAGGAATTTAAAGTATCTATAAAAATTCATATATTTAGTAGTATCATCCTCTCAGTTCTAACTATACTCTTCATTTTATTCAAATCCCAATTGATATAATCCATAAAGTAGGGAATTAAAATGGGGGTTTCAACAAACAGCTACGAATATGATATAATAGATATGATATAATATCTAGTTATTATGGCATTTGAATTGGTTATAGAGGATTGTAGTTTTCTTGATGATGCTACTAAATTGATTTATCTGGTGATTAATCAAGCAAATCAATTTCAGCTTAAGAGTATTCAGCAGGTTCATTAAAGTATTGAATTGATTGGTTTATTGTATCTCTTGGAATGAATTTAGTCTTGATAGGTTCAAACAACTAAATTCAGATGATTGCTATACCTTTACTAATGGAGTCATATTGTAAGGGATTATCAGTTTACTCCTGGATTCAGGCAGCACTGTTGATTTTTTAACGAATGGCTATTCGGTAGATATGTATGACTAATTACTGCTTGGAAGAACCATAATGTAAGAAGATGCATTTTATTTTGGTAACATAATTATTATTATAATACCGTTTATATAATTACAGATCTGAGAAAACAAACTATCAATAATCTTGACTTTCCTTTTGCAAATAAGTAAACCCTTCAAAGATCTTTAGAGTTCCTTTATTTTAAGGTGTTTATGGAACTTTTTCCCTAAACATTTTTAGATCGATGTAATCTGAATTCACTATTGTAATGGGTGCCTATATCTACAATTCCTTCATCTTTTATAGATCTAATTCAAGAAAATATGCATGATTTAATATTTATTCAGCTCCTTTTCTTCCTAGTCTTTTTTTGGGCTTATTTCATCATAAATATCATACATCCACCTCAAGGAGCCTTGTCAATAAATCTCTTGCATCTTAAGGACACTATTCCGAAAAAGGAACCAATCTAATACTTCTATTTTAAATCATTAATCTTTTGTTTTTACTGTAAAAAGGAGGCATTCCAAAATACATCTCGTAGATTAGACAACCTAAACTATAGAAATCACACGCAAATGAATATCCTTCATTGCCTAATACTTCTGGAGCCAAATAATCTATTGTTCCACAGCATGTATCAGCCTTGTCATTGAAATCATCAAGAATCTTAGAGAGCCCAAAATCAGATAATTTGATATGTCCAGATTGACTCAAGAGAATGTTCTCTGGTTTGAGATCTCTGTATATTACATTCAAAGAATGCAAATGCTATAATCCAAACAGTATTTCAGCAGCGTAAAACCTAATAAACTTATCAGGAAATGTAGGCTATGATTTGATATGATAATATAAGTCCCCTCCTTCCATATAATCCACTATAAAATACAACCGAGCATGATTTTAAAATGCATACCTGAGTCTAGACATTTATATAAGAGCATTACTTAACAACAAAATTGGAATTAGACTTCTCCAATATTTTTCTTTCATCCAAAACATGTCTAATTTGAGATTCCTTTCTAATATTCTTCTTCTCTAATATCTTCATCGCATAAAACTTCTATTTCCCATTTTTATCGTATTCAACTAACATGACTCTTCCATACGCCCCTTTTCCAAGTAACTTTAATTTCTTAAAATCAGATAATTATGCCAATTATTTTGTTTCCCTCCCTTAGATACTTATAGCAGTTGCGTGGAGATCATCTTCATCAAATTTCAGTTTAACTATATCGTTTTAGACGAATTCTTCTCGAAAACAAACATTTCCCATAAATTTGAAAAAAATATTAAATGTAAAAAATTGAGATATTATGTAATGTTAACTTTACATAATATTTATATACTGATTTAGTTGAGAGCATTTATTATCATATCCAAGGAAACCAAAATATAAAGTGGCTTATCAAGTAAACAAGACATCAACTAGATTACAAACCATATTGTATCCCTCTTATATTTTTTGTTGTTAGTTTTAATATAATAAATTGATAGATAAATAATTTTCGGTAATTAATCCTGTTTCAGAGAGTTATTTAGGTATCTAAGATAGATTATTATAAGTTTTTTGTAACTGTCTTCAAAAGAATGAATAGAGTAGTCAAAGGATATACAGGTATTTCTTAGGAGAACTCTTCCGATGCCTTAGAACATCAAGATATCATGTAAAAGTAAATGATTTCTAATCCTCCGAATATTTACTTATCAAAGAATTGAAATAATTTTATGAGGAGTAAATTGATTTTATTGAGGATTTATTATTTCTTAAGGAATAAGCGGCTAACTTATAGATTTGAATAATTGATATTAATCTCTTATTTTTATATATATTAATTTTACATCAATATTTACGCTCTGTCCTTAAAAGCAATTTATCTAGAGTGGCATCACTATATTAAAAATAACATTCATCAGCAGATTTTTAATCCTTAAAAAAAGCTTTTAGAATAATCTGATTATATTATTAAATTATACTCTCGTCTCAGCCTCATTTTCTTATATGTTATTTGCTACAATATGAAGTTTTACTAATTCACCACATCTTGACTTTATATCGCTCTAAAATTAACCAATCTATTACAATTAGATCTGAAATCTAGTTCTTAGCTAAAAAATTATAGATGTCGATTTCGTATAATTCCGGAGTATTTCCATTATTCTATTATTATTATTTCCATTCTTTTTATCTTGGTCGATCTCTGTCTCTATTTCGATTTTAAAAAGAATTATTCTATCTTCTGAATTTCCTTATGGGTTTTCTTGTATTTCCTGTTTTAGTTTGTTGTCTGGATTATCTATTCTTTGGAGTACTTTACTCTAAATTTATTTCCTCTATTTCTGACATAAAATATAAATAATTTAAATTTTAATGATTTTTTTGATTCATTAAGAAGTTCTTAAAGCGAATGAAGATCAATACTAAAATGAATATCAAAAGATTTATATAATAAATAATTCAAGGCACATTTATTTATATATTTTCAGTTTAAATTGATTTCTCACTTATCCTGCAAACCTCATCGTAAATATGTAAATAACTGGATCCTTACAACGCATAGATTGGCAGACAGTGCTAACTTCATCCACATTAGAAAATCTTGGAAAAACTGCAATCAGTCATTTACTTTTTATTTAATGCTTATTTTTGATATTTTATTAAAAAATAACTGATATTAGCTTTTTAATTTGTGACCATTGTCAATCATCATAAAATGTTAAAAGACTTACATCAACATTATGAGATTATGTATTATTTGAATTGAAAGATATTATCTATTAATTCAGAAATTAATTTGATGACCCTTCTGATAACATAATCTGGTGCAAACCTAATTCTTTAATAGATAAGTTATTCATAAGGAGAATTTTAGTATAATTATTTTTAATTTAAATGCCTAAGTTGTGTGAAAAAATTAATCAATTCTTAAGATAACATGTTGTGGAGAAATATCTTCCATTAACATCTCTTGTCTGGAGTACTAAAATCACTCCAATATCAAATTAAAGCCTGGTTATGGATAATTCAACAATCTATATCAAAGTGCACCAGTATTCATTTTTATTAAGCTAGACATTATTTAAGGGAAATGGCCAGATAATAAATAATTAACAGATAAAATTAAGAAATTACCTAAGTTTAAGAAGGAGGACTCACAGATTTTAGTAAATTTCATACTTATTATCATAGTTTAAAAGAATAATCAATAACGAATAATTGTCATCCCACAATTTGAAAGGGAATTAAGTGAATCAAATTGCACCACTTAAATACACGCATTACAGCTGATAAATTAAAAGGAATTAGAAACTACTTACTTTAGCCTAGAGGACATTGAAACAACATATAGTTCCTATCCAGAGGAATTAAATTACAGTTTCATTGATGAAAGTATAATCTAAACACAATGAATGATTAACATTAAATAATGATAAAACATAATTCTTTTTATTAAAATTATAGAATTATACTACAAAACAAGTAAAAAAATAAAACGAACTAAAAATAATCAATAGTCATATGAATTTTACACAATCTATCCATATGCTTCAACAGGAATTATACAATTAAAAATATTAGATTTAACAAATAACAATCTAAGATTTTAATTCATAAATTTATCAAAAATAATGGAATCACTACTTATTTAGATATAATATTCTTATTCCATTCACCAGTTCGCAAGTTTCTGAAATATCCTCTTAATACAATGTTAATTTTTTAAATTTGCTATTAAAGGAGAAAAAGTCGAGTGGATTTTTTTTGTTTTGTTTATTTCTGATAGAAACAGTTTATTTAGTGCTAATTGGACTAATGCTAGCTCTAGTTTTAATTGCTTTCACTGATTTTGTTTTACAAATAGGCTCATAAATACAGGGTTAATTTGAATTATACGCACTCTCTTCTATTACCTTATTCTTAAACTAAAAAAACATTTCAATTTATTCACAAATATTATTGAAAGGTAATATTTTAACATGCCCTTCCTCTAAAAATTGTTGAATCTTTGATTTTTGTTTGATAACTTTCTGTACTTGCTGTTAAATTTCTGGTTATATTTTTTTTTGATTCTCTTTTTCACTTTTTTTAACTTATTTTTTTACTTTAGTTGTAATATTTTCTTCTTAAATTTTAGTTGAATTTTTTTAGTTTTGAATTGTTTTCAATTTATTAGATTAAGCCAATATCTTATTTTTTCTTTCTAATCTCTTTTACCCTCTCACGTATTCATCAATGCTTTCTAAACAAATTTTTAATTGTTCCTTATTCATTGAAATAAATTAATAAATATAGTTCAATTTTTAATCAGGATTTTTAGTTCATAAATTTAATTAAATGGGTGATATAGTCCCGAATCAGCTGTTTGTCGCAGGGTACAGTCGTAGCAAAGTATCTGGCGATAAGGATGTAAAGGATATCTTCAAAAAGTATGGAACGATTAAAGAAGTGGCATATAAGGGATCTTACTCTTTTGTAGTATGAAGTTGATTCAAATTTAAGACTTTTAGTAGTGAGCAAGAAGCATTGGATGCCTTGAAGGCTACCAATGGCCAAACCTATAATGGATAGAAATTAAAAGTCGATGTTGTTGACAACAGGAAGGGAAGAAAGAGCGGGCCAAATGACGAAGATAAATGTTTCAAATGCAGTAAAGGTGGCCATTGGTAAGTAAATTCGGTATATTCTTTAGGGCTCGTTAATTGGTCCAAATGGAAGATCACCAAGAAGAAGTCGAAGAAGATCCAATTCACGTTCAAAGTATGCAATGCTATTTAAATTAGGAGGCGTCATAGAAGATCTGATTCCAGATCATACTCGTCACACTCATCATCTAGATCTAGAAGAAGAAGATATCAAAACAGAAGAAAGAGACACAGCAGAAGTCCAAGAAGAGATGGAAGACAAAAAAAGCGAAGTATTAGTCCTAGACGATCACCCTCAGATTCAGGATCATCCAAAAGACAAAATTCAATATCTTGATAAAAAGTGGGAAAACCAATTTATTACAAAAAGAATATATAAATTATTTGAATATATTTCATTCAACTCTTTCTCATAAATAATAAAAATTATGAAAAAAAGAACTCTTTCGACACAGCTAGGAGGAAAAAAAAGCTAAAATAGTTAAAAATTGCATTTCTGTTAAAATTTATAGTTATCAAGCTCTAAAAATTATATAACATTTGAGAGATATTTTAAAGGAGAATAATTTGGATTTTAAATTCTCCACAGTTTATTCATATAGAATCCAAAACTTAGAATTCAATATAGGTTATGCTCATAGAACTCCTTTATTTATAATAATAATTATTAATAATATTTTCACTACTTTATTAGATAAATTTAATAACCATTAAATTATTTGAATCAAACGAAAAAATCTTCGCTAAGCTTATTTAGTTAGAGAGTACCTATTATTATTTTATATTCTTTCTAAATTACAAAGTTTTATGAATTATATTAAAAGCTTTTTATTAAAAATGGTTCTTTAAAAATATTGATTTCAATCATCTCATATCAACTATACATAATAAAATATATCTATATAAAATGAATAATTATAATCTATTATCAATATATGTTTCTCAAAATACTAATTTAATAATTCTTCTCGCCTTAGTTTAAATTAATTATATTATACTTATTCTTGGATCCTATAAATTTATTGACCTTTTATATGCCATTTTATTACCATACAATAATTAAAATTTGAAAAGATTTTAAATTAGAGTAATTACCAAAAATAAATATCACATATGTTAAATCAATAGAGATGTTTATTTAACTTTTTATTTTATATTTATTACAACTTCGATTAAACTTTCTCTGGATTTTCTTTTGATTCTAAAAGTATCCAAGAGAGTTCAATTTTTAATAGAAAAATCAAATTAATAAAGCTATCCTCCAGAATTAATTTATTTTCAAAGGCACATTTTGACATTGGAAATTTACTATTCTTTTAAACTTTTAAAACATAATTTATTATGAATTGGCTTTTGTATGAAGCTAAGGTTAATTTAAATGAATAATTGCCCTAAGGAAGCAGAGTAATTTATTATCATTTATTATTTAAAATATAATATTTTATGAGTGAGATCAATAGCACGAAGTTAGCAATTTTTATGGAAAATCCGTTAAAGAAATAGCATTTGAATTAAAATAAGAATGAATTAGAGGTCATATTAAGTCCTCCTCAATATAATAAAAGACAACTGTAATTCTGCAAAAGGATTGAAGAACTCGACTTAAGCAACTAAGGTTTAATGGAGATAAAATAAGAAAAAATCAATAATATATGGATCATTAAATTAGATTTGTCTCATAATTGCATACAATAATATGGCAATGAATTTAAGATATTATAAAATTTAAGAATATTAGACATATCAAATAATTATGTTAAAATTTTACCTTTAAATGTAATGTTTATGATTTGATTTTAGTTTAACAAATTTCATCCCCAATTATAGAATTTATACATCTCACATAATAATCTCAGTACTTTGCCTTAAATGCCAGATGAACTAATTTAATTAAATATTGAATATAATCAGATACACTAATTCCCATAGAATCTGTAAAATTCAATCTAAATTTTGCTACTTTCAGGAAACCCAATCTATGAATTAAAATATTTATCTGAATTAAAAGAGTTCAGTATTGACTGGGTAATTTATTTGGGATGGAGCGAAAGAATCAAAGGGAATTAATTGTAATAATTTCAGAATTGGATGTCGAAAGAGAATCAAGCAACATTCTAGAATATGATAAAACATTTCTTAGGCGAATAGTTTAATTATAAAAATTCTGATTAGAATGGAAACACAATTCTACATTAGGCAGCTCTAAAACAACATTTAGGGGTTATTTTGGGTTGTAGTAGTGTTATTGATAAAAATTCATTAAATAACCAGAAACAATCTCCAATCTAACTAGCGTTGTTTTCAGATAAATATCAAAGTGTTAAATGTTTATTATCTTTAAACGTTAATCTAAATTCAGTAAAAATATCTTTATTCTAGCAAAATTTAGTGATAATATCTCTGATTAAATAACAAATAAATTTGATGCAAGGATTTTTATAACATGGAACAGATCCAAATGAATAGGACAAAGAAGGAAATACAGCCTTACATTATTTGATCAACAAGTGGCCAACTTTTTAATTTCCTGAAAAATATGCTGCTCTTCTTCTATAATAAGGGTATTGTCTTTGTATATTTAATAGTGCATGCCCTCTTATATTAAATAAATAAGGGCTCAGTCCATTACATATAGGAGTGAAATGTGGTTATATTTAAGCGGTTTAATTTGCATTAGAATATAAAGGATAACTTGAAATTTGTGATAGATGTTCGCATCCTTTTGATATTACTTAAGTTACAGGTAAAGAAAAGTTTAGCGTTTTTGATATTTGCATGCAATCAAATCAAGTCTAAATGTGTTTTTCCCTTTTACGATATTGTTAATATTATATCAGATGCAAACCTATAACTTATTGTTGTTTATGGAAACTTATTGTAAAACACAATAGACATATTTTTGTTGAATATTTTTAAAAGTCTGGAAATACGTTAAATTAATCCGGAGAATAATTGTAAGAACGAAAAAGCAAACATGCTTGTTGTTTAAATTTAACAAAGTAATTGAATGCTTCGTTTATGAAAATTAATTTACCTAATTAGTTTACGATGAGTAGATAGAGAAAAGACTATTTTTCAATCTAGGATGCACCTTTACTTAAGGAAGGAGATAATGATCATATCGAATATTTAGACAGTTCAATTGATTCCCATGAGGAAACTAAAGGATTATAGCCTGTTAATTGGAGTAGATATGACTGCAATAACGAAATGAATGCTCCAAAACTATGCATATAATCTAATACTATCACTGAAAAAGAAAGCCGCAGAGAAAATTCATAAATTAGGCAGATAGCAGAAGCCTACTACAAGTATATATTTAATCATTATCAATTAAAAGTGAATATATATTAAATGATAATTTATTAAAAAAGGAAGAAATTTTAATAATTTTACTCAAATTAAATTTCCAGATTAATGTAGTGAATTAATTGAGAGATCAATCGATTTAAGAGATATTTATCCAAATTGTTGAAGACTATTCCTTCTAATGTGAGATTCTCTAAGAACAACAAAGTTCAATAAAATAAGAATCATTTTTTTATAAGGATTTAGAAAGTATAGACTAGGGTGAATCAACCTGTTAGATTACTTTAATGCCATCATCTATAAACTATTTAAAATAAAGATTTGATTAATGGACATTAGAATATTTACTAAGGTTTACTACTAAATTTAGTGAACATTCTAAACTTTCTGAAATTCACTAATTTGAATTATTTTAATTATGAATTATTTTAATACTAAATTATTTTTATATGTAGAAGGTAGAAGCACCCAGAATTAAGCCATCTCCTATTGCTGATGCAAAATTATAGACTAAAATATTAGATCTTCTTCGTTAGGCATTAAATTATAAGCAATTAAAAAAAGGAGCTAATGAGGTCTTAAAAAAGTATCATCCTACATTTAACTAGTCTTGATAAAGGAATATGCGAATTGGTGATTTTGGCAGCTGATTGTGATCCTATAGAAATAGTAGCAAATATACCAATTAAATGCGAAGAGAAGGTAATTAAGGAATATAAATTAGAATGTCTCATATTGTTTTGTCTCAACCTAGGCAAGTTTAGGTCGAGCTTGTGGTATTAGCAGACCTGTTGTTGCTGCATCAATTGTATAAAGTGAAGGCTCTTAATTGAAAACATAGATTATTGAAATGAAAGACTTAATTGATTAATTATTTATTTGAAATAATATTTTTTAAGTTGCATGGTTTATTCTTATTATTTAGAGATTGTGCTATTTCTATTTAGCTAAGAATTAATAATTGTGTTAGAATAAGAAATTTGTTACTTTTACTATGAAATTAATAAATGATAATTAATATTAAAACAAATGGATTATAATTTTAATTAATATTACTCTTTAGTATCATTATTGGAAGGGTCTTTCTATTTATTGATTTGTAAGATGAACTTTATTATAAGTAAAATTATATTTATTATTAGTAATTGTAATATGAATTATATTAGAAAATAATCGATTATCCAATCATATATAAAATAGATAATCTCAGATTATTTAACATCCGAAAATAGCTCAGTTGGTAGAGCGAGGGACTGTAGTGTTAATCCAGTTATCCCCAGGTCGGTGGTTCAAATCCGCCTTTTCGGAGTTTTTTTTTTATTTTGTAATTAATTTATAATTATAATAATTTAAAACGACTTTAAAAAAAATCTAGTTATTTGGCACAGATCTAGTTTGTGATAATCTAATTAAAGTTTAACTGATTTCATTAAATTTATTATTGAGAGGTAAACAATTTAGATACTCAATATGATTTTGGAAAAAATTAATCTGTAGTAATTCAATAAATAAAATGTATAATAAATTGTTTTTAGCAGATTATGATAATTAATTTAAACTATGCTCATAAATTATATAAATATCAATATAAGTCAAATAATCGATTTTTTTTAAATTAATTCGATTTCTCCATGACTGTCATAAAAAATTTTAAGAAATAATTATAGGCTTGCTTTCCATTATATCACTTTTAGGTATTAACCAAATTTAGGTAAAGATTATCTAAATATTTTCAAATTTATCATTATTAAATAAGAACCATTAATATAAATATCAAGTATCTTTATTGAAAAATGGTAAGAACTCAGCCTGCCTTTTTTGGATTTCTTATTATCTTTCAGGGCTTTCTGATGCAAACGATGGATTTGGGCATGAATCACCTTCTAGGATGTTAGGGTTATTAAAAATGTATTCAATAGCTTATAAAATTTCAATTTCTCTTATTCTACTTTCATCATCTATTTTACATTTCATTTGCCCCCAAAATGTAAATAAATGAACACACAAATAATGATCTATGAGATATTTAATCTTATCATACCTCCATAAATGCATGGATGCGTTAGTACTTCAGCTCCTTTGTCTGTAATTACTGGATCCAAATAGAAACTTGGACCACCCTTTGGATAATCTGGTTGGAACTTTAAAACACCTGTTATTACCAAATACTACCAATACCTTTAATAGATCTACCCTCAAAATTTTTTTAACCCATAAATTCAAATGTCCAACATTAGAAAATTACTTCGCAATCCGTCGTAACAGGATATACCTTATATTAAAAATCTTCTGCCATTATATCAAAATAAACTTTAGATAAAAGTTATTCAAAATAACCCTATCTCTGTAATTATTAATCAATATTTACCTAAAGATTGATTTCAACACCTAAATGAAAATTTTACTTTTTATTCTATAGATCTGCATTAGCTAAATACTAATATTCATAAAGCCTTACCTTTTTTATTTCTAAATTACATTCGGATATCCATCATTGAATATATTTTATAGAAAATCTTATATTATTATTAATATCAACAGGATTATAAAAGTAATAGAAATTAAAAGAAATTCTTATATAATAGATTCAAATAAATTATTGAACAATTCAAATAAATTAATTAAATATAAAGTAAATTTTATAGGATTTATAAAATTTCACATCCAAAGAGAATTTTTACCAAATCGTAGATAAAAACTGTTAATTTATTTATCAAATATGAAAATGAAATTTATAAACAAATCAATGATTACCTATTATCAAAATCTTTTTGCTCGTTCTCTAGCTCCTTTTAAAATGTCTGGGGTTTAACATCTTTGATAATTGAAGACCTTAGGAAGTGAGTTCCATTAAATCCTATCATTAACTGCATTCAAATATTCTTAAAGTTGATATGATTCGCTTTTTTGGTTTTTTTCTATAATTTTTACTTAATTCTGTATTATGTATATGAAATTTACATGAATTCGTTAAATTTGAGATACTCTGGATGCTGACTACGCCTTCATGTTTCCTATCCAGTTTCTGAAGGGGGATTCTCTGGAAATATAGCCTTCAAATTTAAGAGTTTGACAAGTTGGTTTTGGATGTGAATGGAAATGATATGAATTAATCCTTTTAGGAGATTGTTTGAGTTTTCTTACAGGAGTTGAATAACCTTTCTAAGAGTATTTGGGCATCGCAACATCATAATAATCAACTGCACACTTGGCATAATATATAATGTACATATTTTAGTTGTTGATTGAAGTATCCATAAGATTAATCTCTACTGGATTATAAATCAAATGAATTGTTATGGGAATTTCTTCTTTTTGTAAAGTACATGGTTTGTTTTTTCGTATCGTATTTATGATCATTAAATTTAAAATGCCTGGTTAATACGGAATCTAACATTTATGAATAATATATAGATTTATGTTTATATATTTTATATAAAATAGTCATTCCGATTTTTGATCTTTAACTTTTTTTCTAGGGGATTAAGATTGGCCACTTAAAACATCCAATTGACAATCAAATTACTCAACAATGTGTTCTTGTTATTTAAGTTATTTTTTCTAAAAATAATACTGAAATTATTCCTATTCGCACTCTTATACAGAAGCTTCTTAGATTTGTGGTTTTAGTTATTTTTGTTTATGTTTTTCATTTTTTTTAGATACTACTTATGGTTTAAATTAGACATCTTTTTCATAATTTTCTTCATAGAATTTTAGAATTGAATCAAAAATATCGAATAGATTTGTCAATAAAAATTCTAGAGGAGAAAGAATCTATTCTTAATACAAGCGTTTCTACAATTTATCAATTTTTTTAATGTGTTTGGAGAGAACCTTTAAAGATTTTCTACCACAAAGTTCATCTTTTTTTTCTAAAATTTTGATTTATTTATAGATAACTAAAACAGGCTTAATTTTGGATTTTATCTCTAACCATTTGGATACATAAGTATAATTTTCAGCATTTTTTTCGATTTCGTTTTATAAGAATTCTATAATTCTATTATTAGAATATTTGTTTTCTTTCATGTTAATGTAATGATCAATTATGCTTTAAAAATCCTTCTTGAAATAAGTGTCCAAAAGTCTCATAGTCAGATTGATGACCTCGAATAGATATTGATATTTTTTTTTGAGGCTTGGATTAATATCTAGTGTGGGAGGATCTAGTAAATAAAATGAAAAAATACTTTATTTAAACACTAAGCATCCATCTTAGAAACTGATCTGCACAGGGTTTACATTGATAAAAAAGATTTGTTTGTAAAGTGATGAATCCTATCTTGAATCTTAAATGTGTTTATCATATTTGATAATTTATTCTAACTAAGCCTAGTAATGACCATTCACAAAATTTGAGATTTTGCATAGTCCAGCATTAGTTAAGACTTGGACTATTTAAATTGCATATAAATTATCAGCAATATATTTTGGATTTTCTTTGATTAGCGAGTTAGAAAACTCTTTAAGTCTTTTTTTCCTTTAAGAATTTTGATCGGGAGGATCAACAGCAGGTGGGTTCTAATTTTAAACTCCTAGTATATTAATTGCATTGGTAGTCCAAAACTATTGATGAATGTGACTGTTTTCGTTAATATCATCTACAAACTCTTCCTCCTCTTCTTAAATAAATAGCATTTTTATATTTATATATTTTTTTATTTGCAAATAAAGATTTAATGTCTAGTGAGAAAGGCGAAGGAACAGATCCAAAATTAAGAAATGGTCCAGTCGTAGAAAGAGAATGCACTGATATTTTTTGTTTATTGCTTTTTATTGTCTTCACTTTTGGCATGTTCTACATAAGTGGCTATGCTTTCAAAAACGGGGATCCCCATAGAATCGCCTAACCGTATGATCCTGATCGTAAAATTTCAATTAATATTAAGATCGGGCGTGCGGAGTTGATGAAGATGTAGCTGATTATCCCTACATTTATTTTGCTAACCCAACAAATCCAAAGTATCTTTATGTGACAACCTGTGTATCTGAATGTCCATGTAAGTTTTATAATCTAGTCTGTAGAAGAGGAGAGCGAGCCTGCACCAACAGCCAGACATACTAAAATATCTCATCTGGAAGAAGCTAAGACAAACTCAAAATTACCAAGCGAATTAAAGTGTTAACCAAATTCCATTGTTAAGAGTTGTAAATAAAATATGTTGAGTACTAATCCAGAAGAGGTTGTAGTAATTTACAATACTGAATTATGTACATAAATAAAATTTATTTAAGTTATGAAAACTGTATGCTTGCCAACAACCAAATAATATTATGAAACAGTAAAAGATAAAATTGACGTTGAAACTATGGAAAAAGTATCGAATGATATGATCACAACCAAATGGCTTATATTTGGTTCCATTGGTATTTCTTTAGTACTTGGATTTATATTTTTGTTCCTTATCGAAACTTTAGCTGGATGTGTTATTTGGACACTGCTCTTTTTGCTTTTCAGTGTATTAATAGCTGGAGGAGTCTACACTACTGGTTACTACTATGCATTGACTGATCCTTCAAAATTACCAGCTTCAGCTTAGGCTGAAATTGATGCCCAAACTCTGTAAGAATAAGCTTAAGCAAATAACGTTAATCCTAAAAACTATCTATATATTGGAATTACATTATTTTCCTTAGCTGGATTGATATTACTAGTTGTTTGCTGTATGTATTCGAGAATTCGGCTTGCGATTGCTATACTTGAAGTATTAATTAACATAATAATTTATAGACTGCATGCGACTACGTTTAAGCCAATTTTTCAGTTGTTATCCTTCCATTTGTAACATTTTTCATTATGCTTCTTTACTTCATCTATTGGTTTGTTGTTGCTTTGTACTTATATAGTTCTGGAGAAGTTACAAATAAGCCCAAACAATTACCTTTTGGATAGTTTTCATTTACTTAAAATCAAAAAATATTTGCCAACCTTCACCTATTTGGTTTACTATGGAATTCTTCCTTTATCATAGCATCAGTTGAATTCATAATTGCTGGATCTGTCTGCATTTGGTATTTCTAATAAGGACCAAGAGCATAAGAAGGCGGTCCTATTCCTTTACCAACTGCTATTGGAAGATTCTTTAGATATCATTTAGGAACAGTTGCTTTTGGATCATTAATTCTAGCTATAATTGAATTCATTAGAATTTGGTTAGCTTTCCTTTATAAATAATAAGAAGAATTAATTAAGAAAAACAAGTTCTTTGAATACTTATTTAAATGCTTGATGTGTTGTATGTGGTGTTTTGAGAAATGTGTTCAATATATCAACAAAAATGCCTATGTAGTTAGTAACATGACAGGCAAAGGTTTCTTCCATTCAGCCAAAGAAGCAGTTTTCTTGATTGCAAGAAATCCTCTTAGATTCGCAACAGTTGGAGGATTTGGAGAAATATTTATTGCTTTGGGAAGAGGTTTTATTGCCTTGTTAACTGGTCTATTTTGCTATTTTATTATAACTAGAACTGAAAAGTTCAAATATAATGTTACTTATCCAGAAGCACCTGCACTCTTATGTGGTGCCATAGGTTTAGTGGTTGGATCATTATTCATGTCAATCTATGGAGTCGCTTGTGATGCAATACTGATTGTCTTCGTAATGGATGAGGAAATGGAGAAACAAAATGGAAAAGGAGTTGCTTTGTGTTGTCCACCAAAATTAGAGAAGTTCTTGGAAGATCAATGATATTATAACAAGAAAATTACAATATCATATCACATTATTTACTTAAGTTTTGTGTATATATATAATTACATATTTACTTTGTTTTTCAGTCATTTTATTCAGAATGAACATATAATAAATAATTGAAATCTATGTAACAAATAAAAACCAACATTATTATCTCAATCGAAGTTCTCATCACATTTTAGTCAGTAACTTTAGAGGATAAATTAGACTTTTCCAATTTATCATTCTTAATCATAAAAAGTTTAATATATATTTAAGTATTAGGTTTATTTATTAAAGATGATTAAACACAATGTGAAACTAAAATCTCCCAAATAAGATGTTGTCCAAACATATGCTTCTCCAAAATCAACATTCTACATCACCAGAAAATTAGTTTAAACTAACAGCGATAGGTCAATCAAGTTACTTAATTACAAAAAGCTAGACATCTAAAAAATACAGAATTAATAAACTTATTCCGAATCAAGAGCTTAAACTACTGTTGATTACAGAAGTCTGTCAACAATTCCAACTCACACAAAGGGATAATTATCTCAAAATATTGAGTAATAATCATATGGGATTAATACAGAAAGGCAATAATCGGCTAGCATACTATCTTCAGAACTTATCACTAATCGTTTACCAAAAACAAATAGAGTTGTATCGCTTTATTAACTTACAACTTTAAATCCTTAGCCATTTAAAAATGAATTAGTAAATGATGTGTAAGGATTGAGTCCTTTTTAATACAGATCGAAGACTAGGATCAATTCAATGATGGGGGAATTAATAAAGTTGAATCAAATTGAAGAGGAAATGGTAGATAATACTCCCATTCAATTTAAACAAGGTGGTAATATCAGAAAATCTATTTTTATGACTACTAATTATTCAACTTATTAAAAAATGTCAAAAGTTAAAATAAGAAATAAATAATAAAATAATTAAAAATAATAAATATTTCTCTCCAAAGTATTAAAGAATATAAAAGATTATCAAAACGAAAAATCAGAATCAAAGCAGCTCTTAAGAAAATTTTCTTAAATTTGGAAAGAAAATTTCTCTTCAACTTAATTTTAAGATTAATAACAATATAGGAAATCTTCTTAATAATTTAAGCTCTATTTTAATTAATTTATTGAAAAATTATTAAATAAACATATAATTTATTAGTATATACTTGAAACCCTTGAGTGGATAAAACAATAAAATGAAAAAGCTAAAAAGAAAAAAAATCAATTAATTCATGAGTAAAGAAAAATGTATATAAAGAATCACAAATTGAAGTGTGTTCAAACTGAGATATATGATCAGAAATTTAGGTATAAATAGGATATAAAATCATTTGGGATGTATATATTTTATATTTTTTAGATTAGGATAGATATTTTAAGTGAAATTTAGGTAGATGAAATAAATGATATTTCAGAATCAGAATAAGAATAAGAAGAGCCTAAAATAAAATAAGTAGAGTATTTCACAACTTATCTATCGAGCTGCTAAACTAGCTATCACATTGATCCTATAATATCAATATTGGATAACTAAACAAAAAATGCCCTTTTATCAGTTGATTATACTGATTTAGATTAATTGATTTATAAAAACAACATTGAAGAGTCTATACCATAGATTCAATCAGAAAATTCTCAAGTGAAAAGATTTGTATCTGCCCTTTACTATTAATACTACTCAGACATTTTAATAGGAGGTTATATTAATTTAGATCAGTTAACTGATCTTGAAGATAACAATTATTTTGAATAGCAATAATAATTGATTCCCCCAAATTTGGACAAGAAAGCCATGCTATTGAATTTGCGAAGAAAAACAAGAGAGGCAAAAATTTAGGGAAGAAGATCACATTTATTTGAAAATCAAGAACCTTAATAATTTTCTAATATTTTTCTTTTGTCAAATCAAAATTCAAATAATGTAGTCTTAAATGTTCCTAATAAAATTATATAGAGAAGAATGAGTAAATCAATGCATAATTTAAACTCAGATCAAATTTTTGAAGATGTATAAGATATTAATAAAAGTTTATAAATGGATAGTATAATAAAAGATTTCAACTTGAAGGTAAATTTACATATAATTTAGACTATTAAATATAAATAATAATTGAGATTATAGAATTTGTAGTTATTTGAGCAAATTATTAAAAAGGAAAGTTCTTAAACACAATTGGTTTAAATGATGATTGAACATAATCTATTTGATGAGTTGAAAGAATTCTTGAGATCGCATCCAAATTTTTCTTTAAACTAAAGAAATATAGCAGGAAAACCATATATTATGCTTGCAGCGCAATCTGGGAATGCCGAGTTGGTGTAGTACATGATGAGTTTAAATGTGCAAGTCAACAATAAGGATGTAAGGAGTTAGTTAAAAATTAGTTAGATGGAAACACTGCACTTCATTATGCAGTTGCTTTAGGATACTATCGTGTAGCCGATATACTATTAGAAAATGGAGCCAATCCATACATTAAAAATAGATGCAATTAAAATCCATGGAACTGGAATTAATAAGTTCCAAAATATGTTTGTTGAATAAATAATTTATATATAATATATTAATTACTTCAAATCATAAAAATCTACAATCTGGACAATAATTAGCATAAGTGATTTTGTAAGATTTAACGGGGGAGTTAGAACGTGATCTGATTTGCCTTTGCTGTTATTTATAGATCCAAAAAAAATCACAATCTTTATTTGCACATTATTTGATAAACTAGTAATGGGTTTTTAAATAATTTAACTAATTAATCATTAATCTATTTATGTAAACTTCTAATTCTAATATTTTTTATCTTGTGATTTATCCATTATTTATTTAACTTTTACATAAGCATTAGAAACTTATACACTAATTAGCCAGTTGCTGTTTCATAATATTAGCTAAGCAATTTGAATGGTAGTTGTGACTAGATTTGTTTTGGCAAAGTAATTTTACTTTCTTTTCAAAAATATACTTATCGCAACTTAAACAAATATTTTATTAATCAGCAATATTCAGATGACTCAATTAATTGGAGAAACTTCTTTCGGTTGCTTGTTTTTTTGGTATATTTTGAGAAGCGATTGAATTGTTAAGAATGAGGTTAAATCTATTTTATTGTTTTTATCGGATGTATTTGAGTTAGAAATTGATATCTACCAGTTTCAATCTTTGCAGTCTTTCAGGTAAGACATTTCTGGTAGTATAGATTTCTTTGAGTTTTAACAACTATTAGAATTTTTCCTAAAACTAATTATCCATCTAGTCCATTTTATATTATTAATTTATAATACGTTTTTATTTATGAGAACTGCATTACTTCTCATTGTTATTGTTATAGCAAGCGGATTCTTAGAAATAAACGAGAAATAGTAGAAGAATCTATAACATTTATTGATGCAAGAAATCCACGACGGAGGTAATTTTTAAGCTGCAGATCCTAAGGCCATTGCAAATATTGATTTCATTTTTAGTGGGTATAATTTATTCTTGGGCAATCCAATAACCTGGAGAGAAACTTCAGACCCAGGATTCACAGGGAGAAACATCTTTCTGACTTCGTATAGCAAAAAATAAGTAACTTCAGATGGAAGACATAAAATTCCAGACAATTTAAATGTCATAACAAAGAAAGGGTGCAAATACAACTTCGAGTCATTTGTTATCAAAAATACAGAGCAAATTCAAAACTATATGAGTTCTTTTATTGGGTATGTTATCTCTAACAATATAGAGTAAATTTAGTGTCTAATATTGATATTACTCCATGGGCATTCACAGCTTCCTCTGAATTCAACCACATGCAATAAAAAATAGAGTAAACATCTGCCACCTTTGTGATTTCTATGGCGACCTGTTAAATAGCTCAAATTACTCAAGTTCCTGAATTAGCAGAATTTCATCAAAGTTTTATCGACCAATTATCTGCTCTACCTGTTGAATATTCAGCACCTTAATATTTGGAATTTCTCAGTAATTTTGGAACACATTATGCAACTGATATAATCCTTGGATCTAAAGTAGGTTATGTATATACTCTACCACCTGCCATCGTCGATGATTTTGATTAAAAGAAGTTTAAAGAAATCGATCTAAAATAAGCAGCTACAATCACATCTGCCCTTCTAAAAGGCGTGATAGGGTAATAAATATTACCAAAGGAACAAGAAGCCAAGGCATATAGTGATGTGTCTAAACTAAGTACTCAAAGTTTCACGATTGAAATTGGACCCTAGAGTACAGAGAATACACCTAAAGATTGGCTAAGAGAAACTGAATTGGAACCAACTCCTATTAGATATACATTAAAAAGTATAAGCGAATTAGTATCGGAAGGAAAAGGATAATTATCATCAGTCAAGGAATATTAAAAAATCGGATAAAATTTAAAGTAATTATTTGTATTAATTGACATAGAAAGGCCTTAACAGATTATTGCAATTTATTGTAATTATAGGGAGAAAGGAATGGAAAATGTGAAACAAATAAAAGGGAAATAGGTTAATGGGTTGAATAAAGGAAAGTTTGTTTGAATTTCCTTAAAGATTGTGATTGGAGTGGTGCAAGTACATAAATTTGTGGGAATAAAAATCCAATATAAAAAATTGGAATGGACTTACCTGATGTTTAAGCTAATTCAGTTAAATTTCACAGCGATAAAACTGTTATATTAGGAGTTAGTAAATTCAAAAGAGATAAAAATCAAGATATAGTTATTGCCTCATTTCATAATGATTATTTATTCTTAGATAAGCCAGAGATATGCTTAATAAATTAAGGAATGTCTGCATCAGCTGAATATCCTATTTATTTAACTGATACAGCCAAATGTGTTGTAGTACTATTATGGAATGCTTGTGAAGGAGAAGTGTTTTATTTCACATCAGTAATATGCAATCAAATGGATTTTATGAATGCATAATTTGAGTTGTTAGGATCTATGGGAAAGTGTGAAGTAATTATATATATATAAATTATTAGATTGCTTTGTTAGACATTAGATACCCAAATTCAGCTTAATTGAGAATATGCTTATTTAAAGAACCAAAACTTGAAGGATAAAAAGCTTGTTTTACTAATGAAAATAAGGATGCTTACTTCGGATAAGAATTTAAGAGTATGATGATTGAAGAGAATGAAGTGATGATCCACAGATCTATGCCTGGTAGTATTGCAATTTAATTTGGATGAATTTATTAATAATATATCTATATATATATATAAATTATCAGATTTTAAGGATATCATCAGCAACCCACTCATCACTCAATTCAGATTTCTCACTCTAATTTGTTAATGGGCCTAACTTTTTAGATTTCCACTTTCCTAATTATGGTAGAATTAACTTAACTTTATTTGCATATTGTTGTTCATAAATTTACTCTTTTGTATATTCATCTGGAGGTTTATCAATGTCTTTACGATACACACCCGTACTGTCTCCACCATCATTCAAGAGCATTTCCTTCTCAATTTCAAACTAACTCTTGCCTAAAATAATTAGTTTATCGAAATCATTTCTTTTATCCGGAGATATCATATAAGAATTTTAAAAATAATCTTGAGTTTCATCCAATCTCTGAAGTAAGTACTTATTGCTCTTGAAACTCTTAAAAGCCAATGGGTCATTTATAACTTTAACCTCTGGCTTTTATATATATTCTAAACGACTACCCACTAAGGACTGTTCACTAAAAGCTCTAGGCAAATCAGAACCCTATTTATTGAATCATTTATACAACTATAAAATCTTCTTTTTATTCCTTTTCAATAATCATTTCTTTTCCTCTTACTTTGATTTTCTTGGATTTAGAATTTTCAAATTTCCTCAACGTTTTTTACCAATTATTGACTGCAATTCTTTCGTATTCAGTATTGAGTACATTAAATACTTATGCAGTATCATTTTTTAATTTGTATTTTTCTGCCTGCAACAATTGAGAACTAATCCTATCCCTATTTAATAAACAAGCCTGTCTTTCAGTAAAGTAGTTCCAGTATTTTTCGGTCTCCTCATGTTTACTTAAAACTCTAGTTTCTTTTGTCAACACCCTTTTCAATTACGGTTCCAACTTAATTAATTCAAAAGCATACCTACTCTACTTTCCCTTTTTCTACATCTGAATTGGTTTTTATTCTCTACATAATATTATTCAATTCTTCAATTAGTTGATTTTTTGTTGTTAAATTGTTATTATGATTTTTCTTTAACTTCGTACTACTCCCAAATTTTGTGCTTTTTTACTCACTCTTTGGTGCAGATCCTTTATCTGCTGTGTCCTATCTAATTATTCCTTTATGAAATGGTAATTGCTTAGAGGCCAAATCATCAAATTGAAGTCTTTTCCCAAGTTTTTGTTTATTAAACCACTCGCTCTTACCTACAATTGAATGTTAAACCAAGTCCCCATTTTCTGTAAATTTTGGCCCATTTTATAACAGATACTCATCATAAGTTGGCATAAAGATGTTATTAGGTCTACTGTCATTGCTTTTAATTCTATGTTCTTAAGAAACACTTTTAGCCACCAAAAACCTTTTGCATGTCTTCTCCTCTTATGATTATAATTACTATAATTATTTCATCAAATGAAATAAACATTAAAAATTTCAGAAATAAACTTATAAAGAAATTCATCATTCTCTTCTTATAGATCTTACTAGTCTAATTTAACCTTATGTATTTATAATGAAGTAGTTTCATATTGATTGAAATTGAATATAAACTAATTCTACTCTTTAAGGAGGTAGGAATTAATATATAGATCAATCAGTTGCAATTATCTCAGCTTATAACACAATTATCTTATATGATATTGCATTGTTAATCTTTCTTAAACTAACATTTTAAGAGTTTAATAAATTCTCATAATCCCTGTGCTTGATCACCTTTTAGCCTGACTTCTATATTCAATTCCTTCTTCAATAGTAAATTTATTGGTTTTATTATATGTATTTGATCTATAGATTATTAAGACTTAAATTATTCACAAATCTATTTTAAAAATTAATAAAAATTATCAATGTCAAAGAGAGGAAGAGGAGGTCAAGTTGGTATCAAATTGAGAATTACACTTGCTTGTAATGTCGGTGCTGTTCTCAATTGCGCTGATAACTCAGGAGCAAAAAATATCTACGTGATTTCAACATTCGGAATTAAGGGACATTTGAGCAGATTACCATCTGCTTCCATTGGTGATATGGTTTTGTGCTCTGTCAAATAGGGTAAGCCAGCACTTAGAAAGAAGGGTAATTGATTAATTTAATCTTAGTCATGTAAGCTGTTGTTGTAAGACAAAGAAAACCATACAGACGTCGAGAAGGATATTACATCTACTTTGAAGGTTAATTATGAAACTAATTGTTAGATAATGCTGGAGTTATTATCAATCCAAAGGGTGAAATGAAAGGATCTGCAATTACAGGCCCAGTTGGAAAGGAAGCTGCTGATTTATGGCCAAAGATAGCATCAGCTGCTGGTTCAGTTCTTTGATTTAAAATTTGCAATATATATATAAGTATTAATCAACACATCAATTTAATTGTGCATTTTATACACCTTTGTGCTGTTGGTAAAATCGAAAAGAAAATTCCATGTCTATAATTTTTTATATATTAAGTCAAGTAAATTGGCATCATGTATGAGAAGTAGAGATTAAATATAGAGAAATGATTAAAAATCATATGAGATAGAAGATAGTTCACAAAATATAATTGGTATTAAATTTATTAAAAAATAAGCTTTGTGTTATGTACAAATTTTGTTATTTAATATAAACATGGAAACAGTCTTTGTATTAATAGGATTGACATTTACAATTTAATTCATTGTTTTTAATTATATAAAGTTGTCCCTTTTTCATATTCATAATTAGAAATAAAGTCAAGATATAAAAAATGGTTTTCTAATGTTTTTATACTATTTAAATTTATATGTTTTACAACAGAGAATCATGCCAAAAGTTGCTTTTTAATTATTAATTTGTATTTTTAAGAGTGATCTATAAATTGAAATATTTTAATCTGTAAATTAGTTGCAAAGTTGTTAAAATAATGCTTTTTTCAGATTCTGCTAATTAATGTATCCTTATTATTGATTACAATAAAGAATAATCAATATACCGAAACTTAATTTTATATAGAGTGGTTAAATATTTTATATATAAATTAATTTAATTTTGCTTCAATATGTCAGAAAAGCACAAACATTTTTCTTTGAGAATAAAGAATTTTGAAAACAAAAATCAAGCCATAATCATTGATGATGATGAACCAAAAATGTAAGTTTGATTTTTTAAATTTAGTTAAAAGTAAATAAAGTAAAATGATAACTAATTTGACAGTGAGATTACTCCATGGTTTAGTCAAAAGACAGCCTCTATTAAACATCCAACAATTAGATTTCACAATGAGATCATCGAGTTTTATGATTACATCTCTCCTACGATTGAAGAGCACAGAAAAAGAGAGTAGGCATTCATGAGAGTTGAAACGTTTATAAAAGGAGTGTGTTTCAGAAGTAGATATCTAGGCATTCGGTAGTTTTAAGACAAAACTTTAATTTACCTAATGCAGATATCGATGTTGTAATGATTGACAAAAACATGTCTGCAAAGGAATTATATAAAAAAGTAGCTTAAAATTTGATGAAAAGTGATAAATTTGAAAATGTGAATTTAATTGCCAAAGCTAAAGTACCAATCATAAAATTCTTTGAAATTGAATCCTCATATCAATTTGATATCTCCTTCAATTAAATGGATGGCATTAGGTAAATCGATGAAATTCAAAAAGCCTTTACAATTTACCCCGAATTCAAATACCTAATAATGATATTAAAATGTATATTGAAACAACGTGACCTCAATGAAACCTATAGTGGTGGAATAGGTTCCTTCTTACTTTTCCAAATGATTTTAGCATTCCTAAGAGAAGTAAGAAAGGAAGCCTTTGCTAATAAGAAATAAGAACAACTAAAAAATATTACCCTTGGAGAATATATTTTGAGGTTCCTAGAATTTTATGGCTCGAAATTCGATTACCAAAAAAAGCGAATTTTGATGGTTAATGGAGGGAGCATTGTTAATAAGCCTACACCTGATGATAAATTCTCTTTGATCAGTCCATAAGATCCTGACCATGATATTGGAAGTAGCAGTTTTAAAATAAAGGAAATATTTAAAATATTCTCAAACAGATATAATTTTATGTCTCATTATAATTTTAAGCCAGAAGAATCTGTTTTGAAGTACCTCATTAACCCTTCTGATCAAAAATTTACTTTTATCAAGCAAAATTGACATAATTCATATATTTATTTAAGTATTTCAACCCATTAATAATTACAATAAGAAATCTACATTCTTACTGAAATTTGATATTTAATACAAATAAATTATATGTATTATATTTTGAATACAGAAACATTCATTGACTATTAAGATGAGTTTTAATCCTTCTTGTGGCCTTTAATTCTTTCTCGATATGATCGTAGTACAATCCAAAAGGCTTTTATAGACTTTTACCGAAGATAATCAAATTTTGCATAGCTTCATCAAAGTTTTCAGTATACATATAAGTCGGCTATACAGTTTGTATAGGGTAGGCCCTGTCTGCATGTATGAAAGGATCAAATTTTTCATATTTAGCTTTTGGGAAATGCTATATGATATAAGCGATCTCTTACTTCACATTCTCCAATAGAACTAGCGATTCCTGCACCATATCCTTTAATTTGTCCATTTTCTTTACAGGCTCCAAATTCAAGTGTAAACCAATACAAGGTTCCTAGTCTTGATAAATCCTTTTGCTCTGCTCCACATGAGAGAATGCCAATCTCTTAAGATAAGTCGGCTACTTCTTTATCTGCAAATAATGGTACATGACCCTAATAAATTAAACTCTTTAAATACCACTAATTCATGAACAATATCTGGTTCTGGAGTATATTCTGGTGTGGAATGATGTCTCATGTATTGAGTACAACAGAATACTCTGTGTCCTAGAGAATTTAAAAATTCTCTTTGACTTAAAATTCCATGAGTTGCTTTTATCCTAAATCCAGTTTCTGCCTTCAGATAGGAATCAATATCTCTCAACTAAGGAATTTTATATTTAAATCCCAAAGCATTTTCTATTTTGGCTAGATTTCTTAGATATCTTTGAGACATCACTTGTTCAACCTTTCCTCTTAAAATTGTGTATATCTTTTTCCACGTTTCTTCTTCTTCTTATGTGTAATTTATATAGGGCACTGGCTCTCCCACCATATGAGCCTATGATATCTTTGCTATTTCTTCTCTTCTTTTTCTATATTCCTAATCTTTGAATTAAGGGTGATCTTAATTGTTTTCTTCATTTACCTACATGATTAGCCCAACTTATTATATGATTATAAAAAGTACTTGTTTTTAAGTCTTCATCATTTCTAGGGTACCAAGGAACTGTTGGAATTTAGGAATCGTTATTAATGACTACTTCGTCATATCTCTACTACAAGTCAAAAACCAACTCATTAAATTTATAATCTTCAACTTTCTCAAAGGTGAGTTTTACCACTATCTTCTAGCCTCTTTTATAGTAGTTAAAGAATACTTAGTTGTTCTATTCAACTTTAGGGTTTCGATATCATAGAGATTGATCTTATGATTTGAGAATGACTTTAAGATATTCCTTAAACTACCATAATAATCTCTTGTGATGATTTCTACGTCCTACAAGTAATCGATGTTGAAATTCCTTTTTGGATACACAGTTGAAAACTTGTTTATTGATCTTAGGATTTTATTTAACATTAATAATGACGTACTTTTTATTCAATTAATTTATAAATCTCATAGAAACAATATATAATCATCATTAAGATTCAAGACTTCTTAAATTATTCATTACTTTATTAGCTCTTTTTTGAGGTTGAATCTGAGCAATCTCATCTTTCTAATTACCTTATATTAGCTTCCTTGCAGTCACATCTGGAGTATTCTATATTATAATTGGAATCTATAATTACCAAAATCATTGGAGACCCATAGAGTGATGAGGCTTTTGAGTCCACAACTAATTTCATTTTGCTTATAAGTTGATATTGAGGTAGAAGATGGGATTATGGAGATTCGTCTTCCACCTGAATATCCGTAATAGTATCATCCAAAATTTTAAGGGAATTGATGTTATCATTTAAAGACTCATCAATTTGTAGCATTGCTTAAGGAGTGAATAATTACGATTCTTAGTTTTTCTAAATAATTTGACGTTATTGAGGAGTCGAGAAATTTAATTTAGAATTTTAACTCTTATTCAGATATAAAAAAGGGATATCACTTAAACTCGACTTCATTGTAGAGTCTTTAGTTTCAGAGAGATCACAATTTAATTATTTAAATCGAACTTCATCTAGATTCGTTTAAAACCACTTGTGCTTAAGTGCTAGTCTTGCTGAAGGTCTGCATTACGATTTTGGATGAAGAAGTTATTTCAATAATGACATAGCATCAGCTGATATTTCGTTCTCAATTGATTAATAATCCACTTTACAATGATAGTTTTTCATGACTATTTCATCATAATTAGTTCCTCTAAAGGCTTACTTGTGGGTTAAAAGCAAGTACATTAAACAACCGACACTAAATATATCGATTTTGAAATCGTATAGTTTATCCTATAATACTTCTGGAGCCACAAATCCTGGAGTGCCACATCTTGAGAACATATAATTTCCAGTAGAAGAATAAATGTCAGCCAATCCAAAATCAGTGATAACTACATCATCTAAGATTCCTTTGTTCCTTAGGATTAAATTATCGGGTTTCAAATCTCTATGCAACACATTTGACTTTTATAAGTAATCTAATGAATCCAAAACTGTAGCTAGAATTTTGGCAACTACTTTTTCAGGGAATTTTTAATTTTTTTAAATGTGATTATGTAATTCTCCTCCTTCCAAATACTCTAAAATAAAGAAGACATTAGAATCATCTTCATAAACTTCATACATTTTAATTAAACCCTTGTGGTCTAACTTTCTCATTATGGTCATTTCCTTTACCAGGGCTAATCGGTCAGTTTCAGAATTTTTTATTTTGGATTTTTCAAATACTTTTACAGCATATAATTTTTTGGTTTCCTTGTTTATAGTCTGATACACCTTCGCGAAGTTCCCCTTGCCGACCATCTTCTCCAACGAGTAATCCTCTTTGAATTGAGTGAGAATAGCACACTTTCTTAAATGTTCCCACAGTTATTAATTCAGTTCTTTTGATCTACTGTAGAGCTCCCTGTACTGATTATTTCGGATGATACGAAACCCATATTTCTTCTAAAAAATTGAATAGGCACTTTAACCTTATTGAAGCTCTCCTTTTCTTGTTTATTTTCGTACTTTAACTTTTGAATTCTAGACAAGTTCAGATTTACAATATGACATTGTCTTATGTTTGGCTAAGATAGCAAGATGAGAATTACTTTGACCTTGATGAGTTTAGAATCGTAGATTAAGTAATTTCTACTCACCCAAAACCCCGTTTTATAGCTTTTCTTGAACAATAGACATTAATAATCTATTTTGGATTCCTCAATCACGAGAGGCTGCTTGATCCAAAATGAATCAGCAGGCTTTGAATCATCAAAATATGATTTCGTAAATTTACAATTCATAAGAATAATTAATCAATTATATGGAGTCACTGTCAAAAAGAAGTGGACATATTGGGCAATATCTTCCGAATCCAAACTGTTTAGTCCATAAAAATGGCCCTTCCTCACCAATTATCCAAAACCTATTTTATAAATGCAAACACCCCTTACTTGCATTTGAATAATTCGCATGAGGGTTATTATAATTTTAAAAGTATTAATCACACAAAGGAGACCCCTTGATCACTATGATCGGCTGATTGGCCATAACTGCCTACTACAATTCATTCAAAAACCCTTCCTGCTCCCCCAAAAGAATGTGCACCACCTTCATACTCTCCCTCTGACCATTTTTTGCCAACCTCCCTTCAGCCAATCTAAATTAAAAATAAACTCAATGTTCTACTTTTTGCACAAATTTATCTTGAAAACTCCTTCCAATCCAAAAACCATCATCTTCTCTTTGTTATCTAAACTCATAATTTCATCATAATTACTTAGCAGAAATATATGTGTATGTCCGTTACTAATCTCATAAGGATCAATGAATCCAGTACTTTAATTCGGATATTTGACTTCCTATTCCGGAGCCACTCCAATCAATTTGACTCCTCTTCTGATCGCGTATTTTTCAATGCCAGTTGAGATTCCACTATCTACAATGACAGCATCCTAAATTCAAATAAGACAAATTGGATACAGTATTAAAACAGGCCCTAGCAATCCCTGCATAGAATTTCCCCTTATTGGTTTCCTTGGCTCCAATCAAATTTACAACTGGATAACTTTAATTCAATTGCAATTTAAACAAAATATCTTAAATGGACAAATTTTTGGCATCGACATCTGATATCTTTACTAATTTAGCCACTCTCCCAGTTGGAAATAAAAAGTCATAGACTTTCCACAAGGGTTCCTCCTTATTTAACAAACTAGTTTGGGATTTGTAAGTCTATGATTGTCTTTCAGGACTGTGAGCAGGTTTTTCAGATTGTTTATTTGATTGTTGGGTTCTATACGACTATTATAAATCTCCATCGCCTTAAGGTGTAGTCACAGGTATTTTCTGAGGTATAATTAATTTGAGTTACATCTATAAGCATGTCCATGTTTTCTCCTGTCTTCACACTCACTTCTAAATATTCGACATTAGGATAATCATTAATAAATTCAAATGCCTGCTCTTGAGAAATCTATCTGCTATCAGAATCAATTTTACAAGCCACCAGACATACTTACATTGAATTGTTTATTTATTTTTTGATATCATCTAACCATTATAATGTTGAATCAAATGAATCAATATTTTCAACATCAAAACACACAAACACTACTTGGATACTCTTTAGCATCTCAATTACCTATTTTCTTTCTGCCGCATTTCCTGGAGTATCATAAATTGTAATTGTTTCATTATTTTGAATTGTGACATCTGTGGTCTCTATTTATTCAGTTGGACTATAATCTTCTTCGAATTCCAATCCCTTTAAATATTTAATAATCGAAGTCTTCCCAACTGCAGGATCACCCACAAATGCTATTAATTAATTTTCCATGTCAATCCTTAATAATATAATATAAATTAATAAATCAACTTAATAATCTCTTATACTTTACTAGAACCCTCTTTACTTTCTACTTTGGTAATTGTTAATATGCAGTAGCATCCACAGATAAATTGAGTCTCTCAGTCTAAGTGATTTATTTGTCATCCCATAATCTATACTTCTTGTTGCTATACATAGCTACAATCATATGCATAAATCATACTTTTTAATTCTCGACTTGTCTCAGTTTCAAGCCTCTTTTTATTATCCTACTAGAAATCGAATGTGTTTTATCTTTGTTTTTTAATAATGGAATGGCTACTGGTGATAGTTTTCATAAGTAGGTCCACCTTAGCAATCTTGTTGTTTTAATAAGTCATGATTGTTTTTTCGTCTTATTGAAATGGTATGAATTCAAATTTAAATCCATTTCCTATGACTTTTGCTTGATTATCTGTTCCTATTAATTCATTATGTAAAATCAATGAGAAAATCACATTGAAATATTAATTAAACTATCTTAATTATTAATCGATATCCTTGATTGATTAATCAGTGATTGATTTTGATTTCAATAATTTAGTCATTTGATTCTAATTGTATTGTTATTCATTAAAAAAGTCTGATTTAAGTTTAATAATATCATTTTGAATTTTGGGTAAGTTCTTTATATAAATGTCCTATTCATCTAAATTTTACATAATTATTGGCATTTATTCTGTGTCCTAAATTTAGATTTCTACTTTTTTTTTCATTTAAACTTATTATGCAAGTTAAGCTTAAATAGTTTCCTCTGTTTTCGTCATTTTTTAGGTAGCAACATTGTTGTTTAGAAAGGAATCAGAACACAATGAATCTTGTTTCATGGGCATAAAATTTAGAACTTCATTTTGATTGTTCAAATATGAAAATGATGTTTGATGCACTTGAATTTCATGTTGTTTTTCTTATACATTAACTACTTTAATATGTGTTTCAGCCATTCTAAGATCCAGTCCAGTTATATTGATTTAGATAGTTTAAATATCTTAAGTAATTTTTTGGAGTTGTTTTTAGATTAATTCATCGAGTTGGTTGATTTGCTATTTTGACTTTATTTTTGAATCTTAGGCAACATTTATGGCATTTTATATTTTTTCATTTGAATCCTTTAAATAGGAATTGATAGATTAACTATTTTTAGCACTTTCATTTTTAAGTTTAACTAATGTTATTTTGAATTCATCTAATTAACTTTTAAGTTATTCTTGAGATTATTATTATTATTATTGAATTTAAGCATTAATCACATTTGTTAGTTCTAGAAACTTATCATCAATAATTTCTTAAATCTTTTCTAAATCAACTTAACTAATAAAAATGTGATTAATACTTTTAGATAGTTGAAGTATTATTAATATGTTGTATTCTTATGGGTGTTTATGACTGCTAGACCACATCTATTTGATCGATAGTCAAAAAGAATTAGGATTTTTATCTTAATTCTACGATCATATCTTGCATCCATTATTTGCTACATTAAATTTTAAGGATCTCTTATTCATTGTACTAAATTTTGGATAAGAGATCTTTTGTTTATGTGTTTAGAGAGGATATTTCTTCTTGATTCTAATGATATTGGGGATTAGATACTTTGAGATTAGTTTCTGTTAACTGCTTGACTACTTTCGAATTGGAAGTGTCAACATTGTTAATTGAAAATTCTTGTTGATACAACTTCTGACTTAGATAGTTATTGTAAATTTCAACTCTCTCAGTTAAGCTCTGTTGTATATCTCCTAAGATTTTGATTTCCTTCTTTTGGTTTTCTTATTCCAATTTTATAGCCCCCTATTCCAATCTGGTTTTATTGAACTCCAAGTTGAAATGCCTTTCCAGATCAAACACTTTTTGTTCATCATCTTGGATATTCATTCTGAGATTGCTAATTGCATCGTTATTGAGTTTGCTACTATAAATGGGAGTGCACTACATGTCATATGCTAATTGATCTGATTTATCTGACAAAATATCTATCTTTCTGTCGTGCTGATGTATGGAAAACTGGATGCATTCGACTTCCTTCTGAATATTTTCAATTCTATATTACGATGCTTTGATTACTTTTCAACTATAGGTCTGCAGATATTGGAAATGAGAGAGCGAACTAGAGTTTCCTCTTGAAAATTTTACATATTATAATTTTATTAAGAAAAATAACAGACGATGACTATATGTGTGTGTTACTATTGAAATTGTAATTAATTTATGATTTCTGTTGTGGGCTATGAAAATCAAAATAATGTTATATACTATGTTGTGTAATTTGAGAATACTGTTCTACAAAAAAGGTATTGATTACTTTAGAGTCATAGATTCTCTCAATTCGAGGAACTCCATCAGTCTTTGCTGCCCTACTTTCCTTTGCCCAACTTACCACCCAAATAATATGTGACTGTGCTTATTGGCAAGTCTATCGAGCAATTAGAAAAACGACAAAAGGCTCTTGACATCTACATCAAAGAGCTGTACAAGAACCCTCGAATAGTCAAATCTTACCAATTTCAATCATTTTTAGGATTGGCCCAATCTATCCAAATGATTTATGAATTCGAAGGCCTTAGCCAACCAATCAAAGACTTTTCAATTAATTTTGACATGGGTCTGATGCTCGTCTTGGGAAGCGAGAAGAAGAGCGTGCCTTCCATCTTTAATAAAGTCAATCAGAATTCATAAGCATTGGGAACTTTAGAATGTTGGCTTTAAAAAGAAGAAGTGTTCAAGAAAGAATGGACCCACTCATTCACTAAGTAAACTACTTGTTTTCATCATCTTGAGAATACGGTTGTGGTTGGATTCATAGATGGCACACTTACTTTATTCCTATTGAATCAATAAAATGAAATAGCGTCATTTAAGGAATACAACTAACATTCATCAAAAGTGCTAGCTGTTCATTTGATAAATGGGTGCTTATGTTCTGTAAGCGAATCTGAATTCAAGTATGAATTATGCTATACATTTAAGAGTTTTCTCGATGAATAAAAATATTTTCTTAGTTAATTAGACTCTTAAAGATCTGTAAGGAATGTTGATAAGCGATGAAAAGGCATATGTTTATGACTTGGTTGGAGCCATCTTTGTTTATGAACTGCAGAATTAAAAAATGTCCCTTCTACTGAAATTTGATACTCAATTGGAGAATATCAAGGGAATTGCAAAATGCAACTACAAATTATACTGTGTGAATCAAAATGGGGTAATACTTATCTTGGAAACGGAAACGTACACGGTTTTGCAGAAGGGGAAAGGGAAAGTGTAAGTAAGATAATAAATTAATTATGAGAGAGTAAAGAAATTAGTCACTCAGAGAGTAGACAGATGATTTATGTTGGTAATAAGGATGGCTCAGTCACGGCATATGATAGTTCTGACTTTTCGTCTTTGTGTAAGCTATTCGTGATGTATTTAGTTATAATAAATGCCCACATTAATAGTGTTAGTAAGATAAGGAATTTTGAGAACGAGAACTTGCTATTAACGGGGGGAGAGGACAGATATATTAGAGTATCACATTCATATATTAGTAAGGCTTGGAGATTACCGAATGTTTTAATTGGCGATGCAGCCAAGTAGTCTTCCTTAAAGCAAATCTGAAATGTAATCAATATCATTTATAAGTTATTTATTGGTAATAACATATTATAAAATTATAATCGAATCAAATCTATGGGAAGTGGTGCAAGTGTAGAACAAGAATACAAGCATCAAAAGTCATAAGCTCAGAATGACATATTCATTGAAGAAGGCATTGGAATTGAATAATCACAATTGTCCAGAAAGTGGATGAGCAAGATGACCATCCTCAAAAATTTAGAGACTAAGAACTTTATGGAATCACAAATCTAGAATAAAAGCTTTAAATAACCTCTTTAATAAGATTAAAATTCTTCAATTGTCTTCTCTGATGATATTGAACAAATATCAAGATCTCCTAGCTCATCAGTTAAATCAAGTAATATGCATATTTCAAATTAAAAGAAAAAGAATTTTACGGACAGTGACGAAGAAAGCGACATTGAAGAAAAATAATTATGCAATAATAAAAGATCAAGCAAATTCTATAATTTCTAAAGTGATGATTCTTAAGATGAGAGAGACAATGACACTAAATTAATAAAATAATGCATCTTATAGGCTGAAGAAGCCGTAACTTCAAGAAAAAGCAGTATTAATTCTAATGCTGATTAATAATTTTTAGCCAATCTTAACATAAATGATATCAATCAAACTATACAATTAGTTAAATAACCCCTACCTCATCATTATCCTGTAAATCAATTATATATAAGAACTATAAATAGTGAATAGTAATTGCAGCCAGGAAAGGACAAACTAGTCAAATTGGCATGTAGATAATAAAGTCTAGACGAACAAGAATCAGAACTATCCTATAGAGATGATCATAGAGATATGTCTAAATCAGAACTATAAACTGATTACTCTCCTGAACAATTATTAAACCAAATCGGAATAGCAATCACTAGTAAAAAAGGAAACAAAAATGATACAACTCCCTTGACCTCAGATTATTTGATCTACAATGATAGTTATCAGAAGATTTTCATTTTAAGTAATGGACATGGAAAATTTGGAGAATAAATTAGCAATTTGACCTATAGATTGGTATTCCATTACTTAATCAGAACTCCTAAATTTTATTCACATCCCATGAAAGGACTAGAGATTCTATTTAAAAAGTTATAAGACAAATTAAAATTGTACATTGAGAAAAAGAAACTAGATGACACTCATAACATATTGCTCAGTGGCTGTGTTCTAACAGGTACTATGAAAATGCTTATGTTTAGTTATCATCTAAAGAGATTCCAAATTGTATTGTGCATAAATCGGAGACAATAGAGTCTACATCCAAAAAGAGCATATTCATAATGGCAAACAAATTAAGAACATCACCTAAATATTGCCAACTCATTCACCTAGTGACCATTCTGAAAAAACTAGGATTTTTAATAGTGGAGGAGAAGTGAGGAAGAATCCTTAGGGAGAAGAATATATCTTTGTTAGAGGAAGATTGTATCCCCAATTACATGTGTCCAGAAGCATAGGCGATTTGATAGCCCATGACATAGGTGTATTATCAGAACCTAATTTTCGAGAATATGACATAACTAATTAGGATGTCTTTTTAGTACTAACTACATCACCTACCTTTGCCTATCAAGTTGATGACGATGTTAAGAATCATTTAAGTGGCTTTTCTCTGAGTGATATTTAATCTGCTTGCGAATCCTTGTATAAGTAATGTAAATCTAGTTGGATATCCTCAGAGGGAGTATTTGAAGATATGACTATTATATTATAATGGCTAGGCCAATTAAAAGAGCCAAAATGATTATTTTTAATTTTTAGAATTTTTTCACCATTGAAAAATATCAATATTTAAATAATTCTGTTAATGAGAATGAACAAACGGTACAAACTGAACAAATTCAAGTCAATCAAGAATAATATTTAGATAAAGATCTATTTATAATTCAAAAGCAAATAAATTCAATTATGATTAAGAGATCAATTGAATATCTAAAATTGGTTAAAAATATTATATATCTATGTTTTAAATTTAGCAATCTATCGGTATTAAGAATAGATATAATATAAAATATTCAATTAAATTAGAATATCAATCAAGATATATAATAATATTGGAAAGCAGCAGGATTTAATTAAATTTCCTATGCTTATATCTATATCTCCCTAAGATTAATTTATAATAAATTGAAATTTCTTTTGTATCTATGAAGAGAGTGCATTTTTAAAGAGTTATAAATAATAATAAGCTAGTGGTATAAAATTAATTACTAGAGTATTTTAAATAAATCTGAAATCTGAGAAAGATATATGTTATTAATTTTAAACCATATAAAGCTAATAGAAACAATAGGATTAGTTTATGATTTAAATATATGCTTTTAATCAATTTAATTTATTAAGAATATCTTAACAAGAGTAATAAGACTATATTAAATTAATTTAAAATAAACATATGCCATTAGTAAACTATTATGATCCTTTAGAAGTGAGATGTCGCAGTATTTATTGTGCTTGAGTAGAGGGATTATCAATGAGTTAAATGTAGAATTTAGGATTCATTGATTCAATAAGCAAAGAGCTCAATTAATGATATAAAATTTATATTATGAATTAATTATAAATCTCAACTTAAGAAATTAGCAAATACAAAGACACGATTACTTAATTTCTAAAAGACAATACTCTCTACGATTGTTTGGCTCATCACAATTAGGTATGGGTGTGATAATAATTACAAGCTGATTGTATTGGATTAGACGTTCACTTGTTGGGAAGTATTTTAGATTTTTGTTGAGGAGAACTTGGAAGAAACGTTGTTTTGGAGTTCAGACATTTCCAATTATGATGGAGTATTCACGCACTCAGATTTGATAAAGGTGCTGTTGAAATTATACGAAAATGCATTTAACAATAAATCTTCATGTATAATATTAAATTTAATTAAGTATAACAGTCTGGCCCCTTATTCAATGTAATTGAGGAGGAAAGCGAAGACCAGGAAGAAAGCACCTAGAAGAGTCAGTCTCAGAAATAGTAGCCGAGGGAATTGAACGACGATTAAAAACTAAGATTAATTTATGAGATGAAAACTATTTCCATCAGACAATGGAATCGCATATTGAAGGACGATGTAATTGCTCACTCTTAATTCAAAATAGTTGGAATCTCAAATTGGATTTGTTCAGGGGAGAAATGATGAAAGATTATATGATGCTTGTGTGAAGATAGTGAAGTCTGGGACCAGTCGACTTTTCGTCGTTGATCCAGAAACACTGATGTTTCAAGGAGTGATTCATTAAAAGGACATATTGTCATTTTTAATCAAGGGCTTTACTCAATATTTAGGGACGATCCTAAAATAACAAAATAATATTCTATCTTAACATTAAGTCAGCATCAAAGTGTTTTTCTCTAATTACAATCGACAAAAGGAAATTGTAACTTGTAAGGAGAATGAAACTGTCTATTAGTATCTATTGAATTTTAAACAAGAGTATTTTATACTATGATGCACAATCATAAGTCTTATATCATCCCGATCGTTAACAACAATGAGGAGTATGTGGGATAAATCAACAGAAGAGACATCATCTTGATAATCAAAAACGGTTTATTTGAGTTGGTAAACTTACATCAATACAACAATAGTTTTCCTAGACAGCTTCCTAATTGTTAGTTTTCTTGCAAACTGAAAAAGCAAGAATACCAGCCTATTAATACTATTCTAAACAATTCTTTAGTATGGATTAAACCATAAAAGAAGTAACAAAATTCGTCTTATAAGGTTGTTGAAAATCTGGTTTTATCAGATAGCTCAGCTTTGATATGTTTGTCTTCAAACAGATAAATTCAAGCCATAATTACAATTTCAGACATTCTGAGATTCATATTAAAAGATGTATATTGAAATGACATTTGTTCATTCAATTATTTACTTAATACACATAAAACATAATTTCACTCGTGGTCTACCATTTTTATTAAGATTATAAGAAAAACACATTCTGCAATAATTATGAGGCAGCCACTAAGACTCCATACTAAATAGCTGCATCGATAATTTGGAAATCCATAATAATCTTACTTCAAATTTTGGTTATAAATAGTAAATTCGATTTTATTGTCACCAGTCCCACTGGATCTATTTTTGATCATCTCCTTGACATTTTTGGAAAAATGAAGTCCCTCTGTTTCTTTAATATCAAGTTTAAAAACCAAATAATTTTTTTTCATCATCACACATATGTCTTAATTTTCTACCATGTTGCCAAAAGGGTCTAAAACCAAACCTATGTAATCGATTTAACATTTACTTATATTGTTCCTGAATATCAAATAATTCTAATTCAAACTTATAGCAGCGAACAAAATCAGAATGTAAAAACCAATGTTCAATAAAGGAATGAATAAGATTATCAATAAAACAAATGAACCAACAAAATTGCGTAAATAATTGTGAATAAATTGCACAACCTTGCTAGACTTCATCTCCTCTAATCTAATTCCATTTACTTGATTGATGTCTTAATTGTATAATCTGATAAACTATAACAATTAAATCATAGTTTACTTAATTATACAACGTTATTGGATCATCTTAATAATACAAGCAAGTTGATTTTGGTGTTTCTTCATTTAATTATTAATAAGAAGGTCTTTCTACATCGAATTCTGCTTGCATAAAAATAAATTTTTTAATAATTTATCATAATATACTATCAATTTATTTAACAATGTTTTGTAATTCTTATTTATGTAGAACAGTTGCTCCAACTGCGACACTCGGACATTCAGGTCTGCCTATATAATTCAAAGATTTATTGGTAAATTGTAAAGAGGTCAAAACTTGATCGATTTGTAATTGACAATAATTAAGACCACCTTGATTCTGAGGTTCCTCTTGAACAAAATAGAATTTAACATCCTTATCTAATTATTTTAATCCTAATTCTAATTCCTGTTTAGGGAATGGCAACAATTATTCAAATGTAAAAGTCACATAATTGCTGGCATTCTTCTTCTCCAATTATTCTAACAAGTCATAAACAAATTTTCCATATGTAAATATCACTTTATTAGGACGATCCCCTTATTTATGGGTAATTATTCTTTAGAAGGATTTATCTTCACCTAAGTCTTCAAATGTGCACTTCGCCTTGTTTGATCTCAATACTAAAAATATAACAATATTATTTACATGATTTGGCATTGGCAATCACTAAAGGCTTTCTAAATTGTCTATGCATTTATCTTCTCAAAATGTGGAATATGGAACTAGGACTGGATGGAATTGCAAATTAGAAGTTTTAATTTTGGACTCCTTATTATAACCATCTTTCCATTCTGGAACTTGAATGCTCTGGACCTGCACCATCATATCCATGGGGCAAAAGCAACACCAAACTACTTTGTCTCATCCATTTTTCTTCTGCACATGTTATAAAGGTATCAGACATATGCTATCCAGTATTGTAAAAATCTCCGAATTGAGCCTCCCACATAACCAAATTGTTAGGGTTTTCTAAAGAGTAACCGAATTCATAGCCCATCACTGAAGCCTCAGCCAAAGGACTATTGGCAACTTGGAGTCTTCCTTGCATTTTGGCTTCTGCAAAGTTCTACATAGGAATCCATTTTTCTTCTGTTTTCTAATCGACAAATGCCCAATGTCTTTAACTAAAGGTTCCTCTTTCAACATCTTCTCCACTCAATCTTACATTGAATCCTTCTTCCAATAAGGATCCAACAGCAATAGTTTCACAGGTTGCCCAATCTATAGAATTCTTTTGAATCTAATCTAAACGATCATCTATGAAATATTTCTATAATCTAGGATGTAAATTAAAGTTTGGTTTAATAACAACTGATTACTTAGCTAAATTAACTAAATACTCCTTATTTAATCCAGTCTTTGCATCCTATCCACAAAACTGACTGAATTTCATCTTATTCCATTTCTATGTAAATGCTTTCGATCCCTTTGATTTTTCATCTGTCACTTTGGCCAATGTCTACTTCAGAGTTTTAGCCTTTTCATATTCTGAATCCAAATAAGCAAACACTTTCTATCTGATTTTTTCATAGTCCTCCTATCTGAAATGTTGTTAATTGTATTTCACAGGTAAAGACTTGGCTTTTCTGACTTTTTCATACATGTTTGGCTAAGTAAAGGAAGGCTCATCGACTTCATTATGACCGTATTTTCTGTAGGTTACAATGTCAATCAGAATGTCCTTTTTAAATTTCTGTCTGTATTCAACTGCAAATTTAGAGACCTTGTGGAGGGTTTCCACATCCTCTCCATTGACATGAAGAATTGGGTATCTGTAGGCCAATAGGAGATCTGAACTATATCTTGAAAATCGAGAATCCTTTATATTGGTTGTATAACCAATCTAATTGTTTTGGATGATGTGAACAGTACCCCCATTGGAATAGTTGTCTAATCCAGAAAGCAACATGCTTTCATAAACAATTCCTTAACCTGCAAAAGCTGCATCCCCATGTAATTATAAATTTAAAACTTAATCAATATTACCGTAATCATCTTACTTAGCTTTTGCCTTACCCTAACTAACGGGATTAGCAGCCTCCAAATGAGATGGATTATGGACAACGGTTATTGTTAAGTCTTTGTTATTAAACTTCTTTTTATTTGATGTTGACAAGTGATGAACTACATCATCGACACCAAAAGTGTATTCTTAGGGTAAATCGTTTTCCCCCATAATTTTTCTAAAAATATCGCTGGGGGGGAAATCTAACAAACTACTCATCAATGGGAATCTTCCTCTATGTGCCATTGATTATACGACGTCGGTGACTCCCAATTCCACAGCTTAGCCGTAAATTGCTCTCAAAGCCACAATCACACCTTCTCCTCCTTCTCCAGCATACCTTTTAAAAGTGGTGAACTTCTTATGATAGTAATGATCTATAGCTTCCATTTGCACCAACAAGTTGTGAATACTAACTCTGTCGGCTTATGTAATTTCCTCATTCATAAACTTTTCATAGTTTTCATGCAGCCATTACTTCTCCTCTGGATCCTCTATTTATTCAAATTCCACTCCTACACTCTATGCGTACAATTTGTTTATATATTCTTCCAATTCTTCCACACTCTTCACATCCTTCTTCAATATATTGCTCACCTTGATATCATCGTTGTATTTGATTCCGAAATCCAATACTCCTGGCATCTCTTTCTATTGGCTAGTTATGAATCACATCTATTTTTACCTCTCTATCAATTGTAATGGATCCAATTAGGCAACCAAATGTCCATTTTATCTAAAGTACTAAATGAAATGATATTGCTTATTCTCTATATTTTCTAATAAGCTTTTATCAAGCTTCACTTAGGTTAACTAGCCATAATTCTTATAGTTGGAAAATGGATATCTTAATAATCGTGCGTAATTAAAATGTTATTACATATAAATAATATCTCATTTAATTTTAGTGATGAAAGAATAAGAATTACAAAATTTAAATTTTATTGTGATTCACCTTTTCCTACATTTTATATAAATAATTAATTTTAATTCATACTGAGGCTTCCACTCATTTATTTAATCTTCATAATCATATTACAATATACACATAATAACTTATTCTCAACATATTATTTTTCGAAATCTAAATTGAAATACTTTATCGATACCATTATATTAAGAAGTTTGAATTTTTTGTTATAGTTTAATATCACATTGCCTCATCATTGGGGATTATCAATCCTATTATCAGAGTAATAGTTATTAGATGAGTAGGTTTATTAATACTACTCAAAATGCTGTACATTTGACTAGACTTAAGTTTTCTATCATTAAGGAGTACAGCATTTCTTCATTTAAATGATTAATATGATAGTTTTAATGATTTTTAAACTGAACCTTGAACTAAATCTATTCATTAGTTATCAAAATTATTTATTTAACAATATAAATATAAACTAATTGAGTCACTTCCTAGTATACTAATTATTAAAACTGTTTCGAAATGAACTTCTATCTATAATACTAAAATATTATTCTGACTGCGTAATTTTGACTGGATTTTCAATTATCGAGTAAAACTACTCATTTTCATCTTAATCTTAAAGATTTGCAATTGGTAACTATTATTTTTCATTTTAAAGCGCCCAATCTTATTACTATTGCTAGTGTTTTATGAATTATTATGATTAATTTTGACTTTGACATCCTTCATGGCTATTTTATTAAATTTTATTTTCCTCAATTATTGTTTACAATTTGTGACCTTTTTAATGGTTATCCTATAGATTCAAAGTTTAACATTGTTCCTGTTTATCCTCAAACAAATTTAACAAACTGACATCTCTAGAATAGGAATCCACTTTATATATTGTGTCGCCTAGACTTGATTAATTCAATTATATACTTCGGTATCATGCATTTTCTAAAATCCTTCTCTGATTCTGCTCTACGATAAATAGTCTAGCTTTAAGTGAACACAGGTGTTGAAGTACAAGAGTGTAAAACTAATGGTTATCTTAATGAATGATCAATTGGTTATAGTTCTATGACTGGCACTGCTGGTCTTCTAATTAATGGTCTAATGATTCCTCGCCTGGCAAATAATTCAATTATTTTCTGAAACAAGGCTTCGTATAAGTGATCAAGAGACCCTAATAATTTATTGATACATTAATTCATAAAGTAATTAAATTAACTGCAAAAAATGTCACACTACTAACACATAGTATTGGAATATTTATAAATTCTACACTCTTTCAAAATCAATCTTTTTCTCTCTTAATAATCGACCTTAATATATTGAAAAAGTAAAAAATTAGGAGAAACATTATTGAGCACTATTTTTGTTAAAAATGAATATAGTTTGTTATCTTGTAAAATAACAATATTATATCGTGTATTAGTATAGTAGTATTAAGTTTTTTCAACTAATTTTAAGTCCTCTTTAAATACTGAAGTTAATACTAATAAAATTTGATATTCAATTTATTTGAGAATGTTTGATATATAAGAAGGAATGTAAACACATAATTCAAAATAAATTTAAGTTGATTGATAATGTTGTAGGAAGGTTGAAAACCTATAAAATAAAAGGAATGCATTTATTAAGAATATAAAGTTTAGAGTTAATAATAAATATATACAATATCTAAATTTTAGAATAAAATCTTATTGTAATAGGAGTGTTGAGAAATTAATATACATAAATTTTATATATATAGATTAAAAATATCTTTTTAAATGAAAATCAAGGGTGGATTCTCAAGCATCAAGAATGTTATAGCAAGAGAGATTTTGGATTCTAGAGGTAATCCAACAGTGGAAGCTGACGTAATTACATCAAAGGGTGTGTTCAGATCAGCAGTGCCTTCAGGAGCTTCAACTGGAATTTATGAGGCTTTGGAATTGAGAGATGGTGATAAATCAAGATACCTTGGAAAAGGTGTTGCTAAGGCTGTTGCTAATGTAAATGAGGTCATTAGACCAGCTTTGGTTGGTAAGAATATGGAATAATGTGATAGGTAAGAATGTGACCGAACAAACTAAATTGGACAAATCTATTGTTGAATAGCTAGATGGAAGCAAAAATAAATATGGATGGTCAAAGAGTAAATTAGGAGCCAATGCTATATTGGCAGTCTCATTGAGTTTGGCTAGAGCAGGAGCAGCCGAATAGAATGTTCCACTCTATTAATACTTGGCTCAATTGGCAGGCAAGAGAACAGACAAATTCGTCACTCCAGTGCCTTCACTTAATGTCATCAATGGTGGAAAGCATGCCGGAAATAAGTTAGCTATGCAAGAAGTATACAATACATAATAATTCCTAAGTTCATGATCTTGCCAACAGGAGCAAAATCATTCAAAGATGCAATTCAAATTGGATGTGAAGTCTATCACAGCTTAAAGAGTGTCATCAAATCTAAGTATGGATTGGATGCTACTAACGTTGGAGACGAGGGAGGATTTGCACTTTCAATTTAAGATCCAAATGAAGCTCTTCAATTATTGGAAGATGCTATTAAGAAGGCTGGACACACTGGCAAAGTTGATATTGGAATGGATGTTGCTGCATCTGAGTTCTTTGAAAAAAACACTTATGATTTGGATTTCAAGAATGCCAAGAATGATGGATCCAAGAAATTAACTGCCTAAATAATTGACAGAATTATATCTTAAATTTGTGTCATCACATCCTATTGTTTCCATTGAAGACCCATTTGATTAAGATGACTGGGAAGGATATACTTAATTCACTGCTAAAATTGGATAGAAAGTTCAAATTGTTGGTGATGATCTTTTGGTTACCAATCCAATTAGAGTCCAAGAAGCTATCAATAGAAAGGCTTGCAATGCTCTCTTATTAAAAGTCAACCAAATTGGATCATTGACAGAATCCATTGAAGCTTCAAATCTTTCATAAAAGAATGGATTTGGTGTTATGGTCAGTCACAGATCAGGAGAAACTGAAGATAATTTCATTGCTGATTTGGTTAGATTTCATTCTTATCATAGGTTGTTGGTTTGGGAACTGGATAAATTAAAACAGGTGCTCCATGCAGATCTGAAAGAACAGCCAAGTATAACTAAATCCTTAGAATTGAAGAAGAATTAGGAAGCAAGGCTGTTTATGCTGGAAAGAATTTCAGAAATCCATAATTATGAGAGTCATATCATAAATAAAATAAAATGTTATAAAACCCCATAGATTATTAATTTTAAATAATAATCTGTATTTATGTATTTCATTTTTAAATTAAGAATAACATACACATTCTTCACAGAACTCTTGTGATTGTGTTCTAAGATGTAAGAAATTTGAATTATAATGATAAAGAAAAAAGTAAAATCAATTAAACACTCAATTTTAGAATTTATATAAATGCTACTCTAAATAATGTAGATTAAGAAAGAAAAATATTGAGAGAAGGTATAATAAATAAATATGAGAAATATATGAACTTTATTCACACTAACTTCATTACAATATATAGTTTTTAGTAAGGATTTATAAGCAAATTGAAAATAATTGAAGCTATCATTATTATTATATTATATTTAAAAAAGATGAAATTTTTGCAATGATAATCAACAGAATGATTATATAAAAATAAAACTCATTATTGTGTTTGGGATAATTTGTTTTGCAAATTTTCATATTCAATTTACAATTCTTAGATTTCTGTGTCTAATTGATGATTCTAATTAATTAATATTTATGATACTTTTCTTTTATAATCAGCTAATATGTCTTGACTTACAATTTAAATAGCCTTTTCAATTGTTGCCTTAGATTCATTTATGTCAAACACTGTGAAATTGGGTTGATTGTATTTTAATATTTAAGCAGGAGTCATTTGTTCAAAATCAGGCTCTTTTTAATCAACTTGAACTTCCTCTTCTACTTAATTATTTTCTTAGTTAGGCTTGGCATTTAATATTTCTAAGAGTTCAGGCTATGATAGTTTTGATCCATTACCTTAGGGTTAATAAAGACAATTTCATCGTATTATTCACTTACAACAGGTTTTTTTGTTAATGGGATATTTTGTGTTTAGTTTTAATATAATTTTAATGGATGCACTGCAATCAATGGTTGATCATAATCTCCTTTCAAATATACTTTTATTATGATATCAAATTAGCCCCAACCTGTTTCAGCAATTACAAATGGATGTTGAGATACAACTAAAATGAATATTATATATTTTACCTCTGTTTGTATTTTCAAATGAACTATGTAATACAAATATCACTTTATCAATGAAATAGGATAAGTCCTCATTATTAGCCCCCCTAACATAGCAAATCCATGAGTGTGTTTTCTTTTCATCCGATCTTCTTCCAAGCCAAGTTGCTATTGTTCCATAAATAATTGGCTTAGCTATTTGCATTTATAATATTTATATTTCTTACTCAAAATTTTTATAAGCTTGAATATTTTGTCACAAAATTTAAAAGTTACCAATAATGGTTGATTCCAAGTAAAACCAAAAAATTAATAATAATCAAGAATTGAAAGAGGAGGATGCACTAAGCTATCAAACATAGTAAAGTTATACAAATTGATTGTAATCAATTAGAATTCATTAGAGTCATGGATTCAAAAAATAAACATTCTTAAAATATCATTTCTTCTTAAATGTAATTGTTAGCATAAGGTGTTTTGTAATTATCTTTTCATATTAATTTATTATTACTTTAGTAATTAAGTTATAATAAATAATTTTAGTAAGTATTTTATCATATCATCGAGATGAACCCTTTATTATTTGAAGAAGCAGTATATAAATTTGGTAATATAATTAATAGCTTGGAGAAGAAGATGAATATCAAAGATTAACAAAAATTAGTGATGCAATCAAATTGGTAGCTGGGACTATAATGAGGATTAAAACTTTTAATAATTGGCAGATCTTGAAATACAGTAAAAATACCTTAATCATTTATTTAGTGATTTGTTCTTATCCCTTTTAGCAAGAAGTAATATAATTATTGATGAATACGATCTTCGACTATTTTTAAGATATTGATTTTCTTAACACCTTTGAAAAAGCTTTACTGGAAATAGCTTAATTGAAAGAGCAAAGAGTGTTTCTAAGCTCTCGATCTTCATCCCTTAGAATTGGTGTACTTCAGCAAAAGTAGTAATTTAAATTAGAAGTTAGTTATAATAATATGAATATACGAAACGAACAACTTAAATAAAGTTCTATTCCATTTGCCAAACCAGTAATTGAGTAATTGACAGTGGCAAAAAGGTTTGCAGCTACTTTTATTAAAAAATACATAATATTGGCAAAATCTTTGAATTAAGACATCAAAGAAAGAGTCTACATAATAAAGGATTTTGTAGTCAATACTAGAGATCATCATTTTATAATCCTATTAATCAACACATTTGACGAATTAAAATAATTTGAACTAAGAGATTAAAGTTGGGTAGTTCGTTTTGATCATGAAATTGAATAATGTATTTAAATTTTTGACATTTAGATTGCGCTTAACACAATATCTTAGTGCCTCATTACATAGAAAAGCAAGAGAAGCATCGTTAAATTGAGTAAAATTCATCAGGTAGCGAATCAGAAGAGGATAAAGATTCTGAATCATAATAACATCTGTCGTCTAACTCAAATTCTGCTAGTGGAAAGTAATCTTTAATGGATGAGGAGGAGTTGATATAAAAATGGATAGCATAAAAATAATTTATCATAGAATAATAACAATTAGAGATCTTATCTAAATATGAAAATTTACTACTTTTAATAAGTTTTCTCCTAAATCCAAGTGAAGAAATATTAGATGACTTTTGGGTTATTTAATTTAATATTTTTAGAAAGATCAATATCCAATTGAAGAGATCAATGATGATGGAGTTTCTTTAAAGATAAGAAATCAGAAAATTGAATTCCATGCCATAGTGAGATCCTTCAAAACTGCTCAGATGTTTCATCATAGGTAGAATTTAGAAAAGCTGCAATTATATAATTAGATTTTCCTATAGATGTTTTGTAATATTAATAAATATTAATTAGTTAAGTAAACCTCAGAAGCATTTCAAATTAAAAATAGAAATTTAAATTTGAATCATTTAGCATTAGCGATAGATTCCTTTTTAACTGTCTTTCCTAAAAGTTCAATGGCTTTGATTTTAGAAAACTAACTACTGTTTACATTGTCAAGATATATTTATAATCCTTTAGTCATGGGTTTATTGATTGACATCCATCAGATCTAAATCAATAAATATAATTTTGGACTCCCTTTTACTGAATAAATTTGGAAATACTAACTCTTTACTGATTGGTTTATGTGGGTATAAAACCTATTATACGAAAAAGAAAATGATTTAAAGTAATTAGAGTATTAAGTGAAAAGTGAAAACATAGTAATAATAAATATTTATTCTAGGAATTCATAGTAAAAAGTCTCAAAGAATTGTCTAAGAAAGAACTGAAAATATCTAAACCAAAAAATTCAGATGAAAATAAAATTAAATTAACATAATTATTAGGATCTCTTTAAGCTGGCAAAAGTTTGATGAAATAAAATACCAAAGATTATGAAAATTGGAAATTGAACTCAAAAATAAAAGAACACTTAACAATGGATGAATTTAAGGCTTAAGATTTTGATAATCTCATGGAATTTACTAAACAGAGAGATTCAATGTATAAATAATAATTGGAAACAAAGATCTCATAAGAAATATAAATCTAGATTGATAATATACAATTAAAAAGATCTTCAAGAGTTCGAATGTCCTAAACAAATAGTATGCATTAATAATCACCAAAGTCTAACTCCAAATTTTTATTCTACAACTCCTCATTTTAAAGTTAAAGCGATAGTTAGCCAAATAGTAGCCGTTCAATTAAATTACCATCGATATATACAAGCAATTAATACTCTGAATCCAAATTTAATGTAGCCTAAAGTTTTAGTTCTTAAGGGGAAATTAATACGAAAAATATAAGTAGTTTTGGATAAACTCCTAAAAATAGTAAACTTGTATTAGCTAGTTAAAGAAGACTCAAAACCGAAAGTGAAGATATTGGTATGAATTATATTTAATCAAATGATGGATTCTCTAGTAGTAGGCTGATAACAATATATCCATCCAAACAAGCATAAATTAAATTTGAATAATCAAAGTCTGTGTAACGATAAGACTAAATCATGGTTGAAAGTTGTTTACGATTTTTTAGTGAAATCCTCAGAACAATACTAGATTATTTTTAGTAGCCTAATAAGACAAATTTGTAATAATTAAATGAATAAATTCTTATTCAACAAATATTAAGTATGAATTTTTTGAATTTCATCTTTGAAATTTATTTGTCTAGTTTAATTGATTAAAATGTATAACAGTAAAAAATAGGAGAACTTTGTGGACAACTCATTAATTAAATATATTACAAAAGTCATCATATTGAACTATTTTAATTATTAAGAGAGCAGTTGAGAACTTTGTTTCTAGCTAATGTAGATAATCTAACGAGAGCAATAGTGGCCATTAATAAATAAATCAGATTGTCATCAAAATTTGTAAATAAGTGTTAATTATAACTACTATTATAAACATACTTTTTTGGATTCAATTTGTTTAGCATCCATACATAGTTACCAAGCACATCTAATATTTTTAAGCATTTAAATGAAACTGTAATGCATATCTTTATCATATGGTTTTTTGATAGTCAATAAAATAATTGCTACTAGTACTTCTTTACTAAATTTTTAACTATTTTATTTGCAAAGGCTCCAGTGCCATCATTAACCAATATTTTGTTCAATATTGGATTAATAAATTCGATATATAATGCTGTTTAATCATTATGGGTCAATGGCATGAAGAGCACTTGTTTTGAGCCAGGGGTCTATTTTTATATAAGAATGATCGTATATGTGATAAACAAGTCACTTAATCATCGAAATATGATTATTTTATAAGAATATTTGCAACCCTTAGAATCTTGGAAAGGCGTTAAGAAACTAATTCCTGATGAAGATTCCAATTATATGATTGAATTGTAAGAACTGCTAAAAACAGGACAAACCCCAATCAGAAAGATTTAATTAAAGAAAACTAAACTCGAAAAATTAAAATCTTAATTGACTGTTGATTGTTTTGATAGTAAATTAAAGGAGATCAAATAATTTGAATAGGCTTAATTAGAAAAGTAAAAGCAATCCTTTACACCTAAAGTGCTTTAATAAGGAAAAAAAATGTCAAATAAATTGAGCCAAAGGTCGTTAAGAAATAGACCAAGTCTAAAATCCGATAATTGATCATATATTAGTCATTCTAAGTTTATAATAATCACTTAAAAATCTAATTTAGAATTTATCTATTATAATCTATTTAATTTATAAAATTAATATATTTATCTCAAAAATATCATACAGATCGACATCTTAGATACAAGTGTAGAATTTTTAATTTATAAACTTAAAAAATATTTTGAAAATTTTGGCATTATTTCTTCGAAATGATAGATTGAATTTTGCTAGATGACAACGTTTGTCTCATGATATATTAAATATTTAATTTATAAAATGACAAGCTTTAATTGGGATTAAACTTTAAAGTTGGTTCCAGATTCAAACATAGCATTGGTGTTTGACTAAGCTGTATGTCTTAGTTTATATATTTTAGCTTATTGCAACTGATGAGTACTTGAGGTTATTAAAAATAACAGAAGGTATAAAATATATAACCTAAAATTTACCCTAAGCCAAAACATTTGCTAATCCAAAACTCTTGTTTTAATGTAAACAAAATTTCAATAATATATTAGTAATGTGCTTATATCCCTTTTAAAAATCTAATATAGAATCTTTGATTTCTGCATGCTTTGAACATTTTAAGGATTTTGGTTTCATTAATAATTTCTTTGCTTCCGCTTCAAATATTTCTCTGCTTCAAGAAACAAGTACTCAAACACTCAAGTAAAGAATTACTATGTTATCACGGTTAAATAAGTATTTAATAATCATAATTTCAAAGCAAAACAAAGGATAATAATGAGGGATAATAATTCAGTTAAGCTGTAAATCAGGAAATAATTACAATTAAACTGTTTGCTGTAAGTTACCTGAAGAAGTTTTTTGAGTTGGCTAATCAATTGCACTTAGACTTTTAACTTTATTGTCTAATGTTTAAGAATCTTATTCAAAATTCATCTAATCAAAAATTGCTTGAAAATGTGATGGATTGCTTTTAAGACCTAAGATTCACAATATTTTCCAAATGTGATTGGGTTAATTAATTTAGTTAAGAAATAGTTACATGTAAAGTTACTTTTATAGATTTAGTTTTTAATAACAGTCCAAAATTATTTCCATCTTACACCAAATATCAAATAGTTGTAGTTGTAGAAGATTCTGATTCAGAGATTGTCAGTTAAACCTAAATCATAGTAAATTAACAATAAAATAGAAGAAGGTCCTATATTTCAAATGAATAAGATCCTAGTCTATATTTATAAAATTTATGTTTTACATAAGATCCAGAATAACCATTATAACATAGTTCAGTTTTTCAAGAAGTTGATAATATAGACATTTTGATTTAGTTTGTTTTAGATCCAGCTCAAATTTCAATAGCTTCTCTTTGGGTAATCTATATTTCGATCAGCATAGGTTGAAAACTATCCAAATTTGCCTGATATAATAGATAAGGATAAAAATATATTCAAATAAAGATCAAGTTATCAATTAAGCAAATATCAGGTGCTTCGATCTTATAAAGCCCTATTAATACTCACAAACTTGGATAACTTTAACAAATTATTGGTTTAATATTCATAAATATTTACAAAAATATGTAAATAAATCATTAATAATTAGTTGCCTTCATTCATATTAACCTATTTGATGATACAAAAAACATCAATTTACATCATCTGGCCATATTGTTAAAATTTTTAATCAATTTGTAACCCAAGTTTTGTGTTAAATAAATTATTGAGTTCAAAATATTTCCTAAACTTTTAGAAATGTTGTATAATCCGTCAATAAATTAACTATTGATTGAGATTATCAATGTTAACGAAGATGCTATCAAATTAGGAATTTATTATTTAGACTAGTTATGGTCCTACTTGCATTAAATTAATTTTTTGTAATTACTTTCTAATTATTCATTTGATGCATAATTGGTTTAAGATACGCCAACACCTGATTAAGCAGTAATATTAATACTTATGAAAGGCATACTAAGAGACATTTTAAGTTATTAAAGCTCTATCAATCTATGATCCATAGAAACTGTAAAAAAAGTTGTTGAGATAGGAGACTTTAGAAATTTAAGAATAGCCTACTATTCAGTCTAGAAATGATTATGATAATTTAGAAGTGTTTTAAAATGAAAAGAAAGAATAGCTAATAAGAGGAGAAGATGATTTGTTAAGAAGACAATCATCTATATCAATCAACTAAAATACTTGCAAAGTTCAGGTATTTTACAAAAGAAAATCTAATATCTTTTACTTACCAAAAATTTAATCAAATATTTCTTGTTAAGATGTGGACAATAAATAGATTAATTATAGTTAAAATATAGATAACTTATTAAGCTCTGGAAACATTAAAACACAAACATTTATGAGACTAAGAAATAAAGCTTCTTATCATTTATCTAAAACAAGAATCAAAACTGAACAAGATATTGATTTATATTCAAATGATGGTTTTCCAAGTAGTAAACTCGTTTAAATCTACCCTACAACTAAGTCAATTATATTTTTATCAGAGTTTGAAAGAGAAAAATCAGTTTTTAATTATAATGATATGTCTGAAAATCATTTAAGAACTTTAATTCTTCTGCTTAATTAATTAGTTGACTTTGCAGAAAAGCAATAAGAAATTTAAAAAAGATAGTCTAAAACTTAAATTTTCAATATTGATAAACTAACATACTCAATAATAACAGAGAAGAATATTTATTACTTATTTAAAGTATTTTTGTACTCAATTTTGGAAATTCCTCATAACCCAACTTCAATATCTGTTGAATCAGGACTTTCATTAAATAATCTTTATTTAAAGGTTAAAAATATCTAAATCTTCGACAACCACAAGGATTTGTTGAAAAACCAGTTTTAATTAATAATTGATTACTTAGTTAAATGCATAGTTAAGCTAAACTCAATTAGATCTAAAATAGATTCAGCATCCTTCGCTTTTAAATAGTATATTTTAGTTTCTATAATGACAAATGGATTACAACTATATGATAGATAGAATTATATGATCAAGGTAGATAAAGTCTTTCGAAGTGTTTTCAGGAATTTAACAGACACTATGCTTCATATAATAATTATATGGTTTTCGGATAGTTAACAGAACACAATCTACTAACAGGTTTTTACTAAATTTATTAGCATATTTTTTGCAGGAGCTCCTATGCCCTACCTATCGAATATTATCTTCAAATTAGGGCTAGTGAGTTCCTTGTATAATGCATATACAAAACTTTATTAGAATGAAATAAAGGATACTTCATATGTAGAGGGTATTTTTTTTTATATTCTATTGATAAACTACATTATACGAAATGCAATAAGAGTGAGAAATTTAAGTGATCTACAAAGTGCTCTAAGTATACTAGATTCGTGGTAATAACTTGAATCAGCTCAACCATTTGAAAACAAAATGGCTTTGAAAAATGCAGATTAAGTGATCAACTTAGAATAGCCAAAACAAGTGGAAAAAGTAGTAGTCAAGAAAAGTGAAGAGAAGAACTTAAAATTGATCAAAATAAAAAGTTAAATAAATCATAAAGTTAATTCGCTGGTATCCTTAAAAAAGTATGCTTGCATCTTGTAATTTTAGAAAAACAAGCGAACCCAATACTAACCCAGGGGTTCAAACATCTAGGGCAGAATTAACTTAAAGGAAATTAATTTGATTTGGTAGATAGATTTGTTGATTATAATAATATATAATTTTAATCACAAATATAAATCCTGTCTAATGCACTTAGAACATGCTGTAATTATTGATTCAAATGTAGCTGAATGAAGACGATGAATATATAAGATTATAGAAATTATCAATAGCAATAAAAGAGATCACACAGATTTTACCTAATTAAAAACAATTTAAAGACATTTCGACATTGAAGTTATGTATATATATAATAAAGTATTCTAAGTAATATGCGCTTATCCATTTTAACAACACAGTGTGGAATTACTTATTTCAATTCTCTTTGATAGATTTAAGGATGGATAATTTATTTCTGCATTTCACTAAGCTTGCTCTGAAGTGGCTTAACTCTAAGAACAAAGAGCTCTATTAAGTTAAAGATCACTCTCTCTTAAATCATCACGACTTACAAATATGTAATAAAATTGATAATCCTAGGTAAAATACATCTGTAGATTCACGAAAGAGTTCACAAAATGTGTCTTTTGCAAAAGCAGTAATAGAAAAATTACTGATGGCCAAAAAGTTTAGTACTCGATACTTAAAACAATTATTTTTATAGGCAAACGAATTAAAAATGGACTTAGAAAAGATGGCAAGGATATTCAAAATATTAATTATCAATACAAAAGATCAAGAATTTAGATTAAAAATTATATCTATATTTGACGAATGTAAAAATGATATTTTTGGAAATCGCTAATGGGTAGCTACATATTATGAAGAGATAGACTAATGTAATTAACTAATTATAAATTAGTCTTTTTATAAAATCATGTATTAAGTCCAAGTAAATTACCCGATTTCGCTCAAGAGAAAAACTCTAAAATAACTTTTTAAGTGATTGATGATCCCTTAAACTATGATAGTGATGATAGTCAAGAGGAGAAAATTGATATCTAAATTTAAAAATGGCTTTGTGAAACTAACACATATGACATACTTGAGAGAGAGGAGATTTTCAATAAACCAGAAAATTTTGATGAAATTCTAAAATTCATTACTTAACCTGAAAAAGTGGAACTCCATAAAATATGGGTAAATACCAACATAATATTAGGCTCAATACTCTACTGTAAATATGTAAAATGATGATCCTACTTATTATAAATTGATTGGAAAATCTTTGAAGCAAGAAGAAACCATACGTTCATATAAGGCCCTTTAAGTTTTGATTAAGGAGGACAACTTTTAATTTTTTGATGAATTTGTTAAATAAAATGTCATTCAAATCTGTAAAATAATATTTAGATCGTTTAGTTAATGGAGTTTATGAATTTATTAATGATTAAAACCATAATATGAATCTTAATCATGTTGCAAAACTCATTGAAGTTACATTAATGAGACAACCAAAGTTAAGTGTAGTATAAATAGTAGATTTAAATCTTTATTTTTCATTGAGCCTCTACATCTATAATTCTATGATAACCTAAATTTTAGAGAGTATTTATATATGATATCTAGGTATCATTAATATTAAGATAGACTATTATTAATTAGGGTATTTCTTCTAGGAATAGCTTTGGAAATATTTATGTAGAACTGAATGGTTCAAGTTTATAGTCTCATTGGTTTCTAAGGAAGGTGTAAATATGAATATTACAGATAAACATACTAAAACTGAGGCTACAATTAGTATTTTATCAATACTTAAGACCCTTTCATAATATGATTAAAAGCAAATTAATTCCTCATCAATAAACACTGAAGATAAACAACTATTGACTAACTTTTTGGGTGTGCTGCAATCAGGTAAAACCCCTGAATTGTATTATACAACAAATTAATTCAATTGGTAATTAAACAAAGAGATTTATGAATACATTTCAGCTAATGAATTTGATAACAGAGATTTAGATAATTTAAATCAATTTATATAAGAAAGAAAGAATAATACTTCGACAAAATAATATTTCATGGATCTAAAAAATTCTAAAATGAGAAAATCGTATATCCCACCATAAATTGAAATAATCGAATAGGAATAAATTATATTAACTAAATCTATAGAATCACCAGCACCAACCAGAAGTACAAGAACTAAAAATAATATTATTATTAACACAAGAAAAAGTTAATCAAAAGGAATATCTAAGTTAACTTAATCTAATTCTTTATAATCTTCTCCAACTTAACTAGTGGAATCACCTTATTTGGGAATCACATGCTTAAACTTAAAGTCTATGATTCAATAGAAGAAACCCTATTCTACAAGCTTTTATTAGATAACAATAAAAATCGATATTTTTATATCACTAATCCAAATTTAGACATAGAACTTGAAGGAAATTTTACTAATGATGGATTTTTCTAGTTCAAGGACTTAAGACTATTTATCCAAGTTTATAAAACATCAATTAAAAAATACCTAGTATGAAAATTAGCTAGAATAATTGTAGATAGATTATAAATACTATTAAAAAGGTATAAGGCTAATGCATGAAGCAACTAAATCAATAATGCAATATTTAAAATAAAATAATGATAAAGTTAAATCAGCTTTAAGTAAATTAGATATATCTAGCATGTCTAAATGCTTCTTAAATTAAAATTTGTTTGATAGATATTTTTAGATATATATGCTAAACATTTTGGAAAATTAGCCTTACGATTCCAATCTATCAGATGAATGCGGAGTTTTCATTAATTATATTTTCGAAAATGTGTTGGAAATAAAATCTCTTACTGATAGTTAAATGGATCTCTGCAACAGCTTTTTAAATTCAATTGAATATCTTTGTAAAATTATTTTTGAAATGCACAAAAATCCTAATTTCCTTATTTCAACAAAACACAAATTTAAGAAAACTTTGTTAATGACAACTCTAAACACAGGCTTATAGTTGTTCCAATTAACTTACAGCGATCAAATTGAAAAACTAATTATTAAATACTTAAATGAAAGTGTTTTACACATATTGGTGATCTGGTTTTTCGATAGCGATTCAAACAACACCTTTTAAAGAAATTTCTTTATGTATTCATTAATTTATTTATTTTCAAGGTTTTTAAACTTATTACTTAATTAAGCACATTCTGCTCTGATATCAACTCTTTTTTTCAAAATAGGATTTATTGCATCACTGTAAAATGCTTATTCAAGATTCTATATGAATGGAATCAAGAATGATTCAAATTATGAAAATCTATCATACTACATCCAAATTATAATCCAATTAATTTAAAATGTATAGATTATGTGTAGATTAAGGTTATTCATTAGAGATAATTAGTATAAATTGAAAAAAATTTAGAGACTATGTAATCATGGCACATTATAACAGGAAATAAATATATAGAATTAACTAAATCGATAACAAATAATAATATAGTTTAAGATAATATGATAAATTTGGATAAACAATCATAAAATACACCAAAATATGCAAGCTTTCATCGAACAGAAGATCGAGGAAAGAAGGAAAGGAAGGTTGGTGAAATTTTAATTTAAAAGGATAGATCAACATTATCAAGAAAATCCTTATTACTTTCACCAAGATTATTACCTCTAAGTCCTGCATTGACTAATAAATTTAATTAATAAAGTTCTTGATTTACTGATTTTTTATTATCATTCACAACAACAAATTCTTATTATTACTTGTTTAATGCAAAAAATATAAAATTACATAAATACCCTTTTTAAAGTTCTTAGAATTCTCACTTTTAGTTCCATTTAAGACTAAAAAAGAATTCATTTGTATTATTTAAGAATAATTCAATATTAATCGTAATAGTGTATTAGAATACCATTATAAACTAAGTTAATCAAATAAAGTAAAATTTAAGTTATATTTTGTAAACTAAAAAGTTTGTATATTGAATTTGTTAATTTTATAATTTTTATTTAAGAATTAAAAAATGGCTTCATAATCAAAAAAAAATATCTCTGAAAATAAAAGAGATACTCTTTAATTTTTCTCCAGATAAAGCTAGAGTGCATAAAAATTCATAGAAAACAAAGAAAATGAAAATCCTTAATTCTTGAGTATTGATAAGCAAAATTATAATGGTAAAATCAGAAATAGCATATTGACAATTGAAACTATAAGTAATAAGAAGAAGTGTGAAATATTGAAATTAATGAAACCAGATAATGATAATTATGTTGAATTTGTTGTTTATGATGATGAAGAGGTAGGAATAAGTAAGTAATTTTCTGACAAGCTTCAGGAAGCTTACGATAGAGATGATGACGTTTAAACAACTGATAGTGTCTAGAAGTAGTTGCAAGACATTTGTTTGAATGATTTAGAAGAGGGCATACAATAAAATTTGGGTGATAAAAATAAAATGATTATAAATTTAAAGAGAATTCGACAGCATTACAATTAACTTGGGCTTGAGAGTAAAAAAGAGATTAAAAATTGATATAATACTTTAAATTAAATATAATTTATAATCCAATATAAATAGCAAATGAATATATCTATTAAGTAAATAGAGGACGACTTAAACGGTAATGACACATCTCCCTCAAGACAATATGATTCTTTTAAATTGATAAATAATCTTTCAATAAAAACAAAAGATTCTGTGGAATAAAAGTTTAAGTTAATAAAAAGGAGACAAAATCATCATAAATCAGAGATACACCGTCCTACTAAGAATACTTAGGACAATAAAACACATGAAACTGAATAAAGAGGTGGCACCTGCGAAAAATTATTAAGTGAGCTCTAAATCGATACTTAGATTAGACAATAAATAAAGAAAAATATCAAGGTATCTGAATAATGTGTAAGTAAAAACAATGTTCTAGAATCGAACTCATCTTCTTACAGTTCAAAAATAGGGTCAAAATAAAATTGTGTTAAAGGAATTTTGAAAAAGTAAACTTTGGAGTCGTCATTTTCAGATAACAATTCTAGAAGTAGCAGTGTTGCAAGTGGAAAAAGCGTAAAATTTAATTTGGTCTAAGCAAATGTTCGGATGGCCTTAAATTAATGGAAATGATAAGAGGAACCCTTAATTTTGAATATGAATATAATTTTATACTCTTTGATGATTCGTTTAATAAAATTTATATAACTTTTAGTTGACTATTTTATCAAAAGTGGTACTTTCCCTTTATTCTCGCCCATATTTTTTCATTGATTAAAATGTGAGCATTCATACTCGATATAATATGCAAAATATGTAAATAATTATTCAATTCAATTTATATCTTTTTAATATAATTCTAAGAGTATTTCTGAATCGAATCTAGAATCAAAGATGACAGAAAACCTATCTTGTATAGTAAAATTTTCAATTAATTATTTTTTGTTTTAAGGCCAATTTAATGGAGGAGGATGAAGTAAATCTAAGGTATATTAAAATACACTGTCCAATAATTAAGTTAAGAACTTTTAGTGAAAGGGACAATCAGGAATTAAGGATGGATTTAAATTGGCATCAATCAACCATGGTTTTAGTGCTGTATCTACAATAAAATTTAAACCTACAATCTTAATAGAAATATTTTATACTTCGAAATTGTAGTCCCTTAAAACCATTTATGTAAACATAGACTTAAATATATTTGTAGCTATCCTTTTGAATTTGGAGATCATTATCTCCCTAAAATTTATCTTAAATTATTTAAAAAATTCTTATAATTTCTCAGTGGATAATTTATTTCCTGACTCATATAATGAAAAGGACTTGCACTCTTTTTGGATTTGACTATTAGTAAAATGAGTTAAAGGATCTAAATCATTGTCTGAATATTCCTTGCTGCTTGTCCTTCCAATCACTTCATCATAAAAGTATACTCTAACAATTCCATTAAAAGAGGTTATAAGGATATAAGCACAAATATCAAACTTTCTTTTTTGATATAAAAATGGCTTAATATATTATTAGATTATGAAAGAATCAACCACTCTGTTTGAATTTTTTAGTTCAGAAGTAATAAAATCAGAAACTTACTTTGTGTTTTAGCATAGCTTTATCTAAGAATGATTATTGAGTTACTCTCCAGGTTTTACTAGCCATAATGAATTAGTGAGTTTGTATTTAATTTAGTATATATTGAATTATGGATCTTAAATATTAGCAACATTAATCGAATATGGAAAGAATTGTTGGAGCTCTTCATTTGCGAGTGTCTAATATTTATTAATAAATTTTAGTAAATTCTTTTTCAAATTAAATATTTAATATAGATCTAAGTGATTATGAATTCTACTATTTTATTAAATAAATGTCAATTTTTATTCTTGAGCAAATTTTAAGAATTCTTCATGATTATTTATAATTTGTGGATTAATAACTCTTTTTTTGGTAATATCAAATAACGCATGAGTTTGTTATTTCTATAGAATTTACTAATTCAATTTTTGAGACCAATAAAATTATACATCCTCTGATTTTTCAAGAGATTCACACCACCACCATCTCTTTTTCATTAATTACATAATAATTTGATCATTTTAGTTTATTTCTTCAATGAAGTATGTCTATTATCTAACTTAAGATTATTTTACATAAAGTAAATAATTGCATTGAAGTTAAAATATAAACTATTAAAGACTGATAAGCTTAGATTAAAATTATTCTTCTAAATTTCCATGATTAGTTAACTTTTAAAAATTAGATTATGTATCATTTTATTATGCATTATTTAATCCAGGTTCTCTTTTATTAATGATGGGAAGAGTTTTAATATGATTGGCGAGCTTTTCAACTTGAGGTTCATCTAAGTAAATACAATTTTATCTTTTCAGTAATGGAATAGGGGATCTTGGAATAAATTATTCTTTCTAAATATATTTCTATCTTTTTTTTTTCATTTCATGCAATACTTTAACCAAATCTTTTGTCTTTTTGTCTTTGTCTCTTTGACCCAAATTATCCAGGATTAAAGGTTCCTCTTATAGATGATTTTTTGACTTAATTCTAAATATGAATGACTGATTTATATTATTTAATTAATTATTATTATTCTAATTTGATGTGCTTCTGAGATCTCTAAATAATTTTGAATGTTTTCTAAAATAAAGATCTTCAGTATATTGAGTATAACTATTATTTTAATATGATTATTATGAATTGACGGACTCATTCTATTGTTCGAATTTTTGTTACTCAGGAGTTAGGACACTAATTTAATAAGGGGCATTAAGATAATAGTGATGATTTTTTCTAATGTCTATTTGCTTCAATTTTTTGTGAGATAGAGATGACTGAAACATTAATTTTATCAATTAATTTAATTTATACAGATAATTACAATCATAAGTTGACAAATTTCATAATAAATATTTCATTTTTTAATAGTTGAATCTTTTTCATTACTTATTCATTTTTAGATGAAATTTTAAAATTAGAGCATAGATTTTGTGAAGCTCATTTTGAATAATTTCTCCATTTGTGTTTCAAATTCCTGTTTATTTCTTCCAAATATTTTCACGTATTAACTCTCAGTGAGTTCAATCCCAAAGGATTCTATAAAAATCTTTATCCTATTCTCTCCATCAATAAAGTGATTGTGACTTTGTTCAGTAATCAATTTGACAATGTCTTCCTAAATTTAAGTTTGAAACACTCCTGGCTTTATTTGCTCTATTAATTCTATGTAGCTCAAAATTGCTTAATCAAGTTGCTATGAAGAAATTTATGTATGATATAACTGATTTTCTTATTTAAGCAATTACTTCAATCTAGGCAATTTTAAAGTCGACAATAAAGAAATTATATATGCCTTTGGATTCTTATTTTATAATTCCAAAATATTCCAATTATCAATCACTGGTGGAATAGCAATAACCACAAAGTTGCATTATTCCAATAATCTGTCATTATCAAAGTATACCTAATAGCCTTTCGTAACATAATAATAAATTTATTCAGGCCTATTGAAGTTATATCATTATAATAATACCTTCTTGTTGATATGTGAACATCCTAAGGCTTTAGATCATAGTATTTAATAGCATATGGAATTATTGAATTGATTATCAGCTTTCCTACTTATCCACATCCAATCAATCCAAAACTAATTGATTCATCATTATGAATTGATTTCCAAGTATTGAAAATATGTAATACTTAAGCAACAATAAATTATTTAGCTAATCTCACTCTAACTAATTCAGGTTTTGGATTTTGAGTGATTGGTATGTTCAGGAAGTTATAAAATTGTTGATTCATAATATTTATATTATTAATAATCATTTTCTAATATTTTTGAATTCCTTTATTTTAAATACTTCTTTAAAATTATGAATTTATATTTTTGATTCATTTATCTTCATCACCTATCCTCAACTTATTTGATAAACTATATTTAAATTAGTGAGGTTATCTGATCTTTCTAAATAATTAATACATCTTATTAAATTAATATCTAAAATATGTGGAAAACATCTCCTGTTTATTTAAATTAAAGTTTACATAATCATTTATTAAAAGGTTATTTAATTAAATTAGCCTTAAATAATTTCCTTATTACTTTGAGTTTTTTATGTATTATAAGTGGAAATAAATTTAAGTTTCCAATGCTCCAGCTTGAGTTATTATTTACCATAGCCTTATCTTTTAACAATTATAAGTTATATAATAAATTATCCGAATTTATTATTTTCTCAACTCATTTCACTTCGATTAAATTTAATAATTTATTTATGAGTTTGGTAAAACCTTTAATGCAGACAATAATTCTTTCGAAATATAATGTAGAAATTTGTCTTTTTCCATAAAAAATTCCCTCATCCTTGCAAAATTTTTTATGATTGACAAACACTCATGCAAGCTATCTCAACTAAATCTTCAAAAAACAATAATTGGACTATTTTTTTTTTCCATTATAAATCTTTAGGATTAAATAAAACTAACTAAAATTGAAAAATTGATCTTCTATAATTCTTTAATGTTTAAGTTCTTAATTTTTTTCTTAGGGGAGATATCTTTATTAATTATAATATCTTTATTCCATTTTCTTATTAGAATCAAAATCATTAGAATCACCGATGGAAAATTTTTATGATCAGAGAATCAACTATTATTTAATAATAATATAATAAATTTATATTATTTTCTTTCTTAAAGATTTAGTATAATTACTCTACTACCTTTAGGAGTATTTAAATATTGGGTAATTAAGGGTAAATTGATTTTAATTCTTTACAATAATAATATATTGGTTTCCTTTCTATTATTTACAAAGATTGCATGTTCTAAGGGAGAATAACAAGTAATATTAATATGAAATTTTAATAATGGAATTAAGATTATTTAAATGATAACTTAATATCATTATGCTGGTAGATATGTGAAGAACGTTTATAATGCAATTTTGTAATTTTTGAATTGTTTTCAGAGCAAATAGCATTTAATAATCGGTAATTTATATTTAGCAATTTGATATAAAAATATTAAAATTAATGAGTTTCCCTGATTATATAGATCAACTTAATTACGATTCCAATTCAAGCGACTTATAATTCGAACAGGATGAGTTGCCTAGCAAACGATAAAACAATAGCAATAAGAATAAAAAGCAAATGCCGAATACTAAGAATGCCTACATAAATAAGATATCATCCTTGATTAAAATAACCAACTAAGAACAATCAGATGAAAAGTAAAGGCATATGAATATCAATAGAGTTGGTAAAAAGCAACTTCCAAATAAGATTTAAAGTCAGCTTATAATTGGAAGTTCTAATTGCGATAAGGAAGATAAGTTGGCTAAGAATAGAGAATCAGCAAGAAATAGTAGAAAAAGAAAGAAAATCTATTTAGAACTACTTGAGACCAAAGTCACAAAGTTATCTGAATAATTGGAAATATTTAAAAGGGTAAATGATTAAACAACAGAATTAGCAACAAGCTTACAGAGTAAAATAAATCAGGTAACATAAAATTAATGTTAGAGATAAGATTAAGATTAAAATAAGATTATATTGTTTTCTAATTTACAAAACTCTGTTTAAAGTAATATCAATGAAATGAATATCGATACATTTATAGAATCACTGAATGTAATTAATTCTCAATATGATTTCAGAAAAAATTTGGATCAGGATCCCTAGATAGATAATAATAAATTGATCATTATTCTCGGTAAATATATGAGAATTGTTTATCTCCATATTTAAATTACATAATTGGAGTGGCCAAGACGGATTAGGATATTTTCGCATCCTCAGAGTCTTTGTCTGAACATGGTATCTTAAGAAGTTTAAAGTTAACCGATAAACAAAAACAAACACTTCAGAAAAAATAAAAAAAGTTGCTAAGATATTAAAATGAGCTGACGAAGTATTTTTCCCATATATTCTATTAATAGTACTCTTTCATCTTTTTAAGATATTAAAAATTAGGTGTAACTTGAATTAGGTGCTTATGGATAGACTCTGGAATAATTGAGGAAGGAACTGAAGCCTAGTCAAGTGGCCAAATTTTTATTAGAAATTGAAAAGAAAGATATGTAACATTAATTTAAGGATTAATTTGAGAAATGTTTTGGGTCAGAATTTGATGAAGATGATTCTTTAGATCTTTATTAATTCATGGCTGAACATAATTATTGTAATACACTTGGTATTGATATACAAAATACATATTAAATTTACAAATAGTCAAATGATTTCTTGAAAGGTAGAATAGATGTTGAAGAATCCTAATAAACAGCAACTAAAATTGAGTGATATTATATTATCTAAAATGTATTATATAAGAATATCAACGAGGATCGTCTTTAAAATGATGTTTATTCCAATCCACTTAGGATTTTCTGCAAACATACCAATCATGTCTTATGGCTTTGCATTCTTTATTGATTCCTTCAGTTAAACAGAATCTAAAATCTCCTTCATTGTTTTTCATGCAATCCGATTCCAATACACATTCTACAATCATTTCTTTTAAGTCATGACAGGCAGGTTTGTATTAAAGTCTCGATGGTCCAACCCAATTGTCAACTTTTTCGAAGAATTTAGTAAGTCGAGATTTAGGAGGCTCTGGGTCTTAATCCATTATTTATAATAATTAAATGGTGTATAATGAACTATACTCATGAGTGGTAAAAAAAATAAAAAAGCGCTAATGGAAGGGTTTGAACCTTCGACCTGTTGGTTAACAGCCAACCGCTCTGCCGACTGAGCTACATCAGCGTGTTCGAATATTTGGTTTTGCTATCGGTATTATACTCCTGAACTTACCCATTATTAATAAAATGGCATTATACAGAAATAATAATTGAGGAGCATTCAATTGTGAAATTAAATTATTTAATATAGAGGAACCGAACTTTTAGAATTTGTCTTAGAAGTAGGGTAATTTTATATACTAAGATTTAAAGACGAAATTAATAGTTTGTGTTATAGAGATAATAGAATGAAAATACGAAAAAATGATTATGATAGAGTCATTTAATTTTTTTGGTCATATGAGTATTAGATTTATTCGATTAAGTGCAATAACAGATCTATTTATCAATTATTTATTATTATAATAATGCAGACTATGTAAATAGCATTTATATCTAAATTAATTTCTTAATTATTGATTTTAAAAATACTTTATCTTTAAATGAGTGCATAATAAAAGAAACTATTTTTGTTAAAAACAAAGGTAGGGACATTTTCATAACAGAAAATACCTGCTCCTCAGGCAACCACTTCACGGAATACTAAATTATAAAGAAACTCAACTCGATTGCCAACATTGGCATCCAATTAATTAATGTATTCTCCCATAATTCATTCAAAACAAAAAACAGTTTTAAACATTTCACTTACTAAGCTCGATGATTTTCACAAGAACGTAGTGAGATATCATTCGATTAAGTAAATATTTATTTGAAGTCATTTAGATGTGTAGATGGTCAGGACTATCGAAGGTATAAAATACGAAGTTAAGAATACGCTTAATGCAAAACTAAGATCGGAGATGGAAATGGCAAACATGTATTTATATTAAACGATGGTCATGGCACATCAGGTCTACCTATAGCCAGATTTGTTGGAATGGAATTGGATAAGTAGTACCAAGAACTTATCTCAAAATTGGATGCTAACAATATGAAAGACGAAAAAGTTCATGAAGAAATTATTGATCTATATAAAAATACCGATGAATTATTGGTATAAATTTATATTAATATTACTAGTCATAATAAAGTGAAATTGACACTTCTCAAAGTGGATCTTCTAATATCTCAATACTTATAGTTGGAGATCAATTATTGTGTGTTAATTGTGGAGATTCAAAAGCCTTATTTTACTATAAAAATGACTTTTAAGAATAGACGATACATTTGTGGAGAATGAAAAATTTGTCTTTTGAACATGTGCCATCCAGAGAAACAGAATTATTAAGGATTAGATCTCACAATGGTAGGATAGATTAATAAATGATAAGAGGAATGAAGTAAGGAAACTTATAAATTTGGACAAAAAATAAATTGGATTAAGGATTGCATATCACTAGATGTTTTGGTAATAAAGTTCACAAGACAGTGGGAGTGACAGTAGAACCTGAGATTATTCACTTCAGATTTCCAAAATCTGGATATTTGGTACTTGCATCAGGTTCATTGTGGAGTTATTTGGATACTATGGATATTGGATAGGTTCTCAATAAATATAATCCTCCCAAATCATAGAGTGAAATAACAAGAATAGAGAATGAAATTTTAGCGAATGCCCATCATTTTTGGGATGGGGAACACGATGGAATTCAGGATATTTCTTTGATGATAATCTTTATTGATTTATAATTATGAATACATGTTGATAATGTGTATAAATTACCTTATTTATTTCAGTAATAATTCGAAAACAATTAGTATAAAATGAGATATAAAGAAATTAAACTTTTCAGTAGTTTATAATTTAAACAAAGAGAATGAGCATATTAAATAATAAATATCACTTAATCAAAATTGAAACCTAACACTTCTTCTGGATCCAGAATATAGTGATTTGGCTTTGTTGCTTTTTGGCTTTAAAATGCTTGATTAAGGCTAACTATTAGATTTAAAAGATTTGAGAGATTTAACATCTTCCTTCAAACTTGAGGTCTGATCAGAAGGGTCAACATTGATTTGTTTGAGTGACAATTTGCCCGGAGAAAAACTGAAATCTACATTTTAAGTTTGGTTGATTCTATTGTGGTATTCTTTTTCTCTTAATTCCCTGTCGGATCGTATTAAACTATATTTTTTCCTTGCAAACATGTCGCCGAACATTTATTTCATTAACAATTCTTTTTAGTACTTCACTCCTTGAGAGAAGGAGTGTCTGCCTCTATCAGGAGTAGAGAAACGGACTTCTTTTTTTTTTAGAATTCTTGTTTCGATGTCAAAGTCAAGATCTTCCTGAGTTTCTGGTCTGCTCTCGTTGTAATGCAATTCCCAAGTTGGTTTTTTGGTTCTATTGGTAGGTTTGATAGATAGAAGCATAGGGTCATTTGATTCTTTCTTTTTGTTCATACAGCTCTGTCCCATTTAATTGAATTATTTTATAAAAGTAATATGAGCAATAGATAATTTAAAACAGTGTTTTTAGGAAGTCAAAATGTTGGAAAGAGTTGCATAGTAAAACGAATAGTGTAAAATTCATATGATGGGAAGACAGAACCAACGATCGGAAGTTCATTTTAATCTAAAACTATTAATATAAATGGAGAAGATATAACATTCCAGTTGTGGGACACTGCTGGCTAAGAAGCTTTTCGCGCCCTTACTAAAATATATTATAGGTGTAATTATTTGATGTTTGTATAAAGTCTACAAGAATCCTAAATCGGTATATGACATCACAAATAAGGAGACATTTCGCAGTCTCGAGAAGTGGCATGAAGATCTCAAGGATAATTGTGACAGGAACAAAATGATTTTGGCATTATGCGGAAACAAAGTTGATCTGGATAATGACAATATCACATACGCAGAAGCCAAAAAATTTGCAGATTAAATTAATGGAGGATTATTCTTAGTGTCTGCAAAGACTGGATAAGGAATAGAAGGTTTGAAATCAATAGAATATTGAGGAAATGTTTGATAGAGTTGGTACCATGGCATCCCAAATGGAATTAGAGAATCCTGAATTCGTTAGAGGCACATCTAAAAGTCTGTACTAAGTTCATTAGAAAAAAAAAAAATGTTGTTGATAGGTTATTTAGATTTATCGACAAATTTATATTATATAAATTAATCTACTATTCACTAGTCTGGCCATTACATTAGTTCCTATGTTCTTTTGATCTATCTTTGCCCACAATTATTAAGAGTTTATAGTTATTTGGGTTTGAGTTTTGGTTACAGTGGTTTGTTGTTTCCTAGATAAATATTTCTCATTTGTTTTGGCTTATCAAAGTTGTACTCCAAACGAACAGATGGGGGTGTTTCGGCTCTGTCTTGTTTCATCATTACTTTGTTAGTAAATTTACTGAATTCAACATATCCTACATCAAGTCTTTTGTTCTTTCATTATTTTAAATAATTTTACTATTCTCGCATAATTTACTCCGAGTAAATCGTATTGCTGCAAAAATTCTCTCTAAGTATATTTACGATCAGTATACTTATTAAAATCAGGAGAACAATTATGAGTCTTGCTTCTCCTATTTTTATCCAATTATACCTTTAGGGAATGCAATAACTTAGGGCATTCCTCTTTTATATGGGAGATTGTGTTTTTCTTTTCAGTTTAAGCTTTAGGTGATTTCTGCATGGTTCTAAAGGAGGTGTATTAATCAATGTAGTAATCTTGACTGCAAATCGAGATAGATCTTGTTCTTATTTGATTTCCTGATCCAAAATCAAAAGAAGGAGATTTACACTAAACAACTTCGAACTTTGGGGTGTATTTTGCTTCATATGATCTTTCTGGCATTAGACAACAGAGAGTTGGTTTGGCTCTTCTGGACACAGCGTTAAAGGGAAAGGATTCACTTTATTGTTTTCCTTCATTTTTCCTCAAAAATGAAAACATTTAGAGCTTGCTTAATAATTTCAATTTTATTACTTTTTATCCTTCTTTATGGTTGGGAGTATGTGTCCATTGAGATTTATTACTTCATCAACTGCAATTGGCTGGGTTTTTTCAAGAATTTTCCCAAATGATGAAAATGATAAACTCATATTAATTTTTATTATGATAAATATTAGAAATAAAAGACTTGATTAATCCTAACTTACTTGTGGCAGATAATCCGTTAATAGTTCCATTGCAACTTAAGGAAAAGATTACCAACAGTTAGAGAAATCATTCTACTAAATAAGTTAGGGATAGAAAGTTAAATAACATACATTGCCTGCTCTCCAAGAAAAAAAGGGATTGTTTGAATAAATCTTTGTGGCTGTCCATGAGAAATTGAATGATGATTTTAAAAACACAATCTTTAGACAGACTCAATACAAAACATTGATTAAAAATAGTAATAAAACACTAAAATTGAAAACTAATAATACTAAAATCAAATTCAAGCGACAACAATCAGTTATTGAAACCAACATCAATTAGAATTGTTTGATTAAAGGCAATTGGATAGCTTGTGAATAAAATTGGTTTCCGCAATTTAGAGAGTTTGGACAGATGGTAACTCATCAAGGTTCCATATTTCTAAGTGGAGGCTTTGGTAATTCAGTAAATAATGACTTTTGTTAATTTGAAACTAGTAAAATATTTTATAAATTCAATTAGCAAGCAATAAATGGACTTCATTATAAAATGTCACCCCAAGATATGGCCACACTATGACTTCTATATCAACCGATTTATACGTTATAGGAGGAGAATAAATCAATAATTATGGTCCTCTTAGATCCAAATGTTTTGTGAATGAAATTCAAAAGTTTGATGGCGAAAGATGGCACACCATCAAATATACAGGGATATTTCAAATGAGAAAGTATCATGCCGCTACTAATTACAAAGATTCCATCTTCATAATTGGTGGAGAAGGCTTTAAGAATAAGGTTCTTAACGATACTATGATTTTTGATACTGCTCATTCTAGATTTCATGAAGTTCCTAATCCCAAAAATGTATTTGCCAAAGGAATTATGCACACAGCCATTGTAGAAGTCCAAGAGACAATCTACTTATATGGCGGAGTCAATTAGAATGATGAGGTTTATGATCAGCTTTACACGTATGATGCAATTTAAAATTGGAAACCAAAGGAAACCATCGGATCAAAACCTCCAAAATTAATGATGCATACTATGGTTTATTATGATCCATTTATTTTATTATATGGAGGCAAGATAGATGATATGCAATAAACCACATTCTCCAATTAAATCTATGCGTTAAGAAATAATGAATGGTATGTAATCCAATAGGAAGGAGTGATTCCTTAGCCTAGAGCTGGCCATTCCTCTTGCATTGATGGTATGTTTACATCAATATCATGTAGGTAATAAGTTACTCATTTTTGGGGGATTCAATTATGATGGCTATCTCAGTTGTTAGATGTAAATAATGGAGTTTAAGAGAGTGTATCAGATTAATAGAATAGTGTCCTTGCCTGCTTTAAAATCTGAACCAGCTGAAACTTCTTAAGGCTAGAGGAAGACATTTCTACTTAAGACCAGATTTAGTCTACTAAAGTGATTAGATGAATTTAATATATTTATTTATTTGCATTCAAGCATTGCATTGAATGTATTAATTAATAAAGAGTAATCTGATAGAATTCAGTAGAATCACAAAAATTAATTGTTGCCACTATTTTTATTTGTCAAGTTTATTTAAAACTAAATAATTTTATATATATATAAGAGATGGATGAATGGATTGCTATTGATATAGAGACTCCAGAGGGAAAGTTTTTTAAGTCTCCCATTTATTAAGAGGAGCAGGTTCATAATGCCAAAAGGAATTTGATTGATAACATTGTCCAAAGATGCGCCCAATATGGCAAATTAGACAATCCTTATTAAATTGCTAGGAAAACTGGAGCCATGCAAAAGGACTTTGATTATGAAAAGGGGCAAAATGTTTATGATCAGGATGATTCCTTCATAGATGATGAAGAAATAGATAAGGAAAATCATGCCATGGTGATTCCAGAGACTGAACTTGATGATTATCATATGTGCATTTGTAATTTAAAGGATTTTCAAAAGTCTATTGAATACAAAAAGAGAATGGCTATTCTGAAGAAGCACACAGTGGAATCAAAAAATAAGAGTGCTAAGAAAAAAAATAAAAATAAGGATAAAATGGATTAAGTTGTTGAAAAGCAAAATCATGTAGAATAGGCAATCTAATAAAATACTGCAATTTAAGACAAAGAAATATCTTGATTAAATTATATTATTAAAAAACATGGATAATCTGAAGCAAATGCAAGCCCTAAAGGTAGAAAAGGGTGATGGATCTCATCACACTTATTCTCAAGATGAAGTGTCATCCTTTTGTGATCACATCAATTACTACCTTAGAGACGACAAAGATGTTGCTGACATTTTACCAATGGATCCAGAAACAAATGATATGTTTATCAAAGTGGGTGATGGTATTCTTCTTTGTAAAATCATCAATTTGGCATAAAATGGAGCAATAGATCCAAGAGCCATAAATGTAAAGAAGCCACTCAACATCTTCAATGAAAATGTATTACACAATAATATATATCCAATAGATCAACTTGAATTTAGCCATCCAATCAGCCAAATCAATCGGATGTGTAGTTGTTAATATCAGACCCGACTTAATTAAAGATAGAAGAGAGCACATTATTCTTGGATTGGTTTGGTAAATCATTAAAGTATTATTATTCCATAATTTAATAGATTTAAACAACAAAAATGGTAAATTTGAAAGAAAACCCATTTTTGATAAGACTCAAAAAGGAGGAAGAAGAAATTGGAGACATTCTTAAATTACCACCTGATTAATTGCTTTTAAGATGGTTCAATCATCATTTGAAAGAAGCCAAAGCTCAAAGACAAGTAAATAACTTTGATAAGGACTTGCAAGATGGTGAAAACTATATAGTCTTGCTCAATCAATTAGATAAGGATAGATGCAGTTTGGATGGACTCGGTTAAGATCCAGAAAACAGAGCTAAAACTATTATATAAAATGCTGAATCTATTGGTGTTCCTAAATTCATGAGACCAGTCCATATCGTTAAAGGAAATTCAAAATTGAACTTGTTGTTCTGTGCATAAATTTTCAATGCTTGTCCTGGATTGACACCAAGTCAAGAAGATTATGAAAAAACTAAAATGTTATAAGAAGATGATGATCCTGAAAGCAGCATGGATGAAAGAGTATTCAAAATGTGGATTAACAGTCTTAATATAGAAGATGGATACATCAATAATTTAATTGAAGACATGAGAGATGGAATCAATCTCAATAGATTGTTAGAAAGATTAAAGCCATAAACAATTAATTGGAAGAATGTTAAAATCCCAGCCAAATCAAGAATTATTAAAGTTCAAAATGCTAACTACTCTTTGGAATAAGCTAAAACATTCAAAATTACTCTTGTCAACGTTGGTGGAGTTGATTTTGTAGATGGAAAGAAGAAACTCATCTTGGGTGTCATCTGGTAATTGTTTAGATTAGATGTCTTAAAAGTAATCCATTTTATCATAATCCAATAGACTATGGGAGACCAAAAGGATGACCAAATCTTAGAGGCAGCCAATAAGAAGGTCCCTGAAGCTGATAGATTAGCTTCATTCAAAGATCCAAAGGCCAAGACAAGTCATTTCTTCTTCAGACTTTTGAATTCTATTGAGGCAAGAGCTATTGATTGGGACTTCGTTTAAAAAGGTACTTATAGTTAATCATTCAATTCTTAAGGTGAAACCCCAGAAGAAATTGAGAGTAATGCCAAGTATGTGATCTCAGTTGCTAGAAGATTGGGTGCTACAGTATTTTTAATTTGGGAATAAATAAGAGATGTAGACCATTTCATTTATCTTAACTTAGGGTAAAGCAAAAATGTTAGCAGTTTTTACAGCTTCCTTGTTGCATTTTGCAGAAGATTATAAAGCCGCAAAACTAGGACATGCCGAGTGATAGATAAATAATATTAAATAAGTTTAATAATTGTAATTAATTATTCCATTTCAATCCCCAGACTTTATTTTTCCAACTTAATTTATAAACACAAATAACATAAATCAAATTGTGTTTACCCAGTTTAAAAACTAAAGAAGTCTGGCTGTATTGTGAGTATATCCATTAATTTAATTTTCATACGTTATCATTCTTTACTTGCTTTTTATTTTATAGAAGAAATATATTATAAAAAATTTGAATTATAATTTTAATTCCAAATATGTTAGATTAAAGTTGACATGAATTCTAAAACAGTCTATAAAACATGATATTTGAAACGACGACATACAAAATTTACTTATTATCATATGATAATAATATTGATATTATTATTGAATGAAATAGTTATTATTTTAAATTATAAAATGGAATACGATTTTTAAAGCCGACCTTCTTCAGTAAGATTAATAGTAATTTAGGCATTTAACTTAAAAGGAAGACCTGATAGTGCTAAATCACGCTTACCATCTTAATTGTCAAACACCTATGGAGGCACTAAGAAGTTACCGAATGTTAGACCGCATTCAGCCGTAGTGACAAAGAATTCGAAACTGTAAATAATTTTTACTATTATTAGAGGAAAGAAAAGAACAGATGAAGAAGTTATTTTAGAAGAGTAAGATTATGATAATTTTGATAAGCAAGGAATAGAGTAATTATTATTGTTAAAAATTAAGTATAAATGCCATTTTATTAAATCCACCTTCATAACTTGGAGATAAGAAGCTACCAAAGAATATCAAAAAAGAAAAAGAAACTCTCTATGAAGAACAAATAGAACTCAAGTAGCAAATCAATAAGATCAAAGAGGAGAATGTGAGATTGAAAACTAAAAATGGATAACTTTAAAAGGAAAATTCAAAATTAGAGAAGCTACTTGAAAATTTGGATAGTTATATACAAACAGGTTAAGGACATCAAGCATTGGGGGATCATATTTTAATGAATAATCTAAAGAAGACTCTGAAAGATGTGAAATCGTAATTAACAGAAAAAGAGGCAGAATTATCGATATTGAAGAAACACATAAAAGTAACTAAGATATAGGAGATTGAAGCAGAATTAAAAAACTATATAGAAGAATCAATAAGACTTAGAAGTTTATTAGATTAAGCTCTCAGAAATTAGGCAGCTTAAAAAATGTATTAACGATTTTAATTTTAGGGCTGTCTAGATGGATAATTTTGAGGAGAAATTCTATGTGTAAATGAAAGTTATCAATTCACTTTAATAGGAGATGGATTAATTTAATGGGTTAATTAAATAAAAGGACGAAGAATTATTCAATGCTTAAGTTAAGTGTGAATAGTATGATATGTTGAAGACAAGAGCAGAGGATTAATCAGAATATTTAAAATAATAAGTATAGGAATATAATGATAAATGTGAAATCCTATAATAAGAAATTTAAAATTTAAAGACCATAAATAACAATTTAATTATTAAAGCCACCAAAACTCATAATGATGATTTGCACATTAGAGAATTAGAATAGATTATTATTGATCATAAAATTAGTATCGATGAAAGGAATGAAACTATCAAATAACTAGAAAAACAAATATCGGAGATGAAACATTATGAATAAGAGAGTTTCAAATAATAGGAAAGAGAGAGAAAACAGTTGGAAAATGACATGGAATATTATAAAAACTAATTTGAATTGGTAGATGAAAAATATAAGAATTTACTATTATAAGTTGCATAGTAAGATTTCCAGGAAGAATATCCACAATAATAGAAATCAGACAGGAAAAGTGCAAGAACTTCAACTGTTAAATTAGCAACAATGGGCACTATGGCTGTTATACCAAGTTTTGATAAGGATTCTAAACCTCCTCTTTCTTAATTGCCTGTTAATTAGCCACAACATCACAATTAAGGCAGCTAATTGGGATTGATTCAGGAGGAAAAACCAAACTAAAAACAACGACCATAAAGTGGTGGAGTTAGAAGAAGAAGAACAGTTAAATAAGAAGATATTAAGGATCTAGGTTTGGAATTGAACATGAGGTTTAGATTGAAAAAATTAAAATTAGAAGATGTAGTCGAAAATGATCTTTTTGATGCTTAAATAAAATAAAAGGGCAGGATCTCTATTAAGGATATTGCTTTGAAATTAAGTGACAGTCCTTTTGAATTGAAGGATGTAGAGAAAATGTACTTATTGGCTAGATATATGATTGAAGATAACACCTAAGACTGGGTTGAATATGACGAAGAAGCCACTTGTCAATTATAAATAGTGAGAAGCATATTCAAATAATTGATAGGAAAATGTAGAATATTTACAGAGGATGAAGAAAGACAATATAGCAATGAGATAAGTGCATAAATTATGAAATTTAAAAAGTCAATCTTATCATATCTCCCTACATTTAATTAGCCTCAATTGACAAAAGATTAGTTGACAAAAGCATTTAATTATATTGGAATAACTCTAAGCAATGAGGCCTTTGATTACTTTTATTTAAGACTATTCGAGTTACAAGGGGAATCTGATGTTCGTAAATTTGACTACAAATTGGTCATAGAAGAGTGGGGGAAGGAAGAAAAAGAATAAAATAGTATTCATACATATAATATCTAGAAAAACAAAAGCAACAAGAGAGAAGAGATACAAAACTCAACACAAACTTTACTTATGGATAAAAATTTAGTATCGAAAAATGATTGGACCATAGGTGTTTCTATATAAATATATCAATATTATTATTTAATCATCACTCTTATTAAATTTAAGTGTTTGCATTAAATGTTTCTAATTTTGCTATGTAGTCTTTTAATTCTTAGGCATTGAGGTGAACAAATTTCTAATTTTTGCCTAAGATACCCACTTCGACATTTCTTTCATTTAATCTAAAATAGCGATTGAATGATTACTCTTCATCTTCCATGATTGCCTTCTTAAGAGCACTCAAACCATGTAAAATTAACTATTCTAAGGTACTTTTCTCAAATAAATGGAACCAGCTTTCAAAATAGGTTCTAGCAGCTTGTGATCTTGAACCTATGGCTTGGCACTTGTATTCATAATAGTTTCCTGATGGACATGTCTCAAACAAATGCACTCCATTTGGATCGATGCCTGCAACCAATAATCCTACTCCATAAGGTCTTTTGGCTCCACTCTATGTTTTATGCTGTGATTCTTGGATGAATATGATTGTTCGTACTTTCTGCAACTTTGAATACTAGTCTTCCAACTGGATGATGGGACTCATAAGTGTATTTGTATTCCAAACATTCTGTTCTCATATATTTACAGAGCACCCCTAAAATACTATGTTTGAGTTTTACTAGCATCAGCTGTTAATCCAGCTATAGCAATAGCCATATGATCATCGATTTTGAATTGCTTTTCTTAATAACCAGCTAATTCAGAAGGTTATCGTTTAAGACTGCATAAGACAACATTTTCATTTGATTTGAGTCCTAAACAAATGCTTCCCTATTTGACAGCTTCCATAGCATATTCGACCTAGAACAACTTTCCTTGAGGGGACCATGTCACACAATCTGTATCATAAAGATGTTTGAGCATTAATATTTAAATATTTATTATCACATTGGGATTATACAATTATACTGCAGTTAATTTCATTATTCTTGTAATTCTTTCTTTTTGTTGCAATGTTGAGTCAGCAAATAATATGAAAAAAATTCAATTGGATTTTTGGGTCTTTCCCTTGCTAATGCCTTTAATGCATCTTCACTTTAATTCAAATAATCTACCATGAAGTTGATCGATAACTGCTTTCTCCAAATATTGTCGAGTTGGTAAGGCCTGATCTGGGATTGAAGGTATTTAACTCAGAGCAGTTTATTCGGCCAATTGTTATTCTGCTATGTCATCTAAATCATGTTCTTGGGACATTTTTATATTATTTATATATATATTATTATATAATAAAATTCAACAAAGTGACTAATTTATGCTAATGATTAAATGAAATTATTGTGCATAAATATGTCAACTCAAATTATATACATATAATCTTCCACTTAAAACATGCTAGCAGTAATATCATAAATTGGAAAATTAAATTATTAAATGTAAATTGCTAACGACGAGTATATTATTCCAAATCTACTTCAAGGAATCGATATCAGAAATCATGTACTTAATTGATTTATATTAAGGAAATCTCGACACTATCCTAAACCCTAGATAGATTGCATTTTATTAAGGGTTTGCATGAGGAAGACAATTTACGATTGAGAGCTATAATCACTGATATGTAATATAATTTTGAAGCACTTGTGGCACAAAAGTAAGAGTTATGTTGAATTTAAGAAATATTGAAATCTCTAGGCTTAGTGGAAGAGTCAAATATTTAGAACACGAACTTTATCAAATGAATAGATTGGGTTAAGATAAATTTCAAAATTCTAACAAGGTTGAAGCTGAACCCCCAAAACTTAGAGAATTGGAAAAAGCAATGAAACAAAAGGATTAATAAATTTAAGACATTACTAATTAGCTTTAATAACTTATGACACAATTTGCAAATAGAAATTAAGACTCTGGTTCAGAAATAAAAAAGATTTCAAAAGACTCGAAAGAGTTGAATTTGCCATTTTTAGTTGAAAATGATAACTTAAAAAAACTAAACGCAGAATTGAATCGTTAAGTTAAAAATATGAATGATGAAATCAATACTTTAAAATCTGAATTAAATGAAGCAAATGCTGAATTAGCCAGAAGAGAACGAAAATTAAGAGAATATTTATTAATTGATAAAATGCGTGCTGAAAGGGATGAAGAAGTCAAATAAAATTTATAACCTGTTTATGTCAAAGTGTCAGAAGATAAAAATCTATTAGATGGAGTCTTGGCTTTGATGCATTATATGAGAGAATCTATCACAGATATCATATTTGAAATATTTGTCAGATCTGCTAACCAAGCTTTTAATAGAAAATAGAGTTCTGCCATTTTGTTTTCAATAAATACTAAAGAATTAAAAAATAGAAATGTGAGAGGTTTTCTCATTGTTCTATATTTATACAGAAAGTATTTTATGTATACCATATTAGAATGAAGAAATTTATTAAAATATATTTTCCTTATTATGGAAAATTGATTTTAAATGATCACATGGCTAGAATAGCACTTGGAGAAGATGAATATCATTTATCTGAGCGAAGAGATGGTACGAATCTTTGGTTGGAGGAGTGTTTAGCTAAATTATCAATTCAAAAGCGAAAAAGTGATAAGAATAATGAAGAGGATGCTGAATATCAGCATTTATTTAGACTTCTATCATTAAGATATAGATGCAAATATCCCTTGAAAGGAAATGAAGAAATGAGAGTTGATTTAGACATAAGAGTAAGATTAGAGAATAAAATATGTAATTCACTTTTAAAATTATTTATTGATTGATATAATACCTTTTTTTATAAATATTTATGTTAATTTTTAACTTAAATTTATAGCATCTTTTTAATCATGTCTATAAAGAAAATTTAAGTATATATTATTTTGGGGAATTATAAAAAATTAGATTAATAAAAAGTCAAACATGACATTATTAGTTTTAGATCTTATCAAAATCAATGGAATTAAAAATAATTATAAGTATAATAAAATGCACAATAAATAATGATGTACTTATTTTAAGAAAAAGTCAATTTATAATTTTCAAAAATAAATCTACAAAATCATATTTTCAGAAAGAGATGACAGCTTAAAATTATTTAACAGTTTCAAATATATGTACCTGTCTTGTCTTGTCAATGGATTAATTTCACCTTTTCCAAACATATCGAAAAAATATGAAATAAAAATTTATTTATTTTGATAGACAATATAACAGTAAACAGTAATTTGAAATTTTCCTTAAAATTCAATATTAAATCATTTTCTTCAATATGTCTTAATTTTACCAAAATTAATGGAACTATTTATCCTATAACTTTGTGATATATCTATAACAATGTAAATATAATTATTAACTCAAAAGTAAATAAGCAGAATATTAATTTCAAAAATGGAGGAACATAAGATTTAGTACCATTAAATTAAATTAGAAAACACAACATAGTTTATTCAATAGTATTTTTAATCAGTCATATAATTTGAAATCTACTATAGATGCTATCTAGTAATATTTTTTTAATCCCAAAGTAATTTTCTATTGATTAACTCTTGACTTTTTAGAATGCCTTATTCTTTTTAATCAATCAATTCTTCCTATTATTTACAATTTAGAACTTAAATTCTACTATAGCCGTTTACTATTACCTAATTTAATTATCAAAATCTTTTAATCCTTAGATCTACTAAGTAAGTCTGAATTCTAAATCTCTTATATGATTTTCGTGATACAACAAAGTTTCAACTGTTTAATTCATTTTACTTATTTATTGAATGTAAAATTCTAAATTATAATTAAATTAGATACATTCCTTTTTATTCGTTTCTTCTATATTGATTTTGAGACGTTCGTTGAATTACGTATAGTAAGTAGTTTACTCCTAGAGAAGAGACTCTTTCTCTTTAAGACTTTACTCTCTTACCTTTAGCTATTCTTCTTTCAATATTAATTGATCTTGTTTTTCTTTGATTAATTTTTATTATTCAATTAATGACTGTTCCTTATCCCTGAATTTATCAGCAAAAGAACTTTGATTTTCCTTTATTTATTATTCTTGTTGCTTAATTTATTTAAGCTTTTTTTTGAGAAGTTCAGCCATATACTTAACCTCATTCTCTCCTTACCTTAGTTTCTACATACAAAAGTAAATGATACCTCAGCTCTAAATTCTAGATCTAGATGGTCGGAGTTTAGTTGATTTTTCTTCATATCTATTTCCTCACACTTTTATTTATATTTTTCTTTTGTTCTTAGTAATTCATAATCAGAATTGAAAATTGAAGATGAATATTCAGCATCCCCACAGTACTAGGTTGCATATCTAATAGGTTTTTAAGAGGCGATTGAAAAGTGTTGTATGGTTTTTCTTGAAAAGCTAAGTTAATCCCTGGCAGAAAACATTTTTTGATTAACAGATAATATAATTAAAATGAAATTAAATTGTTTAAATTCTGTTAATGCCAATAGAATAATCAATGATAAAAGCATATTTGCTATAAATTGAGGGGAGTGTGTAACAAAGAGGCAGTTTTGGAAGATAATTGTGATTTTATTAAAATCTTGTAATTAAAAAAGTTATAAAGTCAATAATAAATTCTTAAAATTTATTTGGGAAGATGAATCTCTTTAAATAGAATGTGACATACTACTATGATGAAGAATTCGGGACATACAATTATTCGACTACACACCCAATGAAGCCATTAAGAGTAGCCATAACAGATGATTTAGTCGGTCATTATGGATTGAAATAATATATGAATTGCATTGTAAGACATTTGAAATTGAATATTTAGGATTAATCTTTTGTATAAACATACATAAAAAGAGTAGATGAAGATGTATTAACTTAATTTCATTCCTACGAATACATAGATTTAATCAAAATAATCACTCCTGAAAATAAATGTCAATATGAGGATCAACTTTATAGATGTAAAATTGACCTTGAATTTAGTTAATTTTATGGAGGATTGCCCAGTTTTAGATAGGTTGTTCGATTTTTGCCTATGTTAAACATCTGGATCAGTTGGGGCAGCATGTGTGATAGCAGATCAAAAAAGCAACATTGCAATTAATTGGAGTGGAGGATTGCATCATGCTAAGTAAAGTGAAGCAAGTGGGTTCTGTTATGTTAATGATTGTGTGCTTGGGATCTTAGAATTATTAAAAACATATTAGAGAGTACTTTATGTTGATATTGATATTCATCATGGAGATGGAGTAGAGGAAGCTTTCTATTTAACTGATAGAGTGATGACATGTTCATTTCATAAATTTAAAGAATATTTTCCAGGAACTGGGCATATCGATGATGTTGGACATGATAAAGGAAAATATTATGCAGTTAACTTTCCTTTGAATGAAGGTTTAAATGATGACTCAATCTAATATATTTTCAAACCAGTCATTGATAAAATTATGGAAAACTTCAGACCTGACGTTGTGATGTTATAAGGAGGTACAGATAGTCTTAGTGGTGATCGATTAGGATGTTTCAATTTAAGTATTAAAGGTATTACTGCGATATCAATGTAGGACATGGCACTTGCATTGAGTATTTGAAGAAATTCAATGTTCCAATTATAATGGTTGGAGGTGGAGGCTATACTCTTAGAAATGTTCCCAGATGTTGGACATATGAAACTTCTATAGCTTTGAATGTACCAATATAAGACAATATTCCTGATGAATCAGATTACAAAGTCTATTTTGGACCTGAATATAAATTACATTTACCCATTTCGAATATGGAAGAGTAAAATTCTAAAGATTATTTGGAAAAAAATATGTAAATCTGAATCAATATTTCTTTTAAAGTGTATAAATTCTAGAAAATCTCAAAATAAATAAATCCTGGTTGTGCTTAAATAGATCATCATGCAATTGGAAAGGAAAGTCGATAAAAGGTTGATTATTAAGAACTGTTTTCTGAGTATAGAGATAATAAAGAAGAAATGCAAATAGAATAAAATTAAGATCAATAAGAATGAATATATAGTATTAGACTGAAATATAATTATAATGTAATATTCTGTCTAATGAATAATGAAAATTATCATTTTTTTTTTGTTGAATGGTCCTTTCTTTTATTATTATTATTATTATTATTATTATTATTATTATTATTATTATTATTATTGAGGTTTTTATTATTATTACTCTGCTTCAACTTTTGGAGGAGCTTATTATTATTAAGCTTATATTTTTGGTTCATTGAGTTATGGTTTCTCTTAAGCTTATGAAATCTTTTATCTTGCAATTTATTCAGTCTTATCTAAACCAAGTTTTACCAATTCTTACTCATCAGCAGGAAGTACCTATAAATAGAATATATTATATTTACATTTTATAAACCAGCATAATTAGCCAATTTTTGAGCTTTGGGTACTATGTTAGAAGAAAAATCTTAGAAATCTAAAACATAATTTTAAATTAATCCAAGACTATCATTCCAAGCTCTTTTAGGGAACTTTTAGAATCCTTCTTATTAGACTAATCTGGCTGAATGATTAACAAAAACTTTGCTGAATGCCAAAGGTGAGGCTTTATATAATTCTTCAACCAATTCAATTTCAGCAGAAGTATCTCCTTCAAAGTAATCCTTATATTAAAGAACTAAATAAATAATATAATAATATTACATCCTTCCTTAGCTGCAAGATTATAATAGTCTTTTTCAGCCTACAGGAGTGCAAATTCATTTTCAGAATTAACAGCACTTTATAGATTCTTGAAAACAGCAACGTATTCTGGGTCTTTGGTCATTCTTGCCAAATGTCTTTCGATCAATCTTCTTTCTCTAGCTTAATAATCCTTGGTGCAATCAAAGGCTAATCTGTATTTGAACCTCCACAATTTCTTTTCAAGAAGTGAAGTTTAATCTTCTTCAGGATTGTGAGTATAGGCTTCTTAGAAGTCAAATCTAAGAGGACTATATTTAGGATCAACTTAAGCAACAGCCTCATCAATTCTCTATTCAACTTATTCATCATCCTTGTATAATTCTTGATCTGTTTCAAAGTAATCATTATATAATTATTCTTCTTCAGTAAGACCTCCGTAGAAGTAAGTGTAATTGTTCTCCCATCTTTCCTTTTATCTTAATCTCATTCTTCTTTCTCTTCTGGCGTGATTAGCAAAATCAAGATATTCTCTAACATGGAATCTATTCACTTTTCTTTCTAATCTCTCTTAGATAGCCAACACTTTCTCTGCTTCAATGACAGCTGCATATGTTGCCTTTTACATTGGTAATTTGTATTTTGGATTTCTGTAGATTCTTTCTTCATTGTAGCCTGCTTATTTCAATTATTAATCAATGTATTTTAATTTATCTTCGCCATGTTAAAATCTCCACATTCTATAAGCTGGATCAACTAGTAATCTATCATGTACATCGTTATCCATTGTTACCATAATGTTTTATTCATATAATGCACTCTCAAATAATGAAGCCTCTCTGTGAGTCCACATTTTTAACATGTTAATTGATTAAACATTTTCATTCTAAAATAGGAGATTTATTTTACATCCAATTCAAAAATATCAATAGGATGGAATGAATCTCTATAGTAAGACATTTCCTCATCCTCTTATTGTCTAAGTCTAACCAATTTGAAAACTTGACCGCACATTGGGCATCTCTATAAAGGACCTTCTCTAAGCATGAAAAGATGAATTTCATGTTGTTCATAATCGTCTTCGTTTTACAAACCTGTGCAGCCCACATATCTGAATGGAGTATCTGCAGTGAAAATAACACAAGGATTGTCTACTGTACCAAAATTGACAGTTTAGATGTTATCAAGGTTATTATACACCTATAAGTGGAATGGATTTCCTGAATAAGCAGCATAATATTCATGAAGCACTTCATCAAAAGCCTAATAGGTCAAGTTAGGTGTCATTGAACTATGAACACCATCCTGTCTAACATACGACCTTATATGTCTAATTGGAGCTGTGATCTTAGAGTTAAGCAATTATTCTTACCACGCTTTTGAGTGTTTTGAAGGTATCCAACACATTAAATGTTGATGAGAACGACTTCTTGCTCACAAGTCTCAGCATATTAAAATCTTTATTTTATTAATAAATATATCAGAATATCATATTTTAAATAGATATAAAAATGATCACTCTATCTTACTAAAATTGTTATGATTAAATTAAATTAAAACTCTTCCAAAAGTTTTTCTGAAGATTATAATTGTATCTCTTTTTATTATAATTATTATAAAATAATAATAATGAATTTGTTAAAAATGAACAACTAAAAATACTCATAAATTTATTCCCTGAATCTTATTTAAACTTTGCCAAATCCGAAACTAAATATTTGATTTTAGGTTCAACACAAAAATGTACTCTATGAACCTCACTTAAATTGATATTCTATTAGGTATCATAAAATTATACATGTATAATTTAATAAACTTCATTTTTTTTTGAGAAGCTATTCTATAAATAATTAAATTTTAAATTGAAAACTACAGATTCAAAAAATATATCTTTATCCTCCAATAAGGTGAATAATGTATGAAAATCATAAAAATGGATTGTTGATTAGAGACGTAAAATGAGATGCAAGGTAGATGAAATTAATGATTTATTTCAAAAAGTATTAGAATTTGGATGTTGTTGTAATTTATCAATATAAAATCAATAACTTCAATCTTTACTGATCATTTGATTTGAAAGAGTATACTTAATCTTAAATAAATAATTTAGTTGCTTAAAAATATAAATGATTTTTTGTAATGCCGACATAGATTTATTTATGTACTAATTAGATATATTTACTGGATAATAATAAAACAATTTAAAATTCAATATTTTTTCTACTTTGGGACCAAAAATTTGCCCTTATTATTTTTAATTTTTAGTTTTCCTTATTCCTTGTCTCTGACAAAGGTATCATTTGTCAATGGGGAATATTTTTTAGCAATATCCTTTAAGTATGCTTATTAATCGATATCATTCTAGATTTCATCCAAATTATTTCTAAAATCTAATGATTTTGCTAATTCGTATTCTAAAAATAGTAATTGAATATTACATTTCCTGGTTAATCCTTAAGTTTAATATATTTTCTCATAATCTGTTTCTGTATTTTCAGGCAATCTATCAATTAAATCCAAAATCTCTTCTGAAATCTAACCATCATTCTCCAAGGCTTTAAGCATTTCAATGGCTTTATCACTTTAAATTCCATTCTTTGACAATAGATCTACAAACTATAAAAATAACATTTTTATTATACCTCCTTTTCTAAGTTATGAACTCCTAAATTTTTAATTGAAAATGCATCTAAATCATATTTAACAAATGGTTTTTCACTCTTTATAATGTATCTTTTCTTAGTTAATTTATCAACAACAAAATCATATTTTTCAGATCCAACAGCAACAAAAGTATTCAAATCTTTAACCATTTAATTAATATCCACTTCATTATCAGTAACTTCAAAAGTTTCTGTAGTAATACCATATTTATCCAATGAGATTAATTTTTATGTATATGATTATTTTGAAAACTCTTTGATTCTTGCAATCTAATCTTTTGTGATCTGACTCATTAAGTGTTTTCTATTAGCCTCTTATGATCTAATCTAATCACGTGTATCATCAGTAATATCAAATTCTCTTACATAATTGATTATTTTGTCATTTAAGAATTCATTTCCCAAATCGTCCTTTGCCAGAGCCAAACTAACTTTTAATTAATCTTTATGATTCAAAGGATGTATAGCAATTAAACTTTCGTTTTATGATTCATCTCCCAATAACATTTTTTTAATGTACTCCAAAAATTCTTCATGTTTTTGTAAAGCTAATTTCTTTAAATAAAATGGGTTCAAAATAGTGCTACTGAAACGACGTTTGAATTTTCTTTGCCTTCTCAATGCTATTTTCTATGCTAATTTTGCTTAAGCCTCTTTTGAATCTCTATTCGCTTCATTTATTACATACTTACCTTTTTTCTGGATTTCTGAAAATAATTCTCCAATTCTTTTAAATTGCATCTCTGAATCTGCAGCATACATAGCAGCTGTACTCACCAACCTAGAACCTCTAGTAAGCTTCTTTTTCATTTTTCTCTCCTTTTTTGCATAGCCACCTAGTACTCTTGCTTAAAGTAATGACAACAATGTGTCATCTGACTTTTCAACATTCTTCTCTAACTTTCTTTATATAGAATCACTTATAAATATAGTTTAATATTTTTTGACTAATTTATCTGCATACTCTTTTTCTTTCAATTTAACATCCTTTGCTCTGTCTTTAATTGCTTCAACATAATTTTTATATTGTTCGTTGTGAATAGAAAAATTAAATTTTCTTCCAGGTTTAGTATCTTTAACAACTGCTACACTGTCTTCAAAAGAATCTAAGGATTCAGCAAAACTATTCTTTTCAACAAAATTCTTATATTCATCACTTTTATTTAATTCAGAATAGGCCTTTTACTTTACTTTTTCTTTCTTCTCTTCAAGATCCTTTTAATAAGTATCATAATTAGTCTGAATAGCCTCAATTGTTTAATCTCTGACTTAAGAAATTTATGTTCTAATTCTTTCTAGTTATTTGAGATTGTAGATTAAATCAATCTGATATAATTCTAAATCTTCCCATGATTTCATAGCTCTTAACTTTGGATATGCCAAATTCTCTATTCTGAATTTGCCACCATACTTTTCTTGATTGCTATGGGATGTATTTTCTGGATAGAATTTAGGAGTATTCAATAAAGGCAATGACAAGACTGCTAAATCATGAGTACCTTCTGCATTAATAGCAAATAAAGCTCTTTGAGCCATAGCCTTACTTGAAAATGTGCAAACACAGTATCCTCTATTTTTATAGGTTTTAGCATATAATTAGTATTGAAGATTATCTTTAGGGGTATCTACATTGATTTAAGGAATCCACAATTTTTTGTAATTTTCTTTGAGATGGCTTGGCACCTTAAGACATTTAATAGTTTTTTAATTTAGCAATCTGAAAAGTCTGAATTAATCTTATTTTTAGTCTTTTTATTATTAATACTCGAATAGAGTCAATTCAAGGTTGGGATCGTAATATTCAGGGACTATGGAGTAAATAATAGATAATTACAATTTTTGTAAAGTTGTTCAAATTATTCAAGATTAGGGTAGAATTCAATTTCTGTTTTTCCTGTTTATACATTGAGGATTTCTAGTTTACAAGGGTCAACTAGGGTTTGAATGATGTCCTCGTAGAGAGGAAGATCAACATTTTGAACTTCCAAAGGAATCACGGCGTTTAGGACTCTTCCATATTAGCCAACAGTGTGTAATACTTCTTAAAGGGAGAGAGTTTTATTAATATTGGTAATCACAAGGGTTCTGTTGAATGGGGATTCTTCTGCTGTATTTTCAAGGGATCTGCACTCTTATAATATTCCATTGAATTTAGTAAGATGTAGTTATGATTTGTATTATTCAGCTTAATTTTAAAAAGTGAGAGTGGCGTAGGCATTAATATTGAGGGAGCAGGAGTGAAGTTCTACTTAGACTTGTTAATTGGTTTTGGAATGGACAAAGTCTTGTATTTCTTGAATGGTAGCATTAATAGGAAGATTGATGAGCAGTAATTAATTTTCTGTTAGATTGTCGCATGTTAGTTTAGGTTTGTATGATTGCATGGCATCAACAGTAAAAACATCATCCTCTTCGATTTCTTTTAAAGCAAACTTTTAATGTTTCAAGGATTCTGTTTCTCGTATGTATTTTAATTAATCGAATGAGGGAAATATCCTGTCTGCCTACTTAAACTCAGGGTGGTGAGAGGAGAGAACTTAAATCTCAGATGGCTCCTATTAATGAGAGACATAGTCGAATTGGATGGAGGAGTGCTAGTACTTCTCATAATTGGGTCCTAGAAGCTATTGTATGTTGGGTTTTGAAGGTTAGGATTTGAGCAAATTTATCTAGTGATTGTAGTCAAGAAGATCGACTATAGGCCATTTGGAGAAGTGGTACACTCTCTTAAATTTAAGCATAAATTATTTGTGGATATATAACTCAAATATTAAACTTGAATAACTTGACAGACAAATCTGAACTGGCTGTGCATAGGATTCCATCGTAATACTTAATTTTGTATATACGATCATTATGAACAGGGATCTCCGAAATCACTCTTCTTTAATTAAGATTAATGAATTAGAGGTATCCCTATTCATCTCCACCCACAATTAGCTCATCATTAATAAATTATAATGACTCCAATTCTGCTCTTTCCAATTGCTAAGTATTTTAACTATAAATTTTACAATAACATAACATAATTAAAGGTTGGTATCCCAGACGTTGACTTTCCGATCATCTCCACAAGAATAAATGCGAGCATTAATCAAGATAGAATTGACACATCCTGAGTGTTTCTTTTCTTTCTATTCAATTTTCATGTGGTTCAATGACCATTTTATCAATTACCCACCTTCATCTCCTGAAACAATTAAGTTCGCTTGGGTGGCTAAAGTATATACACAATTTTCATGTCCTTATAATACTGTTAGAGCATTCTTTTATGATGGATCCCATAGCCGCAAAGTTCCATCGGTAGAACAAGTGATAAGATAATTGAATTAATCATTATATACAATTCTAACTACATAGGATTCGTGTCCTCTTAAAGTGTTGACGCATTCCCAAAGTACGGATTAAGGTCTATACTCTGATTGACCTTAGGTGAATTGCATATAGATCTTAATAGTCTTATCATCTGAGCAACTAGCAAATTTATTATCAGGAATGAGTGTAAGATCTTAGACCCAATTAATGTGATCCCTCAAAGTTTGTATGCATTAAAAAGTGTTCTAATTCCAAATCTTTATAGTTTTATCCCTTGATGCCGTTGCATAATCTCCATTATGGAGTTTGATCACAGACCTTACCACATTTTCATGTCCATTAATAGTAGTTAACAACTAAACGGAATCCTCCTGTTGATGCTCACTAGGCTTTCGAGTTTTGATCTCAAAAAGTTGTTCAGCATCATTTTTGAGTTTGTCAACTTAGAGTTTGAGTTTCTCATTGAGTATTAGCAATTTGGTCAAGATGGTATCCTCCACCACAGCCAATTACAACTATCCATCATAAAAGATGTTTGGATTGAGATAGTAGAGTTTGAGTATTGGGATGTATTAAGTGTAATTGTTCTCATTTATATTTATTAAAGTTTGGTAATTTTGGTTGAGTTCATCAATATTAATTTTTTCGATCAAATATTACTTAATATCTTGTTCTAATTAATTAAAAATGTGATGAACTTGCTATCTCATCTCTTAAATATATTTGAACACGATGTCAAACTTATCCTTTGATTTTTCAACTCTATAAGCCTTCTAAAGCTTAGCTTGGACTTCTTTAAACAACTAATAAATAGTGATTTCCTTGTGAGAACTAAAGTGGCTTGACAGACATGACTGACACAATTTCAATTGATCACAGCCCGCTATTTAGTTAATACATAAAATTACGTGATAAACAAACTTTGATAATCTCGTTGTGATGTTGATTACATAATGATTGTTCATTTTCTGTATCAGTGATGTCTAAATCTTTGAATGAATGCATTTAATTTTATTTAGAATCTATTTTATTATAATTATCATTTGTTTGCAGGAGTGACAAATGTCTTTGATATCCTCAATAAATCGCATTCCCTTCTTGTGGTCTCCTGGATGATATTGAAAAATGTGTTTTCCATGATCAAATCAGTCAATTCAATAAACTCCTCCTCCAGGAACATAGTCTTGTAGTCCTTGTAATCTCTCTGAATAGACCTAATGAATTCAAATAACATTTTACAAATCCTCCTGTTTAATTTCATCTCCTCCCTTTGATTACTATTCTGGTTAATAAAGAGTGATAGGCTATTAGTCTAAGGCCTTTAAGATTTAATCAGTGTGTGAGTCAGTCAAGACCTCCGTGATGATCTGACCTAACAATTATTGAAACGGATGAGCCATAGCATTGTGAATCGGTGGAGGAGGCTACTTGAAAGAATTTACTAATTCCACATTTAGACTGGATTTCTTTTTAATCCTCAAAAATAGTGTTTCCTTATCTACTGTTATCGCTTATGAATTCTAACTCACCTACGAAGTATTAATTTATTAATTCTTATTCTCCCAACTGATGGTGCATTCACATTCCCCCTCATATACAGCAGGAGTCGACGCAGTTGTTAATGTTAATTTAAGTTCAATAAATGATTGTGCTTCCAATTCTCCTTGAATAGGCTCAATCAAAAATTCATCGCCACAACACAGTCCTGGTCTGTTATTTGAAAGTGCAAACTATGAAACACCAAAATCGAATGTAAATTTACGATCACTTGATTGATTATACAAAATAATCATCCTATGAGCTGACTTCAATGGTAACAATTCTCCAAAATCTATTTCTTCCAAAGAAAAGAACACCTTCGATCCTATTGGTGATTAATGGGATCTTTATCTAGGAATCTCTATCGCCTATTATTACACTTATTTCCTTGGTTGATTAGCATATCCTCTTCCTTATATAGCCAACTTCACCGGCTGAATTACCTTAACCATATCTGATACCTCCACCAACAATTCAAAATTGTATGACTTCTATTCTAAAGGTCTGAAGAGGCAATACAAATATTATTTCTCATTTGGCAACAATGAACCTTGAGGATTCTGTATGTCAAATACATTGAATTAAGAATCGATAATCTCTCCGTCTATATCAATTTCTTTGACAATCGTTTTGTATTATACTTTTGAACTTCCTACATTCTAAATTTCAATTGGATATTTCACTGGCTATAATAAACCAACTGGAGTTTCTGGTAATTCAAATGAATTTTTCTTTACTGCCAATCTCCCTTCCAATGGAGCTAGTGTTGTTCCCTTTAAATTAAGTACCAATGGTTTGCCATTCAAAATTTACAAGACCACTCTCAAAAAATGACTCTCATTTGAAATACCTTTAGATTTGAGTTCATCATCCAAATTGCAAGGAGTGTAGATTAGCTCAATATCTTTGAAGCATTTAGGAGCTATAACACCACCTTTAGGTCTAATTTGGAATATGTTCTTTTCTAAGATTGCTTTTTCAAATGTATCCTCTTCTGATGGTTCCCCTGGATCTGCCCATGGTTCTAATTCAATTTAATGATCTGATGGCAATTTAAACTGCCACTCTAAATCAGTGCCACCAATATTTTATATTGTAATAACTATTTTTCTTGATTTTACTTATGGTTTCGATGGTAAATATCCGAAGTTCCAATCATAACTTCGTAACCTTTTTTGTAACTACTAAGCCTAGTCAAATGTTAACTATTCTATTTTTAAAAACTTCTACTCATCCTCATTAAGGTCTTTTCCTAATTCCGCATTTATTTAATTAATTTAAAAGTTCTCCCACAAAGTTGCAACACTTATGGAATCGTTTCTTACGTCAGCAATCTTCAATAAAGGATAGCTTCCTTTGGCTTTAATTTCTAATTTACATTTTTAAGATATGATTTTCCTGTTCTAAAAATTTGGACCTTTTGGAGCCTTAGGATTTTTTTCAGTTGCTATCACATCTAACACTAAATCGAATTCGCACACTTCAATAGGATTGAACATGATCCCTATATCTAATTTGGAGTTGGCAGCAATAATTCCATTCTGCAAATCTAAGGTAAAGGATCTGTTTATAAGACTGATCATTTGATGATCTATTTTATCCTTGTCCTTATTTTTTGGTCTTAGGACTAATTCAATATAAAATGTGCAGGCTGAGTTATTGATCAAGGTTGCATACTACTTGGTGTTGAAATTAACCTTAATAATATTGAAATCAATTTGGGTAACATTCAAGAGTAGATTTCCATCCGTTCCTTGCCCAAAGATTTCAAATTAATATGATAATTCTATAGGTTTTCTAGATTCAAGTGGGAAATCATAATTTCCAGATCCTGGAATGTGATATCCAATAAGATTTTGGTTATCAGCTAAGATCTCTGTGGCTGTCATGGGAACTTTAATTTTGTACTTCTTATTTCTTTTATAAGGAATAAATTGGCAGTCTAAATGAAGTACTTCGTTTGGTTTTATTTAGCCAGAAGAAGGTTCAATGTATAATTCATTTTAATTTTTCTCTGGAACGTCAATCGAATAACTCATGGGAACCCTGGATTCATTGTGGACTGATATTTTCTATCTCGAATATACTCCAACAAAGGAAGGAGGAAAGAATACCTTACCGTCATTTTACAATTTTAACAAAGGAGTGGAACAATATCCTATGGCTTATATATTAATTTGATTGGAAGATTAATGATTCATGTGGCAAACTAGAGTCTGATTGTAAGCCTTGTTTTCAACTGGTACAAACTCAACAATTATCAACTGAGATGATTTTCCGAAAATTAAACCCTAATTAGGATATACTCTAAAGGTCTTAGTGGGATCTGGACTAAAATTGAAGTAGATGGGAGTGTCTGACTTATTGATGAACTCAACTGTTTGATAAACAGATTCCTCAATAGTGCATGGAGGAAAGTACAATTTATTGGATGGTCTAAGTTCTATGATTGGAATGTAAGGTTAAGAATTAATCCCAAAGGAGTGTCCAACACATCCAATTTAACCACTGAATGTGGGAATCATTTCTTTGGAAGTGAAATCAATTGTATTTTTTTAATTAGTCAACCCTGTTTATGATAACTTCAAATTGGCATTGTTGCCAAAGGATTCATTTAGAATTGAACCTTTATTCACCTTGACTTGATCTAGTATTTTTTTTGTCAATTTTGGATTATATTTAATGGCAAAAAATTGAATATATTGGAAATAGTAATATGAGGATTTAGTAGGTCTAAAAGTGACTTAGAATCTGCATTTGGAATTTGCTTATGCTGATTAGGTCTCAGGAGTAACAGAGAATACAGGCACCTTTTCACCATCGATTGTTGGATGGGATTGGATGGTCCAAAATATAGTCAATTTGCAATTTAGTCGATTATGCAATTCCAACTCTCTAGCACTACTTTATTGATAACATTCTACATAGCCAAAATCTATGAAGTCTTCAGAAAACTTAATTAATCTATTATCAGAAGAGGGGGGGAGCATCAATTCCTTAAATTAAACAGTTTGATTTGGACTTTCCTGCCATTCCCCTTAAAGATTGCTTTCATTTTATTAATTGATTTTCATCAAACAAGAATTTTCCATGTATCTGAAATCAACTTCACTTAATTTGCCTTGGATCACTCTTCTTCTAAAATTATCAATATGCTATTGCAATAATGGAATTGGTTTGATCAGTAGATCATAGCAAGTACCAATTAAATCCACGAATTTAATCTGATTACTTGCTACACAATATATTCTTTCGTAATAGTTGATAGTGGTTTTGGGAGTGAAGGAGATGATGATTCTATCAAAGCTTTTACCTTGTATTTGTCCTCTGATTTTATTGAATGCAAAGATATTATTCAGATCAGTATAGAATTAATAAGTAGTTGGGAGATCAGAATCGTTGTGGATTGTTAATAATTTAGTGGCTTAATTACCTACTTTGATCTCTCCAAAATTAATAGATTTCTCACTCAAATACACTGCATGTTCTAATGCCTAACCGACGCATTCAAATGTTAATTCGTTGCCTCCTTAGCAGATTACTTTGAATCTGATTACTGAGACATTTAGAATTTTTGGTTTATAAGTTACTTTGATTAAAAAAGTGCTTTTTTAAGGAATGGTTCCAGAGTAATAATCCAATGTAAATGCATTATCTTTGAATTCATCATCAATTATTTTTTAAATCTAAAACTGCGCTGTAACTTCCGATTAGTTCTTGATCGTGATTTCTTTAGAAACAGTTTTCCCAATCAATAAACTTTCGAAATTCAGTTTTTTTGTATTTAATTGTAAGAATGGATATTTACCTATGCCTGATACTTTGATCACTCTTGGTTATTCATATTATATATGCAATATTATTGATGCTACTATAACTTCGGCTAAAACTGGAGCATAAGTCAATGTAAAATTAATTCTGGCTCCAGGAGCTAATTATCCTCTATTTTATGAATATTAATTTTACCTATCAGGAGTTATCTTGAATTTTTAGAATTCGAAATGAAACTAGACAGGATAATCATTTGGGTTTTCCATCATAAATGATAAATTAGATGATAAAGTCACAGCTGTAAATCCGATATCGAGGGCATTAGGGATATTGGTATATATCATTTGATGTTCTGCTTATTTTTTTTTCATTATTTTTACAATTATATTTATTAATTGTCTTTTTATTTTAATATAATTTCTATATATTTTTACTATTGATCTTTGTCTTATTAGAAATGGTCACTATCTCATAAATTCATGTTACAGAATAAACAAATATTAATTACAAAAATTAAAGATATAGTAATTTTATTATACATGAGAGAGGATTGCTTAATTATCATCATCTAATATCCAACCTGATAGAATCCAGTTTAGATTGATTAACAAGGTTTGAATTTTTATTTTTTGAAGGAAACAACTTCCAAAATCTAAGAGTTTCATCTCCACTCCCTGTAACGATATTCTCTCCATCAGGACTTAAAGCTAAATATAGAACTCTGAAAGAATGGCCATATAGTGTAGCTATTCTCTCTATCTTGGGCATTTTCCAAACAGCAACTTAATTAAGAGAATAACTATAGATATTTACGAAATATATATACCCATGTGAAGTTACCAATTCATTTGTGTTGGTAGACCATTTCATGTTGCAAATTTAACTACCAGTGTCAATGCTATTTTAGAGTTGTCCATTTGAGGTATTCCAGAATTTCAAGCATTTGTCAGTTGTTCCACCTCCACTACATAGAATATTTGGTTGATGAGGAGACCATGCTAAAGCCTTAACGGCTGCAATGTGATCCTTGAATACATACATCGATTAGTTTGGCATCTTTATTGATTGAATCATAACATTATTGTCATTGCCTCCAGAAGCCAAAAATTGTTCATTAGGACTCCATTGCAATCCACAAACTTCTTGTTTATGACTTTGAAATGACAATTCATAATCATTATTAGTTCTGATATCTTAGAACAATATACTCTTGTCTCTACTACCACTTGTTATATTGCATCCATTCCAATCTAAACAACCTACTCTGGAATTATGATTCTCGTATGTTTTTAATATCTTAGCTTTAACAATATCATAAATTCTGACTGCACCTGTATCGTCTCCTATTGCAATGATATCACTTCTATCACACCATTTAATACTACTAACACAAACTGGAGCTTCGATTTCCAATAATTAGGTTGTTTCATTTGTTATGGCATTCCAAGTATAAACTGAATTCCCAAGGCCAACTCCTATCTGATTGTTCATACTCCAATCTACTAGTTGATAATAGAAATCGTCTTTAATTTTGGGGGCATCCAGAATCTTATAGGGTGTCTTGGCTATTTTACGAACAGGAGAAGGACATTCATTCTCAAAAATATAAGGTTTATATTTTGATGGCTGTCTTTGATACACAAATAGACTGGATTAAGATTTGTTTTCCATTAATTTTTGTTTTAATAGACTACTATATTTGGCTTGACTGTTTTCAACTCTCAATTGTTCATTCAGATCAAGTTCTCTTAATGATTCATTTTTCTAATCCTCTACCATGTGAATTTGATAATCACTTAAATTGACTTTCTCTGGGACTAACCTGACATTCTTAGATACTCATACCTATCAAAATGCTTACCCTTTGATGTCGATCGTTGTCTTAACATTAATATATTAACGGATATATTTTATATATTTTTAATTTCTTTATCTGATATTTATTCATTAACAATCCCTCTATATTAACTTATAATTTAATATTAATTTTAATCCCTATGCAAAAGCTGAATTATGAAATTGTAATTATGATTGCTAGCAATACTCCCAATATTTTTAATACTGATCTAAATAATTTAATAATAATATTTTGATTGTGTCATCTAATATAAAATAGATCAAATATGTACGATTAATCCTAACAGAAAATAAACTCAAGACAGTCGATTTTACTTATGTTTTCTGAACGCCATAAACCAAGAAATGCTTCTTTAGCAATATAATAAGAAAAATATAGTAAAAATTAAGTGCTACTCTATAAAAAAGAAACCAAATCTCGATATTTAACACCAAAAAAATAAAATAGATCCTTTTAGGATAGAATATTAGATCTTCCAATAATATCTTCCAGTCGAAAAAATCAACTTTATGTTACCTAAATATTCACTAGAATAGATGGACAATAAAAAAATCACAACATCTATAATAGGGAATTAAAATTTGATTCCCTATTGTGTGGTACTTTAAGATAATTCAGTTTAACTAAAGAATAAAAACTATTTAATAAATCATTTAGTGTAGAAGAATAATAAGAAATGATTGAGACATTTAAATAATAGCCTCCAATTTAGGTTAAAAAAAAGAAAGGACAAAGATAAAGGTAATTGAAAGATTTTTATAAAGAAATTGTAATTGATGATATTTCATAGTATTTTAATAAAATTCAAGATTGATAATGATCTCTAGTAATTTAAAATAATCTACCAAATTACTTTGAATTCATCTTTGCATTTTATATCAAAGTATTTTTCTTGACTCTAACTACGAAATCCATCTAGCCTTATGATTTGTTGCTTCTCTAACTTTTGCTTCCTTAACTTACACTAATACTACGAGACTTTTAATAAGCAGTTTATTAGTTCTTTTCGTTTTCAATTGAAAACTGATTGTCATCAATGTTTAGAAGATCATCCTTAATTTAAAGACTATTTAATTTTACTGGTTAATTTTAAGTTTTATTTTCAATTTAAGATTATTTTAAATCTATAGTTTAAGACAATTATTCTAATTTTAATTAATGTACTTCTTATTATTTTTTGGATAAATTCTATTCGATTTATTCTACTTCAATTTAAAATTTAGATTTTCTTATTTATTTTGTTTGATTTTACAACAGAATTGAATTATTAAGAGAAATAGATTAATCATCTTATGATTTTTCTGATTTTAAATGTTCAGTCTTGTTATGTTATTTGATATTTTATTAATTTTGAAGATCATTTGTTGAATCTTATTCCTCTAATTGAACTTGACTTGGTTATTGTTATCCTTGAGCAGATATCCTATATCTTCTTATAAGTTATTTTTATTTAAGATTTTCTTCTTTCACTTTTGCTAATTCATTGTTCAACTCCTAATTACTATTTTAGGTTTATAGTATTAGATCTGAGAATTATTTTACTTTTAAATTCACATCCTTAAGACAGGCATAATATACCAATTATTTGAACTTTATTAGCTTTAAATCACTAGTACTTTTATTATTATCTGCCTTTAATTTTTAGATTAATGTAATTTGCTCTCTCAATTTAATAGTTAGCTCCTCATTTTCTTTTTCCATTTACAAATTTTGACTTTTAAGTTATTTGAGTTATTCATGAAGATTTTTAAATGATTGATCTAATTTAATTAGTTTTTAATTAGTTCTATCCCATTAACTTAAAGCATCTTCAAGTTTCATCTTTGAAACCATCTCTTTTTGCATGGCTTTATAATGAATAATTTTAGATTCATGTCCATCTATTAAAAACTTTTAGTCTTTACTCATCAATTGTTCTAATTCCTTATATTTAATTTCTAGTTGTTTATACATTCTCGTAGTTTCATCATACTTAAGTTGTAAATCAGTAATCTCATTAATATATCCACCTATTTTTTAGTTATCATTATTGATAATAAGATTTGAATATATTTATTTAGTAACTAAAATATTCTTCTCATAAACTTCTTCTTTGTACACAGACTTAATTTCTGATAATTCCTTTTTCTGGGATTCATATTGATTTTAAAGGGCTTCGAGTTTATCCTTTTCATTAATCAGTTCGCGTCTTTAAGTGTCTAAAGTTTCTCGAAATTGCTCAATTTATTTCTTATACGATAATTCAGCTGCTTTGAAATCCTATTAATTCAACCTTGCTTTATTTTCCTACTCATTCATTTCCATAGTCAAAGTGTGTAATCTTTATTAAATGAAACTTAAGCATTTTTCTAAGTCTAAAATGGTCTCTTCTTTTCCTGATAAACTATTTTACAGTAACTATACTTGAGCCTTCTCTTTGATAAATAACTCATCCAAATGGATTTTGGCAATCTTCATTTGTTAAATATTTTGATTCAATGCCAAAATCTCATTTTATTATACCTATATTCTTTGTGCTTAAAATGAATGTTCTACTTGGATCCTTTAGAATTTCTTAATTTCACTTTCATGTTCTTCAATTAATTCTCTATTTTCTTATTACAATTACAAAATGCTAGATCTATATCCTTATTCCAATTATTCAAATGATTCAACTGTGATTTTATATTTATTATTTTCTGTTTATAATTAAAATTTTTCTTATTTTATTATTTGAATCTCATTAGTCAACTTCTTATTTAAATCCAAGACATCCTAATAATTTCTTTGATATTTTTCCAATTCTTGCAATCTATAATTTAATTCATTAAATAAATTACTTTATAATGTTTTCCTCCTTATACTTTGAAAATTGCATACATAATTGATTAAATTAATGTTCATAATTCATTGAAATGCTTTAATCATTAACAGAAATCTTCGTTAATTTGTTAATTTTCAACTCATATATTAGAATCTTGTTTTCCTTTTCATCCAATTATCTTTTTTAATTTTCTACTGTTTATTTCAGATGATTAATTTCATTATCTCTGATATCCTTTTCTTCAATCACAGTTTCTAATTTTTTCTTGGATTTCATTAAATCATTACTAGTCTTGTCATACAGTATTCTTATTTCTTGAAGTTCCTCAAACAATTAAGAGTGACTTTAAGCTAATTCCCTATATATGGATGTAATTTCATTAATCCTATATTCAAACTTGATTCTTAAGGCTACTTCCTCTTCAAATGCTGTATTAGATTATTGGAAATCTATCTCAGCATTGTCTCTCTGTAACTTTAAGACATTATTTTAATCCGTTATATCTTATAACATGTTCTATAATTGAATTATTTCTTCCTATGCCTTTTTTTCTACTATTTTAAATTTAGTTTCTCTTTAAGTTAATGTCTCATTCAGCTCTTCAATTTTTTATTATGTTTCTTACTATATTTAATTTATTGCAAATTAAAAATCTCCTTTAGCAACATATTCCAAAAGTATCCCAAAGACCTTCCAAATGGCTGCTGTTAACTACAAATTTCTAAGCATTTCATGAAGCATTTCATAAAATCCCACTGTATAAACAAACATGCTTCGATAAAGTCTACTAACGTCTTCATCCTTAACTCCGGCACTCTACAATGAAAATTAGAGAGTCATTTACAACCTTTAAAGTACTTCTGTCAAGACCCAATTTGTTCAAACTGTTCTATTTCTCATTTAAACAAGCTTCTCTCAAAATATCATTGATCCATCTTTCGATTCCATTTTGATCTAAAATGGATTTTGGAATGGTTGTATCCTAATGCTATCTTGTCTATCTGGATGCCAATCTTTATCTAGTATCAACTGTTGAAGCCTAAAATGATTTCCTAAATAACTCATTCATTTTTTAATTAATAAAAAATTCAAAAGTCTAACAAATATCCTTACACAAAATCTAAAACTTGTTTAGGCAAATGATAGATATAAAATGATATTCAATTTCGCTTTATGTTCTTTATATTTACTTCTTATTACTTTGTTATTATCCAAGTAAGTTACTTATATTATATTAGAGTTACTTAAATATAGAACCTATTTATTTGTTTATAATTCAAAGAAGGATGATTTGCAAGGATAATTATATCATAATGATATATTAAGTATATTATTATTTAATATTTTATAAAGATAATCAATGCTTCTTAATTGGAAATAAAATTAAAGGATACATCAAACTTGTAAAAAGATGTTCAAATTAATGTGGCAGCATTAAAGATAAAAAGGCTCTTTGATTCAGGAACTACTTTTCAAATTGTAAAAATAGGTAAGATAAGCTGGAGATTTAATTTATATAATAATTTATCAATTGAATCATCACCTTTACATAATACAAACTAAGTTTAGCTTAAGATCACCAAATAACAAATATTCTTACATTTTTTTTGTTAATATTTTAAAATTAGGATGACTAATGATCAAATTTAAAAATGAATTGGATAGAAATGTGAAATTTATTTGAACTAAAAGGGGGTATATCTAAAGATTAGGTGCAAAATATTATTAAAAATTAAATTAAATCAATTAAGCCACCAACACTTTTTAAAATTGGAATTAGGTTTTACAATTGGTGAATGGTAAAATAAATTATGTTTATCAATTCTTTACTATAAAATTTGTTTATAGAGATAATAATAGTATTTTTGAGAAGATACAGCTTATATTAGAGGAAAATAAAGGATCAAATTACTCTCTTTAATATAAAATATAGAGGAAGAAGCTTCTTTGCTTTTTTATTTACCAAGAAGTACAATTAGAACTGGAAAGGGTAGGGAAGATTGATATGTAGATTTTCATTTATTTATTAAACTAGAAGTTTTTGAGCAATAGTGATAATGTAATAGTGAGATACGTATTTGAAAATTAATATTATAATAATATGAAATTTGATATCTTATTCGTCATTCTAATATTGACAGTGAGTGCTCATGCCTAAGATGATGATGATTTCATTATTGATTCTAGTAGCGAATACGATGAGACAGCCGCTACAAGATATTGGTACTTCTGTGCAGCTAGTTACTGTAATCCTAATGTTATTCTAAATTGGTCATGCACTACACCATGTAGTAAAACACCATACATGGATGATGTTTAAATATTTGTTAATGCAACTAATGAAAATGCAGGATATTCAGGATATGATCCTAAACACAATGAAATTATTATTGTTTTCAGGGGAACTCTTCCTTGGTCGATTAAAAATTGGTTTGAAGATATTAATTATATTAAAACCTCGTTCCCATACTGTACAAACAACTGCCAAGTGCATAGGTTATTATATCTTATCAATATTTAGAGGATTCTACTACTCCTATTTGGGCATTCAAGATTAAGTGTTAAATGCAGCAAAAAGATTGACAAGCAAATACCCAAATGCCAAATTAGTCATTACTGGTCATAGTTTAGGAGGAGCACTGTCTACACATGCATTAGTGGCTCTAACTGTGAATGGATACAGGGTTGATCATTATTATTCCTTTGGATCACCAAGAGTCGGAGATTCTGCATTCTTCAACTACGTCAAATCAATATATCCATCTGCCAAATTCAGAGTGACTCACGATCATGATCCTGTCCCTCATCTTCCAATGGAAGTCCAAGGATTCCATCATATCAACACAGAAGCTTATTACAAAGATTTCCTCATCTTCCATAAAGAGTATAATATTTATGCTAACATCTAGTGTTAAAATTTGTAATGATGAAAAGAAGGAAGACCCAAGATGTTCAAACCAAAATCTACTTGATTTGAGTGTGGATGATCATTGCAATTATTTGGGATATAACCTAGCCATTGGAGTGCTAGTTTGCTAATGATTTTAGATCGAAAAAATAAAAATATATAGTTAATTTAATCAAAATAGTTAATCACTTTATGTTCGCATTTATCTCCTTCGATTCAGCAGACTGTTTTATTCTGCACTATTCAACATGGGTACTTAAATGTATTTATTATCCTCCTCAACAATATAAAATAACTTTCCATCTTTATTTCGAAAAACTTTCTTTTTGATGTCATCTGGTAAAGTTGAGGAAGTCTTTAGTTTTAGCCTTTTCTGCTTCATTTATATAGGTTAACTTGTTTCCATTGGCAATTTCATAGAACCACAACCCATCTATTTTATGTACTAATTTAACTCTTGATTAAATATAATAACTTTGATAAAATTGTTAGACTGATATTAATCTAACATAGCTAATTCAATTTACAAATAGAAGCATCCAAAATCATCAGATATTTTTATTTACTAAAATAAGCAGATTTAAGATTTTTTTTTGACTTCTTACAAAAATAATGGATACTCTTCAAAATGATTGAGGGATTTATATTTATTTCTTGAAAAAAAAAGAATTGTAAATCAATTCATCTAGATTGAATCTACATTTATTATTATTATAAAAAATAACTTTTTTAAAATGGCTATTATGATGTGTTTTCACAGTAAACGGACAAGCAAATTCACATTCATATTTACAAAAACCAAATTAGATACCTAGATTAATTGAATTAACTTAATTTATGGGTAGGAACATATAATTTATTATAACAATAGAAATTTCTATTATAGTAAACATTTCAGAAGGGTTAATATTATTGATATTACATTATTTAACTAATTGTGAGTTTCATATGGATTTAAATTATTGAAGAATTTAAAATCAAAATAGGTTTAACTAATACAGTATAAGTCAGATCTACAATTGATTTAAAAAAATCAAATTTAATTATCATATATACTAAATACTAATTTTAATTATAAATTAAATTAGATTAAACAATAACCAAAAGTTCTTAAATGCAGAAAGGATAATTCGACTTTACTAATTAGAAGATAATAAAGACTAATTAAATGTGCTAAATTATATATTTCCATTATAAGTGATAACTTAGAATATAGTCCTGAAACTAAACTATTAAAATAATTCTTAAAAGTTAAATTAAAATTTGTTTAGATATCTATTTTTGTTTAAGGATAATAACTTATTACTATAAGAAATTCATTACAGACCTAAATAATAAAAGAAGGAATTGAGTGAATGTCAAACTAAATAGAAAGCACCATAATTTCTAGACTTATTAAAAGGGAAACCGCATTCAGGATATATTTATATATAGTCAGGAAATTTAAAATAGAAATTACTAAGAAAATAAGATTATAATTTGCATAAACAATTGCAGATATAAAGAAAAGAAAAGGTTTTTAAGTTCTTTTTTATAAAAGTTTATTAGAATAAAAAACTTTAAGAGATTAAGAAGATAAAATTACATATTTTGAATATGCTTCAATATTGACCTATGAAAGAAATGACTTAGAATTCTAATGTATATCTCTTAGGATAATTTTGAATAATGTATTTTGAAACAAAATAATATTGATTTGTGATGAGAATTTTGATGCATATATTTTACATTTAGCACTTAAGAATATGAGTTAGCAAAAAGATCATTAAATGAAATCAATAGTGTTTTATGTTGTGTAATTTAAGCGTTCAGGAATTATACCAATTATCAAAAATCTAAATTATGATGATTTAGAATATGAATAATTTTGATGTAATAATATTAATTATAAATAAATTAAACTTTGGATAAAATCTCTGCTGAATAATGGCATCATAATCAAATAATATTCTGATTTCAAAAGAGAAAATGAATGAATTTGTTCTCAATTTCTGCATTTTTAAGGATATAGAGATGCTGCAATTGAATTTTCCAAAAAGGCTGGAATATAATGTATGATTTAAAATTTGTTATCGTACAGTTTCTAACAAAGAACTAGATAAAATGATTGAGAGGATAGAGATTAAGAAATATATTTTAAATGGTGATATTGATTTGGCTTGAAAAGGTTTCTAATAGCAATAACAAATAAATTATTTTCAATTGAAAATGCAAAAGCTAATTGAACTTATCAAAACAAATGAGTTAGATTAGGCTGTAATATATGCTCAAAAGTATATTATAGGGTTCTTAAAAGATAAGTATAAATTAATTTTATGAAGCCTCACCTTATTAATGAAATTGAAAAAGTTATGTCCTTATTGGCATACAAAGACATTAGTAAATGTCCTTTTAGTCATTTAACATAAAATTCCTAAAGAATTAAAGTAGCAAGCGAAGTCAATTAATAATTATTTTAAGACTTATAAGGAAATGAAGCAAGCAAAAATAACATTACTAAAGAAATTATTATAATGGGCATAAGAAATTTTGAATTCTAAACTTCAATATCCTTATCTAATAGAAATATCTAAAGGGTAATTCTCAAAAGTATAATGACTCAATTTAAGAAATATATTGTTTTTATTTTTTAATATCTTCTATTTCTCATAATTAAGGAAATCTAAGTTTGAACAAACTCATGGCCACATTAGAAATCTCCTTGGCTCTATCATTCAACCAATCCATTTGGTCTTATGTTTATGCAACTTCTGCAAACTTTCTTGTAAATCTGATTTTTGTAAATGATTCAATTTCATTAAATTTAGCCTATTTCACTAAATGAATTACCAATTCTTCATAGTAATTATATATATCTTAGGCTGAATAATTATTTGGAAGAACATGATCGAATCTTTTGATTGGACTGACATATTTTCTAATGATTTCTTCAAACTTCATTTTAATTATTAAAAAATTAATAAAATTTGGTATATTTAATTATGAAAACTAAACATCTAAAAATATATTTTGAGCAGTAAATATCAATAATTCGATATAATACAGTTACATCTTTACCTTTGAGGTCATCTAATATAAATGCTATTTGAGAATTAATTTATTGTACTAAAATTGAATTTTAGCCCATTTCCTATAAATTAAATAAATTTATACCTTTATTAAGATGCTCTCATAAATTTGGTTTAAGTTCTGAATATCATATTTATTATATAAAATAAACTTAAATATACTGTTGTTAACACTTAAAAAATTAACAAATCTTCCATTTCTTTAATTTTTATATTTGTGTAGACATTCTACTATTCTGCTATCCTTCTTATATATAAATTTATGTTTGTAATAATTTCTTCATCATTTTCTTGATAATCTTTCTCTCTAATTTGCTTTTTTTTCTACTAATTTATTTTGAAGTTATCTAATATTTCATCTTGATAATTTTCTCTTTTTCTTTTGGTATTAATTTCATCATTACCTTCCATTATTATTGCAATAATATCAATATATTTTTAACCATGTTTAATGATTCGAATTGTATCTTATTTCTTACTACCTTTTAAATATCTCCATCTGATAAAGTAATATCAATTGTTGATTAAAATTATTATGTTTCCAAAATATAACTTAAGCTAAATATAGAAATCTAAAAACGAGAATTCAATTGTTTATTTGGTTAATCAATACAACTCATGCTTTCATAACGGTTACATAGCTAGCTTTTGCTAATTATTCATATTAAATGACTTTTGCTCTCTTGTACTCATATTAATTTATAATTAATTTAGAATAAATAAATAATCACATTTAGATATATCTATTTAAGAATTTCCTATGAAAATCACTTCTAACAGCATCATTAATAAATCTTTATTTTTCTTTTACTTCAAGTCTCGATTGATTTTTGAAGATAGTATCTTCATACCATCTAAAATGGATAATTTATGAAAATATACTTTTTCTTAAGAGAATAATCCTCACTAACTAACAAAGGGTTTCCTTTAATAATCTCTTCTTCTCTATTCTTTTCCAAATACTCTTACTTCTCTAAAATCTATAATATAAATCTATTTTTATTACTTTTTTTTTTTCTTCAATCTCCCTTTGTTCTTTAATTTTTTGATACTCTCTCATTAATAATTCATCATCATCTTCTTCATCGCTAGAGGAGGATGATGAATCTTCTTCGATTTTCAATTCTTATTATTACACAGTAGGTTTTTCAGGTTTTTATACATTTTCTTCTTCATCATCTGAAGATTTAATAAATTCCTTATCATCAGCATCCTAAGGATAAATTTCCTTTTCTTCCACTTTAGTCTTTTTCAATATTTGGGGTTCTTGAACATCTTTATTTTAATCTAATTAATAATTTAAAAAAGTTTCTACTTTTTTATGTTGCTTCTATGGCTAATGAAGTTTCAGAGACTCCCAAAGCCTTTAACTCCCTTTATCTTTTTCCTTCTTCCTCTCTTTTTAATAAGTCCATCTTAAAATCCTTCTATTCCAATTCTTCCTATGTACCCTATCCAGGTTTCCTCATTTTCAATATCAAATAAGCAGGCAAGTCTTTTGAATGATAGGATCTTGAATGAACAAGCATTTTATTTCCCCCTTATTCACTACCACCTATAGCAGGTCTGTATGTTGGCCTATGTGCTGTAGTCATGAAAAAATATAATTAAAATAATAAACAATAATTCATCTTCTTTTTCTTTTTACAATTTTTTTCATGCTTCCTTTAAGTTTGGATCCTTGTGGTTTCTTTATCTTCTTTGTTCCTTTATTGAGCACTTTATTTATGGTCTCAAATTCTTAGAAGTCATCCAGTCTTGTCACATTGGCTTTTCTTTCAGCAATTCTTTCCCTTCGTTTCTCATCCCTTGTCGTTGGCAATCTTGTCATATGATCTTCTTCATATTTTCTCTTTTCCATTTACTTTTCATCTTCAGCCCTTCCATAATATAATTATTATAAGTCTCTTTCTGTCATTTCTTTTGGTTTATCAGTCTAATTAATTGATAGCATATATTGATACTTCTTATTCATCCAAAATACTCTTAATTAAATTAGCTTTTCGTTGTGTTTTTCTAAGTTCCTCCCTTCTCTCTTGCTTTTACTTATTTAAATCACTTTTTGAAAGTGTGGCTGCAAGTTTTGGTGGCACATACTTTTAATTTGGATTATTGATTTTATCATTAGTTTCATCTTTATGAAGATTCTCTATTCTAGGTTTTAAAGTTAATTTTTCAACTTAATCCACAACTTAATCGTCCTCATTTATCTAAGTTTCTTAATACTTTGATAATTTATCAATGGAATATTATAATTTTTTTTAAGCTTGAATTATTTTCTGTATTAAAATTTTATCTTCTATTAACTAATCAACAGGAAACTCCTCTAGATTTCCATAATTGAGTTTATGTAATAGGTACATATTTAAATGAATCAAGTATTTAGCCATTGTAGCATTTTTCGCTCTTAAATATTAAGCAATGTTGTTTTTATTTTCAGTTGTACATGTGATAACATGCAGATTATCAATAGATTGCAATTGATCATTAATAGTCGATATCAAATCAGAATAGACAGGAAAATCTTCCTTGAAGTAGGTTAAACCACCACTCATTATATAAATTAATTTATGATTAAGAAATACAAAAACTATAAAATAATATACTATAATCATTCCAAATTAAATTACACCTTTCTAAAAGTGCTATCGCCCTAATTTTACTAATTTCTAAATCTACTATACTTCATCTCCTATTTTAAAATACTTTTGGCAGATTTTTCATCAGGTTACCCACATCTTTAACTATCCTACATAAATGAATCTTCATCTCTAGGTGATGATATATTTTTCAGATTCAACTATTTCTCGGGAACAGATTGTAATTTTTTAAGCCGATTAGAATCAAAAGATTTTAAAGAGTTTTTAGCTTCAAATGCAACTATTGGAGAATCATTTTTTTATTTTTTTCTGCCTAAAGTGCAAGTTGATTTTAGAATTTGTTCATCTCTGTCCACTTATCCAACAAATTAAATTTCTTTTAAGGATTAACATTGTTCTGATCTTTTACTCTATTGAGATCGAAGTTCCGGAAAAGCAGGAGTTCCACACTCTTCAGTTTTTTTGTAGCTATGTTTTTCTTACTAAAGACTAAGCAGAAATTAATTAAATTTTGGTACTCTGATAATTTTGCAGTCTATTAATTCGGATCTTCAAGGATAACCAATTCTTAGACACCCTCATCCTAAACATTTTTTTTACAACATTAAGCACTTCCCATATTATAAAATAATTATGTAATATAAAATGATGTAAATTATCAATCATCATCAAATAATCGACTACCACCCCTTCCTCTATTATCTCCTCTACCACGAGGCCCACCTCTTCTATTTCCTCTATCACCTCCTCTATTTCCTCTATCACCTCCTTTACCTCCTCTGTCTCCTCCTCTTTTGCCTTTCCTATCATCTTAGGATCTTTCTCGAATTTATTAGCCCTCAATTTTCTATCTAAACTGTGAATTATTTTGCTATTCTTTTCTAATAAATCCAAATCAGGAATTACTTCTCTTTATCTTTAACAGCATTAACTAATTTAAGTTTCTCCTCCTCGAATTCTCTAGACATGGCCTTGGGATTTGGATCTTCGTAAGCCCATTTGCACATTATACACTCTTGTTAATCCAAGGCTTGTGAATCCATGGCTTCTTTAGCGAATTCAGCTTAGCATCTATGCTTATATCTACGTTAATAATATATCTATTAAAATACCTTATAAATGAGACACCCTTGGCAGGTATAACATTTAAATCATCGATGTCTCCCAAAGGGCTGAAATGTCTCCATAAAGTATCATACATTAAGGCTAATGCTTGAGTACTAGTATCAGCCTTAGGCATTTTATAATGAGTAATATATATAGCTCTGGTGTCACTGGTGAAACAACCTATACTATAATATGTCATAGATAATAAATTTTTACCCTTTCATATCCTCTCTGTGATTAGCAAATCTAGTTCTACCAAAGACATCTTTACTGTTATCTATTTGTTCGCATTCATCCATTGTTGGAATTCTGTGATAATACCTACAGTTAACACCTTCAGCACAACAACCACGAGCAAAAAAAATACAAAAGTAAGTACTAAATTTCTCATATAAGTCTGCTTTGGTGTAACCACTGTCAATATCAGGGTGCATTCTAGTCAATGCTGGGTCTTTCTCTTTATATTTGTTTCCATCACTCAAAAATCTATCAAACCATGTATTGTATTCCTCATCTCCTTGTTTATATCCGAATTTTGTTGCCAATGATTCTTCAACCTACTTTCTAGCTGGTCTTAACATCACTTTCTATCTTTTCTAAAATAACTACTCTCTTTATCTTGCTACGTATTATTTTGGCAAAAACTTAAAAAAGTTCCTCTCCTAATAATCATACAATCTATGCTCAAATTATCTTCTATAATCTGACAATTTCTATACTATGTCTAATGGCAGCTCCCAAACACTTTCTTTTGTTACAGGATTATAATAATAATTCTTTTTCCATGTATCATCAAATAATACTTACCAAGGATATATTATTTTCTAGATCTCATCTGCATTTACAAGTTATCCTCCTTTATTAATTTATAATTCTATTGGTTATTTTTGTAAATTTTAAAGTTCCTCATCCTTTTGTTAATTTAATTTTTCTTCTATCTATTTTTCTAACTCCTTTTAATTCTGCTCTGCATCCTAGACTTTTTATTAATACAATTGATAAGCCTCGATCTTCTTTCGATTCTCTTCCTCTTATTAAATCTCTTTTGAATTTGGAGCTAAATGTGCTATTTATTAAATTTTTTGAAAATCTATTCCTATTGGTCTAAAAGGATTCTTCTCTGGTTTTGCTATATCAAATTTGAGATTATCAGAATCTGATTCGTATTGATCTCCTTCTGAATATGAATATTAATCGACATTTTCTTCCTCTTCTTATTACTGTACTTTTTATTAATCTTCTTAATCAGCCATTAATTTATAATATATATAAATATTTTATTATTTTGTATCATATTTTATATTCATTAACTTACTCCTCTACTTTCAGGTTATCAAAGGGTATCTCATTTTAATGTTCACAATAAGGATACTAGTTGATCTTAATTAAATATGAAGATAAGTTTGTTAAATTTTGAAAATAGATCTATTAAACTAAAATTCTTTTGAAAAACTATCAATCAAATTAAATTGGAAATCATGCTAAATGATTTCTCTTAATTTTAGGAGTTATAGACAAACTAATAGATAAGTATTAATTGATTTCAGTTTTTGGTATTAAAAACAAAATAATATTTGATTTTCGCAAATTTAATCTCTTTGATTTATCTTAATTGTCATCGATATATTAACCAAACTTATTATTGTCTTAATCTAGATCTCTAATAAACTGATAGAAGGTTAAGAATAGAGCTTAAATTGAATACTAAAGTATATATATTACCATTTTACAATTCAATATCTAACATTTGATTATAGAGATTTGACATAAAACACGATTCTAAATTTTGATTATCGTTTTTGAATACTAATTTTCATTAATATTTTTAATGCAAAAATATTTTTATATTCTAGTTATTTTTGCCACGTGCAGTAATGCTCTCACATTTTATCTCACAGAAGGAAAGTAAAGGTGCTTTTTAGATGAATATACTGCAAACACAGTTGTAATTGGTGCCCATTAATTACTGGATAAAGTTTAACCTAATGGAGGAGGAGTTGAATTGAGTGTTCTTGATCCAGATAATTAAGTGATTTTAACAAAAATGACTAATAGTGAAGAAGGCAAATTTACATTTACAACAAAAAAATAAGGAAGATTCCAAGTTTGTTTGAAAATGTCAAATACTAAAGGTTGGTTTGGAGATAAAAAATAGCCATTATATTTCTTAAGAATAAAGCAAGGAGAGAATTAAGAATTCTAATCTGCTGCAAAAGAGAGTCAAGTATTTATTAGAGTATTACTTTAAGATTACAGGATTGAAGCAAAAAATTAAATCACTCCAAAAATAAGAGGATGATTTTATTAAACTATAATTAATGAACAGAGAAAACGAAGATAAATTAAGCATAGAAAATATTAAAATTAATGATAATGTGTTCAATGCCACCTTAATTCAAATAGTTGTCATAATTGGTGCAGGAGTATTTCAAATTTACTCTTTAAGGAAATTTTTTGCATAAAAAATATATTATTGATTGTATTTATAAAATAATTCAATACATCTTAAGTACTTGATTGCCATAGGTGCCTAACTAACTTCTTTAATTTAAATACGGATTTTGATTGTATCCTGGTATCGGATTCAAGAGAGGGTTGTGTACTGAAGGATCAATTTAATTGTTTTCAGTGCTTCTAAACTAAATATTTAATATAAAATGAATACCCCATTGCTCATAATTTGAGAACCATTCTAATTTTTAGTGCTTTGCTCTTTTTCAAAGATTTGTTTTTGTAATGAATCTCTCATCATTTATTTATTATATATTTAACTTTGTTTTTTTTACTGGGCTTCCATATCTTCTTTGTATTATACATTTTCAATTCCTCTATTAATCATGTTATCAATTTAGAATTATTTATCACTGCCAATCTTTTCTGCAAAGTTTTTTTGCATTCTATCCTAATGTTCTGCTACTTGTCTATAATACTACATTAAATTTTAAGAATTACATCTCTATATTACTTCTGCTTCTCTGATATTCTATTTTCTTCATCTCTTTAATTTAATTATTCCTTAATTTTTTCTTATTCTTACTACTCTTTTTATTACATAATTTTTCTCATTTTATCATCCATAGAAGCTTAGGCTATCTATTTCATTTAATATTATTAGAGCATTTTCTATTATTTCTGCATTTCCTAATATTGTTAGGCCTGTGAAACAAGGTTGTATTCATCTTAAATTTATTTTTATTTGATGATGTTTTGATTTTATTTTTTTTAGTTTATGCTTTATTCGTAGGCTTCACTTAATTCTCTTTATTTTATCCTTTATATTTATTTTCGCTGGAGTTCATCATGCTCCAAAGCCTTTGCTGATTCTTGCAGCAATTATTACTCCTATTCTATTGCTCTCCTTTTTTGATCAAACTGTTACTATTATCTGAATTGCTGTTGTTCTTCGAGAGTATTTCTAAATTGGAAATAGATAGTAATAATTACTTTAGTAACTGCTTCTAAAATTACATTAAATTTAATATTAAAATATATTTTATAGTGCTCATCTAAAATATTGATATTATTGTCAAAAATAAAAGCAAATGTTGTTACTTTACAGAATCTGGTTTCGTGATTATAAATTAATTTATTGATTGAATTGAAATTATTATTGTAAATGGGAAGTAAATGTTGTCGAGACGATAGTATACAAATAAAAGGTTTGAGTACAGAAATTTCATGTAGATGAAATATAAACAGCTTAGTATCCAGATGCAACTCTGCCACTCGGTCCAAAATAAAAAGAATCACTTTCACAATAAGGAAGCAAAAATTCTCAAGTATAAGAAATATTGGTTCCTATTGACAAAAAGTAGAATGAATATGAGTTAGGGAGTGAAATTCATGTGGATAAGGAATAAAAGCAAGTTGCTACTGTGGTTTAGGAATAATAATAAAAAATCGAAGAGATAGTTTAGTCTCAAAAAATGACCACTGAATAGAGTAACCTTTGTTTTAATTATATAGTTAAAAAAGAAGTACAGAGCTAAAATCAGGAAGACAATTGTGCTAAATCGATGGGAAAAAAAATAAAATTAGGCGTTGAGACATTTGTGCAATCGAAAGTGGGATCAATTGGGACACATTACAATTTTGGAAAGGTTTTAGGATAAGGGGCCTTCGGTAAAGTTTGGAAGGTAACCCATAAAACAACTGGTCTGGTTCGAGCGATAAAATAAATTAAAAAGAACTCCTTAATCAAAGAGGAAGAATCAAGATTGTTCTCTGAGATGAATATTTTGAAGAACTTAGACCATCCACATATAGTAAAACTATTTGAATTGTTTCAAGATGAGAATAATTATTACTTAGTAACTGAGTAATACAATTCAATCAATTTAGATATCTATCGGGGGGAGAACTGTTTGATAGGATAAAAAAGATGTCCTCATTTAGCGAGAGTATTGCAGCAGATTACATTAGATAAATTCTATTGGCAACAGTGCATTGTCATGAAAAAAAAATTGTTCATAGAGATTTAAAACCAGAAAACATTATATTTATAAGTGAAGACCCTAAATCCCAACTAAAAGTCATTGATTTCGGAACGTCAAGAAAGTTTGACAATCAAAAAGCAATGAGTAAAAGACTTGGAACAGTATTTTATCAATTTTAAACAGCCCTATTATATAGCCCCTGAAGTTTTGGGTCATTCCTATACAGAAAAATGTGACATCTGGTCATGTGGTGTCATATTATATATTTTGTTATGTGGCTATCCTCCATTTGTTGGTAAAACAGAAAATCAAATTTTAGAGAGAGTTAAAATTGGTAAATTCACATTTGATCGTAAATTAAATATATTAATTATTAGCTGAGGATTGGGACTCCATTTCAAAAGAAGCTAAGGAATTTATTACCAAATTATTGAGAATGGATCCTAACAAAAGATTATCAGCCAAATAAGCTTTAGAGGATCCTTGGCTTGCTAAGTACGCTCCTTCAACCTAAGTCAATCGAAAGGTTCTCGATAACATTCGTTAATTTTAAGTGAGTCATTCTATTTATAATTAATATAGGCATAAACAGTATTGAAATAAGCATTAATGTCTTACATGATTACACAAATGTCTACTTAAAAAGAAATTTAAGAGTTACAAAAAGAGTTTCAAAGATTAGATATCAACAATGATGGATTCCTATCAAAAGATGAATTTCTTAAAGGTTATTTATCTATTTAAAATGATCTCAAATTGGCTGAAGAAGAAGTCGAAAAAATACTGGAGAAGATTGATATCAATTAATCAGGTTTGATCGATTTTTCAGAGTTTTGCATGGCAGCTATGAATTAAGAAAAGCTGCTTTCCGTTTCAAGAGTTGAATAAGCATTCAAAATATTTGATTAGGTATTGAAAATCTTATAAAATTAGAATGGAGATGGATTTATCTCAAAAAAAGAACTAGAAATTGTAATGGGAGACTTAGGAGATGATGTATGGAGTTAGATACTTAGTGATTGTGATAATAATGGAGATGGATAGATATCATACGAAGAATTTGTAAAGATGCTCTAGAATAAAAAACTTTGATTTATATATAATTTTACATATATCTTATATATAATCGCTAGGTATATTTTAATCTCAAGATGATTTTATTTCAAATGCAATGATACTATGAATTATATATTGGATTCAATAAATGGATATTTGATAAAATTGATTTAACAGAAAATTGTATTGATTTTAGATACATAAATTTAATCACTAAAGTAAGTCCTGTATTAATGCTTAATTAAGTTTTCGTCTAAAATTAATGTAAATAATTACTTTTTAGTAACACCAAAGTTTACAAAATCAAATTTAATAATATTCTCACTTATTTTAACTTCCATTTAATCTTCAATTAGGCTGGGTTTGCTCTATATTTTTTTATCTTGATTTCTCGTGGAATAATTTTGCAATGACTGCCAAGTGCCATTTGCTGATTCTCTGATACCTTCTCCATCATGGATGAACCATCTAATTTATATATATATGTAAATTAATACTCATTATTTTTATATATTATTTATGCTTATCTCCTAGAGACAGTATTGATATTAACTATGACATCACATTCTTAGGATCTCCCAATTTTAAAAACAGACTCTTAATCATAATTTGCTATGAATATGTGAGATTAAATTTAATTGACAGAAGCACTATTAAATGAAAATTTTAAATAGGGTCTATCATATTGATTCAATTTTTGTAAAGTTCTTTGTCTTTAATTATTTGTTCTGAATTCATTTAGCACTATATTGAATTACTCGCTTTCCTATAATGTTAGCCCATGAATCTTAGCACCTTTTCTTACTTGTTCTTTTGCAAGAGATTTATAAAACTAATTTAAATCTTTGTTTCTTTTTTATTTGATCTATGAAGGTTTTGATTTGATTTCCATAACATGGAAATATGTGTCAGCCCCGATCAGATATGTATTGTGTAGTTACATTAGTTTTAGATTGTCCTTTTTAATTTTCATAAATGTTCCAACCTTAGTTGCATTATCTGTTAAATAAAATTATGGCTTTTCTCTAAAAATATGAATATTATTACTTAATAAATGAATAGATATGTTTTCTAATTGAAAAAGGTAATTTTATAATTGGTTTGCTTGATCTGAATAATGAGAAGAATAGAAGAACTGATTTTGTTAGAAGATTTGAATAAGAAAATCCTTTTTCTGTCAACAATTTACAGTGAAGCTTTTCAACATTCTTATCTCCATGAGGCAAATCTAGAGTTATTATTTGAAACAATTACAAATATCACAATTCTCTGATTTGTCATCTTATTATTTTCTTCTACCTATTGTTATTTCCTTTTTGTATTCGTTTCCCATGATTCTAAATGATATTTAATTAACTTACCTATCATATTAGAGGATATATTCAGCATCAATTTAGCTTGAATGCTGCTTGAAGACACTTATACGAATGTGTGGTTCATTTTCATTTAATTTGTCACTTTATTATATCTACTTCTTAAATGGTTATTCTAGAATCATCAACTACTCTTATTGAGTTGTCTGTTCTCTATTGGTTTATGTTTAAACTATTGATTATTGATTGGGGTTCAGTGGATGTTAAATCTAAGAAATAATATTAAATTATTAACTTACATTATCATCTTCTATCACAATACAATTGTCTGATGAATTTCCTATGATGGGTTAATAATAAAATGAGCTCATTTATTGAGGATAATTATTTAGATTATAAGGATTGATCAATGGAAGGCCAAGTTAGTGAATGTAAGGAGGATAGTAATCTAAAATATTTAATTATTTTACAAAATTAGAAAGGCTTAGGATATAGTTGATAACTCATTCTCAGCTAATTATATTTGAATAAAAATAAATATTTTATAATTATTAGTTTATTATTCACTTATAAAAATCCAATTCTGCACATTTAAAATGTATATGAAAATTTTAACATTGTTATTATCTTTCATTAGATAAGGCCATAATATTATAAAATAGAAAACTGGTTAAGGAAAACAAATATTATATTGTTTTGGTTTTAAAACTAAGATATCTAATTTAATTCTTATTCTTCGTAACTTTTGATTACTCATCTAAGTAAGTCAAACAATATGACCATTAATTTAGTACATTAAGATTATTTATTCCTATAATATAGAAGTTATCTAATATATATTTTAATTCGAGTAAATCAATATTTTTCAGGTAGGTGCGAAAATATTTTTTATGGAATACTTCTTATTAGGAAAACACAATCCTTTATTATTGAGATTTTTAGATGAACTATTTTGATTTATTTTAAATTAATTTATTAATTTAAAAATATGACTTCTAATGAAATGGTAAATTAACTAAACAAACTACTTCAATAATCAATTGTTTCAAATTCTAATTAAAAAGTTAGACCATTTTAAAGAAACTCACTTGTAAATCAACAAAACACTCTACCTTAATTCAATTCAGCTTTTATTTTAAACAACTAAAAAATAAAAACTAGATAATCTTCAAAGAAAGACAGTAACTCTGAAATAGCTAAATCTGGTACTAAAAATAATCTTAAGTATTTTATGATCAATGGAAAATATGGGGAGAAAATGTGTATTAATGGAAAATCTAATGAATTTGAAGAAAATAAGGAAAACACATAGAAAATATAATAAGAATCTCCTTAAAATATGAATGTTTTAATAAAGCATAAATGTTAGTCTAGCGAAAAGTTTGAGGTCTTCAAATAATTAATCAATTAAATTCACTTCAAAAACAAAGAAAAATGACATTGATTTTATTTTCATTTACTATACTTAAAATTTGCAAATTATAGAGTTACATATTTTATATTATCAGTAAATACAACTTCTCATCTTGAGGAAGATCCTAAATTTCATTAAGGTAGCTTTTTATTTACAAATTGTGCCAACTATTTTAAAAGTTATTTGTATTCATTTGGTAATTATTTAACTTCATCCTCTGTTATTTATTCAAATGTAGAATAAAATTGATACAATTATTCTTGATTTAAGAGATTAATGCCAATACTTTCTTTTTTACCTTAAGGATTAGAGCATTTAAAGGACTATGCATTCTCCTATTTAGATAATAATTTTTCATGAGTGATGCATTATAATTGGAGATTTTTATTGATGGATTTAAGTTGATTTTTATTTGGAACTGCCTAAATAGTATTACATCTATTTTATATTTTATTTTAATGCTAAGTTAGATTAATTTTTGTTTTAATTCCAGAATTAGGCTTTTAGGGGGAAGTTTAAGTTTTCACTTAATTTTTTATTGGACTTTTTGTAATTTCATTTGATTAAATTTGTGCTTTGAGCTTTCTTCTGAAATCATTAAATTACTATAGCAAGTCACTCGACTTCATGTGACAGTTAATAATTAATAATAATTTCAATAAATTTATTAGGAATAAATAAACTTAATGGATATTATGAGTGATAAAACATAGTAAAATAAAATCAAATTGCGTTATATGACTAATGATTCATGAAAGGATGCACAATGTTTAACTTTAGAAAATTTGAGAAACTACATGAATCAAAGAAATATTGAATATCTCTAAATTCCCTATATCAATAGAGAATTTTTTAATAACTTTTATCAAAGTTAGATAAAGACACTTATGTTTCTAGCACAGAGTGGAGTATAAAATACCTTTGACTTGATGAGATGCATCAAAAACAATATTATTTTTAAGCTATGGTAATATTATAAAAGATTGCCTCTGCTTCAAAATAAAAAATGGAAAATTTGAATAATAATAAACTTATGTAAAAATATTTAGAGAAATGAGTAGTTATTATAAACTCTGTTACTGCTTAAGAAGACTCAATCAAATGAAGCCAATTGAATTTCAACAAACAATTGTATTATGCCATTCCTTTTTCTAAATATTTTTATTAATAGCAATTTTAAGAAAGTATATTTTTAAATTGATATATGCATTCTGCCAAATTTTTTAGAGCAATAATTATATAAAGACATAAATTACAGATATTATTAGGAAATTGAAGTATAAGAAAATAATAAATTCCAACTTTTAGATTAGGTTGTTAAATATTGCCAAATTCTTTTACTACAAATTGGACATTATTATTTTATTCTCATCCAAGCTTATAGACATTGGAGGTGGAAATGATGCCTATATTAAACAATAGATTTACATATTACTACAATGTAACTAAGTTATTTTGTCATTTTCAACTTACTCAACCAGACAATTATTACATTCTGGCATCGTAGTTTCCATAGAATTATTATAATAAAATATAGGCATTTTCTTTATTTTATTCTGAATGGTCCTATTGCCAAAGAACACGATTATATAATGATTTATTAGCAATACAGGCGCACAAAATATTAAACTTAAAATTAATTGAGCATGTACTAAGCAACTACATTTTTGTTTATTGAAATACCGAATTGAATCGAAAAACTCATAAATTCCCATATAAGCATCCCACACAATTAAAGGATTGACACCAGCCTCTTTATTCCTTAACGATAAATTCTGAAACCACCCCATACATTTTTCTGAACTATAAAATAAATCATAGCCTGAAGTGATAATGAATTAAAGTATCAATATTTAGAATTGATTATCAAAATTCTTTTCTGAAATGGCCTCTAAGCAATTAAAATTTTTATTTATCTTTATCATGAGAATCTTATTTCATTTAGTTCCCAGAGATATCTACGAGTTATAAACTCATAAATTTATATAATATTTGGATAAAAATTAGATTTAGATAATTATAATTTACAAAAAAATATATAATATAATAAATAATATAAATGAAAGGTTTGAATTACAGATTTCCTCATTCTAGATAAGATTCAGGGTAAGCTAACAGAGGTGACAAAAGCTTACTAAATCAAGGAAACCAAGGAGCCCAAAATATACATAATAATAGGTAATGAATATAATATACAATTATTTAATAGATGGAATGAACACAACGATCATTCTCCTTCTCCATTGATGCATGCCATGTAGAAGATTTCAGTATAGTCTAGTTAATCTACATCGGCTAATCATTCCAAAAAATCATCAATTTCTAAACCTAAATAAACTCAATAGATGTCATTTCTAAATTATTTGATACTTAAAAAAGAGGATGAAGAACAAGAGAAACAAGTAGTTCAACAATAACAGAATTAACATAAACAATAATAATCATCATTCATGTAAAATAATTACTTCCCCAATGAAGTAGTCGTTTAGAGAAACATGTTTAATTTTTTGTATGTTATTGGAATTGGTGGGTTTGGTAAGGTTTGGAGAGTAGAACACAAAAAAAATGGTTAGACTTATGCTATGAAAGAGATGTCTAAAGCTTTGTATTAATATATTCTCATATCAAAAGGATCATTGCTAAAAAAAGTGTAAATTCTGTTATGAACGAAAGAAGTATATTGAGTAATCTTAAGCATCCGTAATTATCTATATGTAAATTCTAGCTTTCTTGTTAACATCTACTTTGCCTTCTAAGACAGAGAAAACTTATTTTTATGTATTGGATTACATGCAAGGAGGAGATCTGAGATATCACATAGGAAGAATGCGTAGATTCAGTGAGGATCAAACAAGTAAGTGTTCATTGTACAACAAAGAGGATTTTTTATGGCTTGCATCTTTCTAGGATTAGAACATATGCACTCTAAAAATATAATACATAGAGACATCAAACCAGAGAATTTAGTCTTAGACAAAAATGGTAATACTACTATCAAATTAATAGGATATGTTAGAATTACTGATTTAGGCATTGCTAGAGTTTTGAGACCTGATAATGCTTAAGATACAAGTGGAACACCTGGATATATGGCTCCTGAAGTAATGTGTCGTTAGAACCATTCATATGCGGTTGATTACTTTGCCTTAGGAGTTATTGGTTATGAATTTATGCTTGGCAAAGTATTCGTTTTAAACTAGAATAGAGACCTTACACAGGAAGATCTCGTAAAGAAATTAGAGATTAAATATTGGCTAAGCAAGTCCAAATTAAAAGATCAGAAATTCCTGACAATTGGTCTCTAGAATCAGCTGATTTTATCAATCGAGTAAACTTTAGATTTTATTCTTATATTAGTTAATTTAAAGAAAACCTGCAAATAGATTAGGTTTTAATGGACCCTAAGAATTGAGATAACATTCTTGGTTTAAAAATTTTCCATGGTAAAAGCTCTATAATAAGGAGTTAAAGGCACCATTTATTCCTCATGTAATCTTAGTCATTAGTATTTATAGTAAACGGAGGATAACTTTGATGCTAGATAAATATCTATAGAGGATGAAGAAAATAACGAATTGATTTAACAAAATGTTATAATGTTAAGGAGAAATTCAATCTAAGGTATGAGATAATCTATAATTAGCATAATTTAATGGATATGAGCTTGATAATTTTACTTAGGCAAGTGAACCTATAAAATAATAACTCAATAACGGTAATATTTGATTCATTCTAATTTATTTTATTTAATAATAAATTATAACAAATGAAAGTTGAAATGCCTCTATCATTCAATTTACATATATATATTTATATGTTATTTTGAGTCATCTCAATGAGATAGATTTAAATGATTAATATTTGCATTTATAATTATTAATATACCTATATTACTACTATGATATATATCATCAAGCTTTTTGTTTTTGCTCTTATTGTCTTTTTTTTTATGAATCTTTGTCCATTGGCAACTAAGGGGATAAATGATTGAAATACTTTCAATAATTCTTTGAGGGCAGGATCATTAAGATCATGAGCAGACTTGAATTTAGTCTCGTCCAACTTCAAACCTGAAATTTAAATTGTGCTATTGGCTAGAACTGCAACAGTAATTGTGAATTATGCTACAATGCTATTTGGACTAATCAAAATAGGATATGGATTCAATAATTCGTGTTTTGCACATTCTTGAACTGCTAATTTAGCTGTGATTTCATCTTCGAAAGCTCTCAATGAGAAACACAAAGATGGATATTTTTCATAGACCTCTTACATGAAGGCTCTGCCATGTTTAGTTTTTAATTAGTATTATCTATCCAATGCTCTTTTGTAGACTGTAGTTCTCAAATCAGACTATAGGGATAAGATTAGAATTTTACTTCTTTGGTCTTTCCATCACCAGTTGTAATGTACACATCCAAAACAAAAACATCATTGACTTGAATTTCTTCTTCATCGACTCTTTATTCTTGGGTTTCTCTATTGATGATGACTTTGTTTCCATCAATAAAATGTCTCTTGACTTCGTGACTCAAAACACCTTCCAAAGGAGTGCATTTGTGGTCATCTGCAATTTATTAAATAAGTTTTGTTAAAGCTGTATTTGTAGTACCTGGTTTGATTGATCTGAAAAGAGCTTAAACTGATTAGTAAGCAGCCAATATCACATCAGCCTTTTAGCCTTCTACTTAAGCTTCTCCTACTACAACTGTGTGTGCAGCAATTGCAATATATCCATCAATATGAACACCCAATTAACTATTATTTATTATTAATTTTACATCTTAGCCACGTCTCCCTTTGCTAAATTACTGTTTTCAGACTTCAATGGAGAATAATGTCCGCATATTTGATTGACAGAAATAGTTGTTGGAAATGCCAAGCCTTTTTCTATATTTTTCTTATTGTAAACTTTTTGTAGTTCTCCATTAATCTCCTGATCTCCAAAAGCACAAATGGAAGCTATGTCAGCATCTGGCTATATTTTGGCAATCACTTTTTCAAGAACAACTGATCATTATTAAATTAAAAAAAATACCATTTACAATCTTGCCTGCATTTTGATATTTATCTAATACTCCTGGAGTAGCTATTGATTCAAGCTTATCTTATTCTGTTTATTAATCCATATTAAATTTAAATATTTATTTAAATCTTTATATATTTTATAATCATATATAAATATTTATATACTTAGTTAATTTTTCAACTGCAAAATCCCAATGATTCCCACATATTCTCCTGGTCCTCATATTCATCCACTTTAAATTTGGGCTGCCAAACACCAAAGTCCACTTCAGGGGTGAATACTTAATCCAATGTCAACTTAAAAGCATCATCCAACATCCTAGGAATCAGCATTTTTAACAGATTCGAACTCTCTTCCAAACACGGGTTCGCATTGACTTCTATCAACCACAATTTAAGATTTTCATCAATCATGAAATCATAACCCAATAATTGCATCCCATATTTTCTATTTCTCTTATTCATTCTTGTTGAATTCATAGTTATTTTAACCACATCCTTTATCATTGGCCATCCCTACTTTCTGAAATTATAAGTTGTCTCCTATTAGCTACTTTTAATTGTTAGACTTACTCTAATAATTATTAAAATCTATTCAAAGATAATTGATTGCCATCTTCAAATTATCCATAATTTTAGGCATTCTTTTAAACTGCATTATTCGTCAAATGAATATATCTATCTTTCTAATTTATTATTTTTTATTTTACATTATCTAATGAAAATGCTGTTCCACTTGTTCTAATATAAGCCTCTTTAAATAAAAAGTATTGCATCTCTTAAGATACGAGGACCCAACATCTTATATCAAATTTTCTTCCACTCAACAATAATGGTCTCTCAATATATTTTTGAATCACAAACTCTTTGCACTCATAGTTCCCTTTGCCATAATAGTATGACTTTATTAAAGTCTCAACCTCTTCAAGAGTGTTGAACACATGAACACCTTCTCCCCTATTCCAATCCGCTGGTTTTAAAAGCCATAAATATTAGGATTTACTAGTCAAGGTTTCCTACATTTTATAAGTCTTTATTCCATTGTAATTCACTTTTGTACCTACCAAATTGGATACATAAAAATCAAAGTCTAAAGTGGATTTCATAGTGGCTTATACTAATGGGTTATTAGCTTGATAAAATTCTGTGAATTACTGAATATCTTTCATCCAATCACAGTTCTTAAAATTAATGATAAAAACTAAAGGTATTATATCAAAGGTTTTCTCAATGTTATTATAATATTAGAGTAAAGATTACGACAAACCTAAATTTAATTCTGCTATGTACCTGTCTTTGAAGTAATATTCTTATGAAACTCGAAGAAATTATACATTACTCTTGCAAATGAACTCTCTTATTGAGTTAAGCGATTAAAATCCATACCATTGTATGATTGTTACCACATGAAGTGTTTATATTAGAATGTTAAAGGTACTGCAGTCCAATATTGCTCTCTCTTTTATAATATTCGTTTTACTAGTTCTCCATTGTTGCCAGACCCAACAAAATAATTAAACTATACATATTTTCAGCATGTACCTTTAATTTAGGCAAATCTCTGTCTCTGTTGATTTTCATAGGTGGATTTAATGCAGGGATTGCTACTCTTTGTCTATTTGCGAAAGGAGTGTAATTATTTGGATTGATTTATTTTCTATTTTGTTTTTCCAAACTTTCACTTAAAAGTCTGGGGGGGAATAAATCCTTATTGTATTACCTTGCCATTTGTCTGTTCGTTATGAGAGGTAGTGATGGCAATTATAGTTATTCCTCTGAAACTTCCATCAAAGGTAGGTCTTTTCCTGCCAACAATTTATCTCTCTGTTATTATCTTGCTATGTAATATTTAACTCCGTCGGCATATATGTTTAAACTTCTGGCTAAGTCAGGTTTTTATTTGATTATCTTTTCTAATGTTTTTTTTTATCTATCGTCTGCTTTACACAACAATTCCAAATTATGAAAATTGCCTAAGGACCTGCTTTGGATTTGGTCTTCCTTCTCTTTTTTTTTTAATTGTTTCTCTTTTGTGGCAGATGCCATTTTAAATAATAAATAAATGAAATATATTATAAAATTATCAGTTATAAAATTATGAAATCTAATGTTAATTTGAAGTTGTTTCTAAAGTGGTGAAATATTTTAGTTTAATAAATTCTTATTTAATGCTTTTTAAGATAATAAATAAAATATCTAAAATCTATGTACGACTTTTCGAGAATGTAAAAATTAGTGGATCGAATGCAAAAACTATAACCTCCATAACCTCCGCCGGATACAAGGTTCTTGCCTGAAGAGTTGAAGAAGGAGAAGGTTATTGAGGACCCAAAAAAAATAGAGAAGAAGACCAAAAGATAACTCCTCATAAAAAATAAAAAGGGCTCTGGTGGTTTGAAACCAGTGGAAGATGAAAGATTATTCTTAATTTAAAAGGAGAATTACTTGAAGAAAAAGTAACGGGAGTTGGAGATGGAATAAGTGAAAAAGGAATTAGCAGAACAAAAAAAATAAGAAAAGTAAAAATTAGAAATAGAAACTTAAAGAGCATTATAATTTGTTAAAGGCAAAAAGGAGTACTTAACTAATTATATATTAGGTTATCCTAATTGGAGAGGGAGGAAAAAATAAAGAAGAAAAATGACAATGAATTCCTTAAAAGAAAATAGAAGGTGAATAATTCGATTTAGATGTCTTCAATTGATGCATCATATGTATCCTAAAACTAAAATCTAAATAACTCTTTGATCAAGAAATAAATTATCGATTACCACACACTTCCTAAGGAGCAATATAATCGCATATATCGTTAACAGGCTGTAAGTCCCCCAAAATGAATTCAATAATTATATTCATCCAAAATTAGGCTATAATATATTAATTTTAATATAGATATAGAATTCTAATATTTTTCAATTTAATTTTTATCTTTATGATAAAGTTCTCTTTGCTTCTTAAAATTTCCTTTGAAACTCCGATAATTGAGTTTACTCGCCGTTATTTGCAATGAAAGATTAATTATTCTCCTTATTTTCATCCTACACTAATGACTGAATGGGAGTTTAAAATTAAAACAACCTTTTAGTTCTATCCTCTCTCGCTCTTTCATACAATTTCTTTTCATTGATAGTAGGTTCGACAGTTTCTAACGCTCTCAAAGACATGATTTTAAGTTTGGTAGATCTGATATCTTCAATCTATTAAATGATGCTCTGTGGATCCAATTAGTATTGTAACTATAATGAAGCACCCCAAGTATTTCTCTCAGTAAGAATGGTTCTTGTAAGTTAATCTATTTTCCTATTGTTTAGAGCAATGTAATTAAAAGCCATGATAGCTTGACTTTGATCTGGATGATCAGGGAAATATGATTCTATGTCACTTAAAACGTCATTCAATTTCTATAAATATATTGATATAAATTAATACATCCATTTATGCTTAGATCTTTTGAACTTCAGCATCTATTTCTTTGACCTTCTCACACATAGTATCATCTGCTACTTAGATAAGTTCAGACTCTTTCAATTAAAGAGCTTTGTATAATTCTTAAAAGTTAGATTGAATCTACATTTTTGTGGAAGTGTTGATTTCAACTAATTCTTTCTTTTTTGCAGCAAATTTACATTAATCCTGCAATAATTGATCTTAACTAGATTTCACCTTCTAATAGAATTGATCAGCCTAAAATTAATGAAATGGTTTTACTTTAGTTGTTCTAATGATTGAATAAGACTTTTGGACATTCTTAACCTCATGATTTTTATGCAATCCTTAGAGATAACATTCCATACAAAAACAAGGGGTTTCGCATGAATAGCAATAAAGTAATGCTTCTTCACTTGCATGTTATTAACATGTCACTGTCAATCCTTGTTGAGTATTAAGATGAATTTAGGATGCTTTTGAATGAGTGGATGCTTAATATTGGATTTGTTATCTTGAGCTTTTTAAATTTGCAGTTGACATTCGAGATGACTGCAATTTGTACATATCTTGTAAGACTTCGATTGCAGAGGGATCCAAAAGGGTTTATGAGGAACAGATTTCACAAACTAATGTTTGACATTATAGTTTATTATAAAGTTTGGCTGAACATAAAAGACATAGATTATGTTCACATGACAATGCTAATATTTAATCTACTTCATTTCCGCATTTAGTGCATTCCAAGAGATCCTCCATTTAACTGCTAATTTAAATTTGAATATAATTAATAAATATATAAAATTTCATTTAGCAGCTAATGCTTATAATAAATTAGTATGTATTTAAAATAGCGCTTTTTGCATATCATCTTGGAAATGAGGTCTTTTAGCATAAAATCCTTAAAATTGGCTTTCCTCATAGACTCCTACAATATATCTTTCATCATCAAACTTTTCCAGTTTTTCTAGTCTGGCAACTAATTTGCCATCCACCACATCCACCAAATTTAATTGAATAATTCTATACTCTGGATTTCGATTGAGCACTCTCAAATCAAAATATTTCATAAAATGAATTTAAACAAGAGACACCATACATTTGACTAAAAATATTTATCCTGGAATTTCCAATAAAGCAGGCAATATATGTACTAATATAACTAGATCCCCCACAATCATCATCTATTATGTTTTAGTCATGTCTAATTATTTCTCTTTCCAAAATAATACTCTTCTCGCAACGAACAGTCCTCTATCTATTTCTGGCTAATCAAAAAACTAAAGGTAAGATAAAAATTTCAATTCTGGAATCATGAAATCGTTTGTACAATATGTAACAAGACTGGTCATCAGATATTTCATCACATTCGTTAATTACATATATGATTGATCTATTTCTTATTCCGTCAATGGTTTTTCTGGATTCTTTTGATAACAAAGAAATATACAATAAAATCTATTTCTTTTATTTTACTCAAGTAATTTTCAACCTTTGCTAAAACCATTTTGCACCAATCATTTATCCGTTTCAGAGCAACATGATAAGATATTTTCTATATCACTGCTTTGCACTCAACAGAATGTTTATATAATTTTCTCCATAGAATATTCAACGGCTTACAATATATCTTCCACCTCATAGCAAATCGAACTGCATTAAAAATTACTTTCAATCTTGAACCCTGAAATGGCACTCTCTTATCTCCTTTCTACTTTTATGTTATATTTATTATACATCTGAAAAAAAACTCTATTTGGTTTATTGTATGGACCTCTTGGAAACCAAAGGTATCATATTTTGACTTGATCTTCTTGAATTTTAGCCTTGTGATCCAGCAGTTTTTGTCTTTATTTTGCCAGCCGATTAAGGGTTTTATTAATTTTATTAGCCTTCTTGGGGTTAAGGCTGAGGTTAGTAAGGATATTGATAGGGATTGTACTAGTAAGGTGGTTAATATAGTTATTGTTGAGGTGGGTAGGGAGGAGGTTGCTATCCATATGGAGGAGGGGGAGGCTATCCATAAGGTGGATAAGGTGGAGGATAATAGGGGTAAGGAGGGGGATAATACTGGGGTTATTGCAGAGGTTAAGGCATTTGTTGATATATTATCTAAGGAGGCTGTATAATTGGCTATTAGGGTTGTTGAGCTTATTGGAAGAAGGATTGTCTTAATGATGAAATTTCGTGCTTAATTTCATTTAATTATTCATATTATGGCAGTTTTGGTAATTTTAGATGTATAGTTTGAACTTAAGTTTTTAAATTCTCAAGTTCTTACTTAAAAAGTTAAGCTTTATTTACCTTAATAATCCATTTATACTCTTACTTCTCTTTATTCTTTCAATAATCGCTTTAGAGTCTGGTTTTATTAATCTATAGCCTACTACATTTGAGCCACTTCCTCATTTATCGATTCTTCTGGCAATGTAGACAGTTTTGGTAACTGAAAGGATTTATTCAAATGATTAGATTATCGAATTCCGCTTTTTTGACTAGGATCATGGGGCAATTTAACATCATAGGTTGGTCTCACAAATTAATCAAGTAAATTCAATTGATTTCTCAAATCATCTTGACCTACTTAAGGTTTCTGATAGGATGTTGCTCTTCTCTCCCTTAAGTACATTTTATATTAATTTTAAACATAATATATTTCAAAATATTAAATTACGAATTAAATTAGATCACATACTGCTTTTCTTTCTAATTAGGAATAAACCAAACATTCCATTTTTTTAATTGAACAATATTCATTTTTAATGAAATTATTCTTCAAGTTTAATTCTTAAGTTTTTGAAGATAGATTCTTATTGATTATATTGTCTTTAAATTCATTTGATGCATTTTTACTAGTGATCAAAAAATATCTATAAGAATTCATCAAAATTCATGTATATTTATATCAAAAATAACAATAGAGTATTAATTATTATATTTTATAGAAATTAAAAAGCAAAATCTTTTTTCTCAATGTTAGATGAGGATTGTGTATATTTGTCATAAAATGAAATTTCATCTTAGAATCACAATGAAATTTCAAAAAACTCCTACTAGAAATTAAAAGATTTGGTGCCACCTTAGGGGAAGGTGCAAAAATTGAAGAGGAATTATAAATCAAAGCTTTGGAACGAGACGAACACTGAATTGTTATATAGGTTAAATGCTATTTTCTCTGGAAGCATTGACATGATATATAATTATTTCAAAAATCATGTCGACATTAATATTACATTGAAAAAGATAAAATAAAAATACAAGTAAGAATAGAGAAATAACCCTGACAAATTGTTCGATAAACGCAAGAAACCAAAATTAACAGAAAAACATTAAAGAAAATTAGAATAAGTGGCGAAAATGCAAACCTTAAATTTAGTTCCAAGATGGAGCCAAGTATCCGAGATTGATAAAGATTAAATCTAAGGAGAAAATCAATAGGACACTGAAATTTAATAAAACATATTTAATGAGATAAACCAATTAATGAAAACAAATAGATTAAGATAAGTTTAATAAAGAAGTCAATAATAATCAAATTGATTTTACTAATTATATTGTATATTTATTTATAATGGATCACTATTATTAATCAAATTCGAAAAAGAAAAACTAAATACATTCATTAATCAATGTATGCTAAACTGCGTTGATAATTCAAATGTTAAAACTTATTTGTATTTTGATTATTCAAAGAATTCAATGATCCTTACGACGATTTGAATTTATTAGTGCTTTTATTCGTAATCTAATCTATAAGGGTCAAAGATTTTGGAGGGACCATAGAAATGATAGTTTACTCATCCAAAGGTGCTCTGCAAAGAGGACAGACCTAGTTTGAAAGTATTATTTACCTTTATCTTTTCAATCCAAAGTCTTAAGCATTTAGAATGATAGAGATGTTTACAATATGTGATTTTAACATTATTATATAAATCGAATCTTTCTAAACAAATTGAACAATAATGACCATCTGTATGAATGTAAGGAACATCAGATTATTTAATTTCTTAGAATTTGTAAGTGGGTATGTATAAATCAACATAAGTTGGAATAGCTTCTGTTTATAATTGTTATTTTTAATAATCGACTTTATTTTTAAAGTACTTTGAGCAACAGCAAGCTATCATAAGGAAAAGAAATATTGATAAACCGATAAATAGAATCAACATAAAAGTCGATAAACTTTCTTCTTGAAGATTGTTATCAAATATTTCTACACTCTCTACATCCATAATTTTAAATAAATAATAAGGAATTTACTAAACTTTCATCTCATCCTAAACCTAGAATGTAATGTTCTGGCAATTCTTTATTTGATCATGATCTAGTTATAACAAGTTTGTTAAAACCTAAGCTCCATGATTCACTTAAGGTTTCTCAGCATAACATTATCTTCTAATTGGAATCGAATTTGACAATATTCTTAAAAAAGCAGTCTTAGTTAGTTATTTGATGTTCAAATAATATAAATGGCTTGATGAAAGTGTTTTCTAATCCAAAATATTCAACCCTTAGATGCTGCAATCATCTCCAAATGATCCTTATAAACATTCGCAAACTCCATAAAAACAACTGGCTCCATTGCGACATTCTCTAATTTTATATCATTTCTTTACTTTTAACAAGTGTAAATTGACTAGATTTCTGCTTAAATACTATAAGATGATTATAGTTTTGAAATTGCTCCAATAAATAAACCAGCATCCTAATATTCATATATATTGTAATTGTGATGAAATTTCCCCACAAATTACTTATCCTAAAGAGATAGCACCTACTTTTTATTCTTATCTTCATATGCATTTACATCATAAAAGCATTATTTTCTACAATATATAATTCTATTTATTACATGATTGATTCATAATCCATTGAAATATTCGCATTTGGTTTATTAGAACACATTAGGAGTATTGGTTTTTCTCCTTCTAAATGCTAAAGCGTTATGGTGATCTTTGATTTTAAAGGAAACCCATTTTATGTTATATTCCTTATTTAGAAAGCTTAAATCCCGTATACTCTAAGAAAACTCGATTCGATTTTTTGGTTAACACTTAGATGGATATAAGCCAGAAATATTAAAATGATCATTTTAAATTATTTTTAATACCAATTAGTTTTATATGTTTAGAAAATTCAGTAACCCTTCTATTTAATTTACAATTCTAATTTTATTTTAGATAGCAATATTACAGTATCAGTACCTAAAATTTAAGTGAACTTATATTTCTATTGTTCTGCATCTAAGGAAAAATTCTCAATTATCAAAATAAAATTTATTTATTCCTATTTTTTTCATTATAACAAATTTAAAAAAGATCAAAAAAATAAGTCAGCCCACACTTCTCTTTTTAATAGATCTCTAATTAAGAAATGAATGTCCGACTAATATGTTTACTTCCAATTCTACTTAAGATTCGAAAAATAGATTACTTAACCGATATTCTGATAGATTATTAAATTGCAAATTAGAATAACTAAATGGAGTTCAATTGATGCATTTTTAAGATTAAAGCTATTATTTATGAACTATCAAATTAGATAATAATAATTTAATTAATTTAACATACTTTCTGTAATTATTTGAGATTCTTAAGTAATATAAAAAAGTTCATAACAATTTTTTTTCTAGAATTAGTTTATTGCTGAACTAATTTAGTTTATATAAGGATTGGTAAGGGAATCTCTTATTAATATAAAATTTTATTTAATAATAATAGAATATCCTTCAACAAATTTGTGATAAATGTTTAAGATAATTAAGTATTCGATGAATTTGAGAGCTTATATCAAACAAAATTAACCAATATTCAAGAATATTAAGATCCAGAGTTAAAAGAAAGCTTAACTCAAGAAAAACTAAACCTTGACTTAAGATAAAAATAATTTACGATAATATTGAAAAAAACAAATTTTTTTTAAAAATGCAGATTTAATATTAAACTGCATTGGAAACATAAAAATATAGACTGTTTATAGAATCTTTGGAATAGCAACAAATTATGTATAAATGATTGTCAAAGACCTGTTTTAACTGATTCTATGTAGAAATTATCAGATAATCTTTTGCCTTAATTTTTTGATCTATATTATATTTCGAGATGGTTGAAAGAATAACGTTCTTTTATTGCCCTGGTTAGTTTATTCAAATCTTCCTTCATAATTGGTTTTTAATTTAGAGAATCTTAAGATTTGCATGCCCTTAAATATGTTTAATTAATACCAATTTTTTTCAAGCGATTTAATTTGCACAGGTTTCGGTCTTCTAGATTTGTATTAAGAAGGAATGCTGTAAATTGAATAAGATCCATCAGATTAATCTAGATAATGTCTTAGGAGAGCTTACCCAATAAATCAAGGATGCCTTTCTCTAATTCTTATTTATTTGCATTTTTCTGATATATTTACAAAATTTCTTAGGTTTTTCTGTCACCTTAAATTAACAAATCTGTTAAATCACAAGCAAAAAGTTACCTTTTAGTTCTCCCTTTTACGCTTAATTTATAACATTTCTTCGGCACATTTCATATAAAGTAAACAGATATTAACTTTCCTTGCTAGAAGTAAACTACATGTATTTAAAAAAAAAAGTAAATTTATAAATAAATTATGAACTGTTAATTGCATAAACTATAAAATATTAGATATTGAGAATTGAATCTGACTCTATTCGTATTTACTTAATAATATTTAACACATATTTAGATATACTTCTAATTTAATGAAATAAAATAAACTTAGAAATATTTCCATTTTCATTATATCAAATAAAGAAAGCATGGCTTATGTATTTAAAATTTGTATATTAACTTATTTATTAGAATATATTTCACTTAAATGCCTAAATTACAACTCTTGTACAGATTTAAAAGTTTTAATTTATTAGATTGTAAAATTATTTCAAATTCTATTAATCGATTGTTTTAATAATTTAACTTATTTTTAGCTCTCCCCTTGGGATATCTATATATAATACTTCAATACTGAATAGCTTTCTTAAAAAATAGTCAAAATGTCTATTCTTATAAAAAAAGTATAAATATCATTATAAGTAATAAAATTATGAATTTATCAAATATTATATGATTAATTATAAATTACTAAGAAACCAATAAATGTTCGTTTTTGCTAATTTGTTGACCAGTTTTATTAGAAAGTTAAAAAAAACAAGTTCAAATGAATGAGCAACTAAGTAATTCAGAAATAACATTTTATATTCCTTCTAACTAAGAAGCATTTTTTATATAGAAAAATCGAAAATTAATTTAAAAGTCTTAAAGATTATTTAATCTACAATAATTAATTTATTTCTCTTTTGGAGTTTTAAAATTTTGATGTTTCGTTATTTCTGAAATCTAATAAAAGAATAAATGATTAAAAAGTGAAGAAATTAAATTTATTTAAATTAACTTCTTAAAGAAAAGAAAATAAAATGAGTGTAAAAAGACTTTTGTTTGGATTATTGTAATAATTAAACGATATTTATCAAGTGACATGAGGATAGTGAATAGATTATTAATGGTAATAGAAAAGAGAATTAAAGCGCAAATTTGATTTTTTTTACTTTACATTATCAATATGTAATAATTAAAAATGTTATAAAATTCTTGTTTTGAGGATTATGTTGGAATGGAAATTGAAAATTAATTAGGAACTAGGGGTCAATCAAAAGAATACTTTGGAAATAAGAGAATAAATCTATTTCAAACCCCTAGAAAATAGGATTATTTGGGACCTGAAAATTAAATGGATGAATCCTAATAATCACCGCATTTTATTTTATAGTGTAAAAATTAAAGAGAATCAACACAATACAATTATAGTATGAGTTTTAAATATAAAAAGACTCTGAAAATGAAAATACCGCAAATGAAAATAAAGATGAATTTCAAATAGATATAAATTTTACGCCAAAAACAAATGAATGCCTATTCACAGAATTGAATAACTTGATAGTTCAGGTCTAAGAGAAGATATAAAATTTATCTCAATAATCACCAGGTGCGAATGATCTAAGTCAATGTTATGGTACATATAGTGAAATTAAATAACAAATATATGAAATTGAGAGAGTTTATAGAAGTATTTATTTTTTACTATGTATAAAAAGCTAAAGATGATGAGCTTTCATAATTGAATATCTAATTGGAAAAAGAATTTAATTCATGTAAAAATCAGAAGTACTTGGATCTTACAACAAACATATAAGTGAACCAATCCTTTGATATATCTAAAAGATATCAATAACTTTAAGAAATTAAAAAAACCAAACTTTAAAAATTTAAGAATAAATATCATGAAAAATATAGGCTGTTAAAAAGCGACCTTGATGAGTTAAAGTCTACAGTTAAATAGTTCCTTTCAAAGAATTCATTTACTTTGGATAATGAGCAATGTTATTTAGAATTTTCAAAGATGTTTAATGCAAAATTCAAAGAGGAAATATCATTTGGTGAAAATAGTAATTAGGATATTGAAAATTAAAAATCGGAGTCTCCAAAATTGAAAGATAATTAATGTATAGATTCGTTTATTTTAACATTGATGAAAGAATTCGATATAAACGAAGGAGATGTAGAGAATATTAGAGTGTAGATTTTATAATGTGTAATAAACTAAAAAGAACTCATTTTATAGTAAAAAAATTAATTGGAAACAATCCAGACCAATCAAAACTTAAGTGCAAATCAACAAATAAATAAATTGAAAAAAATAAAAGATGAACTAGAGAATGAATTGATTTAGCTAAACTTGCAGAAAGAGTAATAGCAAAAAGTCTTGGATCAAAGTAATAGGGGAATTTAGGAACTTAAATAAAAATTAGAACGGATTGAAAATATGGATTACACCTTGCTTAATTCTAGGTTACTTCAATAAGAATAGATTTAAATGAAACAGTAATAGAAACTAATTTCAATTGCTTCAATAATATTTTAATAATTAATCGAATCTGTTTCTTACAAATCATAAATTAAAATTATGCTATAGGAATACTTTTAACACTTAAACACTTATTTCGATAAAGCTAATGAAATTATTAACAAATAAAATTGGAAATAGGATGATGATCCCTTAAAATACTTTAATTATCATTAATAAACAGTATAAAAGATGATGGATATCATTTGTGCAGAATACTCTAAAATGATTAGAGTGATATAATAGTAAAGATAGGACTTAATGTCTTAGTTATGATTCTATTTTCTTATTGTATATATTATTATATAACCTCATTATTCGACATTTACATTCTGTTGAGTGTCTCCTTACCTCTATTATCTATTTCTATTTCCACCTCTCTATGGTTTATGTTATGGTTTTTTTTATCTAGAAGTATATAAAATTAATTAACCTGCGTTCAATGGTAATATATTCTTCATCCGAACTATGTTAGCTTTAATTATCCTATTATTATTCTACTACTTCCTTCTTTTCTTACCATTCTTCCTTCTATTATCTGTCCCTATTTTAATATTGTCTGTTTCCTCTATAAGGTCTATTTTTATGGTCATCCCCATTATTTCTTCTATCATAATTATTATCTTGATGATAATTCTTCTTATAGCCTTTTCTTTAATTATCATGTTAATAATGTTATCTATGACCTTCTCTATGTTAATGAGTTTTCTCTTGATTGTCTTGTTTTTCATGTTGATCTGGCTATTATGATTATTCCTAAGGTTGATTGGTATTTGGTACTAAATTGGTGTTTTCTTACTATTAAGTATCATCCGAATGTTGATTAGGTTATTAATCTAAGGTTTGATGTACTTAAGTTCTAGTTTCTTCTTGGAATGATTTTTTTGGACTAGATTTAATCAAAACATATTATTCCTGTTATTGTGTCTATTCCTTGTGGGTTTCAACAATATCTTAGGGTTAAGGGGTTTCTTATTTTAATGGCTAGACCACTTCGACTTGTTTGGGGTGTTCAGAATGTGCTTAATGTTTCAACTAAATTTAAATTTTTATATATTTACATTCAAACCTTTCCATGGTTGATCTTTCTTTCTCAATTACCCATTCACTCTATTTTAAAGTAGTTTAGCAAGTTCATAAAGTGAATTATGGTCTTGAGAGAGAAGGGCAACAGTGTCTTGATTTTCAGACAAATGCTCTAAAATGAGAATGAATGCTTCTTGGGTGAGGAGTGTTCCACTTTATTCTGCTTCCTTCTTTGCTGATAGCCAGTTGGATAATTAGGCTTCTAATTCCTTTACTTTTTCATTGTTTTCTTCTTTGCTTTAAATCTTTTGAACTTATTCTGCCTTTAATTCCTTGGTCTTTGATAATTCTTCTAAATCGGCGATGTCCTTTAATTTCTTCTGGAGATTCCTCGATTTCTTCTACAGGTAATTGAAATAGAAATCCTTCTCTTCATTTTTAACCTAATCCCAAATTGACTATTTCTTCTATTGTTTAGCTACTTTCATAAGTATGTATTTTTTAAAAATATTTAAATAAAAAGCACAATAATTTGAAGGAATACGAATTGATTCTGCTTATTTATTGTTTGTTTCGATTAAATAACTTGCCTAACTGTTTCAAATTAAATCCTGCTTAATTCTATTCCATATTCGTTTTTATACTCAATTAAATAAAAAATGGAAAACCGAGAAGAAGATGTTCCAGCAACGGAGAAACCTGTTGCAGAAGTGAGATTGGAGGAGAAGTTAAATGAAATTGAAGAAGCTGGTGAGAAGGGAATAAACGAAGTTGAGAAATACTACAAAATAACAGGATCTCCAATAAACAATGCAATTATTGTTTAGATATTAATATGCGCTCTTGCTTCAGGAAGCACAGCTCTTGTGAATTCTTTAGGTCCAGTTCGATGGTTGATCAGCCTCATACCTGTTTTCAACTTTTTGAATTTCATTATCTATGCTGTTTTCTTAGCATTTTTATAGTTTGGAAGTACATTTTTCAAAAAGGTATATGCATCTCCTCTATATTTAATAGAAACCCTGGAACTTCCTATTTTTCAGTATTCACTTCATTGGCAAGTTTTCATTCATGGTATTCTATGGAGTAAACTACCCATTAAGTAAATTTGAAGTATTTTATTTCCTCTGTGTGTTTGGTTACCTCTACGTTTTGGCCTTGGTTAGAAATAGAGATGCAGGATTGAACGGAGTTGATTTTACAATCAAAGGAAACTTTTTCTAGCTAGCCGGTCTTGGAATATTTTTGGGTTTCTTTTTGGTATTCTGTTACATTTGACTGTTAGGCACTCCTTACTTCAGCAGGATTTTGGCCAATGATTTGGTAACCAATTGTGGGAGTACTCTATTTCCTATACCTTTTGCTTGAAGTATAGAGATTCGATGGAAGTCTTGAATACTTAAGAGAAGGAAAAAATGCATTATTTTTGGGAGCAGCTCAAATAGATGCAGACTTATTATGGTTCTGTCCTTTGGCCCTATTTCATATCACATCAAAAGGAGATGGAATTGCAAATAAAGCACAAGAACATCTTGAGGGAGCAAAGGAAGAAACTAAGAAGTTGGTTAATTCTGAATTGAATGTATGAAATGATTAAGAGAAATAAAATCAATAAAATTTATTTTAGTTAACTATTATTTAATGTAAGATTGCATGGTCAGTCCCTTGTAAATCAAAATATAATCCCTTAAATATATTAATCCTCTAGAGATTGCTATTATAATTACAATTTATATACATATTTGAAGGTTTCCTGAATAGTTCTAATAAACTTAAGAGAAGGGAGGTTCGAAGGGGTAAGAGGTACGTCCAATTGAAGTAGATTGTCTTCAAGTTGCAATTGTATCTTGATGATTATTATATTAAAGTATTTAGTTAATATTATAATGAACGTATAAATGAAAAAATTGCTGAAGACAAATAAAGATTTTGGCAATCAATATCTAGACTTCACATAATTGTTTGAAAAGAAACTTAAATCGCCCACAATAAATACGGATTGCAAGAAGGAGCTAATTGATTAATATAGACAACGCAATTTCAAACATGAACCCTAACCGTTCTTTGAATCGTCAGAAATTCTTGTTTATGGATCTTTTGAGAATTCGAACATCATGGCTGTACAATAAGAAGGCACTGAATTGAATATCTTACTGAATGGGGACACCAATACTAATGGATGTACACAATGGTTTTATTTTGGTGTTTTGGTCAAACAGCCATAACTATTGACTTTTCGAATTCTCAACAATCGAAGAGGGAAATCTCTACTAAAAGAATACAACCACATTCGAGTATACGATAACAACAAATGGAATAGTGAGACTACTAAAGAATTATTTTATTACAGAACAAATATTAATCATCCCTTCTACCATTCTTAAGATTCTTCTATTGCAAACTTGCAGTAGAATTTTCCACTATATACTTTACAATTTAATTATAATTTCACCCAAAATAAAAGCATAGTATACTTTGCTTTGACTTTGCCTTACACAGTCAGCAATCTACATTAACTAGTTTACCATTCAGCTCTGAAACACAAAGTACTATGCACTACTCCCTTGGGATTGCCTATATTTAAACTCAAAACCAAAAATAAAAGTAAAGTATATTTTTATATTGAAATAATTAGCTTCTGAAGTTGTGATCATTTTGGCACGCCAACATCCAAGTGAGTCAGTAGGTTCACACATCTGCGAAGAGATAATTAAATTATTAGATGCTGGTCACTAGGTTTAGAATAAGTATAGATTCATAATATTCCCGATGCTAAATCCTGATGGTGTATTTCTTGGCAATTCTAGGTGCAATTTCAATGGAATCGATTTAAATAGGTAAAACCCTGTTTAATCTTAATCCTTAGAAAGTGGGATATGCCCAATTAAACTACTGAACCTGAAATTTATAGTGTGGTTAAACATATCAAAAAGTACAAAGTGGCTTTTCTTATTGATTTGCACGGGCATTCTAAAAAACTGAATTAGTTTTTATATGGTTGTGCTACTCCAATCAAACATATATCAGATTATATGAGAGTTAAGTAATTCAGCAGATTATTACAACAAGGATGTGATCTCTTTAATTATTTGGTAGTCAAAAAAATTGATAATTTAGAATTGCACATTCAGTGTGACACCAGATAGAATGAGTACTGCTAGAGTAGCTATGTGGAAGAAGTTTTAAATTGCCAACTCAATGACCATTGAAACGTCTTTGTATGGAGCATTAAAAAAACCTTTCGAAAAAGAAGAGTTTTAACTATTGGGTTAAAATATTCTAAATGCTCTCTTTTAATATGACGAAAATTAATCCGATCCTCATCTATATGAAGCATAAGAAATCAATCAAGCAATCAGGTTAATCAAAAAAGATGGATTTGACGATAAAGAGTCTGGGTCTGATTCTGATGCTGAATAAGACATTATTGTGACCAGAAATTCAAGGTTAAAAGTCACTTCCAGAAGAGATTCTACTCCTATGATGGCTAAAAGCAAACCGAAACAGTAATCTGAAACACCCATTCAATAGCCTACTCTTTTCTTCAAGAACGAGTAAACTTATAGTTTCAAGAGGATACCTTCTTATTAGTTGAAAAGAAAAGTGTAAATTTTCTAATTATACTTAGTTCTCGAATGAATTCTTTTCAGAGTTAAATCATTGATGAACCATTAAGTGCCTAATTGCCTACTATTTATAATATTCCTAGTAAGTAATACAAAGGAACTCTTGATCTGATATAAGCTATACAAGTGAAATCACTTTCTAGATAATAGTGACATTATTATTTAGTAATTTATGAACTATATTTGACTATTAAATCTCAATTCTAAAATCATTTAGACTTTTTATTTAATCAGAATGCCCATTTTCTAACTTGAATCAAATTTAAATCATAATCTGATAGTCATAATTTATTTTAGATGGAATAAATTAAATTTAATTAAATATTAGAATCTTATAACAAAATTAATTTTCTTGTTTATTCACCTATAAGAATGCCTTAGGGATTTGATATAAGCAAATATAGATATATATTATATACTATAAAGATGAATTCAACTCATTTTGAGCATAAATTAGGCTTTGTAATATATTAGCATAAAATATAGAGTAGATGATATTGAGATTTAAGTATGCACTATTTTTATTTAAAAATAGCTTATAATTTATAATGATCATAAATCATCTAAATTAAAATTTTGCTGAACCATATCGTCTTCATCAAAAAACATGAGTTTTATCCTATTACTACTTTATATTTCATCTTCCAAGTTCACGTTTGTTTCTTCTTACAAGGTCATTGCTGGCATTGCTTAATTGGAAACACTAATTATTTTACTAGATTTCCTCTAGGTTAGAGGGGATGATGGATTAAATTTTTGATGATGAGATCTAATTCTTTATAATTATGTACCTGCATTAACTTGGAGAACGAGTACCAATAATTTCTGACATTGGTTTGAAGATTTTGTTATTTTTCTTCATTTAAATGTTGTCCTCCAAGAATTATAGATATTTTTCATGCTCCTCCTTTGTCCAATGTCCTACATTTTTTTTATGTGTAGGAGAATCAATTTTTTTGATTTTTTTGGATTTTGGAGATCTTGTATTGGTGAGTTCATCATTGAAACTATCTTTAAAACTATTTTCCTCTTCCATTTGGACAACTCTTTTTATATTTATTTAAAAAAATAAATATTTTGTTTTTACTTTATTATATAGTTCATTTTCTTAATGAATTCTCCACTCTATTACATGTTTAATCAATGAGGTTGATGATAGTTTCTTCAGTAGCTTCCCTCTCATTTTTTTCAGCATTCAATTCACCATTCAAATATGCATTCATTTCATCCAACATTCTAAACATCTAAGCCTAAGCAATTTCTCTCTACTTTTTCTCAGTGGTTAAGATCTCCTATAATTTCAGTATTGAGTCCCCCAATCTCTTGATAGTTTGTTAGTTCTATTCTTCTCTAAGTTGAATAAATAAACTGATATACCTCTATCTTCTTTCCTCTTCAACTTCTTCTTATAATTATAAAACTCTATCCCCAATTTCTTAAGCGTTCTTTTCTTCTGTTTCCTCTCTATATTTCTTTTACCTAGCCAAATCCAATCTTAAACTATAGACTCTATCGTCAGTGTTTTTAATGATCTTTTATTCATGATCTTTCCTATTCACTTTCTCTCCTTACAATTCTTTACCTAAATAGGCTTCCAATCCCTTCAAATCTTTTGTTCTCAATTTCTCATCACCACTCTATTAATCCTCTAATTTAAATATACCTCTCTAATTATTTTCTCATTTTATGCCCCTTCCTCTACCTTTGATAATTATTCCTTCAGTAACTTGAATTTAGATTCATCGCTCTATTATTATTTAGTAACTTTATCCTCCAAGATTTTAACTTTCTACTCGAATGTTTCTTTCTTGATCTATATAAAATTGTTAGATATATAGAAATACTGCTTAGTCCTCATTAATGGAATGCTATAGGTTAGAGAGCTTTTCATTTAATTAGGAGATCTTGGCTCTGCTTGGAGAAAGTGCCCTGTCTCTCTCGCCACCGTATGAAACAGCAGATTAACTCTTAGGTCCAGGAGATGAGTACATCAATTTAGAAGCTGACATTGTTTTTGATATTATATTATGATAAATTTATTTCTGTATATATTGCAATAAAATTTATGTTTTCTTATCAACAATCTATAATTAGATATTACCAATAAAACATAAAGATCCATTTGGATATTTTGGTAATGCTTCTGTTTTAAGAGTAATTAATATCAAATGAATTTATAGGATTATTTGTTTTAATACATCTAAGATTTTAAAATTTATAAATAGAAAGCAAACAATAAAAAGAATTTAATCAAAGCTTATCAAAAACTTTGAGCTTTAGAATCTTACTCTATTAGTCTATTTTAGTAAATGGATTTTCTATCTATTAGGCTGGATTGTGCTTGTATTAAGATAGGGCTAGTTCAAATTATTGCATTTCAACATTTAACTATTGTTTTATTCCATCAGGTAGATCTGCTACTTCAGATTGGAACATTTGTAGAATTTCAATGCAATCTTAAATTCTATATGGATCGTAGTATAGCATAGCCTCATTCATTTGACTTCGAGATTTCAGCTTATATATTTGAACCATAACAGTTTCATCTAAAATATTGTTTTTCTGAGATTATGCATAGATTGGAATGTCGTAATTTTAGTGATGATTAGAATGTATTTGTTAGAAAGATACTTCTATATTACAAATTTCACCACCCTCAGACTTGGGAATATTTCCAATGCCGATCAAATGAGGTTTGTTTTACCCAATAGAAACCAATTTCTTTTTGATTCGAATTTCATATGGGCTAACATAAATGAATTTACCACCACTACATTCTGATATTTAAATTGGATTATTTTAATGAGTCTTCACTCTTATTTCTAGATTCAAAATAACAGTCTATTGAAGTTTCAAGGTTTCGAAACATAGTAATGAGGATAATTAATCGAACTTCTTCATTATGTGATATCGTCCAAATTTTTGACTTTCCCTTTTCTTTTTCTAACAAAACTAAATCAGGTCTTAAGAAAACAACAAAAAGACTTTCAATTTAAAAGCCTATTCATTTTAAAAGGCCTCTTTGAAATCGTTGCTATACTTTCTTAAATCTTAGTCTTAACTGATTATATTGACATTGGTAATTTCGTTTTTAAATTGTCTTAATTCCAAAGACAAGAGAGTAATTTAAAGAGCACTGTAAATATTAGAATTTTCTTTCTTTATAGTGATCTATTCAATTTTTTTAATTATCTTCAGTTTATTTTTTTCACTGAGAGGAATTAATGGAAATAGTTAACAAGCTTTATTGCTATAAGTAACAATGCATAATCTATCTTAATCACTTAAGTAATTAACTAAGCACTTTAAGGCCGATTTGATTTTTTCTAAGGACTCATCATTTAATGATTAACTAATGTCTATTAAATATATTAAATCCACTCCAATTTTGAAATCAGGTTAATTTGGAAATTTTTTATTAATTTAGAAAAGCAGGGAGCTTTTGTCTTGATATCCATACCTAATATCGATGGGATTATTCATTTCCTAAATTTATTTGCTTTTTTCTGGAATTTCATCTTCTGGATTATTTTGCTTATATTGTTATTTAATATCCTTGTTGGATTCAAGGATCGAATAATACTTATTGAAGGCAGACATTTTAAATAAATAATGAAAAAAGAGAATAAAGTAGATAAAAAATTATCATAAGTGAAGTTACAAATATAAAATAAAAATTCTTAATTAAATTTATAATATAAAAGTTTTAATTCCTTTCAATTCATAATAAATATTATAATTAAAGAATTTGTTTTATTGTAACTCTTAATATTAAAGATTATATAATTTGATAGCAATTAAGTTCAATCCTACTTAAATCACATAAAAAATTATATAATCTTTTTTTGATTGTAAAATTTGAAAAACGCCAGCAAAATGATCAAAACTTCAAAATCGTTTTAGTATTTCAAAATTTACAAGAACTTTAGAATGATTGACCTAAATGAATCTATATCAATTTAGTCTATTTGTCCATATTTCTCATGAATTTTTCTTAAAAATAATAGAGGTTTAAGAAATAAATTTATTTTAGCTGCTCTTTTTAATAAGAATATGAGTAAATTTTATTGAGAGAATCAAAAAATAAAATATGGTTATCATTTCCCACTAGAATAATTTTTAGCATTAATTCCAGTTAGTTAATTTATTGCTTAATTTCTCATTAATAATTATAATTCAAGTTATTCGTTTCTTTATCTTTTTTATGGTATTTTAGAACTCCATTAAAATATATTCATTTGTATTGAATGATACTATTAGTTACAAATTACTTTGAAATAAGATATTTGATATTTTACTAATCAATGCATTCTTAATTGTAGAAAATTTCAATTCTATGGATATAAGTATTACAATATTTCATAAAAATTAATTTATTATCACTTAATATTCTAGATAATAACTACTATAATTAACATAGAGATAAAGGTAAGAAATAAAATTTATTTGATTTAGGTATTAAAAAGAATTATGAAATTTAAATAATGATGAGAATATAGAATTAAAATTTTATACACATTATTTAATTATTTATGTCATAAGAGTCATAAACGAGTTTGTTGGGAAACTTAAGAAAAGTGATTACTTTAGTTGATCAATTACGTGATATAGGACTTAATGATTACATAAAATTACCTCGAATCGTTGTCCTTGGTATCCAATCTGCAGGTAAGTCTTCATTGTTGGAACATATTGTTGGAATTGATTTCTTACCAAGAGGATCTGTAATGTTATGATTTGATAAATAGGGTGTTGTCACAAGAAGACCGTTGGAATTGCGTCTGTCTTATTCACCTTAAAGTGTGTGTGCTTAACCAACAGCTGAATTCGTAGAGGAAATCAAAGGCAAGAAATATACCAATTTTGAAGAAGTCAGAAAGAGCATCGAAGAATTAACTGACAAGGTGTGTGGATCAAGCAAAAACATCATTGACAAACCAATCATTTTGGCAGTGACTGGACCTAATTGTCCAGATCTAACCCTTGTTGGTAACGATAAAAGAATCTATGTAATATAGACTTACCTGGAATTACAAGAATACCAATTATGGATTAACCTAAAGATATTGAATAAATCACAACCAACATGGCTAAGAGATATTGCGAAGATCCATCAGCTATCATTTTATGTGTTGTTGCAGCTAATGCTGATATGACAACATCAGATGCACTATTATTGGCTAAGAAGTTGGATCCAGATGGCATCAGAACTGTAGGAGTCTTAACAAAAATAGATATTATGGATTAAGGAACTAATGCAATTAAAATGTTGAAAGGAGAGGAAGTACCCCTCAAATATGGTTATGTGGGAGTGAAGTTGAGATCCCAATAAGAAATTAAGGATAGTGTTCCCATTGTGTAAGCTGTTCAGAGAGAAAAGAACTTCTTTGCCAATCATCCTGTTTATTCTTCCATTCCTGGAGATATATTTGGTACTCAAGTGTTGACAGGCAAATTAACTAGAATTCTATATAGAAGAATCCGAAGTTTCTTGCCTACTTTAATGTAGGAAATTAATTAAAGGATTTCTAAAGTGCAGAATAGACTTGACATTTTGGGACCTGGATTGCCTATTGAAGATTCTGTAATTTTATTCTATAACATTATTTAGGATAAATTACATTTTATTTGGCAACTCATCCATGAGTTTTCAGTTCGTTTTAGAAATTCTATCTCAGGACAATATGAAAAGCAAAAGGCTAATATCAAGAGTTTACAAGTGCCAGCTGGGTCATCAATTAAATTGCTTTTCAAGGATTTATATGATGACTACAGTCAATTAGACCATTGTGCTTTAAAGAAATTTAAGGATGAGGACATTCTCTAAGTCATTTAAAAATATTAGGCATAATCTATTCCTGGGTTTTTACCTGTGGATGCATTCTATGCCCTTTTGAATCCAGAATTAAAGAAATTATATGCTCCGGCTTATGAAACTCTTGAACAAGCATTTTAGATCCTAGAATAATATGCAACCACTATTTTAGAAAGTCAATTACAATAGTATATGACTATTTATATTTTATAGATTGCCTTCTGTTTACAAAATGCTATAAGATTAAATTATGGAAGTGATTCATGAATGTAAAAAGAATGCCTATGATTCTATTACTGATGTTCTTGATGCAGAATAAAATTACATATTCACGAATGATTTCAATTATTTAAGTGGCAAGCCTTTCATCAAATTTGGCAAGGAATCAAAGGCTGATTAACAAAAAGGAAATCCTATGGTTTTAGAATTAAGAAACAAAATAGAACATTATTTCAAATTGGTAGTCAGAGCTACTAGAGACAACATTCCAAAACTTATTGGATACTTTTTAGTTAAAGGATGCTAAGTATTTATATAATGTCTATTCTATAGAATCAAATGTTGAGATAATTGTAATCAAACTTAATGCAAAACTAAACCATTCTGTCTGTTATAAGTGAAGATTAGAACGTAGTCGAAGAGAGAAAGAAATTAAATAGGGAAATAGAGACATTCAAAAATGCACAAAAGATAATTAAAAGAGATCCTGAGTAAATATAAAAAATTATTATTTAGTCTATCAGAATATATTTTATCAGCAACAGAAGAATAGGAAGATTAATAATATATATAAAAATAAAAATAATAAACTAGTTCTTCATCTAATTAATAGAATAAATAATAAGTAAGATATTTAAATATATTAATAGTCATTATAAGCACCTTAATAATAATAATAAGCAACAACAACAACAAAATTATAAACTTAATAATAATAAGTAACTACAAATAATAATTAATAAAATAAAACTTAGACAACTAATACTTAAATATCCAATCAAAGAACAGATGTGATAAGAGATTAAGAATAACCTCCTTAAAGACCTAATGATCCTATTGTAAATAGAACCACTACTCAGTAGCCAGATTCAAGCAGACAACAACCATCCCCTACATAACCATAATAAAAAGGAACTCAACCTCAAACTCAACCTACCCAATAAAATCAATAACCTTAAAATAATTATCCATTGAATAATAATAATAATAATAATAATAATAATAATAATAATAATAATAATAAAACAACTGCAACTGCTCAACCAGCTGCTTAATAATAAGGACCTCCTCCTGTAATTTATTAATCTTATAAACTTTTAGGCTCAATAACAATAATAAACCTAAGCTTAATAGCAACAACCAGAAAAAAAAAGTTTGTTTGGGTTTATGAAGAAATGATTTATATTAATCATTTGAAATTATCAAAATATATTATGGACTGGGGAAATATTGTTTATTATTATAAATAGTTTTTTCAAATGTTAAAATCTAGTCCTTAATAAGCGGACTTGACAAAAGGTCGTTATTTAGATTCTGTTTTCTAATTTATCTTCATATTTTCTTCTTCTACTTATTACTGATGTTACTCAGTTTTTATTCTTCGAGATTGATCATATCCTTTGGCAAAGATCTATTTAAAGAAATTAAGATTCTCTTCCTACCGTTTTTACATTCCTATCATTTAATCTAATTTATTCATCAAAAGGTTTCTCTCCTACAATTATTACACAAATATAATACATCTGTACTGCAATCTGTTTCTTGTTGAAATTTAGTTAGATTTTCAAACAGAAACTTATTTTACAATTCTAACTATTCAGATTTCTTTTTTAATAATTGAACTTAAACTACTAATTGATCTATCTTGCTTTCCAATTTTCTTTGTTTGATATAAGTTTATTGGTTGCCTCTATACTCATCATCTGCTTAAGTCTGATAGTAATTCAATTTTTGTGTTTCATCACACTCATAACGTTATTTTAAATTTTCCAATAAAGAAGATTAGGAGTCAACTGATTTACTTCTCTGCGATATGTTCTCCCTTTGTTACTTTTCCCCTTCTTTATTATCATATCGAGTGACACATTTTTAATTCTATTTCTTTTATGTCTTTAGCAATTCATCTTCAATTTAAATTTTATTTTACCTTAAATCTCTACTTAAGTTGCTTAATTTCTCTTTGAATTCTTGGGTTGTTATTTGTTATTATTGTTATAGTTTTATAGTTGGAGGAGAGGGAAACTACTTCATAGATGCAGATCCCTTTAATCCCATGAGTTTTTAATCAATAGTGTTTTGAATGAGTTGTAAAGCAGATGGGCACTCAGACAATCCACTTCTCTATGAGAAATATACTTATTCATTCAAATTTCCATAAGAATTGAATTTCTTTTTTGTACTATTCTTCAAATTGCCATTCTCGTTCCGTTATTGCGATAAAAGTGCTTGAAAATCTGCACTTTGATTTCTCTGCTCTCTGGTTAATCGTTTATATTCAGTATGATTCAAATTTTAATTTATTAGGTTCGAAATAACATTAACTTAAGCATGAGAATTTCTTTAAGGAGGTGAAGCAGATTGTTCCTTTTCTTTCTCTTTTTTTGGCGAGATTGACATTTGACCTTTAAATTGCTTCTCGTTCCCCTCTGTACGTATTCTGGTCTTAGAGTTATTGTGATTTAATGATTTGGATGGTCCTGTTATTAATTTCTTAAGTACTTACAGACCTGCCAATTTCTACATTAGTTGAGTATTGGAATATTTATGATGTTATTTGGGATAGTTGTATTTTTGTACCTCATTGCTTTTGATGTTTGATGATGTTTTTCTATGCAAATGGTTATTGATAGTATACATAATATAATTTATAACAGCTTAAAATAATATAAATTAGTGATAATGGGATAATTTGAATTAACTCAATACATTTTAAGATATTTGATGACTTTATATATTTAATATGAAGTGAATGTATAATCATTAATTATTTAAATAATGAACAATATCTAAGGGTATTCACTTTCAAAGCCATCAACTAAAACCACATAAGCACCAGGTGGTAATTCATCCATCTCATTTGTATTTTTGAATTCTTATTCAGGGCTCTGATGAGCCTGCTCCTCAATAAAAACGAGTTGTAAGAGACCCTAATGCTAGTCAATTTACTCTTGGAGGAGACCCTGCTCCTCAAAAAGGATAGCAATAATAGCAACAATAGCAACAATAATAATAATAGGATTAAGGTTTTTCATATTTTGAATATTTTTTAGGGACCCACACATCAGTCAAAGTTAAGAATCCACCTGGAGGTCGTTCATAAATACAATTCGGATGAAATATTAGTTAAACAAATAATTCATTTACAATTAAATTCATCTTACCTATTTTATAAATTTCACTCAAATGTGATGGGCAATGCAATTAATCATGTTTCTTGATATGAATAGACACCTTAAATATATAGAGTACCCTTTAATTATTCACATTTCAGACGTTAGAATTATAAAAATATAACATTTAATTCAAACCCTTAAAAATAGTAAAGAAAATTCATAAATTGTATTTTATTTTGAAAAATCATAAAATTTGCATAGGCCTTAGTTTTTTAAATTTACTCTACTTCAGATTGCTAATCTCAAATTCTTTTTTATTAAGTATTTTTAAACTCTCCAATGGAATCTCTCCTATTTTATTCATATTTTTTATTATTCTTTATTAAATTTACAACAACTCCTTGTCATTCTAATATGATTTATCAAAAGATGCTTTAGCCCTGTCTATTTTTTAAATGAACTGTTTAAATTGATTCTTTATCTTAGCCTAAGGTTCCTCTCTCTCAGTAATCTGACTTATCTTCCTCGAATCAGGAAAAACAGCTTAACTTAAAAAGGTTCTATGAGAATAGATTTTGGATGCATTGGGAGATAGCTATGGAAGTTTGTTAGTACTTCGAGAAGTTTCAGGATAAAGTTGATGGAAAGTTGTTCTCTATTCACTAATATCTGACAGTTATTAAATTGGTTCTGTTAACTTCTTCTTCTTTTTTATATATCTTTGGGGTCCTTTTTTCTATTTATTATTGTATAATTGCTTTGTTGTTTTTTCAAGTAATGATAGAACCTTTTCAGTTTATTACTTAAATTGCTTAGCTTATTTAGATATCAATTCGTCCATTCTCTCTTTTTCTTAAAGATTTTCTTCTATATGTTTTTGAGGTAATCTAATCATTTAGAATGATCTTTTGCAATTTCTTCTTTCTTACTCATATTTTTTTTATAATGCTAATTATTCAGATTTAGTCTTGATATCAACAAAGAGTTAATCGATTCCATTATAAAATTTGTCATCTTCTGTTTTGAGTTCCTCTATATCATTTTTTGGTGAATTTTGTTAGTCCTCCTATATCAAGTATCCTTTAATGTCAGGTGAATGCCTTATAACTGTACTTTTCTCAACAATTTACTTGCTCTTTTGTATGATTTCAGCATAATCAAATAAATCATCATTTTCACTATCTGAATCTATTTTCTTTAGAGTTTTTAACTTCTTTTTTTTTTCTGCTTTGGCTATCTTCTAATTGCTTAAATGTTTGAGAAACTATTTAATGTCAAGAAAGGTATCCATATTGGCAAATTCTTTAAACCTTCTATCGAACAACTACTCCCTTGTAACTTTATTGATTCTCATTTTCTTTCTCTCTTGTTGCAACACTTTACTGACATTTTAATTGAACAATCTATTTTCTTTATAAAATCAATATGAGTTACTTTCCATTTCATCAGTTTCATCTTGTGGAGTATTAGGGGAAGAGTCCTTTTACTTTCTCTTTTTGGCTAATTAATCTTTAACAAATTAATAGAAGTCTTATTCGAAGTTGTTCATTATAATTAATTAAAAATGGCTGATATATTGTCATTAAAAGTAGCCTTTATTGAATTCATTGAAAAATTACTGCCTTCGATATCAGATCCGATGTCAATTACATAATAAAAATGCTAATTGCTCATAAAACTCCTTCAAGACCAAGCAAAGACAATTTCGGATGTTTGTTTGTTTATTTAAAACTTCAAAATAGGCCATATGAAACCCTCTAATTAGAATGGTTAAGAGGAGGAAAAATCAAAATCTCCAACCAAAACAAAACAAACAGATCATGAGCTGTTCTAGCCAGAATCATATTTTAGGTTAAGTATGTAAAACTCCATAACAAATTAGACCTTCCTAATAAAGACTTAATAATAAAGAAGTCTGGTCACAAGTATGGTGAATTAAAAGAAAAAAATAACAATGTTGAATAAATTGAAGGCCAAACAGAAGACACATCAACGCCTCTCAAATTTGGAATTGATAAATTGAAAAGTATTCATTAAATAATATATTAAGAAACCCCAAAATCTACTTCTACCTTGAATACGTTCTTCTAATAAGTCAAAGGATTTTCAATAGTTTCAAGAGAATACCTTATTGATGATCTACAATCATGCATGAAAGAATTTAGAAGACACACTAAAATCATGGGTTGCATAGAGCAAAGGTCCTTTGAGGTAAACAGTGGTGAAATTTCGGAAGCAGATAAAAAACTACATAATTAAAACTATAATTTTACTAGTTATACCAAACAAGTTGAACGATAAAAATCTTTTAAAAAAATGAGCATATTTGAACAAAAGAAAAACCCAGAACCAAACATCCTCAAGTAAAATAATGAGCAATTATTACCTACATAGAATGCAACACCAATTTAGACTACACCCTCTCTATAAAAAGTTTAAGAATCAAAGAATATAGATGTTCAATAACCATACACTGCTCGCACATATTAACATTCCAAAACAACATTATATTCTTAAAGAGCTTAGCAGAGAAGAAATGAATAATAAGCAATGTTGAATTAACAGGTTACAACTTAATAAAATAACGAATAACTTAACAACCCAAACTAGTAAAATAATAGAATAGATAATTAAGATCAAAATAAAAAATTCTAAGCTTCTCCGCTCTCTGAAGAATCAACTAGTAATGGAACCCCAGAAATTGTCAAAGTAGGCACTGTTACATCAGCACAATAGACAAATAAACGATCTATTAATGATAATGTTTCTCTAAATACACAAATAAATTCTCTTCCAATTTCCCCAATACTGAACAATAATAAATTTCCTATTGAATCTACTTAATCTTAAACTCACTCAAGAGAATAATCAACCAATGAAGGTATTAAAGTTGATTAGAATTAATAACTATCCTATAGAAACACTTATACAAGATTTAATTACACATAATAAAGATTATAGTATGCTAGAGGGAATCTCATTTCAAATAATTAAAAAGGTTCGACTAATTAAAACGTAGATGACAAAAATATAGAAGTTAGGATAGATACAAAATAATTGGATTCAAACTATTGATTATAATGTTCGTTTATAATTTAATAAATTTTTCACAATATTTTAGCTTTTCTTTACACCTTTTGTATTTATATAATGAAATATCATTGAGTATATTATATGAAAGAAATTTAAATAAAAATTATTTTAAAAATGACCTTAGAATAGTTGTTGGATACATAGCTTTATATCATTTTAATAATAAATAATGAAATCATTTAAGGTATTACACTGAGATAGTAAGTTATGATAATTTGTCATTTATGGTTGAAATAATTAGCGATTGTTAAATCGTTATGAAGTTTTTTGAAGAATCTATTAATTTAAAAAAGTATTGATGAGCAGATAATAGAAATAACAAATAAATATAAAAAAAAAATCTATTCTTCTAAAATAGATTTGATAAGATATTTGAAATAATAAATCTGTCCTTTGATAATAGGTTATTTTTAATTTTCTTTAAAATAAATTCACATCCTTTGCAAATTGCTTTAAATGTATTTTTCAATACTTATAAAGACAATATTTAGAATTTCACAAACATCTTTTCATTGATTAAATGATATCTAATGATGCTTAAGTCTTTGACTTAGAATTTATTTTTAAACATTAGCTTATTTTTAAAAAAAAGGTCAAGCTTAGTTTATTGCTTTTTGATAGTTACCATTAACACTAGGGAATACTATTTGATTAAATAACAACAAAATATTCCAGTAGATAGTGTTATTCACAAGAATAATGTAGTCATAAAGAAATTAGTTTTAATTTTAGTTGTTAAAACCTATTATTAATTTTTAATTAATATAATATGCTAACTTATACAGATTTTTGTCTTAAACTAGTTAAAATAATAAAAGATGAAAAAATAGAGTCATCAACTTTGAAAACTTTGGTTGATGAAACAATTGATTTATTAGAAAAACAATAACCTCCAATAGATCAATATGTAATTATTGTCAGTAATAGGAGGAAGAAGTAATTGCGAAAGAGTTATAGTTCTACAGAACTGAATGTCAATATCTTAACAAGCTAAGAATCTCATTATAAATTCAAGTGAAGGTATGATGTATAAATATTTAGCAATTGTAAAGATAATTATTTGAAGAGAAGGAAGCTAATAGTGAATTAATTAATATTCTAAAAACATAGAAACAAGAATAACTATTAAATTAAATAAAACCTGAGGGGTTGAATAATATTATTCAAAGAAATGAACCTTCAAAATTAACTAATCGACAACCTAAAGACTGTATTTTTTTCTTTTATTTCATTTGCATATAGAATTTAGTATTACTTAGAGATAACCTCTATTACCTTAAACTGCTAAATCGTCGTAACGAGCTCCTCATCTTACAATAGAAATTAAAAATATACGAACTCCATTATTAGAGCAATAAGATCCTAAAAATCTCAAAGAATTGTTTGATTAATGTGTGTAACAACTGTATAGGGACAATTGTATGAAAGGAAACCATATAAAAAAAAATAAGCAAAGTTGCAGCAGAGATCACTCAGGACAATTTTAATTGGCTGAAGAAGAGAAAGATGTTACATTTTCAAAACTAAATATTAAGACATTGACAGAAAAGTATAATATACAAATGACAATAGATTTTTTCTAAGTCCTCATTTTATAAGAATGATTGAAGCTTAAATTTTTGACATAAAGTGTTGTAATAATATGGCCTGTCTTTATAACCTAAGGGAACCGTAATAATGTACAGAAATTTTGCAAAATTAAAATGAAAGTAAAGTTTCCCAAATTCCTAAAAAAATACCACAATTTCGATAAGATCACAGAAGCAAAAGTGTAGGCAGACATGATGGTATAATAAACTAATCATATTAGATTTAAAACTTCAGTACTAGTATTTATTCGCAGACGTATTACGTTTAGAAAGAGAATTATGTGGAACTCCAAAACAAAATAAAAGCAGATACATAGAATTAAGCAACTAATTAAAAGATGCTCGTGAAAAACTCTATTAATTATAATGCAGGATTTTAAATTGAACTTCAACTGATCCTATTCATTTAAATTAATATAAAATTATTTAATCATCAAACCATATAGAACCTTGAATCTCTAGGTAATAGTGTTTGATATTTGGTTTTAACATTGCTTTGTGATCTTCTGTTTAAAGCCATAAGAGAATACATAGCATTAGTCATATAATTTCTTGATAATAACTCTTGTTTTCGTTTTTCATTTTAAACAGTCTTTACTCATATAAAAATATTAAATACCTTCATTTTGATAAACTTATGAATCCTTCTTTTTCAATTCATCTAAATCACCCGCATTGCTTATTGTTAACAAAGTAGTATCATTGGAATTGATCATACTATTTAATATTTTCTGCCTAGAATCGTTCATTATCAATAATTGATATGGATATTTAACGCCATTTTTTAATACGGTTCTTTGATTGACAAGTAGATTGTTATTGATTGTAGAGCTTAATGATTATTACGCTTAGTTCTGAACGCTAATTGAATTTCTGGAGAATGTTTAAGATGCTCTTGGCTAAAATGATGTTTTCTTAGAAATTCTAGACTAGTTCTTTTACTTGAAAATCTAAAACTGATATTAGATCCTATCAATAACCATTTAATTTTCTTTTTTTGTATTTGATTTGGAAGGAAATTGATAAAAAGTTTCATCAACTGAAAAAGATAAATTTGTTTATTTTTAGTTTTCTTTTGGAGAATTATAGATATGAGAAAAAGTCTTGTTTAATTTAGAAACTGCAAATATATTTTATTCAACAGTATTGTAATTTCTTGTAAGATGAGGAACCCTAGAAAGGGTTCTTTAGGGATTTTTAGCGCTTGATAGCCTTGATTTAAGTAGTTTAAGAGATTTTTTCTTTTACCACGATTCTGCTAATTATTGAACTCTCACCATGTCATCTACGTATTGCATTTGATAATAATTATTTTTCTTATTTTTATTTAATAAAGTTATGATAAATTTAATTAACTCTAAAAATTATACTCCGATTTTATATTGATTCTATTTTTTGCGGAATCTATCAAACAGTAGGAAAGATAAGATAGCTTGATTAATAAGTAATACAATCTCTTATTTTGAGATGGTTCATTCCAAATGGTAAATTATATATAATTCTTGAAACTTTTACTTATCTAATACAGACAATCTTTCATTTTATTTCAAAAAAGAATCAATACAATATCTCGAAGGAGGAATACGAGATTCTTCATTAAATACATTTAGTTATGTAAATAAATTCAATGAATGGTAAAAATACAACTGTTTTTTATAATTAATTATTCATTAAAATTATCTCATTTAATGCAGAAACTTATTGACTTATAATATTGAATTTTTTAATTGAATAAGATACCTTCTTATTATTTATTTAAATATTATCTATTCTTGAAAAAAAATAGAGGTGTTGCATTTAATAGTAAACCTACAAATTTATAATCTAGGTTTTATCATATTTATTTTATTTATATAAGATTTCCTTTTATAAACTTCCTAAAATATAGATGAAGACATTTTTATATTTAAAATTATCTAATATATCTATTTCTCATGGATATAGCCTAGCTGGTGTTCCCTCTTTATAGACTTCCTAACTTTCAATTACTCTTGATCCTCTTGTCCTTGATTGGCTTGATTAAACAGTTGTGATTGTTGGTCCAACAACCTTCTTTTCAACCTTGACCTCCTTAACTTCCTTTACTCCTCCATTTTTTATTGAATCAATCTCTGCTTACACCATAATTAATTATTCTTAATAGTTGAAATAGTCTGTGTTTAATTTCTTGAATCTACTTTTCCAAACTTCTACTTCCTTTGAATATGTTATTTAATAATACAGATCTTAGTTTAGTTGTTTTTTCTTCAATCTCATAAGTAACAGAGCTTTCAATTTCATGACATCTTTTTTCCCAATCTACAATTTCTTATTCTTTTTAATTCAATAATCCAGTGATTCTTTCAATTTCCAGTCTTACATTATACAATTGTTCCTAATTTTATTGATAATTCTTACCTCAATTATTCTAATTCTTGAAGACAATCCTTATTGTGATTGATCATTTCCACTTCTTAATTCAATAAACTCTTGCTCTTTTTATCGTAATTAATTTTATGCTTATTGTAATTATAATCTTAATTTCTATGCTTCAAGTTCAAGTTGCTCAACCTATTATTAATACTCATTTATAAGTACCCTTGTGTTATCTATTACTTCAACTCTCTCTTTTACAGTCTTTACTTCAGGCTCTCTTGCTAGTAATTCTGCTACTCTCTATCTTAAAAACAATAATTCTTCTTTGTATGATTCACCATCTTCACATTCACATTCCTTCTGTTATTATTAAGGATATGGAACAGGAACATACATAGGCATCATATATGGTTACTAAGGAGGAGGTTAACATTATGGTCGACAATCATGATTGTCGATCATTATTTGATAGCACCCATATTAATTGTTTTGAAATTAAGCCGATACAAAGGAAGTTGACATGTAATTTCTTTTCCTATTATATCTTAATGGAACTTATTCAACTTCCACATTGGTCCTTAATACCTATGATTCTACTACTGTTGTGGTTTTCATAATTTTATTTCAAATAAATTATATTTGTAATCTTAAAATATGAATATTTAATCATTTAAAATTCCAATAATTCTAGATACTATTTTCTTAATTATTCTTTATTATATTTATTGCAATTGAATACATCATCTAAACTTTCTATCCCATATCAGTTTAATTAAACATTTCTAAGTATTATCAATGGACATGAGTTTGGATAAATTACAGATCAATGAAATTATTTCCAAAAATGTAGAATATATGATGGAGACCAAAATTTATTAAATCAAGTAAATGGTCCCCATTAATAAAAGTAGAATTCAGTCTTGAAGAATTAAAAAATGATAATATCTGAACAATATCTAATTTCGCTGATCTGAATCATTAATAAGCTATTCATAAGTTTCTGAAAAAATGACTTTGATATGCATTCATTTAAATAGAAGGGTTTTATTTTGTACTGTTGGCTTATTCATTAATTGAAATTCGTTATAGACATTTATATTTTCTAAGGTCTCAATATTAATAAAATTCTCATTACTGAAGAATGTTCTATTTATAACTCTCACATCAGATTATTAATCCAACTTTTACCTTTCCATATTCACATAAAGCTTATACATTTTCCTATTTTCTTTGAAATTCTATATTGTGTTTCTCTTAGATAGATTTTATATGATTTTTTGTTTATTTCATATGTATTACAATGCCTCACCTATGTGTTTTGAGATTGTTTCACAAACTCTTATTAATTTATATTTAAGGTAGTACCTTAGACATTTTCCATAATTTTTAAATATTATTATGTTTATTTTATAATCAGATTATTTATGATTAAGATACTTTTAAATATATAAAGAACTTTTGATTATTCAAAAGATGATATAAAATAATCTCAACTTTCAATTTTATTAAATCTACAGAATTTCTATATGAACGGAAATTTTATACTGGAATCATTCGATCAGGTAGAAAATCTTGTTTAAAAGGTGGAAACTTTGATCTAGTGGATTTATAGAGTAAATGATATTTACTAGTTTAAATTAGTTATGTGAAGAAAATAATTTAAGTTTGAAGACCACAGAACTGGCTGCCTAATTATTTTAAAAATGCTTTTCTTAAAAGTGTTGCAATTTAAGCAATATATTATTGATTGCCATTACTTCATTATTTATCTCTATAAAGGTTTACTTATATAAATATTATAGTATAACGAATGTTCAAACTTAACTTAGATTAATTTGTAAGACTGTATCCTTTTAGGAAATGGTAATTATACAGAGAAAGACTTTCTTGAAATGGAATTGAAAATTCTAAATCTCATAAACTTTGATGTGAATCTCCCTACAATTTCTGATTTTCTTTAAGAAGAAACAATATAATATGTTGATTTAGTATTATTTGTTACATTGGACTCAAAATTTTGGTCTTTCTCAAAATTAGATTTATTCTAAGCTATCTTAGCATTTGCTAATAAACCTAAGAAGGACTAAAATGAGATAACAACCAACGTATTTTATTCTCATCAATATTAGATAATGAATATAATTTAAACCAAAGTGAATATGTTAACTGCAATTAGTAATGATCAAAAGACTAACTTAAAATAATAAAGGAAGAGAATTCAAAAATAGAAATTAAGAATCAAAAAACGCAATTAAAGAGGTTTTAATTAAAACAAGTTAGATGTTCAAATTTGATTTTTTTAAATTTGATCACAAATACAAATATAAATTCTAAGGTTAGTAAATAAGATTTTATAAAATATTACTTACCTAAGATATCTTGAAAATATTTGGTATTTAAAGTCTTAACCATCTCATCTAAGTAATAATATTTATCCAAGACTAATATGGAGTTTTAATATAATTTATATGTACCCTAATCCATCTTATTATCATTTATTATATAATATATAAGACCTAAATTATGATGGAATATTATGAGAAGAGATATTAATTGAGATATTTTTCAAGATTAACATATAATTATAACAAAATAATTTTATTATCCCTATCCATTCTATGATATTGCCGTTCTTTTAGATATCTTAAAACTAAAACCACGATCTTTAGGTTTATAATTGATTATCTTTTATGATTCAATTATTTTCATTTAAGTTAATAATAATAAAAGAGTAGGATTGCTTAATCGCATCAGATTCTATAATTCTAAAATGAATAGTATTCAATATTGATAGGAAGCTATTAGATTCGAGTGTATTGCATATTTTATATTATTTCTGAGTGTGAAGATGTATATTTGAAATAAAATCTTTTATTTAATTAAAAATGGTTGTCAAAGCACTAGCTCACAAAAGAATTGTACACAAGAGAACAAAGAGATTTGTTAGATTTGAATCAGAAGACTACCCACACAAATTAAGACCTAGTTGGAGAAGACCAAGAGGTATTGATAACAGAGTCAGAAGAAGATTCAGAGGAAACAGACCTATGCCAAAAGCTGGTTATAGAGGTGATAAAAAGACAAGGTATATTTAAATAACAACCAATTAGATATTTGGATTAATCTGGTTTCAGAAAGTTATTAATCACAAATGAAAAGGATCTTGAATTATTACTCACAAATAACAGAACTTTTGCAGGTGAATTGGCTCATAATCTCTCAGCAAGAAAAAGAGCTACACTTGTAAGAAGAGCAGCCGAACTCAATGTTAGATTGACTAATGGCAAAGGAAAAGTAAGAGCAGAAGAAAAAAAAGAATGATTTCATCTGTACAATATATAAACATACATTAAATTACAATTAATATATTTATATTATTCACACTCTCTCATTTTTCATTTAACAATTGATTAAGTTTGTCGATAATAGAAGGGATGTTTATAATCTAAGTCAATTCAGAGTAATTATGAAGATTTCATGCATTCCTAATAAAATATCAATTTAATTACTTATATGGTTTAAAAGAAGAATGACCTGAAATTAAATGTTTCATCATATAAACATGCTTCCTATAAGATTTCCTTCCTAAAATTGTTTCTAAACTATTTCGATAGTCTAGTTTATTTAGAATTAGCTAATTTCTTCTTGTTTTATTATTGCAATTCTCTGAATTCTTAGGATCTAAGCTCAAAATCATAATCAATTTCTGGAAATGCTTCTTAAAGCACAAATTAAGATACTTTCTCAAATGTAGGTTTTTAAATATATTTTAGGAATAACAACTAAGTAATTACATTTATTTTCCTATTCCCCCTATTAATTATGTGTTAAGCTGTCTCTTACCATAAAGTAAAATATTAATCTAATGACACTTGGGCAGAATTTAATACTTGAATCATACTTGATAAATCTTTAAGGATAAATCTATTTAGGATCTCCAAAATGTTATTCTTGTACTAAATTGTGTAATACATTTGGTCAACTTAATCACCTCCACTTAACTTAATCAATTCTTAGATTAAAAATAGTATAATCTTTTAGTAGTATTACACTGTTATACTATCATATTGTTTCAAAATTATAGTTTCCAGTAAACTTATGGAGCTCTTCTTTAAAATTAAAGCAGCATCATGACAATCAATTTATTATGCAATTTATAACTTTTCTTAAAGAAGATTAAAAATGTTTGGGGACAACTAAATATGGTTTGAGAGATATAGCTCTTCAATGACTCTTAATATAGTTTACATATGGTTTAATTCGGTATCTTCCATAAACAGCTTCTCATGTGTGGTGTACAAATTGTTAAATAAAACACCCGTGGAATTATTATCTGATGCAGGGTCATATTCTTAGATTAAAAACTGCAAAAGTTCGAAAATGTTATTTTCTTTTGAGTCTATATTAGTATCAATCAAAACTAGTGCCAATTAATATAAGTGACTTAAATTTGTTCCTAAAGGGAAAGAAACAAATAAAGCGAAAAACATATCACATAAGGCTCCTACAAGTAATTATGATTTAGTTTTCATTAATAAAATGATGTCAGAATTTTCAATTACTTTAACCAAAATTTACATAGAATTTACATTAATTTCAGAATATTTTTAAATGAGATTTTCTAGTAGCTACAGCAAAGGCCATAAAATGTTGGATTTTTAGAGATTGCATAATAGTTTAACAATCACAGGGGCAATCTATTCAAAAAATTAGCTATTTCTATAATCAAAGTTTTGGCCCATACAAATAATGATTTTCTTCATGCACATTAATGTTTAATACTGAACTATCTAATCTTATGAGTTGCTTAGTAACAATCTAGCATATTCTAAAATTTAAGGCAATTCAGAATCAGTAAAATAATTGCTATAATTTCTACATAAGAATGCAAACCTTCTCTAACTTTAAATTGTATTTTTCTATATTAGATATTATAAAATTGGTTGAATTTAAATTGGTTATACTTTTAATTTAGTAGTTATCTTGGGTATGGATCCTAAGATTGCAAAAAAGCTCTCCAATATTTATTAGCTTGCATTAAAGTTACTGTTTATTAATTATTGCATTATTTAGGTAATTTTCTGAATGAATAATTCTGGAAATCTTAACATCAACTAATCATGACATATTAAACAAATAGTAAATATTGGACATTGCATCTCATTTTTTGCATCATCAATTGTTAAGTCTTCTTCTTACTCAATTAATTCTTCGTCACTTAGATCAGTGGGGACTGAGGCAATTTTTATTAGTTATTCAATAAGGAATTACATATTTTCTTAAAAGAACGAATTAAAAAGTTAACTTGCCAATTAAATTGATTATCTAACCTACTCTGATTTTGCTTCTTAAAGTTTCTTATTATAAAATTACTCTTCCCTTAAAAAGAATAAGGATTTAAGAGTCTTGACGAGTCCAATTAATCCAGTCCTTAAAACTCTTTTGTCATCCCATTCATTCTATATTATTAATTTTAATAAAAGCAAGTAATCTGAAAACCCTGAGATGATACTGAGTGAAAAATGATTTTGAATATTACCTACACTATGAATCAAAGTTTTTAGATTTGGTTACAATAACTTTTGTTTTTGGACATTTTTTAGGAGATATGCTGTTTTCTCCAACAACAACATGAATACTAACTGTATTTTTTCTCTAACTTTAGAAATATATATAATTACTAGTCTTATTCTTAGTTTAGAGACATGATTGACAATGATAACAATCTATCCAACTTTTTTGAGATGTTGTTAACAAAAGAATAGTTATTTATATTCTATTATAACTCTTGCTATTAAATCTAAGTGATATTCTTCCAAAGAAGTAATAGATTATTCCAAATTGCCTAAGAGAATTACACTTATTAAATTCTAAAGGCAGCTAAAAATAAATCTACTTTAATTACTATTTCTATTTTAAATCACACTAGATTAAACTACTTTAAGTGAGCAAACTAAATCGTAAGTCAATGCGCAATTAGTGGATCCACTTTAGATTATAGTTTAAAGACCTTAAACAAAGTAATTAACTAATCCTTAAAATTTATTTGGAAAATCATGCTTAGCTATGACGGAGATAATCAAATTGATTTCCTTCTTATATTTTTCATCTTAAACAACCCCCAAAAATTACAATATTTTATCCTTCACATGATTCTTTAAATCCTCTGAAATATTTTATATTCTTAGATTGTCTTTCATTTAAAATTTGACCCAATTTCTCACGATAACATTCTTTATTAGCAGCAATGCTTAGAATTTATTTAGATATACCTTTGAAATAGTATATCTAGAAGTTATACCTAACTGTTCTCAAAGATCTGAAATAATGATATTAAAATGTATGGGTAATTTTATTCCAAATTTCTCAAATACGTATCTGCCTCTTTGCCAATCTATTGATTTTTGGAATTCATAATTATGTTAAACGCTTCTTCAATTTTTTAAGGATTAGGGATTTCTGTGTTTAGCATAGAGTATTGTCTTTAATATAAATTCTTTTTTATTAATTTACACAAATATTTTAAAATAAAACTCACTTATACTATATTGAATTTAATATCCTGGTAAATATTTTAACCTCAAGATTTTATTCAAGTCTACATAATTTTAATCTTAATATCGCAAGATTTAACTAGAATTATATTAAATAAAGATTATTCTTAATAAATAAAGAAATTAGATAGTTTTAATTCAAAACTAATTTTGTAAGTTTGATTATATGGATATTCATCAATAAATTTAATCAAAAATGTTCTCAAAAAAAAAATAATAAAATAATGATTAATTTGCAACCTCCATATACATTTCTTATTATTACATCCTTTATTATTATTTAAAGTGAAATCAACTAAAGACTTTTAATTGTATATCCTGCATGGTTTTAGTTTTATATAAGATCTTTAAGGGCGGGCCAATAGTCTTTAATTTTATCTTATAAACAAAGCATAAACTTTAGTGTATACTAAATATTTATGTTTGTGATTCTTGATTTAAAATTCAAGGAATTTAATTTAAAATCATTAAAAATTTATATTAGTTAAAGTCAAAAATGCTATGCTTTATTTTGGGCATTATTTCAGAATTAATGAAAAGGTTTGAACTTTCTTCTATTAGTAACTACATATATTAGACAATAAAAGATAAAAGTTAAGAATTCAATAATAGAATAACTATACCAAAGATAGTAAATAAAAAAATATAAAAATTCATGATTTCATGAAATATAAATTTATATCGGTTCAATCTTATTAATTTTCTATTATACCTCAATAATTGATTATTTTTATGCTAATGAAGAATGATTATACCAATTAATTCAGATCTGCTAATACTTAAATTCAATATCTTTCATATTTATTTAATCTATATATATACTTAATGATTTTCATAAATTTTTATATTAATGTAAAGATTGTAATTAATACATGCAAACCTTTGCACAAATTAAAAAGTTGTGGTTGAGAAATTAGAGAAAGAATAAATAGGATTAGTTTATCTTAATTCTCCATCTGATTTAAATTCTTTATCAAGCTAAATGAAGAAAGAATTATGCTCAGCCGTATGTGAATTAGACAAAGACTCCAATATTAAAGTATAATTTGTTGTTGACTTTAGGTTTTAGTGATTCTATCTAAACTAGATAAAGTATTCTGCGCCGGAGCCAATATCAAAGAACTTAGTGACTGTTCATATGAATCATAGCAAATCTCTGATATATTCTATGAAATTCATACTGTTTTTGATTCATTGAGAAAACCACTTATAATTGGTGTTAATGGAGTAGCCTTAGGGGGAGGTTTTGAATTAGCATTAAATGGGGATATCATTATTGCTTCAGAAGATGCAAAATTAGGATTGCCAGAATTAAAATTAGGTGTCATTCCTGGAATTGCTGGAACATAAAGACTGACTCATCTTGTAGGTAGAACAACTGCTATGAAATATATCCTAACTTCAGATTAGATTACAGCATAGGAGGCCTTAAACAGAGGAATTGTTTCAAATGTAGTCAAAAAGGATCAACTAAGAGATGAATGCATAAAGATAGCGAAAAGAATTAGTGAGAAATCGTTATACACTTTGATAGTTGGTAAAACAGCTATTAAGAATGCATAAGAGTTACCTTTAAGTTAGGCTAATTAGGTTGAAAGATAACTATTCAATAGTTTGCTCAACACTTAAGCAGCAAAAGAAGGGATTTAAGCTTTTATTGAAAAGAGATCGCCTAATTTTAGAAATATTTGAAATGATTAATAATATTGTTATAAATTTTAATTTATAAAAAAACTGCGAATTAAAAAGGAAAATCAAATTTGAAAACTGTGATCAATTTAAGTTTTTGAATCTGTTTCTGAAAAAGCATGCTTTATTTTACAATGTAAATTAAGTGATGCTTCTGAGCCATATTTTTTTTCACAATTAGAGCATCTGTACTTTTTTGAAATTTCATTAGCTTTTCTTCTTAACTTTTTAGAAGGTTGAGTCATTTCCTTCTAAAGTTCTCTTATTTCATCTTAACACTTTAAGATTTACTCCCTTAAACCTTCATTAAACAATACAATTTTTCTTGATTCGAGAAGATAATTTTAGGACTGTTCATATTGAGGACATTCTAATTTAGAAATATTAGAATACTTTTTATTGCTTTGTTTATGATGGAAATTATCTTATTCATATTCGCATTCTGATGATCTTCTTGCAACATAAATAATTTTCAATTTTAAATTTGATTTAATTATTAAAATTATGTTAAAATTATTTGTTATAAATAATGCAATTTTTGAATTTATGGATAAAACATGTATTAGTTTATGTGATTATTTATTAAATACATTATTAATTGCATAAATAATATAACAATAATAGTGCTTTTTTAATCATTAGTGAATCACTCATGTTTAGAACTTATAAGCTTATGAAATTTTGAAGATCTCCTCTGCTGCTTCATCCAGCATAGTTTCAAAAACAACATCTGATATTTCCACGGCCACTTCAGCTTATTCTTCCTCATAATTTAACCATTTTTCCTCTGATTCTTGTATCTAGATTATCAAATTATTTATTACTTCATATTCTAACATTTACTATAATCTGTCTTCTTTAATTGAATTCAAGTAGTCATCCTCTATTACAATGATTTCTCCTTGAGGAGTTTCTATTTTTTCAGGAATAAACCCACACAAAAAAGAACCCCATTTTAGCATTTTAGAAATTGCAAATCCCATAGATCGATCAATAGACTCTTTTGTTGTTTAATTTTAGTAAACCTTCAAAGGATTTGACTTCCATGGATATGGTTATCCTCTAATCCCGTATGGCCTTATATAATTTATAGATTCATTAAAAGCTTCATAAATCATCCTTAAATGATATATTTCTAGTTCCTTAAATTCTTCACTTATGTTAATATCGTTAAAGTATTTTAACTTGAGAGCATAAGACTAATTAAATTTTGACCAAATTTCTTCTTCAATTAAAGGTTCCATTTGATGGATGTGTTTTATTAATGGATACAAAGGTCCAGATGTAGAGTCATCAAGAACATTTGATGACATTCCAGTAAGGGAAATTGTCTTTAATAAATCTGAAGGTGTAATACCCAAAGGAGTATTAATCTACTCTAAAAAAATTGCAAGATAATGCTCTAAAAATGATAAAATTCTTACTTTGAATAAATTCACTAAATGAAACAAGATAATCCTTAATGAAATTAAGTGTTGTTGGAAATCCTGGAGGAAACTGTTAGTCTAATTGAGATTCTTCATCCCATTCCATCAAAATGCCAAGAGATTATAATGGGAAATCATTCATCTCTTCAGCAAATTCGGAAATGATGTTTTAAACTATATAATCAGTAAGATTATCTATTTTTCTATCATCAAAAGGAATTATTGAGCTATCAGAGCATTCTTTTAGTTAAATAACTTTATTCTCAGGAACTTCTATTTATTCAGTTTGCACTGCTTCTTAAGAAGGTATAGATTATTAGAGAGTGGATGTTAATTATAAGGATTTGTGTAAAGAATGATTTATCGATTCTGTGTGGACATTAAATAGTGTACTTGTTTAGATTTCTTCGTTTTTCATTGAAATTTCATCTAAACTTACCTATTAATCAAAACTCCTCACTTGTTTTCTATTTTTAGAATACTTCTTAAACTAATCATTCTCTAAATTATTAACTAATATTTACTAATTTATTATAATAAACCATAATGTGGAGTTTATTTTTTTTCTATTTCTACATCAGATTACTCTGTTTCTGAACGAATAGAGAAAATTTACCAAATGGATAGATTATCTTCATCAGTCTAGACTTTCATTCTTTCCATAAATTATTGGTCTTTTTGTGTTGATTTTATTGTGTCTTTAAACATTTGATGCAATCTTTCGACCTCATTTTTGGATTATTATAACTTATCCCTCTCCCTTTTATATCTTTTATCCAATTTATCTTTATTTTCTGAGAACAAATCAGTTGAGACTTTCTTTTTATCTAACATCTTTTCTAACAATGCTAATTATTAGTCATATTTCAATTACAAAGCTTCTTCTCTTAATTTAATAACTTGCATAAAGTATTCTGGATCAGAATTCAATCCATGATATAAATGAATGTTTTTTTCAGATGCTTATTATGAATTTGGGTTATTTTCTTACTCTTAAATTTATAATTATGATTATTCTGATTTTTATTATTATTGAATTGATTTTTAAGGGGATGATTATTCTTCTAAGAATTAATCAATAGTTTGATTAGGAATACTTTTAGTATCTCTTGAACTTGATTATTATAACGACTCTAAGGGTAGTATAGGTTTATCTTAATATTAAGGATTTGGAGAATCCTATTATTGTAATTCAAGAGGGTTTATCTTAATTTCAGAATCATACATTTAACTTACAGATTTGATTTCTTCCTCTTAAGACAATCCCTCAAACTGCTACTACAATTTTTGTTCCTCTTTTTCTTATTCCTCTAATTCTTCCTATGAAATTAGATATTCAAGATATTCAAAAACAACCTATCTTGTCTTATAGCCTCTCCAAATCTTTTATATGATAGTAGCAGCCACATTATATACGTGTTCTAATTATTCTTCACTTATTTCATTTTATATTGGTTCTTTTGGAGACTTAGATGCTTATTCTTTTTGATTTTAACTTTTGTTACTCTAATGACTCTAAGGATTTACATTTTACTGTAGACATTATAATTAGCTATTAGAGGATTGCTGTTAAGATGCTTATTAGAATCTTTCTTATAATTCGTTAAATCTGTCTTTAATAGTTGACTTAGTCTGTTATTCAAACTTTTCTTTCAGAAATTGCTCTAAAAATTGATACATTTCTTATTCACTTAATTTGTATTGAAACCCCTTATTATTCATTTGTTCATTGATGGATTACATTTAAGAGAGTTATTCTTAGAGATAAGATTCAGGCAATTTCTAAAACCAATCTATAAATTTGATTTAACTTGTTTTTCTTGTGTGAGATTATGCACTACTATAGCTGGATTGTCTGAGAGATCTCATAAGTTCTTTATATTCCTTTTCCAATTTGTTAAAATTAGGGGGCTCAGAAGTTCTAAAGTGTTGAGATGATTACTGCCCATTACTAGGAGCTACTTATACTGCTAAACTGGATTTCATGGAAGCGTTCCTCGATTTAGCAAATAGTTTAGCTTCTTTCTCTAGTATTTACAAATTTTATTCCAACTTTTCTTTTTTCAATTTTTATTATTTCTTCCTTAGTAATAATTAAATTAGATACTCTTCAATTTTTTAATGTCTCCATAATTCTCTCTTATACAGGATATAAAGTTTAAGATCTTATTCAGCTTCTTTATTCTCGCAATTGCTCTTCTGATTTTTTGGAGATTAAACATTTTCCAAGACTTATTTTGATTTTTATTCTAAAATTTCAATAGAATTTACTTTAGATCATTTTTTAGATTTATTTTTCAGGTTTAGAATTTAGAAAGTCTAATCCTAATTTGTGCCTCCTCATTTTTTCTTTTATTGCTTATTCTGTAGCATTTTAATTCATTTCATTAGGGTTTTCTAATTTATCATGGATTTCCAACATCTTAGTCCAATATTGCTTTAGTTTATTTTAATTAACACCCCAAGGCAACATAGATGAAGGTGGAGATCTTGACTTTATATAATAATATGTTAAATTTACTCTGACAAATCTTTGCTAATTCAATTATCTTATTTGTTAATCCATCATCTTTCTCATTTCATTCAAACTAACTACTCTCTACTTTTGCATTTCTTCTTTCAGCATTTATTCTTATTTTTCCTCTAATTTGTAAATCACATAAAATACTTTAATATTTTTTTAAGTTTGATTTTAGTATTTAATCTATCCTCACTTCTGATCCTTACTTTTCTATTGTTTCTGCTTTCTGTTTCTTTTAAGTCTTCTTCTTCTTTTTCTTCTTCTTCATTTAATTTTGGAATTTCAATAAAACTTAAGAGTCCTTGGTAGGAGCACTTTGATGAATTATAATCTATTGTTGCAAATTTATGATTGGGCCAGAAGATGCACTTTTTAGTGATTTGCTATTCTTGGGACTCTTTTTGTCTGGACTCTTCATTACGTGAATTATCTCTTCCTCCATCTTATTTGCCTCAACAGGACGTTGTGCTAATCTTGCTGAATTCATTATCACATTCGGTTCGACTTTACGACACTGCATTATTATATATATAAAATTATTAACGATAATTGAATTTCTAAACAAAAATTTTGTATATAATTTATAGATCAAATATTAATAATAGGATCAGTTTGGAAATTGTTACTGAGATCTATTAATATTTCTGGTCACATTTCCTATTCATCAAATTATTCTAAAATTATAATGCTATGCTAAAATTATAAGTTGTTAAAGATTCTATATTTCTATTACGTATTCATAGTTATTATTAACAAGGTATGTAAATTTGTAATTGAATAATAAGAGTGAAATATATCTTCTGTAATTTTATTATAAATTAAACATAAAGAACTTAACTCATTGTAGATTTATTTACATTAAATTTTATTTAAAAACAGAAGAATAAAGGTTTAATAATTAAGTCAGAATTGTATTTTCAATTTAAAAGAATCATCAAAAATTGAATTCAATGGGATCAATTTCAATACCAAAATTAAGACTATTTAATTATTTATTATCCCTGAACAGATGTTTCTTTAACATTTACTTTATGATATTGTTATAAAAATTAAGTCTATGTAAATCTAATGATGATTTATCAAAGTATCTATGATTTTCTATTAGAATTTTCTTTAATAATTTTTAATTTCCTGAATATTTAATTAAAAATAATAAAAAATAGATTAAATTGAAGATTCGGAGCATTTAAATATAATTAAACATATATTAAACGGATACATTTTTGTGTGTTTAAGATACCTTAAAACCTATCCTTAAAAGTAAATTTATATTAATAATCTAAAAGTTAGTAGTATTGATACATAAATAAATTATCTGATGAAATAAGATAATAAAGAAGATAGGGTTTAGATGAGAATTTTACAATAAAATATTTTTTTAATTGTATGACATAATGGAGTATGTGTTTGGGAATATTATTTGAATAGAACTTTGAGTATAAATAGAATAATATCGTCTGATTGATTTTGAATGCGAATGTAATTGAATCCCTTATATTTAACAACTAAATCGGAATTGCAAATTTATAGCATTTAGATTTTTGTAGAGAATTATTAAGAGTCTAAATAAATTCAAATAAAATTAATATAAATATCGTTAATGATAGGAAAGAAAGAAATATAAATTTCAAATGCCACAAGAGATAGGGTTGAGGCGTGTAGAATATATATTGAGCGTATGAAAAACTTTATAATTTATTTAGGCAAATATGCAAAATAAATAGAGGAAGAATAATAGTAATTATAAGGGTGGTAACAGTTATCTAAATTGATGGATTCGCTTCATATGAACGCAAAAGAAAAGGAAATTATCAAAAAAGATATACTTAAGAAGGAAGCAGAGCAAATGAGAAAAAAGTAATAATTTTTCAAAAATTGATAGGAGGATGAGATTAAGTATTGAAGATTTTTAACCACTCGCCATTATTGGAAGAGGAGCCTTTGGTGAAGTCAGATTGTGTAGACATGTTCCATCTCAATAGATAGTAGCAGTAAAGAAGATGAAGAAACATGAGATGATTTATAAAAATTAAATTGGTCATGTAACAAATGAAAGGAAGGTATTGGAGGAAGCAAAAGGTAATAATTGGATAGTAGAAATGAAATGTTCATTTTAAGATGAGAAAAATCTATATTTAGTTATGGAATATCTGGCTGGGGGTGACTTAATGACTTTGTTAATGAAAAAGGATATTTTATCAGAAGCAGAGGCACGGTTTTATATGGCTGAATTAGTTTAAGCAGTTTCATCAGTTCATAAACTTGGGTTTATCCATAGAGATTTAAAACCAGATAATATTTTACTTGATAATAATGGCCATATAAAATTATCTGATTTTGGCCTATGTAAAGATGCTGAATTGCATTTTGATAAGCCAGTGTTTTCCTCTAAATTTAAGTAGAAATAAACTAGAAGAGAAGTAAAGACTTAAATGATTATCCTAGAAAGCATTTTCGACTGTTGGTACTCCTGATTACATCGCTCCAGAAGTCTTCTTATAATAAGGATACAACGAAACCGTAGATTGGTGGAGTGTAGGAGTTATTCTATATGAAATGTTAATTGGATATCCTCCATTTTATACTGATGATCCATCATCTACTTGTTAAAAGATTATCAGATTTTAACAATGCTTTACATTTCCAGAAGAACCAAAAATATCTTAATTGGCTAAGGACTTAATTAGTAAACTGGTTTGTGATACCAATAATCGATTAAAGTTCGAATAAATCATAAGACATCCTTGGTTTGGAGGATTATCAATACTAAAAGTAAGAGACATGAAAGCTCCCTACATTCCTACTGTAAGAAGCGAATTAGATACTAGCAATTTTGATAAATACGAAGAAGAAGAACCTTGGATTATTAAAGGATATCAAAATAGCAAAAAAGAAATGACTTTTGTTGGATACACCTATAAATAAGAGGATTTCGAAGAAAAAAGACCTATCTAAAAAGCACTAGAAGAACTTGAATGTTCTAAGCCTTCAAATTCAAGAGGCAATACAAAATGCACCAACTCACCTTATCAGAGTCCGAACTTATAATTTAAAAGTTCCTTAAATAAATAAACTCCATCCACTTAATAAATAAAATCCACTAGTACAACCCAATCCCCATTTATTAAATAATAAGCTGTCTCTCCTATGCCATTATGCAAGAGTTAAATTTAAAAGAAATCATTTTTAAATAGTCGTCTTTAAACAGAATAGAATGAAAGTATTCACAATACGAACTAATAACACTTGTCAACATAAGGAAATTTGAATAATGAAAATTCAAATCCAAATGCAAATTCTTAGAATATTAAAAATTTCATATATCAAAAGATTTAGTAACACACTGTTAATAATTAACAATCTACGAATAATGGCAGCATTTAAAAAACTGTTTAATTTAATGTAGATTTGCAAAAATTGGTTTAGAATTAAAAATTAAAACCAGAGAAGCCAGATTTTGAATCAACAAAGATTAGTAGTAATGCTAGTAACAATATTAATGTATTCAAACAAAATATAATGAATTAAATAAGAGCCATCAGTCCTTTAACAAAAAGATGAACTTATATTATTTTATAATAGTTAAATTTTATTAAATGAGAAGAATTCACGAATGGACACAATTTTTTTAGCTTTAAGAAAAGCTTTTTACCAAGAAACCAGTGTATATCTTTAGATACTTCCTGATGTACAAAGATCAAATGACTCCCATTATGAGGGAGGTCTATAAGTTCAATCCAACATAAAAATTGGTTCCTTATAAATGGACAATTGCAATCCTAAGTTGTCTAACAGGAATAACATTAAACTTATGTTATAATAAATATTTCTTTGATGAATAATTTGTAAGGGATCCTGGTTGTTCTTAATAGATAGAAATGCCTTTTGTGTATTGTTTATATAGGTTATTTTGGTATTAATTATTTTGCATTGCTCATGGTCATCCTCTTGATAGATTTCGAGATGGGGATTTCGTTAATGCAAAGATCAGAGCAGATCATTATGAATACTATCAAAACCGCAGGGATTCAACATTTGATTTTATGTAATTAGGAGAATTAGAGTAATTTGATTTGGAATGAGTGAATAAAAATAGTATAAAAAATTAAAATTCTTATTATTTATTTTCAAATTTTTAATAATGTAGGAGTTAACAGAACTTAAGAACTTAGTTATACAATCTTTAGAGGCTAATGGATCCTTGGCAAAGATTAGGGCTTAAATAAGAGCATCTGTCTTTAATGTAGTTGATTAGTAAGAGGGCAACAACAAAAAGCCATCTCCATTCTTTTGGGAAAACAATAAAGCTTAAACAATTTATGAATTGGGTTGTGGTAGAGATATGTTAGAATTGATAAAAGAGTTTTTCCTCTTTTTTGATATGCATTACACAAATTCAATATTTTCAAGGTATTCAATTTGAATGAATTTTTTTTTAGTGAAAGTAATTTGAGAGAAGAAATTAATAGGGAATAGATTGCCAAGAAATTAAATATTGAAGCCAATGACACAACAAAGCCATTGCTATATTTCTTATTGAAAAATAGAAATTCAGAAAAATAATCGTAAAATTCACATCATATATATTATAGTGAGGAAAAAGTTCATTAAAAAGTTGCTCAGCCATCTCCAAAAGAAGTATAATTGTAGCAATAACAATAATAATAATAATAATAAAAATAATAATAGGAATAAAAGTTGTAAGAGTAGAAAAAATAAGATGAATTGAGAAAATAGGAAGAACTCAAAAGACAAGAAGAAGACAAGAGAAAGTAATAATAAGATGAATAAAGAAAACTTGATGAATTAAAAAAAAAATAAGAAGAGTAAAAGAGGTTAGAAGAATAAAAGAAGGAATAGCAACGAAAACAATAAGAAGAATAAAGGAAATAATAGGAGGAGTTGAAAAAGCAATAAGAATAATAAAAATTAGAGTAATAAAAGAAGGAATAAGAAAAACTAAAGGAATAGCAAAAGCAACAAGAATTATTGAAATAATAATAAGAAAAGTAAAAGTAGGAAGCAGATTAAAAAAAGGCATAGTAAAAGAAGGTCGATAACAGAAATTTTGAGGATGAAAAATATGATAATGAAGATTTAGAAGAGGAATTGGAGGGAGATGTATAAATATTATAAATTTAGGATCTGAGGGATTCATAATTATAATAAGATTAGTTTTAAGAATCAGATGAATATATGCAGCAATCCTAATCATAAGGAATTGATATGACTGTTGATTCAGCTGCTTTAGAAGAATTTGATTACTTCGAGGAGATAGAAGATATGGATTGAAATTTTGAAATGCTAAATACACAAATATATTAAATTTTATTTTATGTTGCAAGGTTTAAATGTTCCGCCTCTATTTTCTATTAATAGAGAAGAGATACTTAAACCTGTTCAATAAGCATAGGTAGAGCAGGTCCCAACCAAATAAACTGTTGATTTTAAAGAGATTGATTTGAATCCACCAAATAAAACTTTATATATCAATAGATTAAATGAGAAAGTGACTGCTGAGGAAATGAGATAAACATTATTTGCATTATTTTCATAAAGTGGAAAAGTGCTTGATATAATTGTCAAGAAAAATATTTTAATGAGGGGACAGGCTTTTATTTTAATGGAAGATGAAGAAGCGGCAATAAAAGCCCAAAAAGCATTTCATAATACTTAATTGTATGATAAAGTTATGGTAAGACTAAGTCTGATGATTAGAAAGTGAATTTTGCTAAAGAAAAATCATACTATATTTCAAAAGGAGATTATGAGGAGAAGGAGAAGTTGCCTATGAGTGACAAAATAAAAGAACATAAAAAGAGAATTCAAGATAAAAGATAAAGGGAAATGATCAATTAGAAATAATAACGAGAAGCACCAACTATATCTATGCCTTTAGCAGTGAATCAAGTCTACAGTGGAACCAGCAATAAAATAAAAGTATTATTATATATTTAATTCTTCGATTCCAAATTAACCAAATAAAGTCTTATTTGTTGAGGGATTGCACTTGGTTGACTTTGTTAACTTGGAACAGCACTTTAGAAACTTTTACGGGTTTAGAGAGTTCAGAGGAATCAAACCAAAAGGTGTGGCCTTTGTTGAATTTGAAGACGAACTCTAGGCGACTAATTGTTTGAATGAATTGAATGGGACCCAGTTCGAAGAAGTCACATTATAAATAAGTTATCAGAAAAAATGAGAAAATATTTATCAAAATTACAAAAAATGAATTTTACATATTAAAATTTTGTTCATGTACTTTCAATCTAAACAAAAACTAAAATCGGAGTCATTAAAATGCTTATGATACTTGAGTTTGTTCAAAATGTTGCGTTGTGTTTTCCATAACATGGGTGGCAGTAACTCAAATATGATGATAAGATGTTAAGCAGCATTCAATAGATAACTAATTACTCACTCTTTATAGATAGAAATCACACTGAATACTTATTAGAAGTTTTCATCATATCACTTTCATTAATCTATTTTATAATGCTGTTTATATACTTTCATTCTCCTAAACAGCAGAAAATTTCATAACTAACAAGCATTACTTTGAATATTTTCTAAAAGTTATTTAGAATTCCTCTTATAGTGACTTATATTAATTTTATGAATCACAATTCGTCAGGCTTTATGGAAATAATTATTACTCTTTTGATTTTTGCATTATTTTTGATATTCTTAACCGCAACCACATACTTTCAAAGGGACATAGCAATCAATTTTAGTAAACGATAATTTCCACTTAATCAATTCTATACTCCTTACTTATATGCAATTTATATATTAGATATAATTAGAATTTTTATATTTGTTGTAATTAATACTTAAACTGGATTTGTCATATTTTATTTGCTTACAATTATAACCTAGATTCTGACTCAATACCACAATTTATTTTAGTAAAATGATCCCCACAACTTTAATTAAGGCTTAATTGCTTGCAATTTAATCATTTCAGTATTTCTCTTACTGGGATTGGGTATAGCATAATTGTTAGGTAAATCAATATACTAAAATGGATGAAGTTTTAATTTTTAATATATTACTTTACATGACAACATTGTCATTTTACTTATCTACTCAAATTAATCTCTTTAGATTTATTAAATCCAACAACATTCTCCATGTAATAGAGAATAAGATTAAATTAAATTTTAATCCGTTATTTTTAAAATAGGACACTTAATATAAATCAGATAATGGATCTTATCTTAATTTCATTAAATAAATTGTTGAAAATGAAATAAAAAGCAATCACTATTTTTAGAATGAAAATAATGTTTTGATATTATTTGACTATCTGACCAAAAGTGAGTAAAGCTATTTTTAAGCCTTATTCATTCTCAATAAATTTGAGTACTAGTAAAATAAATTATCCTTTTTTTATAAGAGTTATAATGAATTCTATAAAAGCTCCATTTAATAGGAAATTACGCAAGTTAACAAATCAACATTAATGATTTAATAATTAAATAGGGATCTCCTAATAGAAATGGAATATTCAAAGAGATTTACTAATATTCTTACTAAATAAATTGATCTTCTCTCTAATTTAATATAGGGCAGTAAGAATTTTGCTGAAGTTGGTAGCAGAATTGTTAAAGTTTCCTAATCTATTTAAAATACTTAAAGATGGCTTAAAAAAAATAATGTCCTTGAGAATAGAACAAATGTTATTTATTTAAAAATCTCAATTAATTTTAACTCTGTGATTATGTAAAACTATGGACAAGTATTTAGATTATTATGTTTAGGCTATAAAACAGAAGAAAATCATTAAGAAAATATTGGAAAGTGATCATAAAACCTTAGAAGCCATTTAGATAATCAAAAATAAAGCCATCATGCTATCAGTCAGTATGATTAGACATAGAGGTCAAATCCTAAATAGTAATAAATCTATGCTGTAATTCTTTGGATACAATAATGATTTTAAGTTAGAATTTATGGAGCAATTAATGCCTGATTCAATATCCTCATTGCATAATTAGTTTGTAGAAAGATATCTCCAAAGAAATCAGTTGAAATCATATACTCTCTAAAATTCTCTTGAAGTTCTCTAGTAGCAGGAGAATGGGAAAATTTAATGTTTAGAATTGAGTTTTACTGTAAGCAATGATAAGTCTGATTTCATCTTTATATCATTGTTAAAAAAAGGCAATTAAGATAAAGGCTATATCATTTTTGATCAATCAGGTAAGATTACTGGAATGAGCAATTATTTAGAATAATTTAATGAATTAAATTCTTAAATGAAGCAATACAGTTATATATAATATTTCTGGACAGAATTATTTTATATCATAAATAATAATGAATTCCTAATCGAAAAGGAGGTTAGTTTTGTTGTGAGGTAGAATATTCAAAAGATTGATAATCAATATAAAAATTAAATTTAATCTGTGTTCAAACTCAATAATTATAGCAATATTCCTAATTTAGATTATTTCATTTGTTCAGATAGGTCAGAGAAACATTAGTTATTAAGTTCAAAGAATTGTTACTCAAATCACGAAACATATTAATTTGACTTTTTGGAGCCTCAATTATAAGAGAAATTAAGCCAACTCATCAATCTACATATTGTAAGTAATCGAATATTAATTTTTCTAGACAGAAAATGATGTAACTTTGAAATTTAAGGTAAAACTATCAAAAATTGAACTGAAAGGTCAACTAATCCAGTATTAGTTAGAGTTAAACCCATTAGAGACAAAAGCAGAATATGAACAAGTTGATAATATAAATGATGAGATTCTGTAAATAGAAAATGTCAAAGCCAAATCATTGAATGATGTTAGTATCGTTAGTTCAGAATAAAAAGGATAATATATCTTGCATGATATATTACTCAAATAATCGAGCAGCTAACCATTTTTTCAGATTTATTTTTACAAATTAGTATTGGTGATTTTGGTTGTTGTATTTTTAATAATCCAAATTAACTAATTAGAATTTGATTTTGATGCAAAATTAACATTCACAAAATATATATGGTCACCTTAGTTGATGAATCAATTTTACAATAGAGCATTTCATTATGGATTTAACTAAGTTATCTATCAAAACTTAAACCAATCAGAATATTTAAAGAACTCTTTTTCTAAAGAGAAAGAGGCAATTTTATAGTAGTTTCGATCAAACTTCGGTAAACTTTATTCGGATTTAATCAATATTGAGTAAGATTAACATTCACCTTCGTTTAACTTAACGTTACTAAAAAATTAAATAAGTTTTGAAAGTTATTCTTCATTTTCTACTGCAATTAGAGAAAATACTATGGGTTTAGTGTCATACTAAAAAGAAACCATATAATTTAGTAAATCCTTATTGTTTTTCAGATTAAATATTATATAAGCATATTAAAATACCATTTATCTTATTGAAAAGTTTACATTAATTTTAAGTGACTATACATCAAATTTTATGGTGTTTTGGTAAACCGTTTTAATTATATAGATAATATTATTTAGCGCACCTTTCATAATCAATATTAGAAATTGGTATTATTTTGAAAAGAGACATAAATATTTAATACAAATCATTTCAAGGATCAATGAAGATCAAGCATCTCGATTGATTGAGATCAAACAATAATAAATTTAGTAGTCAGATAATGAAAAATAACAAATGAATATGAGTTAATCCTATTATACATGTAAATCTCCTTTGAGGTTGATACATTCAACAATCAATTAATCATCCTAAAATCTTAGATCAAGAGATACATAACTATTATATGAACGAATATAGAATAAATCGATTAGTATTGTTCTGAAGTTGGCCATATCTTTATTTTGTTACATTGCATTAGTTGCATTAGCATCTTTTGGCTATTATTAAATTAAGGCTAGTGATACATAATATATGCCAATAGAACATTTGATAAAGACTTATGTTAAATTCTAAGCTTAGTTAGGGTTCTTGCTATCTTTTGCATCAATTTTAAAAGGGCAACATATTTTTGAAGAATAATTTAGTAAAATAAGTGATCCTGAGATTGGGGATTTCAGAATTTTCTTCCAAGATGACCAGGTTCCTAAATACTTTTAAAACATCTCCTAAACTTATTAAAAAAAAATAATATCTATATTTTCATCAATAATACTGAGTGATTAAATTGATGAAGGTGATAAGTCACAATTATATGATCTATATAAGGGTGATTTTTGTGATTATTTAATGGATGAGTTGCCTTTTTGCAATAAATCTCTAACTTCAAATGAGTTCTAGCTTAATTATGGTTCCTTTTACCCTTATGAGAATAATTCAGATGTCCTGAGAAAAGGGATTATTGGATTTATTAGTAATTTGGATTCATTATTTAAAAACGATTTTGAAGTTGAGATTACTTATGGAATTTATCAGAAGAATATAACTGATGAAATATAGTACTACAAAGAATTTAATAACCTTGTCGTTTAGTATTTTTTTAATGTTTCAGATGCTTTTGCATTATTTTATGAAAAGGTAGATATTGTATCATAAAATTTCATAAAGGAATAGAGAAATAATTTATTAATATACTTCTACTCGTTCGGTTTGACATTTCTGCTTGTGTATTTCATTATTATACTGTTGCAAATCATTTATTCCCAAAGAAGATACAAAAATTATATCTTAGCATTAGTCACATTATCTGAAGATGTATTAAATGACAAAACTAATCTAAGTCTGTTGAAGAGATTGAGTTAATGAAATTTAATATTTATTTAGTTTGAGTGTCTAATTTATATTAATTATATAAACTTTATATTTATTTCATTTTAAATAATCAGTTAAGAATAATAATGAGTACAGTTCAAATGAAACAACACATAAACTTATTAAAAAAAGCTGTTGGCGAAATTAAGGACAGCACTTAAGAGAGAATAACTTAGATATCGACAGAAGTCTAATTTAATCCTCAAGATAATAAAGAATTTAATGATTTACTCAACGAAATTAAATAAGACACATTAAGAAAATTGCACGCGTTTTATGAATTGAAAGTAAATAATAAGACAAATGTATATTAATAAGAATTGTCTAATTGTTCAACAAATTATTCAGAATTATAACAATAAGTTTTAGAACAGCAGGAAATTGTGAAAGAAAAAATTAATTAGAATTTGCAAAAAGTAACATTTATATTGAAATTAGAGAGAACAATATGATAAATTGGCAATTAGAATGGTTCTCAATTACGAAAGACTAAAATTATATAAGAAATATTTTAAATCTCTAAAATAATATGCAGATAGAAAAAGTAAAAGTAGATTAGCAAAATTCAATGCTTATTAAAAATATTAGTTAGGATTATAAACTAAGGTATTTTATTATTGGAGAAGTACATGTCACAAAACTGGATATTAAACTATGCTTATAACTTAAGCTGCTAAAGAGATTAAGAACATTTAATCATGTAAGGAATATCATATAACTTAGAATTTATTGATATTGTTAAAATTTTGAAAGCAAAAATAGCTGAAACAGAGGAATAAATCTAAATTAAGAAAAATGCTAAAGCTGAGTTCTCTTACAATTTGAGTAGAAATCTATTAAAAACTATAAGTAATTTATCTATGGAAGTTATGTCTCTTCATTAGGTTACTATAAAAGGTATAAATTATTTTTATTTATTAGATAATTAGATTAATAATGATGAAAATACTAAATTTTTGAAGGAAGTTAATGGTTTGATTCAAACTAAAATGAACAGTATTCAATAATTTAAGGAAAAACTAAAGTCAAATGAAGAAGCAGCAGCATCAGAGACCTTTAAAAAGAATAAACAAACCATTTAATTTGATCTTTAAAATTAGTCAAGAAAATGATTTATATATATATAACATATAATTTAGAGATTTATCAATAAAAAAATTATTAAATATTGATTTTAAAATAACACAATGGGAGTCTGTAATTCCAAGAAACCTATAAGGGGAGAGTTACCCCATATTTATGAAAAAGTAAAAGACAATCCGAAACCAGAACAAATTTTAGAAGAAATTAAAGATCACAACTAAAACCTTAATCCTTTTAAGAATCCAATTTTAGCTAGAAGATTGCATTCTATTTCAGTTTAATCATCACTCCAATAAACCCTTAATTCTAAAACTTCGAATCAAAACCCTTGATTTTATTTCATTCTTACATATAATTATCTAAAATCTATTTTTTTTTACTGAATCTCTTAATCACTACAATAAAAGTCGTTCTATTAATGTGTTCCTACTCCATTACGTTCATATTCCTATTTATTAGGTCTAAGATTAAAGGGATAGTAAAATGAAAAATACTGAATATATCAATGATTATTTTAATAACAAATATTGAATGATATTTTATTCATTTTTCATCTTCTTCTTAGATGGTATCACCATTTTGAAATTATTTAATAACCTTTTCCATTTATGGGCTTTAAGCATTTTCAGTATGTTCAAATTCTGTAGTATTGAATTTTTACATTATCTTTTATTAATTAGATTGTATGGGTCGAAAAGCATTATCTTATGTAACAAAAGATCCTTAATTTTCAAGTTTGTCCTGGGGACTACCCTTAATTTTATCATTTGGAAATTCAGTAGTCAGAGCTTTGCCACTTGAAGAGAACATTTATTTTTTTTAATTAGCAGTTAATTTAGAAGGTCCTTATAACCCTTATGCTTAGTAACACGAAGCAAAAAATTGGTCCTATAGACATTGGGCTGCTCCAATCCTTTGATTTGGTTCCTTCTCTAGCATTTTCTAAACTATAGACTAATGTAAATGAATAATGATAGATTACAATGATGGAGGGATCTATTTTTTTCATTTGTAAAGGGGTCAAATCAATTTTGCATTATTTATTTAGTTTTAAAACTAAATTAAATCCAACTCCTGGAAAAAGATCTTTTCCTGTTAATCTTAAATTAAAATGAAAAATACAATTTAAAGAAGATTACTCCTGCGCTGAAAACATCACAAACTTTATCATATTTAATTGTTTTATCTACTAAATTAGCAATCTCAGGAGCAACATAGCCTGGTGTTCCACATTTAGGAAATAAATATCTAAAATGATTATAATTCAAACTTATCAATATTGCAATATGTGGCCAATCCGAAATCAACAATTTTTAAAGAATTCAAATCTCCTTTTTTTAAGAGCATGATATTTTCAGGTTTTATATCTCGATGCATAATTTATTTATCATGCATGTACTCAATACCAGTGAGAATTTGCTTAGACATTATTGATTATGAATACCCACATTACATTCCTAACAATATCTTCTGGGAATCCATTTTTATGAATTGTTTATTTCATCATGCAAACTTCTTCCTTCTAATAGGTCCATTACCATATAAAATGTGTTATCCCCCTCATAGACAGCATGTAACTTAATAAATGAAGGATGATCAAGGGCATTATTGATAGAAATTTCTTGAAACATGGATTCCTGCGATTAAAAAAATAATGTACAATTCCATTTTCTGTTTCATTAACATAGGATTTGTCTACACATTTAGCTGCATAATATAATTCGGTGTTTTTGTGTCTGACAAGGAGAACCCTTGAGGATGCACCTTTTCCCAAAGTTTAGAGAGGGGTATAAAAGTCTTAAATCCTTTAAAATATGATTTTATTTCTCAGATGCTCTTTTAGAATGGTAAGGGTCTTCTCGTCACTATAAAATGTAGAAATTTTGGCCACATGATTTTCTTTAATTTATTTAACCTATAAGTAAAATATGATTATACTCACTTATTGAAATTTGAATGACACTATTTTATAATGCTTTTTCCCATTCAAATTATCTTCCTCAACTTCCCATTTAATGTGTGTCTATAGCTGGATTGGTAGGGAATACTTAGATACTTGCGAATTTTCCTAAAATGAAAAAATCAGTTAAATAATTTTACCTTGTACAAATCTAATCTATCAGACTTGAGCACTCCAATATACTTTTTGTTTTCATTCTTTCCTTTTCGAAAACACTCGAATTGATACAAAATTTGGGCTTCAATTTACATTGCCAGAAAATATTTTAAGATGTATTTAAAAGTTAAAACAATAAAAATTAATGACACTATTTAATGCAAATAAATTGATAAGAAAAGGAATTTATTTTTTATTCATATTTGTAATTAGAATATATTCTGGCATAAGTCTTAAAGGATTAACCTTAAAAATATTAAAGATTGATAATTTCTATATTTTTAATTATAATTATGATAAATATAATTCAATATCCTCAAGACACTCATTTTGTTAAGCCTCTTTTTCTAATAGGTTTAGGAATTACTATTCATGAGGTACATAATGAACTTTGAGACAATATTAGATTATTTCATATCCATTAGACAGAATTGTATCTAGGATGATTGCAAAAAGTCCATATTTAAACTAATCATTTTCTGAATAATTAAAACAAATTAAGTTAGCTGAATCCTTTAAAGGATTGTATAAAGGATTTCGGACATCATTTGATAGATCAATAATTTAGAATCTATCATTTTATTTTTGTTTCTAATACTTCTTTTTAAGATATGGATTGGAATTCAATAGTAGAACAAGAATAGAAGTAAATGATTAGCCATATTTAAAATATTGCGAAAATGCAAAATTTCATGGGATAGCATTTGGATCGGCAATATTATCAACAGTATTTTCACAACCTAGCAATGTAGTTAATCTCAAATTATAATGTGAACAATTAGGATTACCACCTAAGAAATACTGGGATAATATGAAGCATCTAGAAGAAATTATGGATTATCATAACAAAAAATTCAAAATTGCCTTTACTCCTGGATTCAAAAGTAAAGTTCTGTTACTCTATTGCTAATTTGTTGCTGAAATCACAATATTCTAAGAGTTCCTATATCAATAAGGATACTTATTCATGAATAAAAGCATGCTCAGAGATAGCTAATAAAAAAATAATCATTTTATTGGAGCATTAGGAACTAGTTTATTAGTGCCAATAGTGTTCCATCCTTTGAACTTCTTGTAAAAGAGATACATGATGAGAAAATTATAAAATATGAAACTATTGACACCTCAGGAGATGTTAAAATAAGTATCATTGTTTTGAAATATCCAAAGGACATATCGAAGTTTTCTACTTTGTATTGTGGATTAGGAACAGAAGTCTTTAGATATAGCACAAGAAGTATGTTGATATTCTATTTGATATGGAATTCTGCTAATTAAACAACAAAGTATTGATTGCGGTTTATAGTATGTTTGAGATATAATATTAAGCTAATTTACAAAAATTAATATATTTAATTATAAATGAGAAGTGATTAAAGCAAATTCTGAAGTAGAATATTTTATTAAGTTGGTGAGTAAGGGGTTTTAAAAATAAAAAGGAGTTTAATTTAATTGATCCCTATAGGTTCAAGATTAAATGAATCATTAATATGAAAATAGTCAGCTAAATATCTGATATTCTAATTTCATTTTTGATTGATAAAGAATTCTAAACTACTGCGGTTGATGTATTAAAATACAATTTAGATTTGGATGGAATTAAGTGATGACACAGATCAGGTGATAGAATATTTTTGGATAATGAAATGTAGAGATGGTATATAATATTTAATTAATTAGTTTCAATCAAAAAAAACACAGAGGCGATTAATATTATGCTCCCAACAATACTCTTATTCTCTATAAATTGATTTCTAATTTATATAAATGAATGCAAATGAGAAAGCATCCTATAAAAATAACTCCACATTATGACATCTACAATATAATTTGATCATATTTCTCGCTTAGAAGATTGTATCCATAAAGACACAGGATGGTTAAAATTGTAATTATCAAACTCAAGAAATAAGATATATAAAATTGTACTTTCAAGGCTTTTCTCACATAACTAGTTTAATAATTGAAATACATCAGTTAGGAAAGGAAGAGGAGGACAAATAAGCCTATTCTCAGGTAGAGCAAATAATGAATGCTCGATCCACATATCTCAGGGTATACGTTAAATTGTAATTGAACTGCATCCCAAACAACCAAACCAATACATGCAATTCCTAAAAAAATCTATATGAGAATTTCTCTCCAACCGAATTAAAGAGTCAATGGTTTGATTCTTTTCATTATTATTGATTGATCAATCTCTTTCTATGAGCAATTTTCTTTCATACATTTTATATTTACTATTATTTTAATATATAGGGTCTGATATACAAATTTAGTAAAATTACTAACATAAGAAATTCACCTGTTTGCGTACTTCGAAAGCATTTAAGGAAAAACCAAAAATGGTTGGATCTACCTTATATTGCGATAATTTAATTCTTCTTCCATTTTAATTCTTCGAACTTCCTATAGTTAACAATTCTTTATCAAAGCAATCGTTCACATAATTGATGTGATCTTTTAATTCTTTTTAGATTTCTATCAGTTTTTTTTCGGTGTTTAATGGCTATCCTAAAGGAATGTTGATTCCTACTTCTCCCATAGGACAATATTTATTAAAAATATAATTATAAGCTAATGAAAAAGATTAAGTAATCAGTTTGATGATTAAATCATATTAAATAAAATAACTTATTTATTGATAGCTTAAAATCGATATATTTAAAGAGATAATGAAATTTGTATTAAAAGTGAATTCATTTACTTTAGTATAATATATTAATATTTTGAATATAGATTTTATGAAGAGTGGATAATTGTGTTGTAAAGTAATCAATTTGCTTTATTCTTCGGCGAACACAGTCTCTCTAAGACCTCTTTCTGTTTCCTATTTTTAAATATAAATGTCAATCTACTATGATAACTATCTCATTTTGATTTTCTCTTTGACAGAGATTTAAGGTGCCCTTAGAAAATCATTCGATCTAAACTCCTATGGAATTTTATCATAAGATCTCAAATTTGCCAAATGATTGTGTTTCTTCAATCTTGAAAACTACCCTCCTTCATTGAATCTTGACTTCTTAAAAACAAGTACTTAATGTAAAAATCCCTTCCAGTTCCATCTCCTTAATAATGCTAGAATTTTGGAGACAGCTATGGCAACCCTTTACTCTGTTATTCCCCACTCAGAAATCTCCTTCTATCATAGCATCCTTCCTCATGAACTTGAGTGTTTTTAGCCAAACCTCCATTATAATAAACAACATAGTAGTCCCTGCCTAAGAAATATCTATTGTATAATGAAACCCGTTCCATTAGAGATGTAATTAGTGAAATTTCTAGGACTAACGCAAGAAGGTAACTGATGAGTTTACATATTAATAATTGAATAAAATATTTTATAATATTTTTTAAGTAGAAATAAAATTAATAAATTTTGTACTTGATGATATTCAATGACCCATCGATTGTTATTCTGCTTCCAATGCCCCATACTTTTTTAACTCTTCTGCCTATTTCTTTAACTCCTATATCTTCTTGGCCAACGCTCTTCCTTTTCTGCACAATAAACCTAGAATGACCAAAATAATAATCTATCATATGTAAAATAATAATACAGCAGCAGAAACGCATACTCCAATTATTAGATAATTTGAATCTGATTCCAATAGGGGTCCTGATGCTTGGATGACTATTTATTGAGTAATTTGACACTATTCAAACAAATCTTAGTTAGTGTGATTCTCGCATTTTGAAGAGTTGGCTCTAATAGTGTAGTTTTGAGTGGTGCCATATTAGAATCTGCAAATAACTACTGGATTAAAATCGTTGAATCTCCAGATGTGTAATGATCCCTTCGATAGTCCAATATAATAAGATGTTTCAACATATTAAGTTTGGATGGTCTGATTCAATTCTAAGTATTCAAAACGAATAAGTTCATCTTCAAAGAAGGTCTTAACAAGATCAGTATTATTTTTCATAAAGCCATTGAATATTGAATGTCTAATAACTAAGTGTACATCCTCTCCAATAATGATAGCATAGTCATCATCAATTTAGATATCTCTAAATGAGAAGTCATCAACATATATTCTATTTATGTAGTATTCTTTGGTGAGTGGCAATATGAAAATCTCCATCATGTATTCTATATTATTGGGAGTTTCAGCAACTAACAAATAGGTATTATCGCTGTGATCGAATGCTACACATCTTTAATAAGGGAGACTGAGCAATAATGACACTTAGGAATCAATTATATCGAAGATGTAGAGACCAGTGTGTTCATCTAAAATACTCAATCTATTCTTAGTTAACTTTAGAGAAATGATATTGATGGAAGTTTGATTCAAATCTTTAGAACTAATTCTTAAAAGATATTGGAGTTTATTATCTTAGTAACGATACAAATCTGCTCCTGCATTTCCATTGGCCAAAGCAAGATATTGTTCAAAAACACTTACCTTATTCAAATCTTTAGATTCTTTGACGACTGGCTCAGCTGTAAGGATGGGCTACTCTATTTCTGAATTCTTGTCTAGCCAGATTCCTCCGTAGTTCGATAAAATTAGACATTGATCTTGGTTATTATTAAAACAGGCAAAATAAGCATTTGTATAGTTGATTTGTTGTTAATACTGGGTTTTAAGAGAAAAGGAAGTATTCTTTACTTCAACTTTCCATTGTGGCTATTGAGTCTAATTGTATTTCAAGATCGCTTGTCGTAATTCTAATTCGTCAGTCAGCAGAAATATCCTAAATGGATGAGGAATAACTTACTTTTCCACCTAAGGCAACGACAATATGTCTGTGTAATAGATGTCTAAGGTGTTATCCAATAAGTTGACACTGAGTATTTCATTCAATTTGGGATGTTTGGGTAATCCGACACAATCTAATGATAGCTGCCCATATCCTACCATTATCTAATTATTGTTCATCGAGATACTAATTATCCAAACTAAGGAATGGGGTTTCTATCTGCTCGCCAAGAGTATCTCCATCATTTCTAAATACATCGATATCATAAATAGTAGGGTTACTAATATAGAAATGAGTACATTTTGAACCTTAACAATTTAACGTGAGCCTCTGATGTTGCAAATTTAAATGACAATAGTTCTTCATTAACTGAATACGTGTAATTAGGATGACTACGAATACGATTCGTTTATAAGCTATTTCCAATGAGAAATGAGGCAATTAAGCCTATTTAAATTATATACATTAATATTTAATTATATAATCAGAAATATTCAAACCATTTCAATTAATCAACTCCTTATTTTGCTTTATCACTCCCTCACAGTGGCTACTCTTATTATGCTGTTATTTTAGTAAATTAAGTAATTAATAATAATTTAATAAGCTTTAAACTAAACTAAACTAGAAATAGTTCCAAAATCAAAGACTCAACTATAAATAAAAATTAATAAATTTAGAGAATATCATATTGAATATTATTCCTATTCTGGCAAATGACCATACTTCTTCATTTCTTTTATTTAGTATCTGTTCTCCTCCAATTCCCTCAGCAATCTTTTCCATCGAACACAGACACATATACAAATTATGCAAAGTACAATCTAATTTTAACTTTTATAGTTACGCCCAAAAAAATGAGAATAAAGACCAAAATTGTGAAGGTATCCGAATAGAAAAGTGGTCCTGAAACCAAAACATTAATTTTTTATTCTGCTTAACATTATTGATATAGACTCTCCCTTTTTATATTTTCATCACAAGACGTAGAATTTAATTTAACAACTATTTCATGTTCTGATCTCTCATCGAAACTACAAAGCAAAAAGGCATGGTAATCCATGAATTTCCACACATGGATGGCTTAACGAGATAATCCTACATAATAGAAAGTTTCCTTGAATCTTTACTCTGCAGGTTCACTTGATTTACTGTATAATTCAAAGCGCACTAATTAATTTTCAAAGAAAGTCTTCACCAATTCCTTATTGTATTTTACAAATCCATTGAAAATTGAATGCTTAATTATCAAATGAGCTTCTTCTCCTATCAAAAATGCATAATTTGGATTGATCTACAAATCCCTATATGTAAAATCATCAACTAAACACCCTATTCACAAAATAAGAGTGATCTCTTAAGTTCGATGAATATTTCCATTATGTATTCAATATTGCTTGGAGTTTAAGCGACAACTAGAACAGTATTCTCATATACTTCAAATGCTACAGTTCTGGGTATGGGTATATCCATTATTAGAACTGGCTTTCTTATATTTGAAGTATTGAAAACAAATAATCCTTAAGTGTCATCTAGACAAAATAGTTTGTCATTTTACACCTTCACCCCAATAATGTTAACCGTAACATTGAATTATTACTTTGAGATTGTTAATAAGTGTAGAATGCTTCGATTATATATGTCCTTGTTTTCCAATTCATAAGTGTATAGATCTACTCCATCAGCACCTACTGCTACTGCTAAATACTCTCCAAATGTAGAAACTTTATGAACTATCTTTCTTTATAAAATCCTTTATTCAGGCTAAGGCTCAATTGGCAAATCATTTGAATCAAAATCTGAAAATTTGGAAACCCAAAATCCTCCAAATGGAGTTACGATCAAGCAATTTAGATGTTTCTATGAAATCCTATACAAAATAACTTACTTTAGGACAGCTAAATTAAGCGTTAGTTTTGATTGTTGGGTTTGTCAAATTAAGTTACTTTTTCAAATCAAAGACACTCTATGACTCTTAAGCAATCCATCCTGAATCACTACAACGTAGCTTTACTTATATGAGAAGTAATTCTTGAGTCATTAAAAATAAATTCGAATACTCTGATAGAGTCACCATATCTGTGTAATAAGAATCTTCAGTGGCATCTTTAATTTTGTACTGCAAAATCTCTTTTAATTAAGGATGTTTGGGAACACCTACACATTCTAGAATTCAAATTCAGTATTTACAATTTTTCACTTCTAACATTTCAACATCTTCATTGTCCAAAGAAAGGTATGGAGTTTATATTGGATCTTCAGAATCCCCAAATACATCAACATCATACGCATTTGTCAAACTTTGATTATTTAATATATCTACTTTAACACATATACTTTTTGTTTTTTATGAGCCATCTTGATAGTGTCTTGCTCTATTTCATAATTTGTTGTGTATGATTCTTTGGTCCTGATTCTTGTTGATTACAGACTCAGATTGAGGAGTAAAGAGAATATCACATAATAAATCATTTCTATAAAAATGTATTTTATTACATAAGAATAAAAGTTAATTTAATATCTTAATTTTATATAATATATCTCTATATTTTCATTGGTTATATACAACCACTTTAATTTTGGATTATGGTATAGGAATAGATTAATTTCCACTGATATCCAGAGTCAATTGTTTTAGCTTTTAAATTGATTAGGCCGAAATAATGATATTCTTTTAGGCTTCATCAGATATAGTACATTTCTTGAGATTGAATACCAATAAATATAAATGCTAGTAGTCAGCTAAACTTTACATTATCTTGTGAATTAAATCATCTGGTATAGTTTAAGGAGATACATTAATGTGTAATTGTATAACAAATTCTCTTTTGATTCGTTCCAAATTAAATAGAAACATCTGTTGCACAATCTGGTTCTCAATAGTCAAATGTACTATGTATTTCTTTTCTGAACTTTTCTCCTTGAACTATTTGTCCATGTCCTCTAATTACTGTTAAGATATGGAGTGAATCTAAAGAAATTATTGATAGGTTTATACTTAAATTCTTTCTATTTATCTGATTGACTTCAATTATAATTGATTCATGGGCATCAATTGTTGAGCAGGTATAATTATATCATCAATTGAAAACCGATCATTCTGATTTCGTTACAGCATATTCTTAAGTAAAAATGCTAATTTTTCCCTAATTTTATATACTTTATACCCATATTTTGATTGCACTTATTTTATTTTATTATCTATTTCTTCGCTCTAAGTTAAACCTGTCGGCAATGTGAGGGATGCCATAGAGAGTATCACAATGCCAATTTGCCAAACGTCAGTCTTAATATAAGAATTCAAATTATTTTTAATACTGTATCCACCCGCTGAGCCACGTAATTCTGGTGGATTCAAAGCCTTGTATGCGTTAGGATTAATTTCATTCTTTAACCGATATTTCTTTTTGTAGATATATAGAGGTGACAACCCTCCAATTTTAAATCCTACCTTTTCATCATAATAGAGGTTGGTTACAGAAAACTACTTTTAAAAGACTTGTAAAAATTGCAAATATTAAGCTACTTGTATCAAAGTAATTAGAGCCTCTGATATTGTTTCTAATTTAAAATGATCTTATTTCTATTATCTTTCTTAAATTAACTTATTCATTGGTTACTATGCATAATCTTCAATTGCATAATATATGTCATAAGCTGAGTCTAATCCAATTTCCAATTCATTGTAAATAGTTTTTTTTTATTTCCGCAAAAATAATGGTTTCTTTTTTATTATTTGTCCCATCTCATGGCATTTCACCATGTAATTTTAATCAGTTATTAATAATTATGCCCTTTTGTAATTTTCATATTCTTTTTTAGCTGCATCGTTGGAAGGCATCAAAAACTAATGTATAACTCTGTCTTATGATACACCCTTTACAAGAAATACCTTATTGAATTTACCCTTCTTTATAACTTAATTTTTTATATTCGTTGAATAAAATGCATCTTTATTTATTGCCAAGAATCTTAGTTATCGAGTCCTTTTCGGATCATAAGTACTTTACACAAATATATAAATTGCATCATATTTAAAAGGTGGATTCCTTATATTTAGAACATTTTTTGTACTTGTTGATCCCTGATAAATACTTTTACACAGGCTCTTTGTTTTCCAATAGTTCTTCTCTGCTTTCATTAATCTAAAACCATGAAACGAATAGTGATTTCTCTGGAAATTATGGTAACTTTAAATAGTCATGCATAATCTCTTACATGTGATTGATAATTATCATTTGATATACTCTTTTGCAGGTAATTCAAATCATAAAATCTTACATGCACATCACGATAACAACTATTGTAATTGTTTGTAATTCTTAACTTGTAATACCATTTATTCTCAAACCCTTCTATGTCCACAATATGAAGTTAATATAACATTTTATTATAATAAATCAATTATTCATAGACTAATTAATAAATAGAACTTAGAAACTATCAATCTCTTTTGTTTTAAAGTTTCATAATTATATTTGAATTAACCTATTGGAAATTATATTATAATTAAGTCATAAAATCAATGCTAATGTACCACTTGCCAGGGTACCTACTATTGAATTTCTGATTAATGCATCAGCTTACTTTAGTTTATTAGATTCCTCCATTTATTTAAGTGCTTCCGTATTCATAAATTGCTATTTTTCTCTTGTTTTTTGTTATGGATTAACCTTTTGAATAGGTTATTCTACTTAATGATTAACATTCAAAGCATTTTTTCCAAACTTAATATCTACCTAAGTTATACCATTTGGTTTAATGTCAAATCTAAAAGCTCCAGATTTATTAATAATACTATTGATTTGTTCGTAATTAAAGTTTTATGCTTTATTAATTGGAGATTTAGATTTTTATGCTGAACCTTATCTCTGTTAAGAGTTTTTTTAAGGAGTTTGAAATTATTATTATTGTGATTATCTTTATTGTTATTGTTATTGCTATTATTATTATTATTATTATTTTTATTACTACTATTATTATTATTATTATTATTGTTATTATTGCAATTGTTATTGTTATTTTTATTGTTATTATTATTATTGTAAATACTTTTCTTATTGTTGTTATTAATATAAATTTCTCTATTTTTCATCCTCACCTTCTTCTGTTAAATATCCATCTGGTTCTCCATATTTTTGTTCTAACTTATTAATATCGTCCTCTAATTTTGAAGGATCTATATTTTTATATATTTCATTATTCCATGTTTAGAGTGTTTGAAGTTATTTAAAAGCATCATTTTTCCTGACATTCTTATGGCATAATAGAAGGTAATAGTATGCTAATTTTAATTATTTAAATACTATTATCGTTAGACTACTTTTTTATTCCAATCCAATTACGGAATTCAAAATATTCTTTGTTTTAACCATTTTAAAATTTTACTTGACCATCATAATGCGAATCTACAGCTTGAATTAATTCATCCCTTTCGCTATTGAACGTTTTCAAACATCCTCTTTTATGCACAGTTAAGAAGTCTCCCTTCTGGTCATTCATTCCTATCTGAAAGATGGCAAAACATCTAAACGAATTTTTTTTTTATGCTTACATAATTTTTATATTTATTAATGCTTTTTTTCGTAATATTTTTAGAATTTGTTTGACCATTATAACCTAGAGATAGTACCATAAATAAAAATAATTGGGAGTTCAAAGTTATTAGTTGTTAAAATGTTTTATAAGATATAAATATTAATTGATATTATTATTACCACAGATGCATAAATTTGATACAATACAAGGGAAACTATTCTATACAGTGTACATGATGCATCAATAAAGAGAGATTGACACTAAGTAGAAAGGGAAGTTGAAAGGTATGGAAGTGGTTGTATGTAGAATCATAGACTTGATCATTTAAAAACATCCATCGTTGAACAAAATAAAAACTGACAATGCTGTAACAGCAAGACGTAGTTTGCTTGATTTAGCAGATGCAGAAGAGAGTGAGCAAGATGAATAGAAATCAGATAAGAAACGACCTATAACAATTAGACCTATTTTAACAAATAGTAAATACAAATCAAACCGATCTTTGTTGTCATCTCCTTAACGTAAATGAATGTAAATAAATATTTATCATTGCCAATGATCCAAGTCTTCCAATTCTGGCTTCATTTATTATTATTATAACTAAACAGCTTATTTAAATTGTTCCCCACCCTATTGTCTAATAGTAACCTTATGTTCTGCAACAGGTTCTTTTCGAAGTGGAAGGATGTCGTTGTTCAATAGGATGTGTGGGAAATATTTATATTGCCAAAACTTGACTGTGTTGTCTTTGCTACTGGTTATCAAGAGTCCTATGGAATCAAACAATTGTATTTTAGTGATATCTTTGTTATGAGCTTCAAGTGAATATAAATATTTCATATTCGTTGATTCTAAGATGATAACACTACTCCCATAATTAACATAGATTTCTTTGGTGCTGATTGAAAATTGAACAACCTTATTCGGAATTGTTTTGAGTAGAGTAATCTGATTAGTACTTTTTTCTTTCCCTTATTTCCCAATCTCAAATACACTTAAGTAGCCTTCCTTGCTGCCACAGATGAGATAATTTTTGATAGGGCAATATTAAATGGAAGTCAATTACATCGCAACATCTTGTTTGATTTAATGAACTGCATGCAATGGACCATTTTCAAAGGAGAATATGTAAATGCTTCCTACATTGTCTCCCACAAATAAACGGTACTAATTAGTTGTAAGGCAGGTCAATTCATTGACAAACTCCTTCTCTATTATTGAATACATCAGAACATACCTTTCAAAATACTACTAGGATTGGCTAAATCTGTTGTTATCAAACATTTGTCTTTGCTTATACTATAACAATGGCCAGTCAAACTATTGAATTCTATCCCGTTAACTGCTTAAGTGTGTTTATGAATGTAGCAGAATTCTGAATATTCTTAATACTTTTTATTAGTGGCTATCCTTAAGCAAATTATATGACCATCATCAAAACCAATGCCCAAGATAGTCAATTTCTCATCCCATTTTATCATTGTTCCTCTCTGCTAATATTATATAGTCCATAAAGTTTAAGTGATTGGGTTTTCATTATTATCAACATCCAATCTATAACCAATCAATTAAGAATGAAATGAAGGCTTTATTGATTTTCCAAATATTCCCATTAACCCTTGCATTTTGCTTGCAATTGAATCATCAGTTGTCAACACAAAGCAAACTTAGGTGTCTGGCTCATAAAAAAAGTCTTAGACCGGGAATGAGTGACCATAATTAAATTTCAATATACAATCCGGCTATTTTAACCATTTTTTATCAAGCATCTAGCCCAACTAATCGTGATATATTCTCATTGCTTACATTACAAAAGTTGTAAAAGCATTCGCTTCCCAATACATCGCATCTCCAAACTAATGCTCCAAGCCATTTCTCCAAATCTACTCTTCTTTTTTCTGTATCAAATCCATTTGGCTTGAATCCAAACAATCCGATTCCAGGTAGTTATGGTAAATCAGGGCATTATGAAGATAATGTCTTAAATAGAGTTAGACAATTCTCATAAGTATATTCAAAATCAACTTTTTTGAAAGGCTCAACCAATGTAAATTATGCAACTATCCTGTAATAAACATGACCATCTGATTTTTCTCTATACCCTGGTACTTTGAACTAAATCTATTTATTAATGTACCTTTAAATGAGCCCCTAAATATTCAATTCCATTTAATGTTTCTAAACTCATAATTAAATAAAATATAAATATTTCTCATAAACATCAAGACTTATTTATCTTAAACAAGCTATCCTTTTACACAATAATGAAATCTTTAAATATTTCTGTAATCAAATTGTTTTCAAACAAAACAACTAATTCGGATGAACTCTGAGAAATTATTTTTAAATCACTTTTTAATAAGATCAAAATTCCTAATCAAAAGATCTTGATTTCTAAAATTGGTTCAAAAATTTTAAATCTTATAAGCAATTATATAATTCTATTTGTTAATGACATCTAGTTTATATCAAATAAATTTCTTCTTTCTTTTTTATAATAAGTATATTTATTTGAATATTTAATTTGATTCTATTTTGGCCGGCATTCTCTCGAGGTAATTTTGAATATAAGAAAACATTAAAACATTATGACTATCAAGCACATGTATAATTATAACTCTAATATAAATACTTTCACAAGATAATGAATATGAAACTATCTCCGATACTTTAAATTCTATTTTAATTAATCAAAAGTAATATTTAGATATAATATATTGATTTATCTATTCTTGTTTGATAGAAATTGTCCTATCAGTAATTGAAAATATATGTAGAGATTTAACTCAATAATATGAATCCAAAAATGAAAAAACTAATCAATTTAAAACTACAAAGAAAGATATTAACTCAAGTAAAATTGATATATTTAGGATCACTTAACTTTCATAGAATAAATGAAAAATTTATAAATTAGGAAATAAACTTTTGATCATTCTTATTCATTAGCCCCTTTAATGAGCATTTCAGTAAATTCTTGTAGAGTTACAACACCGTCTCCATTTAAATCAAGTTCTCCAAATACATTACTCCATTAATTATCACTAAGTTGGACACCACCCATAATATCCTAGAGTTCCTATTTACTAATTTGACCATTGCCATCTTTATCAAATAGTTTAAAGGCTTTTTCTAATTTGTTTTATGCCATAATTTATTCTTTTTTGGCAAAGGCGATAACAAATTCTGAATAGTCAATTTAATTAGATCCATTGACATCTGCTTACTCAAATAGATGATCAACAATTTAATGGCACTTAAGTTCATCATTATAGATTTCTCTGTAACATTAGAGTAGTTCCTCTCGACTTAAAGTACCATCATGATTGACATCAATTTTCTTAAATTATTTTTGCATTTTTTTTTTTTCTTAATTCGTCATGACCTAAGTAGTGATTAGTTGCATGATCGCAGCTTTTAATTTGCTATAGCTCTAATTTCCTCAATAATTTAATAGAAGTTACATGAAATCTGGCTAAGTTCTCAAGTGATTTATGATTAAGTTTTTTCTCTTTTTATGTTATTTTGACCCATTCATGTTATAAGGCATCTTGAGCCGAAATCCTTTTGTCTGGATCAGTAATTAACATCTTCTTAATCAAATCTTTAGCATCCTCAGAGATTTCCTTCCACTCAGGTTCTAAAAGGATAATTTGGTTAGAGTTACCATCAAAAGAGTAAACCCCTGCCTGAATCCTTTGGTAAAGTTCTTATTAGGATTGGCCATTAAAGGGTGGAAATCCACAGAGCATAATAAATAGAATAACTCCACAGGACCAAACATCGCATTTTTTATCATATTATTTATTAATGACTTCAGGTGCAATATAATAAGGCTATATAAAAGTATATTAGTTGATTACAGTGCCAATTCGTTGTGATAATTTTTTGCTTTCCAGTAATTCTTTGGCTGTTCCAAAATCAATAATTTTCAAACTTGAGTTTACTTTCCTCGATTCAAATATTATATTCTCAGGTTTTAGATCACTATTATCAAATAGACAACAATACCGATGAACAACATTTTTATTATGACAATAATTAACAGCTTCCAATATTTTTCTCATATAACCAGCTGCAATAGTTTCATCAAAGTGATCGATTTCATTTATTTTTTCAAATAATTCTCCTCCACTTAGATATCTTGTGCCTGATGATATTTCAATGCTTACTCTGTAATGATGTAAACATATTATTCATCTTCATATAATTCATAAACACTAACAATATTAGGATGATCTAATTCTTTTAGTATAGAGACTTCTTGTATCATGTTATCTTTTTATTCAATTTTGTCCTTTCGAATTTGCTTCATAGCTCTAGGTAATCCAGTAACTTTTTATGTTACTAAACTGACTTTTCCATACGAACCTAGATAGGGTTTGAGAACTCAACAGTACCTTCTCCTAAAGTTTGATCGATTCTATAGTAGTTTAAGATATCTCCTTTCTTTAATGTCACAAAAATAGAAGGATTGACTTTGAATTATGTTTTTTAGGAAGTAAACACTTTTTTATCCTTGTTTTATCCATTATCAAGACTTTTGAGATTTGGGTCTTGTTGTTTTTAATTTAGCTCCTTTTATGGATTATTCTCGCTTTTAGGTCCTTTTCCTGTGCATGCACCCATTAACAATAATATAATAAAATTAATTTATATTATAAATAAGTGATCATGACTATTGAGCATCTCTATCATGCTGTAAGACGAAAACACTTTGGAGATCTCTCTCAATTAAATGTTGTATTTACCAAGCCTCCGCAATTCTGTTTATATTGCAATATGTTTATACCGTTTTTATTTTTATATTATTAATATTAACATGAAAGCATTCGGAATTATAGCGTTGTTGTTAATTACAACTTACTGTTAATCCAACGAAATAGATGTTGTATTAAAAATGTTAGCAGATTTGAAAAATGGAACTTCGAAATAACTAGCACAACTAGAGTCTGATTGGTCTGCCACTTAATACGTAATTATTTATGCAAACTATAAGACAAAACAAGATATTGTGAATGATTTAATGAGATCTGGCTTCTACTTAGAGAGGAGAATGCAATAGAAGAGACCAAGAATGGGCTAACAAAGAAAGAGATATTAGAATTACCTTAAGCTACATAAGTTGGTTAGAAAAAAGAATCAAAGAGAATAATGAGAGACTACAAAGGTTAGATATCAACAGATGCGAATCTAATTCCAACTTCATCAATGATATCAAAAATAGCAAGAAAACATTAAATTTGATCGCTTTCCTTAGAAGAGCTGTTAAAAATGCCAAAGAAGTAAATCATTACAATAAATGTCTAGACTGACTTGCCAACATTATTACAATCTGCTTAATTCATCCAACTCAAATCCTACTTGGCTGATGATGAAGATGAACCAGAAGTCACTTCTGAAAATAATGAACCTCCTCATGTTTATGAAGATGCAGAAGTCGATACAGAAGACAACCAACAAGACACATAAGAAGTTGAAGAGACTAATCAAGAAACAACTGAAGATTCTGTTGATGCATCGGCACCAGCACCAGAAGATCATGAGATTGAATAACATTAAGAAACTGCAGAACCTGATGCTCCTGTTCCTGAACACCCCTTTGAAGCAGCTGAAAAGACTACCAATGAATAATTAGCAAAGGAAGCTGCAGCCTTCAATAAAATTATTGAAAAGGGATAAAAGGCTCCTGCAGAATCTGGATCTCAAAAGGATTATAGTTAATTCACAGTGGCTTAATAAGAGTTGCTTAATTTCCTTGACATCCTAGAATCAGAAGTCAGAGGATCTTTTTCAAAGAAACAGGACAATTAGGTCACTTCTGCCATGGGCTATAGTGATTTCAAAGGGTTGATTAATAAGGAAAATGAAACATTTAAAGGTCATCTTGTTGCTGAAGATATTAATCTTGTATTATATCACATTTATCAATAGGAAAAATTGTAAAACCAATTAATCACTATTCTATAAGCCACCGCTGCTTGCAAAGATAGATTAAAGAAAATCCAAAACTCCATTGATTTAGCCAACGAAGTAAGACTATTATTAATATTTAGGACTTGAATTCTGCTGAAGCTCATTATAAATCTGTAAGTGAAACTTTGACAGAAGAATTGAATACTTTTGATGATGTTTACAGAATCTATTCCAGCCAAGTTGGATCTCAAAGTTAACAATATAAGAGAGATGTCCAAGGCTAGATTACCAATTGATATTAAATATATATCAATATATTAATTATGTAAAATTCCATTACTTTATGTTGGTGTCATATTTGCAAAAAACAATTTGAATCCTAAGTTACATCAGATCTTATAAAATGCGCATTTTGCTAATAAGAATTTTGCGAAGTTATTGACCCTTAAAATGATCCCAGGGGTTTTATACCCTATGGAGAAAACCAATAATAGAGACAATCATAAACTCAACTAATACAACAATAACAACCTTAAACTATCATTCACATTACTAGGAACCAAATTCCCATCAGATTTCAATAGAGAACTAACCTGTTTGATAATCTACTTTAATTAATGTTTCCGAATACTCAATTTCAACCTGGGCAATCTTTAGAATAGCTTATTGATTTTATCAGCCAAAATGATCCTAATAGATACGGGTATAATTTTATTTTATTGAGATCCCCTCCTGCCTCTTAAATTGCAATAGATTCACTCCAAAAAATTAATTTATAATCTGAGTGTTGCACTGTTTGCCAAGAGGAATATTAAACCTAAGAAGCCGTATAAATGCCTTGTCAACATCATTTTCATTCGGATTGCCTAATCCCATGGTTAAAACAACATAATAGCTGTCCAGTATGTAGATTTGAATTAATAACAGATGATGATGACTACAACAAGAGAAAAAACTTAAAGTGATTTATTATTTTTTATTATTGACAAAAATCATTTCTTCAATTTTTAAACCAAAGGATTCTACAAAACCTTTTAAAAGAATTATGGCTCTGAAACTCCTGAAAAGGATGAAGAGATCACTTTTGGAGTTGCAGATTGTCTCCTCATTTTTGTATACCTACTTCCAACTGATAGAGGTCGATTCTAATATTTGCTTTCTAGTTTGTTAGAGTTTTTAAATTGTTAAGATTATTACTAAACCAATTCTTATTGTTTCTTTAATGTTAAATTTTGTTAAATATTCTATCCAAAAAACTCTTATAAAGAGACCCTAATTTATTCACATTTTTTTAAAAGTAAAGCACTCTAATTTAATTTATCATTCTCTGTGATATTAGCAGACTGTATATTACTGATTGAGAATCTAAATTAAGCTTCCAGTATATCAATTTATTTTGAATAAAGCTCTTTGAACTTCTCTTGTATATTCTAAACTGCAGAATTCACTTTCATTACGGCTTGAGGATTGTCCAGCATCTAAATCACTTCAGATTTACTCATAAACGAGCCTAATTACATTTCAAACACGTTAAGTTTAGATACTTGATTTTGAAATTATTAATTTATCTTATTTTAAAGAGATTCCAACATTACACCAAATTTTTCATCAATATCAACTATTTCTGATTCTAATTTATCATAAATACCCTTATTAAACATATTCTTAATGTTATCCTCCGTTTCATTAATCCTTTATAGAAATTAAGCCCCTTTTGTTAAATCAAATTTTACCTTAAACTTAAGTCAAATAGTGTTCCTTAATGTATTATTAATACTTCTAGAAATCTTCAATAGTCAAATATTAATTTAAGTGATCCTCCTTCTTTTTTTCTTCCTTTTTTATTTTCTGCTATTCTTCATCAGCTTTTTTCTGCTGATTTATAACTTGAATTAGGTTTGCTAATCCTTACGAATGATTTTCCAATAATTAGAGTCTCTCTTCTACTTAGGTATATTGCTTAATGAGTTTTTCAAACTCCCTTGCCTCCAAATGCCTTTAGATCTCCATTTGATATAATTCAAGTTGATGCAACTTCTCATGTAGATTATTTACATTATTTGAAATTTATTCTCTAAATGGTTTGCTAAAATCTTAAGCCTGCACTTAATCACAAAACTATCTGACCTGGGATGTTATTAATTCTCTAAATCGATTTAATCTCTCTTCAAATTACTATTCAACTGTATGTTGGTATTCAAAAACTTAAGTTTATTTGTTTTACTATTTTACTCTGGATGCAACTAGGCTCCCCTTCAATTAGGAATCAGATGGATTAAATTATATTCTTGTTTAAATGGATTAAATGCCTAAATCTAGCATCTATAAGGTAGCATATTCTGATGCTATTTTTTATGTATACTTAATAAAGTCATCTAGACAGACTTTTTGATCTATCTCCTTCCTCAGCTTATCGAATTGGTTGCTCATAAGATTGTACCTGTCTTAAATCATTTCAATGCTACGGATTGATGACTAGTAGTTGTCAATCTTACTATAAAATCGTAGTTATTTTCTTTATTTTAAATTGGAACTGACTACTGTGGCTTAATGATCTCTTATTGCTCTTCAATTCTTACCAACTTAGAATTTAATCGACTTAATTCTAAGAGTAAATACTAATACTAATTATGCATCTCTTTCTATAGTTTCTCCATATTAATAATATTAATTTAATTATTTAATCAACTACTCATTAAACATTCTTTCTTTTTAGACATAAAATTTCCACACTAAGTTTGTTATAATAAACTTCGTTGTACTTCATTTGTTAATTTTGGGAGTCTGCTTCTTTTAATTGTTATATGCTTGGTCTTCATTGAATAGACAGGAGATTCAATAAAAACCTAAGTTTAAAAGCTTGATTAAATACTTGAAATGGTTTTTCTAACTTCCAAAGAATTGTTATTAAAGTCATCTTTAATTTATTTATTTATGAGCTAACATATAGCTAATCAATATTTTTAACATCCTTTAAAAAACGAGCCAAACAGAAGAATTAAGACTCTTTACTCTATGAATGACTCTAACTCATGTAGGATTAGAAAAGTGATCATTCCCAAAAATATCAGTATTGATAAAGAAACCCTTTACGAGTAATTACATTTAGAAAAACTGAAAACTAAACAATTGCAATTAGAAAACCAATCTCTGTAAAATGTCTTGCAATAATTTGGAAAAGAGATAGACATGATGGATGAAAGTGACCAAAGAAAAGTCATTCAATAGAGTTTACTAAGGATCAAACAAAAGGATCAGGAAATATAAATACTTAAAGAGAATACTTAATTCAAAGCTTAACAGGATATGAAAAAGTAGATCCAAGACTTAAAAAAAGAACTCTTAAAATATTAGATTCTATAGAAGTTTGAGGGTGACTAAAATTAGATAGTTCAAGATAATATAAATTTATTAAATAAGATTGAAACATAAAAATAATATATCAACGAGCTCGAGAAGATTAGATCTGACTATATTCAACTCAAAGCTAAGAATAACCAATTACAATAAGTCATGAAATTAAAGGATTAATAAATTCAGAGATATAGAGATAGGGATCCCTTGTCAGAAATGAATTTGATGAAACATCCCAGTAAGAATGAGAATCTTTTAGTTGACGAACTCTAAATGAAGATGGATGAAATATAGCATTTACAAACAAGACTTAATTAATATTAATAAATTATTTAAGATAACCAAAACTCCTTAATCGAATTAAACTATGATTCCAAATAGAAAATCTAACATTTAGAAGCAGAAAAAAAATAAATTAGCGATAAATATGATAAACTTTATATGGATTATAATATACTATTGGAAAAGCAAAAACAAATAGACAAGTAATTTAATATGATAATCTAGATATCTGTAATAATTCTCTAAGAAGAAACTATCAACCCAAACCTTAATTTATGGAGAGGATTAACTTTTTTAATCCACTACCTAAGTTCTATTATCTCCATTGACATCGCCTCATCATGGAGACAATGTGGTTGTTAAACAAGTCAAGAAATAATAAATTGAGTAAACTATTTTAGAGTTGAAATTGTCTCTTAGAAAAAAAAGAATCACTCTCCAAGATGCAGAATTTGTAAAATAATTAAAATTACACTTAGATCCTATTCACAACAGAAGAGGATATTGCAATAAACGACTTAGAGAAATAATTGAGATTGGATCCCTTTCATCTTAAAAACAGTACTTTGCTTGCTAGATATATGATTGAAGATTATTCTGAGAAGTATAAATTGTAAATTGATATCAAGAGATTTCGTCTACGATCCTGAATTAAAAGCACCTTAAGCCAAAGTAAAAAGTGTTTTTAGAAACATTATGTAAAATTACAAGTTAAGTTTCGACTAAAATGTGTAAGAACTAGTCGAAACCTCCATCAAACAAAATCTCATAGACTTCTGTGTTAAAAAATCTGTGACTACTCTCAATTTAGACAATATCAATGAATGCATGATATCATAGGATATCTAATGGAATTCTAAGCATTCAGATTACCTACAATAAATGTATTACAACAAATACAATAAGTACTTAAATTTCGAACTTAACAATCTATTAAAATTGTTTGATATAACATAATGAATTAATAAATAAATTACAATATATATCATTCTTTTAAATATCTACCCTGAACCCAAACTCTGTACATCTTGACTTTTGTCTTTCTATTTTCTATATATCTATAATGAGCCTTCACATCTAATTGCTTAAATCCAGCTGTAGTAAATAATGATGTCACTTCCTACTATATTTGAAAGCACTTACTTCATTACTAAAATAATAAACCCTCACTCCATCATGCTTGACATAGAAATTATTTTTCAGCTTTCTATTCTTTTTCTTAGACAAATTTATTTATCCAAAATCATATTAACCATAATCTCTAAAGTAAAGAACACTCCCTGGTTTCATCCATTCAAAAATCTTGCGAACTACCATTAAATGATTCTCTGGAGATATTGCAGACAAAACAAATATTAAAGTGCCTAAATCAGGTCTTTCAAAATCTGGCAATGGATCCAAAACTAAATCACAAACACAAGCTTAGAATACAGTTTCATCATATAATTCATTAGCTTTCAAAACATCGATAGCTCTTTTGCTGAAATCGAAACCATAAACTTTTTTGAAGAATGTGTAGTTTTTCCTTAAAGGAAATAAAGCATTTCCAACTCCACATCCCATTTCGCAAATGACATATAATTTAGTTTCATCTTTTTGATGGCTTTCTTTAAAATGATTTAATTCAGGTATTTCTCTTTCCAAATAGTGTCTGTCTTTAAAAAAGTTATTTTAGTGATGCCTGTAAAATTTGTCCCATATTTTTGAAGCTTCTTTTTCGTATTTCTCATATTTATCTTAAGGTAATATCGTTGTATCTTAATTTATGACTTATTCTGCTTATTATTTGATATCTTCATTGAATTCATAATAAATCAATGGCATCACAGGTTTATTATATAAGTTTAATCCATTGTCAGTTTCGTATAACAGCTTCTAAACTCTCTATTCAAAGTTCTCATCAACTTCTCCTTCCTAGATTATCTCCTCACCATCTGAATCTTCTATCTTTTGCTTTTTTTGAATGAGATCCATAATTTTTTCACTATTAAAAATAATTTATAATATTATTTTATACACATTAAAACTCATAAATAAGGTTCCTATTAATTATTAGAGAAATAGATCAACTACTGTAAAGTTGCAGTTACAAATAAACTGACTAAATTTACGTTATAATCGTTTCAAAATATGTATGGCAATAATTTAATGCATCAACTTAGGTATACTTAAAAAGGGAAATTTCAACAATTTTTTCAGATATTGAACAATATGAATAGCCATCATGCATCTTATTTTATGGCAAACTTAAGTAATCCTTCAAAATTATCTTATTTATTATGATGAAGACTTCGAACTTATAATTGATTAATTAATTTATATTAACTTTTTAATTGTTTCATTTCGAAATATCTTAGAAAATGATCTTAGATCAGTAATTCTAAACATAATTGTTATATATTTCTTACTTAGAGCTGAGATTTGAAAGCGTAGTAAATGTAAAGTTTATTTTATCATTTATTAGATTGAAGAATTAATTAAAAACTTATTTGAAAATCAATAACCAAATCTAAATAACTTATTTAAGAAAATCAAATTTGTGGTTAATAATCATTTCATTAAGATATATTATATAATTTTTATATTACTCAAATATTCAAAAGGGAAACCACTTTGTTTTTAATAAAAATCGAAATTATTTTATAAAATTACTCATATAAAAGGAAATTTACAATCCTTATTTAATAAAAAGGCTACATTAATTAAGCATAATTAAGATTAATAACTTGTTAAATAACGTAGAACTGATTCATCTAGGAGACTCTAGGATTATAAAAGTTGGAAATAAATAAATAATTTATTTGTAAATATCAATTAGTTTCTAATTATGTGTGATCAATGAATTAGAATTCATGTTAATTTTAGTATAAATCTTTTGAAGAGGGACAATACTAATATGCCCGACATATTGGACATTGAATAATTTATTCAACAGCTTGTCCTATTAATTTTGCAATATCAGTCCTACAGTATGTATGACCACATTGTAAAGGAGACAAATCTTAATCTTAATCCAAGCAGATTGGACATTATTCTTGATTATATATTTTTTAAGGGGATTGATCCAAAATTATGTATCCGTGTACTTTTTATTTATCATTGCTTTCTCCATTCCTTCTTGTAAGTTAAGGTATTTCTATATTCGAAAAGTCTATCTCATCCTCGAACAAAATTGACGATTGCTCATCTGCAAATTAGGATTGGTTATACATAAATAGTTTGGATATTTAACTTAATATCATGATTATGATGAAATTCTTATTAATTGAGCTACATATAAAAATCCACAAAACAAAAGATTTAATCAGAATAAATAGAGTTGAGTGTTTATTAAAATGAAATGAAATAAAACAATTAAATAATTCAATATTTCTGTCTCAACTTTTATTTAACTTATTTTGACAATAATTTTCTTATAGGCTTCATTCTTTTAATCCTTCTACTCTTATTCAAATTAGATTAACATTATTCTTCACCTTAGTTTTCCTTTTCATACATTTTTTCATATTGATTAACAGAATCTTGAATAACTTTTGATATTTAAAGAATTCTTGGTTGTAGTTAATGTGCATTCTCATCAGATAGAAAAAGAATTGCTAAAGCTAATTCTAGATGCTAATATTTATAAATTTAAAAATCTATTTTTATTCTTATTTGAATACCTACTAATATAAATAGAAAATAAGACTTGATTTTTTCATCCTATAGATTTAGTCCTATGAGTTCTGCGTAATCTGAAGAAGTGATAAAATTCAATTAAAATTACATAGCTTAAAGCAGTTCAATTTCCATTTCGTCATATTCATGATCTTGATATATTCCTATACCATTTGAATCTAAGATCTTTGTTTATTAAGTTATTCCTTTTTAGTTGAACTAAAAAATAATTAATATACAAAACAACTTTTGCAGCCAAATTGAAAGAACATATTGCTAGAAGTTGGAATTTTTATTCCGAGATATTTTTCGCATTCAGATAGATATCAATATACAAAACAGCTAATTCAATTGTTTTGAGAGAAATCTTATGTTAGAAAGTATTCTTTTTGAATGATATCACATTTTTATACTTATATTAGCCATTAAATGAGTAAATCTCTTTTGGGAACTGTATCTTAGGCCAATTTATTATAAACCTCGACTGGTTTTGGCTTATGTATTGCTGAAAATTTACTTTTTCTCTGGCATTTAATTCATTAATTAAAATGGAATTTTGCATAATATATTTATATAATAAATAAACAAAGATTAGATTAATTTACATATATGTACAAATTCCAATTTAAACATTATGCCTATTCACATCTGAATACTCCTCAAATATTCAAAAGCTTAGCTCAGCACCTGTCTTTTGGCATCAAAAGTAGACCTTCGACAAAAATAAGATTACTGTAACAATTACATTAGTGATAACGTCTTTTATGGGTTTAAACAAGCTTAGCTAAAAGAGTCCAAAAGGTCATTCCTGCTGCCTAAATTAATGTGAGATAACTATAGACAATCGTTATTTCCAGAATAAATAGCATAATAACTTAATTCTATGCATCTAGATAAAACTAACGACTCATAACATAGACATTAGTGTAGATAAAAGGTCCAATGAATTATTAAAATAGAATGTATGGAAGACTTGCCATATATAAACTTAAATAAAAGATTATAAAATCAATAGGTTCTAGAAAAGGCAGATCTATATAAATATGATGTGTAAAAAATATGATGACTTTAGCATTGCAAATGAGGCTAAGTGAATAAATAAAAGAAGTTATCATTAAAAAGAAAAAATGTATCCATTGATAAGAACATATTATATATTTAAATTTATATATCATTTAAGATATAATAAGAATATACTAATTTCATGTTTGAACTAATTCATTGTATATCTATTAATTACTTTCAAATTCAAATCTAAAGTAGTAAATTTGATTATAATATCATGGAATAATGTTTTTTAATATGTTTCACCAATCCTATAGGTGGAATCTAAATCATGTTATATCAAAATGCAGAATTATTATATATTTTCAAACTAATCATATGATTCTTTTAAGTTTAATGATAAATAGATCCCTTTTTCTATCTAAATCTCCTTAAATCATAATATTTATCATCATATTATATATTCAAGGAAAAATTCTTTTCGAATTATCATTGATTTTAAGATTATTAAAATCATTATTCGTAATAATAAAATATTTACCTATTAAAATTTTTATTGATTAACTTTGTTATATCCATAACAAAATCAATTTAAACAAAACTGACAAAATAAAGTTGCTCTTCTTTGAGATGAAATTCTTTCGGATAGTAAATAATGCACAATATATAAAAAGATCATGATAATTAATCATTTAATATAATAATGAAAAAACCTTTATTGATAATTTTTGTGCTATTTTGCATTATAAACGCATAATAAGAAGAACATAAGATATTAAATAGAGAAATCCTTAAGAATATCGCTTCATATGTAGGAATAGAGTTACCACATGAGTATATTGTTTTGTTATTTATTAGCTTACATTTGTTCTGTTTACCTTGCAAATTGATGATGAAATAAGTTTAAAAATTTTCTAAGAACACTTTAATGTCTATAGTAACAAAAGAATATGTAGCACTGTGCCCTAAGTTTAAAAATCCTTTAATTTGTGAAGGTAAGAAACAAAAATATCTTGATTAATTTGCAGTTCAATTCATTGAGTATAATATTTAAAAATTTTAGCAATTATTTGAAACCATCAAATGCTTGTTAAGTTTTAGGGGCTTGCAAATTGGAACATGAACCTTAAACTTTAAAGGAATATATAAATGAAATTATGGTTGATAAACTTTCGAAATAGGAGTAATAAAGATGGAAAGAAAGATCTGAAGCATTGCTTATCAATAATGAGGATTATAAAGTGGTATAATATTCTGATTTACATGTTGACACTGAATATACTGTTGGAGCTGATGCTTTTTGTGGTAATTATAACTGTTGCAGAAAGGAGAATGGTATACCTAAGGACTCTAGCAAGGGTGCTTAATATTGGGGTACCTTAGCTAGTTGTGATTTACCGTTTAGAACAGTCTAAAATTTATTAGAATTCACAAAAGAGAAAATAAAACCTGATTTTATTCTTTGGACAGGAGATAATGTAGCTTAATATCGATGGAATCAATAGAAAAATCAAACTGTTCCTACATAAATGATTACATAAGAAATTTAATAGCTTATGCCGAATACCAATGTTTATGGAATATATGGAAACCATGACCTTTATCCTAGTGATTAATATGATATGATTGGAGAATCCGCTTAGTCATTCAGAGATGCAATATCAGAAACTTGGAAATAATACCTAAGTCAAGAGGCATATTACTAATTAAGAAGAAATGGATTTTATTCTTAAATTGATGTGGAGAGAAATTTAAAGATTATTGCTTTAAATTCTTAGGCTTATGATTTTAATAATTTCTTCTTAATGGAAGGAGTGACAGATCCAAGAGGAATGTTAAATTGGTTGACAAAAGAATTGAAGGATTCAGAATCAAAAAATTAATTTGCAATTATAATTGCACACATTCCACCAGGTGACATTTCATGTAATTCATAATGGGCAGATAGATTTAGTGTTATTATTGAAAGATTTGAGCATGTAGTTTCTGGATTATTTTATGGTAATTAAAAATTATTAATATAGGACATACACATTCTGATTAAATTTCTCATATAAGATCAAGGATTGATGGAAGATACATTAAGACTATATACATTGCACCTTCAGTAACTACCAATTCAAGGTAAAATCCATCTTTTAGAGTATTCTAATTTAATGGAAAAACAAATTAAATATTAGATTACACTTAATATAGATTAGATATTGCAAAAGCTAATAAGGATGGAGAGCATGCCATTTTAAATTGGGATATAGCTTACAACTTTTTAGAATATTATGGATTATAAAGTTCAAGAATAGAGGATGTCTCAACTTTAGGGTATAGATTGACACATGATGAAGAATTGTTAAGAAAATATATTTATAGTTATGCAACAGGAAGTGAAGTTCGTTATTAAAATCATTTAAAGTAATTTAATTAATATTGTAGAGATTTGAAAAAGTTATTCTTAAAGAAGGGAACAAGAAACTATTTCATTTGTGGAGTTGACACTGCTACTTTTGATGATTGGTTTTAATGCATTGGGCTTTTTGAAATTTTATAGGACTCTGATAACACAAGGTATAAGATCTATGAATTATTTTATGGGAAATGGTTAAAGGATTGATAAACGCATATATAAATTATAAATTATTTAGTATTTCAATTAAATATTTATTATTTTAGATCATAATAAAATCAATTTTTAATTTATAACTCAATCTCTTTATATGGTTAGATTGGCTATTTTAAAGTTTAAGTTTTTTTATCATTATTAATACTTAGGTCTATTTGGGTGAGTTGAGAAACAAAGTTTTTGTGTCTATAGTATGTTGTAGCGAAATCAACATATTCTGGATGATGAGTCCAAAATTATTAATTAAATGGATTGCCAGCTTTTGTTTTCCAAAGCTATTTGAAGTATTCTTTTGATGTTTACCTAGTAATAATTAAATATGAATGCAATCCTTAAAGACTTAATATGAATAAAAACAACTAATTTTCACCACTGAATATTTACAGGTATTGTATATATTATGAGGATTATCTTGATTATCATTTCATCATTTAGTGTTATGCTGCAAATAGAAAATATGCATAACTAATCAAACATTCCAAAAAGTAGTAATTGAATGTATTATCTAAAATCATTATTCTTTTTTACCTATAATTATTTTATCCGATGCATTATCCTATCCAAGGACAGTGATGGTCATATTTCAGAATGCAATTTCCACATGTGTAACAATGAGAACTCCTTGGTGGTCTGTAGATATGGCAAAATGCACAATATTTTATTTGATGAATTAAGTTATCCTTCCAAACCATGTAATCACTATTTGGTTGCATTGATGAATATTTTGTTATCTAAGGTACTTGAAGCAAATCATATTTTAATTCAAATCCCACTATCTATCATTATTTGATAGTAATATACATTTTTGGGTATTATTCCAGGATTTCTAGTTAGGACTTGAAACAAAGAGATATTGGTCAATATGATGACACTCAACAAAATCCATAGTAATAGCATCGAATTAGTTATCAAACTCAGTAATGTTATGTTTGAGACATTCAATATAAGAAATGAAAGAATAAATCTGATTGGTTGAGATCCAAGCATGATTCTTAATCTTTTTGAATACACAATGTTGGAATTCCAAATATCATCATACTTTAACTAAGTCTATTCAAATTCCATAAATTTTATTAAAAATTATTGATATTATATTTTGAGTACAGAAGAAAAAAGAGAAGCCATAGAAGCATTAGCAGCCAACCCTTCAGATGAAAACTTTGAAATCTAGAGTCAAAAGTATAATACCACAGTGAGAAATTTAAAGAGATGGTTTAATCAAGGATATGTTAGGAAACCAGGATGTGGAAGAAAACGAGTTAACCCACAAGCAGTAACTGAACTTGAACAATGGATATTGATTGAAACCAAGAAAGGAGGAAAGAAAATTACCAGAGACCAAATCAAATCCAAAGCCTTAGATATTTTCAATACTGATACATTCAAAGCATCCAAAATGTGGATGGACAAATTTCTTTCAGAATATGATATCAAATTCAAAGTTTAATCAATATTACAGGAACAAGGATGTTTATCTAAATTATAAGAAGTCAAATTCAAATAGGAGCAAAAATCAAGACATGAGAAGGAATCAGAAAGCTTGGAGACTAAACGATTAATCAAAAAGGAATCATAAGAACAAATTAAAACTGATCTAAATGTTAAATAGGGCTTTGAAGAGAAAGTATATGTGGAAGATTTCTTCTTAGATTAAGATCCAGCCAATTTCTTTTCTGATTCATTTGAAATTTAAAGTAGACAAAACTTGGTTGAATTATAATAATTTTCAGAGTAATTTGTTCCAAAATTAGAATTTCTAGGAGACAGCTATTAAGAGATTTTTACAGGATACTTTACAATATATATACTATATATATATTAGATAATTTTAATAATATATATAGCATTTAGATCATAATGCAAGAGATAAGAATTTATTACAAGACTAATGAATTTTATATATTTATATTATTGTCTCTATAGTAAATTGATTAAAATATATATTTTCCCTCATAATTAATCTTTACTATTGTGTATGTAAGACTTTGCCTCTTCAAGATAAAGTAACGAATTAGACAAATGATTTATAATAAAAACTATGAATGAGAAAGAATCAATCATAAACATACATCTTTCTTTTTTACTATCTTAATTATCTAGTTGGTGTTTTCTTCTCATCACGTTGGTGTAAATTGGAATTTTCTTCCTTTATTCTCATGGTGCCATTCTTTTTAACCGATATCATGCTCTGACTTCTACTTGTTTCATATTAGGTAACTGATTTACTGACATATAAGGATAAATATTCATTCTCTTCATTATAGTTATTAAAGAACTTTTCATCCTAGATTAGTTTTGACCTTTCTATACAATCCAAATAGATTAGATTAGGCATTAAGTTAAAAATCTGAATTCTCATTTCAACATATTCAACTTCTTCTTTAGGAGTAGTTAAGTTGTCTTCTTCATCCAATTCAAAAATATTGCCAATTAGACTTAATTATTTTAAAGCTGACATCTATTGGAGATGTTATAGGGCAGGAGATCCTGGATATATTTTCAGTTAGTTATTAATCAAGGATAGAGAGAGCAATTTATCTTTGTAATAGCCGATGCATTTTAGTTGTTCTCCTTTTAAATAATTGTTGTCCAAAGTTAATCTTTTCAAACTGTCTATCAGAGGCAAATGAATCAAAGATTTAATTTGGCATCCATTTATTCCCAGGTAAATTAGTTATTACAATTTCTCCAATTGCAAAGAAGTCTGAGCATCCAATACGAAGGTAGGGCAGTTTTCCAAGATTAACTCGAATATGGGGAATTCTTCATTCATTTTAATGTAGGATATAATCTCTATTGGTTTTTTATCTTGTTCCATTTCATATTCATCAGATTGAAAATACTTGAATAGAGTTTAGACTTGTTTCTATTTTTTCATTTAATTACAATGAAAATGAACGATTGTTCCTTCAAATTAACTAAACTTTATAAGGATTTTTTAAAACTGTGGTGCTTTCAAATATTTTCAAGGCAAGCAATGATAAGAGAGAGAATGGACTGTAATAATATAATGCTTATATTAATTATTAATATTAATGGCCGAATATTCTAACTCATTTTCGAAATAATTTAGAGAGGATTAAGAGGAATTTCTGAATATTGCCATTAAGAAGTGGAAGTTTCATAAGAATTTCAAAAGAAACCTGATAATATTTAGCATAATTGGTATGAGTAATTGTGCTATCATAGGAATATTTTTATTGGTCTTCGCAATAGTATTTTTAGTATTCAATTTACAAATAGTTGAAAAGGAAGTCTATTATGGTTCATCATGTACAAAAAATCAAGTCAATTGTGAAATACCGATTGAAATATCCAGTGATATGACGGCACCGATTTTTGTATACTACTAACTGGAGAATTTTTATAGGAGAAATAGAAATTATTTCAAATCAAAATCAGTTGAATAATTGAAGGGGAATGTGGATGCTGATCTTTCCAATTGCGGAGATTACTAAACGAATTCTGATATGGGTAGCTATTTGAAATTAATAAAAATACAGAGAAGGACCAATCATACGGTGCCAATACATTAAATAAGAGCGAGAATGCCTTCCCTTGTGGTGAAATAGCCTACACGTATTTCACGGATACATTTAAATTAAAAAACTCATAAGGAGAAATAGTTGAGATTGATGAAACAGATATAGCTTGGGAGAGTGATAGATAATATAATTTCAAAAATCCAAAGGGGTGGGAAAAGTTTGCTTGGACTAATATCGAAGATGGTACATTGTTTTAAATGAACTAAAGAACACTTCATGGTTTGGATGAGAACAGCAGGATAGGGCAGGTTAAAGAAGTTGTGGGGGAGAATTCAGAATGATCTAAGCAAAGGACAATATGTTGTTGGTTGTTAATAACAGTATTTCTTATTGTAATTCATTAGCTTATGACGAGTAATTGTATTCATCGGATATGGTCAAAAGTTTCTTTATGACTACTACAACAGTATTTGGATAAAAAAATATGGTAAAATTCTGAGATTGACTCGTAGGTTCTGGTTGGTTCTTATTTTGCTGGAGCTTTCATATGCTTGTGCTCTATTATTGTGCTTGTTGTTATATACTTTAGAGATAAGAGAAGAAAAATAATTTGATTATTTAATTTATTAATTTATAACAAACATATATGAAGGCAGATAGTTTTTAAACTAAATTCCTAGCACAATAGATTAAGAATAAAATAGATCCCAAAAACTATTACTCCTCTTTTAATCTTGGAACCAGCGTCTTCACTTCTAAAATGAAATCAGAAGAGTCAATTGATAAAAAGCTATCTGTTAGTTAACCCATGTCTCCTAGTTATTTAAAAGCCATGAGGGCCTTGTAGGATAGAATAAGAACTCTAGAGGGAGAGAATGGCATTCTCAATGAGTAAATCGTATGATTCAATCATTAAACATTTATAGAATATATCGTAAAATTATTGTACAACTGCTCATGTAAAAAGTAAATAAAGAAATAAAGTCGAGAAACTATTAAGTACTATGACAAAGAATGATGTATTTCAAAAAGATAAAACTGATGAAAAAGATTAAAAAATTAAGGAACTTGACAAGAAATTGAAATAATCAGAAATTGAGAATGAGGATAAGATAGCCTACATTCATCCTGATTATAAATTTTAAATTAGTTAGAATGAGTCAAAGATTCGAGAATTAGCAGAAGAGATTAATAATATGTAATCTAAATATCTTAATATAGATAACAATAATTAAATTTGAATTTAGATACAAATGAGAGTTATAAAAAAAAGATCACTTAATTAAATTAATAATTGCAAAAGGAAAAATAGGTATATCCATTAAATCTATAAATAGATTACTCTAAATTATCAATTACAATTAGATACATTTGTGAAAAGCAGCAAATAATGGAATGAGAGTATGTCCAAAATGAATCAAGACATTAAATTATACAAAGAATAAATCCAAGAATTGTAACAATATTTGGATTGGTATACTACTCAATATCCTGTTGATAAATTCTAATTTATGGAATTGGAAATTAAATAATTATAAACTAAAAATGCTGATCTAGTCAACTAATTGGATTAGCAAAGATTATAAAATTCACAATTAATCTCTGATATTTAATTGCTGAAACTACAATATGAAAGAATAGAATCTCAAAAACATAAATAAATAGAACAATTAAATGCCAAAATCTTTGAATTATAATTATTAGTGTAAAGACAGGAATCCAAAGATTAATAGTAATAAACTTCGAATAAAAAATAAGTCAAAAAGTTTTCCATTACTCAAGTTACATAAGTGCCTACTTCTGAACAAGAGTAAATTAAATAAACAACTGATGATGATACTAGCTTCGTAATTGTTAAAAAGAATAATGAAGATACTCAAGATTATGAGAATATATCAAGATAGATAATCAAATTGGAACTGATGTTGGAGGAACTTGACTAGAAATATGATTAAATTGTAAAACAAGCTTAAATCGAGACAGATATGAGGGTGAAGTAAACATTGAGATAAGAACTTATATAAATCTTGGCATAAATAAAGGATATAAACTAATAAATTAATGTATTGATTTCCTAGTAAAAATCTTTGAAAACTAAATTATGATTTTACTATTACATTTTAATAAAATTTTATCATAATATAAATACACAATTTCATAATATAAACCATTTGGATGGATAATAGCTCTACTAGATGAATGAATAATTGATGTAACAGGTAATCATCACTTAAATTAATCTTAATTTTTATATAATATTTATAATTCAATAATTGAGAATTAAATAGATTATCAGAATATAGGAGATTTGAAATATCATAATGAATTACCTTAACATTTTAATTATGCTCTACTTTATAATAGAGTCTAAAGAACATAATTTAAATTGAATAAAGAATTTCAAAAAGATTAAGTGATCATGAAATTAAGAAAATGAGCTAGTTAATTCCAAGATTTCAAATTAAATTTAGATATTTATAAATACTTTCTTGTTTATTTTTGGAATAATTCATATAAAACATTGTGGATTTTTTTTGTAATCCTAGAAATCTCTATTAGAGTACATGAAGAATTAACCCTCTGATTTCATCAATTTAGTTATTGCACAAGTATAGGAATGATAATTTTAATAAATAAAGGGAATTCTAGAAAATGAGAAAAATACCAGCAGTATCTATTAAGAATATATTGTTGCATTTAGCTTTCTAATTATTTTTCCAAATACTCTGTGAATAGTTCCTTTATCTCTATTAATGGGATAATCTTGGAGAATATACTATTTTTATCAAAGTTACTTAAGATTTGAAATAAGTAAAATCAAGTGATTTATTTGACTTTGAATCAAAAATAAAGGTTCTTGTTTGGACCAATAGAGATTTGGGTGTTGATTTAATACGAATAGTTAAAACGAATAAATTACATGCTCGATTGGTAAATAACGAATTTTTATGATAAAGCAAATTTCATGATTTAATTGACTAGAAAAATAGATGGATTTATTAATTAAAATAAATTTTAATGAGTAGAGTATTGCCTGTCATCTGTTCGTCATTTTGTGTCTCCCCCAAGAACGTCTTAAAATCCCAGAGAGACTACAGTTATTCCTATTTAGGAGACAATTGTGCCTATGCAACCAGTGACATGTAATTGTTTATACTGATTCTCAGAATATATTGTAAGAGAATAGAAGGGCTCGGTAAGACAAGAGTAACCAAGGACTCAAATAAAGACATAAGTAATTGTAAAAGAAGCGGATCATACTTTTTGTGAATAAAGAATTGCAGAACAATAAAAGGAAATAGATTTATGGCGCAAGAAATATCTAGAGCTTTAGGCTGAGCTGGATCGCAACACTTCATATGAAGAGACTGTAAAAAATGATTTGATCTTAGATCTAACAATTATAAGATAGAGTTGAAATTTTAATTGGAGAGAATAAGAAATTGAATCAATCGCTGAAACAGAAGATAGGTGATTTGGATTAAGCTAGAATATCAATAAACGAATTAGAATAACATATTAGGACTCAAAAAAATTAGAATGAAGAAATCCAAAGATTACAAAAGCAGTTGGATCAATCAAAAAAATAAGTTAATGAATGGAAAAATCGTTTTGTTACTATAGAAAAATAAATAAGCACCATCACCAACACAGATATGAAGACCTCTGAATTGGAATAGAAGATCAGTAAATTGTAATAGGATTTGAGTAATTGGAAGGAGAGATGCTTGAGAGCTGAGAAGGAAAAAAAAGATTTGGAAGATTGTAAATAATGATGAAATTATATTAGAATTGAAATAATTATAAGGATAATTGGGACAACAGCCAAAAGATGTGCCATAATAGAAGGGAGATGTTGAGAGTTTACATCAACAAATAAATTAAATTGAAGAGATAGGAGTTATCATAATCACAATAAGAATGTTGAGGATTGGAGAGGAAAGGGCTATTGATTATGAGACTCTCATTTAAGCAGAGTAGGCTAGAAACGAGGAATTAGAAAATGATGTGCAATAACTTAATGATGAGAATGCTAGATTGAATGATGAAATCAAAAGATTGATGGAAGAATTAGGTAAATTGTAATCTTAAGTATCTGAACTCAGAGAATAAACTACTATAATTGAATAATTAAGATCTGATTTACATAATGTACAACATCAATTAGATTTGAAATTACAACAAATTGATGATCTAAATCATGATGTCTAAACAAGAGATGCTGAATTATTTAAATTATAAGGAGGATCTTCAGTTACTATTGTTACTGAGAATAAGTTATTGTAGATGTAGAGTGAAATTGATAGATTACAATCACTTCTTAAGTAAAGAGAAGCTGAATTAGATGGTTGGAGATTGAAATATTCATCCCTTGAAAAGGTTAACATTTAATTAAGAACTGAAAATGCAAGTATCGACTCATTGTAAGGAACTATCAAGACTTTGCAATAGGAATTAGCATCAAAGCAAGAGAGAATCAATCTTAGAGATGATAAGATTAAATAATAAGATGATATTATTGATTAATTATAGAATGAGTTAAATCATCTTTAAGGATTGAAATTAGAAGTTGAGAATCTTAAACAATAAGTACATTTTAAGGTTCAAGAACTTACTACTTGCAAAGAAAAGTTAGCAGCTGCTTTGAGAGAAGTAGGAGCTTTACGTTTATATAAAGGAGAAGTACAAGTACTTGAATCAGAGAAGTAATTACTTAGAGACGAAGTTGATCATTTGAGAGGTGAAATCTAAAAGAGATTGTTGGAAGTTGAAGAGCTCTCATTTATTAAAGCATCATAAGAAGCTTAATTAAAATAAATACCATTCTTAGAAGATGAAATATCAACATTGAGAAACCTTTTGGCTGATGCTATTTCAGAAAAGGGAATCTTATAAACTCAATTTGGATAATTATAGAATGAGAATCTTGCACTTGATAATAAATATCATACATAAGAGGGAGAACTTGATGAATTCAAATTAGATAACTAAAGATTATTATAAATCAATGATCATTTGAATGAGTAATTACAAAAGGTCAGAAATGAAAGAAATCAATTTGAAAGAGATGCTGATCAATTAGATAAAACACTTCATGATGTTTAATAATTATTGGCTGATGCTGAAGAAAAGAATGCATAATTAGAAAAAGAAATTAAAGAATTAAAAGATGAATTAAATAAATTAAGATAACAGAATTTATAATAAGAATTAGATTTATAAGCAAAAGATAGATAACATGAATAATAAAGAGTTTAATATGAAGGATATTTGAATGAATTATAATTAGAAATTCAAAGAAAGGAATAATTAATTAAGAATTGGAAGGATAAGTATTTACAATCTGAATAACTGGTGTCTGACTTATAATTTACAGCTGAACTCTTAAAATAAGAATAAATCAGAGCTAGACAATTAGAATTAGAAATTGAAAGATTGAAGCAAAGGTAATTACATTAACCACCACCTTAAATTGAACATATTGTTGATTAGGATGAAATCAATCAACTTAGAAAATAAATTTAGGAACTTCACAGAGAAAACTTTGACTAATACTAATAAATTTAGAAACTTAAGTAATAAATTGAATAATTAAATAATCACATTAATATCCTTGAAAATGAAAAGCATTTATATATCTAAGAAATAGATAGATTGAAGACTTAATTGAATATGAAGGTTGAAGAAAATGAATAAATGAGAGCCAAAATGAACGACCTCAATTAAACCATCTTTAATTTAAAGCATTTAGAATCAAGAGTTCCTGAGTTGGAATAAACAATTAATTTATTAAGATAACATTCATAAGATTTGATTCAATAATTGAATGTCAAGACAAAAGAATATGAAGATCTCTACGGAAGATACTTCGATAAATCTTTAGAAGCTAATCAAGTTAATTAATTATAATTATCAAATAATAAATTAGATATTGTAAGATAAGAAGAAGTCTAAAATAGAGAAAATGTTAAGACAGATCTTAATAAGGTTGGAGTAGACAATGATAGATTGAGAAGAGAGAAAGAGTACTATGAGAGTAAATATAAGTATTTGCTCCTTGAAGTTGAATATTTATAAAGATTGAAAGCTGAATCTCTTTAGTAAGATCCTTTGTTGGAATTGAGAGGAGGAAACCAAGATGATGTCAATGAGGATATTGCTAATTTGGAAAGATAACAATAGGTTTTATAAGATCAATTAGCCAAATTATAATCGTAAAATGAATAGAAGGATAAAGAGATTGATGATCTCAATGCTTAATTGAGACAATTATAAGCAGAGTTAAATAAGGTTAAGAAACATTCAAGACTTATATAATAAACTTCAATAATAATACAGTTTATTGTAAACTTAGATTACTAATTTATAATAAAGCAGTAGCAATTCTTCAGCTGAAAAGGATAATTATATCAATGAATTAGAATCTCATATTAATGATTTATAAAATCAACTCTAACAATTAGATTAATAAAGATCAAAGTAAATTGGAGATCTGTAGGCATAATTGTAAAAGTTATTAGATGAGAATAATAAATTGAGACAATAATTAACTGATTTGACTAATAAGTTTAATTCTTAAGTATCAGAGATGAACTCCATGTAGAAAGTCATTGAATAATTGAATGGTTTCTAAAATGAATTTATTAAATACAAGGCTTTATACGAAAGAGAGTAAAATATTTTAATTATATTATTTTAGATGTTTAGTCACTGCTGATTTAAAGGATCAATTAGGTTAATTAGATAAATAGGCTAGACAATTAGCTGCAGAGAGAGATAATCTCTTGGATAGAATTGCCAAATTACAAGCTGAAATTGAGTAATTAGGAAAGCAAATATAAGTTAAGAATGATGAAAATGCAGCTTAATCTAAGACTGTATCAACCTTAGAAGGATAAGTTGCTTAATTAAAGCCTCTTGAAGCTGAAAACTAAAGATTGAAATAATTAATTGATCAACAAACCAAAGAATTAGGAGACTTAAGATAAAAGTTGGCTGATTTGCAATTAGCAGCTGATGATGCCAATAAATAGAAAACTTAATTCCAATAATTATATAATTCAGTCAATGGAGAGTTTGAACAATTAAAGAATAAGTTTGCAGCCAAAGATAATGAAATTAATGCATTGAAGGCATCGAACACAAAACAAGAATCAATTGTTAAATAAGTTAAGGTTATTGATAATACCAATCCAAATGATTTGAAAACTTTGTAAGATCAAATTGCTTAGAGATCAAAAGAGAATGAAGAAATTAAAAAGAAGTAATATATGTTTTTAATTTAGATTCAATCAAATGGATGTTGAATTATAGAAGGTAAAGAAAGATAATACAGAAATTAGTAAATTGTAATAAGCAATTCAAGCAAAAGACAAAGAATTAGATGATTTGAAGAAGAAACTTGACAAATTCTCATAGGATTCTTCAAATCTAGAAAAGTTGAAGAAAGAATTAGAAGCTAAAGTGAATAGCTTAAATTCTGATTTGAACACAAGCAAGAAGAACTTTGATAACCAATAAAATGATATCAAGAAATTGAATCAATAAATCAATGATTTATAAAATGAAATCAAGAGACAATAGAATATAATTTCCAATCAAACATCTGTAATAATATATATTTATTGCATAGGATTTGTAAACTTGGAATAACAAGTATGCCTCTGTAGTGAAAGATTTGAGATCAGATAATCCTCCTTAAAGTACAAATCAAACTAATCAATTCACTACAACCATTACCACATAAGTGAATAAACAACCTTAGACATCTTATTAATAGATAGATGATAGTCAATCAAATAGATCCAGTGGCTATAGATAAAATTTATTCCCAACAGCTTCATAGGTCTAATAAACAAACACTCAAAAACCAGTGACAGCTTCATCCATTTATTAGTCTGGCTCATCCAGTTAACAACCACCATCATAAACATCATCTTCCTAAATTATGAATTAAACATCAACAACCACAACTAGAAGTTATGCAAGACGTTATTGAGAAATTATATATAAATAATATGAACATTGATAAAAAAATTTATATCATTGAATAATTGATTTAGGAAGCCCATTCAGATCTAAGAGTCTTGCTATTTAATGAAACCTTTACTAAATATATTGAAGCATCTGATTTGATGGCAATTGAATTTTTGTGTTACAATGCAAAGCAATTATTATAGATCCTATTTGTAAATTACGACGAAATTCAACCAATACAATATGATACTTATTCAATACTAATGACAAAGGTGTGGGATATCGTTGAACTTAATATAGAAGAAATTTTATAGTAGATTGAAGTATGTTAGTGACTTTAAATTTTTAGGTTCATTTTTATCACTTATTTGAGATATTAACATATAAATTTATACCAGATGTTCAATGGGCATAGGCATTTAAGATTCTCTAATTAATTTAAAAAAGATCCTAAATATTGATAACAGAATCATTAAATGCCAATAATTAATTACTTTAGAATTTCTTACCATATATATATAATAATAGTGTTGCTTAGGTATTGTTGATTTATTTTGAAAATTAATTTCATCGATAGTAATTAGAAATTTTGTAGATTGGAATATAATAATACTCCAAATTTGATTACAGTTCAGCTATCAATTTTACTTATTTAATTCACGAGATAATGGTTAGAATATAAACTAAAGAATTATTGGAATATTTACTTTCTAGTCAAGTGCTGCTGATAGTAAATGATGTTTTATCATAAGAGACATTTCATTTTATGTATTGAGTATAAATATAAAGAGTTCGTAAGAATGCAGCCCATGTTATTTCGTTGATTTCAAATTATTACTCTTTGGATTTATAAAACTTATATTTGGATGAACCTTACAATTAACCAATTACAGAAGAATTCAGGAAAACAGAGTTCTTTAGATATTTTAATATTATAAGTATAAAAAATATCTTAGAAAAAACTCTTACAAGAAGTTGCAAAGTAGGTTTGTTAGATGTAAAGCTAATTGAAGTATTATATTTATTATTAAATATTAGATTATTGATAATATAGTGAGAATATCAGACATTGAATTATGGCAAAGGGTTGAGTAATCTAATGTGATGGAAACTATAATAAATTTGGTTAAGAAGTACAATCATTCAGATATTTTTATTTAATATGTTTACAATATGATTGCTTTTATTTTAGATAGAGCTTTGAATGATTTTCATCCCTTTTGGTGTCTCTAATTATTAACTAAAAATAAATTACAGACATTATAAATCAAAAGAATAGATCGATAATTATTTGCTTTTGAATAATAGCTATAAATTAAACTTATAAGAGATAGTGATTTCTTACCTTATTATGATGAGTTGAAATAGATTGAATCTACATTAAAAAGATCTTAAGTTTGGAAGGTAATCAAGGAATAAATTGAAATACATGAAGACAAACACAAATTTAAGTTAGGTGACGATTTAGAAACTCCTCAGATTGATACACCATTTATTATCTCTGCAATCTAAGAAGATGAACCTGATGAGATTATAGAGCCTCAAAATAATATCTTTATAGATTGCTTTAATAAGTAATCACCTATGGATAGTCTTAATAATAATGATGATTCTGATGATGAAAATAAAGTGGTTGGTGCTTTTTAAGGTATGGATACTTTAAATAAATTGAAAAATGTGTTTGAGTAAATGGATTTATAAGATCAGGATGGCCAAGATGAGAATTAAAAAGGAAAGAAGATTAGAAATTTATCAAACTCATTGAACACTGAAACATAAAATTTTAAATAAAAGCTTCATCAGAGGTGTCTTGAGGGTGATAATCAGATGTCAAGATTATCAATGAGCACATCAACTCATCTTAAAAAGTTAAATGTAGATCTTGAACAATTCACAATTGAAATTTTTGAAAATAAAAAAGTTTTGAAAAACAAAATATTAATGAAGGTCGATGAGATTGATGAGATAAGTAATTAATAGCAAAATTGAAAATATAAATATATAGTGATAATATTATAAGAAAATGAAAATTACATGATTGATATAAAATAATTTCAAATAAAGAAATACTAATAAAAGGAAAATATATAAATAAAAGGATGAATTTCAGTCATTTATATTATTATTAATTAATATTATTCTTTATTTTTCTATTTTCCTATTTTTTAATTCTTGTGATTGCATCAGTTCAGACAACCATGTCCAGGTATGATTTTTTTAAATAACTTCTGGATTTGGCTAAACAAGACTCTTTTATGATTTATCATAATATTACTTTTGCTTAATTTCTATTTTTAGAAAAGACTGTTAAAATTACTGGAAACATCCACTTTTAGTTTTAAAATTTGGAATTCATTTGAATAAGGAATGCTGTTTATTCTTCTTGATCATTTTTTGTTTCCTCTATACTTTAAAACAACATTAATATAAATTATTATATTTCCAAAATCCTTTTTTATATTTAAATTAATGTGATTACCTAGTGTTTTAGGCTAAGTGACATCAATTCTCTAGGATGATATATTTTATTAGTTTTAATTATTGTTCTTAATTAAATTCCATTATTATCAATCGTTTAATCGAGAACTAAAGACAATCTAATCCACTTAGTTTCTTTTTATCATTTTTATCATTTTATATTTTTTACACACTTTTATCTGTAATTTCTTTTTTAATACTTCTTTATTCTAAAAGACATGGATGAATAAATAATTCTAAAAATGAATAAAGATAATATGTCATTCTAATAACCTTACTTTTGTGAAAAATAAGAGATTTAAATTATCCTTAATTCATTTAAAAAGGGGACATAATTTTTTATAAAAGTTGCAAATATTATTTATAATAAGGCAAATTTATTTATTTAATAATGTGCATATTCAGCCATAAATAGTTATGAATAAAAATTTGTTCAAATTTATTAATTAATAACCTTATTAGAAATACTAACCAATATTGAATTAGATGCCTTTTAGGTATATTATAATATATTACTAATAATTATAATTATTATAATATTATTTTTTAAATTAATTAAGTCCAGTTATAAATTAAATTGCAATAATATTAATGGCAGAAAATTATTTAAGATTAATGTATAGGTCAGAATAACCAAATATCAAAATCTATATTTAAATAACAGATTGAGTATGATTTTTGCTTCTGAAAAAAGGGAATAATGATCTTAACTCATTAAAATTTAATACAAAGTCCTTATTGAATGCTCAGCGAAAATCTTAAAAGTACGACGAAAGTCTTAAAAGATTTTTTGACTATTTTCTTTGTCTAATTAATGTTAGTGTAGATGATCTCTTGTATTTAGATGTTTAATTTTGATAATAATTTCAAATAAATTTTTAATCATCACAGTAATTTAGCATTTCATTTGCTGTTTCTTTCAATTTTTCTAAGTTTTTCAAAGACCATGGCAACCTTTTGAAGGTGTATGACTTTAAAGAATTAATATCAATTTTTTACTTTTCTGTTAGATTAGATGAATTCCCATGATTTTTCAGCTATTGCTTTAATTTTTTTATTTTTGTCATTCTCTATGATGGTGTCTAGATTGTCTATAAAATATGAAAGGATTTAGATACCAAGAAATATTTTATATTAATCCTAGAATTGCTTTGATTAGAATAGTTCATGGAGGAAATGATTATTCATTGTCTTATTTTTACTATTTTTTCTAAATGGCAATGCTATGGATTTCATCTTTTCAGCTTAATAGGTTTACTAAAATATTTTGGATGCAGCCTTCAGATTGAGTTCTATACATTTTTAAAGATTTGATTACTTTTTTTAGTACATTTTTCTTAAATTTGATGGAAAATCTCTCTGAAAGCCTTTCTCAGACAAAATTTGATTAATTCTTCTCGATTTTTCTATTGGGTTCTTATCTTTTTGGCCAGGGTGTCCAGAATCTTGACAACCTTAAGACATCTTTTCTCTTTGAGTTATTATTAGATCTTTTTTAATTTGGGCTCTTCTGCAAACAACAGATGAATTAAGGCCTCAAGATTTTCTACTGTAATTTGATCGTAATTCATGTCATCCAATTGCTCAGAAATGATTTAAATTTGGCTGGTATATTATTATGGTTGTTTAGTTTATGTGGATTCTTTATTCTGTGAATCTAAAGAGGATAAGGGTAAAGAGAGTACTTTGTTCGTATTTGATATCATAATTGATTGTTGGCTAAGTGAAATTTAAGTGGGAAGTTAAAATTGGAGATCCTAAATTATGGATTGGACTCATCATCGGATTTTGGAAGTTCATCATTAAGAGGAATTGTGAGCTCGTTGGCCAATAGGGTAGTGGATACATACCAAAATAAGGTGGAGATTGTGCCCCTTCTGAATGATTCATAAAATTAATTTAAATTTTTTTGATACCGTCACAATAAAAGATGAATTCAAGTATTAAAAGTAAATCTGAAGTTAAATAAGTTATTTGATCTAATAAAGATTTAATAATTAGGCCTGAAGGAATTCGAGGAATGGGAAACATAATTAATTTCTATATTTAGAACAATGCATAATACAATAAAGTATATTAATAAGATTAAAATCAGTATATTTGGAATTAACAAAAAAATAGTTGTAATATGTTAACATAGTATTAATAATTGTCACTTGTTTTTGATAGTACATCTGTTGATTATGGTTGAGTAGGGAAACTGATGCTAATCGATATCATTTTCTGAGTTTTTTGATTGCTGTCGAAATATAGATACTTTTTAACCTCGATTATCTAGGTTTTTATTCGAATACATAGATTAAGCTTTGGATCTGGGTTAAGTGATGGGTTGTTGTAAAGTAATCTTTTTATTCCACAAAGGTGAGAGTTCCTTGAATTCCATACTCTGATTTGCTGATTTAATATTTAATGGCATTTTTTCGAAGATCGACACTTGTCCATGCTTTTGGAAAGTCGATAATTTCAATTCCCCTACTTAAGAATTGAAAGATTGGCCTGATTTCTTTTGATCGCTTATACTAGGAATAACAATTTGAATTACTCTTGAATTGATCCAATCAAACTTGGATAAGACAACTCATTTAATGCTTCATTAAAGAAATCATGTCTTAATATTTGGGATGCAGAAGGTCTTTGTTTGGGGTTCAATCTCAACATTGAAGCAATAAGATCCTTACAACTCTAAGGAACTTTGGTTTACTCATCCAACTTATAGTCAGCAGCTAAATTCCTCTTCAACATTCCAGCCTTGGTGCTATCTTTGAAGGGATGAGTGTTGAAAATCCTTTTAAATTTTAGATAGATACAATTGATAGAAGATAACTCCAAGACTAAAGATATCGCATTTCTCATTATACATCTTAGAACCTTCTTTGTACATCAATACTTCAGGAGCGACGTAACCAGTGGTTCCACATCTGTAATACTATTGCTTTTAAGTCTTAATGTATGTGGCCAACCCAAAATCAGCAATTAACACGTCAAGAGAATTAGATTTGCATAAAATGTTCTATGGTTTCAAATCTCTATGCATAATCCCTTTCTAATGCATATAATCCAAACATAGAGCTAATTATTTAGCCACGATTCTTGCATCTCTAATGCTTTTGTATTATCCCTATTTTAGTAGTTCTCCTCCTTGGATTAATTCTAAAACAATATTTATATGTTCTTTAACATAGATTGAATAAATACTATTAGTCTCAAACACCGAATAAAAAGAAATGATATTTGGATGATTAAGTTCTTTCATTATTTGAATCTCATTGTGTAAGGCTTGTTCCTGCTCATATTTTTTTTGTTTGACTGAATAATTTTTTTGAACTCTTTTAATGGCATATAGTTATTAATTGTAGTTACTCCTAGCAATGTATACCTAGATTAAAATTTATTATTGTTACTTAGGCGCTTGATCCAAACCCAATTTGTCTTAGCAATGTATATTAAGTGTGAAAATCAGTTAGTATACAATGGGCTTGTAAACTATCCTTAAAACTATCGTGGTCCTTTTTTTGATCAGTGTACAATTCTAAAACAAATCCACAGTATTTTAACTGCAATTGATATTTATATGGTCCTTCTACTAGACTAGATGTTAGATATACACAATCTAGTTTTCTAAAACCTTTGAGATTCTTGATTATGATATAATTTTACTCTATCACCATATAATATATAATTGCTTTGAACAGAATAAAGTCGAGGTATCCATTTTTTAAGAATCTTACTTCTCTTATAAAAACTGGTACAATTATCATTTTGGATCTCAAAATTTTCATGATTATTCAGTAAAATATGAAAATTTCTATTCCAAAATTCTGTTTACTCTTTTTGAGCTGAATTGAAAAAATAATTAGAATTTTAATCCATCGTTTTAATAAATATTAATGTTAATATTAACATAGTAACAAATATCAATCTTCATTTTTCTAGAGATTCTTTCGTTTTCTTCTTTGATTCGTCTATAATTTCATAGCCTAGGCTTAAGAAGTTTCTTATTCAGAATTTGATTCGATTTCCAAGATTTCCTCGTCCTTCTTTTTGACCTTCCTTCTCTACTATTACTTCACATTACTGATATTTTCTTTTAATTCCTTGTCATCTCTATCTTAGAACTAAGTCTTGCCATTTTTTCTCTTGGACACTTTTTCCCTCCTTCTATTCTCAAACGTCTCTTTATCATAGTTTTCTATCTTCATCTCAAATTCATCTATCACAATTCGACTCTCTTGAGGCAGAGTTCTCCTCAACTAAACAAGTAAGTAATATCGTACCTTTTTTATTAGACTAATAAATTGATTATAAACAAATTAGTCCTTTAATTTTTCTCTGTATTATTCCCATCCATCCAAGAATCTTTATAAAGAAGTTTGGGTCAGATTCATATAGTTGAATAAAATAGAGATATTTTTTATTTCTGATTGATCTACACATATATATAAGTTAATTTATACTCTAACTGATCCCCAATATATTAACCAGTTTCTCTACTATTGATTCCACTAAGTTCTTATCAATGTATAAGGATATTTGAGATATAATAATCTCGTTGTGCTCGTGAATATTCAATATAATATCTGGTACAGCATTTGAAATAGCTCTCTATTCTTTTTTTTGCAATTCATTTAAAAAGTACCTTGCCATACTTTGGATCTGTTAACAAGGGTCATTTAATAACACTGGAATATGTGATAAGGAGGTCTTGCTCTTAATCATATCATTCAAAATCAAATGTGTTAGGACCAGTAATGTCACTCTTCTAAGAGGACCATTAGAATCAAGTAAATTTGAATATATCTATTTATGGAACTTTTAAACAGTATTTGGCCACATATGTAATAAGTCTCCTATGCTAATTAACACATTGTTTTTAACGACTTAATCAAACAAGGGACACCTAAAACATACTCAATATCTATTTACTTCATGATATTAAATAACATCTCAATGTTTTATCTACAATAGGACTCAGACAAACACATGAACTTACACATTGTGATTAGACAAACTTATACAAGAGGGGATTATTGATTTAAACAAGAAGATTTCTTATTTTCCATATCTACAAGGCAATCCTCAATTATCATTATTACCAATGGGGAGAAAACTGACAATAGATTTTGTTACACTAGATTGAGATCCTATATTTCATTCACTACTTCATGTATTCTTTCAAATTCTCCCTCCAAACCTCCTGAAATCTTATCTATCTCTTGTTCCTTTCCTATTTAGGATTCTCTATCATTTTTTAGTTATTTAAGTTATCTATGAGTTTTATCAATTAGCACTAACAATTGTAATGAAATGCATCCTGCTATATATATTGCATGAGTTAAATGCATTTTGTCATTATTACTTAATTGTTCCAATTCCATTGAATTCTTGGAATGTTATTCAAACTCAAACTGTTTAATTAAAGCTTCAAATTTACATTCAGGATTATAGGAAAGTGAAATCAATTGTATGATTGAATCACATGCACTAAAATAATTCATATCCTAAGTATCTTTATACTTTACAAGTAATCTAGTCAGCAGTTCTATCTGATTATTAATATAGATTTAGTTTTTCTCTTGATTTCTATCTAATTTTGACAATATAAGAGAAAGTTCTTTTATGATGATCCAATCTGGATCTTTTCTATTGTAAGCCATCAATAGCTCCTGAATTTATTTAATTTTTTCCATATTAAAATAGGAGCAATTTCTTGTGAGCATAATTCTCACAAATATTAGCATTGATCTTTAATTGATTTCTGGTCTACCAAAAAGATCCCAAAGGGTACTAAATGCTTTATTTGGTAACTTGTAATTAGGAGCCTATTCAGTCTCATATGATAATATAATTTTTTCTATGGATAGCAACTCCTTCTAGTTTGAAGTGCTTATCAGATCTATTATAGAGAGTACAATTTATTTTGTATTTTTATTATCCTTTAAATAGAGTTTCCAAAATTTTTTAATAACTTCTTATTGAATTGATTTATCTTATGACCAAACCAATAGCAACATTCTTCTTAACCCTATATTTGCAGATTCGAAATCATATTTTGATAAATATGCAAATAATTTGATTGAATGTGTTACATCTGCTTAATTTTTACTTTGACACAATTATAAGACTTAATTAATAGCAATTTTCATTCCATCTAGAAATTTGCTATATTCATCTAGATATTCCTAACCTTTCTAGATTTCTTGAGTCCTTTTCTTAATATTTTTAATCGTATCGTTAATCTAATCTTCAGAGATGTTGCCTTCTTAAAATTACAAATCCAATCTTTAAAAATCATTATGGATGTTATCTAACTCTAATTAGTTGCTTTTTATTTGTTCTCCAATTTCTTTAGATGACCAAAATTTATCCCTTCCTTAACTTTAAACATAAATATATCTGTAACAACGTGAGACTGATTTCAATAATTATAATGCAGATTTTCTGGCATAGCCTGAGATATCCCTCAGTCTAGATTGGCTTATGGAAAAAATAGTGGGTAGATGTATTTTTTATATGCAATTCAAATTTAATAATTGCGATAAACATTACAATACATTTGATCTACATAGGGCTGTCTTATCTAAATGCCGAGATATCAGAGATTTGGTTAAATTATTAGCATTCAATAGAAGAACTTCATCATCATTTTATTCCTTTGATTCTTTTACCAGATATTCTATTACATTTGTTATGACATCTGATAGGCCACTTCTTATATGATAATTTTCATTGTCGTACAACCCAATCATTGATGATAACTATTGATAATATATTTTTGGCATTTCTTTTGATGAGATAGTCAGTAGTTCTCTCAGATTTTTAACTGCCAAACTCTCCGTTTAATTAGTAGACTTTTCAGTAATAAAATTGATAAGTAATCCTAGTTAATCAATTGTATATGATTTCAGTTTATCATGTTTACTGCAAGCCACTAAGAATTTACTCAGATTGGGGACTACGCTTTCCTATTCATACATTAAATGAACTATAGTATTTTTAAGAACTGTCTCATGCTTAGACCAAATTATCAAAGCTGAAATAAGAACTTCAATCCAAACTTCTCTAATTTGAGTTTCCTTGATCTCAATAGCCATCTTAATAAGATCGAATACATATCTTATACCTTCCCTATCAAGGTCAACAAAGGAATTTAGACTGAAAAGTTGCTTCAATTATTTTAATGCCCTTTTGACCTACGGTCCTTAAACCTGTTTTTATTACAAGAGATTTAAGAATAGGAAGAGTGTCATTTGAAATGCCTTGGAATTTTTATTGTGTAGTTTGAGAATTTAAAATGAGAAGATGTCAATCAATTGGAATTGAGCTTTTTAGTTTGAATGTTTATCCAAATATCTTGATATAGATTTATAAGTTACTCAACCAAATAGTAAAGAAAATCGAAATTCTGTGCATCTTCAATAAGAGTTGGCATTTAATGGAACTCCTCCTAGAATTAATTTATTTTAATGAATATAAGACGATCATCCATATTGGGTACTGAATTTTTAGATTTGACTCTGTAGAATTCAGAGAAATTAGTATCCTTGAGTTCTGCATAAGTTCCTGGAAATTTGAAGTTCATAATTTTTATTTTTAGAAATAGGTGAAAATTTGAGTTATAATTATATAAATAAGAATTATAAAAATGACAAATGATGTAACTAAGAATAAATCTATTGGATAATATATATTTGGTAAGTAATAAATACATAAACAAGGAAAAACCTTGGGTGAGGGTACATTTGGAAAAGTTAAATTAGCAACTCACATATTAACAGGAGAAAAAGTAGCCATCAAAATTTTAGAGAAGTCAAAGATTGTTGATGCATCTGACGTAGAGAGAGTAACAAGAGAGATCCAAATTTTGAAATAAGTTCGTCATCCTAACCTAGTACAATTATATGAAGTATTTTTGGGTGCTTATCAGATAATAGAAACACCTAAGTAATTATTTTTAGTGATGGAATACGTTAATGGTGGGGAACTTTTTGAATATATCGTATAAAATTAAAGAATAAAAGATGTTGAGGCTATTCGATTTTACAGTTAAATACTATCTGGAATAGAGTATTTGCACAAATTGCATGTAGTCCATAGAGATTTGAAACCTGAAAATCTGATTCTTGATAGTAGAGGAAAACTTAAGATTATTGATTTTGGATTGTCAAATTTTTATAAAACTGATGATTTGTTGAAAACAGCTTGCGGATCCCCTTGTTATGCTGCTCCAGAAATGATAGCTGGAAAAAGATATTAAGGACTTTAAGTAGATATTTGGAGTTCTGGAATAATTCTTTTTGCAATGCTGGCAGGATATCTACCATTTGAAGATCCAAACACAAATTAATTGTATAAGAAAATAATAGCTGGGGATTTAAAGTTTCCAAAGTTCATTACAAATGAAGCAAAAGAGCTGATTAAAAATATATTAAATACAGATCCATAAAAAAGATATACAATTCAGGAAATTAGAAAACATAGTTGGTTTAATGTTTGTATAATCTTTATTTTATCAAGTTTATTAAAGACAACTAAAAGATACCAACTGGACTGGTTATTGGTTTTCATAAGATCCCGATTGATCCAGAAATTATAAAACAATTAGTTAATTTTGGAATCTCAATAGAATATGCTGAGAAATGTATTGAAACGAACAGACATAATCATGTGACAACAACATATTATCTTCTACTCAAAAGATACCTGATTGCCGGCAATAAGTCTATTGCAGGTTTTTATTGCTATTAAAATTTAGATATAAGTTCTGAATTATTCGAACCGTAACGCAATTCCATTAGATAAACAACTTAAACCGACAGAAAATCAAGTAAACCTCAAAATCCTTTGCCACTAATATAAATAAAAAGTAAAAACTTTATCTTATCCAAATAGATCGACGTAATCATACTTAGTAGGCAGATGACTCTCCAATAGATACCAAACCAAGATTGAACAATTCTGTTAATACTTAACACACTATCTTGTAGCCATCTCCAACTATTTTAAATCAATCGATTGATATTCCCAGGAAGATTCATTTAGATTTATAAAAGAATACTCTCCTAGATGGATCTCTATTATAGCCACAAAATGATGTCAAAGTTTTAAAGTTAAAGACTCCAGCCAACAGAAATTATATATTATCTGAATATTATGGCAGATTTCCTAGAAAATCGAGGAATCAAGATAGATAATCTTCTAGATAGTCTTCAGTTGACTAAGAAGAGACCTATTATAAAACTTTTTATAAAGGAACTTCTGTTCCAAAAAAATGAGTTTGTTTATTTGTTATCTAATTTTCTTTATTTATTAATAAATGGCTTTATTAGGAAAAACACTTAAAGGGAGAACAACTAAAGCTGGAGGGACAGAGCAAAAAAGAAATATTAAAATCAGATAAATTACTAAATCGCAACAAGAATTTGAGGAAAGCCAAAAATAGGCATAAGTAATTTAAGCATTAGACATAGTTTAAAAAAGAGTAACTGCGAAGTAAAATTAGAGAAGAATAAAAGATAGTCAATTTCAATACAAAAAAGCTTATGGCTTATTGGAGAAGAACTATGAGAGCAGTTAAGACTGAATAATTGAAACTGGACATAGAATTATATTCACAAAATAATAAAAGAGAATTGGATTCTAAAGAAGCATTCATTCAGATGTTAGACAAGAATTTGGATGAAGCTGAAGATCAATATTAAATTGCTTTAAGAAATCATCTTATACATCTTGAAAACTTTCATCTTTTATAGGAGAGTAGAAACAGAGCACTGTTGGAAGAGTTCGAAAGAGATATCAAAATACTTTAGGAAGAATTCTAAATCGAATTTGATGATATGACGAAAACACATAAACAATAAGTTAAAGAGTTGGAGGATATGATTAAGACAGTGGAAGAAGAAGAGAAAAGAAAAGCAGAATAAGCCAAAAATTAGCATCAAACTAATAGAGAAGAAACTAAAAATAAAGATGTAGAGGATACCAGCCAAATGAAATAATAATTAGAAGATAAACAAACTAAATTTTATAATGATCTAGAGTAAATGCATCAAAAATATTAATCTGATACTGCAAAGAAAACTGAGGATCACACTAAATATTACGATGCAAATAAGGATATGTCTAAGAAGATTGAAAGATTGGTGAGATCTATTGCCAGCAAGAAAGCAAAAATAGATTTAACTAAATATAAAATATTGTAACATACAAAAGAATGTAATGCAAGAAATTAGGCTTTAAAAAAAGAAAAGGAGAATATTGCTAAGAATTATTAGGATTTGAAATTAAAAATGAATAAATTTAGAGAGGAACAATCAAGATTATTAAAAGAATTGGTTAATAATAGTAGAAATGCAGTTTTAAAATTAACTGAATATAAGGAGTTAGGAGAGAAGATCCTCAAGACTGCTGAGTTATGTAGAAGATTGGAAACAGAAAGAGAAAAAGTTTTGCCTTTTTATGAGGATACTGTTGATTTGGATCAGATTCCTGAGAATTTGAAAAATGACTTTGAGGCTATTGAAAAAGAACAATATGAGGAATTTGCATATCTAAATAATTTCTATAAAAGATATAATAAGGTATATGATGTGTTTTAGATATTAGGTCTTATTGGATATTTTAGCAATCTAAAAATAAAAAGAAGCGTTATAAAATGAAAGTAATCAATTATAATCTTTACTCAAATAATATTTGGATGGATTATCTTGCAATGATGATGTGTTATCAAATCCAAATCCATTATTTGTTAAGAATTTCAACATTGATTTAGGAGAAAGGTAAGTGGCAGGAGAGTCTCAATAAACAATAATCGAAGGAGTCTTTAATGTAAGAAGCACATAAATGCAATTATAAGGATAAAGGGTTGGACCATTTTAATGATAATATTATAAAAATATATGAATTAAAAATTAGACATTTTAAAACAATTTAAAATTCCTCGCTCTATTAGTAACACTAATTAGAAATAAACTTTAAAGAAAATTAACAACTAATCTATGTTAAATATTGGAGACAAATTACCTTCAATTTAAAAACACCATATGAAGAGAATTTAAACTGAAATTTAATATGAAGAATGTGTAGTTAAAGTGGCAGCAAAGTATTATATTCAAAATATTATAGGACCCTTCCTGGTCAAAATATTAAAAAGAAATTGAAAATTAATTAAGATAGTCTTGCTATAAAACAAAATCTTTGTAATTAAAATAACTGGCATTTATTTGGTATTTTTGATGGTCATGGTCAGAATGGACATCTAGTTTCATAATTTGTATCAAGACATTTGCCAAAAGCCATTGAAAATATACTTCTGCAAAATTATGTCACTAATCCTAATTTATTATCGAAATCATTATAGGTAGCATTTCAACAAGTGGAACAGGATTTAGTAATATATTAATTTAATTTAGGTAGATAAAACTAATATTGCATGCAATTTCAGTGGTTCTACTGCTGTGGTTATTTTATTGATTGAATCTAGAATATATTGTGCGAACCTTGGAGATTCAAGGGCTGTTTTTTTATATAAGTTTCAAGATCTATGGTACAATAGACCATTATCTTATGACCATAAACCAAATAAGAATTTTGAGTTTAAAAGAATAATAAGGTTGGGAGGGAGAGTTGAATAGAGCTTAATTGATGGAAAAAGACAAGGCCCTTTTAGAGTTTGGTTAACAAATGAAGATGTTCCAGGCTTAGCAATGTCTAGGTCATTTGGTGATGTAGCAGCCAAATCGGTTGGAGTAATTGCTGAGCCTGAAATCTTAAGATATAAAATATAAAATAGTGGATTTATCCTATTAGCAAGTGATGGGCTCTGGGATAAAATGGATTTTGAAAGCATCTAAAAGATATTAGATCATATTGATTCTCCTATAACTCAATTAGATATGGAATTAATTGCCTAAAAGATTTTAGGAGAAACTTACTCAAAATGGGATCGGAAAGATAGTGGAAGAGATGATATCACTCTCATACTCGTGCATATTTAAATTTGAATATTTGTATAAGACAATCAAACTTAAATAGGATTTAGAATTTTAATTTTTAAATTCAAAATAATATTATTTATATTTAATAATGTTATTTCAAAAATCAGAATCGACTATCTCTCTTTTAATTTTTTCAACTACTTATTCAACTAATTTAACTAATAATTCTTCATTTCTTTCTCTATCTGCTCTATTTCTTTTGCAAGCTTCATAAGCATTCTAGTATATCTTCTTTAATATTCCAATTATTTCTTCTTCTCTTTATTCTCTTTACTTTTATTAACTATCAAATATTCTTTTCAATTCATCCAATTATTCATTGAATTATTGAGCTATTTTCTCTTCAATTTCTTCTCTGATTCTAATCTCTTATTCAATTTCTTAGTAGAATTATGGGATTTAATCTATATATTAATTTAATAAATACCATTTTAGATTTCTAGTAATTTATTTTAAGTCTCAGACTTTTAATGAAATTCTTTTTAAATTTCTGTTGACAATTAATCGACTTATTAAGAAAGATTTTAAAACACTCTCTTCTCAGTTTCCAATCTTTCTTTGCTGAAACTATTCAAAAGTGTTTTACAATTCTTTTCAACTGATAATATTTCTTTTTTCATTTTTTCATTGATTTGATCTCTAGCCTCTTTTTCTGTATCCAACATAGATTTTAATCTTTATAGCTTGATTCAAACAAATTAATACTTTTTCTGCAATATCTAAAAACTTTTAATTTTTCTATTATTAAACATCTTCAATTGCAGATTCAACACTCTGTAGATATCCCAATATCAATTTGAATTTTTATTATTTCTCCCCCTCTACGTTATTTTGTATTGATTATAACTTTCCGAAAATTCTTTATGCTCTCTCTTCTAATTGATCTAAAGACTCATTTTATATTTTACCTGCCATTTATTTTCAAATTTGAAATTTATTTATATAAATATATAAAATCAATCAGAATTATCTTCAATCTAATCAAAATCCAATTTAATCTATTTGTATTGCATCATAATTCTATCTTTCTCAATTAAAGCATCGATTAAGCCCTCAATCTAAGGGAAGAATATTCCTTATTTTCCTTCACTAAAAATATCATTATAAAATATTACTATTATCCAGAATAAATGAGATTATTAAGACTTGACCCAATATCATCTTCTTTTTTATTATTAGATTTCAAAATCAAAGTATTTTTTTCAACAATTACCCTTATATTTTGATCACTAAGAGTTGCCTAATATAAATCTTCTGCATTTAATCCTTTTAGATAATGAGGGTTTAGTTCTTAATAGAAATCCTTCATTAAAAATTTCATTTATCTAATCTCTTCTTGGTTAGTAAGATTCTTAGAGAAGAATTTTTTGATATCTTCCTCATTTATATAACCATCATCATTTTCATCACAAAGTTCAAAAAATATCTGAATTTTATCTTATTAATCATATTCTCTAAATAAATTTATAGAATATTGAATTTCATTAAACTCAATATATCCATCATCATTCAAATCAAATACCCTAAATTATTGTTATATATGGTACCAAAATAGACGATTTATCAGATTGGGATCTTTGTATAGCTATATTCCATGGAGTATGATATCAAACTCATCTCTGTCTACTTTTTCAACACATTAAACCCATTCTAAAATGTTTTATTTATTTTCATTCAAAGCACAAACAACATCTTTTTTGTTATCTATCAACCATTTGACCATCTGCAATCTCAATTTATCTTTACTCTTATCACTGAATTCTGAGGCTCCAGTATAAATTTAATCCTTGTATTTTTTATGTAGATAGGATCTGCATTATTCATTATTTTTTAGTACTGATATTGTTCCGCCTTTGTTAGTTTTGCATGCTTAAATTCTAGGCTTGATTTACAAAGAATCACATTTCATTTTCTTCCTTCTTCTCTTGAAAATATAGATGATTAAAATTTTACAAGTTCCATGATGTTTCGTGTAACCTTGCTTATCTTTTTTGTTAAAAATTCATTATTAGGAGTATTTTTTATTTACTTTTTTTTGTGCAAAGAAGGATTAAGATGGAAATTAAATTTAACTAACACTTCACTTGCCTTTCTCGTAGGCGTGTTTACAGTTCTAGGACTTCTATCACTTGATGGAAGGTGTTGTAATTTTGATAAATTAGGGAGTTGGATGTGCTATTATTTCATAATTATTTATTAAAAATGTCAATGAATCCAAACGATGATTAATAGAGACTATACTAGATGTTCCAACAAATGGGTAATCCAGACCCATATGGACGAATGTTACCAGTGCCAAATCCCCCATATTACTCTTGTTGGACTCCACCGTTTGGATAACCTATGATGCCACCACCTCCAAATTAGAAATACCCATTTCCTGAATAATTTATGCATGACCAAGCTCTTCAAATGAATTCTCTTCAACCTAATCAAGGTGGAATGAATTTAAATGGCATGCCATAAGGTTTACCAAATATGCCTCCAATGCCCATGGGATTTGGAATGCCTCCTATGGGACCAGGTCAAATACCACCTGGAGCCATGGGTCCAGGTCCTTTGGGCACGATGGGTACAATGGGTCCCATGGGTCCTATGGGTCCAATGGGTCCCATGGGACCTATGGGTCCTGGACCTATGTAATTACCTGGGATGGGACCTATGCCCTAAGGACCCATGGGATAAATGCCGCCATTTGATTTTTAATTTAAACAACAACCACAATTATAATAGTAATTAGGACCAAATCAAATGATACCACAATAATAATAATAATAATAATAATAACAATAATAATAACAACAACCTTAGTAATAATAATTACAACAGCAACCCCTACCATAATAATAAGCACCTTAAATATAGTAATAACAATAATAATAAGCGAATTAAAATACAAGTACAAATAATAATAGTATAAATTAATAAAACAATTTAGAATAAGGTATGACTATGTATTTAGAATATTTTAGGTTTTTCACAAGTGGTGAACGAGTTTTAATTAAAGATTTTGAATATGTTTGTTTAACAAAATTAAATGCTCCTAGACTTTAAGAATAAAAATGCCAGTTTGGAGAGTGTGATCACTTAGATTTTAGATGAAATTACAAATCTACAAAGAATTGTCGAATAGAAATTTGATAATGGATAAACAGAAGATTTTGTTAGTAGATGTAATTAAAAATCCTATTCAATTAGTATCAATTCCTCATTAAGAGATGACTCATAACAACATCTTACTAAAGTCTTTATCTTATACTTTAAATGAATTCTAATATTAATTAGTTTTGGTCAATGATTTAGATACAGTGTTGTTTAAAGACAAGAACTTTAACCTTGAGATCGCTCTTAAAGATATGAAAGGATAAGATATTAAAAACAAAAGTAAAATAGAATTAGAGATATAACTATATTCATCTGATGATAAGCCAATGATATTACAACATAATTCATCAAATTAAGTAATCTTAAGATTGCCTGAGGATAATATTTGGTTGGAAGATGGAATAGTTGAAGTTGAGAAACTTTAAATTAATGAAGTTACATCTCACTATTAAAATGGTTGGGTACACATGATAGTATTTCCAATTAAAAATAATACTAAAATAGGATCAGATGACATTAATCCTGCATTAATAAAGCCATTAATATTGTAAATAGTTGTGAAATCTAAAAAAACATTTAAGAAGTATTAAATTAGTCATTAATTAGATCCTCTCGTTCAAGATCGAGATCTCATGAAAGATTAAGAAGATTAGAAAAGTTAGAAAATAAATCTAGTTCAGAATCAGAATAGGAAATTGAATAAAAGGAGATGAAAATTTCATAAGAAAAGTAAAATGGAAATGAAAATGAAAAAGGAGAAAAAGATAATTAAATAGAAGAATAAAATGAGGATGAAAAAGCTAATAATAACAAAAATAATAAAAACAATCAAAATGATAATGAATAGTAGAATGAAAATTAAAAACAAAAAGAGGAAATTTATTAAAATAATGAATCTGAGTCTTGAGAATCATGATGTAATTATGATACTTATTTATTAAATTTCATTCATTTTAATCTCCAGGTTTCTTTTATTAAAGCAATAAAGTTCTCATCAGATTCTATATCAGCACTAACTGCAGCGTAGTATTCCTTCCATTCCTAAAGGTTATTATAAACATGCTATACATTCAATGAAATATGGCCTGACTTATTTCCTTCTTTGAAATATTGTAAAAACTCTATATATGCTTGATCTTCTGTCAATTCTCCTCTTGTTACTTTAGGATGATTTTTAGCATTAAATATTCCTTTGAAATCATCTGCAACTATAAATCCTAAATTTTCTTTATCAAACTTTCTGAATGCTTAAACAATAACTTCTAATCTATACTCATTCGGTGATCCCTACATAACTAGATTATTATTATTACTCTAATTAAATAAAGAAACTCTGCTACATCAATAGATCCATCTCTGTTTCTGTCAAGATAATTCAATAGAAACTAAGCTTGAATTCATATTTACATCTGTTTAAAACTTAGTTAATACGACACCATTTTATTTTAATCCAATTAGAAACTCATCCTTGTCAATTCTACATTTTTAATCGAAAGATTCGAAGCCTCTGAATGTTTTTCCTAAAGTTCTAATTGTAGATTATGATTTTGAATTTAAAAATGACTTAATCTTCTTTATGACTAATTTTAAAAGTTATCTTACTAATATCAAGTTATTCTTAAGGAGTTATCATTTATATAGCTTAATAAATAATATTAATATTTAATAATGTTTTCTATATTAATACTAATATTTTTAATGTGAAAACATTAAGTAAGAGGGTAAAATTATTCCATCTGAAAATTGTATATATTCAGCCAATTATTCTATTCAATTAATATTTGCTGGATTATTCCCTTTTAAGATACTTTCCCATTTTAAAGATTTTAAGAAATTTTGGAAATTGTATTTAAATGGAATAAGCAATAATATAAATAAAGGAATCAATATTATATTCATGAGCAGCTGATTGTTATATATATATATTCTCAATTAGAGATACTTTATAATTTCTTGTTAAACTGAATAAGAGAATTATTTTTTCTAATCATAAACACTTTTAATTCATTATAAATTTGTATAATTGAATTATTGTATTTTCAATACGAAATTAATTCTGACAAATCTTAATTCTAATAAAATTTAATAGTAATCATTTTTTAAATGATATGATTTTTTATAATTGGAAGATCAATAACTTATTTTATTATTTATTTATTTATAATTTTTAATTCATATATATATTAAAATATAAATTTAGAGAAAAAAGTATTTATGAAAGCAAAATTATAAGATTACTTTTAATAGGCATACTTATAATGTAAAATTAAACAAATACTTCTAAAATTAATATCTCGATTAATAAATCTAATAGATAGCTTATAGACTTACATCCAAATAATGCCATTCAAGCTATATTCATTAGTTTAAGATTATTGATAACTTGACTTCACAATCACATGGGAAATGTAATTAATTTAAAAATTATTCCAAAAAATATAAACTATTGCACTCAGATTGACTGATGTATCTATTAATTGATAAATTTACAAAATCTTTGAATTAATATTTTTTAGGTGAAAATTTAATGCTATTGTTTGTATAAATGGACCTTTCCCATTTCACTTTAAGTATTCCTAATTTTCAAAAATATTTTACGATATTCAAAATAAGACTACTGAATAACAAATAAATTCATAATTTAACTCTGCACTATATGTCATATTAGCTATTTTGATATAATCTTAACAATTATTTCCAAATTAATTATACTATTTCATTATAGATTAAAAGGGAGATAAATATTTTAATTTATTCAAAAATAGCTGAAATATAATTATATATCTGATGATATAGCATGATTACTTAGATTGTTTTTAATGACAGTGAAATTATGTACTTAGCATTAAACTTTTCAAATTTGAAGTTCCACTTTATATCATCCATTTAAGATACTACTTCGAAATCGCCTATAAGTAAAATCGATATCATAATTAATGTAGTTTTATAGTATCTTTAAACTGGTGTAAATTGTTTTCATGCTTATTTCATCTTTAGGGTAGTTAATAAGTACAAAGTTATAGGAATTATTTACAAAAAGTTATTCCAACAAAAAATTCTTAATTATTTTTATCTTGCTGGAATTATTATAATTTATATATAAACATAAATTAGTAATCATTTTTTATTAATTATTAAGGCATATGCTTTCACATTCTAAACAACCTAAATTTATTCTGGAATTATTTCATTTGAAATACTACCTGAAATAAATGAATTCTGTATCAAACCTACTCTCATTTAGCTGTAAAATTAATCTAAAAAGTCCTATTAAGCTTTAAAATCTGTTTCTTAAGCATTTTGAGATCCCTCGAGATCTCCCAGATTTTTTATGCACTCTATTAACAATTAAATGTAGTCATATATGGATCCTATAATCTCTTTATTACTTTTATCTATTTTTTTAATGAGAAACGTCTAAATTAAATGATTCTGCCTCCATTAAAAATATTCATCATTCCACCATTGTAATTTTTTTGAAATCAATGTATTTACAATAATAAGGCATTCTATTGAAGTCTAAAATTATCATTTTCTTTTACTTAGACCAATTAATTTTGGAATGATTAAAATAATTCAACCTTTGCTTCATTAAACTTAACAGAAGATTCCAATAACTTTTAGGTTGAAGATACTAATTTCTTAAAAATCTATATCAACTACAAGGCGGCATCAGTTTCAGGATTGAAATTTCTAATCAATATTGTTATTTTATTATTTAAGAAACTTTAGATTTCTTTTACTACTACCCAAGTCTTTCCCTCCTCTATGAATTTATAGTTTTTGATATGTTTTCGCAATAGCAGCGAAACATCAGGATATTTAAGGAGTTCTAAATCTATTTAATCGAAATATTCGATGTGGCTCTTTATGCATGTCAAAACTACAACTTATTCTGACTCGTATCCCGTGTGCTTTTAAGAATTGTCCTTTACATTTTTCTTTTAACAAATGCCCATAATACCTTGATATATATTAAATATTGATATTTGTAAATTATAATCTTAATAAAAACGTTTGTTTTTCTAATTTAAAATAAAAACTATAAGAATCATGGTTAATCATTTTCCCATCTTCTAGCAAATAACACTGGATCATTTGATTATCTTACATTTTCAGAAATAATTTCTGAAATTATTTGAATATCTTAATTCCATTTGCTAAATGAAATCTTTTAAAGATAATATAACAATAGTTATGAAAAACTAATACTATATTAAGTTAAATCTTTATTGAAAAATTATTCAAATGATTTATCAGGGGAAGTATAAAATATTGTTTCAACTTTAGCATAATAAGACAAGAAATTATCAATGTATACTTATATTTATTCTTATTTATATTATGGATAGCATTATTATACATATGTTGCTTTGATTCCTAAAAGTTTTCTTAAGAGAAAATAGCATTTTTATTTGTCTTCTGTATTAATATTGTCAAAGTTTTTAATTATTTAATTCAGATAATTAAGGAATTTAAAGGTAGGCCTTATCTTTGCAGGTGGTTATCTTTCTTTTTCTTCATGCCTTTTGGATGAGAAATCGGTGATAATTTTTTCTATGGATAAATTTTATATCAATTATGATAATGATTCTTATTAAAAGATGGGGGAATTCCCTTTGGTTTATAAATAATAGTTGGGTTTAGAATCTTACTATTTCTTTTATTCGCTAATACCGGAGGACTTAAAAGGTGGAGTGACAATAGTTTTTTATGAATGAATAATTCTAATTGGTGATTTAATTTTTTTAAAATGACTGTTAAGTTAGTTTTGATTGTTTGAATGATTTTCTTGTAAGTTCTGTCTTTCCTGGAAAATTTATAAACAATTAGAAAGTTAATTTTGTTTAATAGTATCATTGGTACTATTTTGATGACTACTTTAGATACATTCACTTTCATCAAGGGCATTAGCATTTTTGTGACTTGACTTTTTGTTTTAAACAGTTTTTAGCGGAGTTTGATTCGGATTAATATTGGTTTGAGGTACTTTAACTACACTTGCCTTATCTGACAAGAAATTTGATTCTTTTTCAGTTGGGTCAATAAATTCATTTGAAATTTAAGTTTTAAGCCTTCTTGTTTATTGTTATTCCCTTAGTTTAAGAGGAGATTCTTTAAACGATTTACCTATAGGTTGCAAATTTAGATTGTAAGAAGGCTTTGATGTTTATTAAGGTTGCTATTAAATACATGGATTTTACTAGGTCTAAGTCTATATAGTTTTGATAGGACTTTTGGTAATTTTAAGATCTTTGAAGGAACTAAATTAATTGACTTTGATGATTCTAGGGTTTGCATGATCTTTACAATTTTAGGTTTTAGAAAATATTTAATTATTCTCTGCGACTTCATCAGGTTAACTTTTTATGATTTATTTGGATAGTAAATTATCATCAAATAGAGTTCTAGAGGAATGGAGGTCTAAAGATGCAGGTATTGATTTTATGGATTTAAAAGAAATATTCTGATGGGAGATGGTAGTTAGTTTTTTTGGAGGAGGATTGAGTAGTTAAATAATGTCATTAACAGAAATTCTTTTTTCTGGATCCATGCTAAGCATTTTTAGAATGAGTTCTTTCGTTTTTTGAGATGTTTGATTGTCAGTTAAAATTTTATTAATTAGTGCTGCATGCTTCTTCTCAATGTCATTTTCTAATTTTTAATTCTATGGCATTTGTTTGTAAATCATTTGATACAAGACAACTCCCAAAGCCCATATATCTGATTTTTCTGAATACTCATTGTACTAAATTGTTTCAGGTGCCATGTACATTGGAGTTCCAACGTTAAACTTTTTGATGATGCTTTCATATTGGTTTTCAATAACTGCAAACCCAAAATCGGCCAATTTGAACATACCATCAGATTTCAAAATGTTGGCTGGTTTAATATCTCTATGTATTATTTCTAAGAAATTTTACTTAAAAGGTGTTACTTTGATCATGTAATGCTTTGACTCCTTGGAGGATTTGCTGTAGAACTTTTAAAGCGTCATTTTCTGAGAATGAGGATGTTTCCAAAATATCTGCTAAATCACCTTCATTACAATACTCGCATATCAAATACGTGTTGTTTTGGGTTTCAAAGGTTTCAAACACTTTCATTAGATTTGGGTGATTAATTAATTTCAATACATTGATTTCATTTTTCAGTAAACTTTTGGAGATTGGAGTGATTAGTTATTATATACTTATGACTTTAATTGCAACGACTTGATTCGTGAGGGTATTAAGTCCTTTGTACACTTTTGATGAATAGCCCTAGCCAATCAAGTCATTCAAATCATAAGTGTAATTAGAAATAGATTTTCTAACTTTTTAAGATTGTTTATCCATTAATATTATTTTTTTACTTAAATACCAAAACTCCAGATTTAAGATAGTTGATAAGTGAAAATAATAAATTGGAAATATACTAAAATTGCTATTGATATTATAAAATGGAATCACTTTTATGTATCAACAAATACATAGTTCTTGTTTAATTTTTCTATATCTTTTTCTAATTAGGCTAATTCCTTTTCACATTACTCCTTCCTTGTAATAGTCATAATTAGATATACTTTCTTTTCAAACCAACGGTGTCAATCATTCTGATATGAGTAATTGATTAATACTCTTTATTGACTGATTCCCATTTCTTTTTGAGTCCTTCCTTTAGTTATTGAACTTCTTCCAAAGACATAAGATATTTTTATTTGTCCATTTCTTCTGCCTCACTAATATGCATGTTTCTTATGATTTCATATTCACTAGAAATGCTTGATTTTATTTTGGTTAAATAATCTGGAACCTTCCCATAATCCTTTTTGGATGTCCAAGCAACATCTTCAACAATTTACTTTGGGGCCGATAGGATATTTTCAACAGCATTCGTTATTATAAAGTTTTTATTTGATTTCAAACCATGTATTGGCTTCTCATCCTTTTTAGGGACTTAGGGTTTGACAGAGGGTGGATATTTATAAGATTGAACTAAATTTTAACAATGCTATGATACTCTCAGGTAATTAATTTGATCCCATGGTTCCAGTGTTCTTCAATCTGAACATAGTTGTATCAGGTTTATATGAGCCTATCTCATCATCATATTCAATTTACCTTTGGGTCTACCCAACGAATTAGACTATCCTTTGTGAGAATGAGGACCTTTGACTAATTCAAATTCTCCATTGATATTGTTAATCTTAAAAGATAACCGACAAAAGTACTTTTGGTCTGCTTGTTGTGTAGTTATTAAAAGTGCTGCCAGTAGGAACAAGATTTGAAGGATATGCAGATCTATACATGGGCTCCTTAGGTGGAGGGACATACTCTTTTGGAATTAAGTTGTATATGCTTTCCTGTTACATAATTTAATTTTATTATAAACCATTAATCTTAACTTTCTAAAACTTGATCTAATTCATTCCCCTGTTAAACAGTATCATCAAGTAACTCACTCAAATTATGATTATTCATATTAAGGAGTCATTTAAGATCCTCTCCAATAAACTTCAAACTCAATATGGTTTATGATATTACAGCAGATTAAGCATTTTTTCTGCTCAGAATTTCAAGAATGATATATTAAATTGATTGTTCTAATCTAGTATCAGAGAGATGCTGCCTAATTTAAAAGACTGCTAGATAGACTATTAGAAATTTGAGAATAAATATACTTAGTTACAATTATATAATCCAAAAAATTTCTACTCTAAGATTATCTTTTGCAGTTAACCGCAAATATATAAGGATTGTTAATAAACCAATCTATAGATTTGGAAGTAGTTCTTACTTCATGTCTTTTTTTGTATTTCAAATAATATTAATATCTTAATATTCTCAAGATTTGAATTTTCTTGTATGATGATAAAATGTATATTTTTCGTAATTCTTTAGTTAAAATGTGACAATATAAGGTGAGTTAGTATGATTTATAATTGTATTTTATCATTTTATTATATGGATAGATTAATATATCAAATGCAGAAAACCTAATCGAGATTGATTCTTCCTTGATTGAATGAAGAATGGGTTGAAATTTAAAGAATAATGATTAATCCCTATATACTTTTGAGCATTTCAATTAGTCATATTTTGATCAAATTATAAAGCATTTTTTTATTTAATGAAAAAATTTGAATAGTATATTCAGATTTATGGATTAATGATAATTGCTTTTTCCTACGTTTCTGTCCTCAATACAAATAAATATGACAGCAATCTAGTTAGCTTAAAAGAAACTGGAGCTAGCGTAGTACACATCTTACCTAAGTATTACGCTACTGCAAATCAAGGAAAATCTGAAAAAGATCTTGATTATAAATAATTGAGAATCAATTTTGGGAATTATAGCGATTACGAATTCTAGACTTATATAGGCAAAGGAGCTTCAGGACATGCTTATTTAGGATTATAAAAATCAACAAAGAATAAGGTTGTGATCAAGACTTTCAAGAGTCTGAAATGGAACAGCATTAAAAGAGAAATTGTGTTTATGCAAACAGTATAAGGTCATGACTTAATTTCTCCATTAGTAGATGTTATAAGAAACAATAATTCTGTATCATTAGTATATAATAGATATATAGTCTTTCCAACATCTTAATTGATAAAGACAATGACTGATAATGGTAACAAGTTGTTTCTTTATCAAACCCTAAAAGTATATTGATTTATATAATCCAGGCATTAGATTACGTTCATTCCAAAGGTGTAATTCATGGAGATATTAAGCCAGCCAACATTATCGCAAATCCAAAGACTAAACTATATAAATTAATAGATTGGGGATTGAGTATGTATTATGTACCAGGTAGACCAAAAAACCCTTCAGTTGGAACTAAGTATAATTATTAATGACACAGATCTTATCAATCTCCAGAAATATTGTTGAGATACCAGTATTATGATTATTAAATAGATGTCTATGCAGTGGGATTCATGTTTGCTTAGATGGTATATCATGTTATTTATGAATATTAAAAGATCTTTAAAGAGAGCAACCCATTTAAAGGGACCAAAAAATTGGGGAAGGAGAAAGTCTAATATATGCATCGTATAGCGAGAGTGTTTGGCACGGAAGGATTGAAAGAGGTTGCTTAGAAGATCAATGTAAATTTTGATTTTAGTGATTTTCCAAACTATGAACCTGTCAATTTGAATAAATTCGTTAATGCTAACAATTCATAGTATTGTTAATCTGATGCATTGGATCTATTGTAGAAATTGATGTAGTATGATGCTGTAATAATTGATTCTAATTTAAACTAGAAAAAAAGGATCACTCCAAAGGATGCTTTAAAGCACCAATATTTTGATTCCATTAGACATTAATTTGAATGAAGTGTTACAAAGTATACATTAATATTTATAACTGTTTATAATATATTTCATATCAATACATGGATAGCAAGTAAAATAAATAGAAGGCACATAAAACTAAGACGATGTCTAATAAGGAAATCTACAGAATTCTAGCCTTTGAGTTCCAACAATAGGATTCATTAGGAATTAAAATTGATTTAATTGCAGAAATGGTGAGTTCCTTATTCTACCCTAATGATCAAAATGGAGAAGCTAAACAGAATTTCAAAAATCTTATAACCCAATCATTTAAAAGTCATTGTTATAAGGATGAGATTAATGAGGAATCATTTTGTAATGCTATGAATTCAGTTGAAAAGTATATCAATGAAGAAACTACGGATAGATTTTTACAAAAGATATTTAAAAGACATGATTCTGACAAAGATGGCTTTTTGAATTAATAAGGTAATCTCTTTTAAAGTAGTCTATGTTAGAATTTGTATTTTTAATGAAGAATTATAAGGATAGTCATTTAACTGAAGCAGATATGTTAGCAATATTCAACAGAATGTCATAAGGCGATCCTAAAGGAGTTAGTTATGACAATTTCAAAAAATATTCATTGTGATTTTATATAAATAAAGTTTATGAATTATAAAGATTTCTTAGAAATTAGTGCATAATTTAGTTTGGGAGGTTTAATAACTGAATAAGCTCATCCTCACACAGTTGGTTTATCTGAATTTGCCAAAAATGATTTAAAAACTGGAATCTAGAGAATGAAAGACTTGGATATGCTTGTTTTCGATGTATTGATGAATAAATTGGATTAATTGGCACACATGAATCAGATGGTCTTGGATACTTGGTCTAAAGGTAATAGAGTATTCATTTGCGGATGTGGATCTACTGGAAGACTAGCATTAACATTGGAAACCTTATATAGATAAATTACAAAGCAAGATAATATAATATCTTTTATGGCTGGAGGGGACGTGGCTATTATAGCATCAGTAGAAGATTTTGAAGATCATCCTGAATTTGGAGCTTAGCAATTAAATGAATTGGGCTTTAAAGAGGGAGATTTATTAATATCATCGACAGAAGGAGGAGAAACCCCTTGGGTTATTGGAGCTGCTTAAGAAGCAAGTAAAATTGGGCTAACCATTTTTCTTATATTGCAATCCAGATGAAGTATTGACAGTTTAAAGAAGTTAAGATGTTTTTAACAATCCAAATATTAATAAAATAAATCTCTCTGTTGGCCACTAAGCTATCACTGGAAGTACAAGAATGTAATGTTCTACTGTTTTGACTTATGCAATTGGATTGGCCATTTTATGCAAAGAAAACTTTATTGATTATGCTACAAATTCAATCAAAAATGTTAGACAATATTATGAATCCATAGACGCTTATCAATTTATTGCAAAGTTCATTGAATTAGAAGCAGATTGCTATTTGAGGAAAGAATATGTATTCTATAGATCTAAGCCTAATATTGCTATTAACATTTTAACTGATACTACTGAAAGGTATAGATGTATAAATAATAATTAAGATGTCCAACTTTTAGTTTACATCCTTTTGAAAGTATATTAGATAATCCAATCAATCCCAGCTGGTCGTATTTTGTGATGGATGATTCTGAATAAAAATACAATAACTCTCTATAAGCTTGGGAATCATTACTATATGGTAGATAACCAAGGGCCTTGTCATCAAACTATTGGCATAAATATTAACATAAGGTTGGATTAGAGAAATGTATAATTCATTATCATATTTCAAGTGCTCTCTCATGATATAAGTTAAGACTAAGTAGAGAGGAGAACCAAATATGCTGGAGGGAATCATTACTAATTTAGGATTGCTTATGACCAAGATAAATTAGAAATGTCTTGGGAATTTGTGTCACCCTAATTAGAGAGAATACATTTTGAAAAGATCAACGCTATTAATGATGTTTTGGGATAAAATATTGTTCTTAAATGTCTTATTAATATCCATTCGACTTTATTGATGGGCAGAATAGGTAGATATTAAAGTAATATCATGATCTATGTTCGACCAACAAATAACAAATTGATTGATAGAGCCATAAGATATGTCCTTTATTTATTGAACTAGAATAATGTTGTTAATGAGAATATTACATATGCATTAGTTTGTGAAAATCTATTTGAAGAAATCAAGACTTTAGTATATGGGGAATCAATTGTATTAAAAACATTTGAAAGAGTGAAGAAATAATTTTCATAATGAAATTTAAATATATTTGCCGCAATATTTTTAAATTATATTTTTATGTCAGACACTCCTCAGATTAATATCATAGCTAATGATTGTGTGAGCATAAATCAAATGAAAAGAGAGAAATTCAGAATGGACATCAGGAAAAATAAGTTGGAGAGTCTATTCAGATAAAATAGAGGAATTCATAGATTAGGGGATTCTAAAGTCCCTTCCAATTAAAATATCCTTGATTACTTATAGGAATTCTTAAAATCTGATACCATCGAAACTTTGAATCAATTTTGCAATCTGATTGACTCAAAAGATTTATTTGAAGCATACTATGAAGTCTCTTAATTCATTATTGATATTAAATATTATCTCATTTAACCATTGAATCATCAATCACATTTCAATAAGATGTTACAACTATTGAAAAATTGCATTATAGTCAATCCAAAAATTGTTAAAACAATCCTATCAGATGAAAAAGATAAACTTGATTTAGCCCTATTATTCTAATTGATGAAAATTTTGTAATCTGCAGAATGGAAATCATTGCATGTTGATGCTTTAAATACTCTGAATTTATTAATAGAACAAGAGAGTTAACTATTAGATATAATACAACAAGAAAAATTATTATTAGAATAAATTGTTTATCAGGCATTTGATTTGGCCACTGATGAATACTTGATGGCTCTTACTGAATTTTTATCCTTATATTTACAATCCAAAAGAGAATTAAAAATTAAAGATTAATATAATATTACTTTGGATATACTGAATAGAGCGATCTAATCTAAGGATCTCTAAATTATTTATGGCTCAGTTCTATTAGCCAATTGCTTAAGCGAATAAGAATTTACATTTTTTTAACAAATATATGCTATATCTGACATCATTGTCGATTATCTCGAGTAAGACCTTTCGCATTTTGAGTACATTGTCATTTTTAAAGTAAATAACTCTAATATATTAAAAAGACACTGAAGATTTGTATTAAGAAAATGTCGGAATTGTTGTTCCCCCTAATTGGCAAGAATAACATAATGGAAATACTATATAATTTGGCCTATAAATTAGAAAAACAAGCAGGAAAAGACTTATTAAAATTGGTATCTTGTTATTATAAAACTTATACAAATTTGCATTGTGTAATTGAAGATCAAGTTCTCAACAAGTATGTCTAAAAATGTCTAATGGAATATCTTGATAAATTTGTAGAGTATTATGCTCAGTCTAATTTTGCATATATTTATAAAGTAAAAGTGTTAGATAAACTGATTAATTGCCAAAAGCATATTCAATTTAGACTACAAGAATAATAATAATTTAATCCAGAACCTTATATTGTAATGCAATATTGATATTTATTAGAAATTCTTTGGAGTGATTGAACAGGCTTTGGAGTAAGTAAGCATTAAAGTGGAATAGATACTGTATTTCATAGAGGCCCTTTCAAATGTATTGTAGATAGAAGATATGCATTATTAAACGGAAGTTCTTAAGCTGATTCCAAATTAACTATAGGATTAATTAAGTAACCTCAGTATGCATGAAAATGATAGAGTGGCTTAAGAAACGACTAATCTAATTGTATTATTGCAATTTTGTTGATTACAATATATTATATTTATAACAAAATCTTTATTTTTATATAGAATAAATAGTATTATATTTAAAACAATTAAATTATGTAACAAATATGTCAATATTTGACTGGATTCAACGTAGAAGGAGAACCATGGCCAATTTTTAATTGGATTGGTTTATCCTTTTCTATTTTTTTATAACTACATAAAATTAAAAATAGATAGATACACATCTGATTATCCAATTTTTTCTACTTTTGGAAAATTGGGATCTCTTTTTTAATTAAGGGATTTAATCACAGGTTAATCTGTTCTTCCTATGGACACTGGTAATCTCGGTTCAAATCTTTAGGATGAAACATTCTCTTTCCATGTTAAATTCACTTTAGATTTGCTTAAATCCTAAGTAGCACATTATTATCCCCTCACATGATCTGGTTTGTCATAAAATAAACACATGCGTTTAGGTTCCTTAAATTAAGTGAATGCAATTAAATACATATCTTTAGCCAACAAAGGGATTGTCTTGATAAACTTTATTATCGGGATCCTTCTTGGGTTCCTTAATAAAATTACCCAAGATGTCAGCTTTAGCTAATTGTTACTGTCTTTACTTCTTAATTTCTTCAATATGTTCAGGAGTATAATATTTATTAGTAGAGGAACACCAATCGGGGATATCATCAGATACGATCTACACATTTTTTATCAATTATTAGCTTTTGAGATCATTGTTAATTCTTAATAAAGGCTTTGATATTTCGAACATATTTGATCTAGCCAAGGTATTGGTCTTAGATTCAGTATTTGATGATTGAGTAGCTTAATATTCATTCTTGCTTACAAGTTTCCCTTGATCACATTTAGATTGTTATTGCACTCGTCTATTAAATATTTGCAGTTACATACTCTGCATATTGTCTCTCCTTTACAATTTTCCAATTATGCAAATGATTTGGTTAATCTAGATTCTGTTGTCGTGCAGCACTTTCATAAAATAGCCTATCTTCCTATTTTTATTGATTTGTAGTGTTATGCATAGTATCAAAGAAGCGATCCCTTTGTAATTTAGATTGAGAGAAATACTTATAGTCAGCATTAATTTTATGGTATTGTTTATGATGGAACTCTTAATTCAAAGCATGAGCACTTTGTTTGAAATCATGTTTCTGGGGATCTTCAAAGTTTCTTTTGTACATAGATTCTCCATCTCCCTTGATTAAATGATAGATCGAATACTTTGCTTGCTTATCGTTGCTTGAAACGAGAGGGTGGATCTAAAGATTTAGGAAACTGTCCTGTACTATAATATGATAACATAAATAATTTAATAATTCATTCCTCTTTTTATATCTCTGAAATAAACACACTTTTTTGAATAACTTCTTCTCTGTAATGGTTGTAAAGCAATTCTATGTACTTATTAATGAAATCCCATTTATCTGAAGACAGTTTATTGTGTTTCTCCAATCTAATAATCTTAGAGACAAAATGAGTGATTTAATAATCTAAGCATAAATATTTATGAAATGATTATTGACTCATTTAGATATTGTTTTAACAAAATGAACATTTATAAGTTGTCTCCATTTTATATTATTCTTTTTTTTAATGTACAATTAATTTAATACATTTCTTATACTCAATATTTTGATTATAAAATGCATTTAATAAATTGCCAATTAAATTCTATCATATTTAATTTAATCTAATTCAACCAGATATTCTTAACATTAAGCCTTATAGAGTTGAGATAAATACACAATCTCTGGAAATCTAAAATAATATGATCTATGAGAATGGTAAAATTAGTTTGCACACTTCAATTTTTGCAAGATTTCTACATTAAATAATGGGATTAATGACACATATAAATAAACAATCATTGTTTGACTTTAACTTATTAATTCTTTCTGCTTTTCTTGTATTGATGATGGAATGTCAAACCTACAATGGCAAACACCAAGCCAATAGTCCAACCATAGATACATTATTTTAGTGTGTGATATATCAAGTAAATTCTTGAATATGGGACTATTAGCATAGAAATCACTGCAATTATATGTCTAGTTTTTAGTTTCATTCCAATAACGAATATTTCAATTAAAACCCAACTTGTGTACAATCCTGCAAATATAGAATGACAAGAGGGTAGTCCATACTTTAAAGAGCAGGATCCATCTGGTCTATCCTCTTTGAAATAAACGACTTTGACAACATCACAAGTTCTATGATTGAGTTAATATTGCTATTTACATGTGAGCACACAAATGTGTCAAAACACGGATTAAAGATCTCATGTCTCGTCTCTTCAATAGTAATATTCCCAATATCAATCCGCAAATCCAAGGCACCAATGAAATTATGACCATGAATAATTCATAAAGTAGAGATGCATCTGCCAAGCCACTTAACCCTTCTTCTTTGACTATCTGCCAGAAAGGTGAGAGAGGACATGCATCCATCAGTTTTATGATGATAGGACAATCCAAACAATGCTCAAAGGGAGGTTTTCTCATTTTATTATTTTCCACCTCTTTTATTTTATATTTTTCATTTAAGCTGAAGATGTACGTCACTTTAGCTATTAAAACATATTATTTTTTAAATATTATTAAAATCAGTACTACCATTATGATGGTCCGTTATATTGTTAGTCTTATTGTGGATAATTATGATCATAAGATTACATGTTGTATTGCCTAAGTTTACGAGTTCAAAATACATATTATATTAAGGTAGAGTTGGGCCATTTGATTGAGGCTAGTATTTAACAGGGGGACCTTGATTGAATGAATAAATTAAATTGTGCCATCCATTAAGCTTGATAGCAAAGGATTTATACTTCAAATTCAAAGACTTTATCGTCATTATTATAATAACTGAATTAGGCATTCAGGTTGTCTTTACGATCCCACATAAACACGAACCAATAAGGCCCATATTTATTATCGAGTCGATGCTTAATGAAATCAGCTGGATTTTTAAATTCTTGTTATTGTCGACTCGATTTATAGTATTCGAGGATATCTAGTTTTAAGGCCTCATTAATGCCGTATCCCTGTTTGATTATCTAGGTTCATAGTCTTGTTATGTACTTCTAGTTTGTCCTCCTCATCGAAACTATTGGCTTTCTTTATTTGAGGCTTGAAATTCTAGGTTTCTTATTATGGTTGCTATTTCTACATATATAATAATTAAATATAATGCAATCATAATAGGAAAGGAAATCTTTGGTTTTAGAATTACTTAAATCGATAGACCAGGTATTCCCTCAAATATGATTTAGCAAAACCACTCATTGACAGTCAATAACTAACCGCTTCATGAATTTTAATGGTTTGAGTTAGATAATAAAATACGAATTTTGGTTCATGAATTGCTGGAACCACATTTAAAGGAATTTGTGGAGCAGAGATCAGATTATTAGACGTATTTTTAATTTATTATTGCAACAAAGTGTATCACTCAAACTAGACAAATACATATAAAATTATGAGGAATTCAAGGCTCTATATTTTTAAAATGGCAAAGGAACTCCCATCATTTAACAGTTGAGATAACAAATGTTAGAATTGTAGGAGAAGTTTGAAAACATATAATAAACATCCTTGTTTACTATTAATGAAAATAACAGAAAGTTAGATTAGATCCAATTTTTAAGAGATCAACAGTATCATCAATTGAAAATGATAGAGAATAATCAAATGCAATGGACAGAATAGATTGAAAAGTACAGACAATAAAACCAAGACTTCAAATAAGTTTTGTTGGACAATTTAGAGTAAGTTAAAAAAGATAATTAAATTGCAATTGTTACTGTTTATGATAAATTATAATCCATGAATCTCTATCTAGACAAACAAGATTGTGTATAAAAGGATCTTAAAGTTAAAATTGATAGCAATTACGATATTTTGCAGTCCTATCAAGACAAGTTGTTATTACAAATAGCACAGAGTCAATAAAATCAACAGAGTCTGGAGTTACTAAACAAAAGGTTTCCTAAATTAGATGAATTGCTATCGTATGATCGATCAGTCAAAAATGATTTGGGTTTGATGAATAATAAATTGCAGTATTTTGAAAATTACATAGAAAAATACTTTCCACTCTTCTTATAAGGAACTCTGTCTGATACACTTCACAATTGTCTCTCAGAAAATGATAGGTTTAAGTTGGCTCAATTTGAGGAAATGAAGTTTACAGAATTACATAGAGTTATTGTAAGTGATGATGGAGTTCCAAATTTAGATCGAAAAATCAATGAATATACTTCTTTTATAGAAAAACAACTAAAAAAGAATATGTCCTTTCTTAGAGATTAGAAGGTTAGTTCTAACTAGGTCAATACTCCAATTTAAGAGGATATTTCTTCAAAGATTTCTGAAATTCCAATCACTCCCAAATCTGATGACAGTAGTGAAAGAGTGGGAGTCAAAGATGGGACAAATTTAAAAATTGATAGAAATTAAATGGAATTTTATCTGCAAAATAAATTCAACGAATTTAAATTGGCCCTTGAGAAGGATGTAAGTTTCTTGTAGAATACTGCAGACTATTTAGATAAGCAATTCAATGTCTTACATGACTAGATGATCAAATCTTTTGAATTAATTAAGATTCAAAATTATGAATCTGTCAACCAAATCACTCAATAGATGACTGACTTAATAAATCAGTTTAATAACATACCATTGTTAACTACTGAATTAAATGAAGTGCAACAATAACAGCAATAAAGTATTCAAAAGCTATTACAATGTCAAATCCTTATGATTCAATAAAATTAAGAGGAAGTCTAATATAATGGATAGGTTTATTCCCAAGAACAATGCAAAGAGATGTTGAATGATTTAATTTATCAAATGAGAAATGAGAATGACAATAGTAATATATTTGATTCTCCTATCAAGAAATTAAAACCATAATTGGTATTGGATGATAGAAAATCGATTCGTATTAAAACATCGTCTCAAAGTGGTTTGCGTAAGAGTATTTACAGTCAAAGTTAGACTAGATCAACAACTGAAAAGAGGAAACTGTATTTATTGGGTTCCAAAATATAGTAGGATTTATGCCAAAGTCTAAATAATTCTGTACTCAATCCCAGAAAAACAAATACAAAATTACTATTTCAAAGTAAGGCTAATCAGATTGAATGATGATAATAATTTATAATCATTTTCCAGCTAATTCTGCTTCCATATGAGTGTATGGTTTTTCTTTGGCTCTTTTTTCTTGCTTTTTATGCTAAAATACTCTTAAATAAATATACTTATTTGCTAATTTAATGCTTTTTAATGGATTCTTCATTAACAAAGTACCTTGCACAAGAGACGCAATAATATTAACCTAATCCAGGTAAAGTTTCATCGATAGGTTGATTTTACCATTTTTATATATTTTCAGGTTTAATATCATCGTGAATTTAATCATTAGCTCTTTTAAAGGATTTTGTTTTCAAAATACGATGATGTTGCTTATTCTTTGCTGAATTCCCTTTTCTTTTATAAATACCACCCATTTAATAAATTATATTTTATATATTTCATTATTCTTAATCAATTAATTTAACTAGATCACTGATCCCTTTAATAGTTCCTGTGGATACTAGCCATTCTCTGAAATTTCCTTAAATGGCATTCTAAAGTAATTTCTGATTCTCCTCTTTTAGATTGGATTGTTTGATTTAAGCTTGAATACCAGCGAACAATTAGTATCTATCATAAACAGCCTTAATGTATTCAGGGGGAGCCAAGAGTGGAAGAACGATTCTCTTATTTAAAATAGGATTTCTTACTTTTCATAATTCATCTATTAAGACAGTATCTTCTTTTCTGTGATTTCTTTGCTCATTCTTTCAATATCGAAATTACACTCTAAAATCAATGGTGAGTCAATGCATCCAAAATGGGATTCTGGCAATATAAACTTACTAAATTCCTCAATAGGTAATAGCGACCAATCAATCTTACTCTATCCGATGATTAAAGGTTTCTGATATTTATCCCTACATATTTTATTAATGGGAATGGAGGCTTCTCTTAATCTTTGAAGTGACTTCTCTGTATTCGAATTATTGGGAGCCAGTATGATGGATCTGCAATCACCATAGAGAATGGGAGAATATGAACCATAGTAATGGATTGTTGAGTCTATTGTATTGCTGATTTTAAGATAATTTGATGCCACACAAACAGTTATCTTCTCACATGAGGTTATACTGGTTATCATTCTCACAGATCCAACGAAGATTTAGCAATTAGTACATTGGGATATTGATAATGTATTTACACAACAATCAATGTATATCATGGAATCATCACATTGAGTTATTTTTAAATCCTCTCCCACATTATTTTTAACTGTAACTGACTTTGTGAATCCACAGATCGTTGATGCTATGTATATATTTAATTTATGTACCGTATTCCTAGCATTGAATATTCTTAATTGTCCATTCTGATACAATTTCTTTGCCCAATTTATTTGTTCGATCAAAAATCAATGAACTTATAGATTTCTATTCATTAAACAAAATCAAGGATAATAGGTTGTATTCTTAATTTGTTATTGTCTCTTAACTATTTGTTAGCAATTTAATCCAATCCTTCACATTCGATTTTACGAATTAGATTACTTACTGCACTTCATTCTATTGACTCTGTACTCTCATTGTTTTTGCCCTAGGGGAATTCAATGGAGAATAAGAATTCATTGGTTATCTTTATCTTTCTTAATATTTTACATCGTTTATGTTCACGTTTTCAAAAATTGAATGTCTTCCCGCATGATTAAAATTTTGTAAAGACAAGAATAAACCTAATTATCTAACATCCACCATTTTGCGTTCTACTCCTGGCTAATTGTCTAAAGCCAACTAAAAGAATGTAAACATAATATCCGCCTCTATATTTGAAACTTAGCATTTTTGAGCAATGTCTCTGAATTATTCAAATGATATGTTTGGGCTATTAACTGAATTTAGAATCTATGGATTCAATTTGAATGGAAATATAAAGTGCTCAAAAATTGTGTATTTGATATTTAGAGCTCTATTATCTGTTTGGAAAGACATTTGATTTATATGATTAATTTATTACTCAGATTTATTATTATATTTATATACAAACACTTATTATTCTTTAAGTTTCTTATGAAGAAATATTAAAAACCAACAAAAATGAATAATGTATATCTCACAAATAATCATAAGATTTTTTTATATATTGATATTTTATGAATTAGAATAGAATATCTGAATTAAATTATTCAATCAAGTTGGCTTTTTGCTAATCAAAAAAAGATTATTTGCTGCTTGAATATTGCTAAATAAAATCAGTTTATTTTTAAAAATAATTTTGATTAATCATTTATCAAGGTATTTAATGCTAAAAGTGATGAATAAAATTAAATTAATTTGAAAGATATCCTCTTTTTCTACATATATTTCAGTATAGAATTACAATTTCAATAATCATAATCAAAGATAGAACCAAATACTTACATCTCTTCAGTTCCTAATTTTAATATTATTGATAATTATTAAAGATATCTATGCATGCAAAAATAAATAATACACATAACATCACTATATTTTTCAGGCTTCAAATTATGTACTTTAATAATGTTCTATCAAGATTTTAAGCAATTAAGTCAGGAAATTGCAGTTGTTCTCATTCCAATCTAATTAAGATAATTATGTAAAGGAAATATTTAAGGCTTTTGTGTAGCTTTTAATATACATCTAATTCTCATATTCTGTTAACAGATTCTGAAGAATTATAAAAGACGTTTGAGCAACAATTTTAATTTCCAGGCTTTAAAAGTATTAATTTAAATAGTAATTCTTTTTTATTTTTAAAACTTAATGTAATATGTTCAATCTTTCATATAAAATGCAATTATAGTTACATCATAGTACAAATATTTGATAGTTTTAATTAGCTTAAGTAAACTCATAAGTGATATTAGGATGCATATTTAGATTAGTAAATATTTGATAATCACCATGAAAGAATGAATATAATACTATTCTTGTCTATTTATTTAATTTTAATAAAATAAATTAAATGTATTGAAATATTACAATATTTATAGTCACATTATAATAAATTTTACTCCTAGTACTTTACAAAATTTTAGATATCTCAAATGTTTAATTTCCACTTTTAAGAGATAAATAAACTATAAGATTGAAAGAGAGATGAAACTAAGAAAGGTCTCTAAATAATTAATTTTAAATTATATATTTTTGGAAATTTCTTTGTCTAAAAATGGTTTACCTATTTAGTATGACATATCTGATAATAATAATTTGATTTATAAAGAAACCTGTTTTATTTTTACAATCATTTATTAAAAATTAACACACTCGAATGATGTTTGCAGAAGCTGTAACATTATTAATAAATTTTTTAGTTAGGAGAAGACGATGAATATGTTCGCCTTCAAAAAATAAGTTTGGGAATTAAGGAGGTTTCTTTTAATTTAAGAAACATGTAAATTATCACAGATCATAACATCTTAAAATCAAGTTTCAATTTATTCCTTATATTAAGTGATTTGCTCCTATCCCTTTTAAATGGCAAGCATAGAATTGCTTATGTCTGCTTTCTTTGATTATTTCAAACATCGGTTATTTCTTTTGGCTTTTTATAGGGCACTGTAAGAAGTAAGTGAATTATAAGAATACAGAGAATTTTTAGGAAACAGAAGCACCAGAAGTTTGAAAATGGCAATTAAGTAATAAATAGAGAATAAATTCATAGTGGAAATGTTAATAAGATTATTGGAGAATAATAAAAATAAGGGTCTATTCCATTTTCGAAATAAGTTATCGAGAAATTGTTAATAGCCAAAAGATTCGCTTGTTCTTACTTGAAGAGATTCTTTTTATTGGCGATTGAATTAAATGTAGATTTGGAAGAAATGTCAATAATTTTTAAACAATTCATAATGCATACTCGAAACCATAAATTTTAGCAATAATTGATTGATTAATTCTTCGATTGCAAATAGAGTATATTTTATAATTTTTCATGGAAGAATAAATATGATTAAGAATTGGATGATTGTAAAATTAATAATTAATTTTAAAGTTTGCAATAAATGGACTATTGAGATTGCTCCTTAATGGATATTAGATAGAAAGTAGTCTATGTCTTCATTTAATTATATTGGAACAGATAACAAGATCAAAACTGAATAGGATGATGAATATCTAACACCTGCCAGTAAAGTAGAGTCTGTAGCTGATTACATTGAGATTATGCAGAAGATGATCTGCAAGCCTATTGAAATGGTTACTCAACATGATCTACTCCAATTACATAATAGTGATAATATCGAAATACTGATCAAATTTATAATAAATCCTCTATCAGAAGAACTCATAGATGATTGGGTATTACCTAAACAACTATACATAGGGTTTACTCTTTTAAAGGAAGGAAATAGGAAACAGTGAATACAAAAATATATTCAAATCTAGTACTATACCCATGGATTATCTGAACACTGTTCGATCCTTCAAAAGTCTGTAGTTTTTGATATAAAAGGTTAACCATTCTAGATATTATCAGACGATATAAGAAATGATGCCTATAATATGTATTGTGCAATTTATATGTTGTAGTTGAGAAGATTTTAGAAAGCCTTAACAATGAGTCAATTTAATTGAATTTAAATCATTTAGCCATGCTTATCGATTAATTATTACTTATTTGTCCCAAAGTTAGTATATTAAAGATCATTGAATTGGATTTCTTATACCTCTTCTTGTAATATTCTAATAATACTTTCATTGAATCTTTGATAATAGATATTTTAGATTTAACAGTGGATAAATTTAAATTTGGTAATTACATTTAAGAATAGATTTGGACATACCTCATAGAAACTAAATGGATAGACTATCTGCACCATCATATCTTCTAATAAAATCTTACTTTTAGCAACCAACAATTTCCAATAATTCAAGAGAATGATTAAAAATCAAAAATCCTCAATCTTTTATCAAAATTTAAAGATGTTTAAAAACCTATTGAAATTGTAAGGATAAACATATTGGATGAATACATTGGACATTTAGGAGGTTCGTCTGTTTAGCAAAATCAAGAGGAGTATGTATAACTACCTGAAAATTTATCATATGCTTAATTATTAGAGTAGGATGTAGATGCAATTCGACATTATTTAGAGGAGAGAAGAACACGCAATTCCATAAATTATAGCAGAAAATAAAGTAGAAGAATTGAATCATTAACTGCTACCAATCGGTCTAATGTAATTTCTCATAATCGTAATGTAACACTACCTTCACTTACTTCATTTAATACAATCAAATCAATAGGCACTGTTACTAATGACTCAAAATAAAAAAGAGGGAGTGTTGATAAATTTGAAACTACTGAAAAAACTGCAATTTCTAAAACCTCGTAAATGAACTTAACATTATTATAAAGTTCTAGAATTTCAATATCATCCGACTCAGGATTTTCAAGTAGTAAACTAGTAATGCTTTATCCTTCAAGCAATCTTAAAGCAAATCCGAGTCAATTCGAATTAGATTAATCGCAATTTTACTATAATACAACAACATTTGAGTATCTAATAAACATATTGGAGAAAATACTGAATGTTACTCTAATTCATTAAGTGAGGAAACCCATCAATTTAGAAAACGAGAGCTTTTGCAAATTGTTTTTTAATTAAGACTTAGTATTTTCCTTATATAAATTTTATTTATATGAGATCAATTTGAATAAAGAAATTAGTTTCTAATGTGGGAGAATTATAAATTCAATATACTATCTTGCTAAAAGGTATGGAAATGTTGAAGAATAATTAATTTTAAAGGATGTGTTTTTTTAAATAGTGGAATACTTGAATAAAATAATCATTAATGCAAATAAATTAAACTCTGATATGAGTATAACTGAGCATTTTACCTTTTTTTAAACAATAAAAAATGGGTTTGAGATCTTTGAACCTTATGATGTGACTAGATTAAATAAAAATATCTACAAATTCTTAAATGAAACAGTCATCCATTTATACATTATTTATTTTTTTAAGAGCAAATAAAATACTTTATATCATTATTACTTTGTTGAATTCATTAATTTTATCTTTGAAAACGCTCCTGCTTACCTACTTTAAAATATACTGTTCAATGTTGGATTAATTAGTTCGCTTTATAATGCCTATACAACGTTTTATGCAAATGGATTTAAGAGTCACAGTTACAATGAAAGTTTATTTTGTTATATCATTAAGTTAATAAGATCAATTCACAGCAATTTAAATAAAAGAGAATTGACTGTAATTTTAAACTCCTTGCAACCTCTTGATTCATGGAAATGCTTATTGAAAACTGTTCCTAGCAGCCAGATAAAAAACGATAAAAAATTAAAAACTCAGGAAGTAGAATTACAAAAATCTCTTCTTGAATCTTAACGAAGCATCAGATAATCTGCTTTAAATGATAGTCGAGCTTCACTATCTCTAACAGTTAATAATAGAAAGTATGAGTTTTTAATAATGCTATTAGAAATTCATAAATGTAATCCACTCCCCAAAAATTCAGAACCAGAATATAGTAATAACTTGAATAAAAAAGTACTTCTGGTCAGTCCTCATCCTAACTGGTCTACTGATTTAAGTTTTAATTATTTTCTTTATAAATATTTATTATTCCAATAATTCCAAATTTTGAAATCTCAAGGGTAGTTGCATGATAAGATTTAGAATGAGAATCTGTGTGTGTTCACAGATAGATAAACAATAAAAATAATTTGTAAATTTCACATTAGGTATATATAAAGGTTTTTTTAATTTTATATCAATATACATAAGAGGATTATATTCATTCTAAAAATTAGGGTAGTTTCAACCCTTACATTTTGGCGAATTATCTGAAGCTTAGCTGGGGACCTTCTGGGAGTTGAGATTCAAAATCATACTACTTTAATTTTCTGAATTGATTTATTTTGGATTAGTCAGATAGTTTCCCTTATTAAGAATTTAGTGCAGGTAGATTTGAATTAGATCTAAAATTACGAGCATTTAAATTGTTAATTTTTTATTAAAGTATGGAATTTAAAGCTTCATTCAAATTCTACCTTTTTTGGTGAATTTGTAAGAGTTAGATTCCTTATTTAGAATAGTTGATTTCTATATTATTTGTTGTTTTTGTAATTTTTTATTAATTGATAAGTCTGTGAGAATTAATTTAGTATTGTTATTGAATATGAGTAAGAGATTGGGATCTCTCTTTTTATTCAGGTTTATCAATTTGAGAAGATTGATCCTGTGTAATTCTATTAAAATATCAAGAAATACTTTTTAAATGGATATTTATCAATCTACTCCAAATTTTCTTTTTGATAATTTTGATAAGAAATTAACTATTCAATGGAATTAACTCTGGAGTATCTTCTTTATTAGATTTTTGGAATATTTGATTTAGAATTAGCCAACTGATTTTTTAGTTTACCCAATTAAATAAAATTCATTGTGATAAAAACTAATATATGTTGATTAGCAATTTATTTTATCTACGTCATTAAAATGATTATATAAGGATGGTAATAATAATTGTTTAATATCATTAATAAAATAACCAAATGAAAGCAATTGTTATAGTAGTTCTCCTTGCCCTCACATATGCTGCAGACCCAGAATAATGCTTGAAAGAGAGATGCCCAAATGAATACGCCGCCTGCTAAAAGGAAGTATTCGGATGTGCTTCTGCCGCAATGAAATGCAAAAACCAATGTGGAGGTGAAGACGCTGAATGCATGTTGAACTGTGCTTTAGCCTCAAAGAATGCCAAATTGATTGCATTGTATACTTTATAATCTATTTTAAGGGCTTAATGTGGACACGAAAATTGCAAAGATGTTGCTGTTTCATTTTGTGATGTTGAAGGATGTGTTGCTTATTTCCAGAGCGAATGCACTCAAACTTTGGGATTGAAATCCTTCTAATGTGCTTCATCATTCTTCGAGAGACATCCAGAATGTTCATGCGTTAGTGAGTTCTGAGGGAGTATAAATATCAAGGGTATAGGCATAAAATGTGATTTTATGCATGTATCTATTAATTTGTAATAATATCATATAAAGTTTTTCTCAAATTTCCAAATAACGTCATCTGGATTTTATAAAACCAATCTTATACTTACAAAAGTATTATTATATTTAATGAAAGCATTTTTGTTAGTTGTTCTTTTGACTTTTGCTGTTGCTTAAGATGACCCCGTCGATTTGTGCGTCAGAGAGAAATGCCCAGATGAAGTGGCTGCTTGTGAGAAGAATGCCTTCTGTGCTATTGCCGCAACTAATTGTTCAAACAAATGTTCTGCTGATTACGATTGCTTGATTGAATGTGCTAACAAATCAGGAAATAAATTGCTTATTGCATTGTATCATTTTATAATCTATTTACCTAGGAGTAAATGCGGTGTGGCCAATTGTTACCCATCCTTCTAATTCTCATCAGGTTGTGATGTTGCTTCTTGCGCTGCCGTCTTGAAAGAAGAGTGCCTTGATCAAAACTCATTGAGCAACTTCCAATGTGCCTTTGGTTTCTTCGAAAGACATCCTGAATGCGAATGCGTCTAAGAACTAGTCTGAATAATATTATTATTCAAATTATAAATATATTGCAATAACCTAAGTTTATACATGACTCTCCTAAAGAATCTAATGTACTACCAGATTTACATATAATAATGAGATTTGACTTGTTGGTTTTGAAAAATTCAGATTAAAATATCCATTGTTTAAATATATCACAATTAAATTATTTCGTCATCAAATATCATATTATCTACATATGATACATTACATCATTAGGTTCTTTAATATTTGTAATAATACCATGTAACATTCTATACTTTGTGTTTTTGTCTAAGTTGACAATATCTAACAGACCTTCTAATTAAGTTTCATCAATATAATTATTGCAATGCAATTTTTTATTGTTAATATAACAGCATGTATTAAATTATTGAACTTAATGCACATTTACTGGGATTGCAATAACTTAAACAAATTAAAGCAAGCCTTCTATAACTAATTTTTAAGATATTAAATAATATTAGATTAAGTTATACAAATATCAATTAAAATATTTATCCTTTATGAATTTTCTAAATGCTCATATAATTAACTAGCTCTATTCTTATAATAGACTTAAAGAATAATTTTAATTAGGACTAAAAAGACTTTATGACAATATTATAAAATAATCAGTTGTTTTTGAACAATATATGATTTAAAAAGTCTAAAATTCCAATTATTTATAGAACTATGAAATTTCATATTTAGTGGATTATTATTTTGAATATTACAAAAATATCTATTCGAAATACGTTGAAATTTAAAGTAAGAAATCACTCTGAAAAATTAAAGCAATTATTCTTTACACCAGAAACTTATTAATCCTGTATCTAAATTCGGAAGGTATTCAAATAATAAATAAATTTAAATTTAATTAACAAAATGAAAGTACACAGCTAGGATTCTACAGTTCCTTATTATTAAGTTTATTTAGGAAGGTCAAAATATTGTTTAAAAGGAAGGTTAGTAATGGGCTATTCCAGAATAATGTTTACATTGTCTTTTGTATTTTTGAATGGTCTCTCTTTGGTGCAACTTTTCAGAATAGATCCAAAATGGGATATATTTTCTGCAGAAATAATATTAATATTTCTGACTGATATGTTCATGATAGTAACTGTTTTCAGCGACCCAGGTATATTGCCGAGACTCAATTCTTAAGTTTAAAAGGTAATGTATTAAAAGATTAAGGTATACTGAATGTTATCTTATACCACTGAAACCAAAATCTACAGCTGAACTAATAATAGTGAATTAAACAAAATTATGTGAATTCAAGTTTTGTGACACATGTAAAATTTATAAAACCAGCACCACAGCACATTGTCGGAGATGTGATAATTGTGTTTAGGGATTTGATCATCATTGCGTATGGTTAGGTTAATGTATTGGATAAAGAAATTATCGGTACTTCTATTGTTTTATTTTGTTCTTAACCATTATGCTTACTTTATTTTTGATAGTACAAATCTAACATCTGGCTGATACGGATGATTACCTCATAATAGAGCTACTTATTTATGCTCTAAACACCTTTGGATTTCTTGTGTTCTCAACCTATTTATTGGTTTTGCATACTTATTTTATTTTTGCTAATAAGACCACATATGAATATTTGACTATAAATAGGTTTGTGATAAATCATCATAAGTTATTATTTTATCAAGGATAAGGCATTTTATTACAGAGAAGATTGGCTAGATGGCATCAAGGGGTTTGGTAAAAATTATTAAAACCAATTCGATCTTAATTTATATCTTTTACATAATAAGTATTTTTATATGGAAGCATAGGTGTATTGTGAAGTGCCTTCCAATGTTTAATAGTAAAGAGTCCAATAAAAGATTTAATTTATGTATAATGATACAATGGACAAAATTCATATGGATGATAAGACAAAAACATATTAAAGTGAATTATGTAGTGTTTAATAGAATAGATAAATGTTAACTTCAAGGTAAAATGAGACCACTTTTCATTAGTAGGAATATGATTTCAGATTTTTGAAAGTGGAATCAGAAAGCAATGGGGAATAGATCAATTAGCTTTCTCATGACTCGCGAGAAGAGAAATAAGATCTAAAAATATATGGGTTATCTAAGTCATAACAGATTGGGTATAAGGATTTATAAAAGGGGATGGCAACCAAATTCAGTAAGTAATTTAATGATACATAAATTAATAAATTTGATAATTTGGGATGACAACAAATAAAGATTAAATGTATATTTTTATGTAATTATCTTGATTGAATGTTTGCTATAAATATATTTATATAAAATCATTTAATTTTTAGAATTGGCGCTTATTATTAATTTAATTATGTTTTAATAATCCTAATTTAGTGATTAAAAAAATCAATCAGGATTCAAGCAAGGAAATAATTACAATGAACAAGTTACAAATATGACCATCAAGATGATTAAGAAAATTAAATAATCGACTACTGATAGAAATGAAATCCTTTACTTTGATAAATAAATAACATTAATCCAATTAGTAGCTAGATTTGAATAAACCAATGAAGCAGAGGGCAAGGGTTTTATAACAATTAATGATGACAGCGGGTATCTAAAACTTAGTCTGTTATTTTCTGAAGGGACATACATCAGAGAAATGTTTGATATATTCAAAGAAGAAGAACCAAAAATTAATTATTTTTAATTTTTACTTAGAGCTAGAGTCAACAAAGATACAATTTGCTTTGATATTATGAATATAAAAAAAACAGGACATGGTTATTTAGTCTCCCATATGCTAAATATCATACAATAGGCAATTAAATCTAATCAAATAGGAAATCCGAATTTTGTATAAGCAAATACTTAAATTGATGAAGAGGAATAGTAGAGACTTACCTAATTAAGTTTATCAACAAGAGTAATTATTACTTTAAACTAGATCTTAAACTTTATCAAAGCATAAACACAATAATTAGGGCCTGTTAGTATCACTTAATAAAGTATTATTAATGAATTCTCATAAACCGATAAATTATAAGAAATTAAGTAATTAATTCTCTATTTCAAAGATAATCAATTAGACAATTGTTAGATAGTGGGAATATCTAATCGGGATAGGGTGTAAATACTTATATGTTAGTTGATTGATTTATATATATAATTAGGGATTTTTAAATTATAAAAAATTAAATATAATATTGTAGAATTAAATAAATAAAAAATATAAATAACCTATAGTTAAATGGAGAGTTAAGTTTCTAAACGTGGTCATATTTACTTAAAATAGTTATTCAATAATAATACTTTAAAAGTTGAAGATAGTCAAAAAAGATTATTATTCTAATAAATAATTATTAGTTAATATTCTTAATTTAAATACATGTAAAAATATTTAGATAATCGAAAGTACACTCAACTCATGAATGGATATATTATATTTTATAAATATTTCATGAACTTGTTGAATTTTGATTGTTTTTTGTTGAATTATAGCCAAATTTAACTTCAAATTCTTTAGGTGGAAGACTTTAAGCCAAATTCACTTTTTCTTTTGCTTAATTTTATCTCTGTAGAGTGTTCTATAAATTCGCTAATTCTAATTGTTCTAATTATTCTAATTCGTATATTTTCTAATCGTATTCATTCTTCTCTCTTAGAACTCTATCCTTTTCAACCTCCACTTCATATCTGATCCTATCTCTTCTTTCTTTCAATTTAGCCAATGTATTCAAATTAGCCTATCGCTCTTCTTCCTTTCCTTAAAGGACTTTATGTCGATAAGTTTCATGATCTAAACTTTTCTGCATTTTTGTTCCATACAAATCTTATCTATGCCAACTTCTAAATTCCTTCACTTCTGTTTTCTTCCTATATAGCAATTCCTCCTTTATTTTCTTTAATGTCTCTTTTTGGGCCCTTGATACACTTAAAGAGAATGGAGGTGGTGCTTCAACCTTCTGTCTGATCTTCTCTTCTTTCTATTATTTAAGGTAAGAGTTACTTTTAATTGTAATTCCAATCTGTGTTTGTAAATTTGCTCTGCCTTCAAGTCTTCTGCCTAAATCTTCTTTAATATTTTTTCTCGCTCTTGTCTTATTTAATCAATTCTATTCCTTATTTTCACGGCTTCTTCTTCTGCATTCTTTTTCTGAACATAGGTAGAAAATAAACTCATAGAGGCGATTTTTGGTAACTCTCCAGACATTTATTATATTATTTTTTTTCAATTAATCCAAAAAAATTATTAAATAAATAAAGAATTTGATATAATCTATAGAACTATATTCAAATAATCAAGTAGCCTTTTATTTAATAGGGAACTCTACAATAAATTTAACAAAAAATTACATGTCTAATCTAATGAGTTTTCAGAACTACAAATATCAGAAACTTAAGAAAATTTTCTGATCAGCTTGTCTTCAAATTATTCATCAGGGACATAGCTTGGGTTCGATAATTAAAGAGAACTCTTTCTAGTCATAATTGTAGACTGGCTTCGTTGTATCTAATATTTTCTTCTAATATCATTGACTATATCATTTTCAATCTTTTTATCATCAGTTCCTTTTAAAGCATTCAATAGAGAATTTAATCTTCTGTTTTTCAAGCCTAACTATGCATTATACATTCCTTCTAATCTTTCCTTTTACCTTAGACATTTTTTCAATTTATATTCTCTTTCCTATTACTGTCTATCATTTTCCTTTTGTTTTAAAAGATTTTGTTATACCTTACTAATCAAGTGAATGATTTGAAAGCTCTGATCTTTATATTTTTTATTTTATTAATTAAAGTCCAAGACGACCTATAGTTATACAAAAATTAGATACTTTTGATTGATTTATTAACTTGCAATTTTTTTTACTTTTTAAATTACAATATAAATTTGGTGATTTATTTATTTGATTCTAACTTATACTACATAAATTATGTTCACCATCCTCCTATTCTTAGTCTAATTCAAAAATGCATTAGTTTTGTATTTAATTACATAAATTTGAAGTATGCAAATCAATATAGGATTTACTCATCCTTTAGAGTTCTAATAATAGTATTTATGAAAATACTTTATTAGCTTTGTTTTTTTTGTATTTGTTTTAGTGAATATGAATTAGAAGGTTATTCTTTGGATTTTTTAATTTTATCCTCAGATTCGTTTACAACGGTTGTGGTTTGTGTCTTAGATTTTTCTTGATTATTATCATTCTTTTTAACTACTTATTAACGAATATATTTATAGATAGTATCTACTCTGTTTTATTTTTATTATTTATTTATCTTATTAACATTTATTTAATCCAGTTGTTATTCAAATAACAAATAATTAGTAAGAGGGATCACAATTTTTGAAGGAGACTCTGAAGTTTTGTAAGAAATAGTAGGAAACATGGGCTATTGATTATTGAGAGGAGAAATTAATAATTTGTTGGATTAACTCAGCTTCATTCTTTAATTGAATTAATAATAATGACGATGAAAATTAAACATCATTTATTAGATTAATTGATTGATCTAATTAAAATATAAATGCTTGAATTATGAGATAATAAGATATCATGAACTTCAAAGTAGTCTAGAAAAATCCTAATTTTCAATTAGATTTTATTTATTAAATAATAAGGGTTTCCGATTTTATATCTAATTTTGAACTTAAAGTTATCCTTTATCTTATAAAATGGGAAGAGCAGAATTAAAGCTTTTAGATCTGTGCTTGTTGTATTTAGAAAATGAATTGGAAACATCATTGATTTATTTAGATGGTTGGATTTGAAGATTGGGTTACTTATTTTAGAGTAATTTAAGTAACTTGCCTTATTCTTTGCCACTCAAGGATTTGATAATTTCTTATTTTCCCTCTTCTCTTTCTTTGGATCTTTAATATTATTATTCTTTTTTTAATAGTTATTCTTATTCTATTTGAGCAGTAACTTCATCTACAATCTGCAAAGATCTCTATTTCATCAATTTGATAATAGATTTAGACTGAGCCTTAAAATACTGATCCTCTGCTTCTCTAATTTTAGAAAATATCTAAACAATGAAAGATCACGTTACTTGACTCTTTAAACGTTTTGGTTTCTTAATCCTTTTAAATTATTCTTCATTATTTCTGCTAGATGAATCGCCAATCACATCACAAGTTTTAGGATCTTCATTCATTTCCTTTAAAGTTTCATCCCAGCACTTCTCGTACTTATCCTATGATGAAGTAGTAGATTTTCTTTCATTTTCTAATTTATTCTTAATGTTTGCCTTCATTTTGCAATGTTCTAAAAAAAGAGAAAGTAAATACATCTAATTCTACTGATTTCTTTGAGAAAATATTAATTTTGAACTAATTGTTCTTTCTTTTTTTAATGAATAAACTAATTAATGTTGATCATATCGTTCTAAATATCTTTTTATTCAGTTATTTTATTCAATTAACTAGTCCGTTAGATTGATACATTATCCTTTGATTGATTACCTTATCCAATAGAAGACTATAAAGCAGTGCCAGTGTATGGAAGAGAGTGATTAGATGATGTTGCATTAAGTTGTTGCTTTTTATGTTATGATTTGGATTAGATGGTTCTATTTAATAAAACATTTTTGTTTGGTTCTCTGATTTCGAGAAGGTATGAGTTTATTTTTGGAATCCTATATTCAGTTTCAGGGATTAAATCACTCATGCAAATTAATTATTAAAACAATAATAAATAAAATCTTGAGTTTCATTGTTTATAAAATAATAGGTTTCTTACGTCCTTAAAAAGAATAAGTTTCTCAATCAATATTACGACTTGTAAACTTAGAATGCAGTGTCTTTTGAGTGTATAAATATAAGTGATTGGATAAAAAAGAGAGTTTTGAATCTTTGTATATAAATAATTAATTAGATCTTGAAATAATATTTTATGAATTGCTTAACACATAGTGGTCTTTTCAAATCATTATGGACTCGTCCAATTTATAGAGCAGGCAATTTGTACACTTGGGGAGTTCATAGTTTGGGCTGTGGAATCAATTAGGATTCATAAGGAGATCAATTGAGACCAAGAAGAATAGATGCTTTTAATGGTAATGTGGCTAAGGTATATCCAAGTGAATACTTTACCGCAGTCATTACAGGTACTCATTTCATATTAAATTATAAGATAATGGTGATTTATATACTTTTGGCCACAATAACTATGGACAATTAGGTTTAGGCAACACAGAAGAAAATCAAACACCTCAATTGGTTAGATTCTTCAGAGATAAAGGATTAAAAGTGACCGATGTGGCTTTGGGATCAAATCATGCAGTTGCTTTGGCTTGTATTATCAATAAATGTTAATAGTTTAGCTGATGGAAATGTTTATACTTGGGGAAATGCAAACAACTCAATTTGGGATTAATTCTAAGGTAAAGCTAGTGGATTAGGAGATAACTATTAGAATAATATTGCAACACCTTAAGCAGTTCAAAAATTAGTTGGCACTCCAAAAGGTAAATTTGTTAGTGCTGGCATCGATTACTCTATTGTTGTGAATGAAAGCAATTAAGTCTATGTCTGGGGTGCAGGAAAGAGAGGAGAATTAGGTAATGGATGCAGTCTCAATTTCAAATATCCAGAACTTAATCCAATATTTGAATAATTGAGCAAATCTGGTTACACCATCTAGAAGATCAAATCCTGCTTTGCTGGAACATTAGCCTTATTAAGTATATTCTATAATATATGTTATCAGATGAGGGAATAGTTGTTGGATGGGGTAGAAGCTATTATGGTTCATTGGGAGTCAGACAATAAGAATATGTTGTTACAGATTTAGTAAGATATTTAAAAGATTGTATAGGAAAATTATACACCCACTCCAGTTAATTAGAAATACTTCTAACCTAATGAAAAAGTGATTGATTTTGATCTTGGATATAATCTTTCCTTATTTTTGACAGACCAAAATAGAATCTATTTATCAGGATTTGATGAGAGCTATGTTCCAAGACCCATTGATTTACCTAAGGATGAAAAGATACTCAAGTTCTCTGCCTCTAATAACAGTTATGCAATTTTAACAGGTTTCATCTTTTAATTATATTGAAGACAAGAACTTTTACACATCAAATGAGTTTGTCATACCATAATAGAAAAGGAACTTAGGATTCTTATTCAAAAGTCAACCAAAAGAGTTATTTGATAATGGCAACATTGAATAGTTTGGAGGTGGATATAGAGTCAGATATGCTATAGTAAATAATTGAAATGGCTGCATCTAAATATCAATATATAAAACATTATTGTTATTCAATTCTTAATAAAATTTGAAAAAAAATTAAATAAATTAAAAAGGATATAATTTAATGGGAAAACAATATGCCAGAGAACCTGCAGTTGCAAAATAATCAGCCAAGGCCAAAGCTAGTGATTTAAGAACTCATTTCAAGAACACATATGAAGTAGCAAGAGCAATCAAGGGATAAACACTTGCTTAGGCTCTTAAATACATGCAAGATGTCCTTTAACATAAGAGATGCGTTCCATTCACCAGATTCAATGGTGGTGTTGGTAGAACAGGATAAGCTAAAGAATTTGGCAGATCCCAAGGTATTTGAGTGTTAAAATCAATGATTAGGTAGATGGCCAGAGAAAAGTGTTAGAATTGTATTGTCTCTCTTATAAAATTTAGCAGCAAATGCTTAAGTTAAAAATTTGAGTAATGAAAAATTGATCATCAATCATGTTCAAGTTAACAGAGCTCAAAAGGGAAGACGTCGAACATACAGAGCTCACGGAAGAATCAACCGTAAAATTATCATACTTATAATTCATATAGCATTCCTATCATCAAATGCACATATTGAAATCTGGGCAGCTTAAAGAGATGAGAATGTTAAAAAGGAAGCCAATAATAAAGTTGTTGCTCGTTAATCCAGAAAACAAGCAGCTAGATCTAAATTAGCAATTGGTGCATGAGATATATTAGTATATTAAATAATAAATAATAAAATAAATAGATTTTTCATATATTATAATAATCTTTAGTGTTTTGTTTTATTTAGGGCTTGCATCGATACAAAAACCAAATGAGTTTAAAATCTAAAAAATAATAATTAATCTAACAATTAAATAGTATAAATATAACGTGTAGATTTATAAATTCTAGAATATTTCTAAGCTACACGATATTAAAAATAACATCTGAATGAAAAGTTGTTGCTCCTTACTTACCCTGTCTTTGATGATTACACTATCCTTGGCATTATATGATGCAGATTCCAAAGTCATCAAACTTACTAAAGATAATTTCAAATAATTAGTCCTTGATTCAGGTGAACCTTGGCTAGTTGAGTTCTTTGCTCCTTGGTGTGGTCATTGTAAGGCTTTAGCCCCAGAGTATAACAAGGCAGCTAAAGCATTAGATGGAATTATTAAAATAGGTGCATTAGATATGACTACTGATGGAGAAGCTGGATAGCCTTACGGGGTTAATAGTTATCCAACAATTAAATTCTTTGGTGTAAATAAAGCAGACCCTATAGCATATGAAGGAGAAAGGAAGAAGAATGGAATAGTAGATTATCTTTTGGATAGAGCTAGGGAGATTGCCCTAAATAGATTAGGAGTAGAAATCAAACCACAACCTTCAAATGATGATTCAAAAGTTGTTGTTCTTACAGATGCTAATTTTGATGAACAAGTGATCAATAGTTAAGAAGCCTGGTTTGTTGAATTCTATGCCCCTTGGTGTGGACATTGTAAGTAACTTTAACCGGAATGGAATAAATTATCTCATTAAGCTGATATTCCAATAGCCAAAGTTGATGCCACAGCTCAAACTGAGTTGGCAAAAAGGTTTAATATTGAGTCATATCCGACCATTTACTTCTTCCCAGCAGGAAACAAGAAGGAAACACATAAGAAGTATGAAGGAGAAAGAAACTTGGATGCTCTTTTGAAATACATTAAAGAATAGAAACCTGTAGATGGCTAAACCGTTGTTACAGATGTTATTTAAATAACTTCTGATGAAAAATTAAATTCAATTTGCAACAGTAAGATTTATAAATATTTTGTAAGCTCTATGCGTTTTGGGATTCTTACCAGGTGATAAGAAAGAACAAGACGATGCAATTTAAGTTCTAAAGAAAGTAATAATCTATAAATATTGAATAGACATAATTATCTTTAACCGGTAGAGCTAATTTAGGTTGGTTTGTTGGGGAATAATTTGATGATTTTGAGGCAGAGTTGAGTGTTATCGGAGAAGGGTATCTCATTATTTTATATCAATTATATAGATATCCACAAGTCGTTGCAGTTGATTTTAATGCAAAGAAATACTTTAGATTTAAAAAATAACTGACAGTTGATAATTTAAATGAATTCGTAAGAGGAGTAATAAAGAAAACTGAAACAGGTTAGTCATTATCAAGTTTACCCAAGTTAAATACCTAGAAATCAGATTTATGATATATATATTGATAAATATCATTAAATTTTAAATTTATTCTATGGAGTTTGTTCATTAGCACAAGAGTCTGAACTGAAAGTAAAATAGTTAAGTAGTTTTTTAATTAAATATTTCAGTTCATGGTTATATATTTTAGATACCAATAAATCTAAATTTAATAATAGTTTAAGAATTCATGAAAAAACAATTAACATTAACAAGTGAAATCATATTTATTAAAATGCCATCAATAATGAATATTATATCTAAATTACCCAAATTCTAATTGAATCTAATAAAGAAGAACTATTCAAACAGGTAATCTTATAACAATATAACTCGATTAATTTTTTTGTTTCAGTTATTGGAAATCCCTATTACTATAAAAATAATGCTTATTCTTAATTTCGAAATTGATTTCAAAAATGGGGATTAGAAGGTTGAAATTATTACCTAACTTGGATAATTTCTATTTTGATTTTAGAGATTTTTATACAAAAATTACGATAACCCCTATCACTTCATATTTAATGAAATTGTAAAGAAGATTAATTATAGACTTCTTTTATTTTTTTTATTAACTTTTTTCTTAAATTATATCATATATTCTGAGTATTTATTAGTGAAAAATATCAATTATTTCACACGAAAAATTAAAATAACAATAATGATTGATGTATTTAGTATTAGGGACAGGAACTCAGAATATACTGACTTAAGTGGAAATCAATCTAGAACTTAAAAATCTGCATTGCCTGAAATTTCATTTCCTTAAAATAACATTGTAGTCTCATCATGTCAACAGAATTTAGAAAATTTAATTAAAGCTCAAGGTGATTGCATTGAAATCAACCCAGAAACTGAAAGGATAAGGAAGGATACAGATTAAAGAAGGGAAATTTTATTAACTTAAAAGGGAAAACAAAAATATAAAGTAACATTTCGAGATCAAATCCCGGGTTAATCTTTAAAAGAAATAAAATACTATATAAAGGAACCTCCATAAGATCTTGATGAATGTTGTCCTTGTAAGATCTTCTGATAATAATCATCTTTTTAATCAAATAATTTTGTTATTTATTACTTTGTTTGAATTTAATTTTGCTTTCAGTATTCATATACTTCACATTTATCAAACATTAAATTTATGTGTGCATTTGATCAATACTTGTTGAGATAGACTTTAAGTGTGAAATCTTGGACATTTCTTAATTATCTAGAAATTTTAGGTTGTTTTGAATTCTCATATCTGATTAAAAAGGTAAGTATTAAATAAATGTAAATTAACAGATTAAATGTAATAATCAATAAGGGAGAGTTTCAAAAAATTAATATTTCATTATTATATCTAAAATTATATCGTAATAAGTATAAAATATTTAAATTATTAAGATTACAAATTGTTATAGCTTCAAAAAACGTTATCTATAACATTTATAACGTTTAAGATCTTATTATAAATAGAATTTGTCTCAAAGTTTATTTAGTTTTATATTCACTTATAAAAAATGTTCTGGTTTTATTTCTTATTTGAGATTACATATATGATATGTATTACTAATAAAAATTATATCAAATTATAAGAATTGTATATTTGAATTAACATATTATAAGGAATTAGAAAATCATTACGATTTGCTCACACCTTATAGATAAATTATGTTAATTTTGTTTTATTCTTTTTTGATTGACAACTAGATTAATTAAGAAATAGGTATAATTATTCTTGCTATTCATGTTTAGGATAGTCTTCATATTATATGATGATGTTATTTTTATACTTATGATTTTTGGATTTGTTCTTTCCTTCTTTACTTTTCTTTAACTTTTCTGGTTCACTCTCACATTGAATACATTAACTATTTTATATTTACTTAATTTATTTGATGATATTCTATTTTATTTCTTTTTAAACCTGAAGTTGGGGCAGTAAATTTTTTTAATTAGGAAATAATAAATTACTATCCAAATTATCTAATTAAAAATCTCCTTAGTTTTAGATTATTGGCCTCATTTATAGACCATCATTCTCGATTGATAGACTAGTTGCATTAACTCTCTGAGTCTAATAATTATTAGGGGAATGACTCTATAGATCTGTTTTATGTTTGGTAAATCTTTTATCTGTGATCTCTGATTCTCTTAAAGAAGTTTTCCTAGTTATATTATTTGATTAATCCTATTATAAATCATTGATATGATTTGATTGTTTCAAGTTATTTGAATCAATTTAAATCATTTTTCGATTATATTACTTTAATGAAGGTAATTAATCAAAATTTGATTTATGATTTTCTTGAATAGAATTCGATCTGTTTGAGTTATGAAGTCCACTCTAATATAATAATTTATCCTTTTTTTCCTGATACTTCTCCTTTATATATGTAATCAAACAAACATTATCAACCATAATTTCTTTAGTTTAAAGAGATTAGTTAATAATCTCCGTGCAATCTGTTTGTACATATTTATCATGTTTTTGAATTGATTATAAATACTTTTAATAAGTCATTTTCTAACGAATTAATTAATCTAATAGTTCTTAACAGAATCTAATTTAGAAATTATCTAACTTTAATAGCTTCTATTCTAAATCCAAATCATAATTTTTGATATTGAAATGACATTTTAATATTGTTAATGTGTTTGTAATAATTGAGTTTTTAGATTCTAAAGTTTTACTTAAAAATTTTTAACCGTTAAGTTTCAATTCTAAAAATGTTACTTTATCTTACATTTCATGAATTTATTCGATAAAAAAATCGAATAGATCATGCTCAAGATTTTTAATTTAGAATTGAGATAGATCTTTGAGTAGAGGAGCCAATTTAAGTTCTTAGTCCTTCCATAATTTAAATGAAGTTTTCATCAATAACTAGTTATATGAACTTATAACTTAATAATAATTATTAAATTACTTTTATTGAAAGCTTTTAGAATAATTTTGTTCAAAATATTCAGATTTCTAGTGTATTTTTTCTAAAGTGTATCTAATTCTGATTCCTTATCCAATACTTTCTACCGCAGGTCGTAAACATCCTCCAAGATTCTTTCCATAAATTAAGCCAGTTGTTAATCCAATGTTTGTTTCTATCTTTCAAATATTCTATCCTGAACCTTGACGGCCATCAATAATTAATCGATTTCTATATAATCAATTCCATAACCCTTCTTCTAAACTGAAAAAACTTAAAAAAAAAAAGGATTTCCTTAATTATCTTGGATGAGTCTCCACACTTCATAAGGGTCTCTCTCTATGTGAAATAGTTTCCTTACTAAAAATTCAGGATTTTCATAGTGTTCTGCTCTAAATTAATAATCCTATAATTGGGTTTTTAAGGTTCCTATTTCTTTTTTCTAAGATTCTGCTATTTATGTAAGATATTTAATTTTCTGTTCATAGTCAATCTTAACATTGTTAAGTTTGCTATTCAACAATTCTCTATACTTTGGATCAGTTACTTCAAAAGAATCAAAATGTCTATGATCTGAATAATCGTAATTTTGAACATTAGCCTACCTATACAATTACTCTCTTAGACCTTATAAATCTCTAAGATAAGAACAAGTTGTATCTGCTAGCTTTTAATCTCTATTCTTGATTTTTTCTTTAATTTCATTCAGTTCAAATTTGCATTTATAATGTATATCAATATCCTTCAATGCTAAATCATTTTTGCTAACTATTTGATCAGCATTGTATAAATTCATTTTCAAGGTTGGATCGTTTTTTAGGTGATTTTTGATAATTAAAATGGTTTTATAAATGTCTTCTTTTTTATCAACGCTACAGATTTGTCTGGTATCTCCGACCAAATAATTAATGATCACAGATATAAGTTATAAGGCTGGGATTCTGGATAGATTGTAATGATTTATGATATCATCGATTTAATGATTAAGTTGATCAAATATAAAATTCATTTAATTGATTTAAGTACTTTTTTATCCTATTCTTATAAAAAACTATCTAATCCTTCTATGGATTTGTCTGTAGTTTCAAAATCAATTATCTTTGCCTCCCTTTTGAATAAATCTTTAATTCCTTGTTTAAGATTATGGTAGCCGACTGCTCCACTCAAGTCTTTATTCTTTAATTGTAACTAAATTTTATTATTCTTATGTATACTTTCTCTAAAACATTATCATATTGATTCTAAATTTCACCGTTGAAAATATCAAACTATTTCATATGATTTGGATATCGAATGCTGACCCAATATCGAGTATCATCATCATATAGCATTTTTGCATAGAAATGCATTGTTGAAAAGCTAAATAATCCTATTGCTATGTAGTAGAACATATTCTATGTTTCTTGATGTTGCTCAATAAATAAGCTCATATCTTGAGTTCTATATTTGTTTGGCAATTGTGTTCTATGAATAATAATCTCTGCTTTTTTCTCTTCTCCAAAGATAGTTCTCATTCTGAAATATTTCTTTAATTTAATTATTTCCCAATAGATTTATTGAGCATTCAAAGCATTTCTGGTTCGTCTGATGGTTTTGAACTTAAAATTCATAAATAATTTAATTAGTAAATAATTTCAATTGGAAAAAATATTGGACTTTTAAACAATTGGAAATAAATTATCTTTTCGTATAGCTTATAATAATTGTTCTTCTCTTTTTTGTTTTGTTAATTTCTTTGACATCTGAATCCTATTCTAATTGATTTAATTATTTTCAGGTTATATAGATTGGATTCCCTTACCTATAGTAATTCGTAGATCTCTGTATTGTGAATTTTTGTATTCAAAGAGTTATTCTGTAGAGTTAGCCTAAAATTCTGTTTTTTTCAAGCGATTCAAATTACTATAGCTTTTAGAATTTGCCTGTAATTCACTAAATTATCATGAATTATATAATACTCCGTTAAGCCTTTTTAATACAAATTAAATCTATCAATTTGACTTGTTTTAAGAGAAATTCCATTTAAATCTGCATTAGTAAGCTATTGATTGATATATCTTTAGATATGTCTTTTTTTTGTATTAAGATTAAACATTTAATGCAGAGCCTTCCTTTCATATCCTTAATGATAATAATATTAGATTCCTTCTGTTTTCAGTTATTCAATAGATTTTAAAACAGGGGCAGATTAAAATTAGTTTGACAGTGTCTTCAATTATTTCTGAGAGGAGTTTCTTAGATTATAGTTATGCATTTGATTAATATAATTTCTGAAAATGAAAATTCATACTCAAAAAGTATCTTCACATCACAAAACTGATAATTACAATAATAACAAGACTTTTTATAATGGCCATCAATTCCATCAGACTTTGAATTCATTCTAATTCAAGTATTCTCAAATTAAAGAAATAGATGAGCATCTATTATTCACTAATTATAACCTTGATTTCGGAAACCACACCTAGGATATGGCGAAAAAAGGGTTGTATAATTTAGAGATCTCAAAAGATCAATACAATGAATAAACAAGAAAATAGTATAACCGAAGGAGAGTAAATACATCATACTTTGTTTATCCTTTTGAAAACAATAGGAATCTATCAAGTCAAAATAAGAGGGATAATAAAAGGGAATCGAGATTGTTTAATCGTGTTTAAATCCCAGATACAATGAAAATTCCATACTTAAACAAAAAAAATAGACTTATCAAACTTTAATTATAATAATTATAAAATCGTTAACAAGTAGAATATGATGATATTAGAATTGCAAGCAGAATCTCGTTTCATACTAAAACAAAATCTAACTTAAAAAAAAGGTTAAATCCAAATGTTAATGAATAATTACAAATAATTGTAGATGAACATTAATCATCTGATTTTTCATTTATTAATGGATGGGAATGATTGTTATAACAATAAATATAGTTTTTGTGTGTTTCTGTAATTCAGAATCGTTTAATTTCATCGTCCTCTTCAAATTTGAATGTAGGATCTTAATTTAATTTAGTTCTTTGAAACTCTTGTTTCATTTTTTATCTTTGTTTGATTTCCATTTTCTCATAAATTGATGCTTATTCATATTCCACTTACACATATCTTTCTTCTTCATCTTAATAAGTTTATAATTGTTTTAACATATTAATCTATTCTGGATTCCCCTGTCTCTGCAACTTTTTTTTATTTGCCCAATTCCTTAATTTGCTCCAACCACTTCCAGCGACCTTCTTCTCCTTCACCTCTTGTTAATCTTTCTCATCTGGTAATAATGGTACATTTTTCGACTCCTTCTCCCTTTCTTCGTCTGAACTTCTATCCTCCTCTAAAATATAATAATTTATTTAGACTTACCGAATACTCCCAGTTTCTTTGCTTGAACAGTCTTTAATATAGTTTTAGATATAACATTTTTTTCTAGATCCTAAATTTATTAATCGTTTGTTTTAGTTGTAATTCCCTATTTTATTTTTTAAAATATAATGTAGAGAAGTCCCTCAAATTTAACAAATAATGGCAACGATTTCCTCGTTATTTTATTAACAGTTGGATTACGAACAGCATACATAGGTGAGATTGGGGATATCTTCTCTGCTAATCTTGCTATAGCCTCTACAAATTCTATAAATTGCATTTGAATATGGTTTGACTCTCTCAATTCATCTCTTTACGTTTGCATGCTTTGCAGATATATTAAGTAACGTTCTTTCTCAGAAACATACCTTCCTAAATCCAGTTATTCAATAAACAACTTGAAATCTGTCAAAGTAACATATTTATTATGTTTGAATGTTATCTTTGATACATAATCATACATTAACTATATGAATTATATCTTCATTTTAATAGTTGAATCCATCAACTAAGTCCAATATCTGGTATCTCGCCAATCTTAGGGAACTCCGAATTCCTGGATTAGATCTAACACTTTGTCCTACTTAAACAACATATCCAAAGCATCAGTTATATTGTTACATAGATTTGCTCTCAAGTATTGTTCTTTTGCCAAACGAATAATGATTTCAAGAAATTGATATCTAACTAAACATTTATCTAAAACATGAATAAATTCTGCTGATTTCTATACCACATAACTCGATAGATAAGTTAATTATAAATCAATATTGTTTAATATTGACTTCGAAAGTATGTTTGTTTGGGATATGAAATCAATAAAGCTTTATTGGTTTAAACAAGGTGTTTCATAATTCAAAGTTTCAGCACAATAATACTTATAACAAGCCAAAATATTTTTGTAGAATACTTTCACCTTTGTTTTTAATACTTCCAGATCTTCAGGATCAGGAATATGTTTTTAGAGTCTTCCACATTCGAAATCAAAATCGAAGCAATCTAAAAGATGACCTTCTGTATCTGCTTAGAAATCTCGAAAGATTGAATTCTCAATTGACCATGATTTCTCTTTTTCTTTATTAGGATCTATATAAACTATTTTCTCTTATTCTCTAGGTCTAGATAGCACAGTTGGAATATAATGTTTTTAGGAGTCAAGAACTTTCTTATTGATTGTTGCTGACAAATAATTTACAATTGAAATTTTTTAACTATATACAACAGAAGTATCAGCATAGATCATAGGAATTCCTTGAACTTTGATTGGCTCAAAATCGTCTAATGCTGTTATGCGTTGATCTTTAGCCGTAAATTAAATATCCAAAAAAGGATTACTAAAAAAGTATCTAATTTTTCTATTTGGTGGACACATTCTTAATAAAAAAAAGATTTATTAATCCTATTCCATAATCATAGGTCTATAATTTTCAAAGTCTAAATGTAAATAGATTGGATAATCACTTATATTCCCTGATTTACCAACCACATATTAAAATCTGATTTCTGTCCAACCCTCACACAACCAGCAATTATCTTTAGATTTATTATTATTATAATCTGTGCTTTAGATTCTTTTGAATAAGGATGGATCTGCTAATTGAAAATGTTAATCCAACTTATTCATTTTATTCTTCAAATCTATTCTACTCAAACTTTAATCTACAAATTGTTGTGTGGACAGTCTGATTGATTATTTTGAAACCAAAGCATCATATTCCTAATCTATCTCCTTCTGATTTACTAAAAAACCCCTTGTATTAGTGCAATAATCTCCATTGCCTTCAAAATGAAATCCGTATATTATTTAATTAAACATTATAGCTTAATGGAATATTTTTGAATCTTCATTATTGAAATTATTATACGATAAGTCAAGATGAGATAATTCTGAATGTGGTTTACCTAAAACACTTTATGGATAAAAATATTTACTCAGATATCATCTAAACACATTCCTTGTGCTATCCTAACTTATTAAAAGAGAAATCAAGCACTTTCATATATTAATTCTTCAGAAAAGCCCTAAAGAATACAGTTCCTCCTTGATTTCGTATTTAATTATAATGCAAGTATACTTCTTACAATGAATTACTCTATTTTTATAAATTTAGTTACTGTTTTCAATAGATTTCCAAATTAATCCATACTAATATCAGTAATGTAATTTTTTGAGAATTTAATGACTTTAATTGTTTTACTCTATTAAAGAGTCTTAAGAATAGTCATTATAGGTCCATCTCGCAATTTATTATCTTCTAAATTCAATATTTGTAGATAGCAATTTTTAGAGTTTAAGAAATCACAAATGCTAGCAATTCCACCGTTACCAATAGCATTATTACTGAAATCTAAATCGATAATGCTACTTGGTAAATTCTTTGCAATCATAGTTATTCTATTATTGTTTAACTTATTGTTTTTCAGTTTAAAGGGATTTTAAATTACTAAAATGAGATGATGATAATCCTTCAGAGAACAAATCTACATACATGTCTGATCCTAACAAATTATTTGCTATCAGTTTGTCATTATTATTGTTAGTAAATAGTTTCATTTCTCTTGGCATTAATTTCTCTTATTTAATCTAGTTTTAGAATATATACTATACTTTTTCAGTCATTTTTTAATAAATATTTGGATCAATTTAATAAAATTGCTGCAATTCTTAATATCTTTCATTTTCTTTAAAATATTTACGAAATTCTGGAATATTTGGGTATTATAACTATGGTCTGATTGGAGCTAACCTTGAATCAATGGGGATATGTCTCTCTGCTGAAGATAACCTTTCTATCTCTTTGCGGTCAGTATCATAGATTTCCTTTATCGTTTACAGAGGTATTGCTCTAAAGGTTTTAATGTAATCGTATTGCTAAAAAATATAAACAATATTTAACATCATCTAGGTCGACGAGAGATTTAGAAATATGTTTGGTTTCTGTTGCAAAGAGGAGTCTATCTTTAGGGATTTCAAGATTTTTCATATTGATTTTAAGAAGTGGTTCAGATGCACTACCTTCAGTCTTTTAAATGTGTGATTTTTATCGGAAAGTGGAATCCAAATTGAAAGGGGATCTAAAAGTTGTAAATACATAATTAACAATTATTAAACAGGAGATAATTTGAAAGTTTGCCTCATTTCTTTTTGTTATTTATGTAAATTTATACTCTGGCTCTAATCTATGAATGGTTCATGTATTGTCTTTTATCCAATCAATTTATTGCTTGCTAAGAAAGATATTATGTCATGAATGAATTACGCAACGTCTGATTTGTAGATTATGGAGTATTCAGAATGGTTGACTTAGGAACACCTATTTTTGGCCTATTCCTTTTAATCTGCATAATAATTTATATTATGACTAAAAAATAATTATTATAATAAATGAAATTATTCTTAATATTCATAATATCTGCGTATTGTAAATTGGCCTCTAATGAGACTAATGGCAACAATACAGATCATGAGGAGAAGAAATAATTAATGGATGATTGGGAAGGGTAGATGGCTGACTTCATTCCAGATGACATGTTATCATTTGAGTTATAAAAGGGAGAAGTGGAAATCTTGGAATAATACATTAAACACCCAACTAATATCAGAGGAGCATTCTTTTTATCAATTATGAACAAGGACAAAATTGATTTCAGTGTATGATAGCCATTAAACTCAATTAGATCAAAGATCCAAGAGGAAAGATTATTGACAATAAGTAATAGAAGAAAGAAGCCGTTTTTTCTGTAAATATCACCAATCCTGGAAACTACAAATTTGTGTTCAGCAATGCAAATGTAAATACTCATTTAATTCAGAGGGGAAAAGCAATCATGTAGTTACTTTTGCAATTGATGTTCGAAATGCTACATATGAGCATATAAAAGAAGCAGACCTAGATCCAGTTTAGAAAAAGCTCTCTAGTTTATATACTGGACTAAATGATCTAATGTTTGACACTAAATTCTCATAATAAAAAAGGGAGGGAGGATATCAATTTCTGAGGGATAACAATAACAAGTATTTCATTTACACTATTGTTGAAACTTTAATTATAGTGTTTGTTAGTATATGGCAGGTATTTTATATAAAAAGAATTATTGGAGTGCAACGTAAATTTGTTTGATTAGCATTTTGTATAATTTTTATACATGGATAAATATATTAACATTTACATATATAATACCAAATCTATTGAATATCAATTTTTATGCTTTTTCTTATTTTTTTTTTTATGATTATGTTCTGAATTCTATTCTTATGATGATTATTATTATTACTATTATTATTACTCTTACTATGTTTATTATTATGATTATTATATTCTAATTTATTTATGTTCCTATAAAAGAATATTTTGCTCAGTTGATTAAACAATAGGTTGAGTAATAATTTGGTTGAATTACAATTATTATTCAAACCTTTTAATTTTACTTCCTTATTTACCAGCAATTTTGAATCCAAATAGAGTAGGTTCAAAATTAGACTTTATTTAAGTGTCTGGTAATAATTGATATTTAGGATGTAAATCAGGATATGTCTAAGTATTTTAATAGATATATTAACCATCAACAAAAATTATGGGAATGACTTTCCAAAATATGCACCATCAATATCAGCACACTTTTTTTTTGGCATGTAAACTTCTTCACAACGTGGACAAAACACCTATATGCTTTAATTTAATTTTAAACCTTGACTCTTGCTGTTTTTAAATCTTCACACAAACCAATTGGAATGACATTCTGCTTCTCACAATATATCCGAGGACAATGACCAAATTTTCCCTACAAAAGATCTTTCCCGCATTATTGCCGATCCTTTCGAAGTAAATATGAATCTGGCATGAAGCAGACCATAAATGTCGGATGCTTCTTAATAAACCTCTAAAAATCTTTTGTGATGTAAAATAAGAAAACCTTTCATCTTCTAAGTCTTAATCTTCGGGTGAGGTAGATTGCAAAATCATATTGATGGCTTCACTAAGATATCTTTGTGATTTTTACCTATAGAAAGCAAACTTTCCCTTTATTCCAATTTAATTAAATGGATCACGAATAAAATCATCATCTACTTCACATAAAAATTAATGATCTTCATGAGCGCAAAACCATTCAATCCAACCTCCAGGATGTTCAGAATATTGCGATTCCTCTTCCTATATACTTTGATTAAATACCAGACATTCTTTCTCAATTATTAACTAATTAAAAAAAGATTTTAATTATTTTTGCGCAATACTTTTTCCAGACATATTATTCAATCATGATTATGCAACTTTAATTTAATATAAAGAGTAGGAAAACTTGATTTTTTATTCTCAATTTCATTATTCGAAACACAAAAATAAAATATCAAACCCTCTATTTACTAACTTGCTTAATTATTTTAATTAATGATCAAATAATTATTTAGAAGGTCCTTGACTATTCAACCTGGACTCTTCTCTTTTAGCGAGTACTTTAAAGAGAGAGACAAGGCTGAAATATTTGAATATTACAATAACAAATTCACTGATAAGAGATACATCATGTATACTCAAAAATGGAGGAATGATTTAGAGAAGAAAGCAAAACGTAGAGCTCGACATTAAGAATTGGAAAGACAAAGGGTATTTTGCTATTTTAATTTGACTAATAGACACCTCCTGTGGCTTAGGAATGCAAATTCATTGTGCATGATTAATTGAAAGGAATTGAATTGCCAACATCTCTTAAATTTGCAGTCTGCAAGATTGGTGGTAGCTAATATAAAGTGGTCAAGGATGATTAAATCATCACAGAATACATGGAGGGATTAGACATCAACACAACAATTGAATTAGATTAAGTATTGATGGTTGGAGCTAAAGATTACACAGTCTTGGGAAGACCATTTGTGGAAAATGCAAAAATATTAGCAACAGTAGAATAATAAACATTAAGTGAAAAAGAACTCATTTATAAAAAAAAGAGAAGAAAGAGATATTAAAAATCTTAAGGACATAGATAAAGGATCACAATATTGCGAATTAATGAGGTGGTTCATGATGTCAATGATCAATTATTAAATAGAGCTGTAGCATTAATCTGATATATATATTAAATATAAATCATAATAATAAAGTCTGAGAACGTAATTTTATTATATTTTGATTCCTTTCTTCTTTAACCTATAATCCTTGAATAAAATTTCAAATATTTCTGTATTATTATATTAGTAATACATATCAAAATTAATAAGTATCTCAAAATTGAATATGTAAATTCAAATTATTTGGATATAATTTTACTGATTTATGAAAAGCATCAAAAAGTCATGAATTGATTTGGCTTAATTAATTGATTCCAAATTTTTCAATAAATTGTATACATATAAACCCTTAGAACCAAACATTGTTGTAGAAAGAATATTGACTTATTCCAAGAACTTAAATAGCTCATTACATAATTAAGATATAGACATGAAAAGGTTATTGAAATAAAGTTAATCTAACTTCTTTCAAAAAATGAATCTTTTTATCTATCTCATACATTATCACATTGTTGCGATGTAATAAATAAAAGCACAAAAATATAATTATTTATATATAAAAATTTAAATATAATATGTCGTTGCAATATATCCCAACAATTAATTTGATATTGAATGGCTTCTAAAGAACAGGATTATCATAAGGATAAGCTTATTAAAAAGAATAATTGTTTTCTGCACTTGACAAGCTTGTAAGTATTAAGATTTATAGGATAGACTGGATAATTATATGATCGAGATGTTGCTTAACAATTATTTGAACAATGCTAACCAAATCAAAGAGGCCAGGTCTAATTAGAAGATTTTGCATAAGTTATTATAGAAGCAGACAAAGTGCTAAAGAAAAAAATAAATCAGACAGAATAGCAAATGCAATAATACAGAGAAGAGTTGAAAGAATGCCAACAATTAGCATAAGAGTTACAATGTATTAGATATTTATAAAAAGATAATTAAAAACTCAACCCTTAGGGAGTAGATAGAGACTCTCAATTGATAATAGTGATTAAACAGGCTCATAATATTCAATATTCTGATTATCAATATAGTTTTGTTATGATAGCTTTAGATGGTGCTGAAGTCTAGACCTAAATGTCGACAGGTGATAAATATAATCCGACTTTTAACTAACAATTAAATTTGTATGATTAATTTAATAATAAGTCAAATTTAAACTGGTTCTGAAGAGATTTTAATAAAACTATTTGTATAAGATAGAAATCAGAAAAGAATATTAATTGGGTAAAGTCATTTAGATTTGGGTGAAATGCATGATCAATAAGTTCATTCTTAGCAATTATAATTGGTTAATGAGAGATAATAACAATTACAAACATATTTATAAATTGAATCTCAATGGATTCACAACAAAGTATGAAGATTGTTATAATTAGTTAAAATATCACTAAGAGATGATTCTTAAATACGAACAAACTATTTAATAGAGTTAAATTGACATTGATGATTACTAAAGAGATTTATTGACAATTCAATAGCCATTTTTGGAGAACAATCTTAGAAATAATTTATAATAATCATTAAAGTAACCTTAAAACAGTTCTTTGCCCCAACAAAATCAAGCTTTTCTATATCAATAACAATAGAATTTTATTCCTTAATAGAAAACATTTCAGATGTAACCTCAACAATAATAAAATATTCAAATTCATCAACCTGATCCTACTGTTTAAGATGAATTATCGGATGAATTATATTATGGGTTTATCTTATATATGGTAATGCTCCTTTTGGCCTTATTTTAGTGTTTTGCTCGTCCAGATTATTTAGATGTAAAAATATAAATATAGTTAGATAATCCTAGCAATGCTGTATATGATAATCGTATGTAGAGACTGTTTGGAGTCTACCTATATTAAAATTGTAGGTGCTTTAACTATTTTAAGTGTAATATATGATATCGTGTGGATTAGCATCTACAAAGTATTTCTTGATTAAATATTAGAATTGGTGGAGTGGCACTGATAAAACTCTGCCAACATGGGGTGAGGCAGGTGATCCTATTGTTAGAATGACACTAGTTTTTTGTGTTTTTAACATAATTTTGAAGGTTTTAGTTAGATAATATTAGTAGACTGCTTTGTGTTATATATTGTTCCATTATTACAAGGAATCTCAAGAGAATAAGATTATAGTTTTTAAATTTTGGTAATTCGAATTTCAAGTGGGAGCGCATAAGCAAAATTTATTTACTTTAAAGGGGCTTTTGTTGTGATTATATCAAATAAAATGTTTTTTTCATTATTTATTATAACTTTTGGCAAAATCCAATATATTTTTGTATGGATTAGATGGTTGTGAGTTGGTTGAATGTGAAAATATATTATGTTGAAAATTTACTCGAAATAATAATTAATGTTTTTAAAATATTTGCCACCTGTGTTATTCTCAATGTTTTTTGTTGGGATGTGCTCATTCTATTATATTGTATGCATATTATCTTATAGACATACTTGTCAATGCAAGGAGTGTACATATAGTTAATAGTTGGATGTGTTGTCCTTTTAATGGTTATGAGTGCAATCTAAGTAATTCGTTTTGGTCCTGGATACGTTGATCAAGTAAGTATTAATTGAAGTCGAGAGCATAAAGGATAAGTTAGAAACATAGTTATTTAATGAGTTACAAGAGGAGCTCAAGTTGTTGATGATGAGTGAAGATAGACTGCTTGACTTTTTAGATTAGAATTAATGCAATCAACCATTATCAGAGGAATAGTTGATACATATGCTAAACATTAAGGTCTTAGAAAGCAAGGGGATAAAAATATGTAAGACTTGCTAATCATACAAACCATTAAGAGCGCATCACTGTAGCCAATGCAAATAATGTGTATTTAGGATGGATCATCACTGTATGTGGCTAAACATTTGCATAGGTATGTAGAACTATAAATACTTTATGATGTTGATATTCTATCTAAGTAAAAATCATATCATTCATTAAGATCTATGTATAATACTAGTTTTGATCACATACTTCCAGACATACATATTAGCAATTGAAGAGAGCGATTTTCAATTAATAGCTAAGTTCACATATTATCACAGTATTTTTACGCTGTTCATGTTATTCTTCCCCTTTTTCTTACATCATGTAAGGTAGATTTTGACCATTATGCTTAGATTGGCTGCCAATAATCAAACGACTATTGAGTATTATGAGAAGAAATAGAAGACAAATCCATTTTACATCAATATTTGGGACAACTTAATGGAAATATTGGGACCTGAATGGTATTATTGGCTATTGCCAATTTGAAAATGAGTTATATCATTCACATAATTGAAGACAAAAATATAAAATATTGAATTCATATTAAGTTATTAAATTTTCTCTTAGTTGATTAAAAAGATGAATTCTATTTATCATTTGCTGACAAAAGAACTTACCTGAATTAAAATTAATTAGAAGATGATCTTTATTTCTTTTTCTTAGATTTTTTTGGTATATTCAATTTATCTAACACATTTCTAGTGACACATTCTTCTAGTTAATTAATGAAATCCCTTGGTATCAAATTGAATTATTGTTATTAAAACATCTGCTATTGCTGTAATGATTCCCTAGCTTTTCTAGGAGTAGTCGTTTCTGTTATACCACTTTCATATTTTTTATTTTTATCAATTTAATCTAGTTTACCGAATTTCTCATATTTATCCACTTTCTCAAAAACTACATCTAACTTATTCGAATCTTATCTCTAGTCTATTTGCATTAATGGATGTGGTGGCATCTCTTATTGATCTTCTGATAATTAGTATTGTAGATTTTAGGTAGGCTTCTTATCATGGTTCATAATAATATTTGTTTATCGTGAGATTAAATCAAATTATGGATTCATGTATAACCTTTCACTCTAAATAGATGTTTTGATACTTCATGCTGTTCTTCTAATTTCAAAAGGTCAAATAAATTTCTAACTGTCTCACTAAATCGAGGTGGCATAAATTTTCTATTTGATTAAGTCATTAATATATACTATTTCTCTAATGATTTCATGCCAGACATGATTCTCTGAAAAATATTACGAAATGCGAATTCATCACAATCTTCATTTGAATAAAATTTGACCAATCTCTTGTTTAAGGTGACAAGAAGCAATTATAATAGTTGTTCGTATTACTGTAGTTATTATCTATTTTGAAACCCAGAGTTATATGACATTTTAATTTTAGAATATTATAAACAATGTATATGAATCAAATATTAAAGTGTTATGAATTGCAATGTTTGGACTAAAGAGGTTCCAATATCTAAGATTGATTATATGACTCACTAAATGAACCAATTTTATCCTAATAATCTTCAGGTTCTGACTCGGTTGATGAGGATGAAGACTGCAATTCACTTAATTTATGTTTTGCATCTTGATTCTCATTTTCAAAATCTTTAGTTTGTACATTCATCAACTAATATTTTTTGATGCTTCCATTTATACTAGTGACAAAATCAGGAAAAGATCCAATACCTGAAATGATCTGAGATTGACTAAGTTTTCTGATGAGTTTGCTCATACCCAATTGATTTCTTAAATCTCTAAGCATGAGCTTATAATTATATTGTTTCTTGATTGAGGAATCAATGCATGAGTAAACAAAGTTCAATTCGTCATTTAATGTAATCTAAGATAATCACCAAAATAAGTACTTCCGTGATGTCACCGTAATATAGCAATTTAGCTATATTATTGTTATTGCTATCAGTCAGACATTACAGTTCAACACTGCAATTTTAATTAGCTTGTTCAGTTAATGAGATAGCTTACTCAGCAGAATCATAGATTATGGAATTTTCTATGTTTGGTTGTAAAAGAATAATAATGTCATGAGCATACTGCAGATACTCATACATAATGTTCTTTAGATTATCTTTGCAATCAACATAATATAAATTAACAATGACAACATCTACTTTCTAATCCAAATCCATTTTTAAAACTTTATCCACTTTCACTTTCAACATACAAATCCCTCTATCTATGATATTTGAGAAAGTCTTATCCTATTATAAGTATTAGATCTTTCTACTTGGACTTGCCAATTTAAGTAATATGGATCCTGTTGGATCATGAGCCAATAAAATAGTGTTCGTCTTAATTCTCTAGTTCATGATGTCAACGATAGCAGAATTAATCAATTGAGATTTAAATTTTTATTCGAACTCCTTGTCTTGCACAACTAATTGGACGTCTTTGAATATTTTCATTATCCATAAATGTGACTAAATCTCTATTTAGATATTGCTTTATCTTGATAATAACCCACCTATCCGATGCAATAACTTCATTTCAATATTATTTGAATTGAATTCCTATTTTATTCCATAATATTTACATCCGAAAAGCTTGTCTTTTGCAGCTGAGAATTTTGCTCCAAATAAGATAGATGTCTCTTATAAATCTTTTCCTGATCCTCATCTAAATCCGCATCCCTTTCTACATCTGCTGAATAATCAACCTCTTGTGATGTAGTCTTGTTCAACCAACCTTCGGATTGTTGTTACATAGATATTAGATTCACAGGCTTCTGCTTTTGAATTTCCATTTTACTGGACAACCGTTGTATTTTCTGGTCTTAATGAAGAGGTTCTTCTCGAACGCACCCACAAAATAATTATTGAATCCAACTTGGTTTCTTTTATTATTATTACATAATGAATTTAATCACAACTTTTAAACCTTTAATACTATTTTGATGATAGAATCCATGATCTAAATTTTTAATTTAATTACTGCTAAATTCCATTATCGCCTTCAAGAATCATTACGCAAGCTTTTAAATTACCAGAATTTATTCAAGTACTCATTAACACATTCATTAATATTTCAAAAACAAAATATACAACACACTACTTTTCACATAATTTCTGTTTCCTTGCTTGTTTAATTCCTAACTTAATTATTATGCCTTTTCAAAATTGAACTTAGAATTCTAGTATTTGTTAAATTTCATATTATAATATTATAACCTTTTAATGAATTACATACCCCCCTCGGTTTTCTCTGATTTAAAACGCAGACAACTCATTTTTGTAATAACAAATAAAATAGAGAGAAATCAACCAATATACCTACATTTTCGAAAACTACAACATTGGAAGGTTAAATGAAGTCAAAGAAAGTCTTAGGTATAAAGAAAAAAATCAAAAAAAAAATTTACATCATTTTCATTAATGGGGAGTCTCTTGGTTCTCCTTACAATACAAATTAATTTTTGCTTAAGAAGCACGAATCACTAGATAACAACAACAGAAAAGAAGTATAACCACCAGGGAGCTTGTTAGCATATCTATTGAATGAAAAGTAGGTTGATCATTAATCACCTATTACTAACAATTTTGACTCAATTAAAGAAACATAAGAACTGCCTTAAGTCCCTCTTAATTAATACTAAATTTGAACATACATCTACTTTCTATTCTTATCATTATTTTATTATTATTATATATTATTTGTTTTTTATATCAAAATATGCAATCTCAATCCACACACATATATCAAGTGAACAAAATACCCATTATATTTAACTGCCTCAAGTAAACTATTTAAGTTAAATTAAATAATTTTTATTAAACACTAATATAAATTAATTAATTGATGCAGTACCATTATTTGACTTAATCAAATTTTTATAATACTATTCTATGAAGCCTACCTTAATTTAATATGATAATTCGTTGAATTATTGATTTATTAATTTTCGGTTTGGAAATAAATTAAAAATCACTAAATCATTACAAAATCTTCAAATTCCTATTTTTAAATACATTTCCAATTTCAGATTTGAACTACAATAGATTTCAAGCTAGACTACTTTGCAATTCAACTTTATAATTTTTTAATTGAGTTTCTTATTACTATTAAAGCACCTTATATTTAAAACGAATACGTTTTTAATTGATATTAAAGTTTTTGTAATTTTATTAAAATTACCATATGAATGCTGGATTTTTTGTAGGAATCTCATTTATATAGATTAATTTTAATTGAACAGTTAGTTTGAGTTTATAAAGAGCTTAGGGTTACCATTAAGGTTTCTATCTTAGAATTTTTGAGTTGTTAAAATTTCTATTATTAAAATTTATTTAATGAATTCCCAAACAAGGCAAAACATCACAGTATTAACAATAATCGTTGTTTCTGTGATCGGTGGATCCTTTTTGTATTTGAGTTCTAAGGAAAAGCATTTCGGTAACATCTATTAGTTCATCTGATTTAGAAAGTAGTGATTGCGTTTTATTAAGAACATATTCACATTATTATGGGATATTTTGCTTTACAATAGCAGCTTTGCTAATGTTAGTTCACATATATTATTATAGATTATTCTTATTTGCCTCAGTTGCCTTGAAAGATAAAAGCTGTATGATTGGAGTTGATCAGATTTAACTCATTTCTGGAATTATTGGAATTATTTTTACCTTTTTAATTGCTGTACTTTATCTAATTATTTTTAGTACGCACTTTACCTTCATGAACCATGTGGAAACTTGAGAAAATTCACAATCCTATATTTTATATTTGCAATGATACTATATTGTTTATAATGCTTTGGAATGTGCACTGGATTAGGCATATTAGAAAAATGAAAATAAATAATTATATATTTGATAATTTTTGATCAATTTAAGCATAAACTCTAATTATTAAAATAAAACACTCTTGATCACAAGATTATTATGGCATCCTTTGCATATTCCTGAAAAACTAAATTCTGTATTTTATAGTAATATAGTGCTTCTTAAATGAACTTAAATATGAATAACTCCAAAAAGGGTGGAATAATTGAGGCAACAAATTTGAATAATAGGAGAAATTTTATGGAAGTTAACCTATTGATTTGAAACAGTATCTAATTGCTAAAAATTATTTTAATAAATACCTAGAATAAATTAAATTTAAATTAGCATTTTAAAATATTGAACAGTTATTATGTAAATGAATTCTAACTTTATGTAAAGAATCTACAATTATTCACTAATTTATAAAAATATCAAATTATAAAAAGGAAATCATTAATTTCTGAAACATACGTAAATTAGACGTCCAGGTTAGCAATAATAACCTTTAGATTGAGAATCTCTGGAGCACAGTATTGGAAATAACTTTCTGATCAAAATCAAAAGAGAGGTTCCCTATAAACTTTATTAAAAAAACATGAATATTTTATTTTGAAGATATATAATACAATTAATGATTTTAATTTTCATATTATCACGATAATATTTAATTTCTTCTTTGTTTTTATTGTTTTTTATTCAGTTTTATCGATTGATTTTTTGTTTTTCACTTAAGGAGAGTTTTATGCAGTTTAATATGACCATCGAGAGCTTCCACAGAAATCTCTACAAGTCGAATTGACAATTGAAAGAAATTTTTCAATTTAAATTTAGGCAACTTCTATGTTTTATTTTCCTATGTATACCTTTAATTTTTATTTAAGTCATGTAGAGTAAGAAATTCTTAATAATTTGAAAAATTCAGAAGTAAACAATATTCATTATTTACACTACATAATGGAAATTTATATTGTTAATCAATAAATCTTATTTAATATTATCAATAGAAAACTTACTCATATGGGTTGTCATATTAGAAAATAAGAGAAGCCAATTATCCTGGAGTCAGAGGTAAAAAACAAAGAATATATATATCAATTGAAAAATTAAGGAGCAAGAAAAATGTTAATCTACTAATGGGGGGAAATTAATTTATAGTCAATAGGTATGTCCTTGAATGTATAAGTTAGTTAATAGTACCATTATGAGAAGAAGAAGCACCACTTAAACAAATACATGTAATAGCTGAAGAGGTTCCAAACTTTATCTATGAGTTTATACTTATGTTATTTTATTTGGAATTATATGCATTTATTCATAAATCTAAATAATGCCCTGAAAGAAAAGATTTTAGTTGTGAACTTTCTTCATTAACCTGTTTAGAACACTAAATTATAAATTAATGAAAGGGAATATACTATAATTTTTGAGAATTAAGAGTTATAGTGAATTTTAAATGTAAATAATGAGTAAAGAGTATTTTTTAATCCACAGAGTAAATTTCATGTGCCGATAATTTGTAATTTTTATAAATATAAGAATGAATACTCAGTTGGTATAAAGAATAATGTTGAAGCAAGGGAAGATTATAGATATTAAAGAATTAATCAATTTAAAAGGAGAAACAAAAGGGAAGATTTTACAAATTTTGAAAATTTTGAAAAAGCATCCTGTAAAATAAAGCTATCATGCTTATCAAATTCTCACAATATTAGAAAAATCTTATTATGTATACAACAAATGTTTAAATAGAACTGGAAGCATGCTAATATTAAGCTAATCTCTGATTCATCAAAATAGAGTGATATTATAATATATTATTATAAAAATCATCATCATTAGTATATGACAATATGATATAAAACATCAAGAATGTAGTCATACAAATAAATGACTTTTTGAGATAAATAACAGCCTTAAAATTTTTACTCATTTCTCCAATTGTTTTTGATTATCAAGTAGTTGTATGAATGGCCATTCCATGATAACAACAGAAATACTGGGTTTAATTACATTAATTAATATGGAAATAAAATTAATATTAGATACTGACTATGGGGTATTAAGATTATTGGTATTTCATTTAGAGAAGCCAATTCTAGATATATCCTAAATCTAATTCGAAACCTTATTGAAAATATCGAATAATTTGAATAGTGGATACATACATTTATAAGTTAATATTAATTTGAACAGTTTCAAATATCCTTTGGAAAACTAAAAGAAGAAGGGGAGAGTTAACGATTAAGGTTTGCGTATAGAGACTGATATTTCATTATAATCAATGAAGTGTTCCAAGTGAATAAGGATAATTAAATTTGAAATTAGATTTAAAATAAATTAAATTATATATTATTCAATGCCAGCAAAAAAGAGAACCACTAGAATCGGAAATTGGTACAAATCAGATGACGAGAAAGTCCACTTCGTTAGAAGAAGAAAAGTAATACAGATTTTAAATGAATAAAGGCTCCAAGACCATCTCAATTGAGAAAAATTAGTCCAGGATAGGTGTTAATCTTATTGGCTGGTAGATTCTAAGGCAAGAGAGTTGTCTTTTTGAAGCAACTTAAATCAGGACTCTTACTTGTCACAGGACCATTCAAAATCAATGGTGTACCACTTAAGAGAGTGAATTAAGCATATGTTATCCCAACATCAACAAAAGTTGACATTAAGGGAGTTGATGCTAGCAAAATTGAAGATGAGTACTTCAAGAGAACCGAAGCATAAAGAAGAAAGAATGAAAAAGGATTTTGGGCTAAAAGAGGAGAAGTATAAATGATATTGATTATTAAGTTAACTGAAGAATAATAAGTGGCTGAGAAAAAGAGATTGGACGAGAAAAGAAAGACTCAAAAATCAATTGACGATGCATTGGTTGCTACAATTAGAAAGACATCATTGTTGAAATAATATTTGGGAGCTCGTTTCAGCATTGGAAAAACAACAAGACCTCATGATTTAATCTTTTGAGATTTAAGTACAATATTATAAATATGTTATAAATGTTTGTTGATTTTGGAATCAAACTTTATTCTTGTAGATATATATATTATTGTTAATTTTAATATTAAATTAAAAATGAAATAAACAAAATGCTTGATAATTACTCTTGTAGTCTTCTACTTGCTTGGTTTACTTTTATTTTTTAGAGGATATTTCATAGATCGTAGATACTTACTGGATACAACTGAAGGAACTATGAAACCTACATAACCTGTAATACTTTTAGTTATTGATTCATTCCGCATTGATTTAGCAGTGAGTGAACATTTCACTTTTATCAAAAATATGACCTAAAGCCACCCAGACTAATCCTTATTTTTTTTATCTTTTGCAGAAGTCCCTACTGTAACAGGTCCAAGATTACAAGCAATGACAAGTGGTAATTTCCCCCCCTTATCCAAATTGTTGGATAACTTTCATGCTTCAGAGGTATGTATTAGTCTAATCTAGATTAAAGAAGACAATATAATGTTTCAAATGAAGAAATTTAATAAGAAGACTCTTTTTTCAGGAGATGATACCTGGATAGGACTCTATCCTGATTAATTTACACTGTAGTTTCCTCAAAAATCATTTAATATTGGAGATATGCATTCTGTTGATCAATTCAATTGCGATAAAATATTGGAGAATTTAGATAAAGGGTATGATTTGATTGTATCTCATTTTTTGGGTTTGGATCATGCTGGTCATAAGAATAATCGAGTGTTAAATAATCCTAATTTAGATTAAAAATTAAGTCAATTAGATTAAATCATTTACCTAATTTACTAAAGAATGTCAAATGATACTGTTCTAATTGTTGCAGGTGATCATGGGATGGCTAATGATGGCAATCATGGTGGAAATAGCACAGAAGAAACTAACACATTATTTTTTGCAACTAGGAAATAAGGAAAGTTTTATCCTAGGTATATGGAAAACATTCCTGAGCTAAAAGATAACTATCAATCAACCTTAATCAACTAATCTGAATATATTAGAAAGATTAGTTAAATTGATATTGTACCTACATTAGCCACTCTTTTAGGAATTCCAATACCTTTTAGTAATCTAGGATATCTGATGAATGAATTTTTTAATAGTGAAGAGCATTGTCTTAATAATCTGAAATAAGTATGGCATTTTGTTGAAACTGTGCACAGTCGACAAGGGAAGTTTAGTTATTTTTAGAAAAATTAATGGTAAAATCAGTATTCAGAAGTTAAAACATGCAGAGATGCTTTAATTCTTATGAATGACATTTAAATTGTGGCTAGAAAAATATGGAATGAATATGATATTCCATTACTCAATTTAAGTTTTGTATTACAATTCTTAATAATTATCTTTTTTATTTTTGTTATGATCATCGTATTTTAAGCCTAAGAAGATGATGATCCCTTAACAATATAATAAATTGCTGCAGCTGTTAAGCATATCTTTTCAAATAATAAGTAAGTAACAATTATGTTAGCCATCTCATCAGCCTTATTATATTTATTCTATGAAATAGAAATTTTAATAACAATAATACTAATTTTGTTAATGATATATATTAATTTTGCTATTTTCATCAAAATCAAAAAGAACCACATTTAAAACCAAAACTAATATCAATGGGATTTAATAGAAAAACCAAATACAATTAGGTTAAATACTAATCGATTCTCTAAATTATTTTAACTGTTACTGTTGCTCTTTTTTATTTACAAAGTAATCCTTCAAGGTCAATTATTATTGTCAATTCAACAAAAAAAGTTTGAGGAAAGTTATTTGTATAATGAAATCATCGAACTATTAGTTTTAAGCTCAGTGATTTGTATATTCAATTTGTTTTCAAGATTAGCTGATACTTAAGAGGATGCTACAAGTATAACTAAAATCAAAGACGGTGTTATTTCATGTGTAAGTGCTATCATTATTTACTATGCATTAAATTTTGAATAATTTTATCTAGCATAATAAAACTATGAATTTTTACTTGAATAAGAATATATCCTATACTTGCCTGCATTATTTCTACATAGTTGTTTATTTATGTATTAGAAAAAGAACAATATTTTAGATAAAATAATAGGATAATTTGGATTAATTCTTATTGACATGTTTTACATTTATCCTGATACAACTATATAAGATCAACCATATTAAGAATTTGTAATCCTACACATTCCAAAAATCATCTATGCAATTTCTATATACTATTACTTCTCAAGGGATCCAATTTTTTTATTATTTTCATGCATTGTAGTATCAGACAAATATGGGTTAGCCATTTACTCATATGAAATATTAATTTTTATCTTTTTATACTTTCATTGGAGGAATTTGTTGAAATTTTCGATGTTGTCATTTTTTGCCATGATGACCTTAATTTGCCAAATAACTTGGTTTATTTTTGGAAATAGATGCACGATTTCATCAATCAAAGTGGACAGAGCCTTTGTGGGTGTCAAAGAATTCCACTTATGGTTAAACCCTCTAATTTTGACTCTGTTTTTATTGGGACCTTATTTGGCTGGCTTAGTTTTTATTAGGTATATGGGGCCAAAATTATGTAAACATGGAGAGCTAAATGAAAGATAAGGTAATTATTCGATACTAATATTAATCTAGTGAAGAATTCAAATAATCTGTTCAAATTAATGTTCTTGTTTAATTTTTATATCCAAATTTAATTTACACAAATTCACAGTTACGAAAATGCTGGAGGATTGATTGATGTCCAATTTAAGTATATATTTGATAGTGTGACTTTCTTGATTGTTAGTTTACTGATGTTGTTGATTTGAGTTTGAGTTATTGTGTGAATGTATAATTTTATAGATGGAATATTTTGTGTTTATGAAATTTAAAGAATTTGCATTAAATAATTAAAAAGATTTATTTAGAGTTTTGAAATGGGAAAATTGTAAGAATTGCTCTTATATAAGTTTAAAGCCAGGAAGATTGATTGTTTTGTTAGCAGGCAGATATGCTGGAAAAAAAGCAATTTTAATTAAGGCTAATGAAGAAACTACAAAAGTATATATAAAAACAATGGTTTAGGACTGCAAATTCCCAAATGGTTTGGTTGTAGGAATACAAAGATATCCTAGAAAAGTAACAAAGAGAATGGGATAAAAATAAATTAGAAAGCGAACCACATTAAAAGTGTTCATTAAACAATTAAACTTAAATCATATTATGCCAACAAGGTTAGTACAAATAACTACCTAAATATAGATATAGATTAGAAGAATCAACATTAAAGGAAGTCAGAGATAGAATTGAGAGAGTCAAAGAATCTGAATTGAAGAATGTTGAAAAAAGAAAGGAATTGAGAAAGAATTTGAGAAAGTATTTGGCTGAAAAGTACAGAACCTTACCAGCTGGAAGCTTAGCAGACAAAAAAGCTTAATCAAGATTCCTGTTTTCTAAGTTGAGATTCTGATATATTAAAAGTATAGTAAAGATTTATATAATATAAAAAGATTATGAAATTTGTTTCTTTTTATAATTATACATCATTATTGTTACTATTGCTTTAATTTTCTTTGGGTTCTAGTGAAATAGAACTTGGCCTTCTCCTCTTGAGTTTAGAAACGTCCTAATAAAATAGAATTAAGATAGTACCATGTCCAATTTTGGATGATGTATCAACAAATTTGAGAGTGATTTCTTCCAAAGCCTTTCTGCTAGTTTATGGAACAAGAGACTTTCTCAACAAGACGACTCTCTTCTTGGGTCCAACAATACCTCCCTTGAGCATGAGGAAATCGTTTCTGATTTCACCATAGTGTGGGAAACCACCCAATGGAGTGATTGCCTTTGAAGTCAAATCGGCTTCGGTAGATGCAGTGTTCTTGTCTCCAGCAGCACCAATTCTGTAGATCTTTTTGTTCATTTCAGTTCTGTGATGGTAACCCAATTGACCAGTTCTGGCAACACTGTATCTGACATTGGCTGGATGCCATCCTCCGATACAACCAACTCTTCTCCAACCTCTATGGGTCTTCTTTTGTAAATGCTTAACACCAAATCTCTTGATGACACCAGCAACTCCCTTACCCTTGGTAACACCGAGAACGTCAATTTATTCGTTTTATTTGAAGACTTAATCTACTTTGACTTCCTTTTCTAATAATCCCTTGGCATAGTTAACTTTTTATTCTGTTGTGCCTCCATTGACTTGAACTTCAAAGACGTGATTCTTCTTTTATCTTAAGTTCAATTTGCTCATTTAAGTGTGAACAATGACTCTGACAACTTAGCAATACCTTAAATAATTGCAAATTATTTTTACTTAACGATTCTCTTTAATTGAGTTTCCAAATTCTTTGGCTCAGCATTAGCCTTATTGTAATTGGTGAATGCCTTCTTCTTTGAGTTGATCCAATTCTTATAGAATCTTCTCAAGGTGTCTTTTGCGATCTTTGTACTCCAAACAGTGGTCAAAGCTCTTAATCCTCTTGGTGTTTCGATATATCCAACAATACCGACGACAGCCAAAGGTGGGGTTTCAACGATGGTGACGGCTTCAACGACCTCCTTTCCATTCAATTTTGATCCTGGTCTTTCAACAGTTCTCAAGATGTGTGTCATACCAGCCTTGAATCCTGCAAAGGCTGTCAAATGAACTGGAGATGATTTATTGTCTTTTGGGAAAGCTCGGATTCTTCCTCTGTGATGCTTTGTTCTCTTTCTTGGTGTAAATCCAAGATTTCCATGTCTGGGTGCTTCAAACTTTCTGTGAGACATTTAATATATAAAAAAATCTTTGAATTTTTTTTAAATTCCTTTTCGAATTAATACTCATTTTATATTTATTCATTTATGAACATACATTAAACTTTTATTTATTGATTCTTATTTTATTATTCTTCAATCCTCAATCTTGTTTAATTCAAAAATTTCCCTTTCTTAAATCTGTCTACTAAAGAGGATAATCTTAATAATTTACGACATTTAATCACTCTATTATAAATGACTCTAATAAGAGTTCAATCACTTTATTAGAACACAAAACTAATATTCAGGTTATAAATGATATAATAGATAATCTACTCAAACAACACGATGTTTCAAAAACCCATTATACTCCACAATTGAATACAATATCATTGAATTATTTCTTTCATCCATTCACAATCAGATTATAAGATATCTCTTTAACAATTAAGAATATCGAAATATTTATAAGTTAATTTACATTCAAAATTATTGATATATCATTATTATTGATTGTGTGATCATCAAAATTCTAAAAAAAATGATATATCTATTAATTTTTTGACTATTACATCCTCTTTTTTTTAAATTTAATTTTATAATAATTTATTATATCATAACATCTATATTTTTATAAATTAATCATAATTCTCAAGATTGACAATCAAGTATCAACCAAAAAGACTTATTATTGATTCTCAAAAAACTAAATCATAAACTTTGCAACTTTGTGGAAATAAATTATAATTCAAAATATATTTAAATATCAACTAATTTATTTTGAAGTTCAAGATATGTATTCATTATATGCAAATCCCTAATCTATAATAGAAATTTGACTTAACATGATAAAATTATTCCTACTTGCCTTTTGAAAGAAAATTTGATTTAATTAAACCGGATTTCTGTTCTTTAATTTTTTAAGATATTACCTTCCCATTTAGGATTCATTAGGTTCAGTAAATTAAGAATTTAGTGAATAAAAGTATTAATAATAATATTTAAAATCGTTATTTATATTTAGGTTCAGAGTATTATTTATTTTAAGATTCAAAATCGAAAAAATTAATGAAATCTGAAAATTCAGGATCATTACACCCAGATTATCTCGAGTTAAACTTAAATAATTCAAAATAATAAGATTTAAGCAATAGTACCCTTATTAAATCAGGTCATTGGAGTGAAGAAGAGCATTAATAATACGTTCAATTTTTACTGAGAGTCAAAGGCTCTGGAGATTCATAAAGAAAGGGACAACCTTTATTTAAAAGAATGAGTTAGATTATCGGTACAAGAAGTCCAAGTTAATGTAGGTAATTATTTTATCTATTGAAGATCTCACCATTAGAAATTCAATCCTTTCAATCCCCGCCTTAGAAGGAATCATAAAAAGAAAAAATTGCCTAAAATTGAAAAACCTGTATTGAGAAGCAAATAAATAATGAGATAATATTTTTCCGAAAATAAAGTACATTCTGAAGATGAATTTCAGAGTGATTGAACACATTTGTTTTATGTATTTAGTATATACAATTACTCTTAAATCACTGACTCTTTAATTGCTATTTTTAATATATTTAGACTGTTATTATAGAATTTCGAAACAAACACTTATAAATTCTTTTTCTTCTATTTTTATCTCATTCATAATAATTTTTTACAATTTTCCTGAAAAAATAATAAATCTAGAAGCCCAAAAATAAAGTTGTGTTAAATTTAAAATTTTCCAATTTTAGTGCAAAAGCCTTAAAATTAGATAGGATTGCTTTTCTTGATGATTTAAATCTATATATAACAAGAATTTCTAATAGATCTTTTGATAATTAGATAAATAAGTTAACAGAATAACAAATTATTTTAATTGATTATTATAATTAGATATATATTAATACTCATTACTTTAACTTTAGAATGACATAAAATATGAGATGTAACAATCGTAATTCAAAAAGAAAATAAATTTTGATTTCTACAACGATTTAGTATGATTGATTCTAAATAATTCAAACAATAACATCTAAATCATTAAAATTGTTAAAATATTAAAAGAATATTTAATTTATTTTGACTGAATTTAATATAAATGGGTATTTTAACTCATTTCAAATGCATAAATGGAAAGCAAATAAAGTTAATAAATTAATGAAAATACTTTATATTAAGAATTCAAGAAATTTGCATAGTATCAAAATCATAGTTTCAAAGAGATTCTTATAATTTAATTCAAAATAATAATATAGCCGAATAAAATTATTAAACAAAGAATAAGACCTTGAGAAATCAAAAATATTTATACTTGTAATACTGTATTTTTGGAATTCAGTAACTTTTGGCAAATTAGAGATTTATGAAACTAGAAATTAGTAAACCATTATTATTTTTATTTATTCTTTTTGTTCTTGATGAAATTAATTAAATTATACTTATGATTACGCATATCATTCAATTTCACCTGGGTTACAAGTATTTTAGAACAAAGATCTTAAACACGAATAAAAAATATATAGATTATTTATTTTAAAGAAAATCTAACGAAATTTAAATGAATGCAATAAGTAAATAATTTAATTTATTTTATGAAATGCGAATACAATACTCAATCTTTTTAACTTGGTTAATGATTTTCCCATTCTGGTGTAATTATTGGATTCATTTATGCCATATATGCGACCACCCACATTAACCAAGCACAAAATGTAGCAATAGTCACACTTACAAGAGTTATTCTTAATTCATATTGATTATTACGTTCTATTTTCAGGAACATCATGGGGATTTTTTGTTTTTTTAGAAACATAAGAATTGAACCCAAAACATGCAGCTACTCCTAAGACCATATAAATTATTGATCCAACCAAGATCGATGAACCATGACTCATTGCCATTTTAATAAAATAAATAAATTATATAATTATATAGATTGACATTATCAATTACTCTTCATTGTATAAATTTCAATGAAATATTCCCTTTCGGAATATGGAACATAATAGTTATAAATCATATCAAAATGAGTAAAATTGAGTAGATTTATATTATAATTTACTTATCAATTGATTGTCAAAATCACCATCCATCGCTAAATACATCTTCATCAAATTCCACTTGTTGTTGTACTTATTATTCCCCATCCTTTGTAGATAATGCTTAAATATATTTATTCTATAGTTTCTAAAAAAATATTCTAAATAATATGAAATTTTACTAATTAAAGGAGGATTCTTGATATGAATCAGACAGATTCCAATCCTTTTGAAATTATTTTATGTCATATTCGGACTGTCCCTTGAACTATATAGTCATTGCTAAACAACAATTAATAAATTCGATAAAATGTTTCGCTTAGAATAAATGAGCACCTCGGATAAATTGAATAAATATGTCAATGTTTTTATCTCTGATTGCAATATCCAAAAAGGGTTTAAAATGATCCAATAAGACCTTGCCAAAAACTTTTTCATTTTCTTTCAATTACATGGGCTTAGGGAATTTCATTTTTTCAATATCGAATTAGAATTCTTCATAAAACAATTTCAATGCTTATAAAAAATCTCCAGTCACAATATCTTCAAACACTATATCTTAGTCAATTAAATAAGGCTCTAATCCTTTTGCTAGGTCGACGATTTATTTTGAAATGTTAATCCTCACATTGTCTTTGGAAATAATTGTTATCATATTATTTTAAAAATAAATTGAATTTATATAACCAAAACTTTCTTTTTAATAATATATAATTAAATAGAGAATCCTTTTCAAAAACAAATCTTCAATTTTACAATTTAAACAATGCTACATTGAATATTATAGTATGAGAACAATATTCTTGATATTTAGATTATAAATTATCATATATACAAGTAATAATCACAAATTAAAGAAGATTTGACTTTCTCATACTTTATTCTTTATTTATTCAGCCTCAAAACAATAGCCTTCGAATTAAGCTAAAGGTTTAAATTTATTAATACATTATTGCTAATCATTCAAAATTATTTTGTTCATCTGTTTTTTATTCTCACAACATTATTAACTATTTTCCACACAACTAAATTTTCTTTTGGGTTAATAAGGTGGAATAATGATTTTAGATTGTAAATTCTGCCAGTTGAAATTTTAAAACCATCTATGATTCTTAACATCACTTGGAGAATTAGCACCGAGCCTATTTTCTGGTTTTCTTTATATTAGCTAAATTTAAATTTTTAGAAGATACTTTATTTATAAAGTCTCCAGCCTCTAAGCTCCAGCCAATCGGAAGCTGGGATTGTTTAATTTAAACTTATTAAGATAGAAATAAATCCCTAATTTGATTGGCATTTGTTCCTCTGTATGGTCTTTTTCCAAACATACATTCATAAGCTATAACACCTAATGCGAAGTAATCAACAGCTATTCCATGGTTTTATTTGCACATAATTTCCGGTGCTATGTAGCCCAAAGTCCCATTTATCTCCTAGGAATTGTTGGGCCTCCATATTGAGGCCAAACCAAAATCTGTTAATCTGAGATAACCTCTATGATCCATCACCAGATTTTCAGGTTTAAGGTCTCTATGAATAATCCCTTGCGAATGAAGATAGTCTAAGGCTACTATTATACAGGCGATGAAGAATTCTTTCATAAGTTAAAGAATATTACTTGTTTATTCTTCCGAAAACACCTTATTGTAATTTAAATGTTATCTAAAGTCTCCTCCAGTCAACAGATCAAGTGTTAGGTATAATCTTTTTTTATCTTGGAAGGATGAAATAAGATTAACTAGAAATGGATGCCTAATAGAAGTGAGTATGTTTTGTTCCTACATCACAACAGTAGCATATTACTTCCTTATTATTCTAAATTTATTGACTATACTTACAATTCCTTATCCATGACCTTCATAGCAAAGTATTCCTTAGTTTTTTTCCTTTGAACCTTCCAAACTTTCCCAAAATTTCCCTATCCCAAGAGTTCCAAGAATTCAAAATTCCTTGATGATTGATCTAGGATAACAACTAAAGTATACTTAAATCTTCTTCTTCTATCTCTTAACCGTAGATATTGCAATTACCCATAAATAATATTAAATTCATAATTGATAGACAAGTTTAATTAGTATATAATGCACAAAATTTCTCTATTAATTAAATTTAATAGTTAAGATCTATTTAGACTACCGAAAGTAGTTTAGAACCTTTGAACTTAAAATTGAATGTTTCTAAGATACAATTTATGTCCTGCTCATTTACATAAACATAGATTTCTAAAATTTGAATTCTGATTAAACTTTGTTTTAATAGAGATTTAATTAATTTAATATAAAATAAATATATATATGAGTTAAAAATTTCACTGGGCAAATGTAGGAAATTAAAACATACAAGGCTACAGGAATTGTCGAGCCTATTGTTATTAAAATAATTTACCATTGATTATAATTAATGATATTACATTAACAATTATTCATACTTTGAGTTTATTTAAAATTTATCTTGTTATAATTGATTAATTCTGCTTTGTAGATATAGGTTCTAATTATTAATGAATAAGGTACTTAAGTACTCAGTTATTGGATGATCAAAGCTTAATGTCTATTAGCTTCTTCTGCTTATTAATATAAATTTGTCTCGTTATTGTCCTAAATTGCCTCAACTTTTACGAACTTTAAATTTTATTCTTCCAGTTAAGATTTTTTCTGAATGTTATCTAAAATTAATATGAATATTAATACCTTCATTATTTTATCCTAAATTCTTGATGGTCTTCGATTTTATTTCCCTTATTATTTTTTTCGTTATTCTTCCTTCCCTTCTAAAAATCTGCATAATTGCTTTGGCTGTTGAAAAGTTGATACTCAAGTCTTTGGCGGCACTCTTAATTGTACAACCAGTAGATGTAACTCTTTCAATCAATGCTTGTCTCTATTTATTTGAGATTTTTGCGTATTTTAAACCGAACTTGCCTAAGGGATAAATAAATAGATCTACCATTCTTTTTTTAATCATCTCCGTTTAAGTCATTTGTGAGTTTTTTTTGATGTGACTTGTTGTTTATTTTATTTTCTAAATCAAATGACGAATCTGAATCATGAGAACACTCAGAAGAGCTAGAAACCTATTCTTCAACTCCATCTGCTTTGACATACTATTACTCTAACATTAAATCCATATTCAATGGGAAAATCAATTTAAATAATTGAAAAAAGTGTTGATACTTAATTTGCTTTTATACAATTAATTTGCATTATATATTGAGGTGAAATTAGAACTTCAGAAATTCTTTTCTTCCAAAACTTCAATTAAAGATAAATCAATCAAAGCTTACCTTCATAAATGTATAATTATAAAACTCTAATCATAAATTAACACATAATCAAAATATTAAAAATTATTATATCCAGCACGCCTAGTCACCAAACACTAGAAACCCTACTCCCATATTTAGCTACAAAGATGGCATAAAAGAACCAGTTTCTTTTGACTAGCTATATAAGAATAAATAATTTAATTGTCTTTATCATTTGCTGAATATTCAAGTTTATTTAGGCATATTTAATTTTTTTTAATTATCATGAACTAATTATAATGAATCTTTTGCTTTTAACTAATTTTACTACTTAGTAATAATATTAATTAATTGATTGTTTTAAATCAACTAAAACCAATTACATTAAATTTATATATATTTAAATTTTCATCTTAAGGTGTTTATTTTTGTTGTCCTGAGTAAAGTTACACATCTTCTTTAAATATTCAAATTTTTAATAGATTCTATTGCCAATTCCAAAGAAAACTCTTCTTTTATATAGTTATGTTTTAAGACGTAATCAAAGAGTTATTGCTTCTATAATACAAAAGAAAACTAAAGAGACATAAAATTAAATCAAGTTTTTAGACGAAAACATAGTTTGTTACTATTTTTAAAGAATTCAAAACGATTAACGATAAAAAAAATAATTGAGACTTTTTCTGAAAAATATTTCTTTTTTATTTTGATCAAAGGAGAATGAAAATTTATAAATAGCCACTCAGAAACTCAAACCAACCCCAATTAACCATTTCATTTCTTCTTCTTTTTGAATTTAAATTAAAAACATTCTATTAATTTTTTATGAATATTAGTGTTTTTCGATTTAAGATTCTTAAATATATATAGATAATATAATTTGTTTCTTCTAATATAATCATATTTTGATAACTAAAAATTCTATAGATTGCATATATATATATATATTTCAGATTTAATTCTAATTAGAATAGTTTGAATTTCAAATGTACTTTTAAGATGATTATTTATGCTTTTTAATTAAATCTTTGACATTTTCCTATTTCTGCTTTTTAATAGTTTCTAGCCTCGCATTTCTTGACCCACTTCTACTCATACTTGATTTGCTCTTATTTCTTTTATTGTCTAATTTCTTTATATTTTCTTTCATCTCTTTTGCGGGTCTGATTGCTAAAGTTTCATTTTCTGTGTATAAGGATTCTTTGGTGATTGATTTTCTAATTTATTGATTTTATGATTTGCGTTTATTAAAGAAGATTTCGTTTTACAATTGTTAAACTGTATTTTTTGTATGTTCTTAATCTTAGATTACACTATCCAATACTATTTTAAGATCATTTAATTATTGTTAATGAGTTAGACTACTATTTAATTGTCTTTCTGATTCATTTATTTTTTGTTATTGTTCTGATTTGACATTTAATTCAAACTTCGATAATCTCTATTCTAACTTTTAATAATCAGTCTTTAAAGCACTTTGCTTCAATTCATCCATAATCACATCAATCTTTCTATTAAGTATTAATTCAAACTCTTATAATATAGGTTGTTCTTTTTAATAAGTTTATTGAATTTCAAATAATTCTTATTCAATTTTTCCATTTTGCATTTTTAATTTTGTCAATTCATTACTATATATTTCTTCCATTGATATATTAACGTGATTTCTTATATTTGCATTTTCTTATTCCTGAGTTGTTGCAAAATGCTACAATAATTTGATTAGTTTTATAAAATTCTCAAATTTTTCATCGTGTTCCTATAATGTTTCTTCAACCAGCCTCATTCTCTCTTCATATTTCTAATACACTACTTTTGATGTCTAAATAAAAATTCAGTTTACTTTTTATAGTTGTTATTCTAAATATTGTATGTAATTATCCTTATTTTAGCATATCTTTGATCTGTCTTCGCTTGTTGTACGTAAAACTGGTGAAGTATTTCTTTTGTGTTTTTCAGAATAGCTCATGATTTGATATCAAAATTTACTGTTAAATAAAATAATTTAATTCAATTCTTTTCAAATATATAACTATTCTTTAGATAAAATGATAAATATAGTTAAATTATTTTATGTGTGACCATTAATTGAATTATTGATCAAAATATTAGATATCTACTCATAAATCTATAACATATACTTAATTATCAACTAAAATAAATGATTATTAAGGCTTATTGATATTTATTTCCAAGATTTAAACGAAGATGATCCTTAATAATTAATAGGAATATCAGATTATCATTTTATCTAGAAAAATGAGCCTCTTACATAATTCATCAAAGAAAAAGAAAAAATGAACCTCCTATATATGAATTGGCTTGATGATGCCAAAGAAACAGGAATAATTGATAAATAACACAAGAAAATCAAAAAGAAGTTGATTTCCTGAAGTAAAAAGAAAGATATACTCTCAAGTTGAGATTCACTTTTTGTCTAAAATGAAGGATCTAACTAATAATTATCTTGTTTTTGAATAGAAAATATCTAAATAGGATGAAATTAGAGGCTAAAAACTATATTATTATTATATAAGATAAGTGGATAAAATTTGAATTAGAATTAAAGTCACTTTACATAGCAATATTTAACAATTTTTATTGTTAGGTTTATGAATTAAGTAGAGATAAGATATTCTAGTTTCTTAGTTAAAAAAAAAGTCAGAGAGCATACCAAATCATTCTATTATGCTTTGATAATTAAAATTGAAATTATTTAAAAGTAGAATTTATTGTCACTTAAATCCCTAAACAATTATTTGAAATATTGTCATTAAAACCTTATTAGTTCACCAAATTTTCAGCCATAATTTGATCAACAAATGCTTCTTACAATATTTTTAAAAAATTCTAAAATGTTGACAGAGCAGAGTTGGAGAAAATATAAGAATAATACAATAGAATTATTTGTGTAAAGACCCTAATTTCATCAATCCATATTGAATAATATACACATGATATTTGTTGTCTTTCAATAAGAGATTGAGTCAAAAAATGATGATAATTTATTGATTTATAAATATAATAAGAATGCATTTAATATGTAGTAAAAAGATGAAAATTTTTAATAACAAATATGAATAAATTTTTCAATAATTATTCCATTATTCTCCCCATAATGTTGTAAGTGATTTATAATCTTAATAATTTTAGCGAGATAAACCATGCTGAGAGCTAGGAAAAAATGTTCCTCTAAAATTTTGCACTGCTGTTCGAGGTACTCTTAAATTTGGTTGTTGTGGGTAGATATCATCTTCTAATTTTAATACTTTATTTTTGTTTTCTAATTATGAATTCACATTAGTAGGTGGAGTAAATAAGGTTCTGGAAGGTTATTAAATAATATCGTATCCTATGGCTGCCTTCTTTAATCTTTCTTCAGGGACATTTTAATGAGATTTATAAACTTCACTTATTAACGGAAAATTCGGATGAGCTTAGTAATATATGGTTCTCTTTTTTAAAGAGGAAATGACTGGCTTGATGCTGATAGTTTTTTTTTCGACTGTCTGTGATTTCTTCAATTAAACTTATGAGGCTTTTTTTATAAGGTTTGGGGTAGACTTTCGATGATCGTCTTACTACAACACCTTTTCCCAATGTTCTTGTTTTTTTTGTATTTCAATTTTATTCATCTCCTCTATATTTCTTTAATGCTCATCTTATAAAAGTTCTTTTTGTATTTCTTCATTTATTTTGAGTATTTTCTACAATGCTTTTCCGTTGCTTTCCAAATCATCCTATTATATAAAATTTTTAGGGTCTAATTCTTTATTGTAAATTTTCTTTTCATTAAAAGAATTTTGTTAAGATGAATTCGAGTTCTTATTCAAGACCTTATTCACATATTTCTAATTTTCATGTAAAAATAATTTAATTAATTAATCACCAAGGAAATAGTTAGCCAATTTAAACTTCTCTCTGAAATAATTTTTAAAATAAGTATCCTAATATTTATGAGTGAAGTCTAAGTCTCCTTTTACAGGTTTATAGGATGATTTCACAATTGATTCACATTTCACCTTCTATTTTTGGAATCCTTTATCAAATTCCTTGAAGATTATTTAATATTTCTCTTTTTATTCTTCTAAGGCTCTTTCAACTTAATCGAAGATCTAAATGTCTTTTTATTTTTATATGTCTTTATCTAAGTCTACGTTGGTTTGCGATACTCTTTCTTTTTTTAATCCATTTTCTAACTCTTAAAATATTTGTATTTCAGTTTCACTTAAATCCATTTGTTACTCGGGTTCCTTTTAGATTGGCTAATCTTAAAGAGATTTCTTCATAGTTTCTTAATATTTTCTTGCTAAAGATTCTTCCAGCACTTAAATCAAATTAACGCCTGCTCTCATTCTTTATAACCTTTTTTCTGAAAACTTAATTTCAGTATTTAAAGATTAAGGATTTTGCTTAATACTATTAATTTTGACTTTTTTAATTTCTTAGCGGTTCTCCTCAATCTATTTTGTAAATTTATTATAAAACCTTCTTTAAATTCAAAAGAATCTCTTTAAATTCTACTAGTCCGCTTCGATAAGTTTCCACAAATGATTTATATTTCTTCACAAAGTCTCTGTCATTCTTCTCTGATAATTTGCTTATATCACTCTAAATAAGATTCATATAATTCTTTACTTCTATCCACTCCAACAAATTTCTTAATTTGTCACTCATTTCATTCTCATAATATTCTCTTTTCAATATTTTTTTTGCCTCATCAAAAACATTCTTAAATTGCATTTCAATTTCCTTTTTCCTTGCATTATGTTCACTTTCTTGAATTTTCTTCTTCTGCTCTTCAATCTAATCTGGTTACATAATAATAATTAATTATATTTTTTATAATAATAGTATTATAAAAGTAATAGTATTCCAAACTTATTCAAATATACTTAAGTAAAAACATCCAAAAATTCTGCATGTAAACTGGGGATTAGTAACATACAATGATTCTTGCTATAATATAGAATTTAAATGAGCATTATTCAGAAAATCTATGATTTTTGTTTATTTACATTTTCTCTATTGAATTAAAGTAATTCTTTTTTTAAATAGACTAACATAATCAAATATTACAAAAAATGAAAAAGAATTACAATATTGTAAATATTAGGTTTATGGAATGATTAATAAATGTTATATATAAAATGTTGTATAAATAGGTAATAGAAATGATGAATCACATTAATGTATAGTATTTATCAGAAATTACGAAATTGTGTATTTATAGCTGATAGAGATTCATTATTATTATTATATATATTTTTAGAAATGTTTAACTAAAATTTTTGTGGCATCGTCGTCTAAAAAGATGATATTAAATATGATGCTCAATGTATTTCTTTCAGAGAAATTGCATTTTAAGAAGTTCATAAAAATAAAAAATTTGATGGAAGAAAGATATACGTTAGAGTATATACATGTATTGATATCAATTTAAACGATATGGTTTACTTCCAAAACTATGACATATATAAGAAGGATAATATAAACTAAATAAGGTTGACAGGTTATAGAGGAATTAGCACAGAGTATCAAGGAAACATTGAATGTAGGTGTGTTTGTAATAGGGAAATCTATAGAAGAATGGAATGCTTATAATAGAGGAAGAGGTAGTTTTAAACAAGATTAGTTTAAACTAGAATAGAAGACTATTTCAATTAATGAATCTCTATTACTAAGGCATTCTGATTTTGAATATATTATTATTATTATCATTATTATCATTATTATCATTATTATTATTATTATTATTATTATTATTATTAATTAATTATTAAATAATCCTTAAGTATTAGGAGCAGATTATATTAGGGGATGCATACGAACATTTAAAATTAATGATCAAAAGTTCAAGTAAAAATCAATTTTATTAAAGTAGATTAGGTAGAATATACAACATTTTCATCTTGAATGTAAGTTGCGAATAATTGTTTAGTTAAATAATATTTAAATATAAAATATATTAAATAATAATCTAACAACCTGGATGAAAAGTGATTATAAGTGATTGAGGAGGAGGGAGAGGAATGCATAATAGAGATTGATCAATTTGGGGGGTACGAAAGATGAATAGTAGACAAAGAGTACTATGAAATATGATGGACAATAATTTTGGATGATCTGATTGATCAAAGAAGTTCAAATATGGGTTGAAAGGGAGAGGATTCGTGATTTAATGGTTAGAAAGAGCAATATTGAGGAGTGAAATTAGTGGGAGAGGTCGATTTGTGTTGGAAGTGATTTTATGATATAAAATTATTTTGTGATTGTTTTAAGGCTTTCTTCTTTTATTCAACAATATGTTGAAAATAACAGCATACAATGGATGAAAATTGTGCTACTGAAAAATATATAAAAAATTACAAATAAGAATTGAGAATATGAAATTTATGGGGGACTATACGCATCTTACATTTATTTAGAAATGACATCATAAATTAAACATACGCATGATTTTGATAGGGATTATTTAATGTAATTTAAGTGAGGTGGATTCAAATCTTTTTATTTAAATCAAAAGTTTTAATGGACGCTGAGGATTACAAGGTAAAAGACATTACATAAGCCGATTTTGGAAGAAAGGAAATTAACTTGGCTGAAGTAGAAATGCCAGGTTTGATGTCTGCTAGAGAGGAATATGGACCATAATAAATTTTGAAGGGAGCTCGTATCTCTGGATCATTACACATGACCATCTAAACTGCTGTTTTAATTGAAACACTCTAAGCTTTGGGAGCCTAAGTCAGATGGTGTTCTTGCAACATCTTCTCTACTTAAGATCACGCTGCTGCTGCTATTGCTTAAGCCAAGTCCGCAGCTGTGTTTGCTTGGAAAGGTGAAACCTTATTAGAATATTGGGAATGCACAGTCAGAGCCTTGGATTGGGGAAATGGTCAAGGACCCACTTTGATTGTTGATGATGGTGGTGACATGACAATGATGCTATTGGAAGGTGTCAAATGGGAAAAGAAATACGAAGCTAATGGTGAATTACCAGAACCAGCAAGAGCTGAATCTGAAGATGAATAAGCATTTTTGACAGTCTTGAGAAGAGAAATCTAATAAACACCAAACAAATTCAGAAACTATGTTGCTCAAGTCAAGGGAGTTTCAGAAGAAACAACCACTGGAGTTCATAGATTAAAGTAAATTGCTGCCAAAGGAGAATTATTATTCCCAGCCATTAACGTTAATGATTCAGTTACCAAATCTAAATTTGATAACATCTATGGATGCAGACACTCAGTTATTGATGGTATTTTCAGAGCCACCGATGTCATGTTGTCAGGAAAGAAAGCATTAGTTTGTGGATATGGAGATGTCGGAAAAGGATGTGCTTAAGCTTTGAAGGGATAAGGTTGCAGAGTTTATATCACAGAAGTTGATCCAATCTGTGCTCTCCAAGGATGCATGGAAGGATATGAAGTCGTTAGACTTGAAAAAGTTATTAAAGACATTGATATCTTCATAACAGCTACTGGAAATAAGGATATTATCACAGCTCAACACATGTCTTAAATGAAACACAATGCTATTGTTGGTAACATCGGACACTTTGATAACGAAATTGACATCAAAGGTTTGAAATAATGGGAAGGAATTAAGAGAGTCCAAATCAAACCATAATGTGATTAATGGATTTTCCCTGATGGACATGGAATTATCATGTTGGCTGAAGGCAGATTACTTAACTTAGGTTGTGCCACAGGACATCCATCATTTGTTATGTCTAACTCATTCACAAACCAAACCTTGGCTCAAATTGAATTGTGGGTTAACAGAGACAATGGAAAATATGGAAATCAAGGTACTTTTAATATTAATTTCTTTAGTTTACAAATTACCAAGAGAACTTGACGAGAAGGTTGCAGTCCTCCATCTTAAGAAATTAGGTGCTGAACTTACCGTCTTGACTAATGACCAAGCCACATACATTGGTGTCAGCTAAAATGGTCCATTCAAACATGAAGATTACAAATATTGATCTATTGTATAAAATAAATAAACAAACACACCATCCAAATCATACTTATAAATTCTTTTAGGAATTTCTTAAAAGTAATTTAAATTCCCAATTACATTTACAGTCATGATTTAAATAAATTCTTATAACATGACTAACTCTATATCATTCTACTTCCATATTTGATTAATTATAAAAATGATATTATATTGATAACCTAGTGTTTGATGTTGAGTTATTTAATATTCAAATATTCTTGTGTATCTTAAAAAAATATAGTAAATAATAAAATAACTTTTTATTAGAATTCAATTCTTATACATCCTAGAATATTTTAACTGTTTCAATATCTCTTTATTATTTGATTTGGTGAATCTTGAGAAAATGACTTTGAACTGTCCTAAATCTCTAAAATTTTACCCTTAATTTATCATCGAATATATTAAATATATTATATACTACAATATCTCAAAAGAATTTTTTGTTAAGATTGCTAATCATCAACAATGTTTCTACTTAAATGATTTCATATTTAATAGTCAGGTTATCAATTATATATATTAAAAATAGATTATATTGAAATCATCTTTCCTTTTTTACTCAATCTCCACAAGTATTCATCCTAGTAGTGGCTGTCCTTCTTGATACAGGCTTTTGTGTTTTCCCTATGCCTTTATGTTGTGATATTGTTTGTTTTTATTATGGTTATGAAATTGGAGCTTGCTTCACACTTTTCTCTGGAGTAGTAGCTTCGCTAGGAGGCTTAAAAGCTATGGAGCTGGGAAATGAAGTTTTGTGATTGTGCATATTATTAGAATTGATTGTTATCACTTAAGACATTGGAGTTTGAATTCCAGCTTGAACTGAATTATAATTACTAAGATGTTGAAGAGTTTAATTTTCACTTCTCACACTCAAAGTTTCTGTGATATTTGTATTTAATAAATATGTGATTAGCAAAGTAAAGGGCTTTATAATCTTCTTGAGGAGTTTATAGCATTTTCCTTAATCAAATATTTTCATCATATTCTCTAAAGAATTAATTTCAAGCATGCATTGTAGGGAATTGTTAGTAGCAATCAAATTCATTAAATCTATTAGCAATTTACCCACTTTATCCTTTCTTTTAGCTTAATCTTTGGATGGTGCAAATAAGGATAAACTGGGTTTAGTTCGCTCACTACGCTTTAAATCATTTAATTTCTAGACAGCCACTTACTTTTCAGATTCAGAAATAAGAAGTCTAAGCTATAAATCTTTTATACTGTTATTAGTTTTATTCATAAAAAATATTATATATTCTCAATTATAATTTGTTATTTATATTCCATCCATAAATCTAGTAAATATCATTCTCATTCTTCTGAACTTAAAGTTATCTATGAAAATAGATAATAAAAGGTAAAGTATTTAATATTTATGAAATTATTGTTACCGTACTGTTTAAAGAAAGAATAGTAATTTATACAAACACATTCTCTTTTAAAATCAATAAGAACCTAAAATTCTATTATTTCATCTAATAATAGGAAGTAAAATGATTTCCAACTTAAATTGATTTAATTTAAATTTTTAAGTATAATTATGTATATAGAGATTGAATTCCTATCCATGACTTATTACATTCGAAACCCTAAGGTAATTTGATTCAGAATATCTGCCTATTTCTATTTGAATAGACTCTTAGACAATAGATAGAGAATTGATTGGATTAATATTAGAATTAATTATAATGTGTGCCATAAAAAGTTCTTATTTTTAAATATTAAAAAAACAAAAATAACTTCGACCACCTAGGGACTTGAACCCTAAACCCCCAGACCCGAAATCTGGTGCTCTACCAATTGAGCCAGACGGCCATATTCAATTATGTTTACATTATTAACAATTAATATTAAGTCAATTTCAATTACATACAGATTAGCAACACCTTTTGAGACATCTACAGAGATGACAAGTCTTAGATAATAAGTATCCAATTCCATAAACAATCATTCCTAATCCTGCCAAGGCTAAAATAGGAGACAGCAGCACATAAATTAACAGTTTCAATATGGCTCTAATGCAAATTAAAATTTTAGGATATGCATATGGATCTCGTTCTTGATATTATTCTCCAGGACAATTACATGGATTCATCCAATCATAATGAATTGAGGTATACCTGCATCCACAGAGCCAACAAAAGTCATAATGACACTTTGTGCAGGTCATATGATTGCAGCCACCATTTTTGAGTATGTTAGCTTTACAATTAGGACATTTTTATATTTTATAATTTTGTAATGCTTAAGCGAATACTTAGTCGACACTTTCTTGGCAAGTTTTGTTGGGATGATTTGGGTTTCCACAATCAAAGCAAAATTATTATCCACAACTGCATTATAGTATTTTTTCTTGTCCTTACTGGAAAACAAAATTAAAACAATCAGGCCTTGGACACCATTTACCATTGACTACATGTTCATATTGCTTAATTAACAAGAACCTTCAGTATTGATGATATTACTACCTTTAATATTTCAGATAAACCTCTTGATTGATATTTTATTTAATTAACAGTTCGCTCAAAACTGTGCAACAACCAAATTACGGACATGTGATCTTCTATACTTCTCCAGATATTATTTTATTGTATAAGTATAAGGTTATGCATTTCTGACAAAACTGATGATTGCACTATTCTATGATTATGATATTGCTAAGTTCGTTTAGACAAATCTAACATGTTTATTTATTTAGCTAAAAGGGTGATGGTTATCTTATCTATATTTAATGAGGCTCTATAATGTGCCTTCTACTTTAGAACTCCTAAATTAACCTTGAGTCAACATCGTTGGAAAGTGAGCGATATGTTAATTCCGATATCATCAGATTCTCTGGGTCATTATTTTAATTAATTAAGATTGAGGACAACCCATAGGTTTTCACTCCATTATTTATTTTCAACATCTAATTATATACATAAGAGTTAGCTTTAACTATTGATTAACTACTCAATTATAAACTATTCTCTAGTTCATCTTAGAAAACCACATTCATTGATGAAGGTTTTAAATACTTAATATAAATTATATTGTATAAATTAGTTTATTTTTTGAGCTATTCAATTAAATCTGTTTAAATGATTATATAAATAGAATTTTATTAATGTTCCATTTTTCATTGCTACTATAAACTTTGCCAATCATGAACTATTTTTTAGTAATTCATTCTCAACTTCATAGATTAGTATCCTCAATTATTTTAAGTGTCTTATGAACATAAAATATTTGTTGACTCATGTTTTTCATCTTTATATATTTTCTATACTGCATAAATGTAGTAGCAATGTTATTATTATAACATCTCAATCTCTTATTAGAGTAGTAAATAACAAATACAATAAATCAGATGATTTCTAATTCACCAAAAACTTCAATTATCTATATTATTTAAGTAGACGTATGAATTCTTCGCTTATCCTTAAAGTTTACTAGTTATAGCATATACTCGCTGTTATTGAATTTTGAACAATATAACTTGCTTTTATTGTTAAAATATTTATTCTACAAAAATTATTTTTAATTTAATTATTCATGTGCTAATAGAATTAGATAACCTATTTACTATATTTTTAGATAAGCATACATCCATCTCTAACATTTCTTCTCCATACAATAAATCATATAATTAGAAGTTCTTAAATTGACTAAGCAAAATCGCAAATATAGTTTTAATTTTATTATAGATTAATATAAACAATATAAAAAATATTTATGGAAATCTTTAGGGCCGCATTTTATAAATCTGGATTATATCATCTTAAACCCAAGAAATCAGCAGCAGTAGTATTTATTTTATTTGGTTTTGGTTTTGTTTATGGTTTCAAAAAAAAATATGATCATATATAAAGATAATCACAAATAAAAAAAAGTAACATTGATGAGAATGTTCCAGAACCAGAAATATAACCATAACCATAACCTTAACCATAACCAAAACCACCATCGAGAATTCAACTTGTAGATATTAAAAAAAGCGAATTGCTAGAATAAATTTATAATGAAACATTAAGAGCTAGAGATGTGCCTGAAGAATTCAAACCATTTATAGGTGATTAAAAAGGTCAAGATTATTTACTTGAAGAATATGGCTTGAATAATTAACAAGTCAAATAACAATTATAAACTCTTTTGAATGGTATGAGAAGAGCAAGAGGAGATGGTAATTGTTTTTACACATCTTTTGGATTTCAATACCTAAGGCATATGTTTACAAAAGCATCAGATTAACAATTCGAAGAATTTATCAAAATGATTTAATCGCTTCCTTTTTCAGTAATACACTCTGAACAATTGTACGAATAAAATGAGGAAATGTGTTAAAAATTTCTTAATTACTGTGAATATCTGAGAACTGTAGAGTTAGAATAAAGAGAGCAAGAATTCTTACGACTATTTTCAAATCCTGAAGAATAATTCTATGGTTTATGTATAATATTTCTCAGAAATTTAATATATAAATTTTGCTTTGAGGATGAGGAAACTAAAAATATATTTGAAGCATTCGACTTGGATTTATAAAAACAAATTTTGACTTGGGAATATGATTGTGAAAATAATCAATCGGTTATTAATATATTGACGAGAAAACTACATATGTAATTACTTTTATTACATTCTTAGCGATATCATTTTGTATTTTATAGATGAGGATAGTCGAAAATTATAAGTTTAAGAATATAAAATTGGAAATGCGTAGACTTTGCTTGAAATACATATAATATTTAGGCCTGGTCATTATAATGTGGCTATCCCTAATCAATGATATAAAAATATTCATCCAAATAAATAATTATTATTGTTTAAAATATTAAAAATATATAAACTATCTATATATGAGAATATTAGTATTTAAGCATGACTTTACTTAATAATTTTAAATCCTTAAAACCAATAACAGTTATAAATGTAGGAACTTCATACACAATAAGGGAATACGAATATATCTATTTTATTTTAAAAACAAAAATCACTATGCTATAGTAATCCTAATCTATTAAAATTATCTTTAATAATATGATAAATTAAAGTAATTAATCAATTTTGTAAATTCAAGGAGTGAGAAACCTCTAAACTTTTTAATGCAACTCTTTTAACTAATATTTCTTAATAGGACCATCTATTAATGTGTGCCAAATTAAAACCGACTGCCTTTTTTCTTATATTCCAAATAAACTAACCGCCCCAAATTTTCCCATTATTGCATAACGATTTATAGTTATATCTTAGTACATTTTTAGCAGTTCTTCTTCAATTTATACCGCTTAGTTTTCACAATTCTCATTTTTGCAATAATTGATTTGGAATTGATGTTTAAGAGATTTGTAATCCTGTTTGCTCATTTTGTTGTGTTAATTAGGATTTTCTTAATTGATTTCGCTTTTGTTTTTGAAATTTAAATATGCCTCATCTTACCTCTTTGCTATGTATACAAATCGAAATTGTTCTATTTCACTCATTTATTCCCACTCTTTTCTTGCAAGTTACTGTGTTTCAAGATGGGGACATGCAATATTGTGTTTTTTTAATTTATATTTGAATTCCTCATAAAATAGATTAAATGGATCAATATTCATTAAATATATATATTAAAAAGTTAAAAAATTCACTTATTTTACATTTTTAATGCATACACTTTTTTCTTCTTTTTAAAAATCGTGTATTCTCTTTTTCTGGGAAATTGTTGCATCTGCATTTGAGGTAAATCAAATGAAAACTATCTCACTTCTGATTTGCAGTTAATAGGACTTTATTGTTGATTTTGTGTACAATCTGTAAATAAAAAGGAATTTAATGTTTTTTTCCTTAACGGAGATATCGAACAGGGACTTTTTAGTTGAAATTAATTAAAGGAAGTTTGCTCTATAGTGCTATTAAAGTAATCACCAGACTAAGCAACATTGTTCTGCATTCGTCTTTAATGTGAATATGGTTTATATTTGGTGTAGATAAAAGGCATGTATTTGCGTTATGAAACTTATTCTTCGTTGCTGAAACTGAAAACCTATTCATTTTGCCTGTTTGAATACTAATTTCTATGAGAGGGTGTAAGTGAATGGAATTTATTAATGTGTAGACTTCTATTTTTGAATTAACATGAATTCATTAATATATCGAAAGCACAAAGAAAATAAAAATTATAAATCTGAATAAATCATTAGTTTTAATCCCAATATTAGTTGAGCTTAATTATTTTGATTTTTTTATATGTAGTCTGATTTCATCATAATGCCTGAAGAATTATATTGTTTATGTTGAAATAAAGTAAAACAAACACATCAAAGAAATTGAATATAGTTTTTATTTAAGAGAATGATAGAGGCTTGGCTGCTATTGAATTTAATAATTATCTTAAAAAATTAAAGATGAATCATAATATACTTGCTATTTCATTTATTATTATTTTATTAATAGCAAATAATTATATTAATAAACATATGAATTACTTTAGAAAAGCAAATTATACGCCTGTGAGAGCAAATCAAGAAAAAGCTCTCCTTTTGCCGAATATATTTTTGTTCTAACAATCTCCAGAAAGAAAATCTATTCATTAACTAAAAGGAAAAAATCTAAAATACGGATTGAAAAAATTAGATATTTCAACTAACACAGTTGATTTAAAATCTGATAGAACTAAAGATCTGATAGGGAATTTATCTTATTAATCAAGAACTTTAAGTGGATTAAACATCAATAATCAACAAAAAGTCAATTAAGATTCTTATTTGATTTTAAAAGATTTACAATACAAGTTATTTGGGATTTATGATGGTCATGGCAAATTCGGTCATTTAGTTTCTTCGTTCATCAAATTTAATTTAGAAAGTATGAAAAAATAACAATCATATAGAATTTATTAAAAGTGATATAGGAAATGCAGATGAAATGAAAGTAGCTTATGAATTGTTGAATAATAAATTATTAGAGTCTAATATTGATACTCAATTATCAGGTAATATTGTATAAGAATGAGGATCGACTGGCATAAGTGTCCATATTAAAGAACATCATCTATTTTGTTGTAATGTAGGAGATTCAAAAGCAATCTTAGGGAGAAGATAGTTGATGAATAAATACTAATCAATAAGATTAAATAGATTACATAAACCAATAGGACTAGAGAGAGATAGAATCATTAAGTTTGGTGGAAGAATAGAATGTAATAAAGGTAGTAAAATTTAATGTATCTAAATAGATGTATATGGAAGACCAAGAAGTCCTTTGAGAGTTTGGATGCAAAATGAGGATATGCCAGGATTAGCAATGACAAGGTCTTTTGGAGATAAAATGGGAATTAAGGCTGGAATTATTGCAGTGCCAGAAATATTTGAAATACAACTAACAAAGGATGACCATTTTATCTTAATAGGTAGCGATGGATTATTTGAACATTTAAGCGAGGAGGATGTAGAATTAATAACAATTATTATTAGATATGTAAATTAATAAGTAGATACTATCCACTCTAGATAGAAAAAGCAGCTGATATGTTAATGCTAGAAGCTTAAAAGTAGTGGAAACTAATAAGTTTAGGTAGAGATGATATTACATTTATACTAATTTTTAGATTTTCTTGATTTAGGTGTTACAAATAATATACATAAATCAAACTTCTTCATTTTTAAATTCTGAAGGTTTGTCTTCTTCGAATTTGAGATTTCTTGTCAACCAATATCTTCTTATATATCGAAATAATATTAAGAAAACTAGAATTCCTAATATGCCACATAAAATATAAATAGCTGTGGTCCAATTTTCTGGAGTTTCATCAGTTTCTGTCAAATTTATTTTTAAATTAATTTTTGTTGATTGGAATTTCAAATCATTGGCAATCAATTCATGTAAATATTTATTAGATGAGACACTCTTTATTTGGAGCTAAGCAAATTTAAAATAATATTACATAATCATTGATTACAAATATTTACTTTGCATCAGATCTATCAATCAAAATAATTGAATTATTATCATACTGTTGAGTGTAATGGAATTTTGAGAATGAAGATCCCAATTCAATCACATTGAAATATGGGATAATTAAAGATGATTTTGTTCTATCTTCAAAATCATAAAAGGCAGCAAAATATTAGTCATTGTCGTCTTTATAAATACATACCAAAATATCTTTTTAAATCAAATATGTTTCAATAGGAGTTGTATTTTGAATATTTGTGAATTGCAAAACTAAATCAGAGTGTTCGTTATTTAAATACATTAAATAAATTGGACCGTCTTTACTTGAAATTAGATATTAATTTTCTTTATAATGGCATATTTTTTTAAATTTCAAAAATTTTAATGCTTCATTCTATTCTGTTGAGATCAAATTTTCTAATAAATTATATGAATGTATCTCTTTTAAAGTACTATCAACTAAAATAACCTTTTGTGATGTTAAAAATATTATATTTGAATCATTAAATTAGAAATCTTAGAGGTCACTAATAATTTTTTAAACCTTTAATTAATAATTGTTGTAAAGTGAAAATTGTGTATATATATCTGATCTACTTATTATTCCTATTTTAGAGCCTTAATCAAATTTTATACTGAGTAGTTAATTAAAATATGGGGTAAAATCTATATTATTAATTGATTCTGGTTTTGATTTCAAACCAGAATAAACAAACTTTTTACAAACCAAATAAAATTATAATTGATCCTACTCTAATGTAAGACAATCTTGAGTGTTATTTAAAATAGATTAACACTTATTCTCTGAACATAGAGACAAAGAAGTGTTCGAATAAATGACTCTTAAGTTATTTCCAATATAAATTAGATCGTTTAAGCCTTCATCGATCCAACTTGGTTATGTTTAATACTTACTTGCTCTCTGAATTATTTCAATTCCATCATCTACATCTTTGCTGATGATTGAGATTGGGCCATCAAAAAATGAAGCTTAATCAATTTATAATATATCATTATTAATTTAACAATCTGATTCTTTATACTATAAAGGCTGTAGTTTTAAAATATTCCCAATTGTTTTGACCTTCACAGTAACAGATTTATTTTAATAATTACTGAAAATGATATCAGCAGAACTGAATCTGGAATAAACATCTCTTTCTACAATATTATTAGGTGTAAACTATAAAATTTAACTATAAACAAATAGAATGTTATCTATAAGTAGTAATTCACTCTATTTAAATGTTAATCCTAAAAAACGTTATTAAATCTAACATTTTATTATTTATTATGGCCAACTTGATAAGGAAAAGTCGGAGAATATTTAAAATTAAAATATTTTGGTGGTATTATAAATGTATAAGTGAGTTTGAGTTTATAAATAACTTCCATTTGTAATTATATCTAAATCTAATTTTCCTCTTAATATCCTGCTCTCATAAATATATGCTTATTTCTCAGTTGATACAATCAATTGAGAATTAACATAGTTTATTTCCGTAATTAAATCTTGAAATGATTGTGAAAACGAATAATACCAGCCACTGTTAGAATCACTAACTATTATAAGATTATTTCTCTCATCAACCAGCGCAATCTCATTAAAATAAATAGCAACCATTATGCAAGTGATATTAATTTAGGCTTCTTCATTCAATTTGTTATCAATGATGTAATTTATAGATACTTCATTGTCTTTAAGAATAACTATATAATTTTAGTACAGTTGAAATGTAGTGACATTATTTATCTAATCTAACAGTTTATCGTCTAAATAAATGTATACTGTCTCCTGAGATTGATATGCTAATATTATTTGAATTCCAAATACAGTTCCTTAGACATTTTCTATGTTTGATGGGGAATTCTATTAAAAGAGCATTTCCTTTTGACATTTCAGCTATAATTAATCAATTAAACATTTCTATGAGAATAGCTATGCATTTTGTAAATAGATTAAGAATATTGATTCATCCAAATAGTTTATCAATGTCAACAATTATTTATCTTTAATCTACTTTTCTAAATTCAATTAAAGTGGTTATTCTAAAACTCCCTGCTGCTGAATCTCTACATAAGGCCCAGAAACATAATTTACTACTTAGAATTTATTTCCATAATAGGCAGAATTTCCAGAATTCAAAACTTATAATCCTTTGTCGACAACATAAAATTAATCTAAAGATAAGTTGAATTAGGATATCTAATCTGATTAAATTAAGTAATATCCTTTTATGGAGCCAATCTATATTTATTTATTGACTATCTGAATCACATCATCATCATAGTTTATTGGATATAACTACCCATTTGAAAAATAATAACAAGTATCCAAATCTTAATTGTAAATACTGGTATTATTTATAATGATATATTGATTGGTTGCAAATATTTCTGATACCTTTAATGAAAGAACTTCAACTTCATTCTGACTAACCGTCCTTAATGTACCACATTAAATGTAAAATGTCTTGTCTATTACTGCCATAAATTCTGGCTTATTTTCGCATTTATGATTATACTCTATTACACCTCCATCTTAAGTATATTAAAAAACTTAGAGTTCATTTAATAAATAAACATTTTTTTCATCCTTTAGTACTTAAATATAATTGGCTAAGATCTATCTTTCCAGTTAAAGCTATTCATCAAAAAAGCTTAAATATCCTGGAGATAATCCTAATAATCCATCATAGAACCCTAAGATTTGAGTAAATTAGACATTTTTATTATAGTCGTATTATATCTAAGTTCCATTCTATAAAACAAAAAGAATTGTATTAATCGTGCAATCAACTATAAATTAATCCTATAGATAAGTTAAGGATGTACATTTTTCTACACCTTTTAATTCCACCTTTTCAAACTTAAGTTCTGAACTTTACTAAAATAAATTACACATTTTACTTATTTAGCATAATATAAAGTATACACTGTGTATATATTCTCTGCTTTTTTGGTTAATATATCTACTCTCTATTAATTATCAAAAGGAGTAAATAAACTTGTAATTTAAATTACCTCCTCATCATTAGCAAGTAAACTAATACTCTAAATAACCAACTTTTCTTTCTATTTATCGTATTTTTCAATCCCATTAGCATAATCCTCCAAAATCTATTCAGTTATACCTGATACATACTTTCAATTCATCTGTGTTGAGTACATAAACTATAGAAGACACAACATATAAAAAAGAGAACAAATAAAGGTACATATAAATATTTGGAATTAAATTTATTAGTAAAAACAATTAAAAACATCATTTTCTTCTGCTTACAGCAGTTATTGGTCTCTTATGTTATTGTTGCTGCTATTTTGTATCCATACCCATTGCTTCTAAATCCTCTAAAAATATTCAAAATAGAACTATACCTTTTAAAACAACCCAAACATGAGTGTTTTCTGCTAAAGTGCTACTTATTATAGCATTCAAATCAACCATTTCACCATTTTCTAATTTAATTCCTTTTGTTGTAGAGTTTATTTAAGAATAGAAATGACTATGTCTAAAAATGGCTACATCTCCTAACCATTTGACCTTTTGTAGTCCGTCTCCACAATTTATTGCAAATTGTTTATCCTTGATATGAACTTCTATTTTCATAATTTATATAAATTAATATAATCAAAACTTTCTTTTGTAAACCTTTAATAGTTATATAAAACTATGTTTCACATAAGCTTAATCAAAAAATCTTCTAATATTATTCGATCTTGAGATAGTTAAGAATATTTTCAATTTCTTAATTCTACTCTATCTCTAATATTATAATCATAATTAAACAAAGTCTCACAATAATAAACAAAAAGTCTTATATTGAATATTTTCTAATTGTCTATTGGAATATTAATCTGAGCAAGTTATATTAATTAATTTTTTTTCTGGAACTTATTTTATTAATATGATGATATATATTATTAGTTGAGAACACATGAACATATTGAATATTCAATATTATATGGCAATAAAAAAGGATGATTTTAATAAATCTTTATATTATAACAACAGTTCCACTAAGTAAGATTTCTAGATAATTTTAATCCTATATAAAGGCAATATTTAAATTTATAGAATTTTTTTGAATTTATAATCTCACATTCATTATATCTATATTTAAGAGAAGATTCTCTAAGTAAAAATCAATAAATAAAATTGATTCTTTCTTTATAAATTTTATCATTCTAATATAGCCAATTTATCTTAGTATTCATTTATTATTATCTTATTATTACTTTTTTATATTCTCATTTTTTTCCCTCACTTAATTCTTTTTTGAGATAGGAATAATCATTTTGCAGGATAAGAGGATTGCTACTGTTGTTATTTCTTTTTTTTTTGGCTTTTCATCATTACTAAACCAATTGCACTTGAAAACACTTAATTAATATATATATGATATAATCTATTGTTATTTTTAAGCAACAAAAAAATACATATTAACTATCAATTATGGCATTTTGAATTCTTTATATACTAGCTTTCAGCCACTTAGCAATTCTTTCTTAGTAAATCACCTACGACAATTGAGTTTTTTTTGGGATTTTTGAATACTTCACTCTATGTATTCGAACTTTTGGTTCTTTTCCTTAATTCAATATAATCGTCGACAACATATTTTAACCATTTCCATGCATATTTCAAGGTAATTGGTTTGTCCTGAGGGTGGCATACACGAACCATATCGAGAACACAATTAAGAAATTTAGCTTCATCTGGACCTTAGCGTAATTAATTTGAGAGCATCTCGTTCTCTTATTATGTCTCTCTATATTTATAATGCAAATGCTCTAGTTCTTCACTCAGATACTGAGGTAAATATACCTTAATTGTTATTAATATTGCATAAGTTATATGACTTTCTCATTAGCAATTTGCAATTGTTATTCTAAGGAGGTAGATTCTGTTTCGTTTTAAAAAAATATCTCTTCTTTCATAGACAAAGGAGAGAACTCTTAAGAGTAGCTCATTTAATTAACTGTTAATTTAATTAATTCAAAATAGTTGATTATGACAATATTAAAAAATTGAATACAAATAATTTTCAGCTTAATTCATATATTAATAAAATCATTCATACATTTTCATTCACGCATGATTTCAAACGATATATTATTTTCGATCAAGAAGCCAGTGTCGATTGCTGGTGAAAATATTGATGGACTCTGTTATCTGCGGCTGTTCGATGATATTCAGCAAGCCAATGTTTAATTAATATTTGTCGCAATAGAGCATTCCAAAATTTTGCATAAACGATAGGTACCATATAAAATTATATTTGATTCCTTATGACATAAACAATCCTCAAATGATTCCAGAGAAATTGTTAGAAAAAAATAAGGAAATCTAACTAACACTAGATTCACCCAGAAATTTTAAACCGAGTCAAATTAATCCTAAAAAAAAATATGAACTGCAAAATGGAACTATGCTCTAAATTACAAGAAAATATGGAGTTAATGAAGATTACCTTCATATCTAGGATCTCTATAGAGGAATTATAAAAAGTGGAGATTACAAATTGCCGTTTTAAGTACCAACGAAATTCGGGATGAATTCAAGTTTTTAATATCGAAATTAAGATGGTATGATTCAAATATTTATATAGGATTACAATAAGCTAAAATCTAATATAAAATATATTTGAGAATCATCGATTTGCAATCAAATTAAATCATCGTCCAAAAGAGCATCCCCATTTACATTAATAGCAGATATAAATTAACTGAGTAGAAAAGAGAGAATGAGGGAAACATAGTTTAATTTTTTTGTCTTCATAGAGGTATGATAGAACTAGGTATCAGAACTGCAAAGAACCTTTATAAGCCAGGAGAAGTCCTGGAATTGGAATACACTTTAAACACTACTAGATCATAAAGATCCATAACTAAAGTGGAAGTGAAATTAAATCATTTCTTAAGTTTTACTGATGACGATGAAAATGAGAGGGTGATAGAAAATAAAACATTATATTCTAATGTCTTGCCTGGTCTATCTGCAGGGAAGAGAAGTGAAGGCTTAAAGTCTTCAATTACACTTCCTAATGACTTGGCTGCAACTGTTAAAATGTAATTTATTAAAAATCATTACATCTTATAAGTTTAAGCATTTGCTGTAATAACTTAATATTATATAATATAGGATGGATTGCTAACTTCTTTGGCGGTTCCAGTTATTTGCTAAATTCCTGTCATAATATTGGAGAGTAGAAAAAAGGAGCAACCTGATCTTAAAGACTGGAAATTCAATACTAAACAGGAGAATAATTCGTTTTACTAATTCACATGTTAGTAGTAGTAATTATTTATTTGATATTATGTATAATAAATAATTATATTAATTTTGAAATGATTACTAAATAAGAAGCAAGAAATTAGAATTTTCTAAATTTAAGTAACTAAAGTAATTACTATTATCTAAGAATAGACTGAAGCATTTTTGAAAAATTAAAAAAATAAGCAATCGCATCTCAAGGTTCATTTAGATCTAAAGTGCATTAATTATACTTAAATGAAACTATTCCTAACAAATAGAACTGAATTTATCAAATTAAACCTCCCTGCCAATATAAAGAAGTAAGAAATTAAAGTGGAATAACCTCCATAACCTTAGCAATGTTAAAATCAAGTATAATAGCCTCAACCATCTAATTAATAATAATTTGGTTTTGTCTAAGCTAATTAATTAATGCCAAAAAAAAGATTCTAACCACCAACTAAAATAGGTGAAAAGAGCAAATAAGAGCAATTAGGATAAAAGAATGAAAAATAATCAAATTAAACTAACTTTGAAGATAACATAATTAATAAAATTGAGTCTGATATCATAGAAATCATGGATAGACCAACTCAATGGACAGACATAGTTGGTTTAGATCATGTAAGAGATTAAGTGGTTGAAATAGCTTTGTGGCCTTTGGAGAATCCAAAATTATTCGAAGGCATAATAGCACCAGGCAGTGGATTATTGTTATTTGGTCCTCCAGGAACAGGAAAGACTATGATAGGTAAGGCCATAGCAAGTGAAGGCAAGGCTACTTTCTTTTCTATTAAGGCTTCCACCTTAACATCTAAATATGTCGGAGAAGGTGAAAAAACTGTGAGAGCCTTGTTTGCCTTGGCTGCTTAAAGATAGCCTAGCGTAATATTTTTTGATGAGATTGATTCACTTTTATGTGCTAGATCTGAGAAGGATAATGAAACAAGTAGATAAATAAAGACAGAATTTATGGTTTAATTAGAAGGAGCTACCAGAGGAGGATGTGAAAGAATAGTTTTTATTGGCGCTACAAATAGACCTCAAGAATTAGACGATGCAATCAAAAGGAGATTTTAGAAAAAGATATATATTCCTTTGCCTAATAAGGAGGGGAGACAGTCATACTTTGAAAATTTGATCATTAAAGAAGCAAAAGAAGGGAAGAGAATTGAAATGAATACTTCAGAGATGCAAACTTTGGTAGATTTGACAAAGGGATACTCAGGAGCTGATATTAGAAATTTAAGTAGAGAAGTAAAATATCCATAATATTCAATAGGCTTGCATGTATGCAATTAGAGATGCTGCTAAAATGTATACTATTAAAAATTTGAAATTGGATTAGATAAGAGCAACTACTATAGAGGATTTTAAGAGAGCTCTTCAAATTGTGAAGCCCACAGTAAATTAAAATGATTTAAAAGATTACTTGAAATGGAATTAACAATTTGGATCCTATAATTATGATGCAGATTGTTTAGATACTTGAGTTTGATGATAGTTTACATACATTTTTAGTTATCATAATTTAAGACTTTTTTATCTTTCATCTTCTTATGAAAATGCTTATTCAATAGTAATCATACTTTTTCTAGGTCTAACAGATATGTTTTGTAACTAACCCAATCGATTCTTGCCTAATGTTGTCAGTCTTGATTTTTAGGTTTTCTTTTTTCTTTCATTAACCTTGATATTAATTAAATCTAACACTTTCTCTAAGTTAAAATTAGGATAAAAAAATTGATAATCCTTTTATTAATCAAACCTTTCTTTATCTTCAATGATTTGAGAGTGTACATATTCCTCCCACAAGATTCTTTTGATTTCTAGTTCTTTAGTAATATAATTATCATTTAAATTAAAGAATATATTTTATTGATTTGATTTTTAAGCTGAACACTATGGAGATTCGAAAGACTGTATTTCTTCAATCTTTTATAATTCCACAATTTCAGGAGGACGAAATTCATTCTTTTTAACTTTAAAACTCATCTATTTATATTTGTCTATTTTTTTTGGTTAGATCTATTGATTCTGACTTTATTATGAAATTTATCTAAGAGTTATTAGTTTTTGTAATCCATTATTTGAAGTTTTGTTTGTTTTGCTGGTTCCTCCCTCACTGCCTTCACTAAATTATTCACAACTAGGACGCAAGGGTGTTAGATTTTGAAAGGGATGTGGCTAATCTTGTAATTGTGGGTCAGCAGAAATATCACTATGTAGTTTGTTTAACTATTTTTTTGTTGGCTCTATGAATTGCAAGCCCATATTTTTAATTAATGATTCGTCAAGAGATTCTTCTTGCATTAAATTTGTATCCAATGCATAGGAGATCAATTAATATTAAATGCCTCCTCTATCTTGGAGTGATTTCTAAATACTGGTTATAAATTTACATGACTTTTTACATATGATCTTTATTTAAATTGTCGCTTTTATGTAATGTTTTCTTACCTTTTGACAATGACTCTAACATTAGGGTAATAAAACACAAAAGGACACTGTAAAACTTAGTGGTTTTAATAGCATAGTTCGCATCCTTGGACTTTTACTCTCTCCTTTAATATAACCTTGCTTTTGGCTTCCAAAAACTTTTCATATTCTTGGGGATTCTATTTCAATAGGTTGACAAATTATGTTTTCTTAATAAAGGCAACTCGTACAGTTGAAATAGCCTTACCTGAATATGGATATCTATCGCCAGTGATGAAGAATCGTTCTCCTAAAATATGATTTTTTTTTAAGAGACTAACTTAATGCGTTTTACCAGATTCTACATAATGAATGTTATTGTTTAATACAATTATTCAATTGAATTTACAAAGATATTTCACCCTTCAACACAAAATACAACTCTTCAACTTCAGTATCAGTTGCACATATCTATTCGTCTGGTGTATATTGTCTCTCCTAAACTAGTTAGCAAAGGGAATCTAAGAAACTAATCATAAATTTTAAAGTAGGTACTCTGGTGAGAAAGTGGATTTAAACAGTTTGGATTTCATGATATATTTTTTGTATAGGTCTATTTTCAATTCATTCTTTAAAGAGGGTTCCAATGAGTCAAGTAACAATTCACATTCGCTGTCTTAGGAATGATCTATTTGGATAAAATACTCATAGAATTTCTTGACTTTGTTCTGCAATTATTTATTAACTCCTCTTTAACCTATGAATTACTAAATCAAATTCATTTTATATCTTTGATTCTTCTTATTTTCATTCAATTGACTGAAGATCAACCCTATACTTGAGATCGTGTATGCAAATACGACACTACTGAAAACAGCCACTCCAACTGTGAAGATCTTCTCAACACTACTCTAAGGTGTAATGTCACCATATCCAATTGTCAATGTTGTTATTGAACTCCAATATATTGAGTTTATGTATCTAATCTGCCAACTGTCATTTTACAACTCTAACGCATTTATCCATGTATTGGTTATTCTACAAGTTATTCAAGTAAATCTTACCCGTAATCTCCTTAAAGGATTCCCAAATAATGCCAAAAACAACCAAAAAGATGAGACAAAAATATAAATTGGATCATCAATCTCAAGACATCTATCAATGTTTAATAATTAGTTCTCAATCCAAATACTTCCTCTAATTAATCTGATAAAAATTTCAATGTCTTTATCTTAACCAAGACTGAAAACTCTAACCAATTCGATTGCACATAATATGCACTCACCAATAATGGCAATACATTTAATAGATCATAAAAAAATGATTTCTTGAAGTAATGTTTGGCTACCTATTTCTAATCCATTATCAACACTCCATGCTCATAATAGCCTGTCAGAAATGTTAAGACAATCTCCATTAAATATACGTAGACTGGCAAATAATTTAAGATGAAGTTCAAAATAGGATCTTCTATATGAATGAAAAAACAAATCTTCAGTGGAACAAAGACCATCTACCACGATAACACAAACAACATAAAGAAATCCCATAATATCTTAATGGTGCTTGAGGGGTCTATTACAAACAGACATTTATTAACGAAGGTCTCCAATCCATTCCTTATAACTTTATAACAGATATTGTTTTAAATATAGGACTTAACAATTTGCTATTAGTTTAAGTCATAACATTACTTTAAATTTCTTTTTAATCCTCTACCTAATTAGTTTATTCTCCTCATAAAATTGATAAACCCCTGTTACGTCATTTATGGCATTGAATTACTTTCGATTCATGAATGAAAACTTAGATTTTTCTGAATTAATTAGAATAGAAATCACGAATCTGACCACATATGTCATAATTCTCAACGAACCCCTCTTCCATATGATATTCGTCCAACCTCCATCAACAGGGGACAAATCTTCAGTTTTATACTATCTTTCAGCATGTTCAACCTTACTTTATGATCCTAATTTCATTGTCTCAGATCCTTTTTTGCTGACACTTTGCTCAGATTCTGATGAACTTATTGATGGTTCCTCTTCCTCATTATTTTACCCTGCATCCAGTATAGCCCTATCATCTAAATCTAAAATTTTTTATTTCACTCTATTAATCCCTTCATTTCTTTACGTATTCAATACTGAAATTTTAATCACATATATTGTACAATATTAATCTGTTGAATACCGAAACGTTATCAAATTAGACACCTCATGTCCCTCAGTGACATTTCTCGGACTTACCATAGGTTGATCCATTATTAATATTGTATTTAATATTATATAATTCAATAATTTCAAATTAAGCTCATCAAAAAACATTATATTAACACTTAAATTCAATAGCATAATGATTATATTATTCAATTCAACATACTAAAGTTTTTCAGGGTTTTAATGTAGAAGAGAAAACATAATAATCTATCAATTTGAAGAAAAAAATTTCAATAAATAGATATAGCTAAATTTATTGAAAAAAGAAAAGAAGCTAGTAGTATGTAAATAAGATGAAATTGTAAAATTTAAGTGCAATGATGGTAATATTCAGTTAAGAATTTCTCAAATGTTTTTCCAGCATTTAGATATAATAATAACACTAACTTACTTTTTTAAAACTTAATAAGAATTTGTTAGATTTTATGTTATTTTAGCATATCACCTAATTAATCCAAGTAAATTATAAACAGAAAATAATAGAATCAATAATATCTTTTGTAAAACATTTAAATAATTCTAATTTACCTTATTGCGTTAATAAATTAAAGAAGTTATCCTTTAAATAGCTTTTAACTTGATAATACATATCATTATTATTAATCATTCTTTATCAATTTGAATAGACTTGATGTTTCTCCTATATTAGAAAATTCAATGGAAAAGGCTTGCAACTAAATTCATCATTATATTTTATACCTCTGTCTACAACTCATAGGTCTTCAACATCTTTTTATTGATCAGATGCTTAAGGAAAATTGTCAAATATTTGATCATTTTTACTTACTGTCCTTTTTCCTATCCTTTAAATATTTAGAAGTACTTTTATATTTGAGCAGAATTATATACAATAATTCACATAATAATTAAGGTATTCTTGGGGAATATGAAATTATTATATTAGCATGCACATAATCTCCAAAGCATTTGGTGTAATATCAATTGTCATCATAGCATCCATTAAACTATTTCTATTAAACTATTCTTACTCCAGAAATTCAGCATTTGGAAAATGCTTAGAAAATAGGAAAAAGGCAAGATTTAAGTTCTTCTCAATCAAGTCACTCAAATTGAAATTCAACAATCCACTATTTTTAAATAAATTATTATTGTCTTTCTTCAAATACTCCTGAAATTACTAATCCAATTAAATCAATCATCATACCTTCAATTCCTACTCAGACAATTATTCTATATGGGCTTTCTGCATGATTTCCTTAATTTGACTCAACTTGTCCGAATTAATCTACAATGAGTAATCCCATTGAAGATCATGAGTTTAATAGAAATCAATCCAATCCAAACGAGTTTAAACAATATTTGGAATCAATCTTAAGAATTCGATATCAAATCCATTTTATTTTTGGGATAATCTGTCCAAATGTTATTGTTAGAGCAATTTTCTAAATTTTAAATTTTAATATTTTACTAAGGCGGATTACTATTTATGGATATACAATTTCTCAATTTATTTGATGAATTCTAAGGCGTAGATTCTTTATTTAATTGTTTATCATTCATATTCAACTTATCTTATTCTTCTAAAAGGGTCTTTATTGTAAGGCCAGCATACTATCTTATAAGTCTTAATATAATGCATTACAAATTATGGATCTTGGACGAATTTCTTTTCAAATTAATTTTAACTATAACTTGATATATCTGTTAAACTCTGTCTCAATTCAGAATTATATAACAAGTAAATAATTAGGAGTCTTTATCCTTTTGTGAATATCTAAAAACAAAATCATCTGATTTATGTACGTTATCGCAAAGCCCTTAATAAAAATAGAGATAAGGACCATATTCTTGGGAAAATTTTCTCACGAAAGCCTTCTGTATGCTTTCAAGGGTTCCATTAGCTTCAAGAATAAACTTATTTATTGTCTCAATGTCAGAAATAGAAATCATCAATATTTATAATTAATTAATTGCATAATTATTTTAAAAATAACTAGAATAGTTCCCATAATATTATTTCATAGTGGGAGCAAAATTATATATAAAATTATTATTGAATTATTATTCTTATTTACCAGCTTATTATTATAAATAATAATATGCTATAACAAAAGAATAATATAAGATTCTGTTCTTTTCACCGAATATTATACTTAATATAATATTTGGTTGTTCGGACTAGAAACATAATTTATTATTTTTATAATCCCTAATAACCCTGCTACCTTAAAACACAAACAAATTTTTTATTTTATCCAACTAGTTAGTTGGTAAATTCTTCTTCTATTTAGACTTATAAATTATATATTAATTTCTTTTAGATATATTAATTTAATTTAGTATATTTTTGAATCTTTCTTAAACAATAAAACAAAAATGACTAATAATTTTCATATGATAATAATTTATGCTAGATAGTCCTTTTTCACTTATATAAAATTTGATTTTCTCTATCTTTTTGAATTATCATTCTGAAACTGAATCCTCATTACAACTTAGAATGAGAGTATATATAGTTCCTAGCCTTATGTACTCATTAAACCCTTAATTATGATAATTGCAAATCTGAACATTATGGCAACATTATTTTTTTAATCGTATCATTTATATACATTTTATATATATAAAAAGTAAAATGATCATTCAAAATAAGGTCTTCATTCTTGATGATAGAAATGATTTGACTGGTCTATGGAATGGTTTGATCTCGTCTTATTTCTCTTATTTTGATTCCTTGGTTAGATATGACCTTACTGTTTTTCCTCTGTTTTCATATTCTTTCAGTTAAGCAATAAATCCTAGTTTTATAAAAGAAATAATTACCATCATTTGGTTCTATGATTGGTCTGGATTTCTGCAAAAATCTAACTGCAGTCAGGGTAGTGTAATTGTGGTATTTGATTAAATAAGCCACTACCAAGGATGCAGATCTAGATATGCCAGCATAACAATGAACTAAGACATTACCATATTTCAAATGATTGTGAATGAAATCAGCTCCTTCATCAAAGTAACGATTCAATTTAAATTCAACTTCATCAGTTGCTGGAATCTATTTATGAAAATGATTAGTATTCGAGGATATTGGTGTTTCAATTACTGAGAGGACTGCCCTCATATTGATTGTGGGACTCCTTATATTTCCAATAAAAAGCTTGTTTGAATTGTAAGTAAAGACATGACTCATGTTAGTATTTGAGAATAACGACATAATTAACAAACAATTTATTAATATTTTTAATAATAATATTAATTACAGATTACAACATGCAGCAATAATCAGCCAATTAATAAGAATTAAAATAAATATTTCAACTTTTCTCTTAAGAAAACTCAGATGAAATCAACATTTAGTAGATGAACTAATTAATCAAAGAATTGGAAACCATAAATCAAGATTAATAATAGATTAGCGTACCATATTAACATGGTAGAAAACTGGTCAAAAAAATTAGTTCTACTGATAATTTTGAAGAAGTGCAAAAGGATTCTTCCCCCAAATCCCCAACCTACGTTTCAGTAACAGAATTAAAGTATAATAATGATTTGAATGTAGATATTTCCCAAATAATAAAACTACAATGCACTTTTCAGATTTTCAGGAATTATACAATGAATGTATGTCTAATAAAGATTAACATGATGAATTACTTGAAAGTGCCTTCTCTGTCTTTGATTTTGATAAAAATGGTACCATCGATTCAAAGAAAATAAGGAAGGTCTTTTCAAAGTTTAAAGACAATACCAGTGAAGAAGAAATCTAAAGTACCATTTCCAAATATTATATTAGATGTTTTAAAATTTTGTGGAGTACTTCATGACTAAATGTCTTTGTAGGAATTTAAAGAGTTTTTTAAAAAGAATCTATGAATACAATACATTATATAAACATAAACAAAGAACTTCATTTCTTATTTTATAGGAATTCCCTTTACTTTTAGTAAAATTCATCAATCAAATTTTTTAGGTTTTGCTCTTTCTATTTGATCAAGTTCAACAACTGATTTTTATTTTATCCCAACTTCAGCAAATGATTTTCTTAGGTCAATCGACTCATCTAATCTTGTAATGTCTTTTAAAATTAGATTTATATCTCTAAATTCTTTCGTTACTGCAACAATATTGTTCTTAATTCTTCATTTTCATTTTTCAATTTAGCGTATAAATTATCATCAGTCTAAGTCTCTTTGTGATTTGTTTTAATGCTATTAAACAATTGGAGGTCCTTCCTAATCGAAAATGAAAAAGTATTATTTTACTAAGTATTCATAAGTTACTATGGATTATTCTACAATTTACATCTTATTGGGTTTTTTGTGTGGTAATTGGACTCATGCCATCTCCTTCCAAAATAGAATCATCATCTTCTTCATCTTCCCCAATCTATACCGACTCTTCTAATTCTTGATTCTAAATCTACCCTTTAGTAATATTTCCAATCAATATAAGATGATTTACACCACTACTTATTGAATGAAACACAAGTTCTTATTGCTTTTATTGTTAAGTTTTTAAGTTTATTATAATAGCTTTATTATTATCATCCAAAACGATGGCCAACTCTTTTCCAAATGAACTATCTATTTTATTAGGTTAGACATTGACTTAAATTAATTGTTTATCTAAATAATAATACAACTTATTTTCATCTGTCAATAATGATAGATGGTAACCACTAAATATATTAAATACGTGATCTATTAACTTGGTTTCTGGATGCAAATATAAAGTATTGTTATCATCCATATAAAACAAGTTATATGCAGAACAAGCAAATTCTGATATTTACGATTTTATTTTCAAAGGCTGCAAGACTTAGTTTTTATATAGATATAGGGAATCGTCTTAAAGGATTGTGAAATTCAAACCACATTTAATATTTGAAGCCTGTCTTATGAATTAGGGTTTTAGAATATTATTTCCCCACTAATAGGCTTGATTTTCATCTCTTTATTAATCCATGCATTATACCTGTCAATAAGCAAGAATGGTATTCTCCAGCTGCTATCTTTATGCAATTCAAATCGCTTATTCCCTAAACTAAAATTGGAGAACATGCAACAGCAATATTTTCCACTCCTAGTTGTCCCTTCAAATTTGAACCAAAAGCATAAACCAACCCTTCATCTGGAATATAAATGATATCTATATTACTTGTCACTATTAAAGTATGTTCCAATCCACATGCTATTTCTCTTATTACCATTGGCAGATTAATTTTTGTTAATTTATTTATGTAGTCCTAGTTGTCAATACCACATTAAGACTCTTTATTATCACCCATAACATACAAATCTGTTGTAAAATAATCAAGGCTTTAGTCTGATGTCATTTTTTTTTAATTATTTAATAATAAAAAAATTTCAGCAGGAAGGCAGTATATTGGTTACATGTAAAATTCAAATAACTTTATACTTTTTATCATCAGTTGATATATCGATATATTTTATTATACTTTATTAATAAGTAATTTAATATTAGTAACAAAATTGCAATAAATAATTATGGGTTGTCAAGTTTACTCTTTAATTCCGATTGAATAAAATTCATTACTATGTTATAACATATAAAGCTGATAATTTTATTCATCTCCAAATATTCTTAATGATAATTCTTATTATTCTTCTTTTAAATAAAATAATATTATACATCTAAGCTCATAATTTAAATATAATACAATTCTAATTCATGTGAAAGGACTTCCATTATAAATTCTGCTTCAGGACATGGAGTATTCCATTCCAATATCTTACTAATTATTTATTCTGAGTCCTGAGCATTGATATGATCTTTGAATTCTGATTATTGTACTATTTGTTAGATTAAATTTCGAATGAATATCATTGTCAATCCATAGAAACTATTATTGTTGTCACTGATTTGATGCCAAAGTTCATTTGATCGCTATGATATTTCGATCTGTCTCAACTCTATACATCTATAACAAAATATCTCTTTTAATTCTTATTACTCTTCTTTTGTGAATGCAGATTAATTATTAAATAAATCAAATGGAATCCCTTTTATGTTCTCCATAAATGTTTCAAAATTTTGATCATCAGCATGTGTTAATATGATGTCCAAATATTAATAACCAAAAACCGCATAAAAGTTATTGCTGTCCTCTCTCGCTCTCCTTTACCCATTTACGTATTCTAAAAGTTTCGATTAGTTGAAATTGAATGAAAATTATTTCAATTTTTCTAAAGGACCTATAAAGTAATCTTTAAGTGAATTCTATTTGTATTAATTGTTTAAATCTTCATAAAGCAAGTTAATTTATTTTAATTTCAAACATTTGAGTTTAGCTTTGATTTAATCAAAATTATAATTATTATTCGCATATTCATCTATTTATTCATTTAAACATTCAACAATTATATTGATATTTTATTGTGAATCTTCTGATTACTGTTTTGTTTATGAATATTTTCTTAAAGTATCTGGTTTAGGAGAATTATTATTACTCACAAATATTTACTCCTGAATACTTTAATACACAATATCATTTATATCACTTTTGAGTTATTTAGATAACAACTTGTATATTTTTTCGAACTCTTATTATATTAGTGTTTAAATCTAATTTTCTAGGTCCTTATCGAAATGTTGGAAATTTATGTTCTATTGTTTATTCAGAAAATTTATTTATTTATCCAAAAAATCATCATTGGAAGATTTAGATTTTTAATGAATTCCATTCGGTTTTTCATTTCCTCTTTGGAATAAGGTTTTCTTCAAATTTTCCATTTCAATAGATTATTTATTAATTTGCTACTACATTTAAGTTATTGCTATTCCTTATTAAATGATCTATTTTTAAAATTCATTATTCTAGTCAGGCTATGTTACCTATCGAATTATTCTTTAATTTCTTTTCAAATCATACCATTTTATGATATTTTTAATTTCATTAACTGTTAATTTAGTTTTGCTAATGAAGTTCTAATATTTTATAGAGTTCTTTAAAGAATTAACTGTCTATAAATATATGGATGACGATTAGTTTGTATCCTCTAAAAAATTATTCATATTGCTTTATTATTAATTTTTATTAATATAATTATATTTTATTCATTCTCTCCTTTCCTTTACCTTAGTTTAAATTTAATAAGATTTTATCTAATAAATCAATTAAACCTGATCATTTATTTGTTTATGCATGACCAATTCCAATTAATTTTAAATACAAAATGAAAAATAAAATAAAAATAAATAAAAGATGCAATTATCGTGAATGGCCAATCAGAAGACAATTAATGTTTTCCTTCTTATGCACAACCATATTACTTCAATTCATATTAATAAGTGTCATTTTTGGAAATATCGAATATATGATCAACTAAACAAATTCATAAATTTTTGACAAAGTGAAAACTCATTCAAACAATCAGTTTTTGTAGGTAGCAAATTAGATCGGTCTTGGCTTTCAATCTCATCTATATTACCTATCATAATAATTGTAAAATACAGTGTAAATCTTTCCGCAATTATTCAACCCTTTAATGTAATTTAAGTCTTCTAGTTCCTATTAAACTTGTGAAATATTAACTCAATAAAATTACCTAGAAGTATGCTTCTTTGCTTAAGAAAATAAAAAATAACTGTACAATTTGAATTAATAAACCCAATACATATTAGGGTATTTGACTAATTACAAAAACTACTTACCTTTTCTCTTTGTGGAATCAGTGAGACAAAAAATAGAAGTAATAAATAATCTTAAATTAGAGGTTTTCTATTTTAATCTATAATCCTGTCGAATAGGTCGAAATCTACATGATTTATCCTGCTAATAAGATTAAAAAATACTTTATCAATAAGAAAAAACACAAAGAAATCTAATTGGCTGGTCCCTATATTAATCCAACTAATGATAGTTAAATAATGATGAATCTCCAATAATAGACTACATTTAGAAACTTCTCCATATGTATCATATTGTATTTAATTCTATATTAGATTTCACCATCGAATTTACTTTGTCATCAATTGAAGTCTTATTCTTTGATATTAACTATTATCAATCAACAATGTTGGCCATTACTGATTTTAGTGGCACTTTGATCTATTGTCCAACAGAATGGAATATTAGTTATCAGACGTCTATTCAAAAAATTTATGATCATTATAATATGTCTGGTTTTAATATAACGAGAATACCTACAATTTAAGCAAACCAAATAGAAGTACAGAATCAATCATATAGTTTAATATAATTACCCTTTTCAGGGAAGTATGACTCATATTAGTTAAGTTCATTTATCAACAATACAAATTAGAACATAGATTTTTATGTGTATTTGTATGTTTTGAATGAACAACTCCTTACTACATTTACTTTAATTAATAGTATCATGTAAAGAGAAGAGACAGTTATAATATTCATAAATGTATCATCAACTATCCTAACAATATCTATAGTTTTTATTTTTACTTATCTAATTGCTGTTCGAATTAGTAGACCCTTAAATAAATTAGTCAATACTTCTAGATATATGTCAAATAATCTAACTAAAAAAAATATCTCGCATGAAATTTTGAATGAAATCAAACATATAGAAGCTGCTAATTAGATTGCAGACTTGATTTAAAAATTTAAAAATTTAGTTGAGTCTATCAAAAATAAAATAAATTCAAAGAAATCAATGGTAAAAAAGAATGTTGTTCAATACCCTTTAAATTAGTATGATCCAGAATTTATTAATAAAACCAAAAATAAAACTGATATTAATTGGAATGCTACAATAAATGAAATAGATGAATGATTTTAATTATATTTCCAATTTATATAAAATAAAATGATTAATTTAAGTTATTAATAATTTGATATCAGATAATTTCACTTAAATTTATGTGTATAAATTACTATTAATTTAATGATCAAACTTTGCCAATACTTGAAAAACTACTTTTTAAGTTCTCTCTTTCCATACAATCCAAAGGGATATAAGAATGTTTCACAATATATTCAACATCATCAAACAATAAAAATGAAATTAAATGAATTTGATGTCTCCACGGATTAATTTATCTTTGCATACAACAATTTTTTTGACTCCATATTAGATGATGATTTTATCGCAAGAAATATACTTCTGAGAGCTAAAAAGTCTTAAAAAAACCATAAAATCACTACTAGCTTATGATGAAAAGGAAATTTATCTTGAAAATAATCCTTCCTGGAAAATTATAGATGTAGACACAATTATAGAAAAAAAGTATTCCTAATTTTTTTTGAACATTAAATTAATATATAATCATATCAATAATAATAGCAATTAGGATATGGTTATTGACCTATAATTCAAATTGTATTTGATTTCAATAAATCTATGAGATATTGATTTTTCTATTGTTTTTTAGTTTAAGATTATTCACTAGATTCATCATCTATATATTTAGAAAAACCATATTAATAAATAAATGGTTTTACATTAAAATAAATATTATTTATAGAAATTTATTATTCCAAAATTACTCTTTATTTTATGTTAATATAAATAAATAATTAATTTCATATCCAAAACAAATAAATTAGGTTCTCTTAACTTCAAAGTTATTTTTCAAATTTTATCCAACCCTGTATCATAATATAATAATTTATTAAGGATTAGCAGATTCCTTGCTTGAAGGATTTTCTTGAATAGAATAAGAATAACTAACGAAGTAGTTAAAAATAAATAAGTTTTATGGACGTAAATATTTGATGATCTTCAAATAATAAGTTGATTAGAATATGTAATTTAGTGAAATACATAAATTTCTAAAATTAGAATATTTTTCATAAATGATTATCTTTTTATATAGTTTGAATCTTGAATTCAATTTTGTATCTAATCCTATAATCTTTCAAAATCTTATTCAGGAGTTGTATGATATTATTTTGTTTTTGTATTCATTTCTATATATCCAATACTTTTGATATCTTCAAATGATAATGTTTAAAAATTGATTAGAAGTGGTATTATCAACAAATTAAGGAAAAAGTAACATAAATAATTAAAGTTAATAAATATATTTTAATGTCTAACTAAAATGATCAACATTCAAATGTGGAGGAACATATTCTTAAATTATATGATATTCATGATTTTAAAGGTAAAGGTGCATATGGGATTGTCTGGAAAGCTACTGATAAATAAACAAAACAATAAGTAGCATTAAAAAAGGTTGTAACTATGAGATTTAATTTTAGGTGTTTGATGCATTTTAAAACTCGACAGATGCCTAGAGAACATTTAGAGAAGTGTGTTTTTTATAATAATTAACGGAACATGAAAATATAGTTAAATTATTAAAAGTTATACCAGCTGAAAACTAGAAAGATTTATATATGGTTTTTGAGTATATGGAGACTGATTTACATAAAGTGATTAGAGCAGGATTACTAAGACCTTTACATATGCAGTACATAATTTATTAGTTGTTAAAATGCTTGAAGTTCATTCATTCAGGAGAATTGATTCATAGAGATTTGAAGCCATCAAATTTATTGATAGATTCGGATTGCAAAGTGAAAGTTGCAGATTTCGGATTGGCTAGAAGTGTGGGGAAATCAGAAAATTTGAATGGTATTAATTAATTATATTTATTAAACCAGAATTACCAATAATGACTGAGTACGTAGCAACAAGATGGTACAGAGCTCCTGAAATTTTATTAGGGTCCCATTCTTATTCAAAATCTGTTGATATGTGGAGTGTTGGATGTATTCTTGGAGAAATGATCTTAGGAAAAGCTATATTTTCAGGAGCATCCACTTTGAATTAAATTGAGAAGATCATCGAATTAATTGGAAGGCCAAAATAAGAGGATTTAGAACAAATGAATGCACCCTTAGCTTCACAAGTTTTAGATGGAATATCAATGTAAAAACGAAAGAGTTTTGCTGGATTCTTCCCTAATGCTACTCCTGATTTTATTGATTTTATAAGACAATGTCTTGATTGGAATCCATTAAAAAGAATGAAGATAGAAGAAGCATTAAAACATTAAATAATGATGGAATTTGCAAATACTGAAGAAGAGAAAACTTTGAAATAAAATATTAAGATCCCTTTTAATGAAAACAAAAAGTTAACTATCAAAGATTATAGAGATAAAATTACCTTAAATTGTGAATAAATTCTTCAAGAGATTCAATAAAATATATTTGACAAAAACCAAGGAAAATAATTTATCTCGACTCCTCAAAGTTTTTCAACTTATATGTCACAACATGATAATAAGAACAAACAAAATGTATCAACTCATCAGTTCTCTCAACCTGTTGAAAAGCCCAAGAGAATAGATTAATCTTTTAAATATGAGGGATAATCAGTTAAATATGAGGGATCAAACGATAAAATAAACGTATAATAAATTCAAAAGAGATCAGATCATTCTCCTTAACCCAAATAAACTATGCCATCAAACCCTTAAAACATCACTTATGGTTAGCTCCAATAAAGGTTTTCATCCAATTAGGAACCCAATATCAAAATATAAATTCTAGTATGAAGAAAACGTCCACTCATAGGTAAGGGGTAATTGTGATGTGAGTAAGAGTCCAGATATAAAGAAAAAAACAGAAAGTAGTATAACTAACGTTACAAAATCTTATTCCTCTTATGGCGAACCTTATGATAAAAGAAGTAACAATTCAAGTTTCATTACTTAAAATAAAAGTGAAAACAAACAAAATACATCTGGTTGTTATGCTAGACCTATATAAGTTTAATAATCGTCTAATTATGCTACTGCTCAAAGTTTTTCATAGTAAAAAGATTAGTTTAAAAATAAAGAACCTGTTTTGATTAATTAAGCTTAAAGAAGTAAATCTTTTGAAAAATCACCTTTAAACATCAATCCAACGAGTCCTTATCAAAGATAGAAAACAGAAGCATCGAAACCAAAATTTATTCCTTAAAGTATTTAATTATTTTTATTTATTCAGACAATCTCACTAACAATATTGCCTAAGTTTAGAAGCTGTTATAAAAATGTTGTTAAGTTTAAAATTACTAATCACATAAAAAGACAACTAGTTTTATAGATCCATAAAAATTTTAAGCCCAATAAACTATAAATTTTAACTATTATGATGCTAGAAATACCAAATTTATCTGAATACTGTTTTTTAATAGATTTTCTATTTTATATTATTTATTTATTATTTTATGCTATATACAAATATGGAAGTTCTCTGATTAAATTTATTATTTTCGATACTGAGAGTAAATCTAATTTGTATGAGAGCTCCTAATTATCCAAATTTTAAAATAATGCCATTTAATATTGATGTCGGTTTTAATTATTATTAATAAATGCATATTCAATTTTTAACAATTACCTAGTTTGTTTCTAATACAATTAAATAAATATGTGGATTCATTAGATAATGCTGAAAAGAGGATAGGGATTTAAATATGGTTAAAATTAGTGTAAAATAACTAAAAATCAGATAGAAGGAATGATTAAATCCACTTGTAATTAACTTATTTTTATTGATTTGATATTGGTTAAAAAAATGTGTGCCTCTTTATATAAGTCCTTTTCTATTAATATCCTTCTTTACATAAAATAATCTTCAAAAATTTATAATAAGAATAGGATATTGTTTAATTTTAATAAGATTTCTAAATGAAATTAAATATTTGATTTGTTTATTCTCGTTTATTAAGTTGGTTAAGAAAGTATTTAATTCCAATTTATGTTTAATTTAAAACAACTCATGAAAAAAGATAACTTTTTTTATTAATTACTACGAATCTAAATATTTATCATTAATGACTATTTATAATAAATCATTAACTCAACAATTTTTCTATTTAGGCTATCATTTCGTTTGGCTTTTAAGTTGGCTAGAAAAAAGCGACAACGTTTCCCTAGCTATCAAGAAGAAATTTTCCAAAATTCCATGGAACTTATCGAGCTGAGGTTTCACTCACTCTTAAGTTATTCGAATTCAATCTCAAAAATTAATATAATTCATGAGTATTTGGTCCGTTTACTTCAATTTTTCTAGATATTACATAAATATATTTACTAAAATAATGGAAATGATACTCCATATTTTTGGATAACAAATTCCTTAATTTCTGGTTCAGGTTTTGATTCTTAATTCATAAATTAATTACAAGGGAAGCCTAGAATTTCCAATCCTTAGGCGCTTGTTTATAGATCAAGAATTTACCTGTATTTTTTGTATAAAGCAACTAATTCACTATAATTACCAGACGTTAAGCCACATGAACATGCAACATTAACACAGATTATAACTTTTTTACCTTTGAATTTGGACAAAGAAGTGTCTACTCCATCAATGTCTTTCAACTGAAACTCAAAAAAGGATTTTTTCGGAGGTTGTAAGTTGTCAACAGCACTTTTGAAAAACAGGCAGCCCATAAAATAATAATTAAATACAATGTTTTTATTTTATCACATTAAGAATATTCTTCATTTGATTCAAATAAAGCAAAATTGCTATATAATAATCGTATATCAACTTTACGATTAGTATCATATACAAAAAAATTAATATAAAATTTATATCTAATGAATAAGTACCCAATTTATAATTATTGCACTTAAATATAGAAAAATGGAGATTACCAATTTACTTGCACGAGATACATAATCTCATTTATTGGATCTATTTTAATCATTCTAATCTCATCATACTTTTGCTTTAAAACCTACAGAAATGCGAATAAATTTGTTTATGAATTAATACCTATGTTGCTATGTATTTTATAAGGAGTAATTCATGTAATTTAGTTTTCAATACTAAACGAAAATCATTTAACATTATTAGGAAATCTAATATAAATAGTCATTTTTTCACTAGTTGGATACACATTTTCTATAGTTTTAAAGAAAATATCTACAGATGATAGTATGATCTAAAATTAATTTGATAGTTAAATTTACAATTTTTTAAAGGAGAAGACTCTAACGTAAAGAAATAATATACTTAGTAATCTTTATTTTATAGATAATGTGTATTTGCCTAACAAAAACAAGTGTTTGCAATATGTAAAAATTGAGATCATAAATAGCTTTTTCTATATTGTGATTATATTAACCATAGCAGATGTTTTGATAACGATGTTTATAATTGTCTATTATGGTAGAAAATTGAAAAAAGTCTTGGTTTATGCAAGAAATCGATTCTCTTCAAATAAAAATGATACCTCATAACAAGTTGTTCATCCCTTGATTGAAGCTGATCTGCCCAAAGAAAAGATTCGTTAAATATAAGTTGTTGTATTTTCAATTGCAATTAATACAATATTCTACATAATCGTAATTATAATACTTTTTTGGAGTGACAGAGATCTGTTATGTGATTTTGAGAAAGACGATATCTTAGATGTCAAAAATAATATCTTGATCTTAATATTCACAATAACCTAATTATTTCCTTGCTTCATTGTTCCTTATGCTTTTAATTATAGACTCAAAGAAAATGCATTTAAGTAAATAAAACTTATATCCTTTAGTGATGATGGATTAGAATTCACTAGAGAACGAGCAGGATCATCTAAATTTTAGATAGACGAGAACAACGACTAGTTTGTACAAAGATTGACAAGGGGAAGAGTAAGATAAGAAGATGAATGAATTGTAATTATAAAATAATATAATTTTTAATCATCAGAATGGGATAAAGTCAGACAACTGTAATTTTAAAATAAGATGCTCTTCAAATAACATCAAAAGGTCCAAACAGGAAAAGAGTCAATAATGGAACTGAAATCGATTAATGTTTAAGCTAACATCAATGCGTTATCATTTTAGTTGAGCAGTATAAGTTTCAAAGTATCAAGTATTACAATGAATCCTTTTTCTTATGAACATATCACTTAAGAATTGCTTTAGAGAGAATATCTTTAATCTAAGCCATTCTAGATTCTAAACAAATAAGAATTTATAAGAATTATTGATCATCCAACTAAATCATCGGAAATTACTCCTTAATCTAAAATAATAGGACAAGGCACTCTAAATTAATAATGGAACTAAGATAAGCATGTAATTGATGATTTTGAAATTGACTAAAAATAAGGATCAAATTCAACAAAATATTAATCATTATATAAGTAGGACAAAAATAACACAAAGCTTTATTAATTGAAAGAGGACTAAATGCAATTATAAAAGCAAATTAACCATTAATATAAAAGATCGAATGGATAATCAATTAAAAATGAGAAGACTGAAAACTTTTCAGATGAAGAATCAGCTGAAAATAACTCTCTCTCAATTAGTTAAAACTTTGCTGAATTGAAATAAAATGAAGGTGAAATTGATGAAAAATCATACTTATAAAATAACAGATTCTGGTCATCAGATCATTCATCAACATTCATTGACTTTCAATTTTATAATCAAAATATTAATTCTCAGTATAATAATTAATCAGAAAAATACCTAGTAGGACCAAATTTGAAGCAGTTATCTTAAGCCCAATCAAGTTAGCAAAACCTTAATCAGCGTGTAATAAATTAACAATCTTTTGGTACCATCAAAACAGTAATTTAAAATTAATAACCTTAAATATAACATCTAACAACTTCTCCTACAGTGTTTTCATAGAATAAATTATTAAAACAGACATAACCACAAAATTATCAAATATTTCAACAATAAATCCCACTTGAATCTCATCAACACTTTGGATATACATAACTACATTCAAATAAGAAATTAAATTCGGTTAATCATTAATAGCATACTAATAGTCCAAATTAATAATGGTAGAATAATAATAATCTGTAAAATAATCAAATTATTGGCTAGTAATAATAGCAAGGAAAAAAATCGAAATTCCATCATTCAGCCTCTCCATAAGCTTAAATTCCACAATCTCAAGGGTAATAAAAAGAATCGATGAGGTAATAATTTGATCGACTATTACGAGATAACAAGGAGTTCAAATCAAAATAAAAGACTCACAAAGAAGAAAATATATAGAATTGCAAATCTCCAAGATTGGCAGATAAAAAAAAGGATTAAAATTAAAATATTAATAAGAAATAAATATAAAGTCCTAAAGATGATAAAGCTTCAAAAAAACAAAAATTAATTAGCAGTTAATCTCCTTTAGAAAATAAAGGTATTATCAAGAATAGTATTGGATATGTAGAGATGAATAAAATAAAAAAATAATATCATAGATCTCCTGAGTAAGATTTTGAAAGATTATAGAATTAAAGACAGGTTGAATTGAAGATTTAAGATAAATAAAAAGATAATCATTTATATTCAAAATAATTTCATTTTTAAATCTAGAATTTACCTCTTTAATCTTTTGAGCATAAAACTCTAAATATTCAACAAACATAAAACAAATAAAATGTTTCGAATTTATAAACTGCAATGACTTAAAATATATCTCCATCCGAAAGAGGAGTAACAAATAGACCAAACATCAAGGATATAATCAATTTAAATGATCTATCCCAATATTAAGAAAACTACATAAATTTTGATCGAACAACAACTAATCGTGAAACTTAAATTTAAAAAGTTAGGAAATTTTCTGATTGATCAAAATCTTTTTGTACTTATTTATATTAATTAATTTGTAAAATTAATTCAAAATGTCATTTAAATTATTCATTCCTGCACTATTAAATCAATCATATCTTATCATTTTTTTATTGTATTAAAACTGCTTCATCTTTAATAATTCAAGGATATAATCTAATCTATTCTTATTCAATAAAAAATGTTAATATATTCTAAATTCATAATATTTAATCTAAAATATCATGACATTGCAAAACTAATTAAATTGATTACTAGATGTAAAAATTAAGACTCTCATATTCAATTTTTAGAATGTTAAAGTGAAAATTTATAAAATAAGTCTATCATACTTAATTTATTCTTTTAGTATTTCAGATAATCAGTATAAATAGATATTGGATCCTATTATACTATTGACTATAAAAATTAAACTTATTTTTAAGAAGTTAGCATTAATAATCATATTATAAAAAATACTAAATGGATAATTTATGCACAGTTTGTATAAATTAAAGGGCAGTTAATCGAGATTTTGAATGTAAATCTTATAGTTGTGATGAAAACAGTAGAAAAGGCAATTTAGAAACTTGTTAGTCTTGTAATAAAAAACTATAGGGGTAGAATTAGTAATAAAATAAAAAAAAAGCTGATGAGTTAATAAAGGTCTGTCAAAGAAGCATCTCGTTCATTCATAATTAGTAAATATACATGAAGCAATTCATCGAGCATTAAATAGGGGAATTGATAAATATGCTTTAAGAGAAATAGAATACATTGCAGAGTAATCTAACTGAGATATTATAAAAAAAATTGGACTATTACTAAGACTGTGAATCAAGACTAAATATAATAAAGAAAAATAGCGATTATAATAGATTAAAATAATAGCCATTTGTGTAATTAGAATAATATGAAGATGATAAAATTCTGGATTTTGGAAATATTAAAATTTTAACAGAAGAGATAAAGAATTTTGGAAAACGGGTTGCTAAGAAAACTAATTAAAGTGCATGTTTATAGATTAATAATACTAAAAAATATCAGAATAATGCAAATAAAGAAAACCTAAAGGATTCTTAAGAGAAAATAAATTAATCCAATATGTTTATTTCATTTTTGCCATCATTGGACGATGCTACATTAATTTACAGATTCGGTTAGAAATTTCATATGCCAAAATAAAATAAAGTGCTTGGATTTATCTATACAACAAATCAAAGCAAATTTGGTTTTTATTATAATATAGATTAACCAACAAATGGGTATAATAATTCGAAAGACTGCTACATTTTCTCATTAAATAATATATATCAAATACCTGTATTAATTTTAATCTAATTTAGCCTATGAAATTTTACCCTAAGGAAGAGTGTATTAGATATTCCTTATATCTAGGCCATTCTAAGATTGGATTTGGTAAGGATTGTAAAGATTTGCTCATTGACTTTGAAAATATCAAAAATTCTTCTTCAAATTTAGGTCAATCGTATGATGTATATTCAGAGCTTGATAGTGAATGTATATTAGCAGGTAGATCAACTAATTGGAATGTTGAAATGATAGAGATATTTAGTTTGAAATGATTAATTACTACTTTTAATATGAATTACAATGATGAACAATGCAATAAGATATAATAAATTAAGAAATGAAAGTTAGCCACTCATCATAATTTTTGAGGAGTTCTATTGAATTTAATCTTCTAAACATTCTTCTTCAGATTGTCAAAAAATTTCCTCTTTCTATTAAAATCAATCTTAATCGTCTTTAAAAGCTTGAAACTAAACAATTTATTATTCAATTTATTTTTGATATTTTTATCAGAGTTCTCTAACAGTGAAATATTGCATAAAGTTTTTTATTAGGTTTCTTAAATATCCATATTATTTTACAATAATTAAAAGGGATCTTTGCTATTATATATTATTGTAGTTTTCAATTTGAATCTTGTATTTATTTTGTAAGAATTAGATATTTGAATACTTCCTGTTCATTTAAATTTTCTAAAAAAGGTTATCAATTTTATAATGCTTTTATGAGTTTTTTAAGTTGATTGTTAAATTTATATGTTAGAGTTCTTCATTATAACTTCTTTGTGTTTAGTATAATCATTTTGTAAAGTGAAAAAGGAATAATTTATTATATTTAGTTCATTCTAAAGTAACCTACTGATAATGGTTGTCATATTTGATTTTTTAATTTAAATAATTAAAATATAAAATATTTTAACCCAGTATCCTTAAGTACATCTACCTAAATAAAAATTCTAAATGATAGTATTCTCCTCGTCCTAATTGTTAATTAAATATCTCTTGTTTAATTCATTTTTTTATACTTTTTCGCCTTAATTGTAACTTCATAATCCAGATTACTTTTGAGGGAAGATTCTAATTTTTCATCTTATCCTACTTCGAATCTCTATTTAAACCAAAATATATGCCTTAGAGATAGATTTCACTTTCTTAAGATACATAATTGATATTATTGTAATAATTTTTATATTTAAACAATTTTATTCATGTGATGAAATTCCAGATTGTAGTGTATACTTCTCTAAATTAATCAACTTTGTCTTGTTTAATCAATTCTGAAAACAATTTATAATTGGCCAAGTTATTTGTTATATCTTTTTCAATAGCTAAACTTATAAATATTTTTACTATCAAAATTTTCTCCTCTAAAGATGTAAGCATATATCAACACAGTATATAATTCATTTATTATATGCTTTTTCCAGATGGGAGATGAAAATTTCAAATACATCTCTGCTTTTTTAGTAAATACAGAATTGCCTTCAGTTTCTGAGATTAATTTACTTCCTTTCAAAATCTAACATTTATTTTTTTATTTTACTTTTTCATATAAATCCAACAACTTTTCTTCCTCCAATTAAAAACAAGGCTCTTGAGCGTCTCTAACGATGATGTTTTTATCATTGAAATGACCCAAATTGCTAATCATTATAGTGAACTTCATAAAATCAGGATCGTTCATAGTAGCCACTGATTTGCTTATTTCATCATCCACTTAATCAACCATAAGAGTTTATTCCTTAGTCTTTTTGGATGTAGAAGGTTTGACAGTTCCAGTCTATCTAATTAAAATCCAAATCTATTACAGGTGGTACACCATTATGTTTGTTTTTTATATGAGTATATAAGGCAGCATTCGTCCCATACTTTCTGCCACAATTTGGATCGCCGCAAATGAAATCTTTCTCTATCTCCTCCTTCTTTCTTCGATGTTTTATAGCTGCTTCTTATTTTATTCCACTTCCAGATTATAATTACTACTCTTCTTCACTCATTATATTTTTATAACCAAAAATATATAATTTTATATAAATTTTAGAATATTAATAGGATTCGGAAATTAGAATATTTATAGAAAATTATATAAAACAATATAGATCTCAGTTAATCAAAATGAAGTTTAATTATAAGAGAAAGAGTCTAGGTTTCCAAATAAGAAAAAGGAGTCTATCTATTCAGTTGGGATTTAATTCCTAATCTCTTCCTCAAATTACTCCTTTCCTTAATATGGATCTTGGTCAACTTAAGGCTCTTCACCTCCTTAAGGTTCTTCACATTCTTTCTTAATTAATTCATCTAATTATTCCTGAGATGAACCAGGGGGATAAGTTGTTTATAAGTATTTAAAATAGGCTAAGCCTAAGTCTCTAACCCTTCTAAAAGATCTTGACCTTTAAGAATTCTATTTACTCAGCGGAATCAACCCTGAGAAGGGATTGCTATCCGTAAACTAAAAGAATTCTTCGGTTTGAAGGTAAAATGTAATATCCTTCATTACCTGTCGATCACTTTTATATTTAGATAAAGTCTAAAAACCCATAACCAATCTCTTTTTTAATTTTTAGAAGATAGAATCCTCCAATGGTTGATACATGGGTCCTTTAGCATTTAAATAAGAATAAATTGTCGACTTAGGTATACCATATTCCCTTGCTAATTATGAAGGCCTTTTGATCTTTAATTTTAAGAGAACTTTAATATAGTTCTTCAATTCCTTAGATGGCTTTTTTAAATACTTAGCCGCTCTTTTACTTTATTTAATTTGTTTCATTTATTAATATAAATAATAATTTAAATATTTTCATAATGAGACTTGATTAATGCGTACTGTTATATTACGTTGTACAAAATTAATAGTGATTCTGTTGAAACCCTTTAGTTACCTTAATTTAATTTATGATATTGCACTATACTTATTATATAAATTATTGGTTTAATAGAATTACAAATGAAACTCAAATTTTTGTAGATTAATATTTACATAAATGATAATTTGTAAACCATGTTTGCAAATACTAATTAAGTCAATTGATAATAACAAAATTTAAAATAATAAATACTCAAATTCACTTTAGCATTGGCAACTAGTCAAAAAGTGATAATTCAATTTAATTAGTCTTTTGATCAAATTATCGAAGTAGGAATAGCTCTAAAAAATGGACTTACTTATAGCATGGAATAAAGGATTATTTAGAATAATGGAAGCCAAATAGCATCACTCCTATTAAAATTGAATATGAAAAAAATATTTCCAATTAACATCTTAAACTGAAATATTTTTCCTCTCAGTTGATACAATATTTAACTTTATATTATATATACTGCAATTTTTAAGTGTTAAATATTCATTTCTAATTCATTTTAATTGTTAATTGTTTGCAATAATTATATAATGTTACTCTGACATAATCAATTATTTTAATAATTAGAGATGAGAATTTTTCTATTGTTATTAATTTCTACGCTTTAAATCTCAAATTGTGATAAGATTAAGATTTCATTGTATAGTATTACTAGTTGCTTATCATTTTAGTTGAATCATTATGTCCTGATACTACTAGATTTATATAATCATCTTTATTGAAGGCATTAAAAACACCATCATTTGATGAATTAGTCGAACTTAGATTTGTTCCTTATGGAAAGGCATCATAAAATCAATAAAGCAATGGCTCTATTATTTTCAAATGCTAACATGGAGATTTAGAATGCTTTGGAAATAAATTATAGGCTTGTGGATTTAATGTGCTCCCCTCTTAAACTGAATAACTTAGATTTTTAACTTGTATTTAAAAAACAAGAAAGAGATAATAAGAAGACTTCGAATCTGAAATTAAATAATGCCTCCCAGATTTATGGGAAGGAATCATAGAATGCGCCAATGGTACATAAGGAAAAGAATTATTATGGAAAAATGGAATCGAGACTCTGAATTTAGACCCAAAGTTGACTTATGTTCCTTGGGTGACTGTAAACGAAAAATTTGAATCTAAAGCTCATGAAATGATCGAAAGAAATATAGTATAATGGGCTTGCTAATTGGCTAATAAGGATAATGAAAAGTATGTTCAGATTGATGCATGTTAAGAATATAAGTGAGATCAATTTTTATTTATTCATTAAAAATCAATTCCTAAAATTATGAATATAATTTAGATGCTGTGTTTTATCTCTTTATTATATTTGATGTTGAACCTCTTGATTTAGGATATGAACCTAAAATTTGCTAAATAATAATATTATATTTCCTTATGATTAATAGAACTATCTCAAAGAAATAAACAGAGTGGTTAATATCACAAGGATGAACCTTAGTTTATCTACTGTTACTAAATTTATCCGTACTTATTTGTTTTTGATTAACCAAATTTTGGATAATATTATGCATAATATCAGGTTTTTTTCTTTCAAATTGATTAAATTTATCTTCCATATTTATATAAAATTGTAAACTAATTTACTGAAGGCTATTTTCCATTAACAAAACAAAATACTGAAGATATTAAAATTTTAATGCAGTACTTTTTTGACTATTTTATGTTATACTTAAATAAAAGTTATATTAATAATTAACTAATATTTATGCAATATAGATCCTATTATTTTATTATTTTATGTAACAATTTAATAATAATAGAGTAAATTAGAGTAGTTTTAAGTTCATAGAGGTGAATTATCGTTTTATATTTTTATTTATCTTTCATAAATCAAACAACACTAATTAATAAGCAATCATCAATTAAGAAAAATTTGAAAGAAATATAAATGTAATACCTTATATAACTTTATGATTTTATTTTTGATAATGAATGTGAATGATTATTAATATGGGAGCCAATAAGAAAAACTATTATACTATAGAAGTTCAAAAACCAAAATATAATTAAAACCTTGCTTTTTCTCCATCATTAGAAATTTAACATAATCAATAACTAAAAATTTAGGATAAAATAATAAATATCAAATGAGCTCCTAAAGGAAGAATCCTAATTTCTAATTAATGGTATGTTATAATTTTAAGACAGTATTTTTAAATCTTAAGAAATCCTAAATAATAAAGTTGGATTAGTATATTAATAAATTTATCTGAAATTATTTAATTTTAATGACAATTTCAATTTTTTATTCTTAATGGATCATTTTAGTTTAATTAAATTGGTTTAATTAATAAACATAAAATTACTAATATCTACATCAAGTTTATTTAGTTCTATTGAGCAAATCCTAAACTATAACATTATCAAAGTATTTTGATTTCTAATTAAGCTCTTTTTCAAACTTTTTAGTATCTTCTTAATCAACATACAAATCGTTCCTATAGAGATATTATAGAAAAATCATACATTTGTTTTTAAATAGGCCTTTGCCCATATAGAATTTGAAATTCAGAGGGTAACAAATCAAGGTTTTTCTTAAAGAAAGCATTCAACTCATTATTGGAAGGTATTTCTTTAATAGACTAGTAAGGTTCAAAGGAGGGGTAATCTAAGAGAGAAAGCAATTTCTACTTAAAGTCTAAATTATTAATAAATATTTTTTACCTTATCTTTCCTCCAAAATTAATTTCGATATTAGGTTATACCTTTTTTCAAATGCTTTTTATATTTATTCTCTAATTTAATTTCCAATTTAAACAATATTTTCTTAACCTAATTTATTTTCATAGCAATAGGTATATGCAAATTCATCAATACTAAATGGTAATGTTAAATAAGTACTATTAAAAAGCATTGTCTAAATCCCATTGTATGGTTTCAGCGACTTTAGATGTTGATATCTATAAATTGATCATTGAATCGTTTTTATCAATATATGATTCAAAGGCCAATATATCTGATATATGTTTGAATTACTTATGATGTTCAATGGCCTATTTAATCTAAGATAAGCAGTCCTCAATAATTTCTAATATAATTAGGAAAATGGTTACTTTGAGTTTCCGAAGCTGTAAGTTTTCTCACTCTGTTAGGGTATTTTTCTTCTAATAGATCAGTTACCAGAGAAAAGAGATTTCTGAATAATTATTCATCTGAATAATCATCTTCAAAATCCCATAAAATAAGTTCCTCCAAAATGGTGTCTTTGTTTTTTAATGATGCTATAGGTATTTGAAGCATGATGGGAGTCAGATTTTGAGATGTATTACGGAATCCTGGAGGGAATGGACACAATTTCACGTTATTTTGAAATTTTTCATTATGAGTCTTAATTTTGTGAATTTTCTTTTTAATACAATCTAATTATGTGATTGCTTCTGATAGTTAAGAGCCTTGCATTAAAACAAAAAATTAAAAATTAAATATATATAAAATCTTTTATAATATCAATAATTTTAAGATTTCGCTTAAATGATTGAATAGTTTTTGTTTTCAAAATAAACATATCATTAAATATTTTATTATTTAAAATATTTCCATCAAACAATTTCAAATTAGTTATTTTCTGATTTCTAAATGTCTTCCTCTTCACTTTGTCTTAATCAACCTAATTTATTACATTCTACTCCAAATTTTGAGAACAGAAATGTAATAGAATCTATTCATACTACTAACAGTGTAATAATAAAGTGTGCAACTAAGAATTAAGTCTCTAGAGATTCTTCCTATACATTAGGTAGATATTTAGGTTAGGTTTATAATGAGGATTTAAATATGTTGACATATAGCGAATATTGAATCATTTAATCTTATATTTAAAAAAATTAAATATTCATTATGGTGTCTAAATCCAAAAATAAGTTAAAATAGCAGGATTACTATTATAATATTAAATTAAATTATCAGTTAAATAATGTTTGAAAATAATAGTGTTAAATATGTTCCATCAGTGCCTAAAATAGTTGATCCTGAACCAATAACTTGTATTATTGAGCCTAGTAAATAAATCAATTGACAATTTTAGGTGAAGAAGAGGGAGGCTTATATTTAGGTAATTTGGAAGCAGCCAATAATGTTGATCTACTAAGAAAATTGAAAATCAGGGCAGTATTGACCGCAAGTCAAGAGACTGCAGTAAAATACTAAGAACACGTTGTTCATTTTCATGAAATTATTATGGCTCATGATAAAGCAGATTACGATATCATTTAACACTTTGAATAGGCCTATGAATTTATTGATAGACATAGGAAATATACAAATGTGTTCGTACATTGCTTTGCAGGTATAAGTAGATCTGCATCCATGGTTACAGCCTATCTAATGAAAAAATATAATTTATCATTCGAAAAAGCACTTTGGAATGTTAAGTCTAAAAGGAGACAAGTTCATCCAAACGTTGGATTTATTAGACAACTATAAAAATATGAAACTGTGCTCAAAAATCAAGCTATTTCTAATGCTCCATCCAGAATTCAATATTAATAGTAACAATTCCCATAGTATGGTTTCGTATAATAACCAACCCAGTAACCAATCCAATAATCGATTCTAACACCATTTATTTAATAATCTGTCCTCTAACCTTGGAATCAATCGCAACGTTATGATGAATTAGTTTAATATTATTGATTGTTATAAATACTTCCAAATTTATTATTTGTCAATTACCTAAATGATGAAATAAAACAATCTATTTAAAATTAGATTTCCCATAAAATCTCTTCAACTAATGGACAACTAAGATTAGATAAAATAATTTTAGTGTATATTAGAAGATATTAAAAATGAGAAAAATTATACTAATTTGAGTTATTAGGGCTCATCTATGAAGAAAATCAAAAAGAGTCAAACAAGGGAATACAAAAAAATGAATTAATATTTTTTCATTGTATTTTGAAATAATATAAAGAATTAAATTTAATAATAACAAAGAGTAAAACAGATTGAACTAGACTCATGATGTTCACATTTAAGTGAAGTAATTATCCAGAAGCTCTTCATAATGACTATTGAATTTCCCTTAGGCTTTAGAACATTAATGAAGTATTTTACAACATTCAGTACTTTCTGACTTACAATGTTAGCTGATACTATTTATAAATTGGTTAGCTTGAAATTTATTCCTTGAATCTTCAAATAGGGTCTTGATTGTAGTTCTTTTCTTTGTTAAAGAGGGGAGATCCGTTAAAGTTGGTTATCTAAAGAAATCTCTTTAATGTCTGATTTAAGATTCATAAATTCTCTTTTTCTCTTCTGTCTAAGATAACAAGGCCTTAGCCTTACTCAAAGGTTCTCTTAACGTTAATTTACTTTTGAAATTCATTTCTGGTTAGATTGTATTCAATAATTCGTAATATGATGGTGCTAATTTTACATCAAATTCTTGATTGATCAAACTTGAGATTGAGTTAGAATTCTTGTTTATTATTTAGTTATGGATGGATTTCTATAGCTCTTCCGTTCTTGCAGTACGATTTCCTAGTTTTTTAATTTATTTTGTCTCTCTTTCAAAATCCTTCTGGATTAAGAATAGCACTTTATCATCTGAATTCATTTTTGGCCTTTTAATTAATTTCCTTGGAGTATTATGTTTTTGTTTAACTTCCTGGCTATTAATGATCTCCCTTTCGGCATTCAATTTTCCATAAATTCTTAACATTACTGGATTGATTGTAGGTTGAGTTTCTAAGAAGATTATATTAAATTATAACTTGTTAAGAAGGATTTGAACATCATCATATTTTTAATATACCTTGGACTCATTCTTATTTCACCTAATTAACTTTTCATTAATTAATGTTTGATAAAAATAAATTCTTAATTAGTTCAATATCAATAACTTTGTTAATATTTGTTGTATTTCATAATGTTGAAAATCTAATTCAAAGCAGAAGATTTTTATAAGAGGATGAAACAATTAACAATCAAACTGAACAATAACATTAGGAGGAACACAGAAGTGCAAGGAGAACATATACCCCAATGGAAATTGATTTTTGGATTTGCCTGCTCATTGCTGCAAGTTTATATATATTTGAAAGATATTAGCTTTAATCTGCATGGCTGCTATTTGCTCTGGAATGACTGTTGGCTATTTATCGGTGGATGAATTGCAATTAGAAATATATAAAGAATAAGGAACACACGAGTAGCAAAGACAAGCCAATGTTATCCTGCCAATTATTAAATAGCATCATATGCTTCTCTGCACATTGCTTATAGGGAATGCATTCTGTATGGAATCACTCCCAATATTTTTTGATAAAGTTGTTCCACCAGCCTTTGCAGTACTAATCTCAGTCATCTTTATTATCTTTGCTGGTGAAATCATACCTTAAGCATTATGCACTGGACCGAAACAGTTGATTATTGCTGAGAAATTAACACCAATAGTTAAAATATTAATGATTCTATTCTGGCCAATCAGCTATCCTTTGGCCAAACTTTTGGATTCCTATTTCGGAGAGCATGGGTCTACTAGATTCCAGAAGAATGAATTAAAGGCCTTAATAGAGTTGCACGGAATCCAGAAGCATGCTACTGGAGGTGATCATGCAAATGAGGATTAGGGATTCACTTAGGCAGAAATCAATATGATTACATCCACTATTGACTTGAGGGATAAAACTGTTGGATAAGTTATGGTCCTCATAAAGGATGTTTTTTCTGTTAACAAAAACAATGAACTCAATAAAGAGACTTTAGCAAGAATAGCATCCTCTGGTTATTCATATGTCACCATCTATGAAAATTAGAAGGAAAACATTATTGGCACGATTAGATCCAAATAATTAATTGATATGGAATTAACTAAGAGAAAGATATCTGAATTAGAAAACCTTGTAAAACCAGTTCTATTCATTTCAGGTGATACCTCTTTGTTTGAAATGCTAATGATCTTTAAATAAAAGAAAACCAAAATTGCATTTGTGGTTGAAACTAATAAAAATGATTAAGCAAATACATCAAGAAGTCCTAATTGCTAAATCATAGAAGACAAATCATAAAAAAATGTTATTGGATTGATTTCATTAAAAATGTTATTTGAGGAAATTGTGAAGAAGGAATTCCATGATCAAGATAACCATATTAAATTCAATTCAGTAAGTTATTTGAATTATAATTAGTTAAAACCCACCTAAATTCAGCCAATTGGTAAATTATAAAATAAAATGCTTATAGAGCCAGAAGAAAAATAATGATATAATCATAATGGTTTGTTTTAAATAAGAATTAATTATTCAATAATATCTTTTAAATTCATAATCTATTTATTATTCCTTCATTTTAATCTATTCTCTATATGTTTTATCATAATTAACTTTAAAGATAATGAAATTATACTCATAAATTGATAATTTTAAATAAAAACATCTTGGCATAGTTTTTTGAATAAAATGTACTAATTATGCTTTGACAAAACCATCATATCAATGTTCATATTAAATTTAATAAAAGAATAGAACAAAGAAGTCTCAATTATAGTAAAGAATAATCGAATTCGCTCTATTTATCGTCTCACTCCAATATCGATTAATATATTAATTTATAATAAGGATCTTTTATATTAAATTCTATAATATATGATGTATAATTAGAGATTGAGAATCCTAGCTTAAGCAGTTCTATAAGAGCAGGCCTAATAAATACAAAATACAGAACGAAAGCTCAGCCTATAAGAAAATTACATAATTTACAATATTATATAAGTAGCTGAAATTGCTAACATTAAATCAGAAATTGAAAAGCTGGCAATTGAATTTCAAAATCTGCTTATTTACAAGTATCTGAAGGAGTAATTATTTTATACTATAAAGAGCAATATCGCACCTTTTAATCTAATTAGACCATATTTTTTTATAATATTCATTTGAAAGCTAACCGGATGATATAAAATGTTACATTTCAACAATTAAGTACTTGTCATCGTTTGTTTCAAATATTCCCAGTTTCTCTGTGTTTTTAGAAGAACTCAATAATAGCCTATAATATTAGCCAATTGATTATATGAAGACTGTTGCGAAGAGAGCTTATAAATTAATGAAATTTCAATAATTATTGTGTTATTACATGGATTAATTTAAAAAACAGAGAGGAATAGATTTAAATAAATACTATAATTTATAAGGATTTATGAAAATATATAAGGGTTATGGTAAAATCAAATTTGCTTTTAAAAAGTAAAAGAAATAGCCCAAAAATCATAATACATAAAGTTAATCTTCAATTTCTACTGCATACTCCCACTCATATTCAGTAACCCCTTAACCTTAAATTTTAGGATATAATGATCCATATTAATAACCTTATAGTACAACTACAATATATTCACAGGAGGGTTGTACATCTCTAAATTCACAATCAACCTTAATACAACAACCTTAAATTTAAAGTTGTTCATATTAAAAATCACACTCTTTGTAGGGTGATTAAAACTTTTAGGATCAACCAGATTATGGAATATCTTTAATCTAATAATCGAGCCATCCTTAATAAAGGTCAAATTATGATTACCCATTGATGCCTCAAAACTATAATGGTGGTGTGACCTAAACATTTTAACAATAGGAGCAATATTAACCAAATTTTTAGTTCTAGAATATGCCTTAATAATAATAATAACAATAATAGCAATATTAATAACAATAGCAATATTAATAACAATAATAATAGTAATAATAGCAAAAGTAAGAACAATAAAAATAAAAATAATATTAGTAATAAGTTCAATAAGTTCAATAAATTCAATCAATTTAATTTGCATAAAACTAACACTAACAAATTTAATAATGTTAAAATGTTCCTCTTCCATAATTTTATCATAATGAATAACACAGTTATGAACTCCAATAAATTTAAAATACCGTGTAATTCTGTTAAGAAGATGCAATTAAAAAGGTAGCCATCACAGATTCCATTTTTTAATAATCTATATCAGAAATATCTGAAATTTAGGATACGAGTGTATAACAATTTGGTTTTACCTCATTCAGACCAGACCAGACGCAAATAGATGATGCATCATTTTAAGAGTAAATCAATTAAAGGATAGAAGAAAAAAAAGAGTTAATTAATTAAAAGGTTGCTTAAGAGTAATAAATGAAATAAAGGGATGTTGGTTAAGGGAAATAGATTAAATAAGATTTTAATTAAGAAGAATAAATTCATTAAAGGGATGGAGGTTTACAATTTAAAATATTGGAGTATTCAGAATTTGAGGAATTAGTGATGAATAAAGCAAAAATAACTCAAATTCTTTTGGATCCTGATACCAATTAGCAGGTCTTTTCAACTTAACTATCGCATTTCATTTTAGATAAAAGTAACCAGCATGATTTGGAAGCCATTTCATTATTAGAAAGATTTTGCGAGAAAAAGTAAAGTTAATTTGAGAGAGACGATTAAAAGAAGAAAATTTTATAACTTCTTGATTTTTGATTCTAATAATATTTAGTATTAATATCTAGTATGTAATATTGTTTAATATTTTAATAATACAAAACTATAGCTAAATAATGATTCAAGTCTCGTAATGTAACGGAGATAGTTGGACGGATATGGAGGAGCTCAATGAGATATTCGAAAAAATAACATCTGAGAACAATTCAAAACAAAATTAATAAAAAACCAGGATTGACATGTTTCATCACGAAATACTCAAAAATGATAAGAATCATTAAATTAGTTTTAGAGATGATGTCATTCCGAACATTGGCTTGATAGACGTTAACATAGTAGATAATTGGAAAGATTATAATGTTATTTAAGAATAAGATGTTGGCGATAGTTGTTCTTGCTATATATCTTGATTTGTCATATGATGATAATTATTGGTTTTATATTTAAATATTTACTAACCAATCAGTTAATCAATAATGATTGCCAATAAGAGTCAATTATTATTATTAATAATATGAATAAATAAAACATTAATAATGTGAGCTCAAGGAAGTTAGAGATATTTTAAAATAATGCTTTAAAATTTATAAATACTGAATCGAATGATTAAGATCAAGTTGTTCCATTTTATTTTAAAAGCAGGAGGAACTTTAAACTCAAATTGCCATCTCTTCAAGTGAGTAGAATTATGATTGGAAATGAGAGTACTGCTAATGAAACCTATTGCCAGAACAATAAATTCGGTAGAAGGAAACCCTTTGAATCTCCATCTTTATCTTAACCATTATTAAATATGCCTGATCCCTAAATTGATAGCGAATTAAAAAGAAAAATCAGATAAAAATGTTTATTAAAAAATGTCCATAGGATTACCTTGCTGCATAAATAGAAATGAATTAAATATAACACTTATAATATTTATTATTATAAATTGTATAATTTTAATATATGCATAGGAATTTAAGATTGTACAGACATTCATCATGTTCAACTGATTGTTCATCATTCCTTAATGCAAATCTAAGTTAAGAATAGATTAAATTGCCAAATATCAAACAATAAGAAAAACCATCCTTAATTGGAGCATTGCAATATGGTTAATTGTAATTGAGAGTACTTAGAAGAAGTGTTGAAGAAACATAAAATAAAAAATAATAATATTACTTTCATGAAAGAAGAGAAAAAAACTACAAAAAGATATTGCCAAAAGTATAAGTACCCAAAAATAATTCAGTTGCACTTCAAACCACCGGTTTTAGTCCATGGATATAAGAGTGATTCATTCCATTTGTAATTTTCCTTTTCGATAAAAAATAATTATAAAAATATACTATATTTTAGCATGAGACTAAATGTCTAATACTATTCTCACTCTCTACGATGTTGACCAGTTTAGTTTTCTAAGTAATCAGAAAATCATATAGCATATTACCTTTCATATTTATAGAATAAAATCACAATAATTTTGCATAAAATTATATAGTTATGGTTAAATATGGATAATTTTGTTGAGAGAAGGTTTATTTATTTGATATGATTCATCTATAAAGAAGCATTTAATTAATAATTTATGTTTTGAATTATAAATGTTCTATAGAATAGCTTGGTCTGATTTTTAAATAAATCATAAACAATATTGAAATTAGGATAAAATGAAAATTTTTAGATTTTTAATAAACATAAAGATATTCATTAAATATGATTTGGAATTAAGTCTGGAAGTGTGACCAATCTGATTCGTGAATATTTATGGATGAATGGTTTGATGTAAAGTTCCTTAATGGTTTTTTCAGATTTCTTTTAAGTGTTTCTCTCAGTAGAAAGGAGAGGCTCTTGTCTATATAAATTGGTTTGAATTTAAGGAAGTTAGGATTTAAATGGTTTAATAGATTAATAAGTGTTTCTAGATAAAAGATGGTAGGATAATGAAGAAAATTATTTATTGACTAGTTTGCTTTTTTCGCTATTGATGATTTCTTTTTATTTGACTAGGAAGGATTCAAAAAAGCTAGGTTTTTTGGTTGGAGTTCGTTCAAGGATTTTTGAAGAATTAATGTGGAGAGCATCTTCTTGTTTAATTACATCAAGCATTTGAGTTTTTTTTTTTTCAATTTTGAGAGTATTTTATCTGATAATGGATTATTCAAATGGTTCAGTAGGTGTTTCTACAGCAAAAAGATAAGGTGCCATAACATAAATTTAATGTTTCCGAATGGATCTTTGGAATTTATGCATGGGTGATTCTCGTTCTTTTTCAATTTACTGTACTTTGAATTCGTGATTCATGCATTGTTTCTGGAATCTGCTTAGAATTCCACAAAATTCACATTCACAACTTCTCCTTCTCTGTCTAAACTACTCCTTGGTTTAGTGTTAGTACTGTTTTTCAAGATCTCTTTCACTCTTTATCAAAGGTCTAGTTTTACGAAGGTATTTTTGTGAACTAATGGAGGGTTGAGTTATGAGAAATGACTATATCTTGGCGATTCCTTTGCCTTCTATATATTTAAAGGGGTTAAGTGAATTTGGGAAAGAACGAGAACGTAGTCTAGTTTTGACATTAATGTTTATGAGTTTGACATTCTTTTGATGAAATAATTCATTAAGTTTATTGGACTTAATTGGTTATGGACTCTATTTGGGTAGAATCCTTTTTGATTGCGCACTTTGCATCTATTCTTTATCAAATAGTTAATGCTTTTGTATAAAAATTATTGATTTCAACATCTACTAGTTTAAAGGAAATGCAATAAAATAATCAATATTTTAATAAATGATATAATTGTTGTTTCTGTTATAGATTCAAGCAATCCTTGCTGGATTTACGAGTTGCGAAGTAAGGAATTTGATGTATAATGTAGGTGAACCCTGAACATCCTGAAATAATTTATCCATCAAATTCTAATTCCTTTTTATAACCACTTGACAAATACTTCCATGGGTAGGGTTTAACCTACTCTATCAATGGCACATATCAATTTGGTGTTTCTTAATCTACTAAAATGAGCACAATAACTTTGAAGAAGTCATAATTTCCAGGTATGTATTTTCATTGAATAATAATAGAGAACACCATCTTTATAGATGACGCAGCCTATTTTAATTGGTCTAATCCTAATTATCAGTAAGATCAATTTTTGGCTTTGGTGTCAATAAACAATGAATATTATGTTTATGAGACATCATTGAATTAAAAAACACCGACTTGGATTTAATTAACTTCTTCATTTTCAAGTGATTCATTAATTCATTTTAGGCACTTCAACTGCAATTTGCACAAATGTTGCCTATGTTTTTGATAATGACATCATCGTATCATGTGTAACAAGAAAGGAAGGATTTCAAATATTCTACTTTTTCCAAAGAGTAGTAATCAAAATTATAACCAAATATTTGCCAATTCTTATACAGTCTCCCTACGAATACGTACTAGCAAATTAATTAGAATTTTCCTATTTGCAAATACTGAACAATCAAGAATGTATCTATTCGAATTCAACATGTATTTAGAGGAGTTCTATGCTGCTGTTGTCCATGCAAATTACTTCAACCCTGAAACCATCGTCCATATATTCAAACTTGAGTTTTAGAGATCACTCCATGAACCAATCAAAATGACTGTTTATTTTTCAGGACATCATGACAAAGCTGCTTACGGTGCCTACTTGGCTGACCCTGATAAAAGTATGACTTTATTTTAGTAACTCTAGTTTACCTATTGTTTTTTGATGCTTTGGTAATTCACGATTTTTCCAAGAAAATTCATAAGAACGTAATGATAGTAGTAGACTCATCATAAGGAATGGGAGTATACAGAGAATCATATACAAATGGAGAATACAATCTATTCATATCTATAGTAACCAAGAAGGGCTTGGATTTCTATTCAACATCTAATTTGTAATCAAACTAAAAGCCAGGTTTACCAAAGACCTTCGATACTAATAAAAGATTGTCTGTTAAAGTGAGTTTGTTATATACAGTAATCACCACCGATAGTAGTTTTGTGATTTACGAGAATAGATATCTTTTGAAGGAAGAGAAGGTGTAATATGGGTTTTTGTATTACTCATAAACTCCAGCATTACTATCAGTCTTTTATGGGTTTGGATCTCAATTCGTTGTGTTTTAGAATACTACAATTATCACATATCAGATCTAGATGCCTTATTTGTATTCCTTAAAGACTCTGAATACAAATTATAATGTGCCAATTTAGATCTCAATAAATGCAACTAGCTAAGATGGAACTTAATGTTCTTGTACTTTTAACTATGAATTACTGAATGTTAATGACATGTATAATTTTGTTGCCTTAACTAAACCAGACGGCAAAGCAGAACCCATTTTATTATTTAATTCTCAATCCAAATTGTTGCCCTTAGGTGATTAATTTTTTGGAAGTAATTTGAAATACAAGATCGAAACAACCTAATTATAAGAAGAGAATTCTACTATCGAGACTTTACAACCAAATACTACATTGCTCTACATAAACTAAGTTAATATCATATCAAATAATTATGTAATTGCATATAGCAGTACATATCAAGTGGATGATGATACATTCTTTATTTTCTCTCAGTTGACTACTAATTCTAAAAATATTCAAATTGAAAAATGCAAGTTCTTGGCATGTCAGATCATTGAGATCATAAAGGGTGAATTCACTACCCCTGTTGTTGGCATTACAGCTATTAAATCAGGCTTATTATTCCACATTGTGATCGCAACCCAATAGGAGATCTTCTCATTTGAATACGATTACGATAAGATGAAATTGTTGATATAAAGAAAGAAATAGGTAACAAAACTTACTAAAGACATACCTCCAACAATGGTGATTTCAAGTGTCAACTATGTTCAAGAAGCCTTGATAATATTGACATCAACACCTAACTCCATTATTTGTGTAGATAATCTATTGATTCATCAATACACCATTGCTGGAAATTAATATGTCCCTAGATAGGTGTTCCTGAATCCTTACATCTTCAATGACACCTACTTTGTTGATAATCAATATGAATTATTGATGATCCAAAACAGTAAGAACAATTTCGATATTGAGTAAGAAACACAAAAGAAATATCACTATAATATCTTTGTAGCTTTCAATTATCCCAATAAATTTAAATAATAATAAATCAGCATTGGATTAGTAAGAGAAGGAGTCTATTTGATTCAACTTTCACAAACAGCAACCACATCAACACAAAACATTTACTTTTATCCCTATCAATTTTTGTACTACGATGCTGCTTACAAAGCATCTGCATCATTCTAAACAATATCCCTAACCCAATTCTAACTCACTATCTCCCAACCATTCGTCACTGGAATATCAAATAATGATAAGTTCTATGTGGCTGTATAGACTAATCAAGCGAATCAATATTAATTAGTCGTATTAAATCCATCAACAACAGAATATTCATAAATTTATTAAATCATTAATTTAAACTAACCGCCATAAAATTTAAATATCATATCTATAAATAGGGGACACAATCAACAGATTGACAAAGTGTTGGATTTCAAGTATGATTTGTTGTTTTTGTCATCGAGTATTTCCAACGAAATTCAATAACTTTAAGTATTCAAAGAGCCTGCTGTCTTATATACACCAAATATCCAGTAAAACAGAGTTGATGTGTTTGAACTTTAGGTTATTGCTGAAAACAATTTCAATCAAGCTCCAGCATAAGAAGCAGCTATTACAAGATAGGTCAAATCAACAAAATAAGAAATAGGAATCATTGCAAGAGAGAATTAAGCATTTACTCCTATGACTGTCTTGGGAAGTATTTTCTATTTAAATATTAATCCTGCTGATTACTTTTTTGGATACATATCCAATTACACAGCAATCAATAAGATAGGATTGAAAGTGGATTTCAACGAAGCATTCATAGATTGCTATTAAAAAGATAAGAAGCATTAAGCTATCAATAATAGTGTTGTCCAACCTATTACAAGATAATAAGCTAATTTCTCCTTGGTTTACACTTCTGTGACTTCAGGCATAATAGCTGGCTAAGACACAATTCAAACATTCCTTCAGTCAGGAAGAGCTATTTACATCTTAAATGAAAATGATGCCCTATTTCTATACACCGTTCCTGCCTACATTGATGCTACCTGCATATACACATTCATTACGTCCGACAGTGGATATCTAATCACAGTGTGTTCAAACAAGGATGACACTTATTTCTATTATTACAATGGTACAGAATCAAACAATAGAACAATACTAGGATTTTCAGGATATCAACTACTAAAATAAACAGCCTATCCTAATTTAAAGTCTGCTTAATTTTAATATAATATATTGGCACTAGAATATAGTCAGTTCATTTTGACTGTTAATGTGAGTGCAAGCAATTCAACTTTGGAACTGTAAAATGCAACTTAATACAACCTTGTTTATCCATTGAAGAGTTATTCATTATTTGTAGTTGATGCTGAGGAATTGGAATTGTAATCTAGAAGAAATAAAACATTACTCAACAGAGATTTCGTCAAGAAGTTCTTATCCAATATGGATGCAGGAGTAATCATTTTATACGAAAACTCTGTATTGCAATTCTTGTACAAAAGTATTGCCAAATATGGAGCTTATTAGTCTTAATTACCAAGTATTTATTTATTGTTTATATAAATTAGATGGAGTGCAAATATAGGCTGTTACGTCAATTTCAATTGGTTGGATTACGAATACTTATTTGTCAACTCCATTTTTGATATCTACTACTTCCAATTCCTATCTGTTCTAGGTGACACTACCCATCATCGAAAGAAGTGGATCAGCTTAAGTCGATTTAATTTATAAACTCATTTCCTTTGCCAAATATCAAACCTTAGGAGTCTACTCTGGAGGTGAGGCCATCGTTGGGTTCTTCTATACTGAATCCAATGAATTGGGAGTACCTGAATATGTGTTTGGTCTCTATGGAATACCTACCTTGAAGGATTTCACTAAGGATTTGACTCTCAAAGTGGCTTTCAATCCAAATAAAGTGTATCAGCACGTTGGCTCACCTGTTGGCTTTATAGGAATACAAAATCTAACCAAATATAATATCAGCAATCCGATTATCACCAATAATCAGACTATTTTGTATTAAGTCAATCAGACAGAATTTTAATATCTATTTGTAACGAATGAAGTTAAGATTACAGTCAATTAGGTCTAATGTATAAATACATCAACTATTAATCACGCACTCAATATGACTGAAATAGAATTGGTAGCTTATAATAATTACACTGATGATTTCTCCAGAAACTCCTTTGTAATTAATAACGTTTATCCAGACTACACATTCTGGGTGACAGAAAAAAGAAGAAGGAACTTTTGGTGGTAGTTTGGAGTTGGCGCCATCTTCTTCTTTGTAATAATCGGAGTTCTAATAGTTTTATGCGTCAATTCAAACAAGATCATTGTCTACCAGGAGAGAATATTGCAAAATGAATTAGAATAATGAAAAAATATATATTATATAATCAATTCAAATTCGATTTATATGACATAAATCCTAATTTAATAATTCTATTAATCCTTAGAGCCTATCTTTTAGGCTGGAGTGTTTACTTGGATTTAGATACTGCCTATTGTAACATTAGCAAATAAGGTATTAATGTCACAATACCATCAATCCTAGTGATGGATTCGATATAAACTGAATTTTAAAGCAATAATAATCAAATTGTAGATATTAATAATTATAATAGAATTTAGCCGAATTTCATGGAAGAGTTGAACCAAAAATTTATGAGAATGCAGATATTTGAGAATAGTGATCATTAGTTGAAATTTAAGGAGGAAATGAAAGTGGAAAAATTTGATGAATTTGTAACAAATGAGACTCAATATTATGCTTGGTTTTAATTTGACTTTGCCAAGCATATGCCTTTAAATATATTTTACAATAGGATGGTATCGTATAAAAATAAATTTAATAGATTACCAAATAGTAGTAAGTTAAGAATACAAAAGTTAAAAAAATTATAATTGCAATTTTAAAGCATTTTAGCGAAAGAAAAAAAATTTCACTTCATCATGGGAATATCATACCAGAAAATATCATCCTTCAATTTTAGAAGAAATAAGGCTCTAAATCCAAGTTTAAATTTATGTAATTATATTTTACAAACTTCCCCACCGAATAAAATTAAGAAGACAAAGAAAATATTAAAAAAGATGAAGAAAGTGTTAAAAAAGTGGTTAAAAATTTATTGGATTATATAGTTAATAAAGATTAGTATGAAATTAATTTAGATGGCAAAACAATTGAAGTCATCTTGAAAGAAATTGAAAATATTTAAGAATTTTAATTAAGAGTTGTAGATGTAAAAGAGGAAGCAATTTAAAATAAAAATGAGTCAGGATGGATGGACAAATTCAAAATTTGGAATAAGAATGCGAACAAGGAAAAAAAAACATTTGAATAACAAATTAATGAATCTTCTAATGAACTATATAATGTATTGAATGAAAAAAACCTCAAATTTATATAGGAATGCGAGGAGAATTTTAACATAAATTGCAAAGAATAAACTGACAAATAAGATTAATTGATGTCCAAGATTAAGATTGGAACTTGCGAAACTGATAATTAAGATTAGCAAGAGAGTAAATAGAATAATGAAAAAGATTAGAGGGAAGAGAAAGAGGTATAATGGTTGGAATTAATTAAAACATAATAAAGTTTATTTTTAAATAGCCTTATTAACATCATTGTACAAAACTTTGTAGAAAAAGTTATTTCAGAATATTTTGATCCTAATTATATCAATTATATCAAAGATAGTAATGCGAAATATCTAGAAAGTCAGGCTAAACAAGGTAAAAAAGCTGAAACGCTTAATAATAATGTGGATATTGAGTTCATAATTAATAAATATCATTCAAAAGCTAACGTTATGTATGAAGTGTTAAGGAGAATTTTCAATGGCATCTAAACTACTTTTTTAAAAGAATGGAATAAAATTACTGATAATTACTTTAAAGAGTATAAGTTTGATTTTGATTTACAATTTAAGGATTTGGTTGAATAACACTATAATGAATTTCTAATTATAATTTTCAAATACTCTTTAACATCAAACAAATTTGTTTAAGACAAGCTTGCAGATGAGCAGAAATTGATTGAAGAGCAGTTTCGTGATTACTATGATGAATGGATTTCATACAAAATATTAGACTTAATTAACAATTTAATATGAACATCAACAATGAAGACTTAAAGTTTATTTTATAATTCAACAATACATAATATACGCTATTATTTCTGATTCTCTATATATAGTCATTAAAATTGACGAATTTCAAAGCAGAATAATTTAATTTTGATTAAGAGAATTTATATCTAAAAAGAACAAAAAATCAAATATTAATATACACTTCAAAATTGTCATGGCATTTCAATCTCGCCAAATTCGAGCAATCTTCTTTCATATATAGCGTATTACTATTCATCTACGAATAATTAGTAATCCATGTATTCCAGGAATTCTTACTCCAATACATTTATCTCCTTCAGATTTACTCCTCCTACCTTCGCATAGTACTCATTTTTGTAGTAATCATCATCCTAAAATTTGATTGCTGTCAGAAGCGACATTAAAAGAAACCTTCATATTAGTTTTATAAAATGGATATATACCTATGTATGCAATGGGAATTCAACACAAGATATGTATGTTTCTCCTGCAACCTATCTAAGTATATAAGAGCAATCACAAAGCATTATTCGCTACAATGTGTGTATTTAGCTATTCTTTGCAAGTAATTGTAGATTGTAATTGAAGGAGCTTTATTTGCATGAAAAATAGAGTTATACTCTATCTCAAGTGTATCAGTTTCTTTGATTATTTCATCTAAAATATTTGAGATTGTCAAGAGTAGAGGATTTGATTGCAACATTAATTTATATATAATAATATTTAAAGCATATCCATTTGAGATCATGGGATAAGCCATGTTAGACAGAATTAAATATCATTTAAACGATAATCACTTTCCTGATCAATATTGACATTCAATTCGTAATTCTAGGGTAAATTTGAAGATAGACGATAAATAAAGAAGCAATCAAATTAATTAACAAACTTGAAATTAATGATGATTAATAAATTTATTAATTAATACTATTAGATTAATATTTATTAATTGGACTAATATAATATATATTATATATATATAAAATATCTAATGATTATTAAAATTGATGTAAATAACAAGAGATTAGTTATTGACTTGGGTACAATAATAATAACAAAAATTAATATCAATCATATCTAAATTTATAGTAATTTTATTGTTGCATTAATATTGGAAGAGAGGGTATTTTAAAATGGGGTGGTTACAATTTTAAGTTAAATACTTTTGGTTTAACAAAAGATCCATTCGGTTGTTGTTATTAATTTTATAAATGTTGTTATTAAGATTAGAAAAAGGATTATTATTATTATTATTATTAAAATTAAGAGTATTGATTTACTGCTTGAATCAGATCTTTTTTAGCTTCTTGATCACTTTCGCTCGGCTTCAATTTACTCTTATTAGTTTTGCGAATGGAAAAATGTCTAGCCAATTGGGTAGCTGATTTAAAATTTGGAGATTATTATTATTATTGTTATGAAATCTGCAAAGATTGTTATTATAACATAATTGGCTAGGATTGGGGAGAAGTCTCAGGAATACTAATTCTTTTATAGTTGAATAAATCTACTAATTATAATTCTGAGCCTTATTTTACTGATTTCATAACATAAAATGAAGGAGGTCTTTTAGATCTATCAATCTTCTCTTATTATTTATAATTATTTTATTAGTCTTCAATTGCAATTTCATTATCGTTTCCATCTTATAATTTATATTCGATGGGTTATTATTATTAAGGTAATTCTGTCATTGATTTTTATGGGTTGATATTAGAAAATACTTTGCTATGTACATGTTTATATAAACTCTTTCGAATGGATGGTTTAGCTGGATCCATCGATGGTTTATTGTTAGAATCAATTGACCCTTAAATAGTAATAGAGTGTTATAACTGTCTTTGCTATGGCAATTTGTCTCTCTCAGTTGCATTATCTTTTTTAACATTTCTGCGAATATCTAAAGATATGAGTTAAGTTACTTGCTCCTGTCCATTCTTCATATATTTTTTAAGCATGCTATAAATATTCATCATAAGATTTATCACAAGGGTATATCTTTTCGAAATTTCCCAAGTGTTGAGATTCATATTATTCTCTTTCTACTTAAGCTTATAATTTGAGAGATTTCTTTTCCTCATTAGAAAGCTTAGGTTTTTTTCCAAGCACTCTTCTTTGCATCTACTCTTTTTACAATTGCTACAGGTCATTTTTAACTTTTAAATTGATATTCATAAGTGTAATAGTGTCTCTTATCAGATTCTTTTTAATGAGAGCATCTAGAGGAGTGTCTGCAGTGAAACTTGGTGTATGATTCACCTCTAATAAATAGGGTTTATATGCATTGTCAATTATGATATCGAATCCCAAGATCTCAAAACACATGTTGTTAGCATAGTTATCAGGTTGAGTGTAGTTGGATTGCAGAAAAGGTTATACTGAACAAAACGTTTTAATAATTAAATCCTTTATTTTTGCCATCAATTCATCGATATTAGTTTATTCAGACAACAATTTAAAAACACTAGACAGACTTCTTTTATGTCCCACATCCAACTATTTTTCATCCGTGTTGAATACAAAATTAGGGTTATCTTTATTGATTGCATAATTGGTCAGATGCATACACATTTCTTCAGCATTCATTTGATTGGGCAATTAGTATGGTTGTGTAGCAAATCTGGCTAATCCTTCTTTAAATAGGTATATTCTAATATAGGAGATCCTACAAATTACCTTAGTGGATCACAACCTGCCAATAAAACATACATGCGAAAGTCAAATTTTAACCCATCTATTAACAAGGGTTTATGTAGATATCTCTAGACTACACAATGTTCAGATGCTATAGATTCAACTTATTTGGTCAAAAATATGCCTTTAATAATTTCTAACAGTCATACCTCTTCCTTAACATGATGCCTCTGGTTTAACAATAAAATATTTAATTTTTCCTATGTTTTGTCTAAGATCTGAAATATCAGAAGGCAGCATCCAAGTTTTAGGATAAAAATCAAATTCCTCTGGAAACTGTTTAGCCATTTTATTTAAATTTTTGCCTAAATAGTTCTTTCTGGCTATGCAGTACATTCCAGGAAAATGATTAATTCTTTAATGGCCTATTTTATAATTAAATATATTTTACTTTACATTCTCGCCAGAGTTTCAGGTAGCACTGCATTATCGGTCCAACAGAAATCCCATACTTAGGTTTCTAAATAGGGAGTGTATTGCAACTAGAACTTGTTTAAGATTTTGCCCACGAATTTAACAGCAGCATATTAGGTGTCTGATACATTCATAATCAATCTTTTGTTATTATTAACTAATTATTTTCTTTTCTTCTTTCTCTTATTCTATAACTCGTCATCTTCGGAGTCTTCCTCAGAAAACTCTTCTGATTCTTCTTCACTATCCTCAAATTCACCATTAAATGGTATTTCATTTTCTTCATTTTATTTTAACATGTTTTATTAATTTTATAAATAGAAAAAAACAATTATATCCTGGATTTGATTCAAAATCAGCTTATTGGACCACATTTAAATTAAAAAGTTATTTTATATTTGATATGTGTAATCTATTGAAATAAAGAAATCTTAAATCATTAATTTTGTTTTGAAATAATTGTTATAGTTTCTATTGTACTTTTATTGTATGTCTAAAAGGATAGTAATTCTTCGTGTTACATCTATTTTATAACATAGATACATTACTTCATCAATAAACTATTGGTTATTTAGTAACACTCTTGGTAAGGAGTTATCAAATCGAAGGATGAAATACTTTACCAATTGGCAAATTACATCATTTAAATCCTCATAAAAGATTTGCCTATCAAATTCTAAATATATCTCGGATTAGAGTATGAATTATCTAAACAATTTGTTGTATTTCTATTCATCTGAATGAAAGAAATCGTAAACTTCCGATTGTGATATAGCCATAGTTTAATAATCATCGAATATTTATAATTATTTGGCAACAACCAGATAAATTAAACTCAAAATAGTCAGCTTCTCATTCTGCTTATATTGATAATCTATCAGACAAACATCAAATAACTACACCAATTCCCTGTATCTGTAATATGCCTCATTTGTTCTCTCCTTGAACATAACACAAGGGTCTTTATCAATAATGAATTCGTCCCACAATTTGGTATAATAATTCAACCAAAATATGGGAGTGTTTGGATACATTCGAAAATCAAGCGATTTCAATATTAAGACCTCCATTTACTCAATCTCCTAAATTGTATATTGGTCTTATATAAGTCGATGAAAATCTTTTAAAGTTTTTGGGTAGATCTCCTCACATTTGTGAGCAATGAAGATAGCTGCCACTCCTAAAAGTTGAAATCTCGATATAACAACATTTGGTTGTCTTAACAAGTATCTTTCCACATAATTGATGGACAAATAAAAGGTTTCTCTTTTGAAATGAAATGAATGAGCAACTTCGATGAGCCAATCAAATAGAATTGCCACCATATGACTCTAAATTTCCTTCTAATTATTGAGGTAATTTTTTTTATAAATATAAATTTCTTCGTATTTCACTTATTCTCTCATAAATTCTGACAAAGTTTCTTACTCATCCTCCTAACTAATTTAATGTTCTAATGAATTATTGAATGTGAAGGAAGTAAAGTCTTTCACAATTTCCTCGCAAATTAATTTATCATCATCCTACAAATCAGATTATAATAATATCTAAGAACCAAAAGGATTTTCTTCCTCCAGATTGGGGGATATGTCCTTTTCATTCTTGACCTTTTTTATCGTAGTTTGCCTATCAAATGAAAATATTTCATACTCATATTAGCATGCCGCCTATTCAGATTTGAATTTAGCGCTCTCACATCTTGATTTCACTTCTAAATCCTTTGCCTTTGACAACTTTTTAGACTTACTTTTCTACTTTTTGGAGTTGTTCAACATTTATTTATCCCTAGTCCCAAGTTTTAGCACTATAAATTATTTTAATTACTATAAGATAAATATTAAATTGTAAGAATATCAATATACTTTCAAATTTGTTTGCAATTAAACACTAACAATAATAGATTTGAACTAACTAAAAATTAAATTAAACATAAAATATTGAAGGATGATAGAATGTTTTACAAATGTTTATTTCCAATCATTTTTAATAAAAACATTATTTTGTTATAAATTTAACTTATTCAATTTATTACTTTTCAAGCTTGTAAAAATAGTTGTGCAATTACTTAAGAAATTGTGAAGTTAGAGTTTTCATATTACTGCAATAATGCAATTTCCAGTCTTGTGATCTAATTTTCACTTAAATAATGTAATTTTATTACTTTTTTTTTCTCAATAATTTGTTACTTTAATATGATAATTGTATTTGAATTGAAAGTGAGTACTAGTTTAACTTTCAAGAGAATGCCATATCTTCCTCAAAATTAAAAGGTGAAATTTTATTTATATTTTTCCCATTTATATTCATCAGAGATATTAATAAGGTGATAAGTTAGAATACATTCTACGAATACATTATGAATCTAATAATCTAAGTTTTGTTGTAATACATAATATATACAGATTATGATCAAATTTTGTATTGTATTCTTCAAGCAGATATTAAGGTTTTTATATGGTTAGATCAATAATTTAAGGATTAATAATTCCCTTTGTTAATAATGAGTTTTTAAGAATCAAACCAAAATCATTATCATGTATTTGATAGTTTTGTGCCTTGATACATAGCAGAACCATCCTTGATATTGATGTAGAGATGGGGATTATACTCCCGGTAGGACTAATAAAATGGATTACGGAAATGATATATTAATAAGTTTTTAATTTATTATTTATTTAAGTATGAGTTAGACAGATAAAGAGTGGACTCCAGAATATATTTTTAAGTTCATCTTAATAGGAAATTCAAGCACTGGAAAGACCTCTATGTTACAATACTTCATCAATTAGACTTGTAAGACATTTATCATAATTTTGATCAACAATAATAGCAAAAACGAAAGTTCAATAAACTGTGGGAGTTGAATTCTCGTCTAAATTATTGGAATACAAAGACAAGAAGATCAAGTTATAAATATGGGACACTGCTGGACAAGAGAGATTCCGTTCAATTGCTAGAACTTATTTTAAGAACACGATTGGAGCAATTATAGTTTATGATATTACAAAGTATGATATAAATTGATGGTATTAGTTAGGACTCATTTGATGCAATAGATGATTGGATTAAAGACGCAAGAGAAAATGGAAAGAGTGATCTAGATGTTATGGTAGTAGGGAATAAAATCGATTTGAAAGACCAGAGAGTTATAAGTAAAGATCACGCTGAAAGAGAAATGAAAAACAAAGATGCCCTCTACATTGAAACCAGTGCTGTTACTGGAGAAAATATCGATAAGTGTTTTTAAAATTTGATTGATTAGATCTGCTAAAAAATAACACAAGGTATCATGTCTTATTATAAAAAAGGTCGGATTGAAAAAGATGAGTACAATCCATAATTAAAAAATCCATTATCACAGAACCTTAAAACCAAAACCAATGAGGCTTAAAGTCAAAGTTAAACATGCAATTGTTGAGTCTTCAATAATGATTAGTGTGCATATCAGAAGATATATATACATTACATAATTTAATTGCCAAACTGGTGTAGTAGATTATTATTTCTTTTCTAATTCGCCTACTTTTAGAAAGCATTCTGATATATGCTAATCCCTTGTTTATATCTAAGATACTATGTATTGATTATTTAAATATTTTATTTATTTCACCCATGTTCTTACCAAATCTGAGGTTTTACTTAATTTTATATTCCCCTATATATTCCGATTCTCATATCATAATGAAGTTTAAATTTATTTATAAACATTTTCTATATTAGGTCATGAAAATTTATATTATTAATAATGAATAAATTAACTATCGAGTCCTAACAGACTAGATCAGCCTTAAAAGTCTAGCAACACATATTCATTGAGCAATAAGACATTAAATCCTGTCGAATTTGTCTTGAAACTGAACAGGATAACGATAAACCCATTATACATCCTTGCAAATGCAAAGGTTCTCTTGGATAAGTACATGAAGAGGTAAGACAATTTGTTTGAATCGAGTGTCTTAAAACCTGGATAGTTACATAAAACAAATAATTGTTTACTTAGTGTGAAATTTGCAAGGTTGAATATTAAATTGAATTTACATCCCGTAAAGTCTGTATTCCTGTATTTATTTAAATGTATTTAGAGAGAAAAGCATGTAAATCAAATTTAGAAAATATGATTGCACTAATTTGTCTTCTCTTCATTTTTCTTGGCTTTACTGCTCTCTAAGCATTTCTAGTTGTTCAAATGTAATCAACATATATAATATTAGCGTCAATATTTTTGATGGAAATGATAAAAACAATCAATAATCTAGTTTTTTAAATAGTCCGATAACGATGATTGGTAACGATTTGCATATATCTTTATATAGGATTTGCTGTCATAGTATTTTTATTTTTAGTTCCAATTTTTATGTGCCTTCTCTATGTTTTAAAAAAGATGCTTTTCATAACCAAAATCAAATCATGGCACATCTTAGACAGAGTTCAAACTCCTCCTGCTGAAATTTAGGAATAGATTCCTTAGTAAACTTTATCAAGAAATGCTTCACAATTATTACAATAATTACCTAAACTAAATTAAACTACTTCAATTCTCATATAAGGAAATGGTTAAGATTACGAGCATGTTTAATTTATTTGATTATTCTATTTATTTTATTTAATATCAATATATTTCATAACTAAATAGATTCAGAATGATGAAATCATAGAAATATATCAATAAAATGTTTAATGTTTTAAAATACAATATATATGTAAATTCATCTCTTTAACAACACGACCACTTGGGATAAGAAAAGCAAAAATAAAAAACCAAAGCCTGACAACTTGAAATAGTGATATTGAGTTTATTTTCTTCTTTCGAACATTGATTCTATTGATTTCACTGAGCTAGATATCTTTTAAAAAGTATTCAAGAAGGCTGTCACATCATTTTTTTCAAAGTATGCTCCTTTATCATCATGGAATAAAAGTTCAATAGATGTTTCCAACCCATGAATTTATAGCTTTCCATTAACCTTGCATCTTTTGCAATGCACACAATCCATATAAGAATCAAGCAATTTAATGTCATTTTTATACTATTCTAAATCTTTCTTGGTTAAATTCTAGAAGTAGTCAAACTTATAAAGAGGCATTAAATTGTATGAGGATAACAATCCTTGCACCTTCAATTAAGTTAAATGTGGCAATTCAATTTGATTAATCTAGAGAAATTTGGAGGCTTAGATTAAGAATGACTCCAAAAAATAAAGATTATAAATTCTATCTGGATAATCACCAACACGCCAAAAGAAGAAGTCTACATTAGCTCCTGTTTTATTCCCATAATCAAATTACTCAGTGATTGAGACAGATATTGATGAATGAAGTCCCTTTATTAGATTGATGAAATGATTATGCATCTCTGAAGTGGAATTCTTTCCGAGTTCTTCATATATGTTGAGCCATATGCTTTATCCTTGTTGTCCTGTGTATTTCTCTCCCATATATTTCAAGTCCACTGTCATTATAGAATCTTCTCCCTCTACATTTCTTAAATTGCAAGTCTCGACATGGCATTCATTCTAATTCATCTCAATTGGGCAATTTAATGTGTCAGTATACCTGTATATTCTGAATTCAGGGTCAAACTAGCTTATTATATAATAATTACAGATATATCCTCAAGGATGGGAAATAGAGCATTATTTATTTATTCGATTCGATTAATGTTTTCCACCTATTCTTGATTATAATACGATTAGAATACTACTTCTTTTTGGCTCTAAAATTCAATAATATATTTTACAATTAAGTAGTTGTAGGACAGTATTGAAAAAGCAGCTAAGTTAATTGAAAGTAGAATTTAAAAGGATGCTATTAACATATAATTTAAAGATAAAATTAAATATTAAAATCAAGTTTTCCAAATTTAAATATCGAAAAAAGTACACGATTTTATTAATTCTATTTGATATATAAGATGAGTTTAGAATATTTCATGGGGTTGGTATAAGATTTTCAAATAATATTCATAGTTTGTGTCATAAAGTTAAGAAAATCAAATAATTATTTAAGAAGGTTTGATTCTACATTTATAAAGAAGAAATAATCAACAAATCTAAAAATAAAATTGGCTAAGTACTAGAAGAACTTTATGAGAAATTTAGGACTTGTATCTAATAGCAATTTAAAGTATTCTATTAAGCTAAAGCATTGTATTAACTCTTATTATTGTTATTTAAAAAAAGAGAGAAAAGAAAGTTCAAAATTAGACTCTAATTAATGCTATTTTGTTCTAAAATTCATTAAATTTGATTAGTTAAGGTATTCTAATGAATTCTATTTTAAACTAGTAGGATTATACTAATAATTTTGCAAATAGAATAAAGTCCATATAATCCTTGTAAATAATCTTTATGTTAATTGTTTAAATAATTGTATAAAAAGAATAATTAAAATCCTTTTAACAAGATTATCTAGATTGTATTGAAATAATTTTTATTAATTTAGGGTAAATATAAATAACCTTTGGATTTTTAAGACTAAGAAATTTGAGGTATTAACTAATGATTATGGTATCAGTGGGTAAACACAATTGTAAAACTCTTTGAATTTTGCTCCTTATTATAATGGATATTATGTAAGATTCGAAAGCAAAATTCATTAAAAACCAGACCATATATGAATTAGTTTAGGTGGAAAATTTTAGGATAAAATTAAAGTCTTATGTGCTATTACTGAAGATCATTAGAGTAACGATTCTAAATGAATATTCTAAAAGCCTGGAGATTCTGCTTCAAAATAAGATGGGGATGACGATGATGAAAAATTAAAAGACAGGTAATTTTGAAGTGAGTGCTCCAAAATTTGACATCTATAGTTATCAATAAACCAAAACGAAGCCTCTAAAATATGTTTTAATAATTTATGAACTTTTAAATAGTCCAGTCGTATAGTTTAATTCACTATTTTGATAGATGACATATTATAAATAATTTTGAAATATATTTTATCATGACTGATTCAATTTTCAGTTCTGATACATTTACTTATATCTTTCAGATCCAAACTATTTTATTTTGAATGTCTTGGAGTCACACGTGAACTTTAAATCGTAGATTAGATTTTTAATTTAGCAAGGTTATTTTTCATCCATTTGTAAGAATAGATTTCACTTACTGCTGGTCTTTAAGATTTTTCTAGGTTCATTAAATCTTTTATTAAGTCTATTGCTTCTTCGCTGACATGTCGTCCGAATGACAATTCAGTCACAAAAGATATTATTGGAAGACTATTATGTAACATTTCCTTTTTATAATGATTCGTTTTACATATAATAAAACTCCTAAACTCCAAATATCCAATTTTGTATCATGAAAACTAAAGGAAGAAACTTCTGGTGGCATCTAGTCAACAGTTCCACAAAGTACTGGATCAGCTTGCCCATCAATTAATTCTGTTGCCCAATTAAAATCGCAAATCTTTATATTATCGTCTTATGTTAATAAAATGTTTGCCAACTATTTCAAAAATATTTATAAATAAGAACTTTTAAATCTCTATGGATAATTTATCTTTTATGCATAAATTATATTGCTTACAAAATTTAATTGAAGTATTTAAAAGCCTTTTCTTCAGGAAACGCTCCTTATTCTTTAAGTAATAAAAATAAATTTCCTTTGGAACAGTATTCCAACACTATATAAAAATAGTTTTCATCTTCAAAAGTTTCATACATTTTTATAATATTAGGATGTTGCAATTTTGAAAGAAACAATATTTCTTATCTCATATTGTAGGCTCCATTAATCTTAGCTAAGACTGTTTTGGAAATCTTCAATGACAGATATTAGTACTATTTTGATTGCATAAAATTATTATTATTTGATCTGCTTACTAAGTAAAACAACTCCATATGCTCCTCTTCCCAGGATCTTGTTATATATTATATATTGATTAGTTGGACTCTTGACTAACAATGCTTCCAATTAATCCATTATAAATATTTATTTGCAAATTATTGAAAAATTCGAATAATTTTATGTATTTTTTAAATATAATAATAAAGTATCATTTATGTATGTCCTAACATTCATATTCGAACATTTCTTTAAAAATCCAAAATTTAATGTAAAATGATCTTCATAATTAAAGATTTAGAATTCAAATATAAATGAATACAATTTTGATACATTTTCTTATTATAAGATAAAAACCCATATGTTTTAAAATATTTTGCAACATGTGTTTTTCAAATTAGAATATTCATTTTTCGAAATAATTAGGATCATTAAACGAATGGTTTCTATTCTCACTTAAAATATTACTATATTCATATTATTTATAGTTTAATGAAATATAATAATATTAACATTATCTATCAATTAATTTCATTAAAGATTTAGAATAATAGGAAAATATAGGATCATTCATAAGCAATAAAATTAATTAATAATTATTTATTGAATAAAACTGTTTATTAGTTTTTAATATACAATTCTTCAAAGACTAGACTTTGTTATTAATTCTACAAAAATATTAATAATAGAGTTAACAATAATATATCAATTTAAGTTGATATTGAACAATAATCAATATAAAATTTGAAATGCAAAGAATATTAATATATTAATTATTTTATTAGTCAAAATACATATATTTAAGACCTCTAATCTTTTCAATTTTAGAACTCATGGTTTGATGATTTTTAATGGTCTGAAACATATTTTTATAATTATTTTAAAGAAATGAGGATTAATTTTAATATTTAAAAAACGAATTGTAATGAGGAAGTTAGTTTGTATTTTGTTGATATCGCTCAGCTTGGCTAGTCAGATTTAAGGGCCTCTCTCTAATCCAATAGTCAATGAATTAGAGAGAACTCATCTAGGAAAAGCTTTTCTGAAATTACTCACCTTAAAGTCTAAGGCTTAACAATTCGACTTTTCTAAACTCTATGCAGCTATAGATGATTTAGAGAATTCAATAAAATAGAGAATTGTGGATGAAGATAAAGAATATTAATAGAATGAAGTTTAATATTTCACAGATAAAGAGTTTTTCTCTGGATAAATTACTTAGTATTAAAACGAAGTATTGATTTCATAAATTATCATAGATAGCCTCCTTAGAAATAGATCTAACAGACTTCACTGAAAGTAGGAATTTGTTATAAATTGGATTAAATGGAAAAGTAGATGAGTTGAAGGAAGTCTAATCATTGGCTGATGGTTTGTAATAGAGAATCACCAAGGAAGAAGCTATATTCAAAGATCAATAAAATCAATATACAAATGCAGTTTAGGCACTTGATTAAGCTTTGTAATTGATTGGCTAATTAAGAGATGGTTCTTTCATTTAAAATAGAAATGTTGTTTTCTTGGAGGAAGGCTTAAAACAATTGCAACATTAAAGAATCATGTATGCACCATTGATCACTGCTTTCACTCAAATAATGGCTCCAAGTTTCAACGATTAAGAAGCAAGTGCAAAAGTGTAGAGATTGATCCAAAACTTAAGAGATACAATTGTTAAGAATAAAACTGATTTAGAAAATTCCTATTAGTAAATAAGAACAATTGATGATCACAACCTAAGTTAATATAATTAAAGAATTACAAATTTATCGACAATCGTCATACCAACCATTCAAGCTGAAATCCAAACAAGAGATGGTAATTCATGTATCCTAATTGTAGGCTAAATTCAAACCAAATCAAATTTGTTAAGAGATGCTCAATCCAATTTCAAAACCGCTACAGATAACTTAGATAATACCAACAACAGATGGATTGAGAGGTATATAAAATAAAAATCAATAGAACTAATGAACATAACAAATTGCTTGATCAATTAATAACTTAGACAACCCTGTTTCCTAAAATAGTCACTGAATTAGAAGGGGCAGGAGTAAGAAGAAGATGATTTATAGATTTACAAAAACCCTAAAATTATAATTATATTATTTGTAGAGTTGAGAATTCTTCTTTCCGATTACATTGGAATGGCATTAATTTAATAATATTAAATTACAAAATCAATGGAAATATAATATATATAATTGATAGCATTCCACAAATATTATCAAATATCATATTTATTTTTCAAACTCAATTAATAATAAAACAATTAATTAAAATCTCATACCTTAATGACAATAGTCACAGTCGCTTACGTTGATATTGGTTGCACAGCCATATCGATGCTGGCTTGCTTTTTAATTTGTATTTTAGGGATTGTCTCCCCTATTTATCGGAAATACCCTTCAAAGTTTATTTTCCTCATTAATATTAGAATCATTGTGTGGATTTCCAGCTTATTTATAGTCTTAGGCATATTTATCTTTATTGATTAAGCTTTGGTTATTATTGAAAGCAATCATAAAAGTGCATTTTCGGAATTACATAAATTAACCAAATTCCTCATAGGTGTTATTATAATTATTATCTCAAATTAGTTTATTTTATTTCTCAATGAAGTAAAAATATGCATTTATAATCCTTTTTAAGCAACATCCTCATCTGTTTTTTTATTTCTATTATTGTTGCAATGCCTATTAATTTTAGTATTGATTATCATACCACTACTATTTTGGAAGTAATGATATTCTTTAAAACCTAGTAATATAAAAACATACAGTGTTTTGGCTTCCTACATCAATTTTTTTAGTTTCTTGATTTGCACCCTTTTCTACTTAGCAATATGGATAATTTTGAATAAAAACAAAACATTATAAAGTAAAAGACTTTACAAATTCAAAAGTGATTTTGTGAAATAATAAGCCTCTTGGCTCTTCACTATGTTGACAATTAATTTTGCTTTTTCGTATTATAATCTAGACTTTAATGAGGATAAAGACTCATATACATTAAAAGTAGCCTTGAGTTTAGAAGGTTTGTTCTTCTCTATTTTCCATCTCATTTAACCCTATTCTTATCAGAAACTATACTAAGTGTTCTTTAGATCGTGTCAATAACAATCCTACATAGAGGATATAGAAAGTATTGAATACGGATTGAATAGCGATATTCAAAATAAGATGATGCCAATATATGAGAAATTGCTAAAGACCTAAATCAACGAGCTTGTCAAAGGATTAGTCAAGGCTGTCTATGCAACCCTTGAAAAGCAATTCGATCACCATATGAAAGAATTTGAGATGAAGAGAACTTACACATTTAAATTTCACCTATCAGAACTAGATGAAAGCAGAATTTCATATAATGAGAATGATGTCATTAGAGATTCTATCATTTTAGTGAACACATATCATCCAAACAGTTTTACTACTCTATTGAAATAAGACAATTTGACTAAAAACATATTGGAATACACCTTAGAATTGTAGTACAATTAGAAGGCCTTTGAAAAAGCAAAGGAATCTATGGGTAGAAGTGGAGCATTTTTTTTTTATAGTTAAAATAATAAACTCATTGTTAAGACCGTTGAAAAATCTGAAATCAAAGATTTCTTAGATGGTCGTATAGTTTCATATTTTAATCATATCAGTGGAAATAAAAAATCACTCATTGCTAAAATTTATGGAATATTTAAAATTAAATTGATGGCTTACAAAACACAATATATAGTTTTAATGGAAAATTCGTTTGAACAAATGAAAACGTTAGACAATGAATTTGTAGTATATGATTTAAAAGGCTCAACTGCAAATAGAACCTCAAAATCTGAAGATAGTGTTCAAAAGGATAATAATTTTAAATAATCTCCTTACAACCCTATTAATTTAGAGAAAGAACTTTCTGATCAAATAAAGCAATAGTTTAAGGATGATTGCTACTTTCTTAGAGATATTGGATATATGGATTATTCATTACTTTTAGGGATCTGCGTATAAAATACATAATAAAGTGAGAATGATAATTACAGATTTGTAGTCAATGAAGCGAAAAATATCGTTTACTCATTTTCAATTATAGATTATTTATAAAGATTCAATCAATCAAAAAAAAGCGAATAATGTTTCAAAAGAAGTGTGAGATTTAAAAAGAAATAGGACTTGTCTTGTAGAAGTCCAGATCCTTACTGCAAAAGATTTTTAAACTTTATTGATTCCTTTATTGTTTGAATTTATTATTTATACTGAAAACAACGATATTATTTATTTGATAAAAATACTATAAATAATTATTAATTTTTTTTAATTATTTGATTATGAGATTCTAACACTTTTATAGAATATTCGTAATTGTTTCGAATTAACATCAATTTAAGAACAAGATAAAGTAGAATTAACAAAGGAATAATGGAGGATTTGATTATTGAAGTTTTGTATAAACCTAAAATGGAAGAATAATATATCTAATATTGTTAAACAAATCAAAATAAGTTAAGATAGAATTTGTTGATGAAATGATAGATAAATAATTATCATTTTTATTTGTTAAAGAATACAATAACAATAGTAATATCATCTATTACTGTATCATTTAATTTCCATAATTTAATAGATTCCTTTACAATTCGAACACATGCAGCATTTCCTTCATCTTGGACATAATATGGATATATCATATCTATCACCTTAATTAATAATTTATTATACTTATTCATTGCTTAGGAATTCCCAAACTCCATCCGATGCCAGAACCATAAATAGATCTCCTTCCTGAATCTTGTGAGTTAAAATTTCTAAATAGAAAATAGCTTATAATTACCTGGTTCACAAATAACACCGCAACTTGCTGCAACCTTATCACCGAAACTTCTACTCATAGCCAATCCTGGAATATCCTCTGTTTTTAACCAAACTCTTGATGGACCTAAGCTAGATCCATCAAAGTCAATATAGGGTTCCACTCTCCCTCCACTCTATTCAATTCTTCTCCTCTCTTAGGGTAGGTCTGGTTTATGGTCATTTGATAATGAAATAGCAGTTTTAACTCCATTGCTTTGTAATCTGCATATGATTGATCTGGAATCTCCAACATTGGCTGTGTAAATTGTGTCATCAACGATTAAACTGATTACAGTAGTGGAGCCACTAAAGGTAGTTATTATTTCTTCCGCATTACATAATTAGGTGTTTGTTCTATTGAAAGACTTTGAGATGGAATCTATAATAGATGAGGGATTCTGAGATAGTTGAGAACTGATATTCTTAGGCAAATTATCTCGAATGAATTGGCTGCATTTATGACCTTCTTGTCCATGACCATCACAAACACCAAATAAGGACATGTTATCTTTAAAAGATTAAAGAGAGATGAAGCTGTCTTGATTTGTTTTGGTTAAATTATCTTCATTTTTACCAGCCTAAGATTTCGTATAAGCACTTTTGATTAGATTTTGTTTGATTTATTCTCTTTTAAATAAGTCCAGCTGATTCATATCAGGTTGTAACTATTTAATTGGCAGTCTAGCTTTGATTGGAGATATTTTTGGTAAGTCATACTTTAATACTTTGTCACTCTATTGTTTTCGATGTAATGCAGGACTTTGTTCAGCTCTTTGTTACTAAGCCTATTATTATTATGCTTGTTGAATAAGAAACACTTTTTAGGAATCTTGTAATTTAGTAGTAGACAAATTGGCTTATTAATTATATTTTGATCTTGGACGGGTCTTATATTTACAAATTTATATACAAGTAATTATCCATTCAAAAATACACTATTTTATTTTGTTGGAGATATTTATGATTTCTTATCAGGAGATATGCTTATGTTTTATTTAAAGCTTTACGACCTGGTCTATAATTATAAGCTATTATTATTGTCTTTTAAAAAAGTTAGTTTATGCTATCTGAGACTAGTTGTTCGAGTGGCTTTATTCATAAAATATTATATTATATTAAATTATATTATAATATATTGTAAATTAAATAATAAATTTATGACAATCATTGAAATTATTATTTAATGAATTCTTTTCATAATTTAATAATCTTTCATCCAATAAAACTCAATCAAAAGAATTTTATTCCTAATTTTCCATTTATTTAAATTCTTCATCTTATTATGCTATTTAACAGCAAGAACCTATTATCATACATTGTTAATAGCTTATCTCTTTTTAACTAAGAGATATTTAGATATTTTATTTTTATTTAATATTATATTAATTATAAGTGAAATAATTGAAGAATGATTTCGTAACTTCTAGATGAAATGACTGTGGCTTCAGGAAAATAAAAAAAGGAAATGAATAAGATTAATTATAAACATTAAAGAAGAACGAGAGATGTAATTAACACAGAAAAATAAGAAAAATTAGAAAACAAAGAAATAGATGTTGGTTTACCAAGAATTAAGGACAAGGAAGAAGTTTATTAAGAATTAAAAAGAAGATTTAGAATGGCATGGAAAAGTATTCATTAATACAATTTAAAGGTCCTGGATTCAAAAACGATGAATTTACTAAAATACCAACATTGAAGGGTAAAATATTGAATGAATGGGAAATATTGCGGATAAATTTGGCAGAGAGAAGTTATAAGGCTCCTTAAGGTAACTCTATTTTCTATATTTTTAGGCTTCAAAGGATTCAAAATACCTAGTCAATATTAAGAATTCTAAAAACCAAAGACACCACCAGGAGTAAAGAAATAATTGGATGAATTCAGATTAGATTTTGAGGATTTTGTTTAAAGACCAAGCAAATATGGAAAAGTGCATGAGGACGAAATGTTAGAAAAAGTTAGGATAAATAATAAGGAACCATTTAGATTGACCAATAGTGTTCAACATAATGAATTTGGTTTTGATCCACATTTAACTTGGGAAGCAGAAATGAATAGAAAATAATCTAGCAGTAAAAAATTTAATAAATGATAATATTAATAATATTTAATCTACGTTATTTATATGTATTACTTCAGAATTAGCTAATTAACTTAACTATGTATTTTGTAATGTAGTCTTAATTTTTTGCATATAAAAATAAATATCTTAAAATAGGAGATTTAACTTAATTATTTTAATTAATAAATTAATTAATTTTCATGATTTTAATTAAACATTCTGTAAGATGTTTATTGTGTATTACAAAATCCTATCTTTCTTGATTATAAACTGTTTAAATTTAATATGTTTAATTGTCATTTTAATTTTACTTGTTTAATAATTGTATTGAGTAGAAAATAGTGATATTAATTTGTTAGTAAAATCATAGTAACGAAGAGTTCAAGTTCTTAAATTACCTTGAGTTTACAGTAAGCTATTGAGATAAGAAATAGAATGAATCTATATATTTATTGATTTCGTTGTATAAAATAATAATATTAAATATATGGGAAATTGTTCAAGTGAAGAACTTAGTCTTTCTGAATTGGAATTGTATAGTAAGTGATCACCCTATCATTTAGCCCCTTAATTGTCGCAATATAAATTGCTCTATGTCATAGGGAAGGGAGGTTTTGGTAGAGTTTGGAAAGTAAAATGCCAAAAAAGGTTTTTTGCATTAAAAGAGATGATAAAATCTAAGTAGATTTCTCAACTATATAGAAATCAGAATAATTGAAAAACAGTCTATTTAGAGTGTGATGAACGAGAGGATTCTGCTTTAAAAATTAAATCATCCGTATTATATTAATCGAAATAGATTTCTAGTAAACATGAGAGGAGCATTTTAGACTTTGACACATTTGTACATTGTTCTAGACTATATGGAAGGAGGAGATCTAAGATATCATCTATGCAAACAAGGGAAATTCAGTGAAGAGCAAACAAGTAGCAATTCTATTTGATATCATAGAGTTTTTTGTTATCTGCATACTGATGGCACTCCAATATCTGCATAAAAACCTAGTGCTTCATAGAGACATCAAACCAGAGAATCTAGTGTTTGATGATGAAGGTTATCTTCATATAACTGATATGGGAATTGCAAGAATTTGGAAACCCAATAATAAAAATGAAACAAGTGGAACTCCTGGTTATATGGCTCCAGAAGTTATGATGAAATCTGATCATGGCGTAGCTTGCGATTACTTTGCATTAGGTTGTTTGGTTTATGAATGCTTAACAGGAAAAGTATTATATTTTAAATAAAAGCGAAGAGACCTTACTAAGGAAAGAATAGAAGACAAATTAGAGAATTGATAATGAGCAAATAAGTTAAATTAAATAGGCAAGGTCTATCTAAAGAAGTTACTGACTTTGTTAATAGATTATTAGAAAGAAAAGCCAATCAAAGATTAGGCAATGAAGGTCCTGATGAAGTGATGAGTCATCCGTGGCTGAAAAATGTTGATTGGGGAAGACATTACGATAAATTAATCGAAGCTCCGTATAAAATAATTGGAAAAGATAATTTTGATACAAAATTTGTGAATCAAGTCTTAACGATAAGTGAATATAAGGATGAGAAAGATCACAATAATTTGTTTTAAGGATTCACCTATATTGAAAACAATGATGAGCAATAGGTTACAGACATAGACACCAATAAATAAAAGCTATTATTATCTACTAAATATTATTGAATTATTAAGTTTTGTATTTTATGTTTAATCTATATTATTAACTATTTCTAGTTATTACCTCAATGAATTCTAAGTAAAATTGTTGACTTTTTAAATTCTTATATCATTTCATTAATAACTCTATTTTAGATAAACACATATTGAATTTAACTCAAACACCAGTTTTAAAGTGGAATAGATAGAATTACTTATTATTTTTGCTTTAAATTTTGAGACCTAATTTATATATATATGAAAATTTGTAGGAGTGCTAATAATTGAGTTCCGACTATTACCCGACTAATTTAAGTATTCTTGTCACTTCTAAGGTAAATTAGGAGATCTCACCAAAAATCCAGTCATTTTGATTTTTATGGAACATTCAATAATAACATTTCTATCAACTCTATTTCTACATAAGAATATAAAGAAAGATTATAAGCCTATAATCACACCCTAATTCTGGCTAAGCAAATCTTATAAACAAAGAAATATTTTTATCCTGGAAGCCAATCTGCAACATACTTCTTTAAGGTAAAGACATTTATTCCATAAATTATTTCTCCAATTGGTCCAGTTAGAGCTTTGATTCTCATTTATGGTTAAAAGCAAAGAGGATTCTTTGGTAAGCATATTTGAAGAGTAGAATGAAGATAAAAATGCTTTGTATTACAGTTCGTTCTTATTAAGATAAGGAGTCCATTTGATAACTAGAAATTTTAGAGGAGGTGGATCAGAAGATAAAAAGATTTGATAAAAGAAGAAAAATATGGAAATCAGAGGAGGATTATGAGACTTTAAAATTGAAGGATAAGCGGTCTTTAGCTATAACTTGAACTATTTTTACATTATATATATAGGAATATAGGAATTTCATTTCTATTTAGTTATTTATACAAAACAAAAAAATATCACATCTCAGGAGTTTATAAAAAATTTCATAGAAATCCAATTTGTATATACAATAAAGAATGTCGTAACTGACATTAGTGGTATTGCGAATCCAATAATGGAATTTTATATTATTGAGATTGGTATTACAATTATCATCAAAATGACAGCTATTATTAACATCCAGCCTATCACTTCGTTTATCTTTTGGTTTGATAACGAAACTTTTTCAAATCTTGATTCATATAGATTGATTGGCCCTTTCGGATATTCTTTTTTTTATAATGAGTATTGTTCTTATTTCTTATCTTCCTCCTTTTATAATATGAGTTGAAATTGATTAAGGTTAATCGAAACATTAAGTGTAGTCATGATGATTAAAATTATTTATTTTAATATAAGTGTAAAGTTATTTATTAACCAATTTATAAAGACAAAAAAAAAGAATATGAGTTATTTTGAAAATGAGACAACAGAGAATATATTATATGTGTATATATAATAAATTATAATTATGATCATAATAATCTTTTGTCCCTTAATCGAAGTCTGGTTGAATCATCAAGTAATTATTAATACTAGTCTGGATACATTTACCTATAAAACTCCACACTTTTGATAATATTTTCATCTTCAAAATAAAAGCTTTTTGATAAGATAAACTTAATTTCCTCTTACATGTTATTAGATTTCTTTCTCTTTAAGCAATTCATAATAAATGTAGTGATCAATCCATTATATGATTTGTTCTGTTCTTAGAACAAAAAGTTCAAAATATCCTTAGTATGTTCATATTCACAAACCTAATCCTGAAATAACTTCAATAATTCATATTTATTGCTTTTTAATTATTGTTAATCCTTCTATAAAAACAATTTAATCATAAAAACTGCTAATGCTTTGCTTTCATCCTTTAATATATACTGATACAAATCAAAATTCGATCTTCTTAATATCATTTGACTAAGTCTCTCTGTTGGTACCTTTTCAATAGTCTTGATCATGAAATCTATTTTCAATTAATCAAAGGTTTATTAAAGAATCTTATTAATTATATTTGCATCTCCTTCTATCTGTTGAATAAAATAGCGATATAAATAAACTCTAAACATATCCTAAGCGAACTCTTCTGATTTTGGATATTCTAAGGCAAACTCCACAAATAAATCCAAGAACTTTTAGTGCAATGCATCAGGATTGCTTACACTCAAACCTATAAATTCAATAATCTATTTAACGCCCATGTTACTGTTGTTTTTTATTTTCAGTAAGTTTGCATAAATGGCATCGAGATGCTGAGGATAGTTTTATTGACAGTCTTATAATAATTTGGCTAGGATCTTACAATGGCGATTATGATTTTACTAACAAATTCCAATATAGAACATGAATGTTAATTGTTATTGGCAATCATTCATTGTAGATAACTAATTTATTTTTTATTGGGTTTCTTCAAATATGAAATCTTTGATTTCTGGCTTCTTTTTGTTAAAAATCAAGGGATTTGCCTATTTAACAAATTCTAAAATTGTTGAATGATTAATTCTTAATAGCAATCTGAAACTTTCAAATTATAATGGGTGATCTTCATTCAAAAATTTAAATACTAAATCTCGTAATTAAGTAAAATATATTGAGTACATCTTCTCATTCTATTTTAAGAGTGCTTATTCAGTAAATTCCTTTACTAAATCAATTAAAGACACTCTAAATTAAGGAACAGAGTTTATTAGTTTCTCTGTGATATTTTAAGTACTTTAATTAGACATCAAGAATGAAATTTTTTATTTAATCAACATACAAAATGTATCTAAATAATAATCATATCTTTTTTGATAATTCTATTCGATTTCTTTATAAAGAATACTCAAAAAGATATCTATTATTGATTGTATATCACAATTTGGTTCTTGAAATTAAATATTCAGACTTTATATAATCAGTTATCAGATCGATTTATTAAATTTCATCACTTTAAATTTAGTGTTACTTTTGATCATAGTATTGTTTCAAAAATTATTTGATTTCATTCAAAGAATTAAATTTGATATTCTGATCTCTATTAGATATTATTTAGATCTCATCTTCCTTAATATTTCTTTCTTCTTGTTTGAAATCAAAAGAATTGAAATTTTGAATAGCATCAATAGAATCATAAACTTAATATATTTTCACTTTTTTTAATTTGATTTCTTCTGGCAATTTCTCCTCTATTTACTATTTTTAACTCTCCATTTCCTGAGATGTTAAGTAAAAGTAAAGGTTAGCTCTTTCAGCTTCGCTAAGAGCAAACTCGCTTGAAATAGTAGGGATTTAGAATTCTTTCAAATATTTGATAATTTCCTTAACTTTTTATTTCATAATTATTTATGATTATTAATTATAAATCATTCTCTCTTTTTCTTACTTATGTTCTTCTTCTAAAACTATTATAATTCTTATGATCCAATCTTCTTAAAATCATCTTTGCTCATAATCTTTTCAGCCTCCTTCTCATTCTCAACTCCATCCAGTAAATCTTTCATAGTTTAATCATCCTAATTAGAAACTGTACTCTCTTGATCGTTTTTCTTTGAATCAATAGTGTAATTATGATTATCATAGTATCTACATAAATCAACAAGTTCATAAGCTCTTTATTCAACTAATTACATTAAAGTAACCTCTGAATTTGGATCATATTTGATTTATAACTTATTTGCTATCTCCAATAGTTCTCTCTCATATTCTTTGATTTCGTTTTCAGCTTATTAAATATCTTTATCCAATTTCTCACTTCTCTCTAATTATTAAGCAAATTTAAATTTTTCATCTTCAAATTCATTATCTTCCTTCTATTGGTTTTTAGTATATTATGAAATTGATTTCTGAAGTACTTCAATTTACATTTCTTCAGAATCAATCTAATCACTCAAAACGTTTGCTTACTTAAACAATTCATTATTTGTATCTTCAATCGTTCTAAATGTATGAATAATTTCCTCAATGGAATTTAATCCTGTTTCTTTTTTTAGTTTCTCAAACATCAATTCATAATTCGTTACATCTTCAACATCCTTCTGCATTTATATCTATTATTTAGGTTATTAGGATTCTTTTATTTATTAAGATTTACTCTCTTGCTTTGCTTATTGCTGCTATTATTATTATTATTATTAATTTTTTGGTGATTATTCTACTGTTTCATCTAATCTATTGGTTTTTAATATTTAAGTATATTCTTATTTATTAGAATCTACAACTTGAGTAGCTTATCTATAATGAATTACATATTCAATTACTCTTTCATTTTATCAAATTACTCCTAACACTGGTTTAATTCATGTTCTATTTGCTTTCTAATCAATAATTATTTTTTAAATTCTTCTTCTTTTGCTCTAATATCACTCTCAAGTTTCTTAAAAACATTACTATAAATGACCCTTTCCCTTCTGGCAGTATTTATTTATTCCATTAATTGATTGATTTCTGCTAATGATTCATTATGCTTCAGTTTAATTTGTTCTAATTAACTAAATGTAGAATAAGCATGTACCTTTCTAAAGTTTTTTATTTCTTAATTAAACTAGGTAACTATATTCCATCTGAATTACTCATTTTTTTTCTATGATCTTGCAACTGTTATTCAGCATTCTGAATTAACTGTTCTAAATCTCTCTTTTATTAAATTCAGATTTACCTATTTCTTACTTTCAACTTCTATTTTTTTGGCATATTATGCACATTCATCCTGCAAAGTATTCATTTTCTCAAAATCGTTATTTTTTCCATCTTATTATAACTCTTCTTGCAAAGTTTGATTTTACTGTTTCATTTAAGCAATATGTTCTCTTTCATATAAAATATAGTTACATATTTGCTGATAATTAATCCTTCGATTTTCCTTTCATTAATTTTTATATTCTTTAAAAAATATCATTATTATTTTACTATTATTAGATGAATGAATAACATTTATCATAAATTCAAACCGAATATAGAATTAATTATATTGCGATATTGATTAAATCAATGTCTAGGATGGCTATTCTTTATCACTAAAACTAATTATTGAGTGATAAATTTAACAAATTTATAATAGTTCCATTAAATAATTTAATAGTTGATAATCAAAAATAAACTATATGTAATTAAGCCATGTTTTTATAAATATTGTTTTGTTTTTCAGAAAATAAACGTGAAGTTTAGGTATTTACTTAAATGGTCTCCTTCTAATTGCTAAAGATACCACTGTTAATGAGTTATCAAGTTAATATAAAATTTTAGGAGCTACCACCTTATTTAAAATGTTAGTACATGAAGTTAAGGAGTTAATTCAAAATTAATAATTTACCTTAATTAGCTAACACAATGTTATTTTAAATATATACTTTTTATATATACTCCACCAAATTTGGAAAAAACATTTGGATCACAATATTATTGATAGAATTCAAAGTCTATATTGTGCTTATTCACTATTTATTACAAAATTATTATTCTATGTCTACGAGCAAGTATAATATGGAATCGACAACACAAGATTTAATCTGGAATAAATAAATTTACATTAATATAAATAGTATAAATAATACAATGCTGAGTGACATCTATCGTAATCAGGGTTTGTTTAAGGCACTTTTCCTAACCATAGGATTAGTGCTGATTGTATTTTGCTTCTTTTTTAATGTTGGTGAGTACAAAAGCTTAGCTAATACTAAGTCAAAAGCTTACTACACATTTTCTGCAAGATTGCACACATCATCTTCAGAAGGAATTGATTGTTATTAAGATATCAAAAGCTGCAACGGTGATGGATTTTGCAACACTGTTAAAACGACTCCTTATTTAGGGGGATTTGCCTTGGGATTTATTGGATTAGTTCTGATATTTTCATTCGGGGAATCCATAATAAGTAGAATTATTAAAAAATATCATATTTGGATAATTCAATTGGTATTCCTATTCCTCGCATGGGCATTAATATTGATCATTCCTATTTTGTATTTAACAACAAAAGGAAATGATTGGAGTTTATGTTGGATTCCAATAATATTTGAATTTATTGCAGTAGCTACCACAAGTTTTTCAGCCTTCCTTTATTATAAAAGTAATGAAACCAAGGGTCCAGGATTATTATCATGATGATGTTTAAATACATATTTAGATTTAGTAAATTTTTATCTATAATTATTATCATTATTTTGAATTATATACAATTAGAACATCTTTAATAAGAATCAATAACAGATTTTGTAAAATTAGATTACGTATCACTGTTAAAAAATAATATAATATCATAACAATTGTTAAATTCATGAAAAAGTTGATTATAAGTGTATATTTAAAAGAATTAATTCAATAGATTTCACAACATGAACGTCATTTGAGAATACAAGTTAATTTGAGATAATAATGAAAATTAAGAAAGAATTCATCAAAAATATTCTCAATATTAGATATAGTCTTGTTTTTTAAATCAAGTTAAAATTTCTCTTTTTATAAATTGTGGCTAAAAGGGTCCTAACTTATAATACACTCCTTAAAGAAGATGCAAAACATGTAATTAAATAAATTGTTAATGAATTTTTTTGCATTAATTTAAATTCTTTAAAACTCAACAGAATTAACCAAAATTAATTATTGAAGAAAAGGCAATAAGGTAATTTAATTAAATAATTCAAGGCTCAGGTAAATAAGCAAAAAATAAGTCAATCTCAACTGATATATATATCTCTTTGATTTCAAATCATTAAGAATACTAAACATAAATTGAAGGTTGTTTATTTTCTATATCGTTGTTTTTGGAGATTTATGTGATAATTTTAATATTAATCACTTAATAAAGAAAGAAGAAATTCAAGATTTCAATCTTTAAAAGTTAACATTAGATAATATAAAATGCAATAATTTATAATTATTTTACATACTTTATATTTTGCAATTAAATTTATTGTGATTATTATATATTTATATAATTGAAAGATAATGAGTGATTTGAAAGATTTTGATATCAAGCAGTTGCATGACAATATTTAAAGTTGTTTCTAATATTTAGACAAGAAGATATATAGAGCTATGAATGTAGCACCAATTAGCAATACTATAGTAATTGAGAAACCTAATACAGCCATGTATTTTATAAGATGATTTCAAGTGCTCATGATTACAAAGAATTGCAGCATCATGTGAAATAACTATAATTAAAATATGATGAGGTTTGTTACAAGTACATGCAACTTTTAACAAAATACTAAAAAATAATGATTACAATAAAATTACAACAAGAAGAAATTGAACAATAATGTGATTTAATTAAAGAGATGAAATTAATGACTCTTTCATAGCCAGAAGTAATATAGATACCAGTTTATGATTATTTGAGAGAGTTTACTAGAAATAATCATAGTTAATTAAGTAATTTTTTATAAATATTGATGCATACTAAAAAAGTGGATCTTTCTATGATTGAATTACTATAAAATATTGAGAAGTATTATAGGCCGTAAAATAAGTAACTATTTCAGGATAAATACATTTATCCAAAAGTACCGTTAAGAAAATTGAGGGAAAGGATATTAAAAACTTTGCCTGATTAGATACTTTCATAGAATGTAATACCTGAAAGATCGATATCATTTTAATGAACTTTTGGTTAATTTTATATCAATTTATAATTTATTTATTTTATATTAATGTCAGAGGAAGGAAAAAATCTGACAGATAAATCATTGGAAACCAATACTTAACATTCATTATATCGACTAATATATTTGATGATTCGGGATTAAAACTAATCGATCATTGTGCATAGTACAACCATGTTGATCACTCTGATGCAAATTCATTATTTCAAATTCCATCATATGGTATATACAATATTGTATAGAGATTGTTTCAGTTTGGTCGGAAAATAATGCAGATATCTTGACTGATATCTTTGGATATTTTAATTTTACTCATTATTTGTTGAATTAGGATTATAGTGCAGTACAAATATTAATTTATGTTTCTATTGCATTGCTATGTTTTTGGGTGTTCTTGTTTTTAACATCAATTATCTTCATATTGAACTAGAAAGATCCGGTTTAATTATTAATCAACATTTTAAAATACATGACATATGTATTCAGTACTATACTCTATATACCTGTGCTCTTCTTGTTTACTGTAATAGTATTATTAAGCTAATGTAGTTCTCAATTAGTTGTACAAATGGATACATGGATCATTTTCCAAATTAAAAATGTTGGTAAGGATTATTTGTCATAGATTAAATACTTTCGATAATTGGTTTGATAATACTATTCCTGATGTGCTCATCAGTTAGTCTTTTATTATTTGATGGCACCTTTGACTAAGAGAAAGCACTATCAAAGAGAAATGGAAGATGCACAGCCTTGACCTCAATCCATTTTGGTATAGTAGTATTGCTATCTATGTTACCACATAATGAGAACTCCTAGGTTTTTTTTGAGGTTTATTAATTAATTGGATCCGTGGTTTGTTTTTTGTATGCCAAGAAAAATGACGCATATAATAATAGAATTATGTAGAAGTTATTTTTAACATATCTTACTTTAGAAATGTGGGCATCCCTTATGTTATGTATATCTAATTTAGTGGAGAAGAGAATAATGGTCGGTTCTTTGTATACATGGCTGTTTTGCTTGCCCTTTGTGTTCATGATACAGTTATTATAATAATAGAAGAGGGAATAGTGTTTGATGATTTATGTAAATAAGTTTGATAATCCTGTGTAATTGGTGAATCATGTGCATGAAGTCATCAAATTAGTGGAATATGATAAAAAAAGATTACCTTAAGGTTAATTACTAAACGGTTACATTGAATTTCACAATTAAACTTGTCCAAATCCACTATGTCCATTAAAGAAAGTGAAATTCTCCTTAAATATGTTCAAAGCAAAAAATGAATTGGTTAGTAAAACAGACAAGAGACACTAACTCGTTTATGATACAATGACTAAACTTTTCATTATGGGAATAGGGAAATTTCCTACTGATGTCTTTATTCGAATAGAATATGCTCTGTTTACTCTAAGAATTTTGAAGTCCAAACCTTAGGCTTTAGAGGAATTAAGTAATATCGAAAAGCTGAAAACATCAATAGATGAAAAATATATCTTATTTTATATAAAAAGTGTGATAGAGGCTGAGATATCTGAATTAAGTGGGGATGGGTAAGATTTTACTGAATAAAGAGATTTTGATGAGAAATTTGGATCTTTTAAATAAGCTATGGAAAGAAGTGTAAGTTTATTGATGGAGTTCTGGTCTTAATTTGCAGATGAGAAGCCTGATTTGGTAAAGTTATATGAAATTGGATCAAAGTTGTTTCCAATTAGAATGTATGTTGATACAACTTGGAAAAGACTTTAGAGAATCTAAAATCAATAATTACCATAGGCATTAAGATTATATTCTAAATATTTAATTGAGATTTTTAATGATAGAATATCAGGGTTTGATTTACTTGAACAAGCCAGGAAAATCGAAAGTTCATTTGCACAAAGAAAAGCCTTTAAATTAGGAATGACATCAAATTTGAATGTTGATGGATAAGAAGATGGTTGTGTTTTTATTTCATTGGAAGAAGAGAAGTTTGGTTAGATCTATGCGATTAACATGGCTGCAGCTTCATTATTGGGATTCGATAAAAATGAACTTATGAATAAGAAAGTCAATAATATTATGCCTTCATTATATGCAAAACATCATGATGACTTTTTAAGAAGATTCTTGGATACAAATGAGGCTACTCTATTGAATAAAGAAAGATTGTTATTAGGAAAGCATAAGAATGGATACTTGTAAGGGATAAATGTGTTATTACGACCTGTTTATCATGTATTGAAAGAAGGAGTAGAGTTTGTGGGTACATTCAAAAAAGAAAAGAGAATTAAGGATGCAGCTTATTTGGTTTGTAATAAGGAATATGTGGTTGAAGATATTTCAGGAGGTTGTATAAATTTATTGGGGTTGGATGTAAAATCATTATCAATTCAAGAAATTCATCTTTTTGATTTGTTTCCTGAAATCAAGGAATGTTATGGTGATTTTAAATTGAAATAAGGAAAGTCGATTGATTTTATATTACCAAAAGTCTTAGATGATCATATTGCATTTGGAGCATCAGATACAACTATTAGATTGAGTGTGTCCATTTTGGATATTAATTTCTTAATTATGAAAAGTTCAGAAAATGAATAAGGTTTAGCTGGATATTAAGTTAAAATTGAAAGATAGGTTGACTTGTCATCTTCAAATATTAAGTAATTTCAGAAGAAATTATCTAAGAATTAAAACTTCTCATTTAGATTACAATTTCAACAAACTGGAATGCATTTCTATGGAGAATTTACTGATGCTAATTACAGTGAAATGATCACTCATATTCAAGATTAGAGTATGTTTACTAATTAAGAGTATGATCTGAAAAGTAAAGAGGTTGAAAAGAATGAGGATATTATTGATTACTCTTAAGGTATCAGGGTAATGAGATTGTTTGAGGGTGTGATTTATGATATAGAAAAGTTTTAATCTGATGCAGATATGGAAAGTTATGAGGAAATTCAAATCAAGAGAGAAGAACAATAGAATCAAGAGAATGATGAACCAAATGAATCTGGATATTTTAGATCTTCTAAAGAATTATAAGAGACTTTAAATGCATAAAGTGAAAGTAAAACTATCAGATGGTTGTATTACATATCATTTCTACTTACAATCCTACTGATTATCTTATGTATATTGAACAATGTCTTTGAGAGAGAAGAAATCAACAATTAGAATTCTAATTGGAATATGATTATCAAATAATCTGATATGATAATACATCTAAACGAGATTGTATTGTATTCAAGAGAATTAATGTTATTGAATCTTGGATTATCGTATTATAATTAGGATAAACTTCTATTTAATTTGAACCAAAGTATTTTGCAATTTGATTCAATGAGTAAGGACATCTTTATGAAGATTTCATTCAATTCTGATGTAATGATGAATACTCAATCAGGAGAAGAAAAAAGTACTTTAGAATAGGCGAGTTAGCAAATTGTAAGTAAATCCCTTAACATTCAATAAGCATACTCACAATTGAATGAAAATTAAATAGATTATTATTATGTGAGCTACAATTCATTGAATGATTTCATCCGTGCTCTATTAGAAATGTATATGAATACCATAGATTTATCCAACGAAAAAACTAATAAATTATACTCTGATATTTTAGTGATTCTTATATTATCTGCTTGTTTAACATTCACATCCTCGATTGTCCTGACCTGCATACTTACCAGCACTTTGGACAAAAGATAAGAAATATTAAGCATATTTTTGGATATTCCAGAAAAAACAGCTAAATTATTTTACTCTAAATGTGAAAACTTTCTATCTTAAATATCTTCAAATGAGGATGATGAAGTCTTGAGTGAAATCGATATTATTGAAGATAAAGGGAATGATGAACCTGTATCACTTCTGGGCAGAAAGAGAAAGAGATTCAAGAATAATGAGAATAAACACATGGGATTTTTTATGAAGATGATATTTATAGCATCGATAATAGAATCATACTTTATCATGATCTATTTCTTAGATTAGAATAATGCCGATCAAAAGATTAATATCTTGAATGAATTCAATCAAACATCCTTAAGTTCTAGTTATTATTCTATTTTGGTTAATTCACTTAAATAATACATTTACAATGACGACATCTATTTAATGAATCAAGACAGCAACAAAACTATGGTTCAGTTGATTAATAGTGTCTATGAGATTGACACTCTGTATCAGAGATTACATGCAATCAATGTAGAATACAATGATATTTCTTATATTGATTATTACAATTCTATTATGTTTGATAATCTATGCACAACAATTACTTTTACAGAAATTACATGTGAATCTTTTGCTAATGGAATTTTAGATCATGGATTGATGACAGCAGTCTCGAGGCATTTTCAAAACATTCGAAAACTATATAATACCTATTAGAATCTCATATCAAATGACTCATTTGAATTCCCTTGGTCTAATTACACACTCCTACTACTATCTGCTGATCCAAAGAAAAATAAACTGCTTAATTTACTCAATACTCCTGAAAGCTTTGAAATCAGTAATTATACATTTTTATACTCTAGACGATATGTAATTTTAGGTTCTTAAAGAGGCGTTTGCACTATTAAAGAATGAATACTTAGAGGTTGTTACAAATGATCAAGAAAATTATATTGTTCAGCAACTAATACTAATGATTTTCTTCTTATTAACACTGATATTAGCAGTGTTATTTTGTTGGAATCCCTTCTTAAGGAAATTAAATAGAGAAGTATTTTTTATAAATAAAGTAGATTTGGTCAACTAAATGCTTGTTAACCTTCATTCCAATCGATGAAATAGCTAAAATTAGAACTATAAATAATTATATAAGAACAGTAATATTGGAATAAAACATTTGAAATTGTAATATTTTTTATAAAATTATTCAATTTTAAACCTTATTTATTTGAATGTTTTGGAGTATATAATACGTTCCTATCCATTAAAAAAGACTTACTTAAATGGTTACAAAAAAGATCTAAATATGAGGAATTCTAAGATATTTCATCAAATGATGGAGATGAAAATGTGATTAATTTGCTACCTATTTCTGTTTTATTAGAAAAGATTAAGATAGTTCAATTCTGGCACAAGAACTTATAATATATATGTTTTCAGCTATTGGATCCTGCAAGTATTAAAGGCATATTAATTGGATTCTTATCCAAATACTTAAATAATAGAAAAATAGATTAAGAGTAGAGACACAAATCTTAACAAAATTTTTTCATTTATTTAAGACTTTTGTTATCGATGAACCATTATTAATAGTTAAGAATTTTGAAATCTCTATTGAATGATCAGAGAATGATATTTGATGTCATTGTAAAAAGTATTTATTGAATTATAATCATATAGTAGTTGCTTAAAAATTTTATAATAATTATAGTTACTTAGGACTTATTTATCTGATGAAATTAAAATTCAATTAATCAAAAGGATATTAAAATATAGAATTTATCCAGTTCTAAAGAAAACAAGCAAAGTATTAATATAAATAATTTAGACTCTTTGCAATTGTTAATAAAATTAAGACAAATTGAAAAAGGAATAGAGTAATATAGTAATTGAGTGATTTATTAAATATCCAAACTATTTGGTTCGAGTGAGCTTTTTCTTAAGATTACTAATTGTATTCTTTATGGGAGATCATACATATAATTTATAGAGGTAATTAAAAAATGAATATCCATATGAAAAATGAGCTTGGATGGAAGTCTTGTATAATAGTAAAAATAGAAGCAATTAGATTTAATCCTCATAAAGGATTCGGATTCAGATTTAAGAGATGTTTGCATAAATTATTTATTAATAATTCAAATGATCAATTTTGGACGACACATTTCTCTTTCTTAATTGACCTACGAATATTGGGTTCTTGTTTTACTTACATTACTTCTTCATCCTCTTCATTGGTGTCAATTAAAAGGGACATATAAAACTGATTCAGATTATATAAATTTAAGTAATTATTGGTAGCCACTATGGGTGCGCAAAATCTCATGGGTCTGATTATTTGGCTCATCATCTTGATTGTTCTAAAGATTTAATACATTTTTATTTTAATATATATATTATTTAATTATGGTCATATATTTATTAATGTTCAATTATTCGCTATTACAAATGGACTTCAATTTCTCCTTTTTGAATTATTTTCTTACTTTACAAAAGCCATATTAAAAATCAAAATTAAATAAGAAATGAAACAATATAAATTTCATTTCAGAAGTTTACTAATATGCTTAATCTCATTAACTGCTTATTACAGTGTGTGTGCGCATTTATATTTGAATGTCTCTCCTCATTGGGTCTGGTCCTTATATTTAAGTCCCATATTTGTAGTATCTGTAATATTATTTAGTATGTTTTATGTGAGCGTAGCTAATTAGAAATAAGTATTATATTAAAATTTATACCTTAGACTTAATCAGACAGTGAAGAAGATTTTTGTATAACCTTAATTTTACTGACCTTTATGCTCATTTGGTGGCCCATTTTTATTATAATATATCTCCAAATATTTGAAAATGTCTTAATACCATTTGAATCCCAAACAGGAATACTAATAGAGAGGAATACTAGTTAATTTTTTAATGAAGATTATGCAACCTTGATATTTAATTTGAGCGACGATTCAATTGGTATTGGGTGTTAGTCAAATTAATATGATGCATCAATTGTAGAGTATCCACTTCCATACAAATATTATGATATGGGAAATGAAATTAAATTGCCTTCATGGTTCTGTCTGCCTCTTGACACAGAAATCAAGGAAGAATAAGTTGATTTATATGTAAGTACTCAAACTATAATAAATGATATGGCAATCATCACTTTTTAATACCCCAATTTTATCAGTGAGTCTTTTTGGATAGCATTTATAACTACCATATTTTAATTTGCTTGTATATTTTCATCAATCTTACTACTTGCCATACTCTTAATTATGGATTAGCAATCTATTGAGTCAAATATCAGAAAGCCTTCAAGAAAGAAGAGGATCATCAATTTCATATTGTCCTTTACTCTATATGTGTTCATGATCTCTTGCAACAGTCTTATTATCACACTTACATCTGTGCTTGTTGGATTATTGTTTCTAATTTGGAGTCTATTTAATAAAATCCATAACCATTTCTACCAAATGATTAAAGGAATGTTTAAAATGGTTACTCATTGGATATAATATATCCCAATAACAATCATAGCCATTATCTTGATTTCAATATATGTGGTGTTCATATTGATTGTAAGTCAATGTGTTATCCATTTTAAAATATTCTTGTGTCGTCATTTTGTTGCCTTATGGAAAGGATAGATGGAAGAACAATTGGAAGGGTATGATAAATTTATCAATAAAATAACGGTATTTACTTGGATTTGGAATATAATTTTAATAGCTTTGATATCAACTCAAGCTAATTCTGTGCCTTTGATGGCGATATCCATAATTCTATGCGTAATATAGTTAGTAAATATCCCCATCATATTAATATTTACACCTAAACGTAAAATCTTTGAATAACAATGGTGCATCTATTACACTAATTATAAGATTATAAATCAACAATGCACAGATCATGAATAGTAGAATTAATTCCCAATGGACTTAAGAGAAATAGAGCTTCACCTCTAGGATGATAAGATTTCGAAATGATTTATAATGCTTAATTAAAATGATATTATTAATTCCTTATTCCAATATACATGGATTATATAAGATAAAAAGTGTCAGGCAAAAAAAATCGTTTAAAAGAAGGCAATTTTAATTTGGATTTAACATACATCACATAAAGAATAATCGCAATGAGTCTCCCTGGAGAAGGTTTTGAAGGACTCTATCGCAATCCTATCGATTAAGTAAATTTCACAATCATTAAGAGGTAGCTTAATACTTGAATGAAAGACACAAAGAAGATTATTTCATTTTTAATCTGAGTGGCAAAAATTATGATGAATCAAAATTCAAAGGATTAGTCTTTAAGGATTATTTTTGGAAGGATCATCATTCTCCATCTTTAAATGTCCTTTTCGACATTTGCCTATAAATTCATAATATTTTGAAGGGTAATGATTATGAGTATGGAATTAGCTAACGAAGAGAATGTGGTAGTAATCCATTGCTTAGCTGGAAAAGGGAGAACTGGAACAGTTATTTGCTGCTATCTATTATATTCTGGTAGATTTGATAATGTGACTGATGCTCTTAGTTATTATGGGAAGAAGAGATTTCATGGAGAAGGTTTAAGTGTAAATTAGCCATGTCAACTCAAATACATTGAATATTTCTATACATTACTTAATATGAATACAAGGATATTCCCTAATCTCATCCAAATTTAATCAATTTCCTTTTTCGGAAGGTACTTTATCAATATCATAATTAATAAGATCTCCGTAAATGAATATTAATGGGTAGTGCTATCCTTATGTAGAGATTATTGATGTTAAAAAGGATTCCATATTGTATTCAACCAAATAAATGTGCAAAAAATATGCAGGTTAAAATCATCGAATTATTTTGCCAAATTAAATTCCATTAGTTGCAGATATTCTTATTAATGTGAAGAATTATGGAACCTTATCAGATTCAAAAATGTTTAGATTCTCTTTTAACACAGCTTTCATTGAAAAGTAAGTTTGCGAATTCATATAGACATGTCACCTATTAATTAAATGAATTGGATCCGACTTAAATTTAAGACGATCAGCGATTTGATAAATAGTTCAGAGTTGAAGTAATTGTCTACTTAATTCAAGTTAGAGATCGAAAAATGTAGAAATTGCTCCAATCTAACTACCATAGAATAGAAATGTCAAATATGTAAACCACACTTAATTGAGCATCAAGAGACATGGAGTAGAATAAATGAAATCATTAACAGATACGTTAAACCTACTGAAAGTTAAACAACAAAATTACTATTCAGAACTAAATAAAATGATGATGTAGAAGCCATACTCAAAGATGAAGTCTTAGAATTAACTAATTCATTGTATTTTAAAATGTAGTTAAGAGAACAATAAGTATAAGTACAATTATGATGTTGATAAATAAGTTTACATTTTATTTGATAGAAATAATTTTGTTTAAATTCTTGTATTTTAAGAGAAAATATTAACGTATCTTATTTCAACAGTAGTTTAGTAAGTCGCAGTAGCTGTTCAATATATATCCTGTTATTACTTTCAGGGATGAATGCAGTCTCTCAATGCAAACATATATCAAATTTCTATTAATATTTATGCTTACTACCAAGAAGTCATAATCTTGGATCTGAAATTCTATAATAGAAAGATGAACTATAGAGGAAGAGATTGTTGAAGCCTTATTCTAAGACATTGTCTATAGTTAATCAAAAATCTAAATATCAAAAAGAATAATGAATAAGAGATGCAATATTAGTTGCTTTTGCACATAACTGGTTCTAGATAATGTCTACAATTTAGGATAACATAGATTATGAATAATAATTAATTGTTATTATTAATCAACATATCATGGCTTTATAATTATTTTCATCTCATTTTTCTTATATCTTATTAATTTGCAATCACTTACAAAAGTAAAACAACATTCACTTATAATTTCAAATGCTACTGTTATTTCTTAATCAAAATATTGAGATTCCTTTGATTTCAAATTTTGCAAATTATACATTGTTTTCCCAAGAAACATTTTTTATTATCCTTTATAATTTAGAATTAAGGCAGAGAAGTTGGCTGATGATTATTTATCATAGTTCTAATGTTATTACTTATTAAATTAACGGAATAAATTACTGCCGCCAAACTTATAAATTAACTAAAGGTTATCTAAATCTGAAACAAGTTAATTAATTTAATTGTTAGTTCCAGACCCAGCTTATCTGCAAAGTTCTTTTCATAATTGTATTTCTTATTAAATTAGATATGATCCTTTTATTATTGATTCTAATCATGGACTCAATTCCCATATACCCAGGAAGTATGTAAATTTATACTTATGAATTAACTTAATATTTTTTCATAAAGAGAGTTTTCCAAATTATTGATTTCTATATCAACGGAGTATGAAGTAATAATTAAGAAGTGTATATCTCTTTTAAAATAAAATAATGTATGCTCAAAATTAAATTCCTTAATTTCCCTTTCTGAGCTGGACATTCTTAATTTATTGTTTCTGGTTCTTATAATTAATTATTGTGGTCATTTAATATTATTTTTAAATAAATAGATATGAATCTGATTCGATAGAGTGATACTATAGAAGACAAGCTCAAAAAGTGGCAATAGGTCCAAAAAAAGAAGTATGCCGAAAAAAGAAAGTTTGGGTTTGTTGAAGGACAGAAAGAGCCTCAACCTCCTGAAATTTTAAGGTAGAAGATTTTTTTAATGTTTTTAGGAAAATTTTCAAGGATCATGGAAATTTAGAATCTAAGAAATATAGACAAGATAAGAGAGTATATTTGGGTGCATTAAAATATATGCCACATGCAATTTATAAATTATTGGAGAATATGCCTATGCCATGGGAATAGGTAAGAACTGTGAAGGTTCTTTATCACATTACAGGGTCCATCACATTTTGTTATGAGATACCAAAGGTGATTGAACCAGTTTATACAGCTCAATGGGGTACAATGTGGGTGATGATGAGAAGAGAAAAGAGAGACAGAAGGAATTTCAAAAGAATGCGATTCCCCCCATTTGATGACGAAGAAATCCCATTGGATTATGGAGACAATATCTTGGATGTCGAACCTTTGGAACCTATACAAATGGAATTGGATGAAAGAGAAGACAATGCTGTTTTTGATTGGTTTTATGATCATTAACCATTGAGATATACCAAGTTATTGAATGGTCCAAGTTATCGATCTTGGTAATTAACATTAGAAGTTCAACAGAATCTATTTAGATTGGCTAATCAATTATTGTCAGATATAGTTGATCATAATTACTTCTATTTGTTTTAACTTCAATCCCTTTACACTGCTAAAGCATTGAATATGGCTATACCTGGAGGACCAAAATTTGAGCCTCTCTATAGAGACATATTCGAGGAGGATGAAGATTGGAATGAATTCAATGACATCAACAAGATTATTATTAGATAATAAATTAGAAGTGAATACAAAATAGCCTTTCCCTTTTTATATAATTCGAGACCAAGAAGTGTAGCTATTGCTCCATATCATTATCCAGCTAATGTATTTATTAAGTAAGACAACCCTGAAATACCAACATATAATTTTGACCCAGTGATAAATCCTATTTCTGCCTACAGAACATAGAGTAGAAAGATTGATGTTTAGATAGATGATAGTGAATTGGATATTGAAATAGGAGATGGATTTGTACCATTATTAGGTGAGACAGAATTATCTGATGAACAAACAACTGCCTCTATTGCTCTCTTATGGGCTCCAACTCCATTTAATCAAAGAACAGGTAAGACTAGAAGAGCATTTGATATACCTTTAGTGGCACCTTGGTTTAAGGAAAGATGCAATCCATAGTATCCTGTTAAGGTTAGAGTTTCATATTAAAAACTATTGAAATGTTGGGTATTGAATAGTCTTCACAAAAGAAAACCAAAGTGTTAAAATAAAAGGAACTTGTTGAAAGCATTTTAAGCAACAAAATTCTTTTAATTAACTGAGATTGATTGGGTTGAATGTGGTCTATAGATAGCACGTTAAGGATACAACATGTTGAATTTATTGATTCATAGAAAAAACTTAAATTATTTGCATTTAGATTACAATTTCTAATTGAAACCAGTAAAGACATTGACAACAAAGGAAAGAAAGAAGTCAAGATTTGGTAATGCATTTCATTTGTGCAGAGAAATTTTAAGATTAATGAAGCTGGCATGTGATAGTCATGTATAATACAGATTAGGTAATATTGATGCCTTTTAATTGGCTGATGGATTATAATATGTATTCTCACATGTTGGTTTGGTGACAGGTATGTATCGTTACAAATACAGATTGATGAGATAGATCAGAATGTGTAAGGATTTGAAGCATGTCATTTATTATCGTTTCAATACAGGTCCAGTTGGTAAGGGACCAGGAGTTGGATTTTGGACACCTATGTGGAGAGTATGGTTATTCTTTTTGAGAGGAATTATCCCATTGTTAGAGAGATGGTTAGGAAACTTATTGGCTCGTACATTCGAGGGCAGACATTCTAAAGGAATATCTAAGACTGTCACTAAATAAAGAGTGGAATCTCAATTTGATTTGGAATTAAGAGCAGCTGTGATGTCTGATATCATTGATATGATGCCAGAAGGAGTGAGAGCTAACAAAGCTAAGACAATACTTTAACACTTGAGTGAAGCTTGGAGATGTTGGAAAGCCAATATTCCATGGAAAGTTCCAGGGTTACCTGCTCCAATAGAAAATATTATATTGAGATATGTGAAATACAAGGCTGACTATTACACAAACTCAGCATATTATAATAGGGAACGTATAAGAAGAGGAGCTACAGTTGATAAAACAGTATGTAAAAAGAATTTGGGAAGATTAACACGTCTATTTTTGAAGTAAGAATAAGAAAGATAGCATAACTTTATGAAGGATGGTCCTTATTTAACAACCGAGGATGCAGTTGCTATTTACACAGCCTTAGTCAGATGGTTAGAAAGCAGAAAGTTCATTCATATTCCTTATCCACCTGTGAATTACAAACACGACACTAAGTTATTCTTGTTGGCTTTAGAAAGATTGAAGGAAGCTTATTCAGTCAAGAGTAGATTGAATCAAAGTTAAAGAGAAGAATTAGCATTGATTGAATAGGCATATGATAATCCACATGAGGCATTAAGCAGAGTGAAGAGACATCTCTTGACTTAAAGAGTGTTCAAAGAAGTGAGATTAGAGTTTATGGATCTATATTCTCATTTAGTGCCTGTTTATGATGTCGAACCTTTAGAGAAGATCACAGATGCATATTTAGATTAGTATTTGTTCTATGAAGCAGATAAAAGGAGACTCTTCCCTAATTGGATCAAACCAAGTGATAGTGAACCACCTCCTTTATTAGTATATAAGTGGTGTTAAGGAATTAACAATCTACATGGAATATGGGATGTATCTGATGGTTAATGTGTAGTATTGTTAGAAAGCAAATTTGAAAAGGTTTATGAAAAGATCGATCAGACATTATTAAATAGATTGTTAAGATTGATTGTTGATCATAACATAGCAGATTATAATGACTGCCAAGAATAATGTTGTCATCACTTACAAAGATATGAATCATACGAATGTTCATGGTGTTTTACATTGAATTCAATTTACTAGTTTTATTATGCAATTTTATGGTATGGTTTTGGATTTATTGATTTTGGGTTTAAACAGAGCATAAGATTTGGCTGGTCCATATAATAATCCTCATGAATTTATGACTTATTCCAATATTTAATAAGAAATTAGACATCCAATTAGATTGTATTGTAGATATATTGATAAGATTTTCATGGTATTCAGATTTACATAAGAAGAAGCAAGAGAATTAATACAAAGATATTTAACAGAGAATCCAGATCCTAATAATGAAAACATTGTTGGATATAATAATAAGAAATGCTGGCCAAAAGATTGCAGAATGAGATTAATGAAACATGATGTAAATTTAGGAAGAGCTGTTTTTTGGGATATTAAAAATAGATTGCCAAGATGTTTGACAACATTAGCATGGGAACACTCTTTTGTTTCAGTGTACTCAAAGGACAATCCCAATTTCTTATTCAATATGTGCGGATTCGAAGTGAGAATCCTACCAAAGATAAGAGGATCTTAAGAAGAATTCTCAGAAAAGGATGGTGTTTGGAAATTACAAAATGAATCAAGTAAGGAAATAACTGCAGTTGCATTTTTAAGAGTAGATGAAGAGAGCATGAAGAAATATGAAAATAGAATTAGATAAATATTAATGGCCAGTGGTAGTACAACATTTACAAAGATAGCAAATAAGTGGAATACAACATTAATCGGATTAATGACATATTACAGAGAATCAGCTGTTCATACTGAATAATTATTAGATCTATTAGTCAAATGTGAAAATAAGATATAAACTAGAATTAAGATAGGTTTGAATTCTAAGATGCCATCTCGTTTCCCACCTGTTGTATTTTATACTCCTAAAGAATTGGGTGGTTTGGGTATGTTATCTATGGGACATATCCTAATTCCATAATCAGATTTGAGATTTTCAAAATAAACTGATACAGGCATTACTCATTACAGAGCAGGTATGAGTCATGATGAGGATTAATTGATTCCTAATTTATACAGATATATCTAAACTTGGGAGAGTGAATTTATAGATAGTCAAAGAGTTTGGGCTGAATATGCTTTGAAAAGATAAGAAGCATAAGTATAAAATAGGAGATTGACATTGGATGATTTGGAAGATAGTTGGGATCATGGTATTCCTAGAATTAATACTTTATTCTAGAAGGATAGATTGACATTGGCATATGATAAGGGTTGGAGAGTTAGATAAGACTTTAAACAATTTTAGATGTTGAAATAGAATCCATTCTGGTGGACTCATTAAAGACATGATGGCAAATTGTGGAATCTAAATAATTATAGAACTGATATGATTTAAGCATTAGGAGGAGTGGAAGGTATTTTGGAACACACTTTATTCAAGGGAACCTATTTCCCAACTTGGGAAGGATTGTTTTGGGAGAAGGCTAGTGGATTTGAAGAGAGTATGAGATTTAAGAAATTGACTCATGCTTAACGTTCAGGTTTGAATTAGATTCCAAATAGAAGATTCACTTTATGGTGGTCACCTACTGTAAATAGAGCAAATGTGTATATTGGATTTTAAGTCTAATTGGATTTAACAGGTATATTCATGCATGGAAAGATTCCCACATTAAAGATTTCATTGATTCAAATATTCAGAGCACATTTATGGTAAAAGATTCATGAAAGTGTTGTGATGGATTTATGTTAAGTTTTTGATATGGAGATGGAAACATTGGAAATAGAAACAGTTTAAAAAGAAACCATTCATCCAAGAAAGTCTTATAAAATGAATTCATCTTGTGCAGACATACTATTATTTGCTGCATTCAAATGGCCAATCAGCAAACCCTCTTTGATTCACGATACCAAAGATACTTATGATGGAACTACTACATCCAAATATTGGTTAGATGTCCAATTAAGATGGGGAGATTACGATTCTCATGATATTGAAAGATATGCCAGAGCCAAATTCTTAGATTACACTACTGATAACATCAGTATTTATCCATCTCCCACAGGAATGTTAGTGGCTATAGATTTGGCCTATAATTTGCATTCAGGATATGGTAATTGGTTCCCTAATTCTAAGAATCTTATCCTTCAAGCTATGAATAAAATAATGAAGGCTAATCCAGCATTGTATGTGTTAAGAGAACGTATTCGTAAGGGTTTGTAGTTGTATTCATCTGAACCAACTTGAACCATATCTCAATACTCAAAACTATGCTGAATTATTCAGTAATTAAATCATCTGGTTTGTTGATGATACAAATGTGTACAGAGTTACAATCCATAAAACATTCGAAGGTAATCTTACAACAAAACCTATTAATGGTGCTATTATTATTTTCAATCCAAAAACAGGATAATTGTTCTTAAAAGTAATTCATACTTCTGTTTGGGCAGGTTAAAAGAGACTTGGATAATTGGCTAAATGGAAAACAGCTGAAGAAGTTGCTGCTTTAATTAGAGCCTTGCCAGTTGAAGAATAACCCAGATAAATCATTGTGACAAGAAAAGGATTATTGGATCCATTGGAAGTGCATCTATTAGATTTCCCTAATATTGTCATAAAAGGATCTGAACTTTCATTGCCATTCTAAGCTATACTGAAAATTGAAAAGTTCGGAGATTTAATCTTAAAAGCTACTGAGCCATCAATGGTTCTTTTTAACTTATATGATGATTGGTTGAAGAGTGTTTCATCATTCACAGCATTCTCTAGATTAATCTTAATTTTGAGAGCATTACATGTAGCTCATGAAAAAGCAAGAATTATATTGAAACCCAATAAGAATGTCATCACTTAACCAAATCACATATGGCCCACTTTAACAGATGATGAATGGGTCAAAATGGAAGTGGAGCTTAAGAATTTAATCTTGCAAGATTATGCTAAAAAGAATAATGTGAATGTGTAATCATTAACTCAAATGGAAATCAGAGACATCATTTTGGGTATGGAGATGTCTGCTCCAAATTTATAGAAAGAAACCATCTAAGATATTGAGAAGTAAGCCAAGGAGGCAGCCTAATAGACTGCAACAACAGTCAAGACATCTAATGTCTTTGGAGAAGAATTAGCTGTCTAAGTTACTAAACCTTATGAGAATCAATCATTCTCCAGTCATTCTGATTGGAGAGTCAGAGCAATTGCTGCAACATCTCTATACTTACGTACCAATCATATATTTGTGAATTCCGATGATATCAAGCAAACAGGATTCACTTATGTCTTACCTAAGAATATTCTTAAGAAATTCATTTCAATTGCTGATTTGAAAACATAAATAGCTGCCTATCTATATGGTATCTCACCTCCAGATAATTTATAAGTCAAAGAAATAAGAGCTATTGTTATGATTCCTCAAATTGGATCAAGAGATAATGTGACAATGCCTCATCAAATGCCAGATTCAGAATATCTGAGAAATTTAGAACCATTAGGATGGTTACATACTTAATCTACAGGTAAACTTTAAGATATATTCTAGAAACTATGCATTTATCAACTTATGATATCACATTACATGCTAGATTGATATAAGAGAACTAAAGTTGGGATGCAGAAAGATGTATAGTTCAAACTGTTTCATTCACTCCTGGTTCATGTTCAATCACTGCCTACGAATTGTATATTATTATTCTTATATCCAAGAACCCATTAAGGATTTGAGTGGGGTAAAAACAATAAGGATTTGAATGCAGTTCATCCATCATCGACTTAACATTTTGAGAAAGTTTAGATTTTATTGTCAGATAAATTTAGAGGATTTTTCATGGTATATATTAAGATCTAATACAATTTAGGTCCCTGATAATCACATGTGGAATTACAACTTTATTGGATTAGGATTAGTCTAATAGATGAAATATGGATTGATTTTATCGAATCCAAAAGATTTCTATCATGAAGTTCATCGTTCCAGTCATTTCATTAAGTTTATTAGGAATGAGGATAAGGATCAAGTAGATGAGGCAGATAATGAAGATTTTTTATCTTGATTATTATTATTATTATTATTGATAAATCAAAATACTTCTTCTCTGACTTGGAGGAATTCGGAAGCAGCACTTAATTTTTAGGTTAAGACTTCTTATAATCTCTCAACGACTTCCAATTATTATTCTCTTTCGAAGGTTTATGCTTCATATTATGATTCTTATTCAGCAGCCCATCTTTCTTGGATAGCCAATGAGTCTTCAGCATCTTCAAGGAATAACTAACATAATGGAGAGAGAATACAGTTTAGTCTTCCAAATCTTCAACGGCCTCTTGAATGGTCACTTTGAATTGAACAATAGAGTTTTCTAAGAAAGCCTTTCTTTCGACTAATCTCTTGTGTTCTTCTTATAAATGAGAACTTTGGACTTCCCAGTTAGCAGCTTATCTTTCTTCTGTGGCAAGGAGTGAGGCTCTGCTAGCAACCAATTATTATCTGATTTAAGCCAAGAGTTCTAAGATCTTGATGATGCTCTTGTTGTCAACCTTGGAGGCTAATTATGTCAAGGCATTGATGAGTGGCTAGTTATTAATAGTAAATAGAAAATACCTTGAAAAGTGCGTGTTTGCTTTCCATCAATTTAGCTTAGACTTTTTCGAATCTACTCTTTAATTGAGCAAATGCAACACCAGCTTATAAATGTTGAACGATCTTTGATGCTTCATCGATGGCTTCCATTTAATCAACATGTTCAGCATCCTTTCTAACCCATGTATCGTGTTGGGATTGTCTGGTGGCTGATTCGTCAGCGAAGCTCTTTTCGTTATTGGCAATATCTGATGTTACGACTCTGACTTCAACTTCAGCTTCACCCAAAGCTTCGGTGGTGGAATCTCTCAAGTTGGACAAGGCGACAATTTGGGTTTAGTGATAAGCAATTTCTTATTCTAAGTCAGCAATGATTTTCTCAAATGCAACTGTGTCACTTTCATGAACTTTGTCAGCTTTCTTTTGATCTCCATTCAATTATGAGGCAATGTTGTTCAAAAGGATTTAGATCTCACCAACTGGTCCTCCTGTAGCTAATTGAAGTTGGAGAACTGAAAGGATTGAATTTCCAAAGGAATCCTTATTAACTTAAGCCAAAATCTCTTTTGGACTTTCGCTCTTTGTCACTCTAGCTGTGGCAACTGCAAACACAATAGCCAATATTGTTAATGATCTAGCCATTTTTTTTATTAATAATCAACAACTCAACCATTCTCAAGCGATTTACACTTATTACCCGTTTTTCCTAATACTTTATACTAGCATATATATAATACGTTTTTAATTTAATCATTTTTTTTACATAGAATAATTCTTTTCCCTCCAATTCCATTTCCATTTCATTTGACCTCATCCCACCAAGAAATTGAGACAACCTAACACCATACACATTCTACTCTCTCCACTCTATTCAACGCTCAATTTTAATGGTACCAAATAGTAAAAACAGTTTGTTAAGAACTGATTGAAGGCTGGATTACCCTTGAATTCGTTAATTTTACTGTGCAAAGATTGAAATTTTGATATTATAGATTGTTCATTTTTATATAAATTGTATATCTTAAAAATTCCTTATTGATTATTACCATTTATCCTACTGTCTTTTGAAGATATTGTAAGAAAAAACTATTCGTCGCAATGCTTGTATTCTGTTCTCTTTGAATGGACCCTTCTCCTGCATACTATTTGTATTAAGAATAATATATATATACATTTTTTAAAATAAAAATTAATGAACTCATGCAATAACCCTTAAATAAACAAAAATCTTTATTTAATTTTTATATGAGTTCAGAAGAAGAGGAAGATAAACAATATAATATCGATTAACTCCTTCATTAGATTACACAAGTATTATTTATTTTATCCTTAAGATTGAGAACACTCGATAAGTCAATCCGCAATTCAGAAAAGTCTAAGAACCAGAATTTAATCTGGTTTTTAATCTCAAACGTCCTCCAGTAGAAGACTTGTCCTTGGAAGAGGCTCGACTCTGCTATTTGGAAAACAAGAGGTAGCAAGGTTAGTTGTCTCATTATAATAAAATTAGTTTTCTAGAGGAAGACTCATGAAGCCAAAGACAAGAAATATGCTTATGCAGCGAATAATCAAAGCAAAATATAAAATAAATTACTATTGTTCTTTTCCAAAGCATTCCGAGATCAACCAAACATGGTTGAAAAATTTTTGTATGATAAATACAGCCACAAATAAGAAACAATATTGGAATAGTAAATGCACATTGGAATCGTAATTATCATCACTTATGTAGTCCTCACGCTAATTTGAGCCTGCTTTTCAATCAAATAAATTGCCTTAGCTTGGGTACAATTTTGAAGATGCATTCAAAATTTAGTATACAGATTCCAGAATGGGAAAAGCAAATATAAAAAAAGTAAAGAAAAGTAAAACTTATCATCAATCTTAGCTTAAAAATGATTGCCAGGCTTCTACTTAGAATGACTATTTTAACACAATTATACAATAGGAGTTATATGAAGATCCTATCGAAATTGGAGATTGGAAGAAAAGTTGGGCCATCGTTGTGAGGAATGCAGTCAAAATTAGTAGATTCAAAGCCAAGTTCAGATAAGATTTAAGAGAATTTTTTAAAAGAATAGCCTATTTTGCTGCCAAAGAGGCAAGAAGAAGGAATTAAAAATGTTAAAAATATTAAAAAGAATTTATGTTAAGAGCAAAGAAATTATCAAAGGAGGCTCAATCATATTGGAGAAAGAGAGATAAGGAATTGATTGAAATCAAGAAAAGAAAAGAAAAATTAGAATAAGAGAGGAAGAAAAAGGAGGAAGAGGAGAGAGAATAATTATTACAATAAAAAAGATTAGAATTTTTAATGAAGTAATCAGACATTTATGCACACTTTATGGCTAAGAAACTAGGAATCACTTTAGATAATCAAATTTCATTAAATACTGATGAGATTGATGAAGAAAAAGCACTTGAAAATGTCTAGAAAGTAATCAATGATAATAGAAAATAATTGTAATAATTTGATGGAAAAAAATAAGAAAACGTTTAAATATAAGAATTAAAATTAGATCACAATGATTAAGATAGAGATTTCTCATTGATCGCCCCTCCTTCAACATTTAAAGGAGACTTAAAAGAGTATTAATTAAAAGGACTCAGATGGTTGGATAACCTATATGATTAGGGTATTAATGGCATATTGGCAGATGAAATGGGATTGGGAAAGACTATTCAAGCTATAGCTTTGTTGTCACATATAAGTTCCTTTAAATAAATATGGGGTCCTTTTCTAGTGATTGCTCCTTCCTCAACTTTACATAATTGGTAATAGGAAATTAAGAAATTTTGTCCTACTCTAAAAGTCTTGCCATATTGGGGTCAAGCATAATAAAGAAAAACAATAAGAAAATATTTTTAATAAAAAAACTTTGGTTCGAGAGAATCTCTCTTTCACATAGTAGTTACATCATATAATTTAGTAGTATCTGATAATAAAATATTTAATCGAGTAAGATGGCAATATATGATATTGGATGAAGCTTAAGCAATTAAGAATATTAACTCTTAGAGATGGTAGATCTTGTTATCTTTTAATGCAAGAAATAGATTATTATTGACAGGAACACCAATATAAAATACGATGGGAGAGTTATGGGCATTATTGCATTTCATAATGCCAAGATTTTTTGATAGCTTTGATTAATTCTAGGAATGGTTTTCAAAAGACATAGAAGCACATTCTTAAGATTAAAAGACCTTGAATTAGCATTAATTATAAAGATTACATGCAATTTTGAAGCCATTTATGTTAAGAAGATTAAAGAAAGATGTGGAGAATGAGATAGGATAGAAAAAGGAAGTCTAGATTGTTTGTGAGATGACAAGTCGTTAGGCTGTGTTGTATAGGAATGTGAAATCTAAATTATCAATAAAAGAGTTCTTTAGGATGTTGGATTCCAAACAGAAGGTTGATAATTTAATGAACTTGGTTATGTAGTTTCGTAAGATATGTAATCATCCTGAATTATTTGAAAGAAAACCTTACAAAAGTCCTTGTGTATTTTAGGATAGATAGAATGTTGAGGTTTATTAGAAGAACCCTATTGTCTAAGTAACCAAAAGAAATCCCATTAACTTCATTATTCCTAAATTAGTATATGATAATCTAATTAAAAATACGAAATGCTTATTCACAGCACATTACATATACAACTCATTGAAGAATGGAGAGTCTACATTTTCATATTTGTTATTCAAACATCTACCTTTGAGTTTGTTTGAGAAAAATGTATTTGATTTAATTGATCTCTTGTGTCAAAAGAAGGATTCATCAACTTTAGTGAATTATTCTTATTCAAAGTAATTACAGTTTTATATCCCTCCAGTTCAAAGCTAGATTATATCATTTGAATGCAGATCACAATCATTTTACTATTAAATTCAACAGAGTTTATACAATAGATAGGCACTTTCATTTATCAAAGAATCCCCTGCCTCTTTCATTTTACCAAATAGTCCTGAATCTTTGATAGCCTCTTCATCTAAATTGTTACAATTGGATAAATTACTTAAAGAACTCAAATAGAAATAATGGCGAGTGTTGATTTTCTGTTAGATGACAAGAATGTTGGATATACTGGAAGAATATATGTTACATAAAGGGTACACTTACTTTAGGATGGATGGACAATGTTAAATCAATGACAGAAGAGATGTATCATATAATATTATATTTAGATGGTTAATGAGTTCTAATAAAATGATAAGATATTTGCATTTCTTCTATCTACAAGAGCAGGTGGCTTAGGAATTACATTAACATAAGCTGATGCTGTCATATTTTATGATAATGATTGGAATCCTACCATGGATGCTTAGGCAACTGATAGAGCTCATAGAATAGGCAGAACCAAAGATGTCTATGTTTATCGATTGATCACTAAAGGCACTATAGAGGAGAGAATTGTCAAGAGAGCACAACAGAAATAGAATGTTTAATCAACTGTGTATTCTGGTGGATTTCAAGGGGATAAATTCAAACCTTAAGAAGTATCTAATTTTATTTATTCAGGTTTTTGAATTACTGTTTGGAGAATAAGAAATGGATGAGACTGTAGCCAACAAGTTTATGGCTAAAGGGCAAAAGAAAAAGAAGAAGCCTGTGAAAGTAGAATAGAAAGACACATAGAAGGAAGTATCAAAAGAATAGAAGGAATAATAAGAGGAGGAAGATATTATTGAAGTTGATCTCAGAGAATTAGAGATGAATGAAAAGGATGGTGAAGATGCTGATTGATGATTTAATAATAATAATGTTGTAATTCTAATGGACAATATTAAATAAATGTTAACACTCATTTGAAGAATGGAGCAATTATATTTAGGAATCCCATCATTGCACCTATGAGCATTATCAAATAATAGAAAATAAATCTAGTCTGCTTATGAAATCTCTTCTTAAGTGCTGTATGATCAATGCATTTGAAATCCAATTCATCAAATATAGATTCGTCTGGATTCTCAATGTACTCCTTTGAATCATTAATCAATCCAATCCTATTGTCATTGACCTTCTTTTTAGCATAAAGACAGGTCATATGTAATTATATTGGAATCAAATAAATTTAGAAAAACCCAACAACAGCTCCTGACAAACTCAGAATCAAAGATACGCTAATATTGAAACATTAAAATAGCAGAGTAGTCAACGCAACTATTGATGTGTATAACACAAACCACTTCTAAGGAGGCTATTCCAATTTATATATTAATGCAAAAAATTGTGATCTGGTAATAAATGCCAACAATGGGAAAACAGTAGTTAGCTAAAACAATTGCAAAACTTAAATTCCATATGAAAATATGCTCTACTCCAAATAATCTAAGACAGTAGATCCATCACCTGAAGGGTTTACAGCTTTTCCTTATATTGCGATGGCTCCAAATACACCCACCAAAGCATAAATCAGCCAAGTCCAACCAAAACTAATACCAATATCTCTTAAATTATTTTCTTATTGCAGATTGTTTTTCATTATTGGAACTATGCAAGAATGTACCATAAAAGCTACTGAGAACACACCACATAGGGTTACCACATCTAAAGTGAATAGATTGGCATTCATAATCTCTGCCATATTAATGCTACCATTAGTGATAATATAAATTATCAATGCTATGATTGATATTACGCCATATTGAACTAGCTTGATAATGAGAGTCAGATTCTTTTACAACATAATAAGGAATAGCAAGCACATATAAACAATGCCACACCATTAATATGATAATTTGCCCAGGACAAAATCCGTTTTAGGAGCATAGTCCATTTCTAATGATTTGCATAGTAATTAAACTAATGAGTATAACATATTGCATATTAAAATAAAATAGACGACACCAGCAAAGTATAAAATTATGATATTGGTTATATTAAAAATTAAGTTATACTTCTACCCAAGTATTCTTACAATTGTTTATGGCAAATCTAATTCTTCAGGTTTATTGTGTAACATTTATAATTAACAAGTCTTACAGGATATTAAACAAAATACTAGTGCCACGATCAATGCACTCAAAATACCTGATTGTTAAAATAGCACAGGTATTACTAATAATGATGATCCTACCATTGTATTGCTTACGCTTAATATTGTTTATAAAGAACTATTCTTTGGAGCATTTGCTAAACTAGCTTTTAGTATTGATTTCCTTAGTGACTTCTTTTGAGCAAATGATAAATTGGGATTCTAAATAACTTATTAATCAATTTCTTATTATAATAAAGCATCATTTGCTAATGCATTTGCCATTTTATGTTAAAATTGTATAAAATTAAAAAAAATTTTAGTTCGAAACCAAAATAATATCAGCATGCACTTTCAAAGAATTTTAGAAGCTTATGAACAGCGTTGGTTGGAACGCCATGATTAGAATAAAAAGTTTAGACCAAAAAAATTAATTACAGACACCCCTGACATCAAAGACATGATTTTAATGAAAGAGGTAAAATCTCATTTTATTCATCCTTTAATTCTTAGAATTTACCATTATCTAAACAGCAACAAATTAACCAATCAAAAGAAGTGCCAAAGAAAATTCGATTGAAATAACAATTGCAAGAAGAATGTCCAATTTGTATGATGAACTTAGATGACTTATAAAATGTCTGCGAGATTGATGTCTGCAAGCATTAGATATGTTTAACTTGTATAAAAGAATGGGCAGAGAAATATAAAACATAATGTCCTTATTGCAGAGCCAAATTCAAAAAAATCTACCCAATTGAAAATGGCAAAAGAAAGAATTCTCCTATCAAATTAAATCTTAAATAACCAAAATGGCAACCAGAACAAGATCAATTTTATAATTCTTAAGAAGAACAAGAAGAAAATTAAATGTGCTAAATTTGTGGATGTTCTCACTCATAGTATTTAATGTTGATATGTGATAAATGCAATGAATAAATGTGTCATACATTCTGTGATCCAGGTTTTTTAGAGTTTTTTGTGCCTGAAAAAAATTGGTACTGTCTTGATTGCCGTAAATCTAAATTAGTTTATCACAAGCCTAAATGATATTTGACATACTTGTTTAAAATTGATATTATTATTTATTCTATAGCTTAAGAAAATTATTATCCAAATATTAGTTCAAAACAATAGTTATAATATATTAATAATAGTTTAATTAAATTTTAGTTCAAAATTATTAAATATTTTTAATAAATCTATAATTTAATTTATTTGTATCAAAGTAAAAATTGTTGAATAAATTTATCGTCTCTTTATTATTTTAGTTACCATTGTAAATAGATTTTACTGCTTTTTTAATTATATAGTTTCTAAACCTATTTTAAAATGATATACAATTATTATCAATTTATTATTTATGCAAATCCAAACATAAAAATTAGAAATTTTGTTGAATTATTAGTAATAATTATTCTAATTAGACTCAAAGAGTCTTAAGAATGATCTTTATATTCATTATTAGAATAAGGTTTATATAGCTTGATATCTGTTTTAATAATAATTTTATCTACCCTTATTTATGGTATATTATAAATAAATCACTATTTATTTTTATTTAAATAGTTCAACGCCTTATTTAAACCTTCAACTTAAAACTTTGCTCCTTAATTAACAATGGCTTTAGGAATATCCCCTTTTGGATTCATGTGGCCTATCATAATGATGTTTGTTTTTCCATTTGGTAATTTTTTGACTATCCAACCAGCAAATATCATCTCGGCTCTTTAAATTCCTTTGACTAAGGGTGCTTAAGGATGTTCAATTGATTTTGCTACAAGATATTAATTAATAACTTACAAATAGCCAAATAATGACCATCGCCCAATTTATAATTTCTTGTAATAATACAGAAGTCTCTAGGATCGACAATGAATACAGGTGGTTTTCCTCTTGCATAATATATAGTTGTATTTTGATCGAGCTTCTCAAGAACTCTTCCCTTAAGAATATTCCAATATAATACCTCCTCGAAATTGGAATCATATTCCTTCTTTTTAGTCATATTTGTAACCAAGTTGATAAAGGCTTCTGGATCGACATCAACTTATGCTTCAATTCTGTTGATTTTTAACTCGTTTAATGGATTCATCTTTGTATGGATAGTGCAACCATCTTTAACCGAATCCTGAACCCATTGATTCTCTGGCGTTAACTCTGATAGTCCTAATACTTTTGATTTGGTTTCTTCAAGGAGTTGTTCATAATTGGTATTCATCTGGGATTGTTGATAATGATATTTTCTATTCTTTATAGCGTTAATTAAATTTAAATCAATTTTTATAATCAGAATTTATTAGAAAATGTAAAATACTATAAAATTTATTTATGTTTATAAATTCATCAACTTAATAATGGTTCTATCTTTTTAGGTGAGACTGATAATAGCTTAGTCAAACGAGTATCAAGATTACCAAATGGTAGTTCTACTAAGAGTGAGAGCATCAATCCAAATATCACCGAGAGAAACACTGCACAAACAAATCCTGTAACTAAATCTAACTAGAAAAAAGATGGAGTTTCATAAAAGGTCTCAGTAATTATTACAATTATCATCAAATGAACCAAATACATTGAAAATGATATCTTAGCCATAAATTTAAACAGAGTGTTATTCATAAACTTGCGATTAAATCTATGCTTTAATAATATATCAATACATATCATATGCACCAACTAAATTGGGTAATGTAATCAAAGTCATGGCGAATGTAAATAGACATTTGCTTATGGAGTGATAGAAATTTTAAAACCATTGAGGCCATATTAATTCCATACTGTTGAATTCTTTCTTCCATCCAAAAAATTAAAAGAGCACCAAACCAAAACCTATTCCATAACATACAATCTAGAATAATATTCTACTTCCACTCGTTTAAATTAAGGATTTACAATAATTGAGAATGTTAAAACTTCCACTCCCCTTTGATTATTTTAACTCCCTATAAAAAATACCTAGAAGTAACCCCAAAAAGTAAGGAGGTGCCCTTGCATATGTGCTTACATAATACTTATAGTAATAATTAGGATTATAAGTATTCTTACCAGGAATCAAGAAATTATAATGGATACTTAAATAGTATCCCCATCCTAAACTACCTAAAATCATCAACAAAATTAAGATTTTCGATCCAGTCTTATAATTTAGACAATAAATCATTATTGGGATTAGGCATGTTAAGAATAATTGAAAGTCGCATGTTAAATACCATCCCCATCCAAAACAAAGTTGCCAATCTTCATAAAAGTTATCAATAAAGAATGCATTCTTCCATGCCCCTCCTGGACATTGTGTGGCTCCTTCCTCTAAAAACCATCTAGGTCCACTTCCTAAGTATGGAATTATGTATGAATTAATTGCAATACATAAAAGATAACATGGCCAAATTCTCATTAATCTATGAACTACCGAAATAAAAATAGAAAATGGATATTTCTACAAAGATTATGTTTTCTTATCATCACACATTACATAGCCTAAGAAGAATCCCCCTACCCAAAAGAAGATGTCAACTGCATACATCATATCATATAGCAATATGATACTCCATTTCTTGTATTGTAAGGTCGCTTCTTAGATATAAGTGGATGTGGCTGTCATTTCACACACATGTCCATATACAACCATCATAAATGATATAGCTCTAATACCATTGAACATGGCCAAATTTGGATCAATTGTCTTAAGATTCATAATCTTTTTATAATTTTGAATTATTGAGAAATCTTTAACTATAAGGTTTTAGTTCTCCAAAGGTTCACTTTTAGTAGTAACAGGAGTACTTGCTTATTCATCTTTAACATCATCTCGATCATCAGGAGTATGAGCACTTTAGCAAGCCTTAATAAATCTCAATATAGGATCTATTGAAGCCATGATAATCAATATGATAATTATAGCTGATGTAACATATGTTCCTAATCCAAGATGAGGATAATATGTTAAGGGATTATAGAATCTTAAGGTTGTTGTTTCTAAATTCATCTAACTATAATTTCAAATTGATACCTATAGTAAATTGGCTATTCCACTAACGTTAAGCAAGTTCTTTATGATGATTTGTGCATCTTGAGAATTAAAATCATGCGCAGAGCAAATGTTAGAATGGCAGAATCCATAATTCAATTTGTACAAGATTTAATCTATTTGGACTGAAGTGTATGTCTGATCTTCTCTTAAGCATCTGTCATAATATCCAAACTTCTCGATCCAGTCTCCAGAGATTGAATAGTATGGTAATACGAGTTGCAATTGTTAGTTAATTGGCAGGGATAGTAAATTATTCATTTCTTGAACGCAGACTGAAGTATTATCTTGTGCAAAGCTGAGCACTTCTAAAATCAGGAAAGACAATATATACATTAATTTTTATAAAAGAAATTATTTTTTGCTAATAATTGGATATATACTAGTAAAATTTCAATTAATTATTAAATTATAATTACAAAAATAGAAATGGATATGATCAGAAATTGGATCATGAATATTATTATCTATATTGATTTATGAAATATTATTATCTCAATTTAATATTATAGCTTTCACCTCTTCAATTCCATACTTAGCTCTGCACACTGGACATGCTCTATTACGATTTTTTTGATTGTCATCAATGCAAGGTTTACAGAACATATGTAAGCATTTCATTAGAATAACTTATTTTGCTCTTTTTTTACATTATTGACAATCAACCATCATTTTTAAAGATGTCAATAGTTCATTATCAGTATCTTTAGATTCTCTATAATATAAAATATCATAATTACAATTTCATTTACAACTTCAAATATTTTAGTTTGCTTTTCGACTTCTCTGCCTTTTTTATGAATTTTACATTGATTGACTCACTCAATTTCTCTCTTTCCTATATAATTTTGCTTTCTTCTAAAATTTTACTAATATCCCATTCTTTTTATAGCAATTTCTGTTAGCTTTCACCATCTGACTTTTGTAACGTTCTAATTGTTTCTTTGTAACTCATTTTTTCACTTTCAACTAGATTTAATAGTTTTTTTTGTTAATCATTCTATTATTGTAATTATTTGATTGTGTCATCTGCAATTTGTAATTTTTATTGAAATTACTATTAATATATAGATTGATGATCATACTTATCTTTCTGTTTCGAACTTTATACGTTCGTCGACCTTCTCTTACATAGCTCTGCTCAAATTCTTTTGGGTTTCATTTACAAGTTTGCTTAGATTCTTATTAGTCTCATTAATAGAATTAAAAGAATTTGAATTATAATCTAATTCGTCAATCAATTGTTGTATTTACTGAAATTTTATAATACTACATATTTACCTTCTTTATATTATTACAATCATTTATCTTTGCCTCCAATTATTGTTCCAATCCCTTCACTTTTTCATCTCTCATCTTGACATACCCAACAAATTCTCGAAATCTTTGAATGAATTCACTAGATTTAGTATTTGCATACTCTTATTCTATTTCATACAACAATTATTTATGTTTTTCATATCTAAGTGTCACTTATTCAATTTTCTCATCCTTAGATAGTATCTTATGAACACTTATATACTATTTCAATTCATTATTTTAATTCAATAATGTCTGTTTCAAATTAATTAATTCAACCAATTGATTTTATGCTTCCTTATTACGTTCTCTGCATTATTACAATTCAATCTTTAGATCCTCAATCATTTTGGATGAATGTTCTACTTAAGATTTCAATTCTTCAATCAAAGTATTCTGTATCTAATCATCACTCTATTTGATCTCTATTTTTATAGTATCTTGCTATGAAAATAAATCTTTTATTTTTTATTCGCACTCCAATTGATACTATTGTAATTACTGTTAGTTTTTTTCAAGTTACTCTTTATTGATTAATTAAGCCTACGATTATGAGAACAATTACCTATATCAATTACTCCTCGATGTTGAATAGCGTAGTTGTTAAATAGTTATTTTATTATACTAATTCTGCAAATAATTGAGTTTGAAAGAATTGTTCTTCAGGCAACTTCTACTGCAATTTCAACTCCTCAATCTAATGGAGCAATTGAGCCTTCTCTTCCGAAGATTCCTAGATCAATTTCTTTATATAATCTCTAATTATTTAAGTATTTTTTACTTTTGATTAGATTGAGTTTATTAATTATTTTCTTCTGGTGGTGGGATTTCTTATTATTATTATTACAATATTTATTGATGACCATTTACAAGTAAATATTTAATAGAATCAATCTAATTAGCACCACATAGACATTCAAATTTCTCTTGTTAGATATCTTCTTAAGCCACTTTTTTTTGAATTGCCTCCTCATTATAAGCCATAATGATTCGTATTCTTCGAGACAGTTAATTACTCAGTTTTTTATAATGAATCAGTTCCTCCGATTAAACTAGCTCTCGCTCTGTCTATTCTGGTAACTAGAAACTAGATATATTGGGTTGTTGTATACAGATTTCATATTTTAAATCTCCTTCTTTAATTAATCGATTTTAGCAGCCAACATAGTATTTTAAGTTTTCAAAATGTGTTCCCCTAATTCTGTAACTCTCTACTGTTCATTCTTCTTCTTAATTTTCATATTTAAATTTTTAATATTTTATATATACTTTCATATAAAGCTTATAATCAAATGTTTTGGAGCAAAAATTGTATTTCATAGAATATACAAATCAATTTATCATATTCATCCAAAACCAACTTCCATATAGTAATTCCATCCATTTTATAAGGAGGGTAATTTAGAATTAATATTTAATTTAAATAAACTACTGAAATAAATGAATGACTTCGGAATAAATAACAACAGGTTTCAATAAAAGGCTGTAAACAGAAAACAAGATTCAGTAGAAAGGCAAAATAATCTTGAGAAGCAATAACCGAACAAGATTTGGTAACAATCTTAAAATGACTCCCAATTTACGCAGGATAGGAAAGAATCAATGACAGTCATAGGTACACCAACTCCAATAATGGAATGCCATGTACCAGTTTTTGAGCCAGCAAAATTCATTAATGATATTACAAATAAAAAAAAATGAATAATGATTTATTATCATAACTCGATTCTCTGAACCATCATACTTTTCATAGATTCTTAGGTAGTTACTTATTAGTCTTTTTACTCTTTGTTAATATACAAAAAGAATGGGGTATATTAATAAAGAAAAGAATCAGAATAAATAATTTAAGTATTAAATTTTGATAAATGAATTTTAATTTACCATAATCATAATCATAATAACAATAAAATAAAATTGTCGATTAATTAGCTTTAGAATGCTCACTGTTTAATTTGACTAAAAAATGCTTTGTAATATGTTCATAAAAGATTAAAAATCACTATAATATTAATTCATTATTTGAAATTGAAGAAAACAAAAGGGAAAAAATGATTGAATAATTTGATAATTGTATTGATAGCTGTTCATTTGAGTATGCATAATTTAGAACTCAGGTGCGTAAATAATTTGTAGATGATATGACCAAAGTTAATGATAAAAATGATTAAGTCTATAATTCATTTTATAAGTGAGATTAATAAATGACATAAACATATATTCATTTTTCACATATACATTATTATTTAATATTTCTTATGAATTTTCATTATTCAATTAAAAATTTATAGATAGTTGAAATTATTTCAAAATAAGAATTATCTATTGTTTTCTTAATTATATTTGATCAAACATTGTCCAATTGAATCACTTCTATTATGAGTACTAATTTAAAACATTATCTAAGTCATTTTACAAATTTTATTTGTTTTAATTTGATTCCTTTGCTTTTACACTTTTTTAATTATCATCTTATGAGAATTTAATATAACCATTGCTATCACAGTTTGTAATCTCCTATTATCTTTATTCTAAATCAATTTAATCGCTCAAATCGGGTTCAACAATTAAGTTATAGTTCGGAGGCTCAACTTTTTTTTTGACACTAATTTAATTAGTTTTAGACAAGGATTTACCTTATAATCCTTAAAATTAAGGAGAATTTGGCTCAATTTAATCAGCTTCGACTTCATTGTCTAATAAAAAAGTGTGCTTAATCATGGTAGATTCTTTTTTGGGAATCTTTTATGTATTCTTGGAAATAGTATTAATTTAGGACTTTCTCAAAAAAGGATGATTGAGTAATTCATCGACTGTCGCCCTTTTTTTGGGATCAATTTATAAACAAAGTGATACAAAGTGCCTAGATTCAGCCGATATCAACTATGGAGGAATAGAAGGAGGTTTAGTTGATTTTCCAATTCTGACCATGATTGCAATCGCATCCTTTAATTCTGAGAATGGAGGTAGACCTGTGGCCATTTCAATAATGGTACATCCTAAACTCCAAATATCTGCCTTTTTTCCATATTATTCTTAATTGATAACTTCAGGAGCCATGTAATTGGGAGTTCCACAGATAGAACCAAGAGTATCATGAGCAAAATCACTCAATTATTTACTGCTTCCAAAGTCTATAAAGAATTACACCTTATTTTACCAGCCAATTTGCACTTCCCAGAATTGTCAATCAAAATATTACCTCCTTTAATATCTCGATGAATCACATTTTTTGCATGTAAATAACTCAAACCTAATAATATTTATCGTAGATATGTCTTAATTAGACTTTCTTTAAAACAACCAAACCTTTCAAGCATGGATTACACCGAACCTCCACTAACATATTCAAGAAAAATATTAATAAATTAATTCTTTTGCTCACAACCTAAATATCTGACTATGTTTGGATGTTGTAATTTGCTAAGCATTTAGATTTCCTTCTGTAACTATATAACTCTCTATAAAATAGGCAAGTGACTCTTACTTGGTCATTAAAATTCTGTATGAAAACCTATTTGACTGCCATAATTTAACCATTCTTTTGAAGTCCCATTACTACTTTTCCAAATGCACCTTATCCAAGAACTTCCCCTTATACCCAGCTGTCAGCGCTAAAAATAATGACTTATATACTCTAAATTTGAATGGAGGGAATCTTTATCTTACTCATCTTCTGAATGATTCAATATTATAACTTAAATATCTTGAATAAAGGATTGTTTAATGTCTTGTTTGTTTTCTTCAACCTAATTATTTAGAGTATATCCATATGTTTTTAGGGACTTCTTTTTTTTAATGAGACAACATCCCATTGTTTTAATTAAAGAAATTTAATGTTTGGCAAAACAATTAAAATTTAGGGATCTGTTCTTTTAAAGGGAAAGGACAAGGATAACTTTGAGACTACACTTAGGAAATAATTCGATGCACTAACAGTCAAAAAGATCTTTGAGGATTCTGATTCGTGTATGCAAGAGAAGCTGAATTGGATCAAAGATGATAATTTATCATACAGATGAATATCCTGCCTTTGTTGATGGTACAGGGAAGGAGGATTATGTTCCATCATGTAAATATTTATTGAGATATTCATTAGTGTTTGTTGTTGCTGAGTATCCAAGATTAATTGGTACTTTGATATTAAAAGATGGTATTGATGAAGCAGCAGTACTCAAGGCAGGAAAGGTTTTATGGACTTAAATAAGTAATTAAGAGAAATTGGGAGAATTCAAGAAGGATGCTATTAAGAAGTTGGTAAATCATGAAAAAAAGTAATTACAATAGAATATCTAGATTATTGGCAATTATAGCCAATTGGTTGTGATTCAATAGATTTAAAGAAAGAATAGGAGAAGGGAATAGCTGGATATATTTTGCATAAACAAGGGGATAAATTATGGGAGCATGGTCCAAATGAATTGGGTTAACCAATTGAACCTGAAAACTTTGATGAAGTCTAAGAAATGAAAACATAAAACTATGAGGAATACTCAGATGATGATATTGATTTGAATATGATTGCACCTGGAGCTAAGAAACCAGCAGCTAAAAAAGAATAGAAAAAGGCGGCCAAAGCTAAGCCAGTTTAATAATAACAGTAATAGCAATAATAATAAGTTAAATAATAATTCTCGGATGATAGTGATGATGATAATAAACACAAAAAAGGTGGTGCTTAAAATAAGTAATAATAATAGAAATAGTAACAATAACAATAAGTTGGAGGTGTTCCAACAAAAGTAATGGATGAATACATAAAGGAATCATTTTTAAATGCTTGTAAAATCGGAATTAATGATAAATAATTGCCATTAGAAGGATAAGTATTCTATGAAAAGTATATGCTTGCATTTAAGAAACCAGGAATTGAATTAGATCTAAAGAATTCATCATATTAAAAGATCGGAAAGTAAATTCTTATGTATATTTTGATAGATTTTTGTAGACAATGTAAAAGGAGGGTTTGATTGAATACAAGGAAGTCAAAAAGGGAGGATAACCTTCAATAACTAAAATTGATAGATAACATGAATAAATTACTGATTGGGAACCAACCGTATTAACGGCAGCAAAGAAAGGTGATGAAGAGAAGGAAGAAAAGAATCAGGTTGCTTAGTACAAATAGAATATCGAGGTCACTGATCTCTTTTTACCAGTTGGTCCTTTGGTGAAACTATTCGCTAAGGAAGGGGAAGACAATTAAAAAGTTGAACCATTAACAAGAGAATAATACATATCACAATTGAACTAATACATAAAGAAGAATTTGAAATAGGAGAAAAAGATGATAGTGTTAACAGAAGATTTGGTTAATGAATTAGGAATAAAAGAACATTAATCTGAAAGTGAGGATGAATAAGAAGAATAAGATAAGGAGAAAGATAAGGAGAAAGAAAAGGAAAAAGAGAAGGAGAAGGAATAGAAAAAAAAATAACCATAAAATTAGATTACTTTAGAAAGACTACACAAGAGAATTGAAGAACTTATGTAGAGGAGTTACAGAATTAAAAATTTGAGATTAAACTAAAGTGAAGTTAAATAAGGTGAATTCAAGGGGTTACAATTGATAGCTGAGAAATAACACAATCAATAAATAAATAGAGTTGTAGGTTTGGAATATTTTGGATTTGATCATTAAGGGAAGATCGAAGACATTTATAGTTTTGCATATGTGGTTAAGTAAATGCAGGAAACATTTCATTGTGGTATTAGCATTCATGATGGAGCTGGTAAAAATGCAGGAAAAGTATAATTTATATTTTAATAAAAGGAAATCTTGTTACAGAAGAACGTTTTTGACTAGTTGCCTGATTATTGTGCCAATATATTGAAAATAGATAGTAGATATATCCATGAGTAAAATAAATTGGGTGGAAACAAGAAAAAGTAAGAAGGTATGACCAGGTAGTGAAGTCATTAATTCATTTAAGTGAAGTCATCATTATATAATATAAATTTAAAATAGGTTAATCAATTATTATAAAATTATTTCATGTAATACAAAATACTACTAGTGTTATTAGCAACAGCCTGTTGTTTCAATTATCTTCCTGAAGTAGAGATTGATTTGAGTGCACCTCCAAGACAAAGATGGAAAGAGTCTGTCAGAACTATACTGGATTTATACGGATATGAGAATTCATTTGGCCCAGTTTTCTAAGCTCATAACGAAGAGACCTTCAGTATTTTGGCTCCTGAAGATTATATTACAATGGCAACTGCAATAAGAAAGAATTTCCCTGAATATTCGTTAGAAATAGAAGGAATCGTTGAAGAAATTCAATAGACCAGAAGTTACCTTTGAGTATATGGCTGCTTGGGCATACTTCCATGAAATCGGACACATTACAAGCAATGTTACTGAATGCACAGGAGTGTTATTATCAATTGGAGATCAAGTAATTCATGGCAGAAATATGGATTAATACCCAGGTTAAGCAAGAAATATCGTATTACACTTGACAATTAAGAAAGATGGAAAATATTTAGGAGAATCAGTTGATTGGTATTGGTTCAAAGTTGGATTTGTTACTTTGTTGAAATACAACGTCGCTTCCCTTGAGGAGAATTGGAGGTTTGGTAATCCATTAAGCAAAGATTAACTCTTGACTTTCATTAAATAAGGTGTACCCTCATTAGCATGGGCATATAGAGAAGTTTTAGTAAATGAAAAACTGAACACCTTCGATAAGGTAGTATCATATCTTGAATAAAACAATGTGGCATGTGCACTTTACAATATTATCGGAGGAACAGGAAAGGATCAAGGAGTGATCATTTCAAGAGATCCATTTGAGAAATTTCCAACTATATCTTTGAGTAGTTCAAATCAAGGATCGAATGGTTACAAGTATTTGGTTTAGACAAATTATGATCATTGGCTACCAGATCCTGTAGAAGATCAAAGAAGAACCATTGGAGAAGACTTGTTAGCTAAAATGTAAAATAATCTGTTAAATGAATTTGGCGTGTATGCTGTTATGGACACTTATCCTATCCATAACGAAGGGACTTTCTATACAGTCATCATGAATGCTAAATACAACAGATTAATAGCTTTTGGATAACCAAGTATCACATTATTTGATGATGAATGATATAATAATATAAAAATGATGAAGTCATCATAGACAATATTATAAAATCACTTTTATTTAAAATATTATTTATAATAATAAGATGAAGCTTGCCATTATCTTTGTGATATTAGCCACAACCTTGGCTTACACAATAGTTCCAACCTTAGATATAGATCTAGATGGACCAGCTAAGTAGAGATTCTAACCAGCAGTTTATTTAATATTAAATACATACGGATTTGACGCTTCATTTGGTGCTTTCTTTTCGTATCATAATGAAACTACCTTCAAACATTTAACATCAAAGGACTATGACGTATTAGCTGCCTCCGTAAGGACTCATTGGCCTTAATATGCTTAAGAACTGGAAGGAGTTGTCGAAGCATTTAATAGACCTGATGTGACATTTGAATATATGGCTGCATGGGCTTATTTCCATGAAATCGGTCACTCCTTATCAGTCAATATTAGAGAATGCACTGCTATGTTATTATAAACTAAAGACGGTATTATTCATGGTAGAAACATGGATCAAGCTCCAGATGCAGGTAGATTACTTGTTGTTCATTTCAAATTCATAAAAAACGGTCAATACATTGGTGAAGCTGTTGATTAATATTGGTTTAAGACTGGTTTTGTCACTATGTTCAAATATGGAGTTGTTTCCTTGTAAGAAAATTGGAGATATGGACACTATTTGCCATTATTTATGTTATTGAAAAAAATAGCAGCAGGAACAACATCATTAGGATGGACATTTAGACATGTAAATATTTTTAAAATTATTTAGATCCTTGATTCCGACATTAATAATTTCGATTAAGCCGTTAATTATTTAGAAAATGTGATTGTAGCATGCTCACAATACAATATTGTTGCAGGTACCGGATTCAATTAAGGTGCAATCATTTCTAGAGATCCAATCTCAACTTACCCAACATTGTTCTTCAATAACACTGGATTAGGAAACGATCAATTCTAATATATGGTTTAGACTAATTATGATCATTGGAAAAAAGATCCAAAAGGTGATTAAAGAAGAACAATTGCAGAAAATTTATTGGCTAATTTAACCAGCACTATGCAAAATGAATTAGGAGCATATAGTGTTATAAACACTCTATCCAATTCATAATGAAGGTACCTTTTACACAGCAATTATGAATGTTGCTACAGGCAGATTCAATTATTTTGGGTAAGAAGGAATAACCCCATTTAATGATTTAGCGTGATTCTTTTTAATAAATCATAATATAAAATCAATAGTCATTATTCTGGTGCTATCTACTTTTTGTTTATAATCTTTCTGGCCTGTTTTCTAAATTTTAATACATCTTTGTATGCATTGATCTGAGTTGCAAAAGACACTGGTTTAACTTCTAATATAGTGGGATCTTTTTTCTTGTATCTTTTAATAAATTCTGCAGGATATAGAAAATATTTTATATAGAGATTCATATTGCTCAGAAATTTAGGATGATACTTAGTTGATATTTGTAAACTCGCTAAATTGTTATGAGGTTAGTAGAATTTAAAATCTTTCTTATTTTCAAAATTTTCCAATTCCTAAAAATTATTGTTTAATTAATTATTAAGTTCTAAAACTAATAAGTCTAATTTATTTTGATCTTACATGGTTAATGTGTTGCTTTTCCTTTGTATTCTCTACTAAATCAAATTAAGATTTTATTTTTGAACTACCATTGTCTATTATTTTGGTTGTACTCTGGGTTTTTCTACTTCTTTAGTAAACTTCAATTATTTTAATCTCTTTATAAAGGTGAAGGCTTATTAAAATTTCACTTTAACCTTTTTGGCCTTGTCTTCTTCTTAATGATTAGCACTTTGATTGCTCTGAATATTATCAGCCACTTTTTTTAATGCTGATTTCATAAAGTTCTATTTCATAGGACTGACTGCAGGCTTGATGGAATCAAGCTGTTAACTAGATAATTAAATTGAAGTCTCGTTTTTTTATTCTGAATCTTGAGATTAGGCTTTTTCATCAGAGTGTTAATTATTGACATTAATTGAATTCTATTAAGCAAAAATAGATAATTTAGGTTATTATTGAGTTTCAATTATATACGATGATGTTCTGGGAATCATTGGGGAAATACTAGATTTTCTAGCTTATAGTTTTTTCATTTGATTGATTTCTAATAATCTAGTGGTTCTAGTTTGTCTAGGAAATTTTTATGAAGAACTAAGTGATGGTTTGGATAATTCTAAAACAATTTCGTCTTTTTCATCATCCGAACTAGATGAATGTTATGGAGATCCTGAAACATTATTATTATTGCTGGGACTAGTTTAGCCATTCTCTAAATCCAAGTCATAAATTTAAGTTTCTTACCAAAAATCATCCTAAATATATTCAGCTGTCTCTTTCAATACTTTGAAATCTAGCAAAGCATTATTATATATGAACCGATTATCATATTTATTCGCATGTTTTCTAATTGACTTATCCCTTACTTATTCTTTAACAAAGTTATAAGATTTAATAATTCTTTCTTTATCTGGACAAAAGTGAAGTAGAGGACAATCTTTTGATAAATGCTCTCTTGATTAACATACATAACAAGAAATGTCTAAATTCTTAAGAGATTGCTTTGAGAAATTATATAGTAGATCATCTCTAATTTGACAAAACTTTTCTCTGTCTTCCTGAAACTCTTTAAGAATTTTTAAAAAAGCAGATCTAGGTAAAATGAGTAATTTAGTAAATCCAACACTTTTATATACCTCTTTCTACTCTTATCCAGTTATAAATTCATATAATCCAAAGAGACAACCAGGAGTCAATTTATGAAATGTCGTTCCTGGTGAGAAAATTTGATCAGATAATTGAACTTCAACTTCTCCTGATTCTATAAAGGTAAGATAATTATTTTGATAAGCATCTGGTTCTGTGGAATAATCGATAATATTTTCGGGTTGGATTGAAACCGTTCTGATTTTTTTTACTAGAGCCTTCTTGAATTCATAAGAAAAGTTCTTCTAAAAGAGAGAGCAGTTATTGAGAACAACCGAATTAGCCTCAACCATTAGTTCTTCTCTCAATTATTCTGATAGTTATTCTATGATGACTTATTCCTCATTTGATTATTGCGTATTCTCCATTTCCCAATAGTAATTTAAGTATTCTCTGATTTAAAATTGTAATTAAAAGCTGATCTTCTTTTTTGTCATGTAAGTGTTAATAATCCTCAATTTCTAGAGTTTCTGCTCACTATATTTAGAGATCTCATCAATAATAGCTCCCACAGTATTTACACTATATGGTAACTGAATACTAAATATCATTATAAAGATAATGCAAATAGTATATTCTAAATTGGCTGAAATATAATGATTTTATTACATTAAGGAGTTAAATCACCATATCCAACAGTAAACATGGTAACAGTACAAAAGTAGAAGGATCGTAAATATCTTTCAGCCCAATTATTATCGTCTAATTGATATTTGTCTATCCAACTAGATCCTAGATATTTTAGACCATAATTGCCTACCTAAATATATATTTAATATCATACTCCATACCAAATGCAAGTTGCAACATGTAGAGATGAAAATTAAGAATATTATCAATTTTACTAGTTCTAAAATCGAGGCAGTAACTTTAGTCAAATTCAGCACTTCCTCACTTAATCTGATTAATTTTGTAATGTTTTAATACTAACCCACAAAGGTCAACAAACCAACCAAAATGTATTGCTTCTCTTCTCGATATTCATCCCAATTTAGAAATATTAATACAAATAAGTATATTACTGATATGGCATCGCAACCGTATGCTTTACTTATGACATGATTAAAGATTTTAGATCTTTCATTTACAATAAGTCCAAATTGATAATAGGCAGTGTTGAAATTGAGAAGAATATCCAGCATCAATAGAATTGTCATAATAACTGTTAGGATAAATAATTAATGTGAGTATAAAAATTCTTGTTCAAAAGTTATATCCATTGGGATTAAAATAATGAAGTATAATCTGGATATTGATAGACAACTATCCCATATAATCTTTTTTCTCTCTTCCGGCTGAAATATCCTGATATTTTGATCCCAATATTCAATTTTCTATTTAATCGTTTAACCTATTCTATTTATTATTTTTTCTATTTTCTAACTAAATGAGGGTACCTTTGGTAGATTCAGATTTTTAATCATTCCCAAAGGTCTGAAATTAAATTACCTTTAACCAAATATTTTAGGGTCGTAACTAGAAGCAGAGTCATTCAAAATATCTAAGTGATGCTTTTGCAATCTACTGAAAAGATGCATAGAACGCATAAACCTATTAAAAAACCTTCTAATCTAGAAATATCTCATCATGTCCTCTCCTACAGTTGATTATGAATTTCGCAATTTTGAATAATTAGTTTAAAACGATGTCTGTGTGCCTGCATGAGGTGTGGGTTTAACAATTAATATTTCATTTGTTCTACATCCTTCATAACTAGGTGACACTATAGGACTCATCATAAAACTAAGTTATTAATCTTTAGAATTAGGTGGTGGTATTGCATCTTCATGCTTTCTTTTTATTTCTGGAACTGGAAAACCATGTTCCGATAATGATTTCTAACTAAGGAAATCAGCATATTCATCCTTTGGTAAATCGTTGATGATGAAGTTATTAACTCCAAATTCAGTTTCTAATGCCAGATGCATAAAGAAAATTAAAATGAAACCAATTAATTAATATTATACTTTACCATTTTTAAAACTAAATATGTTTCCAACACTTACACCGATAGCCTATCGCTATCTCTCACATTATTGAACTTGCTTTTTAACAGCTAAATTCAAAATCTTAATACCTTAATAAAACATTAATTCATATTAATTTCAATATTTGAGCTATCATATTATTAAACGATTATGTTCATTAATCTATATGTACTTAAATTAATTCTGTTAGAATTCTTTTACAAATGTTTTTATCTCCATAAGGAATAGGCCATAATTAATAAATATTTATCTTTATGAAGTCCCTAATCGAAAAAATAGATCAAAGGTGCAATCTCCATGATGAAGACTTAGAAGTGCAAGACATCATAGCCAAATTTATTACGAAATAGCAATCCCATCTGAATTTTATATAAGAATCTCAAGTTCCTAATTATCAATGCCAGAACAAACTTGAAAACGGTTAGATAGTCTTTCAATGTTTTACATGTTCACAAAATGTAAATCACGTTATTTGTCAAGAATGTTTTGATTTTAAGAGTCATACAGGTATCAAAATATATTTTAATTAGGCCATTAATTTGTCCCCACCACCACCAACACTGGAGGTTAATGTGATTGTGGAAATTCTGATGTGCTTCAGCAATCTCTATGCAATACTCATAATAAAGAACAATAATAAGGAATCAACCAAAATTTATAAATTCCCAAAGATTTATGTTAAAATCTAGAAAACTTTATTAGAGCTTGTGCAACCTTGTATGATTAATATTCAAAACAAATTCTCAAGTAATAAAATTAATTTCCAGAGACAGCAGTTAAACTCTATAGATTTAGTTTGGATTTCGATTTGCCAAATCTCAAAAAGCTAATTGAATCAAAATTACAGATTGCCACATACATTACACTATTATCCAAATGTCAATTTTTATTTGAAGTATTCTATCTTGCCTTAGAATATTTTATCAATGATAACCCAACTTTGTAACATTTTGTTACTTATTTACTCCAATTACCTCTCTAGCCTGACTCATAACAAACCATCTTAGAATCCATAATTCAATCTTATGCAATATCTGAACCCATTTTCCAACTCTTTGATCTTTCTATTGATTTAACAGAACTGATCTATCGGCTTTTCAAAAATTAGTTTAAATAGTTATTCACTTAATTATGTTTGAAAAAATAGCAATCCTTAGTTTCCTATCATAAAGTAATAGTGACCCCAAATAATGACATAATTCGAGAATTAATTAATGATATCTACAATTCAATTCAAGATGATGAAGATTTTATTATACAAGATGATAACACAATTCAAGATATAATGAATTAAGCCGAACATTATTTTCAAGCTCTATTTACTTCAAAATTAATAAGTGTTGAAGCAAGAGACTCCTAACTTCTTACTTGGATTACCTCATTTTAAGATAAATAGATTCTGGAGGAGTTCATATTTGGAAATTATACATTTGAACTATTCAAAGCAATTTAGAAACAGTATTAATATTTCCATTAAGCAAATGAATATATTATTTCGGCTCCTGTTCAGCCTCTTGAATTTATCGATACTTAATTATAATAAAAAGATTTTGGGGAACTCTGCATGATCCAACTATAATAAATCTTTGGAAAGGATTTTAATTATTTTTTGAATCAGAATGTCAATTAGAAATTTTTAAGAAACTATCAAATGAACGATCACATCATAACAACTTTAATTAATAGTTTAAGTGAAGCCTTTCCAGCTGTGTATGAATCTTATAAACAAGAGAACAACATTCCACTCAATGCTTATACTAAAGAAGATATGAAAATTTATATTAATTATTAAGGATATGCATTGGATATTGTAAATTTGTCTATTCAGAATCTATTTCAATCTAAACTAAGCACAAAACAATTTTAAAAGAATTTTATAGATTTGTTGATAGTGAAATGTTATAATTTTATCAAACTCAAACGAAACATCTTTTCATCCTTTGATTTTGAAATCAAAAAACTTTATAATTAGTATTTGAATAACTTGAATTAAACAAATGATTAAAAGAGCATCATAATAATCTCAATGTGCTTACATCTCTTTAAGAATGCATCACTATTGGATAAAATGTTTATCATATTTTTATATGTACATTTTTGTTAAAAGGAATATAAAAATCCAGCTGATTTTAGATAATATTTATCAGAGCTATTAGAGGAGCCAATAGAAATTATCAAAAATAATCTACAAAAAATTTTATTAAGATGCATTTAAACCTTCACAACAGTATTTTACACTTAAGATGCAGAAATTATCAATAATTATTATGGATTTAGTGAAACTTCCATCAGTTTTAAATCTGAGTCAATTGACACAGCATATGGTAAGTTGTACCTCTTTCTATTCGATTAAATTGGACTAACAGATATCTATTAAGCATTTCAAGTGATTTAGCTTCCAACCATGGTTTAAACATGCGAAATAACTTAGTATCTATTTATTTCTATTTTAGTGATTACTTTATGAGAATGATGACTTCAGATATGGATGTGTTCAATATATGCATTACTTATTTTGACAAAACTGATTCTTTACCAAACATTTTATAACAAGCGTTATAGAAAACAATATAAAACATTTTATGTAGTTCCTCTTACTATCTTTACTCAACAATAATAAATAAATTCTAATCCATCGGAATATAAGTAACATCCAATTTAGAAAAACATATTTTAAAAATTTGCAATTTTGACACTTCAATAAATAAACTGACTTTAAATAAAGCATACTAATAGATTTATGATCCTAATTTATTAATTTTAGATAAAAATTTTAAAGCAGTCTTAATAGAAAAGCTACAGAATAGTTAGGCGACTTAAAGAATGCTTACATTCGGAAATGGCCTCGAATATGACATCCAACAATTTAATTAACCAGATTATCAATATCTTAGAAAGCTTATTCTTTAAGTAATAAGTTCTGTTCCATCCTTATTTTAAAGCTTTAATTTAATCAATTCAGGTTTGATAGAAACGGAAACTTTCTTGTAATTTATTTACTATTAGCTTATGTGTGCAAATTACTTCTATAATCAAGAACTAAAAGCTTAGACATAAAATATACTTAATTAATTACACAACTTAAAAGGGAATCAAAGACTATAGGGGCTGTAACATCACTTTGAGCAGTTAATTTTATTATTGTAGAAGTAATCATTTAATGGTGATATTCCTAATCTTTCTTTTTCTAATATATCTAAACAAAAGGCATAAAAATCTAAATCTTATTACAAACTTAAGTATGATAAATTGAAAACCTCAAAATCTTTATTAAATTTAATGAATTAGCATTTCCCAAGTGATTCAAAATTATAACAATGTGATTTTTGTTTATAAGAAGTTTAATCAAACAAAGTTTTACTAATCTTCTTATCAAATAGAATACATTCAATCAATTATTCAATCGTACCCTAACTAATCGAAGAAGCATAAAATACGACAAATTATTCTCCAACAATCTCAATTTAAAATTGCTATCATAAATATCATGCACATTGTTTTGAAGAGGCATTTCAAGATATTCTAAATAATAAATCTTAAGGTATTCCAGAATGGCAAAAATATGCTTGTCCAATATGTTTACATTGCTTTAATGTCTAAATAACAATCAATGAAGATATCAGTCCATCATAATTGCAATCATTCAACTAATCTCTATTATTTATCGTCAAATAATTAGGAGAATAATAAGCAATAGTTTAAAAATATTAATCAAATGAATTTTACATGTTAGTAGAAATATACATGTAGATACTAATTAATTTAATTTAAAATTTATTTATTAATGTTTAAGAGTTCTAGAGATTATAATAGCATTTAATACTGAAATAATTAATAGTATTCTTAGGTTTGACAATAGACAATTTTAAAGTTTGTGGATTCATTCATGATATAGATTATCAATTTTAATCTGACAAGTCTATTTTAATCAATCTATTAGATGCCATAGATAAACATATTCTTAAAGCATCAAATAAGACATTATTATAAGCTGAAGTTCTAAAACTAGCAACCAAATTTTAACATAGCTATTCATAATAAATGGAGATTTTATGTTAATGCTTTGGAGTTGAAATTGAGAAGAACAATAATTAATAATTATAATTATAGGATAAATTTGCTGAATATTATGTAATATTGTAAAACCAACTAAGAAATTAGATAATTAATGTTTTGGGCGACAATTTTTAAAAATTTCATGACACATTCTTTCCAAAGTTATGTCATTATTGTAAATCATATAATGAATAGTTTTCAGATGATATACTCGTCTGTGTTTTATGTTCAAAAGTGTTTTGCTTTAAGAATTGCTCAAACTTTGAATATGGGAACCTAAACATGCATGCATTAGAGGAACACAATTCCTCATCATTTTATGTCAGCTTGATAAGTGGAAAGCTAACTCAAATTTAAGTGCCTCATGGAAATTATTCATAAAGGATATTGTATTCTAACAAAAGAAATGGAAATCCAATAAGAAATGAAAGTTATAATCTTCTTAATGGAAATTGGAAAGATTTTGAGATAAGTCAAATTAGAATTAAAGAAATAGCTGATGTTATTGTTTATAATAACTATTAAACAGGATTTGCACTGTTGCAAATTAGTGCTGACCATTTTTATTATTAAGGGGAGTTATGAGTTAATATTTTAAATAAAATTCATTAATAATATTATTCAGTTTTTTGTCTATTAATTTTAAAATAAAATATATAAAAAAATGGAAAAACTAAAGATTAAAGATTTGCTTTTTTAAATAAATTAAAAGAATATTAAAATCCTAAGATATAAATTTATGAATAAATATCAGAATTATATATAATAATAATATTAAAACCCTTCTATCATTCAATCAAAATATGAGTGATATAAGATTTACATAGCAATCTCCTAATCGAAATTTTAACCCCATGAATTCTTCTATGTAATTCATACCTGATATTAATTTTGAAAACTAATCTGAGGACTAAATTTCTCCAAAAAAGGAAATTATGAAAAAAGGAATTTTGAAGACCTTTTATTATTAGGTACTATGAGATATAGACATAGGATATCAAAAGAAGGAAGTTGATAGGATGTAACATATATGTTAATCAAATGAATGAATAGTAATTATAATTATCTAAAAGAGGAAGTATATTTTATTGCAATAACAAAAGTTGCTTGTAGAATATGTATGAGTGAGGAAGAGACTTCCAGATTTATTATGCCTTGTGCATGCAAGGGAAGCTTACAATACGTACATGAAGAGTGCTTAAAACTTTGGATCCTTTAGAAAAATGGGATAAATGATGTATTTCAGGACAGAGTATGTTTTAAAAGAGTAATTAGATTAAATGTGAATTATGTTCATAAAAGTTTAGTATGAAAATGCAGTTGCAAAATCATTTTGACAAATCTAGATTTTGGGATGTACCAAAGCAATAAAAGATATGTTGGCTTATTTAACTAGTCATGATAAGTGCTATAATTTGTTCTATAGTTGGTATTGCTTCATACTATTAAGTGTTACTAAAATTTGTAGGGTTCTCTAGCATAGGTGTTGATGCGGTCATGACAATTTTGATTGTATTGTGCTTAATAGTGATAATTAAATTTGGGATGGGCGTGTTTCAATTTCATTTAGTAGAAATGATTGAGAATTGGACTATAAGTAACTACAGAGCAAGAAAAGAGACAAGATAGGGTAGCATCTTTTAATTATAATCTTAAATGGGAAATAGTGGAAATGAAAGTCCTTTGGCTAAGAAGAAAAATGCGTAAGTTCATCCGAATGGACCAAATGTCTTATAGGTTGTTTAGATCAGCTAATTGATTTCTAGTCCAAACATATCAGAACAATGAAAATATTTTAATTATTTATTTGCTTAAAATCGTAATATTTCGTACTAATGAGTGATGATAGACATTAGGCAACTACTCCAAATACAAATTTCGTAGTTTTGAATACTTCTGATCAAGGAATTAGCGAAAATGTTATATTGAAAACATAGAAATCAAGATCAAAAATATTAAAGACTGTTTATTCTAGAGTAATATTATGAATTAGACTAGAGGATTTGATCAGAAAGAAAATTGTTGGTTGTAGAATATATACAAATGAGATAGTTGAAACAATTCAATCAGAGCTTAGTATGATATCAATAAATTAGAAAAAAATTGCAGAATCTGCATTTAGGATGAAGAATCTTCACAATTCATTTCGCCATGTAAATGCAAAGGTTCCGCTTAATTTGTACACGAGGAATGCTTAAAAATGTGGATATTAGAATAATTCGGTGTAAATAAGATATACAATAAAAATGTAACTCATTATATATTTTAGTTAATTTGTGAAATTTGCAAACATAAATTAGATTACAGAGTAAACTTTGTTGATCGATTTGATATTTGTTAATTTAAGAAACTAAAAAGGACAACTAAGTGCTGCTGGATAATATAACTAGTGTTTATAGCACTTTGTATTTATGCTTCAATTTCTATCATTTCAAGATTCGGAATCAATTCATTATCTACAATATCTATAGTAGTAGTGATATGCTTGATACTCCTTGTGATAGCAGTCAATCTCTGTTTCAGTGTTATACAAGCGCATAAAGTGGAGATGATTGAGAATTGGCAATTTCAGAATTATAAACCCTCAAATAGAGCTTTACATGGCAAACGGCAAATCCCTAGCAAATTTTTGAGAATGAATCAGATACATTGTCTTTGAGTATAGATTCCTTCGATATTTTTGTTAGAAACATATAATATTAAATTAATTATTAATTTATGTCGAAATAGCAATGGACACTATTGACTACGGACACCTAAAAACTATAATTATTTGGTATGCAAGCCAGAGTCACGACAAATTATGGTGATGTGTTTCAAGGACTCATATATTATTGTGATGAATCAATCATTATATTAAGTATGAATGAAATTGCAATTAAATAGAAAATGAAGATGACTTATTTTTAATTAATCAGCAATCAATACAAGATCTATAAACCATTGATATTTAAGATCCTAAAGTATGCGTTCCACTAAGCGTAGTAAACATTATAGAATTTGTTGGCTATCGATTTGGCAGCCATGGCTCAAGAGATGATAAAGAAGGAAATGAAGGAACCCCATTAGCAATTATTTGATCATCTATAAAAGTTGTACAGAGATGTAGATTGGAAAGACTAGGAGATCATTATTCCATCTATTTCAATCCGAATTTCACCGCCGTATAAATCAAGTAATATTGTGAGTGATCTATCTATTAGACAATATATCAGGAGAAAACAAGTTGGGAGTTGAAAGACTAAGGAAAATTGTAAAGTATATAGTAATGAACTTTTTATGTAGGTTGATAAATATGCCAAAAATTTTTGAATATAGTTAAACATTATATAGATAAATATAATATTTTTACATTGCAATTTTGCAATATTTATTTTTATGAATAATCGAGAAGAGGAGAAGCAGACCCAATAAATGGATGATACGTAAATATGTAATTTAAGTAAGAGCAAATAATAATGATGAGGAGTAGAGGTAATAATATTTATAGGATTTGCAAAAACGAGTGAAACAATCAAGAAAATAGCCTGATTGCTTTGAATGCTGTTTTGCATATTGGTTGTTTATCTTTTTAGGATTTGTGTTTAAATAACTCTTCTTAAACAAAATTGATGAAACACCTGATGGTTGTGACTTCATTGGATAAATTATAACAGTTCTGTTAATTTTGTTTTCACTTTCTGCTTTTTGTAGATGCATAGACGGTTGCTGCATTTTAATACCCTGCAAAAATACTAGTTGTTTTCATTTATCATTGAGATTTCACGATCTGAATAATGATATCAATTATCAGACATGCAAATGGAGCTTGATTATATTGACTGTTATTTGGCTACTCAATTATAGCTGCATTGTATTTTGGCCGATGTTTATTTTCCTATTGATCACCTGGATATTGATATTAGTATGGAAGAGAATGGAAAATGAATGATAGATTTATTGAATATTAATTTTAAAACGAAAAAGAAGTAAAAACGATTTCTAATAATAATATAAATTATGATTAAGGCAATTCTCATCTGTGTCTTATTATTATCAGTTACCGCAGGACATGTAAGAAAAACACACAAAGCAGTTCATAATAAAAAAGCTAGAACCTTTAATAGTGCTTTCTTTGAATTTTAGAATTTGGGCAATCAAGATTATCATTTGAGTGCAAAAGAAGCCTGTAATTATTTAATTCTCTATGTTTTCGTTAGAACATTGGGCCCAAATTACAACAGACGTAGAGAGTTCAACCAAAAAACACACATCATTCACAGAAACTCATTCTGAATATGTTCCAGGAATTGTCGGTGAAGTAGTGGATCTTTCAAATAATGCCGGTGTTATTTCCTATACAGCCACAGATATTAACGGAAATATTCTTTAATCTGAATCAGGAAACGATTTGGCTAGTAAAATGAATGCAGCCTATCTTGAAGTGACTTCTAAAATTTAGGATTCAACAACATAAAATCAATGAGATTTATACATATAAACAAAAATATAAAATAAGTTTTCACCAATCTTCCCTGTCTTTGAAATTGCATCAATTCAAGCATCCTAATATAATTATATCCTATACCTTATAGCTGTTATGTATAGTGGAGTACTGTTGAAAGGATTTCCGTATAGTACAAGAAATACAAACCAATCTTATTAAATCGAATGAAAATTAAAATTCTTGCAGAAGCCTGTTGAATAGTAAAATCTCTATTGATTTAACTAGTTGACCTCTATGTGTAGACATGGTTACTTATGTAAGGAGATAAATAAGATTCAAAGGACAAAAGATTATTTATATTTTTTATTTACTTTAAGAAATAGTGTTTTGCCAAACAATAGTTTTTAAATATTATTTAATATTAAAAGTGTAGCAAAAATTAAGATTACCTCACAATTTAGTTTATTTGCAAGTCGAATTCTTTTAAAAAATGCGTGTTCTGATAAAATTTTGGGGAAATTACAAAAATGAAGCTAGTTAGAAATATTAATTTAACAAAATACTTTAGGTATTATGTAACGAAATAATACAACATTAAAATAAATAATAACAATCTTCGAAAAGAAATATAAATGGTACTTGAAGATCAATTGGATATTCAAAACTACTAATTTACATGGCGCAAGCAAATTTGAATGAGGATTGATTATATTAACAGAAATTTATATATTAATTAATTATAATTCCTGATGAAGAATGGAAAAACGAATTTTTCTGGTAATTATAAGGAATATGATAATACAATATTCATTATTATTTTTTATTTATGAATAATAAAACGCTGCTTATAGTGTTATTACTAGCTTGTACGCTAGGAGGTATGAGTTTATAGCTAAATTTAGCTCAACAATTCATTTAATTGGGAAGCAATCTCAAATTGCAAAGTTTAAGTGAATTGCATCAATTGGAGACTAATTAATTGGAATGTAGTCCGATGTTGGGAGAAGTGAGCACTTCTATTGATGCATGGTCAGAAATCTTAGAGAATTAAGACTAGCTAAACACAGATTCTCATAATCTTTAGTAATTAAAGGTGGCATTATAAGATTTTCGTGGAAATGGCTATGATGATGCAGAACCTGGTAATAAATAATTTTAAAATTGTAGTATTGTTGCAATTCAGAAATTCGTTCTCAGATATTATGAGTCAAATAAGTGCAGAACATTTATAAATCACACCTTATTAAAGATGGAGAAAAGATAGTGCTATGGAATTACAAGGAGTTGTAAGTTTATTAGATACTGCTGAGAATGAAAAAGACTTAGAATAATGTTGTGATAAAATAGAAGAATTAATAAATAGATTAATGAAAGAGAGAGAACAAGTGAGAAATCAATGCCAGAAAGGACCATAAGTAATTATTATATTAAATCCAATTAGATTACAATCAACATTATAAATTCTAAGGCTGACGAAGTGAGAGAAATCACTAAAGAATGTTCTGATGGCTAAGGTACCATCGTCAGAATTAAACCAAAAGAGGATGATAACCAAGTAATCATCCCAGCAAGACCTGATGGTTAATAATAAGGATAGGATGAAACCAAAAAGCCTATCTAACCAACCTAGCCAGTCAAACCAGTTCCAGCTGATAGAGTTCCAGAAGGAGATGATTAATAGGAATAAAGTGTTTCTGAACCAAGTAGTACAACAGACGAGGAAGATGATGAAGATTCCTCAAACAAAAAGAAACCAGCTGACTATACTAACCCAGATCCTGTTCATTAGAAAGAGGTTGAAAGTCAAGAACCACTCACTGAATATGGTTATGGATATTGGGCTAAATTCACTTTAGCATATCCTAAATTCTTACCTAATGGAAAAGATGCACCTTGGTACTTTGTTTCCAGATTGAGTGCAAATAAGAAAGATGAAAATATCAATATGGGAGACAGATTATTGGCTGTTTGGTTAGGTAAAGGATATTATCATTTCACCACTTGTGATCAACCAAAGAATTAACCAAATGTCGCTCAAAATGTTAATTATCCTGAAGATTTTGATGGAGTTTGGACTTACATTTACTATTCATACAGTTCCGAGAAAAAGAAGGCTGTTGCTTTTATCAAATTTGGAAATGATGATCTTAAGAAAGTTACTCATGAAGTTTTGAATCCATCAACTAAATGGGTTAGATTCACTGTTGGAGGTAAAGATTAAAATAGATATCCTGGTTTCAATGGTCTGATCTAATAAATCTATTTCAGTACTAAGCCAGGAGTATTCCTTGATTCTGAAGATGATGTTATTGGTAAATTGTAAGCTTAAAAGAAACAACCAAAGGATTTCTTACCTGAATTAATTACTTATAAAGTGGTCTCAAATCCATCATAAAGAGATCCAGATACCAAAGAAGTTCTTTCTATTGTTGGAACAACAAAGAATCCCAAATTCCCACATGAGTATGCCTTCAGTGGTTGGTTCAAATGGGAAGCACCAAAACAACAATAAGAATGGCATAACATTTTCAGAGTCCAAATCCAATAACCATCAACTGATAAATTCTTAGGAGATAGAACATTGTCTGCCTGGGTTGGTAAACAAGATGGAGGTATCATCCACTTGCCAACATACACATACACTAATTTGGAAGGTGCTGGAAATCCAAATGTCATTAAGAATATCCCACACAAAAACAGACACACAGAATGGTTCTTCGTTTATTTTGGATATTCAAGACCTTAGAAGAAAGCTGTTGCTACAATTCAATGGAAAGACTCTACTGATAAATAAGAATATGACAACATCAGACACTTCCAAGTTCCAAAATTCTACATATTTGTTGGAAAGGACAAATAATTCCCAGGATTCAATGGTAAGGTTGCATTAGTTGCTTTCAATGTTGGAGAAGGATCCTTCAAACCAAACAATGACTTTTCTGGAAAAGGAGATCCATTTAGCTTTGACAGTGGTAAAAAGAAATTGATTGGAGTTCAACCAGAAATTGATACTGAAGAAGATCCAGAAAAATAAAAGAAACCATATAAAGTAGTTGAAGATGCAGACACTGATGGTTTGACTAGACCAAGTTCAAGTGAAGAAAACAAACCAGTAATTGAAGAAACTTAAGAAGAAGATAATGAATTAGTTGAATATGGTTATGGATTCTGGATGAGATTCTTAACAGCTTATCCTGATAGATTATTGAATGGAAAGAATGCACCATGGTACTTTGTTTCTAGATTAACTTCAAATATGAATTACAAGAACATTGAAATGGGTGACAGATTACTAGCCATCTGGTAAGGTTAAGGATATTACCATTTCACTACTTGTGATTAACCAAAGAACTAAGCTAATGTAATTCAAAATATCAATTATCCAAATGATATTGAAGGTTTATGGACCTATGTTTACTATTCATACAGTTCTGAAGCTAAGAAAGCCATAGCCTTCATTAAGTTCGCAGATTAAGAACCAAGAACAATCTTACATTCAGTTCAACATCCAGTTGCAAAGAAAGTCAAATTCATTTTGGGTGGTATGGATAACAAATAATACCCTGGATTCAATGGTTTATTCAGTTAAATCACATTCTCAGCAAGACCAGGAGTATTCTTAGATACAATTGAAGACTTTTCAGACTAATTGAAGAGAACAATCATACCAAAATAAGATTTGGATTAATTCTACAATCATGAATTAGTTTCTGATATAATTTCTAGAAAACCAAATGACATTCCAGATTATGATGAAATTGGTGGTGGACAAGAAATGTTCCCACATGAATATGCCATTTCAGGATGGTTCAAATGGGAATAAACTTAATAATAGGTTTGGCACAATGTTTTCAGAGTTCAAATCAAGAAGCCATCCACTGACAGATTCTTAGGAGATAGAACATTATCTTGTTGGATTGGTACTGCTTAAGGTGGAATCTTACATTTCCCAACTTACACATACACTAATATGAATGGAGCAGGAAATCCAAATATGGTCAGCAATATCCAACACAAGAATAGAATTTTCGATTGGTTCTTTGTTTACTTTGGATATTCAAAGAATTAATAAAAGGCATTTGTTGGAGTTAGATTTGCTACAGGTATTGAAACCTTAGAGTATAACAATGTCAATCATTATTATGCACCTAAATTCTACACATTCGCTGGTAAAGACTTGCACTTCCCAGGATTGAATGGCAAATTGGCATATGTGAACTTCAATTTAGGAGATGGAACATTCAGAAAGACTCCAGATTTCAAACATCCAGATGATATCTTCGGATTATAAAAAGGTGAAATCAACATCCTCAAAAAACCAGATTAAAAGAAAGTGTAACCAGAAGTTGATAAAGAAACTGGAGAAACCTAAATTCCAAATGCAGTCTCAGACAATACACCAAAAGTAACCAAGGAATTCAAATCAGAATAACCTCTTGCTGAATATGGTTATGGATTTTGGATGAGATTCTTAACAGCATTCCCAGTCAAATTGCCAAATGGAAAGAATGCACCATGGTACTTTGTTTCAAGATTGGCTAACAGACCTAATTATGATAATATTGCTATGGGAGATAGAACTTTGGCTATCTGGTAAGGACAAGGATATTATCACTTCACTACATGCAATTTACCAGGACAAGTCAATGTAATTAAGAATGTCAATTACCCAGCTGATATCGAAGGATTGTGGACATATGTTTACTATTCATACAGCAAATAAGAGAAGAAGGCTGTTGCATTCATTCAATTTGGTGCCACAGATCCAATTGATGTTGTTCACTAAGTCACTCATCCAGATAACACTTATGTCAAATTCATTTTGGGAGGTAAAGACAACAATAGATATCCTGCATTCAATGGTTAATTCTAATCAGTTGTTCACTCTGCTTCTCCTGGAGCTTATATTGGATCCATTGATTAATTCAAGGCTTTCCTTAATAAATAACCAAATCCTTTGGGATCTAAAGTTCCTTTGACCACAACCCAATTAGTTGATAGTTAAATCACAAGAAATCCAGGAACTCCAGGAAATACATAAACTGTCGAAGCCCCATTCCCTAAAGAATATGCATTTTCAGGTTGGTTCAAATGGGAATAACCAACACCCTAATAGGCATGGCACAATCTATTCAGAGTCCAAATCAGTTAACCATCAACAGACAACAGTCATGGTGATAGAACTTTAGCAGGATGGGTTGGAAGTGGAGCAGGTGGTATCATTCATTTGACAACATACTCATACAAGAATATGAATGGAGCTGGTCCAAATAATCTACCATAAAATATCAATCATAAAAATAGACATTTCGAATGGTTCTTTGTTTACATGGGCTATTCCAAGAATGATAAAGCTGCTTATGCATATGTTAAATGGAGAGATAGCGAAGACAATTTAGAATACAAAGACATCAATCATTACTTTGCTAAGAAATATTTTGTTTTCGTTGGTAAAGATGTTCAATTCCCAGGATTCAATGGAAGAATTGCATCCACAGCCTTTAATCATGGAGATGGATCATTCAGAAAGGGAAATGATTTCAAACATCCAACTGATGCATTCAAATTTGACAAGGGAAGTCAATTGATTCCAAAAGTCGACCCAACAAAACCAGTTGTTGATGATAAGACTGAATATGGAAGCAAATTCAATAATAATGCACCCAGTGTTGATAAAACATTGACATCAAATGACCTATTGGTTGAGTATGGTTACGGATTCTGGGCTAGATTCTTAACTGCCTACCCAGTCAGATTAATTAATGGAAAGAATCAACCATGGTACTTTGTTGCAAGATTGTCAACCAATGTTCAATATGACAACATTAGAATGGGAGATAGAGCTTTGGCTATCTGGTAAGGATAAGGATTCTACCATTATACAACATGTAACAAATAAAATGGAAATGTTAATGTCATTCAAAATATCAATTATCCAGCTGATATTGAAGGAGTTTGGACATACATCTACTATTCATACAGTGCAGAAAAGAAGAAAGCAGTAGGTTTCATTAAGTATGGAAATGATGAAGTCAAGTCAATCACTCATTCAATCACACATCCAGAAACTAGATAAGTTAGATTCATTCTTGGTGGTATGGATAACAACAGATATCCAGCCTTCAATGGTATCTTCACTAAAGTCTCATATTCTCATGAAAAAGGAGCATTCATTGATAGTTTAGATGTCTTGAAACCAAGAATAGGAATTGTACCAGATGTTGACACTCCAGCTCTTAACAAAAAGATTGTTGCAGGATAAATCGAAAGAGCCCCAACTGTTGCTCATATTGGTGAAACTGTTGGAGATGAATAATCTAAATTACCATAAGAATATGCTTTAAGTGGATGGTTCAGATGGGATAAATTATAAGGATAATAAGTATGGCATAACATCTTCAGAATTACAATCAATTCACCATTCTCTGATAGATTCTTAGGAGACAGAACATTGGCTGTTTGGGTTGGTACTCTTGCTGGTGGTATTTTACATCATACCACTTACACATACAATAATATGAATGGAGCAGGAAATCCTAATGTTGTATAAAACATCTAACACAAAGACAGACATTAAGAATGGTTCTTCTTGTATTATGGATATTCAAAGAAAGAATCAAAGGCTTATGCTTATATTAAATTCAAGGATAGTTCTGAGACTTTGACATTCGATAAAATTAATCACTATTTAGCTCCAAAATTCTTTGTTTATTTAGGCAAAGATCCTAACTTCTAAGGATTCAATGGATAAATCGGATTTGTTAATTTCAACATTGGTAAAGGTAGTTTCAAGAAAGGAAATGATTTCACAGATGAAACAGACAGATTTGGATTTTCAGATGGAACTAAGGCCATTAATAAACCTGTTGAACCAGCAAAACCAGAAGCAATTCCAGAAGCTGATAAATAAGTATTTGCAAGTGCTTCAAGCGTTGATTCACCAAAGGTTGATAAATAGACAGTTGCAGGAGACTAAAATTTAGTTGAATATGGTTATGGATATTGGTTGAGATTCTTAACAAAGTACCCAGAATAATTACCAAATGGAAAGAATTAACCATGGTACTTCGTATCCAGATTGACTACAAATGTTCAATATGATAATATTAGAATGGGAGATAGAGCTTTGGCAATTTGGTAAGGATAAGGATACTATCACATCACTACCTGTGATCAAAAGAGTAACAATGCAAATGTGATTAAGAATGTTGATTATCCAGCTGATATTGAAGGTGTTTGGACTTACATCTACTATTCATACAGTACAAAAGAGAATAATGCAGTTGCATTTATTAAGTTTGGAGATAGTGATTTCTAATAAGTTACTCATCAAGTCACACACCCAGCTGCTAAATAAGTTAGATTCATTTTGGGAGGTACAGATGAAAAGAGATATCCAGCATTCAATGGTCTTTTCACTAATGTTTATTTCAATAACAAAGTTGGAGCCTACATCAATTCATTGTCTAACCTTAATAAGTTATTGGATAGTCAAGGTCCAAAGCCAAGCATCAAATTGGTTGATTTGACTACTATTACTTTGATTGATAAAGAGACATCCAGAACTCCAAAAGATGAACCAGTCGTAACAGAAGTAGAAGAAAAGAAATTGCCTCATTAATATGCATTCAGTGGTTGGTTCAGATGGAGTGCCATGTCATAAGAGCCTTGGCATAACATTTTCAGAGTCTAACTCAAGACACCTTCTACAGACAATGTCTTAGGAGACAGAACATTAACAGCATGGGTTGGAACAGCTGAAGGAGGTATCATCCATTTACCAACATACACATACACTAATATGAATGGTGGTGGTAATTCCAATCTTTACAAGAACATTCAACATAAAGGAAGAAATACTGAATGGCATTTCCTATACTTTGGATATTCAAAGGATTAAAACAAAGCCTAAGCTTATATTAAATGGACATAATCAGAAGACACTCTTGAATACCCTGACACCAGACATTACTTTGCATCAAAATTCTATATCTTCACAGGAAGAGATAAACATTATCCTGGTTTCAATGGTAACATTGCTTAAGCCAAATTCAATATTGGTGAAGGATCATTTGTTCCAGACAAGAACTTCAATTTACCAAAAGATCCATTCTCATTCGGCAGTGGAGTTGATACCTACCATAAAGATTAACCAAAACCACAACCAGAAACTAAACCAGATCCTAAAGTACTTGACAATTCAGAAACTTAAAAGGTTCCAGCATTGACCAAAGAATTGAAAGATGAGAAGGAATTAACAAGTTATGGATATGGATTTTGGATGAGATATTTGACAGTTTACCCAGAAAGATAAATCAATGGTAAGAATTAACCATGGTACTTTGTTTCCAGATTGACATGGAATGAAAAATATGACAACATTGCTATGGGAGACAGAACCTTGGCCATCTGGTAAGGAGCAGGATATTATCACATCACTACATGCAACATTGCCACTGGAAATACTAATATGATCTAAAATATCAATTTCCCAACTGATATCGAAGGATTATGGACATATGTCTATTATTCATACAGCAGAGCCAACAAATAAGCTGTTGCCTTCATTTAATATGGTAATGATGCTCCATAAACAGCTACTCATTCCACTTAACACAAAGATACTAAATTTGTCAGATTTATTTTGGGAGGTAATGATGAGGGAAGATACCCAGGATTCAATGGTCAATTCACAGGAGTTTCAATTGATTAAACTTTTATTGGTACAGTTGATGAATTCAAGGCATTCGTTGCAAAGGTTGGAGTTCCATAAGTTGGATTGAAATAATTGACAACTGTAGGATTGGTTGATTAAATCAGCAGAAGTGCTGAAGCAGACATTACAAAGGAAGCCACTGTTGGAGGAGGTGATTAGAAATTCCCATAAGAATATGCAATTAGTGGTTGGTTCAAATGGAAGCCAACAGCCTAAGCAGCATGGCATAACCTTTTCAGAGTCTAAATTAAGAAACCATCAACTGATTAATTCTTAGGAGATAGAACCTTAACAATGTGGGTTGGTACTCCTGAAGGAGGTATTCTCCATTTCCCAACATACACATATGACAATATGGTTTGGTGGAGGAAATTCAAATCTCTACAAAAACATTCAACACAAGGGAAGACACACTGAATGGTTCTATGTCTACTATGGATACTCTAGAACAATCTCTAAGGCTTAAGTTTATGTTAAATGGGCATCTTCAGATGACGCACTTACATATGATAATGTTAGACACTATTTGACTCCAGAATTCTATGTATATGTTGGCAGAGATAAATAATATCCAGGACATAGTGGTAAGATGGGTTATGTGAAATTCAATCTTGGAGATGGATCATTCTTAAAGGATCCAAATTTCGATCATCCTTAAGACGCTTTTGGATTCAAATCAGGAATTGATAATTTAGTTAAGAAACCTGCAGCTGCAATTGAACCAGGAACACCAATTACTGAAGAATTAAGCAATGGATTCGAACAAAAGACCCCAGTTATTGATAAGGCTGCACCAGCTGAAAGAGATCTTGAAGAATATGGTTATGGATTTTGGTTCAGATTCTTACACAATTATCCAGTCAGATTACCAAGTGGAAAGAATTAACCATGGTATTTTGTAGTCAGATTGGCTAATCAAGAGAAATATGATAACATTAGAATGGGAGACAGAATGTTGGCTGTTTGGTAAGGACAAGGATACTATCATTTCACTACATGCAACAAAGTAGACAACAATCCAAATTACATTAAGAATATCAATTATCCAGAAGACATTGAAGGTTTATGGACATATCTCTACTATTCATATAGTGATGACAAGAACAGAGCAGTTGGTCATATCAAATATGGAAATGATGACATACAATCAATTAGACATGATGTCAATCACCCTGAAACTAAATATGTGAGATTCGTATTGGGAGGTAATGACGAGGGAAGATATCCAGGATTCAATGGTGTGTTCTCACAAATAACATTCAGCACCAAAGAAGGAGCATTCATTGATACTGCTGATCTCTTAAAAGGATTCATTAGTAAATTAACTAAGCCTGCTTAAGGATTCAATGATTTAGCCAATTACAAATTGATCGAAGATAGTTTGACAAGAACTTCAGATGATAAACCACTCACAAAGGTTATTGGAAAGGAAACAGAAAGATTCCCAGCTGAATACTCATTCAGTGGATGGTTCAAGTGGTAACCTCTTGCCTAATAACCATGGCATAACATTTTCAGAGTACAACTCAAGACACCCTCTACAGACAGTGTCTTAGGTGATAGAACATTGTCAGCATGGGTTGGAACAGCTGATGGAGGTATCATCCATTTACCAACATACACTTATGTTAATATGAATGGTGGTGGTAATGCTAATGTTTGGAAGAATATTTTACACAAGAACAGAATCACTAATTGGTTCTTCCTTTACTTCGGATATTCAAAAGATTAATAATTAGCTTAAGCTTACATTAAATGGACAGATGGAGAAGATCAATTATCACATGAGAAAACTAATCATTATTTAGCAACCTAATTCTACGTATTCACAGGAAGAGATGATCATTATCCAGGATTCAATGGAAAATTGGGCGAAGTTAATTTCAATATCGGTAAAGGTGCCTTCAGAAAACCAACTGATTATTCACATGAAAAGGACATCTTTGGATTCAAGATTGGTACAGATAAATTCATTAAAAAACCAAGTGATGAATTCAAGCCTTCTGATGCTGATAAGAATATCCTTGAAAATGCTTCAAGTTAAGACAAACCAATTGTTGATAAAGAAACCAATTCTGAAAAACCATTTGAATAATATGGTTATGGTTACTGGATGAGATTCTTATCTAAATATCCAGATTAATTACCAAATGGAAAGAACTAACCATTTTACTTTGTATCCAGATTGACTAATCAAGAGAAATATGATAACATCAGAATGGGAGATAGAGTATTGGCTATCTGGTAAGGACAAGGATATTATCACTTCACTACATGCAATTCAGTTACAAACAATCCAAATATGATTATTAATAATAACTTCCCTGATGATATTGAAGGATTGTGGACATATGTTTATTACTCATACAGTTCTGAATAAAATAAGGCTATTGGTTTCATCAAATATGGTAATGCTGATTTCTAGAAGATTGTTCATGAGACTACCCACTCATTAACCAAATATTTGAGATTCATAGTTGGTGGTAATGATGCTAAGAGATACCCAGGATTCAATGGTTTTTTCACATCAATTACATTCTCTACTGATTCAGCATTTGTATCAGATGTTGATAAATTGAATGCTTACGTGCTCAAAAATCAAGCACCAAGTGTTGTAGTTCCATTGTAAACAACCGAATTGATTAAAGATCAAATCTCAAGAGACAAGGATGAAAAACCAAGTATTATTCAATCAGTCGGAAGCAACAACAAATTCCCATAAGAATATGCCTTGAGTGGTTGGTTCAGATGGAAGCCTACAGCATAAGCCCCATGGCATAATGTTTTCAGAGTCCAAATTAAGAAGGCTCCATTCACTGATAGTTGGTTAGGAGACAGAACTCTCACTTGTTGGATTGGTACTGCTGAAGGAGGTATCTTGCATTTCCCCACATACACATATACTAATATGAATGGTGGAGGTAATAACAACTTCTATAAGAACATTCAATACAAGAATAGAATTAATGAATGGTTCTACATCTACTATGGTTATTCAAAGGTAGAGGCTGCAACTTCAATCTATGTCAAATGGTTCGATTCTGAAGATAGCATGTCCTATGATAAAATAAATCATTATTTGACACCAGAATTCTAAGTTTGGGTTGGTAGAGATGAAGCATATGTTGGATTAAATGGAAGAATAGCCTATGTTAACTTCAATGCAGGTAGTGGCGCTTATGTCAAGAACAATAAATTCGACCATCCATAAGATATCTTCAAATTCAATGTTGGATAAGCTAAATTATTTGAAAAACAAGAAGAAGTTAAACCAGGATAAATCAATAAAGATTTATTAATTAGTCCAACAAGTTAAGATAAACCATTAATTGATTAGAATGTTAAATCAGATAATAACTTGGAAGAGTATGGTTATGGTTTCTGGTTGAGATTTTTAACAGCCTTCCCAGAAAGAATGCTTAGTGGTAAGAACTAACCATGGTACTTTGTTGCTAGAATTGCTAATCAAGAAAACTATGATAATATTAGAATGGGTGATAGATTATTGGCAATTTGGTAAGGATAAGGATATTATCACTTCACAACTTGTAATGCAGTCAATGGAAATGCCAACGTTATTTAAAAATATGGATTATCCAGCTGATATTGAAGGTGTTTGGACCTACATCTACTATTCATACAGTGAAGCTAAATCAAGAGCTGTCGGTTTCATCAAATATGGAGCTGAAGATACTAATCAAAGCCGTCAGACATGATGTTACTCATCCAGATACAAAATATGTCAGATTCATTTTAGGAGGTACTGATGCTAAGAGATACCCTGGTTTCAATGGTCTTTTCACTTAAGTCACATTCGATGCTGTTAAAGGAGTTTTCATAGACACAGCTGATTAATTAAAAGGATACATGAACAAATTGGAAAACCCAACAATTGGATAAGTTGATTTACAAACCTATAGATTAGTTACTAATGAATAATACAGAGAGAAGACCAATGAACCACTCCTTAATGTAATTGGAAAAGACAATGAAAGATTCCCATTAGAATATTCAATCAGTGGTTGGTTCAAATGGTAATAAGCTCCATAAGATGCTTGGTAAAACTTGTTCAGAGTTTCATTAAATGAAAAACCAGCAGATCAATACTTAGGAGATAGAACATTATCTACTTGGATCGGAACAGCTGAAGGAGGTATCATTCATATGCCAACATACACTTATGCTAACATGAATGGAGGTGGTAATGCAAATGTTTGGAAGAATATCTTACACAAAGATAGACACACCAAGTGGTTCTTCGTTTATTTCGGATATTCAAAACCTTAAGCTAAGGCATATTCTTACATCAAATGGTAATCAGATGATGACTTCTTGAATTACGATAATACAAACCATTACTATGCACCAAACTTCTAAGTGTTCTTCGGAAGAGATAAATTCTATACAGGTTGGCATGGTAAGGTTGCATTTGCTCAATTCAATTTGGGTAAAGGTGCATTCAGAAGTGGTAAAGATTTCACTCATCCCAATGATGCTTTCGGTATTGGAGCAGGTGTTGATAAATTGAAGAAACCAGACACTGGATTTAAGCCAGCTGATTCAGATCCTGCAATTAAGGAAAATGCATTCAATTAGGATAAACCAATACATGATAAGAATGTTAATTCAGAGAATCCATTTGATGAGTATGGTTATGGATTTTGGATGAGATTCTTGACTGCCTATCCATAGAGATTAAATAATGGTAAGAATGAAGCATGGTATTTCGTTGCTAGATTGGCTAATTAAGAGAAATATGATAACATTAGAATGGGAGACAGAATGTTAGCCTTGTGGTAAGGACAAGGATATTATCATTTCACAGCAGCCAATGTTTTGACTGGAAACTCCAAATCTTATTCAAAATGTTAATTATCCAGAAGATATTGAAGGATTGTGGACTTATGTTTATTATTCATACAGTGTTGAAGAGAACAAAGCTCAAGGTTTCATTAAGTTCGGAGAGGAGAATTTCAAATAGATCACACACTAAACAACCTAACCATTAACCAAATATTTGAGATTCATAGTTGGTGGTAATGATGAAAAGAGATACCCAGGATTCAATGGTTTGTTCACATCAATTACATTCTCATCTTCAATAGGAGCTTATGTTGACAGCATTGATGCTTTGAATAAATATGTTAATGCTAATCCATATCCCAAATTAGATACTACTCCATAGAATTATTTGTTGATTAAGGATCCAATTACTAGAAAACCAGAAAATGATTTCTTTTTGAGGGAATTCGGAGAAGACAATTAAAGATTCCCAGTTGAATACTCAATCAGTGGATGGTATAAATGGATTGAAGGAACTCCAGCAAATCAATGGTAGAATTTATACAGAGTATTATTGAAGAAAGAGCCAACAGATACAGCAGTATTGGGAGATAGAACATTGGCAGGTTGGATTGGATTTGGTAATATTCATTAGAGTACATATACATATGTGAATATGAATGGAGCAGGAAATAACAATATTTGGAAATAAGCTGAACATAAAGATAGACACTTGAGATGGTTCTTTGTCTATCATGGATATTCAAGAAATGACAGATTGTCATATGCTATTGTTTAATACTATAAGGGATCCGAATCTTTATCATGGGATAAGGTTAACCATTACTTCGTTCCAAGATTCTATGTTTATGTAGGAAAGGATGCAATAAATGGATACAATGGTTAGATTGGTGCTATTAATTTCAACATTGGAGCTGGTTCATTCAGAAAGGGAGAAGATTTCACTCATGAAAAAGACTTCTTTGGATTTGGTGCTCCATTTGTTTAGACTAAAGTGAAACCATTTGATATCAAGGACAGAGCAACTGATCTTTTAGTTAGTGCAGCCCCAAGTCAAGAGAAGCCATCATTCACAAAAGTGTTGTCAGATGATGAAGTAGCAAGTTGTGAGGAGTATGGTTATGGATTCTGGGCAAGATATTTGACTTAATATCCAACTCCATAGAAATCAGGAATGTAAGGTGAATGGACATTTGTCTCTAGATTAACAAAGAACTAGAAATTGTAGGATATCACTTTAGGAGACAGAACTTTGGCAATATTCTTGAATAGAAATAGTGCATTCCACATTACAACTTACAATGCTGGTAATCCAAACTCAATTGTAAATGCAGCTGCAAGACCAGATTTCGAAGGAATTTGGATCTATATTCATTTCAGTCATAATTTAGAGAAGAAATCAAGTGTTGCCTTCTTGAAGTATGGTGATGAGAAGCCTGTTAGATATTAACAAGCTGCAACTCATGTACCACCCTCATTCTTACAATTCTATTTGGGAGGTAAAGACTTCTATAGTTCATGGAATGGTCAATTCAGTGATGTTATGGTATCAGCCAGCAAGGGAATCTTCATTGATGACGAGGCTACATTGACTAAACATTTGTCAGGATTCAAGATGCCAGCCTAATTCAATTATGACTTGAGGACATTCGAAGTAATTCCAAAGGAATAACCTTATGATGGTAAATAAGAAGTTAAAGAATAAATGTTTGAAGAGGATGTTGCTTTGAGACCAGAATATGCTTGGTCAGGATGGTTCAAATGGGATAATCTTCCAGCAGGTGCCTTCTTCTTGTATGCTAGATTGAGTTTATACTAAGGACCAACAGATTTGTCTTATTTGGGAGATAGAACATTAGCAGCATGGGCAGGACCAGGCAATATGATGCAATTCTCCACATATACATATACTAATTTAGTTGGAGGTGGAAATGCTGATAGTTGGAATAGAATTAACTCTGGATAAGATTTAGTAAGATGGCATTATGTTTACTTTGGATATTCTTTGATTGAGAAGGCTGCCTACTACAGAGTAGAATTTAAGGGAAGAATGGAATAATTCACTTTCAAAGATCACAAGCACTACTATCCAAATAAATTCTCATTGTAAGTCGCTAGGGACAAATTCTACCAACCATTTGCTGGTATTGCTTCTTATTTCAGATTGAATGTTGGTGAAGGTGCTTACAGAACAAGCGGTTATGAGAAAGCCAAGAATGACATCTTTGCTTATAATCTAGGCAAATAGGATTATGTCAAACCATCCCCCACTTTGGATGTCAATAGAGACTAGAATAAGGGAGTTTCTGACTCTCCATGGGATGGAAAGGATCCAGTATGGACAAAGAAATTGATTGGATCAGATTTGGATGATATTAATGAATATGGTTACTCCATGTGGTTGAGACATTTGGCTCATTATCCAGTTCAAATGCCAAGAGGATTAGCTGATAAGGGTTGGTCATTTGTTGCTAGATTAACTAAGAATCAATTATTATAGGATATTACTGTTGGAGATAGAGTCTTGGCTGTTTGGTTGAATCATGGCAATTTCTATCACTTTACTACATATCATCAAGGTAATCCAAACTTGAATTAGAATATTGCCAATCCAAATGACATTGATGGTGTTTGGTATTATTTGCACTTTGCTCACAGTCTTGGAAGCAAGTAGTCAGTAGGTTTCTTGCATAACGGAGAAAAATTGAATAAGGTTGTCTTCGCAGCTGAACATGTAGCACCTACTTTCCTATAATTCTATTTGGGAGGATCTCAAGTCAATTATCCAGCATTTAATGGTCAATTTTCAAATGTAATATTGTCAGTGGGCGATGGAATCTTCAAACGAGATGAGGCCGAATTCAATGAATTCTTCAAAGATCTCAAATCACCAGATCCTTTCAACAGAAATCTTGTGACCAAGAATCTTATTGATGCACCAAAGGAGTTCGGAAAGGATACTGCTAAAGATGAAAAGGTTTTCACTGAATTTGCTTTGACAGGAGAGTACTCATGGTCAGGATGGTTCAAATGGACTCCAACTGTATAATAAGCATGGCATTTAATGGTGAGATTGTCAAGTCTTCAAAATTCTGAAGATTTATCATTCTTAGGAGACAGAGTCTTGAGTGCATGGGTTGGATAAGGATATTTCCATTTCACTTGTTATCATGCTGCCAATATCAATGCAGGAGGAAATGCTAATTAATATTAGAATATGAATTATGAGACAGATTATACAAAATGGTATTACGTTTACTATGGATATTCAAGAACATAAAGATTAGCACATGCTAGAGTAGAATTTAAGGACAGAGTTGCTGAATTACAATTCAAAAACACATTCTAATACTTACCAAATAAATTCTCAGTTTATACAGCTAAAGATAAGTTTTATGCAGCATATAGTGGTAATATTGCACATTTGAGATTGAATGGAGGTGATGGTGCTTTTGATCCTAAAACTTATGGTGACAATAAATAAGATATCTTCGGATACAATATTGGAAAAGATAATGTCAAAGAAAAAGAACCTGAAGTAGATCCACTTAGATAATAAGAAGTATTAGATTCAGCATGGAATCAAGATAAACCAGTTTATTCAACTGAATTCAAGAAGGAAGATTTAGCTGGTATTTAAGAATATGGTTATGGATTCTATTATAGACATCTTGAATAATACCCAGTACAAATGAGAGATGGTAGATTGGAACCATGGTACATGATGTCAAGATTGTCATGGAATAAGGATGAAGGAAATATTAGAATGGGAGATAGATTATTGGCTACTTGGTAAGAACAAGCTGCTATTTTGTTTGTTACCAACAATCTACCAGGAGATCCAAATATGTTAGGTAGAATTAATGTTGCTGAAAGGGAAGGATTATGGACATTCTTATATTTCAGTTATTCATTGGAAGATTAATTGGCAGTTGGTATTTTGAAATTCGATAACAATGAAGAAGTATTCCATATTCCAATGAAATGCAATCATGGTAAAGTTGATTATTTGAAATTCACTTTGGGATCTGCACCTCCTCACTTCTATCCAAGATTCAATGGTTAGTTTGCTAACTATGCAGTCAAATTAGGACCTGGTGCATTTGTCAAGAATTACGAATCAAAGAAGAAGTATTTACTCAATAGAATTCCTCACCCTGCTGTTGATGATAACAAATTCAAATAATTCAAAGTAGTGGAAGGTTAGAAACAATTCAAGGGAGACAGTTAAGATGAAGTTATAGTTGAAGTACCAAATGATTTCAGCAAATTTGCAACAGAATACTCAATTTCAGGATGGCTCAGATGGGATAATCCAGCTCTTGGTGCCCCATGGTACAATGTATTCAGATTAAGTTTATATAATGGCGATTTGAATGCTGAAAACAGATTTGGTGATAGAGACTTGGCATTGTACAAACATAATACTTACTATCAATATCACACTTATAACTATAACCCAGGACAACCATGGACATTTGAACATGTGATTCCTCATGCTGATCAACACACAGTATGGCACTTCTTCTATTCAGGATATTCAAGAGACAAAGGAATTCAATATCATTTTATTTCATTCTAAGAATCTGATGTCGAGAAGGTCTTTGATAAATAGAAGCATCTTGTAGTAAATAAACACTACTTGTCATTTGGTAAAGATTACAAGAAGTTCTTCCCATCACATAGAGGATTCACTGGTACTGCTAGTATGGTTAATTTGAATTATGGAGAAGGTGCATTCACCATGAAACCATTCACTAAAAAGAATGACTTATTCTAATTTGCTGAAGGAGAGAAGAAATACAGACAACCATTCTCATTATTAGAAATCTGGAGTGACAAGAATAAATAAATACCCTCTATTTCTGATAGCAATGAAATAGTCTATAATGTTGAATTGACAGATGCTAAAGATAACATCAGAGGATTAGATGAATATGGTTGGGTTGCATGGGTTAGATCATCCAGAACTGAACCAAAGAACTTGCCATTTAGACCCCATACTCACTCTATTGCTAGACTTTCAACTTAAAGAGTCAACAAAAATACTCAATAACCAGGAGACAGAGTGCTAGTAGCATGGTAGTATTTCCCAACTTATTATTTCGCTACTTACACTACAGGAAATAGTGATGTAGGCCAACAAACTCCATTCAAGATTGTTGATGGTTACTGGAGATTCATCTCTATGTCATATAAGAAGGGAGTAGTTAAAGCATATGTTTACTTTGATGATAAAGATATTGCTGAATTAAAATTCGATGTTAAACATGAACTAGTTAGTGAATATTTGAGAACTAACATGTGGTGGAGAAACTGAATCATTCAAATACAATAACTTCAATGGTCATCTATTAAATATTGGATTAAGATTAGGTTAAGGGAGCCCATATAGCAACTAAAGATGATCTCTTAAAATTCATTTAGGACCCATGGAAATTACCAGATGAAGTTCTTGTTGATTAATCTAGAGTAAGTTTGAGCATCTTGAAAGAAAAGAAAGAATTTAGAGCAGATGGTGAACCAGTTTTTGTAACAGTCAAACCAGAAGCAGCAAGAGGAAAAGATGAATATGCAATTTCAGGATGGGCAAGATGGGTAGATCCAGCATCAATTTAAGCATGGCATTTACTTTATAGAGTTTAGATTTTCAATAAAGACACTGAAGGATTGAAGAATGCTGATAGACCAGGAGATAGAACATTATCATGCTGGAAAGGTCTCGGATTTTTCTATTTTGCAACTTATACAGTAGATTAAGGTCATGGCGGAGCATGGAACATCGAGAGAACAAATCCATATGATGAAGTTATGCATAAGAATTGGGTTTACTTCTATTAAGGATATTCAAGATCAAAGTAGAGTGTTCACATTTACATTAAATATCCATCAAGAGATATTCACTTTGATGTACCAGCCAATCACTTTGTCCCAACACAATTTTATGTTCAATTTGGTAAAGATTAATGGCATGGTGGATGGAATGGTTTCCTTGAATCTTGGTATTTCAATACTGGTAATGGAGCATACAAGACTGCAGATTATGGAGTGGATGAATCAGATTAATTATCATATGGATTTGGCGGAAGAATCATTCCAAAGCCAAAGGATTGGGAATAAAAGGACTTATTCTAAAATAATTGGGGACCCTCTGAACAATCATTAGGAAAGGAGGTCGAAATAACAGATGATTACATTAATGGATTGACTGAATATGGATATGGAATGTGGACAAGATTTATTTGGAATGGAGAAAGAAAACTAGTTGACAAACCAGCATGGATGGCATTATCTAGATTGACATACAGACCAAACTATTAAGGAGATGCTGCTTAAATCGGAGATAGATTGTTGGCTATTTGGGTAGGATCTGGTTTCTATCATTTCACTACCTCTCTCCCAGGAAATGCTAATTTGGTAAACAATGTAAACTACAATAACTTATTGGATGGATCATGGAATTACATCTACTATGGATATAAGAAATTAGACAAGGGAGGAAGGATAGTAGGACATGTGTTCTTTGGAGGTTCAGCTGTTAGATCAACTACTTTCCCTGAGGTTGTTAATCATACTCCATTATCCGACTATTTGTACTTCTGTGTCGGTAGTTCAGGTGCCAAATTGAGAACAAACTATCATTCATTCAATGGACACATCTCAAATGTTATTTTGAGATTAGGAGATGGTGCTTTCTACTAAAACCCAGATGATCTCAGAAAATAAATACCAGAAATGCCTAAATTCCCAGAATTAGCACCAATCAAATAAGTCATCTTTGAAGAATAAAGAGATATGAAGAGAGAAGTGGCTTAAGTAGCTCCTGTTGAATTCAGTGATAAGTTTGCTGGATAGTCTGAGTACTCAGTGTCAATATGGTTCAAATGGTCTACAATAGCTAGAGCAACTTGGGAAAATGTGTATACTCTCTCCTACAACGAATAAAATATCAGAGGAAATCATGTTAGACCAGGAGACAGAGTGTTATCATTATTCTAATATGCTGATCACAGACAATTCTTCAGTACATACACTACCCCAGATGTTGATGATGCTTTCTAACAAATCTTCACAGAATGTCCAACTCCAGCTCTTGATCAAACTGCTTGGGTTTATGCTTACTATGCTTACAGTAAAAAGGCTAGCAGTGTTTACAGTTTCTACAAGACTAGAACTACTGAATGTGAAAAGAAATTGGCTGCTTCTCATAGAGTTCCAAGATACTTAGGATTATATGTTGGAAAGGATGGAATTCACACTCCTTACAATGGCAAATACTAATAATTGTATTTGATGGCTGGAAATGGTGCCTATAGAGAAAAGGATATTTTGAGTTTCGATCCATACATTGCAGGTGCACTAGGAGTCTAAGCTAAACCATACAAATGGGCAGACAAGAAGGAATAATTCGACTTGTCATTTGATGGAGTCGTGTAATAAGAATTAGACCCAGCAGCAATAGATGGACATTCAGCTTATGCAATTGGATTCTGGAGCAGATACTTAACAGCAATTCCAAAGAGAGTCTTAGATAAACCAGCATGGGTATCAATAGCTAGATTCACAGTCAACAGAGACTATTAAGATTAATCTAAGGTTGGAGACAGAACCCTTGCATTATGGTTAGGAAAAGGATTTTATGGATTCAGAACATACAATTTGGCTACAAATACTCCAACTATTGCTTAAGATGTCAAATATGATGATAAATTAGAAGGAGAATGGAACTTCATTTACTTCTGTTTCGCCAGTTCAAAACAACAAGCTATTGGTTACATTAAATTCGGTGGTTCAGGAGATGTCAAGAGAGTGACCTTCCCAGAAATCACACATAAACCAATTGAAGGATATGGTAAAGTCATTATCGGAAAGGAATTCGCTTATCCAGGTTTCAATGGTAAGATTTCATAATTGTAACTGCTCTTCGGTGGACAAGGCTATGTCCCTGATGTAGAATCTTTGGAAGAATTAATCAAGACCACATTCCCATAACCAGACCTCAACATTCCTGATACTTAGGTGCTAAAGGTATAAGAAGATGAAGTTTAAAAGAGAGTTGGAGATAATCCATAAGTCTCTGAATGGCCAAGTCAATATCAAGAGTCTCTTGAATACTCTATCTTCGGATGGTTCAGATATGCCTAACCTAAATTATAGAAAGATAACAATGTCCTTTTGAGATTGACAAACAATGAACCAGCTTACAGAAAAGAAGCAGCTATAGTAGGAGATAGAACACTCTTGATTATGTACTAACCAAATGAAGTAGTCTTCTCAACATACACTCTTGGTACTATTGATGATGGTTAAGTGGCTAATATTAGAAAACCCACTCCACTTGGAAACAACTTCGGAGTTTGGACTTACGTTTGGTTCGGATACAGTTGGCCAAAGAAGGTTGCTTCAGGTATTGTGAAGTTCCCATCAGATAAGGCTGTTGTTCCTTATGATAATGTCTTACACATGATACCTAAATATTTCGCCTTGTTTGCAGGATCAGATGGATTCTTAGGTGGATGGGAAGGACCAATGAGAAAAGTAGGAGCAATCTTTGGAAAAGGTGCTTACATTGATCCCAATAAAGGAAATTATGAAAATATGTTACCAAACTTGTTGGGATTGTAAGCTAAGAAATCAGATTGGAAACCTGCCAAAGAGGAAATCATTCTTGTTCCAATCAAAGATAGACCAGGATATGACTTGACATTCAAAGAGGAAGTAGGTGGTGTCACTGAATATGGTTATGGATTATGGACAAGATGGTTGATGACTACCCCAGATAGAGTTATTGAGAAATCTCCATTCCATCAATTAATCAGATTGACCAACACTGAGAAATATGAAGATAATGTTGCTCTTGGAAACAGAGTGTTAGCAATTTGGGCTGGTAAAGGATACTATCATTTCACTACATATGACAAGAAGACCAACAAGGCATCCATATCTGCTAATTCAAATTACGATGACTACCTTGAAGGACATTGGAACTATATCTATTACTCATTCACTGCATAAGATACACCCAGAGCAGTTGGTTTTGTTCACTTTGGAGATTTACCAGGATAAACAGTTGCTAGAGTTGAATTATTAGATATTGCTCATAATCCATTAAATGGTTATGCTAGAGTGGTTGTTGCCAATAATGAATTCGGATATCCAGCATTTAATGGTATGATTACTGGATTAAGAATCTTCTTCGGATAAGGATTTGTTGGTTCCAAGGAGTAATTCTTGAAAGATGTCTTAGCAGTCTAACCAAAACCATAATTGACAGTTCCTGCTAGAACAGACATCAATGTTTTGAAATAGGAGAAAGTTATCAATAAGGGTGATGCTGGTATCCCCATTAAGAATTAATATGATCAATATTAAGGAGTCCTTGAATATGCAGTTTCTGGTTGGGTACAAACTAGAAGAGGATAAGCTGATGAATTATCAAGAATGATCTTCAGATTGACTATCAATGATCCAGCTATTCAAAAGGATAAATCATTGGCAGGTGATAGAACACTTGCATGTTTCTTATTCAAGGATGCATTCACTTTCTCTACTTATGATTATGGAGATTTGGATAGCAATGAGGATGACTAAAACGATATCTAATGGCCATCCAAGATTGAAGCAAATGGAGGAGAATGGATCTTCTTGTACTTCGGTTACAATTCCAAGATCAGAAAAGCCTTTGCTTACTCTCTATTCTTGAACAGAGAATTAGGAAATCAATACAACGATTTGAAACACTTTGTTCCTAATAAGTTCTGGTTCTACTTGGGAGGAGATGGATTCAATCAATAATTTGAAGGTACAATGTTCAATTGGAATCTCAATTTCGGTGATGGTGCCTTCACAAACAAACCTAAATCAGTCATTTCCTCATGGCCCTATGAACCATAATAACAGGCCGCAGATCAAGTCCTCTCAGTCCTACTTGGTAACCAAGGCTTAAGCTCAATCAAATTGAACAGATAAGCTGGACCAGCTTCAGGATAATTTGATGTTAAAGGAGGACCTGCTTCTGGATAATTCACAGTTAGCGGTGGACCAGCTTCAGGAGTTGTAGATAAAACAGCCGGAGCTAAGTCAGGAATTGCTGAATAATCATAAGGACCAAAATCTGGATAAACAGATACAGCAGATGGACCTAAATCAGGTTAAAGTGATTAAGCCGCAGGACCTAAATCAGGAGCTTCATAATGAATGATTTGATTATTCATATTAAAAACATAATAAATACATTTTCTATTTTATTAAATATTTCCTCGCTTTAACTAAAGATTAGAGTTTGTTTTATTTGAATGCATATGGTGAATTAAGAGATCTAAGTAGATATTAATTTTTATAAATGCCTGTTATATAACATTATTATATTAGATTATTTACCTCATTCATCAAAATAGATTTAACTGAGGTTATACTCTATAAATTATAACTTATTATATAAGAATCTAATTATCAGAAATTAAAGAATTATAATTTTTTATTAATTATTAATCCATACTCTTCTATGTTTATATAAATGAAAATTATTGATATTATCTAAATTAAAAATAAATAAAATTTAATTTTATCAAAATGTCTGAGAGTGGCAAACAAGATTCTTAATAGTAATCCTCATCCTCTAAATAACCAGAAGAATCTAATTAAGATGTTAAAGTTACTAGTGCATGGGAGAAATCATCTAAGGACCTAATAAATTCACATTAAAATAAATTTGATGCATTTAAGTCTATGGCTGATCAGAGTGGAACAATAGATGAAAGTCATTTTACAATAGGCGGAGAATAGAAATCTGAAATATTTAAGAGATTCGATGCTGATCATAATGGCAAAATAACTCAATAAGAATGGAATCAGGGTTGGAATAATCTTGATGTGCAAGTGTTAGAAACACAACATAAAGTTGCAATAGCATAATAGAAGATGGAAATTTTGGATGCCTTAGAATCTAAAATAGAACCTGGATTAAATATAAGTTAAAGATCTTAAAATTAATATCATAGCATGGTGGATAGAAAAAAAAATATATCAACGTTAAGTGGTTTAACTGATATATTCAATAAGAAATCTCCTTTTAGAGAACATGAAGAATTTCAAGAGAGCAGTAATTATGATTTTAGGTAAAAAGAAAGTAACAGACCTTTGGATCAATTATTATAACAATTTAAAACACCTAATAAAGTAGATATCTTAGTTGAAACGGGTAGTGGAAATGGATCAGGTAAATATATAGGTAGTAATAAACAAACTTCAAAATTTGGATTTGTATAAGGAAGTGCTTCACCAGGGTTTAATCCTGCATCCTTGAGAAATGATAATTAATACAATTCAAAGGTACATTAACAAATGAATATTAACATTGATATTAAAGATAAAAATAAATCAAATAAAAGAAGAGAAGAATTGGCTAGCTATATGGGTAAATTAGGTTTGGGAGGAAATGAATCTATTTCAAAATCATAGATCAGTATTGAATAGCCAAATTCAAGTAAGATTAATAATCATAATTTAGATGTTTTTGAGAGAATGAAGGTTTATGTTAGTAATATTGGATCTCAATACCCTAGAAATTAATCATAACCTGGACTTAATGATCTCGTTAATGATAAATCATTTAGCACAAGCACATTCAAATAGCAATTAAAGTAATATAGAAAAGAGAGAGGAGGAGAACCATAAGATACTTAAGTTACCAAATTCTCTAAACCTTCCAACTTCTTAGAAAACCCATTATTGCAGGATCAATCCTTAAAAAGTTTTCATCTAAAGCTTATGCACTCTTAGGGTGCTTTGAATAATAAATATACTAGAATTTGATCAATTGAGATTCATTTTATATAGTAATAGAATTTAACAAATTAATTCCTTTGATAATTATTATATGAGTTCATATTATCTTTATTAAGCACCTTTGCCAAAACAACTCATATCCACCCTATTTGATGGTACAAACTCAATGAAAAGAGAATATCACTCAATCATTTCAACATACAATGAAGTTTTTAATGATTTTAGTTAAACAGAAAGACAGCAATATTAATGGACAAAAGGCTTAAGTTAGATCAATCCATTTATCGGAGCTGATTTTGGAAATCTAAACTAATCTCTCAATCAAATATTTCTAAATTTATTATCAGCTCAATTTCCATAATACATCACAATAATATTAATTACAGATGGGGGAGAACCATTGGATTCTGAATCCTTAGAAAAATTAATTTAAGAAGTTAAATCCAAATATTTTATTTAATTTATCACAATAGTAATAAGTGAATAGCCAACACCTATTAAAGTTCTAGAAACTTTGAATGCTTTGTTTAAATCAGAAAAAAATAATTTTAATTCAGAATATATTATTAAAAGATCATCAAGGAAAAGTATTTACCAAATTTAGAAAGATTTTCGAGAAGCCTTTACAAATATTAAGTAATAATTAGTATCTTATTAATAACAAGATATTCTAGATCAAAAAGTAAGCACTATTATTAATCAATCAGAACTAACAGATAAAGTTGCTCCAAAGACTTTGTTTTTGGCTGAAAAAGGCATAGAAATTAGTACATAAAATGTTAAAATTAATAAGACAACTTAAATTTGTCACATTTTATAAATTTTACAAAAATCATTCCTAGCTACTCTCAAGAAATTTTCTGAACTCACAGTTTCAGGTTTGAAAAATGAATGTTCAGAAATACTAAGAGTTACCAATTAATTATTAAGTTAAACTGATAATGATAATAGATCAGATGAATTTCATACAATCTCATTAATTTTAAAAATAATCACATCAATTATCAATAACACTTGCAATTGGTAATCAATAGATTGTCATTTATTTGATGACTTATGTTTAGCAGTGTCAAATGCTTAAGTCACTTAATTAGAATAATTATCTTTAATTAATTAAAGTGAATGTTCTGTCTAAAAGATTCATAATATTGATGAATAAATGATTTCTAAACTTGACAATTTATCTAAAAATGCTATTTCAAAATTAGATTATCTTATAAAATAGGACAATATAATTATTGATACTTTAAAGCTATATATATAATTGTTTTCAACTGAAATTAAATCTCTACAGGATTAAAAAGCTCATCTTAAAAAGTTAGTTATGATACTTCAGAATTAGTTGTCTGTTGCATTTCAATAATAAGAATTTGAAACTATTTTCACATCAAGAGTATTTATGGATAATACAGAAAAATTCCTTGAATAGTTGTAACAATTATTTAAGCTTAATAATCTTCTAAAAATGCTAAAGTAGATTTCAATTGAAAGTTATAATGAATAATTACTTTAATCTTTAAGTTAATTAATCAAATTAGAACAAAATTCAAATAATTAATCATTTAAGGATGTTTTTATTTTTTATAAAGATTTGAAAGAATTGCCTATTCTAAAAGAATTAGGTCCTAACGATGATTAAGAGGATAATGAATCTATTTTTGTATTATTGATTAATTTGACTGAAGCTATGAAATTAGTTATAGATAATTTAACATAAAGTTATCAGAAAGGTTTTAAAGATATTTCAAGTTCTAAGAGAATTGAATTGGTTTACGTTAATAAGAATGAGAATAATCAATAAATGAATTAGGAATTTTATTTTCTTAATCAAAGATAGTAATAAGAAATGAGATTCACTTCGCTTATTGAATTATTTTAAAAAAATTAAGAAAAGTTTTAGTTGAAATAGAAAAAGATAAACTTATGCATTTTAATTGATGATGAGCTGGATTATTGGAAATTACAGTTATAAATAACAATGCTAAAACTCTCTTAATATTATGTTAAATTGAGTTTTATAGCATTAGGTTTACCTATTTCTTAATATATATAAAAGGAAATTGAACAAATTGTTTAATAGTACAGCAATGAATAGATATCAAAGTTTTTTATTCCTAAAAATAAATATAATCTAAAATAGAAAAAGAAATATGATGACAAACATTCGGAGAAATTATTTGAAGAAATAGCAAACAAATTTAAACAAAACAAACTCTGAAGATTTCATATTATTAAACAAAAAATTTAATAAATGTTTTGATGATAAATGCGAAATTGATAATCAATACTCTTTTTTCTTATGATCTCTTGATCTGCTTCGACTTCTCTTTTTATGCTTTGATTTTTTATCCTTTCGTTCCTTCCTTTTTTTCCCTATTGTTATTTAAATTATGATACTTGATCTCCTTTTTTCCTCAGAGGAACTACGATCTCTATCTTTCTTCTTTTTATGCTTTTTAGAATGACTTGAAGATTTCTTTTCTTTGTCCTTTCTTTCAGATTCTTTTTACACCATTTATAATAAAACTTCTGCCATTTTGTTATGTTTTTAACCATATTTTTATAGAAATGGATGTGGATATTATACCTTTCCTGTCAATCCAGGTATTTTACCCATATTCATCTTATTCCAGTTATTTTCCATCTATTATTATTATGCCCACGATGCTAATGTTTAATTTAATAAAGCATGTTATGCCTCATTTAATTATATATTTTGTGAAGGGATGTTCTCGTTGCTAGGGGACCGACTTGGTGATTTCCGTGTTTGTTCTCTAACTGGACTTGCATTAGCAGGAGCTTTAATTAATTGTAATTAATTGAATATACAAATTATTTGATTGTAATCCCATTCGATCTCTTCCTTTTTGGGAGTAGGCTCTTATTAAGGCTGGGGCACCGGTTCTTATTCTTCGTCGTTTTATTTGATTTATTCAAACAATAGACATATACGTTGACCAATATCCTGATAAATAAAATTAATAATAGGATCATTACAGCTGGAACTTCTTAACAATCTTTACTCCTGATTACTAGATCGCCTGTTTTTGGATTAATCGTATCTTACAATTTGGCAAAATCAACAGTACCCTTCCTTAACCATTCAACTGAAAAATTATCAGCCAATTGAATAGTAGATGTACCACACCATTACCATTTAGGATCTCGAGGAACTTGTATATTCTTCATCTTAGCACAACCCAAAAACTTTTCAACACGATTAGCAATAAAAATCAATATGACTTTTTTGTTATTAAATTAATCCATAAGAGTCCCAAAGTTACGACGAGTAGTAGCCCAAACATCGTGAGTTTTGGCCAAAATCACATTCTGTTCGGTGTTACTCTTAACAATAAAAAAAACAGCATTTTTAATTTATTATTCCAACTCTGCGTTGGAAATCTCAGTTTATTACTTGATAGTCTAAACTTGATAATTGACATATTTAAATGGACATTATTGTAGCTCATTAAAGAAACACTTCGTAACTTTGACAAATTGTTCTTCACATCCTTGGCATATCCTCCTCTAACAACAAGGGGTCTAAGATGTGCTTCTCGCAGATAGGCATGACTCACACAACGATTGGCCCTACTGGTACGGTTGTCTTACCACTATCACGGTTTATTTATTTCTCACCTAATCAAATATTACATTGATTATGCTACTTTATCAGCCAATCCTAATGCTTTTTCTTATCCTCCGTTCTACTCCAATTCTCCATAGATAACTAGCTCTTCGAAATTTTAATTGGACTATCCTTTTTACGCTTATGGCATTTCTAGATTTTCATATTTAAATTTGTTACTAAGAAAATCTTTTATTTTTTGACGTAAATCTTTCAATTGCACATTCACACCTTATATTGGAATTTTATATGTCTGTGCCTCGTGTTTCATTTTAAAATACACGATGTTCTCAATCATTAAGATTTTTTAATTATTTAAAATAATTATTCTTTCAAATATTAGACAAATATTAAATATAATATATATACGCAAATCCTGCGATTTTCTATTTCACATCCTAACTCGATGATCTAGTCTTTGAAGTAATTTATTAAATTAATTTAATTATAACTAAAATTTCTATTTCATATTTTTCTAAACTAAATAACTAACTAACTAACTAACTAACAAACTAACTAGAATTTGAATTTATTTGTTTTATGTATAGGATTTTTTTAATTTTAAACCTTTTTTTACACAAACATAAACCTCATAATAATCAAGGTTTGCATTTCTGGTACTTCCTTCAGGACATCTCTGGAAATCTATTATGAAAATGATAAATTAATGCCTATTCGTTTGATTGCATCAATATATAAATATAATCAATTAATTATTTCAATTATAATATTAAATGGAGTGCAATGCAGAAAATCAAGATCAAATAGAATATTCTATAAATTTTCAAATATATCCTTCTTGATTAGTTAAACTACATTTATAAATATCTATTTTGCTAATAATTTTTCTTAAATCTCATAATTTTAATATGTAGATGTTTTATAGAATATTTTACATTAATAAGATCATTTTTATAAATTTAAAAGGAAATTTTAAATTCATATCTACTAGACAAGATAAATGTAAAGAGCTCTTAAGAATTGACTAAAAATAAGTATTTCTGTAATAAGTTAAAGAATTATTTATTTAACTAAATAATTTATATAAATTATCATATGCAAATTTTCAATTCTCATCAAGTTTAATTAATATTCTTTTACCATATTTTAATATTTATTAATCCTTAGTTTAAGCCTTAAAATTAATGTTAAATTTACTAAAGTCAGTTCAATTATCTATCTTATTTGTAATTCTTCAAACTTTTTTCTGCACTCAGGATATGCACAAAGGTTTCCTATAGAAAATAAGGATATTCTTGTAGGTTGAGATCCTTTGTCTGTTTTCACTAATTCTAGCAATTAATGCAAAGCTCCATGTTTAATCAAATCCTTAGTTAAGGCATTAGAATTTCTTACAAAATTTCCTAATGCTCCTGCTGCATTTGCTCTAGTTTTTTCCTTTATTTAAATGAAAAAGATACTTCTTAATCTCTTAGTAAGTCAACCAGCATTGGCACTACAGGTCTTAGCTGTTCATATAATCTATCACTATGAAAGCCTGCATTTCCAACTGCAAAACAAGCAAATTTACGAGTATGTTTATCTGGATCTTGACAACATTTGATGCAAAGATTAATTAAATCAAATTTGAGTAAATGTTCATAAAAAAAAGAAGAATGTCTACATAAATTGCCAATTAAATTGCAAACTTTTGCTCTAACATTTGAATCAGGAGATTAAATTTGCTATTTCAAATCGTTGTATAAATTAATCGAATGTATATTTGGATAAAAATCTTTACTAATCCTAGCTAATTAAGACAAGATGTTTATTGAATCCACACTCATTATTTAATATTTTTATAAGATTGCCAATCCATTATTTTAAACAAAACTTTATGCAAACTGTTTATCTTCTTCATTATTTCCTACTAATCTTGAAATGAATGAAATAACTAATTATATATGATCCTTCTATAGATATTTAATCAAATTTAATGTCAAAGCAACTATTTCTTAATTACTCAATTCTTTAAATACATTATCACAATTTTGTTCTTAGAATGCCAAAATGAAGATTCGAATAATTTAAATGCTCATTACATTTACACAAGCCATACCTCCTCCACTGGAAGATGGCCATTCTTAGATGCTTTGTAATTAAGCTTCTTTTAAAAAAGAACATAAAATCCTAATTGAATTATCCTAAAATATTAATTATCCTAATGCTTTGAAATTAGAGTATATTGAATCATGAATCAATATCAATAAAGATACGAATCCTTTTGGAGATACGTCATTCCTGCTTGTGATATTTAGTAGTATCTAAAATAATAATTGATGAATTTCATATTTTTCCAATAATTAAAAAAGATCAGTTAATTTCTTTTATTCCTTATTATATCTAAAAAGTAGTTTTTGTAATAATGTAATGACTCCATCGACAAATCCATAACTAGGACATCCAAAACTACTACCTTCTAGTTTTCTGATTTCTTCTGTTCTATTTTGTTTTTTATTTGGATTGACTAGGTCACTTAACAATTTATAGGGAAGCTATTAACTAAAATAGCTAAGTAATTGATTTGTAAAATTAGTCTCCTATTATAATAATTCAGCAATCAATTAAATTGCAGATAAAGAAACAATAGGATTAATCTAAATATTATTTTCAAAGATTTCGATCACTTATGATAAATTCACTTGATATTCCTAATTTTTATTTTTATATTATTGAACTAAGATCAACAAAGCAGTGCCTTAAAATAATGCCTCATCAGAATTAAGGGCCTAACTAATCAGCTCTTTAGGAACGTGAACATCCTTACTTACTCTAATCATTTATAATAGGATTCTTAATACAGAAATTCTTGTTAAATTTTATTATTCATCTTATTCATTATAAATTTTCATATGATCAATATCAGCATATGCAGTAACAATTTGATTTTTCAAAGACTCAAACAATGGCAAAGCTTCATTAAAATTTTAAATTTAAATAGAATATCCTTTCTTCCATGGGAAACTAAATATTTCCCCATGAATAGGATGTATCAATACACCAATTACTTAAGTAGCAAATTTGTGAAGAGTAATATTATTTTTTGTTAATTTGGCGGTTTCTTAAGCTAAGTTATGCTCAACTAATTCTTTATAAAATAACACAGATCTTACTGGATTTAGACTAGCTTAATTAGCAAATATTCCAATAGTTTTGATTGTGTTGATTAATTCATTATTTTATCCAATCTTTAAAATTTGGGCAGTCATTCCAATAAACTTGATAAAGACATTATCGATTCCTATATTTTTATCAAAGGTAGCTTTGGCTAAAAGACCTATTGTTTTAATTAATTCAGATAGCAGCTCAGAACTACCTTATTTAAGAATACTTTTCACATGAGTTACTAATTAAATAGGGATTTATTAATTTTTCACAACATCCAAGCCCTCTTATTAATTTCCTTTAGTTATAACTTATCCAAAGACTTTCAAAGCGCAATGCAATGATGGTTTCTTTGGAGGAGTCAACACTTGAAGTAGCTTATCTAAGAATCCAGGGTCACATCTTAATTAAGTGGCTCCTTGAACATCATTAGCGATTTATTCACATTTAACCCAATATTCATCATTACAAGGCATTCTTCTAGGCGACACATCTCTTGTGTCCTTACTTTAATCATAAGTTATGATATCCCTTGTCGGCGTTAAGGATCTTTTGCGTTTATCAATCACTTCATTTTCCACTCCTGCCCATTAACTATATTATTCTAATCTTTTTTTCCTTTCATATTTTTCTTAATCAGACTCTTGTATAAAAGGGTGATTAAGTAGATCTGGCCATCCTAATCTATCAGAAGGAGTTTTATTTAAGAGTCCTTTTAAGAAACTTTTGAATTCTGGACTCATGTTGTCAGGATACTTGACAGGATCCTTAATAATAAGTTGAATTAAGGAATAAATTTGATTAGTGTAGAATGGAGGTTAGCCAACAAATAATTCATACAAAATCACCCCCAATGACCACAGATCGACTGTGTGATTATAGGGCTGTTCTTGAACTAACTCTGGCGCCATGTAAAGCGGAGTACCTTTAATGGAATGCAAAACTTGTGTATTTGTTGACATTGCTCTTGCAAATCCAAAATCGCATAATTTAACAACTCCATTAGCAGATAATAAAATATTTTAAGGTTTCATGTCTCTATGAATAATTCTGTTAGAATGAAGATAATGAAGTGCTCTAACTAATTATTACGCAATTTTCCTGACTTCACTTTCAGGAAGATTATGATCATCCTCCAAAATTTCATATAATTCGCCTTATGCAAACTAATAAATAGAAACAATTAAAATTACTTCAGTTACTAAACAAAATTCCCCTTGCGTTTCAAATGCATCTAATAATAATATTATATTTTCATGCTTCAATCTCCTCAATATTTCAATTTCTTATCTCAAATTTGCTAAATCTTTTTCAGTTTTTCCTCTCTTACTTATGAACTTCAAAGCAGCCATCTAGTTACTTTTCTTCCATCTTCCCTTATATACCTTCCCAAAAGAGCCTTCACCAATTAAATGTAACACATGATAATTTTCCATTTGATTTTAATTTATAATAAATTTGTCAATACAATATACAAACTTAATTACTATAGATATCATAAATCAAATAATATTCGTTTTTATAAGTAATGAAAATTCAATTTCTATTGGCATTCATTGTCCTTGCATCCACTCAATCTTCGTTCCTAGAAGAGTCTTTAATAAACAGATCCTTTGCCCCCATGACTAATATATTCTTAGAGAAATTAACAGATCCCACTTAATAATTAGAAACAGCCACTGCTCCAGAAACACTCCTAACAGCCACACTTGATAGCTACATCAATGCCCAAGCATAATAATAAATTCTTATTTCCCAATAATATGAGTCTAATTTGCCAGCTAAGGGTGATTGTATTATTCTTTATGGAGAATGCGATTATAAGGGACCTTCTTTCAAATATTGTGATTAACCAGGAGAATACATCAAATTTGAAATCCCTGTTCATTCCGTTTATATTCCTATTGGGTATACTTACCATTTATTTTAGTATGTCACTCAAAATTAAAGATGCTCTCTAAGGAAACAAACTTAATTTGATTTATAGTCACGAATGCATATCTGAAGGAATCCATATTCCTGAACCTAAAATTTATGAAGAACATCCCAATGAGTGGTTCGGTGAAATTAAAGAAACTGAAAAGGCTGTTCTTGATAGCGGAGAACTTGCAACACCATAAATAAAATATTATGACAATGATGGAAATGTCATATGTATATAAAATAAGTTATAAATATAGCTAAGGAAGATTATTAGAAATTAATTGAAGCAGATATCCAAAAATCCCATAATTTCTACCTTGGAATAGTTGAACAACCAGATTATTCCACTCCTGCATAATTAGATTAAACTGACTCTAATGAATGAAATATATGCATAATATCATAATGTCATCATCATTATTTTGCTTCCATGACTTCTTTATAATACTTTTCCAATTGTTCTGTAAACCCCATATTTGGTCCTGCATATGGTCTTGTCTGCTTAATTTTTGTTAAAGCTTCCTAAGGCTTCATTTTGTGGATTTTTATCATATATGCTATTATCAAGCAAACTGATCTAGATATTCCGGCAGCACAATGAACTAAAACATTTGTTGTTTGAAGACTTTCATGAATAAATTTCACTGCCTTCTCAAAATGTTTGCTCATATCATATGTTGGAGAATCATCTGCTTCAATAAGAAGATATTTCAAATTCTCATCTGGTTTAAAATTTCCTGTCCAAACTGCTGATAAGACAGCGCCAATTTTTTTTTATGATACCATTTTCAAAGAATCATATCCTCCTACATATAAATTTCCATTATCTTAGTTATCTGAACTCATTACCAATGCTATCCTTTCTTCTAACATAAGAAATTATTATTATTTTTATTTGTTATAAATACAATTTTACATTTTATTTAAGAATACATCTACATAAGCACTATAATTCATTTTTATATTTAATAATTATTAATCTATTAGATTAAAGTCAGAAAATGAAGATTGACGAAAATTTGTGTCTTAATTGAATTTATTTACCTCGTTTTTATAAATAAATCTAACATAAAATATAATATGAAAATACATTCTGATAGTCCCCTTTCAAAAATAGATCAACTATTTAACAATTTAGATTAGAATTTGAGCAAAAATTAATACATAAGACTATAATTTAAGCTCAATGGATATAAGGAGAAAAAATTGGGTTAAGATTAGGTTATTATTGAAACAAGTTTGATTGATGGATAATATTCCCAAACTGCAATATTGATAGGAAAGGCCGCTGAACTCATAAAAGTCTACTAAAGTAACAAATATAAAATATCAAGATGAGAAATTTATTAATGTGAATTCTATGGTAATATAATTGTTACAATGGAAAGTGGCCTATTTAGAAAAAAATAAAGCCTACACCATTGTGATATATGAATTTCAATATATAGGATCCCTAGATGGGGAACATGAATGCACTTAATACAATGTAGATTAAAATTGTTAAAGTCAAAAAAAACTTAGAGTGACAATCAAGTAGCATAATACTACTAATAATAATACAAGCCACTAATCATACATAACGAATTCAATCAAAAAAGTGAAAATAGAGAATTCATCATTTATAAAGGAATCATTTATAATTGATGATAATCTCCTAAATATTTCGGTTTTGGATAACCCAGCAAATAATAAATAATCAAATTAGTTTAAAGACTATTAATAATAGTAACTAATATAATAATAAGAATTAACAAAAATATCTGTTATGTATCCTAATATGAAGAAATGGGTCCTGGAAGGTAGAATTATCTTAAAATCAGAATAATTAGATTTCAGATGTAAAAAAACAGATATGATTTCAAGATATTTTAAAATAATAATTTTAGATTGCGAGTAAGAAATCATTGTAGGCTTATTTTATGAAAAGGCCTTGAGTAAATTTTTTTCTGTTTTGTAATAAGGAAAGGTTTACACATTTAAAAATGGATGTATAGGTTAAGATAAGGCAAATGGTACAAAGAAAATCACTTTTAATGAGTATTCGATTATTTCAGAATCCTAAAATTTTGCAATTCCATCAGCCCCGCAATTAAATTTTTCAACACTTTAAGAAATTGAGACATTACAACACAATTCCATCGTTGATGTTGTTGCTGTCATCTAAGTAATTAAACAATTTAAAAGTAGGAAATAAAATAAGATTCTGATTCTTGTAAATCATTTATTGTCTTTGATTAGACCACAAGATTATCTGTGAAACTCTGGGGAGCTCAATACGCTAATATCAATTTATAAAAAGGGGAAATTATGGTGTTTAAAGGATTAAAATTTTACAATACAAATTTTAAATCATTAAACTCTGACCATTAGACAATGATTATTTAAAATCATGACTTAAACGAGTAAATTAATTGTTAAATATCTTAGAGTCAAACAGCTGAAAAGTTGGTTGGCGGGTAAAAATATTGATACAATTATGAAGCCAAATCCAGATAACTCAACCATCGATCTTCAATAGTTAGATGAATTTGTCATTAAACTATTGAATGAAGGCAAGACTTAATAAACCTCTTATAAGTACATTTTTGGCTACATAATTGAACTCCAAGAAAATAGAAATATGTATCCTTGTTGTCCAAGTCTTCGATGCAAATCGAAAATGGAAGAAATTCCTAGTAGAAAAACATATCGATGCAAAAAATGTTTAACCGAAAATCCTTCACCAAAATTTAGCTTTGTTTTGAGAGTAACAATCATGGATGAATTTACAAATATAAAGGCAGTTATTTTTGATGACATTGCTGTTAAATTACTTGGAATAACAGCTGATTAACTCAGAGCAATGAGTCATGAGGATTAAAGGAACATATTTTTATCAAAGGAATTTTAACAAAAAAAAATGAAGGTTTAAATTTAATTCCAAGATTATAACGGATAAATTTAACCAAAATATAACGTTTAGGATATAGTAGATATCGATTACAAAGAATTAGCGACATAAGCATTCGAGATGTTTGATGAATTAGATAACCTACTGAATTTATCACTAGTGTTGTGAAAATTATATATATATTGAACATTTGATTGAAACTATTTTAATTTATTATGATCTTCATAATTCATTGTTAATGATAAACAATCTTCATCAAGAACGAATTCCAAAATAAGGCACATGATATTAACAAAATATGAAAATATTATATGAAAGTATTAATATTCTGAAAATATAACTTAACAAATTCAGTAGGATATTTGATAAAATATTGTTATTTGAAGGATCCGTACTTAATCTTAAATGTGACGTTTCTAAGATTTTTAAAATTGAATGTAGACTTCAAATTTCTTTGTCAGTTATTGCTTTATATCTTTACTAAATCCCAAGATCATGCTTAATTTTCAAGTGTGTGCATTTAGGTCAGAAATACTTGGAAATATGATAACTTTGTGACAAAGTAAATAATTAAACAATCCTTCTTTCAACTCTTCCTTAGAAATATAAAACAGTACAAGCAAATTTGAAGCTTTAATCAAGATGATCATTATATTTCCACTTATTTGTATTCCAGGTTTGTTATTGTTTTTCATATTTATGAAAAATTGAGAAAATTGTTAAAATTGACCAACACATATTTAATAGGATGATCCAATAATAGTATCAAGTCTTTTATTTATTTAACAATTGAAAATTATTAGTGGTTTGCTTTTCGAATCCTCTAATATATTCATAATGAATGCAACAAAAATCACTCTTCAAGAATTATAAGGTTTTGAAGAACTAAATGCTAGCTATTAAAAAGAAACATTAAGAAACTAGAGTTTTTGTTTATTACAATAGATGGATAAAAAAGGTGCAAATATTATTATATTTAAATATAATTCCTAATTTCAATAAATAATTGTTTTTTGAAAAAAGCATAAGCAAGAAATATATATAGTTAAGCACTAGGTCACACTTTTCAAATCTTCTTTATTAATTTTAGGGAAATCAGTAAAAAGTAAATAAAATAGTAAGGATCATTAAAACCATTTTAGACAGCACTGACACTAAAAGGGTATTAGATTTATAATTCAATTCTATTTACATAAATTTGTTAAGAGTAGCTTTGAAGAATATTTATATTTGTATGTCGTCCATTTTAGAGCTTCTTTTTGGTTAGAAATGCAACAAAAATTAATAATTTAGAGTTTTAATAAATTCTTCAATATGAACACAGCAAAATAGTATTATTTAATATAAAATACTGAATTTATAGTAATTAGACAAAAAAGCAATAATAATTGAAAAACAAATAATAATTTAATAAATAACTTAGTAGTAAATATCAATTCTGATAATGAAATTACATACACTAAAAATATTTAATGCTCTCTAAATAATCTTAAAAATGAATACAAATACTATTTATTTAGGGGCAGGGTTTGGGTTTGCATTTGGGTCTGGGTTTGGGATAAGGGTTGAATTTGGGGTTGGGCTTGGGTTTGGGTTTGGGGTTGGGATTGGGGTAAAGTTTGGGGTTGGGTTAGGGGTTGGGGTTGGGGTTGGGGTAAAGGTAATTGTCAA